GCCATAGGCTTAGAGGGCTATGCGTCACCTGAAGCCGGGACTGGGACGTGCAGGCGAAGGTTAGTGCACGCACTTTGGTCCGTATGTGGTACATGTACTCATTGACTTGATGTAGCACCGGCTTTGAGTCCTCGACCACGACCGACCATGTATATACCTTTCGACGTCCGGCGAGCGCGGTACAAGGCCGCGTCGGCTGACAAGACTCGCCGCGGCTGCTACTGAGATGGAAAAGTATGTATAGAACGTCATCCGGCGAGCAAGGTACTGCGGCTATGCGGCGTGCTGCGGTCATGGTTCCCGAAGCGTGCAAACATTTTGCGCTCGTTGTGACCATACATCGCGGCTGCCAGCATGTAGCAAGTCCGGCCATCGGCGGCGATGTATGTATCAGTCGTCTTGCGGGCGAGCAGCAGCAGCTAGACAACGGTGAGCAACTTCTATTTGGATATTTGAATGTACTGAACTCACAACGAACGACACAGGCACCACTGAACTCGCCAAAAGTGGACGAAGGGTGGCCGCCGCTCGTCGTTACATCGCGAATGGCAATGTATGTATGGATCGTCGTCCGGCGAGCGGAGTGACGTTGACGGTGCGTAGTCCATATCTGACCGTCCGAACATCGATCGCTGGGACGCGGCCGACGGCGTCGAGGTGTCAGCGCACCGCTGATACTAGCATGAAGCACTCAAAGCCGCACTTCACAACGACCGCCGCGCAATGTTCTTGCCTGCGTTCGGCAATGTATAGACGTATCAACGTCCCGCGAGCGATGTGCCTGTGACAGTGAGTAGGTCTCCGTACATCACATGTTCTGGTGCTGACTGTCGACTCACCAAGGGGATGACCTGGAATCGGGTGGGCAGCACTGCGGCGCTACCCTGTGTCCCGCTGCTGGTTCCCCGAGTCTGCGTTCCACGGTATGTCGTCTCCGATCTCCCTGACGTGCCCGAGCTCACGGTGTTTAGATGTTTCGTGTGGCGAAGGTACGTTTGTGTGCGGGACGAAGACTGATGTCTGCTGGGCACTCACCGGCACATCTGGGGCGGATGTGTGCAAACAGCGCGTCAGCCTCGCTGTCTGCAGTCCTACGTCACTGCGCCGGGCGCGGTGGCACTGAATTCTCGACAGCCACCTTGGGGCACGGCAAGCGCTGTGTAGATGTATCGATGCCCGGCGAGCAGGTTGCGAGCATCGGTAAGTGGTTTCGTCTGTCTTGTATTCATTGTGCTGATTGTTCGTCATTCGTGCGAACTGTCGAACAGCGAGTCCCAACGTGCCTGGCGTATGCAGGTCCAAGGGAGTGTACCTTGTCTAGCCGACGGAGGAGCCAGGGCCCCGCGAGCTATCCTCTACGCACGGTACGTCCATCCACGTCTCACGCGCCCTCCCGCACTGACTTTGCGCGCGCTTCTGCGAATCGCTTGTCCCCGGAGCAAGGCAGATGTTCTGTGACCACGGTGAGTTGCAAGCTTGTACTGCCGGTGATCAACGGAATGCTCCAGCGCAAAGGCGAGCCGCGAGTACTGCTTACTTGGACGCGGGGAGCGATGTTTGAGGAGGCGAAGGCGGCGTTGCCCTGTGAGTCGTGCACTTGTGTTCCACGTTGACTGTCCGCGCGATGTTCATATGCGCGAGGGTAAGTGCATCCATTGAGCTCTACGTACACGCGCTGACGCCGTATCTACGACGCTCTGCAGGGCGGCACAACGTCCGCGTCCGTGCTGCGCGAGGAGGAGACTCACCGGGGATTCTTTGTTTTTGCTGCACATGTACATACCCGGTCCCGTCTTGTGAATGCATGAAATGCACCTGAACCTCATAATCCGCGAGCTCCCTACGGGGAGGGGAATCTATGGCCAAAAAAAACAGCCAAATTTGCGGGACTTGGCGCGCTTTTCGTCTTTTTTGCCTTTCCCCGCCCAATCCTCGCCCTCCGTCGTAAGCACCCGTCACTTTCCTGCGACGATCCCCGCCCCGCCCCCACGCCGCACTCGCACGCGCCCCATCTGGCAGCAGTACGCGCCCGCTCGCCAGCCAGTCCTCCACTTCCGCTACTTCGCCGCCACCGTCTCCATGTACGTCGTTCATTCGCATCCGTCCACCTTCCCATAGCACCGGTCTACCGGGCGTCATTGCCAACCTCAGCACTCACCCGCCCATACCGATCACCGACGTCTTCTTCTGGACACCGCAGGTGGTCGGAGGCAGTGGCTTCATCCTTTCTTCCCTTCTCCTCATGCTCGAGTGCCAGCGCAGATGGTGGCTGCCGAACCTGCGGAGCCTCGGTTGGCACATCGGCGCCTGGAATCTCGTCGGGGCAGTGGGGTTCACGTTGTGCGGTGCGCTGGGATACGCATCGTTGACGTCTTCAAAGGTGCGCCAGTCGACGTGTAGCAGTGATGTGGGACTGAGCTGTGACCGGCCTAGGCAAACTACCAGAGCGTGCTGGCGACCTTCTGGGGTTCGTGGGGGTTCTTGATTGGCAGTGCCCTGCAGCTCCACGAGACGCTATGGAGGGAAGATCCTGATGCCGGCGGAGAGGACGAGGCACAGTGAGCAGGAGAGAACGCCGCCGACTTGCTTCGAAGACGACTTCAGAAGTCTAGCTTCACCTCAATCTGTACATCATCGTCAGACAAGCCGCAGAGTCATGCTCATAAATTACTTACGGCCGAGACTTGTTCGTCAATGACCCGCGCTAGGTGCTCCATGAGTTGATTGAGCGCTTTCAGGATGCTCGCTGTGCAGAAGGGGCACTTGTTCTCGAGGCTGTTCTGCGTCACCAAACTGAGCCCACCGATCTCCGTGTCACCGAGCAGCGCAGTACCGCACGGGCGCGCGCCGACGACCCTCGCCGCGCGCTCCCTGAACTTTGCGACGTCGATCTTGAACGGGAGGTAGCGAGTGTTCGCGCCGGGCTCCTGGTCGCTGCATTTTGGGCAGATGTACACCATCACGCCGTTGCGCGGCGGCTTGAGCACGGGGAGGTCATGTGTGAACTGGCGCAGCGCGATGGCCTTGCACGCCTCGCGGTACTGGATGAGTCGGTAGACAGCCGTGCCCGACATGCGCGCGATGGCCTTGGAGATCGGGGCGTCGTCGCTCGTGTCCGCGGGAGGAAAGTCGTGCTTGAGCGACTCGAGGGCGGCTGCACAGGCCTCCTTCTTCAGATGCAAGCGGAGCGCGAGTCCGTAGGCGGCTATGGGCTCTGACTTGACGTGGCTCTCGAGAACAGACATGCAGAACGCGCGCGCGACTTCTACCTCATACTTTGAGGAGGCGGCCAGCACGTCCTCGACTTCGTCTAGGCTGAGAGACGAAGGTGGGGGGAGCGGCGAGGGATAGCAGAGGCGAAGGAGGTGGCTGAGCGTACGCGAGTCTTCTGTGACTGGCACTACCGGGACATCCAGTTCGTCCGCTCCGCAAACGGGCTCAATGCCGACCATCTGGGTCTGTGGAAGAGAGAACATGGTTGCGAAGAAGGGCGACGCTTCGGAGAGGATGATTTTGTGGACGCGGTGGGCATGGCCGTCCGAAGATCGCAAGACAATGTCGCCGCTCGGTCTGTCGAAGCGGACAAAGCTCTCGTCCGACATTACGGCCTCTTCAGACATGTCGCCTAGACCTCAGCCAAGAGCCGTCGTCGTCCGAGTCGAGAAGGAGTCGAGAACAAGCACAGCGGACAATCGATACTTGAGGGTCGTAACATCAGAAATTACGTTGTGATAGCCTTCACTGACCTTCATCACGGTGTGTATCAATTGCGTCACAGCTTATGTACCAGACAACTCCGATCTAATATGTGATTATGATGGAGCCAGGGAGCCAATCAGAGCCCATACCTTCCAATGTTACTGACCATAACATACATAAATGTTGCCCACTCCGAAGACACCGCGGGCAAACCAGGTTTTTCGGCCTCCAAAGATTGCTCATAGCATCGGTCCCTTATGGGAGCCTATTCGGAGAGCTTGACTGACTCCGAAAATGCCCCCACATTATTCATGTTCGTAGCATGTTCGCCGAAAACACGCGTTTTCGGCCTCCGAACATGCTGCAACGCATCATGTTCGGAGCATGTTCTGACAACATTCGGAGTCCGAATAGGTTCCCATGGATGATGGGGGACCGATGTTAATAGCAATCTTCGGAGTCCGCAAAACCTGGTTTGCCCGCGGTGAGAGGTCTCGAACCTCTGATTAGCCTATGAGAAGGCTGGTTTCGTTAGACACGCTAAAAACATGTCAAAAACGCACCATTTCAATATGATGCTCGGAGTCCAAGTATCATCGGAAGAGGTTCTCGGGAGTCGGCGAACTTGTGAACTTGTGGCGCTCGCCCTTACCGAAATCTAAACTGAAATGAAGTCAGACTCACACAAAATGAAGCTGAAGGGCTAAGCCCAAACACGAAGCTCGAGGATCCTACCCAAGAGACTCTCTTCATACTTAAATTGATTTACACGCGGCGGGGTGATCTTGAAAACGTCCCTCCTCCTCACTGGCAGGCTCAGCGGAGGAGAGTGGTATTAGGCGCCCACAAGTTTAGCAGTGTAGATAGGCGCCCAACGGATTGGTCGTTCTCCTTTCACGAGCCTGTCTACTTTTTCCATCCTCCCTCACGGTCTACGCCTACGCTGAGTTATGGTGAGTGCGTAAAAGCTGGATCAGAAGCACTCACTCAGATTATACCGCCAGAGTGATAACGCAGGTAAGCAGGTCAGTAACCATGAGGCATACGGAGCTAACTTCTTAGGATCACTCAGAATACAAGGAAGCGTTCGCGCTTTTCGACAAGAAGGGAACGGGGGCTGTGCAGCGAGAGGTTTTGGGCGATCTTCTGCGAGCACTCGGCCAGAACCCAACACAGGCAGAGGTCGCGGAGATCATCGCGGGGGCACCACGGGAAGGTGAGAGGACACGTCCTGCCGCCACACAGCAACCGCGTACTGAACCGTGCTGTCTACCTCGTATGTGTATGAACGTCATTGAATCCGCCACGACGCGCTCTCTGCCGACTCCCAGTCGACTACAAGTCGTTTTTGACGATCCTCAACCGGCCAGACGGCTTTAAGCCTGCAGGAACACCAGGTCAGGATCCCTATGACCCGTGGTCGCTGTCCGTCCCGTATACACGACTTACTCTGTTGAATGATGCTCTCAGAGGAGTTCATCCGCGGCTTCCAGGTTTTCGACAAGGAGGGCAACGGCTTCATCGGCGCGGGCGAGCTCCGATACGTCCTCACACAACTGGGCGAGAAGATGTCGGACGAGGAGGTTGACGAATTGCTGAAGGGCGTACCAGTCGGCCCGTACGTTCTGTGATTCCACTACACGTGGCCCCGCTGATATATTGCAGGGACGGAAACGTCAACTACGAGTCTTTCGTACGCACGATCCTCAGCCAGTAACAAGCGGTGTATAGGGATCGGGATGGGCCCTTCGACGTATGGAAATTGTAGTGTCTGCTTTGGAGTATCTCCTTGCTTGAACTTGAGTCCGGTAATAGCTAACAAGTCGCGGTAAAGCGCGGATGTATCATGAATCTCCCATTATACCAGTAGTTCTGATTCCGAGTCGGTCGTACTACACAAAGACGCGCACCACACATGCGTGGTTTAAGTCGACCGCCCTGTAGCCTACTTAGTATGTTGCACAGTACTCGTGCCTCATATCGTCCGCGGTGAGGGGAGTGCATACTATGTTGGTACGTACCGACGCGACAGCTTCAGTAGTCCCGTTCATGCAACAGCCACTTGAACTTCCTCTACGACCGTATGTATACGGTACCGTCCTGATGGTGTACCATGAGTGACACTTCAAATTGGACTCGTTCTGCCCGCTACACTGAAGTCTGACTCCGAAATGAGTACGAAAGACTCGGAGGCAATAACTAATTGATCAAGTGCATACTTACTAGCTACTGGACTTTGACTGGACTTCAACGTGCACCAGTACCCGAATTTCGATCTCAGCCTCCATCTCGACGACCATCCCTTGTAGTAGCAATTGAAGTAATTTAGCACGTAGTCCTATGGCTTGCGATGTTGTACATACCTATAAGTGAGCGCTGTCGCCGTCGAGAATGGGACGCGCGTGCGCTAGTACATACAGTAAGTATGTTTCGGCGGCCGGTGGCTAAATGGACTACTCTTCCTCTTCCTCCTCCTCTTCCTCCTCCCTAGGCCTCAAGCCTGAGTGTGGAGAATCAAGCTCACTAGAACCCACTTTATTCTTTCTGACCTCCTCATGTGATCAGTGCTCTGCCATAACGACATCGTCAACTGGCACCAAACTGGCACCTGAGGTCGTCTCGTTGACTGTGTAAGCAGTCAATGTCGAAAGTGTAACGTGCACAGCACTGACCTGAATGTACTGGACTTGCAGATGCTGGTCTACAGTTGACAGTTGTACATTCGATATAGTTCGTCTCGCTAGGTGAACAGTCTCAGGATCATGTTATTGCAATTCCCCACCGACATTTTCTTGTATACCCTATCCTTCACCTGTGTCCACGACCTCTGCTCGCTGCACCTCGTGTCACGGCAGGTCAAACATCTGATCAGTGACAACGAGGAAAGCATCTATCATCAAGCTGCTGTCCTGCATAGGTTCGCGCCACCCGAGATCTCGCTCGACAAAGTGAAGCGACTCGAGGCACGCAACAGCGCATGGCTCGACGATGTTGGTAGCTGGAAGGAGCTTTGTGAGTGCTTGATCCGTTGAGCGGCGTTCTGCGCTGACCGATATCCACCCCAGGTCGCAGATGGACTGTGATCGAGCGTAACTGGGACGGCGATGGCGCGTTGCTGGAGGGCGGGTACACGTCCGACGATGGCGTGCTGCACTTCAAGGTCGACGAGGAGGAGAGGACCGTGCTGGCTGTGTCACGAAGCGGAGGGATGACTATCCACGCAATGGAGGATAACAGGGTGCTGTGGCGATTCAGCAAGGTACCGTAATCCCCGTTCCAATGGTACCGTGATTCTGATCTCATCCTAGGATTACCTCGTCCGCACGAGGTGCGAGCTATCTGGCGGCTTCCTCGTCTTCCCGAGCAACCATCGCGGCATCGAGGTATGGCGCAGATCGAGTGATGTCTTCTCCGCATCTCCCGACCAACGCGCCATCGCCACGCCCATTTCCGAGCCCTCGTCTTCTGCCGCACTCGCCTTCCAGTTCGCTGAGGCTGCTCTCGTCTCCGCGCACTTCCCGCCGACGTCCCGCGACGGGCTGCGGGGCCAGTACACCCCGCATGCCTACATTGGGCAGCCGTACGTCGACACGGTGCGCATCTTCCGCGTGCGGTCCCCCGTGCTCGCGCTCATGAGCATTCAAGACCGGAATGCGGTGTTGCTCTTCGACCTAGCCAATGGCATGCTCCTCCGGCGCATCAGCTTTGGCATGGAGCGGGTGCTCGGTGCGCCGCAGGGCTTCCGGCCGCCGCCCGTGAGCGACAGGGTCGTCATGGACATCGACGTCTCGGACGCGTGGGTCGTGGTGTGTCTGCATTCTGCTGTCATCGTCGTCCCGCGGGACGGGCATGCGGGCGACGACGGGCAGACGACGCCGACTCTAGTTCTGGCGGAGGACGACCCCCCGCAGCTCCTCCAGGACACGGCTATGCAACTGCAGAAGGTCGATGACGTGCAGGAGTACACCGGCCCTCTTTTCATGCCGCAGACGCCCAGCAGCAGCTTTGCCTGTGTGCCCGGTATAGATGCTATGCAGAAGTTCAGGGTCGTCCCCCCTGCAGAGAGCGTGCAGCTCGCGAATACTCAAGCGTTGGTTCAAGTCGGTGGAAGACACGTTCCGCAATGTTTTGTGGCAGGTACGCACCCGTTCGCTGCACCATCGATACTGATCACTGAGAACTTTACAGCACGATTCTCTCCTGACGGGAGACACTTCGCTGCGGTGACGGTGTTCGGCCTGTTGTACGTTGTACCGGACTTTGCGAGAGTAGCTCGAGGTGCTGCGTCCTTCGAGGACATTGCGAAGCGTGTCTACATGGGCGAATGGCTTCGCGATCTTGTTTGGGAGGGACAACCCAGGAGACTGGCAGTGCAGACGGTATGGTCCTCTCTAACACTCGTCTCCGTGGCACTGACTGGCTGTTGCAGGCATCGGAGGAGATGTATCTAGTGAACCTCGACAGTTTGTACCACTCCCTACATCCGACGTCATCCGCAGCCGCAACCGCGCAAGATCCCTTTGCTGATATGGCTGTGTACCACCTCACGGACTTCAGCAACCCCGACCTCGGATGGGCGCGTGCACGCGGAGTGGCCTTCAGCGGTGTGCAGCTGACCCAGACGATGCTCTGGATGATATGGGACCTCGCGCTGCTCAGGCGCACTGTCACTCAGCAGAGACGTACGGGGAGGAGGAGCAGTTCGCGGGAGAGGGAACGTGGCGGGGGCGGACCGATGCCTTGTAAGCATGCTCTCCGAGTCGGTATGACTCGTCCTACTGATGGCTGACGATCCGTATGTAGCGGAGAACGGGAGTGTGTGTTTCATCAGTTTTACTCCGGGGTTAGAGAGCGAAGGGCGCATCAACGACGCTGCGTAGTGTTCGCGCCAACTTTTCGAAAGTAGAGGCCCTTGCTAGATTTTTGTGCCAACGCTATGTTGAACGCTTCGTTGTTGCCCACGAATAAGTGAGTTCTGCTGCATCAATCCAACCAAATGTACTCCCCGGTTACAATGGATTGGCTACACGCGGCGACTTGATGTTGAGTTGACAGCTGACATCTGATATCAGCGTTGGTGTACTGTTTGTCTTCGCGTCTCGGATTCGAGTCACTTATTGGAGTGTACCCGATATAAATACGTTTACTCCAAACTGGCCGCAAACCTTGATACGAATACTGACTCGTACCCTGCCCCCTGTCTCTCGCAGTCTGACCGTATCTGCTTGATCTGTGACTATCGCACTCAGAATTTAGTGACGAGCCATGTCGTCTCCCGTGTCTGTCTTGATCGTGAGTATCGAACTATTGCTCAGCTTCATCTGTCCTAATAGACAAGGCCATCTCTGTCAGGTCGGCGCTGGCCCAGCGGGGTTGATCGCAGCGATTGCACTATTGAAGAATCATATCCCAATACGGATAATTGAGAAGCGGCCTATCCCTCATGGTGGTGTCCGCGGGACGGCTATACAGGTAAGTTATGTTGATGGTGCACATATCGCTCGTCTTACAACTGATGTATACCATGGTAGCCTCGTACCCTCGAACTCTTCGCTTTCTTGGGAGTCTTGGATGATGTACTCGCTGTGTCCACACCGCCTTTCTTGATGGCGATGCATGGTGTTGGGCGTGAAGTCCTGAAGGAGACAAGATTCGAGGAAGAAGCTGATGAGTCTCCTCACGTTCCTTATGTGAGCGATCTATTCCTGGACTGTCACAGCCTGAGTCAGTGAGTGAAACTGAAGTGTTCCTTCTTAGCCCCGGAGCGTGCACGTTGGCCAACATGTGCTTGAGCGCGTTCTCAGAGAAAACATCGACAAACTGGGAGCTAGAGTCGAGTTTGGTGTGGAGCTTGTGTCATTCGAGCAACATGCAGAGCAGGTCGTCACTGAGCTATCTATATCCACTTCGGAACATACGCCGCCATCGGTCGAGACGCTTGAATGCACGTACATGATTGCAGCTGATGGGGCTAAAGGTCAGTTGAGTGGCAGTAAATGTTCGTCGCTGATGCCTAGGCGAGTAGGTCGGGTCAGAAGAAATCTCGGCTTGTCCTTCCTGGGCGAGACCAAGGAAACTGAGCGCATGTTCACCGCGAATGTTGAAGTGCACGGTCTCGACCGAGCGGTGAGTGAACCTTCTTCGATTCCTCTGCACTGTGAGCTGAGCGACAAATTAGCAATGGCATATGTGGGGTAGCTTCAGTTCTGCTGGGTACGTTTGGATCACATCATGAGGAACTTCCAGCCCTTACGTTATGATCTACAGCTTCGGACTCAAGCCTATCAGCCCCGAGCCGCTGTTTCAGGTTCAAGCACTCGGTCCGGATCTACCCACCGACCTCCCGCGGGACACCAAAGGAGTCCAGGAGCTCTTCAATAGCATCAGTGGCGCCAAGGACATTGAACTGTTAAACGCATCATGGACGTCGGAATGGAGGTATGACTATATATCTGCTCGAGACAACGGGTCTGAATGTTGCATGTAAAGGGCGAATATTCGACTGGCGAATGCGTTATCGGTCGGCCGAGTGTTTTTGTCGGGTGGTGAGAAATCAAGTCTGATCGTCGTTGACCTGGCTCATGTGTATGGTCTAGACGCCGCACATTCGCATTCGCCAGCAGGTGGTCAGGGGGAGAATACTGCGATGCAAGATTCGGTATGTGCATGCTTCACTGCCATGTGCCCGACCCTGTTGACATGCGCTCATGGCAGCTCAATATCGCTTGGAAACTAGCCCTTGCTCTACAAGGCGTTGCGGCACCCTCACTCCTGGACACTTATCAGGTTGAACGCATGCCAGTCATCGCCGAAATGCTCAGTCTTTCGACCGAATTGCACACGCTCGCTTTTCACCGCATACGCACTTCTACCCTTGACCCCGAGAAGCCTCAGGATCCGGAAACCCAGGAAATCATGCATCGCCCTCGGCGATTGCTGCAGCTCGGGGTCAACTATAGGTGGAGCCCCATCGTGATTGGTGATCATGGTGATGACACCAACACCGAGAAGGATCCCTACGGACAAGGCTCAGCAACTCTTCGTGCAGGCGACCGTGCTCCAGACGCAAGGCCGCTACTGGACATTACCGGCGCTGACAATGACATTCACTCGACACGACCAGTGTCGTTGCATTCCACCTTCACCGTAGATCGCCATACCATCCTGATATTCCCTCCCACCTCAGGCGTGGTCAACACGATCGAATTCGCAGCACTGCAGCAAATTGTCGCTCGCATGGCCACTGTAACCATGATTCTCGCAGAAGCCCTCGAATTCGAAGGACACAACTGTCGAACTCTCGTTGACGTGGAAAGGACCGCCTATTTGGGATACAATGTTCCAGAATCGACGGGGGCCTTCGTTGTCGTCAGACCAGACGGTATCATAGGAGCATATGGGCGGGATATGGGAATTGTCTTCCAGTACTTCGCTACAATGACCGGCCATTCGTCCCGTCTAGGAGCACGCGAGAGTTGAGATGGGCATTCTGTGTCGCATACTACGTCGCATACCACGAGAGAAGTAGAACAGTCGTGTATGTGATCCGTTTGTAGAACTGTGGATGACTAGCTCTCATTGTAAGAGCTCGACTGAGCACCCTACGCCCTGATGTGACGATAGGTCTCCGCCCTTAATCACTGCTCCAGAAGCATGCAGGTGACGGATGAAGAGTCAATCAGGCTATCGCGGACGAAGGAGAAACCAGTGCAGACTAATGTGTACTTGAGTGCAGTGCCCACTGGCATGACGTTCAGTGTGCACAGTGTCATCTTCTGAACTGCCCTCAATTGCAGGCGACACCACACTATGATGGCGCGTTACAGAGCCTCGATGCAAGCGAGCAGTAGCTTTTCCGGGGCTCTTTGGAGGGAGAAAAGGCGAGGTCCGGTGTCCACCAGCTATCCTTGAGCGTGTCATCGGCGCTTCACCTCGGGCCTCTCGGAGGGTTCACAGATACATCATGATCTGATTCGCATTTCCGCCGCTCTCAAGCTGTTGACCACGAAACTGCGAAGCCCGGCCATCAAGGCTAAGCATGATGTCCTGGCCAACCACATGAGACTCACCGAACCATGTATTTGACCGGGTGACACGGTATGGAAAGTCATCTATGTGGGCCGGGCCCTGGCTCCTTGATGTCCTTCGAAAGCTTGGGAACTTCACGATGTCCTCATGTTCAAGTTCTCGTTCGACGGTGTGTTCGGAGATGTCTATCATTATATGTATCAGTAAGTATAGGCGACCCCGTCTCGGCATAATCCGCGAATCTGATTGAGGATGGCACTGGCAGAGGCAGAAAACCTTGTTGGAATCGGGAAAGCAAGCGCGTTCGTCATCCTGCGAGCCCGTAGCATTCGTCAGCAGAGAGGGCCGGTGGGGATTGAGCGCAGTAATTTGTCTACTTAGGCCTTCGATAATACCGACCGATCACTCCCTGTGGTCAGCGGCGAAGTCTTCAGCATTCCGAAGACAGAATGAATGGCCATTCGAGGCGCCATTATGTGGATAGAGTTGGATTGTACCACCAAGTGCAGGGGCGTCTTCCCGGCATCGGCTGACGTTCTCAGGACAGTTGCGTTCCTGAAAGACAAACTTGAAGTATGCTCAGCAAGCAAATACGACACGCGCCTACTGTAGACTGGCACTCACGGAGATGGACCAGTCTCCAATTCGCAGCACTAGTCCGTCCGTAATGGCCCTTCAATTACATACGAGATCCAAGAATTTGTTACTGACGAACGAGGAAATAATGGACCATTGCTCACTGTCGGGCATCACATGAACCTATGAACACGAACTCCACCATTTGGCGCGACAAAATGTGACACGCACCTTCGAGTACGATGCTTCTGGCAGTGAGCAAAGTATGCAACACCAGACATGTTGCCGACGGACGGACCTTGAACACTGACCACATTCGACAGGGGGGCCGGTCCGATATCGACTTTAGACCAGACTGTTGTAAGTTCTTGCTTGTCGGAACGGAATATGGAGGCCCCGTACCTCTTCCCACAATCATAGGTATCGAATGACAGCGCGTCGTCGCAATGTGCACACCACGCAAGTATTTGCAGTATTCCATTCTTGCGTCAAACCATGAACGCCGCTTTGGTGAGGGAAATTATTTTGTCCCGAGATGAGTCGCGAGCAGAGTAAATATAGCTGTGAGAGCCGGTCTATTGAAGCCAGTGCCGGCTACAGACCACACAGTCAGAACCTGACAGGCCTAGAAGCACAATGAGCTCACGCCGACTATGGAAGCAAGCACTCATTTCCACTTACCGTGCATGCCTACTGATTCTGAAGCCCACCGACAGCCACAGATGTTCTGACGCTTACTCCGCGAAGTAGGCGTGTCGCTACCCCATGTTGTTCGAATCATGCGTTGGAAATCTCAACGTGGATTCCACACCGTACCGAGAGCCTGCACAGAAAAAAGAAGGGACCGGGCTATGAGCACGTAATGCGAAGGCTGCAGCACCACGACGAGGCTATAAATACAACTTCTGGCAGGCTGCATGAGTATATTCTCGTTGCTCACCGGCATCCTACTGTGGCCAGTGGGCCCGGCCGAACATCTAGAAGATGCTTTTGCCGCCAAGTGATAAGTGGCCAATCCTCAGGAGAGTCACCGAAGCCTATCCTTCCTGAGTAGATACGGTGCCCTTCCGACTTCGAACGCACGTGTGGCTTGTGGGAGGAAGTTGAGTTACACGTCAGTGATATTAAGTAGAAGGCACATAAAATGAAAGCTACCATGAGTGAGGAGCATCCGCTGCCGTCAGGTTGCCGGCCCGTCCCGAAGCATGTATCCCGCGAGTCTCAACTTGAAGGTGACACTGATGCAGCGACGAAAGCATTGCATTGGACCAGAGAGTCTTGGCTTGGCAATTTCGTCTTGGAAAGTACTTCAGCATCGTGTAGTGCAGTCAACTATCATAGATGCAGTTCGGGTCGTAAGCAAGCAAACCTACTACAAGCATCCGCATGTCGAAGATAGGGCACGTCAACAATGTGTGCCACGGAGACCCTGTGCAGAAGTGAGCATGTTTTATGAATGACGTAACACGATGGTCGAATATCACGACTACAGCATACTCGGCCACAAGGCTGCTTGTTGCGACCATAGCAGTAAGCGAACACCCGCGCTCATTTCCGGGAACGCGAGAAGGCTAGATGGATCTTCGTATCAGTGCTGCTGTGATTGCGATATGTTGCGATGATCAAATCGACCGTAATGAAGAGCGTTGTAGATGGCCGGTTATCCAGGTTATCCACCCCGGCGAACTCTCGCATTTGGCATGTTCGTGACGGTCGTCCACCTGAGCCTCCGTGGTACAGCGAGCCGGCGATTACATCACGGCATGAGGTACTTGGTGCACAGACACCTTCGCGAAGACACCCGGAGACAATCCGTCTGAGAGATGCGTACCTTAAACTGTGCATTTGCATTTGGTGAACGTGCGCGCGCAATTGACATTGGGATTTGAGTTGGTTCAAGGTTTTCAGCTAGCGTACGGGCTTCGGACGCTAGCGATTGAATGCAAGCGTCCGGTCCCGAGACCAAGGACTTGGGGCCCAAGTACGCCTGTGCGACGGAGAAGGCCGGATTGAGTGGACAGCCGCGTGGAAGGCGAACGATCCTGAACGGGTTGGTGTGGGAGTGAATGTGGTTGTGAAGGGATAGGGCACCTTCCTCTTCGTCAGCAGGATCTGCGCAACGCCTTCGTGAGTTGCCATTGTAGATGGAGAAGGTCATGCGCGCTCCGCATGCAACACTGTACCCGACGTGCGGGAGCAGGCAAGACAGCGATTTGTCTCATCCACTGTGCTTCAACTCGCCTCCGGGACGAACGTCACTGCGAAGTGGCAGGCGTGAGGTTTGCGGCGATGAGCGGCGAAAGACACGGTAAGTACGGGTAGTACGGGTATCAGAAAAAAGAAGTCTTGCCGGGAATTCAAGGGATATCTACGCCGGGTTGTAGAAGTCACGCCAGGCCATCTGGGTGAGCATGCCGCAGTGATTCGCCCGAAATAGATACGAGGTCGGTCAGCGGCATTGTGGCGCACCGTGACGGTGCCACCTCTGCACGTCGGCTCAGCCGCCCGACCCGGCATACGCCTCGTTTCTGCTCCGTAAGAAAGGGTTCAGGATAGATGAGATGAGGAGAAGGGATGGTATGTCGTGCCTGAGACGTACTTCAGTTGTCAAATCCAGTAATATATACTGGATATAGGACTATGTGAGTATCTCTTTGTGGTCAGCAACGGAGGCTAGAGCCTCTATGGAACTCTGGAAATCCGGCTGCCATTCGTCGTCGTGTGCTAGGTGTTTCTGGCCAGGATTGAGTTCTCAATTACTATTCACGGGGAATGACAATTCTCCTGTGCCGCTCACAAGAATTGAGTCGCCGCAAATGCATGTCGGACCAGGCTTACCCGTTCAGTCCAATGCGCCTCTCTCAACCCGCCGGAAGACCAGACGTCCTGCGGCTCGTCACAACGGATGTTTTGGTTTTCCAGAGATGTTAGATTGTTTCCCAGATACAACCTATGCTGAGATGGACAGACTGGTAGCAGAGCCGAAGTTGGGTGACGGTGTCGACTTTGTATTGAAATTTGACGTGGACGTTTAATTTGTATTGTCCCGCAATGCCAAAACGGAATGTGTGAGTACTGTGATTACTATATTCGGCCGGCTAGTCGGCAGGTATGGTTAGCATGCTCGGCCACTCGAGCATCAAGCTTCACCGCTCACATTGAGTACCTCAGTAGGTAGCTGGCACTAGTGCGAATACGACAGTGCAAACCTTATATGAATTCATGCACTATGTATGTCGTGAGCTGACGTGAGCAATCGGCTGGGTGGCTGGGCAGGTAGGGCGGCTGAGATTTCAGCCCGATATAGTACATACAGTACATAATATTCATATATTCCTTGCAGGCGCAGGGCGCTAAACCAGCGTTACCACTTTTCCTCAACTTCCACCTGCTTGCATCGTAGAGTTGCACCAGAGTTGACTGGACAAGCTCATGCAATCGGAGAGACGCTCCGCTAATTTACTGACTCCATTTGAAAGTGGTTTTGACGCAGGTAGGTGAACCAGCCCTCTGAGCGTGACGTCGAGATCTGAGCAGGACGCAAGTGCAAAGCAGGTTCATTAATGATTGTAGACACGTTCTCAATCAACTTCAGCCTGCTACGCCAATGATGGGATCATCGACAGGCGATGTTCGTCAGTGCCCGCTAGGTTCTCGCGCATCGGCCTGGGAATCTCAGAGAGGATGCCGGCACACTCTATTCGCTCGGTGCGATGCGCGCGAGGAGATCGAACAGGCTTCATGAACATGGTCGCTGTCAACCCTGCGCTGATTTCCTGGCATTTTAAGGTTGCTCCGGAGCGCGCAGGCCCCGTATTTGCGAGCGTTCGACAGCCAATGTTGGCTCGGACAAAGTATGGCACGGACCGCCGTAACGCTTGCCCACGGGGACACGGTGGGAGGAAGGCAGCCCAGGCCCGCACTTGAAGGCCATCTGCGAGGCCATCTCGCGATACAACCGCTTCCCCGCGCTCCTCTGATTCACAGGCTTGCTTTCTGCCAAGGGGCCGTCCGCATCTGTCCAGTCTGCGTCCGGCCATGCTGCCTCTTCTGAGACAGAACCGCTCCCCTTCTCTCCCCATTCTGTCCACTACTTATATCTCTCCTCGTCCCCTGCTCTGTGTTTCCCCTAGCTCCCCATTGATCACCTGCCTTGGCCAACTGCGTGCCTTTCTCTATCCTCGAATCGCACTATCACGCCTTCCCGTTTCGCCGCTCTCCGCCGGTCGCATTCGCGGACACAATGTCTACCATGGGCTTCTCCACACCTGTATGGCCCTTGGCCCCGCCCCTTGACGTTGATCCATCCACATTCCAAGCCCTCCTCAAAATTGCCGCGCTCGTCGTTACCGGCCTGTCTGTGCACGTATCGTTGTCGCCGCCCAATCCGCCTGCGCCTCCGAAGTTGCGCCTCGCTGCGGCACGGAAGACGTTCTTCGAACGCTGCGTTCGATGGGTCACATTCTGCAGTAAGGTAAGCAGCTTAATCTGCATGCAGTTTGGATCGCCGCTGTCCAGGCGGAAGTTGAGGAACTGGTTTTTCCTTACATGATGCGGCACCACGTACGGCAAGTGCTACCTTTGTCTGTCGATCCGCCGCAACTCTGGCGAAGATCCTCGAGTCAGGGAGTAAGCCACGCACAAAATAGAACGCACTTCATTTGCGGACGTGCATTGTCTACTTTGGAGGGTTTCGTGGGAGTGGGGATGTCTGGCTGCGATTCGCTGACGCGTGTATTTGTGACAGATGATGGTCTGGATAGGCACCCTACTCGACTTCCTGGCCACCACATCGCTCGCACTCCCCTCTATCCCCGTCACATCTTTCGTCACCTCAGTACTCTGCCCGGAGCACTCATCCTCGTCACATACACCGCTTCTCGCTGCCTCTCCCCTTCTCATCGCAGGCGCCCTAGCCACGCTGTTTGGCGCTGTCCTCCGCGTCGCATGCTTTCGCGCGCTCGGGCCGCTTTTCACCTTCGAACTCGCGATAACACCGAGTCATTCGCTCGTCACGACAGGTCCGTACGCGTGGGTGCGGCATCCGAGCTACGCCGGCATTTACATGACCCTGCTCGGCGCGAGTGCGGTCGGGCTTGCACCTGGCGCCTGGCTGCGCGAGTGCGCGCTGCGCCTGGGGACGTGTGCCGTGTCGATCGCCAGCAGTGCGAACGCCACCGTCACGGGGGCCGGCTGGAGTGACCATATCGCGTCCATACCCTCGAGTGCATCGAGCGCGCCGGAGGTCATTTTCCCTGCCATCGCTGCGCCGCCGTGTGTGCACGTGCATGGGCTGGGCCTCGGGACGGTGCTAGCGTGGTTCGTGCTCGCGTTCTGGTGCGTGAAGGTCGCATACGCGCTGCAGAGCACAAATAAGCGTCTCCGGACGGAGGACACGGAGCTGCGCAAGGCGTTCGGCGCGGTGTGGGACGAGTACGCGGAGAGGACGCGGTGGAGGCTGCTGCCCGGTGTGTTCTGATGTGATGTGCGTATGAGAACGCTGGAGGATGCGCGTAGTTGGTTAAAATTGCGTAGTTAGAGTGAACTCGCCACTGGCACACGATCGTGAGGCCGCGCAAGTCAAGAACGTAGTTATGTAGTAACCAGTGTTGTAGCGGACTATTAGCACTGACGTACTGACGACTGATACGCTTGTAATGAGATAGAGGATGTGTCTTATACGCAGTAACGCTTCATGTATCACAAAAATGCATTGCATCCTCAGGCGATAGTAACACACCACAACACATTTTGTGCGTTCATTCATGCAGCCGCGAGACGGCACCTAGTATACGTACGCGGCATATGCACGCCGCTGTACTATTATGTACCTGTACCTTGCCTGTACCAATATTGGTACTTAACTTACAGCGGGGCATGAAATCACGTGTTGGGCAAACAACGTCGACGCACCTCCTCCAATTGGCAATTGACAACGAGGAGGACCGGACTTCGACTCAGACTGAAACTTGAACGTAGTGGAACACTGAACGTTCTGCTTCTCATCCCTCTTTCATCTCTGCTTTACTCGGCATGCACGCGCAACGGCAAGGACTGTCTCATGCTCCGCGTGTGTCCCACTGCTCAACGGGTCGTGGCAGCTTGACTGGCCGCAATGATGGTGCGCTGCGACTGGAACTGAAACGACAATGTACGGCATTATTGCGTCCCCCAGAGAAGTCGATCAGTACAAATATAATCCTGAGACTTTTCGGGATTTTCTACGATGCCACGGAGTCAACGTGTTCCGCCATGTGAGTGCTCTACGAAAAGTCGGGACATTCACCGTAGCCGACATCTCAATATCAGGACAGGGTGAAGGTCGGAGCGGAAGCTGTTGATTTCTGACATGGGTAGACGTTATTGTCTTCCTCGTGGCCACATGTCTATGTTGAACGTAACGTTGAGCGCTTAAGCGCTGAAGCATCCCCCCCGGCCATACAAGGGCGATAGTGCGCGACGCACGTCGGTAGGCCTCGAGGCTGAGACACAGCGAACTTTTTCCGTCGAATACTTGACGGTTGGCATTGCCCCGTGGAGTTATCTAGACTGAAGACAGTCCACCCTGAATGAGCTTCTGTACCGTCACTGCTCAGCTGGCGTCGTCTCGGACGGTTCTTCCACAGCATATTTCGGTCAGCATGACGGAGGACCATGAGTTCGATAGCGCATCGGAGTACCATGGCAATCTTCTTACACTCTACGAGACGCGCAAGCTTCGATGTGCGACGTCCCAGGACGCTGGGCATTCGCGGTGTAGCCACCGACCACACGAAGATACGTTAATTTCAGTCGATCGGTCACGATTGCCTGCTTACTTACATTATGTGGTCATGTCACTTGCATACCATAACAGACTCCGTCAACACATGTCAGGAACCGATATATAGCGGCACGCCAACCTCATGCTCGTTTCTGCTGTAAGCATCACAGATCTCTCTCACTTCGTCATGTAACCAGTCACACTCACATGGTCAGCGTCCTTTAGGTGGTCTTCAAGGCAGTCTCAATCTAGCGACATTGTCCTTACCCGTGCCGCCGGGACAGGAACATTGACGTGGCGTGCAACCGAAATAGGCACCGTCGAGCCCTCGCCCAGCAATACCGGTCCTCCGCGCCACAAAGTTGATATAGGGCCTTGGCTGGCGATCTGACGCGTCGCGCAAGAAAGGCACTGTACCCCTGGTTTAGATCGAATCATGACATACTCGCTTTCTTCTTGAAGGACTGCCTACGAAGCACAGGGCGATCACCGACGGAATCGGGCGTGGCTAGAAAAGGTACAATGAACCGACTCCGGAGTGGAAATTCGTAGTGTGCTCGGGCACGACGAACGCCGGGTACAACCAGTCACTTCCGCACTGTGGCGACCTCAGAATGTGATGACGGCGCGCCCAGCCAGCCTTCCTTTGTACATATCCTCCAAGACGCTAACGATGACGCAGCCGTGGGTTAGGAAATGCTCATTTTCGCCAGGGCCGCTGACCACGCACCTGTTGATCTCCTCCAACGGACGTTCGACAACGTGGCAGCGTACTTTGCCTTGTGCCGCGAGGGCGAGCGCCTCGTATACTGCTTGACGGCCCCTAGCACCAATGTCAAGTGGACTCACGGCCGAAAATTTGGCATCCAGATATGCGCTTACCCTGTCTGTGATGCGATATACTTAATCCCCTAGTACAACGTGGTGAGTGCTATATTCACTGCATCTTCAGAACAAGAGCGCTCACCTGGTCAATGATCAGGGCCATCGGAAGACCAGAGACCTCCTGCGCGGCCCCGAGGCACATCACGGTGCCGTGAGCTCGGACGTAAAATCCAGCTTGGACGTATGCCGCTCCCTGCATAGCTATATGTGAGTCGACGTCTTCCATTGAGACGAGACGAAATTGATATCGAAGCTGAGTGTAACTCACAGCATGGGTCGTAATCAGAGCGGCATGTGCGCCCAGGGGATCAGTCGACGCCTTAATGTCTGCAATGAGGTCGGTGGAGTCCTTGAAGTCTAGAAACTTGTCCGCGCCGACGGAAATGCACAGGTCCCGCTTGTCCGCGCCGCTATCTGCGTCAAGACTGTCAACGTTGCGACGTCGCCACATGACTTCTGGAGCCATACCGATTGCAAGAACTCGGTATCCGAAAGCTTTGGCGTACTGGACACCCAAGTGGCCTAGCCCCCCACCTGCTCCGTGAACAACTACCCAACTTCCAGGTGGCGTATCCGTGAGTTGTTTCAAAATGTTATACACAGTCACTCCCTGACATCCGAAGTTAAGCGATCGTGATAGAGCATGACGTGCCGAACCTCCCTCACCGCACAGAGGATTGGGGCAGCTTCCACGCTTGGCAGTTCGTCTGGAATAGGTATGAGGTGGTCGAGATATGCCACCTGTCGCACTGGACTCAACGAACGCTGTAGCCCTCCAAGCGAAGCATCGTACCATATACTGGGCGAAGGTCCCGTCGACATGGTATCCTGATATCACTCTGTCTGCACAATCTGCGAAGCGCATCAGTCATAGGCGCAGTGCTCTCCGCAAGGTGCAGCTCACTCTGCTCAAACCCCCTTCGACACATCTCACACTGCAGGCAGCTTTCGATCACATATTTGGTCCCTACCCTATCTCCGAGCTTGACGACGCCGCCTTTCGAATGTGCACCGATCGCCACGACGCGGCCGACCCCTTCGTGGCCTCCCACGCTGGGCAGGCGAGGAAAGATACGCCACTCTCCGTTCATGAAGTGCAGATCTGTATGACATACGCTGATCACGAATCAGAGGATCATCAATCCAAAGCGTTCGAAAGGCACGGGCAAAGAAACGCACCCGGTACACTCCAGCTTCAGTATACACTCTCCGGGTGCCAAGTCGGACGGCTGCTTCAGTGGGTAGTCGGTCACATCCGCGACCATACTGAACTCCCGCGTAACGGCAGCTCGAGTTGTCGCGGGGATCGCCTCGATCGAAGTCATATCTGTGGCTCTGTCTGCGGTGGAGGTGGGAGACAAGAAGGAAACTGAGTCTTGCACCTGTGCCATGCCATGGTCATTCTGATCTATATTCAGAGCTCGCCGTTGTCCGTGACCAAGCTACTTATCAGCACATGGTTGGTCTCAAGGACAGATTCGCCTACAATATGTACCTACCTCGGGAACAGAGGAGTCTCTTCTCTTCTGATTGGTTTCTACTGCTCAGTTGTCCACGAAACCGTGACTACCGCCAAGGCCAGTCTTGGTGGAACGTTCTATTCGGAGCTGCGCAGTGGGAGATATGTTCTACGTTCGGCGCTTCATCTTGAGGCTGACTTGGAACGCCAGAATGCACGACAGGAACAGCGGTGCGATGTTGCACAGTATGTACTCTATCTTTGTTGGCCGGTCTTGTTATACATACAGATTACGGGAGGCTTCCACATAGCTACCCCAGGCAAATCTTGTCGCTGCTTGCGCCCAAGCTGAAGCGCTGACGCAGGCCGAATGAACATGAAAGCATGCGCAGGCGCATGAAGGAGCGTCTGCGATACTTGGTACATCGCCTGCAGTGTTATGTACGTACTGCCGGCAGACCCCATTGACACGTTCGCTCGAGAGAGCCCGCTTCGTCAGCTACTCATAGTTGCCTTTATTCTTCCCGTCCCCGCGCGCGGCTCGGCGCTCAACCTGCAGCTGCCAGCCATAGTGAGCGCGGCGACACCTGTGTGTTAGGTGAAATCAATTGCAAGCACATCAGCAAGCCCGGGATGTGGACGAGCGTCGAGCGAGGCCCAGCTCCATGGCGATTACTTGTAAAAATCGATCACTCATTGACGACGGACCAGCTATGGCGCACTGATCATCCATGGACGCATGCAGTACGCGAAACATCGTTTCACGTACATTATCTAGTACTATCGGCGAACATACCCTAGATGGACCCGTACGCCAGTCTCCCCTACTGCCTGTTCTCAGGCATCCTCGCCAATTGCCGTTTGCTGCGTATCCTCGAACGACGCTTCGTGTAGTACTCCCAGCCCATGCGCATAAGCTCACCGTCGGCATCGTACGGCGTAGGGATCTCCGAGTAGCCGGGGCGTGCCGTCGGGTGGCGCAGATAGACAGCGGAACATGTCGCGAACGATGGCTCGATGTACGCAGGGATGAAGATGAAGGGCGACGCGTACGGAGGGAGGTGGAAGGGTGTCAGATTCGCTTTGTTCTTGTTCACGGTCTTCCACTTGCTAGATTTCGCATCTGACTTTTGGTCTGCCGCTGGAACCTTGTCAGAAGACGCTTCGGTCGTAGCCTCAGGCCGTTCTGACGTTGAGTGCGAGCCTCCATCGTCAGATTCTGCGTCTGCGTACGCTTCGTCTGCGGCCTCGTCCTTTTCGCTGATGTCTGCGTCCTCTTTCGGGGCGCCCTTTGCTTGAAGGAACCTGACCGCCGCAGGGTCCACCGAGATCATGTCTCCTGGGGCTAGCCTAGTGTTCGGGTTCGTGTGCTGCGAACTTCATTAGGCCGACGTACAGATGAGCGTCGTGCGACGTACCTTCTTTCCGTTGAGCATCACATCACCGTGCACCACCATTCTCCGCGCTTCGTAGACACTCTGCGCGAAGCAGCTCCGGAATATGAGCACGTCTATCCGCCTCTCGACCTCTATGAACATCAAACTGCCGACCGGAGCCAGACTCTTTTGGTGCTCCTCCTCCAGTCGCTTCAAATCCCTCGCCGCCGTCTCCTCGCGTTGAGCCCACTTGTTCAGCGACGCCGCATCTGCGCTTGTCTTCGTCGATTGTCGCTGAACGTCCGAGAGAAGCTCTGGTAGATACCAGCGTTTGAATATGGTCTCCTTGATGTAGTCGCCATGGTACGCCCGGAGCAGTGTCTTGGCCGTCCAACGTTGTTGGGACAACGTCGTCTCCGCTCGGGTGAAATTTGCTTCGTCCGACTTCACACCAACAGACCGACGCCAGAGGCTGTAGAGGTTGCGTGGATGCCAGCTCTGCAGCCAAAAGTCAGCCGTCCGCATGTTGTAAGTGGACCTGTTCCTCACCATTCGGGGCAGAGCCCGTTTGAGATTGTAGATATTGGCATCCCGCATCGCCAGACGTGGTCCTCGTCTTGGACGGTGTCGACAAGTTACAACGAGTTTGCAGACTCGCAGAACAGCAGAGCGCTCAAAGTCGGGAATGGCATGGTCACGTGCACAGTGTTCAGCGCGTCGCGATTGCGCCGCACGCCGACCTCAGTCCTCCTCCTCCTCCTCCTCCTCCTCCTCTGATTCCACTTCCTTTGCCTACGACAATTGCCTACAATATGGAGCCATACACACCTCACGGCAGGTCGGGTGTACGCAAAAAGAACCTGACTCTGTCAACCAAGGAATATAACAAGGTACGATTGGTCTGGTTGTCTATCAGGACCCCCATTCGTTGGTGGGGAGGCCTGATTCTGCCGCCCGAGATTTTGGCATATCTCTCCGGACGTAGACGTCCAAATTCTTTAGGATTAAATCAGGCCTCAGGGAGGATTGTCCGCTGCTGTCCGGACTGTGCACTAGGCCTTGGTACGAGCGGATTGATGTCTGGTTTGCAGGATCAGGCCTCGTCATGCAGCGGACGTGTAGGCCAGCTTCAGGCTGTGCTGCGAGGCCACACGGACGGTTGAGGTGTCCGGACAGGATCGGGCCTCCGCCCTCATGAACGGCGATGTTGTCCGGATGACATGAGGCATACCGGCCGGTGGCTAAATGAATCCCTCCTCCTCCTCCTCCCCCTCAAATGGCTGTATTTTTTTCCGGATGGGGAATAGGCCTCTGCCCCAATTAATAGGGGTCCTGGTGCAACCCCTTAGGTGTTCCTGGAGATCATGAGCAGGTCACACTGCTCCGACATCAATCTGGCAGGACCTTTCTGTATGACACTCCGAAGATATTTCAGTTCGAGCCTGTATACCATTGTATATGTGCAGTGGTATGGCATACTGAATCTACTAGCACGTCTGGGAGGCCCGTCTGGGAGGCACATCTGGGTCTGACCGCGAGTGAGGCTTTCCCATGCATCATCTGGGTTCAGTTGAGCTATGACATAGACTTCAGAAACATGTCTTACTTGAGTCAGAGCACTCGGGATTGCTACGACCTCAGCAAGAATCTCCATTGTGCCACGGGTTTCCACCATTTCCAGGTGAAATGCCGCAGATCGCTGACAATCATTGAAGGTGACAGGAACGATCGCGTCCGTCAGAAGAACCCGCCAATATCTCGAGGATGGCGCTGTTGAACCATCGAACGACTTTGTGCCGTCACTGCGCGGGAGTCTTGGTCGGGGTAATTGCTCTGCATCTATCATGACGTCCCGAGACTAAGGTTGACTGCAGATACCGAACCGTCCTTCATTGCCGAGACATCGTTCGTCCGCGCACCACTAAATTCACGCGTCGTCTCCGGCTCTTCTGGTCCGCGCGATAGACACAAAGGAAAGGGCAGAGCCAAGGACAGTCTGGACGGCGTTCCTGTGGAAACCCAGGAGGCTCTCATTCTCGAAGATATCTTATTTGTGTTGATGGTACGTACTGAGTCTGCACTCAGATGATGCATTGAACGAGTGTATGGCACAGGGCATCGAGGGCACTCATATAGTCTATCATCCGGACTACTCGGCGGAGGATGATGACCCTTTACAAGGCGTGCGATATGTGGTGTCGCCTTCGCTCGGTATGTGTGTTGCTGTCTTGTGTTGAAGAACAGGATCTGACCACTCCAGGTAGATGCTTCTCTACGAGACCTCGTGGAGCGCATCTTGCCGCTGGCAACGTATTACACTGCCATCACCGCGTTTATTGAACAGAGAAGTCATCTGGACTTCGGTCTTGTGAATCACGCCTTGTGCGCTGCCATGCGCGATATGCTGAAGGACTACCAAGTGCTGCTATCCCAACTCGAGCACGCCTTCGCCACATCTCCTCAGTTCACGCTGCAAAAGCTCTGGTTCTACGTCCACCCTACCTTGCATACGCTATCTTTGCTTTATCTTTTGATAACCGAGCTTGCCACGGCCGACGACCCGTCGGCGACGTTGAGCGACTCCGAGTCTGCTAGCTCTGACGCTGAGGAAGATGCGCGCAACGAAGCTCTCGGACTGGGAGGTGCGAACCTGAAGGCGGTGCTCTCGGAGATCAACAAGGGCTCGAGGCTGGGCATGGACGGCGGCGCGAGTGGGATACCAGTGAAGGGTGGCGAGGTGCTCGCGATTCTGCACGAGCGAATGCAGAATATGTCCGGCGATCCCGCCGCCCGTGCGTTGTACGGGGTGCTGATGCGCGCGGCAGGCAAGCCATACGTCGAGATGGTGCAGTTGTGGATTCGGACCGGCCGGCTGGTCGATCCATACGAAGAGCTGTGCATCAAGGAAAGCAAATTCATCGATCGCGGGACACTCGATGTGGACTACACGGACGAATACTGGGAGCGACGATATACTGTTCGTGGCTGGTACTTGTTTGAAGGCACTGCGCTGACTCCGCCTTGGTCATAGCTGCGAGATGGAACGGTGCCCGGTGGTTCGTCCAAACGCCATCAGACTGGCGTACCTCCGCCCAGGACTGTGGGTGGTCACCTGCCTGGAGGTGCCTGCGTGCCGCCGATGCTTGAACGCTGGAAATCCAAGATGTTGCTTGCTGGGAAGTATCTGAATGTCATTCAAGAATGCGGAATCGAGATACGTCGTGCTGCAGCGGATGAAGGGGAAGAGGATCTGTCTCTTCAGGATGATAAGTACGTATATCTTCAAGGTTTGGGGAACAATCTAATTGCCATCGAGCAGATTTTTCAAGTCCATCGACGATGCTTACGCACACGCAAACAAGACTCTCCTTGAGCTTTTACTGCGGGATCAGCAACTCATACCACGCTTGCGGTCGTTGAAGCGTTTCTTCTTCCTCTCACAGTCCTCATTCCTCACCCACCTCCTTGATCTCTCGCACTCCGAACTCCGCAAGTCGGCCAAGTCGGCGTCTCTGGTGAAGCTGCAGAGCCTACTCGACCTTGCGCTGAATACGGACATCCAGGGCGAGGACGCTATGTTCCGAGAGGACCTGCGCGTCACGATGGCAAGCAGCGGCCTGTACGAGTGGCTGCTGAAGGTCGTGAGTGTGAGCGGTGTGCTGGGAGGCGAAGAGGGCGAAACCGCAGATGGACACGTGCACGAGGAGACCAAGAAGGAACGAGAGAAAGAAAAGGATGACAAGAAGCAGATTCTCGGTACGTGTAGATCCATTGCCCAAGACGGACTAATCTGAAACATCACGCTTTCGCTGTTCGCTCAGCCATCGACGCGTTGACACTTGACTACACCGTCAAATTTCCGCTTTCACTCGTGATATCGCGCAAGACAATTTTGCGCTATCAGTTGATCTTCCGCTTCCTCCTGCATCTTAAGCACGTCGAGCAATCCTTGTCGTCTATGTGGATTGAACACAAGACAACTCCTTGGCGAGCACCCACCCATCCTCCCGGTGCCGCTGCACCGTCGCCAGCCGATTGGCAGACTGACTTTCAGAACTGGCGCAAGCGTGTCTTCCTGCTGCGTGCGAGGATGCTCGCATTTGTGCAGCAGATCCTTGCGTTCGCCACGTTTGAAGTATTGGAACCAAATTGGCGCAAGCTTGAGGGCAAACTGGAAGCCGGAAAGGTCGAGACGGTCGATCAACTTCTGCGGGACCACGTGGACTTCCTCGATACGTGCCTGAAGGAGTGTATGCTCACTAGTTCGAAGCTGCTCAAGGTAGGGATAGTCCGTGCCTCATCCTGCATAACACCACTGACGTCGTACCATCAGGCATACTCGAAGTTGATAGTTACATGCTCGACCTTCGCCCTCTACACCTCTTCGTTCACGAAGTCAGCTAGTCAAGCTTTGGCTCTCGCGGCCGCCGATGCCGCGGACGGAGACAAGGCCATGGCGAAGAGGTGGGACTTTCTGAGTAAGTTTGAGACAAATTTCAATCACTGGTGAGTGTGCAGTCAATTACTCTTCTAAAACTTAACTGATGCATTTGGTCCTCGCAGGTTCAAGGTTCGTGGCCATAGTCACCAGGAAGTTGCTGCTCTGACCTGATAGTGCCTTCAACAGGTTCATCTTGACTGTGTTCAGTTCTACGCGTCTAGCGAGAACGTTTCACTGCTGCCTCTTGTTGTCCGCCTCAACACTATCAAGTCAACATCGTAGCACGTAGGTTAGATACAAGGACTCCGCTACTTTTGTCCACCTTCTGGAGGCTCGACTTCGACTCGACGACCGTCTTCAAATTGCAACGTAGCCGCATGCCACAACATGAGGCTGCATATGGGCACAGTATATGCCGGAGATGACCGGTCACTGCTTACGGTCGCGATAAGTCCAACGCTTGTTTGCCAAGCTCTCATTGGCTTGGTCTTGGAAGACCTATTGACCAAGATGCACTCAACGCTGGCTCTAGATCTGTCGCCCGACTCGAGACGTGGCGACGCGTGCAGGTTTGCCACCACATGCGTATCGACATCGGATATGTATGTTACGTCGATGCTTCAGGCTATTCGTACAGTTATTTTTCGATGTATATGGGTGGATCTTGAGCTTGAGGCCTTGAGGGCCACGCTGTGTGGGCCAGACGCAGACAAATTATTACCAGCAACTTCAAACTAGACAGTGGGCGGTTTGTGGGTGGGCTACGGCCGTCTCGGCTTCTATCTTCCTCCCCCTTCGACTTGCAATTGGACCATGAACCCGGTCTCCTGCCCATCCACTCTGGCGAGGTAGGGGATCCCGTATCGACAGTTCGTACAATGATATGTCCCACCCGCCATACTTGCGCCACAATCCTGCCAGAGTAACACAGAGTAACACTGAACAGTTTCCTTGCCCGCACCCACAACCTTACGTAATACAGGGTCAGGTGATGCGCGGACTTAGCCACGGCGATGTCGAGACTCAACAGCTGCGCAATATGTACGTCCTGCTATCTCGGACATGGCCCATAGGATTCCTATACTCCCGAACACGGATGGACAGGACACTGCCATTACCCGCGACTTTGACCAGTGGGCCAGCAAACGAAGACGGTATGTGCGATGCCATGGGGTCGCCTACTGACGGCGCAAGCTATATACATATATATACTTTAGGTTCATGCCTGCGCTCGTGGATGGCATGATCTTCGCGATGCTTGCCTTGCTCCCTAGGCACGACTCGGACCTCCTGGCGCCCTACCTGAGGCTCTACCTCCTCATTCTCACCTCTCTCCTACATCATGATATACCTGCGCACTTAACTTGGGACCGCAGTCACCATTCCCCCTTCGGATAAGATTGCAAGACGGGGATGTTCGCCGCGCTCCTGCGCTCTCTCAAGTGTGGCCTTTGCGGCGCAGGCGAGCCGGAATACGAGTCCCAGCAAGGCCCGTCTGTGACGCGTTCGAGGTTACCGCACAGTTATGAGTACGGATCAATAAGCTATCCCGCTCAATCTCTACATCGTCCTCTCCTTCCACCGAAGCCTCAGAAACAATACCAGGGCCCGTCTGTGACGCGTTCGAGGTCACCGCGGCCCTACGGTTATGCGTATGGATCAGAACACTCTCCCCCTAAACCTCAACATCCTCCTCTCCCTCAGCCGCAGCCTCAGGAACAGTACCGCGGCCCGTATCTGACGCGTTCGAGGTCACCACGGCCCTACAGTCAAGCGTACGGATCAGAAAACTCTCCCGTTCAACCTCAACAACCTCCTCTCCCTCCGAATCCCCAGGAACAGTGCCAGGAGGGCCCGTCTGCGACGCGGCCAAGGTCACCGCGGCCCTACAGTTATGAATACGGGTCAGGAAACTCTCCCGCTCAGCCTCAACAACCACCTCTCCCTCCGCCGCAGCCTCAGGAACAGTACCAAGACCCGTCTCTGACGCGTTCGAGGTCACCGCGGCCCTACAGTTGCATACCGCAGCACGAAGCAGTATACTCTCCCGCTCAACCCCAACGTCTTCCTCCGCCGAATCCTCAACCCTCTCCTCCTCCTTCCCCGAAGCCTGAATGTCCTCTTCCGTCTGCTCCCACTCGTAAGCCTGAACGTCCTCCTGCTCGGCCTCAGCCCGACCTCCAAGCATATCCAGGTCCTCACAAGGTACATCTCTGTCGTGGATCATCAACATCCACGCAGAACCTGGACCATGGGCCTGAGATCCGGAACAACTCCGACTATCAGGCCCTGCGCGCACGCGCGATCGAAGAGGGCTCGAAGATGGCGCAGTGCTTCGAGGCGAGCCACACGGCGTACGAGAGCGGCGAGCACGCGCGTGCCAAAGAGCTGTCCACACAAGGCAACGCGTACAAGGCGGAGATGAAGCGTCTGAATGAGCTCGCGAGCGAGTGGATCTTTGCTAGTATGTCTCTGCCCCTCTCCTTCTGCGTGACGCGCCTGGGTTCTGCTGACCTGATGCTGTGTCATTGCCCGTGCGCTCAGAGAAAAACAAGGTCTGTAGATGCTGCTCCTCGGCGCGCATCAATCGGGCTGACCGGCGTGCAGGGTCGCGCCCTGGGAGAGGTTGACCTCCATGGTTTGTACGTGAGGGAGGCCATCCCCTGCGCAGAGTGCGCTGTTGAAGATGCGCGCCGCCGAGGGGACACAAAGATCAATCTCATCGTCGGTATGTCAATTTTTCGAATTGAACTCTCGCGCCTGAATCGTCCACTGACGTCCGCTCACGACGCCGCTCGCCGCGGTGCAGGCATAGGCCGACATTCGCCGCAAGGCGTCGCTAAGCTCAAACCAGCCATCGAGGAGTGGCTGCAGAGGTGGGTCACACGCGCACCGTATCTCATGCACCGTGGTCAATCAACTCGTGGTAGGCAAGGGCTGGTGGTTGAGCTGGACCCGAAGAACTCGGGCGTCCTCATCGTCAACCTCGATGGCCTGCCGACTGGCGCGGGCCCTGTGCTCAGTGCCGACGAGATTTCTCGGTGCTTCGATAGCTAAAGACGAAGAGCGTACTGCCATGTTACTGCCTGCATGAGTGCGTCAGGCACACGATTGAGTACTGAGTGCTGTATGATGATGGAATCTTGTCCGGCTGTGCCAAGTATTATGTGTCCTAGTGTGATCGGTGACGGTGCCCCACCGCGTCTTCATGTATTCTCATACAATGCACTGCGTAATTGATGAGGTGACCTACATATTCGACGGGCCGATAGTTTCATACTGTTGAATTCTGATATACATAAGTAGTCTGACTCTGCAGACCGTCCTCGGAGACACGGTCACAAGAGCGTGATTATTAGCGCGCTCCCGCACGCGCTCCTTGCGAGGCTGCGCCACCTTACCAGCGACCACGACCTAACAGTTGTGCCCCCTCCATTCCGTACAAACTACGCCTTACACTTTCATAGGCTATCGACGTCTCGAACTGAAGTCCGGCGATGCGACCAGAATTGCTGTTCGGCCTAAGCGTCGCACTCAGTGCACACTGGCAGGCAGCTGCGCTGAAGTTCCCGTTCAACATCCCCTTCCTCTCGAACAACGACCAAGCTCCTCTCATCGACGTCAACACCCTTCTCCCAGAATCTACCCCACCGAATCGCATTGCCATTGTTGGAGCGGGGGCGGCTGGGTCCTCGGCGGCCTTCTGGATCGCAAAGGCGAAGGAGCGGTTCGGACTCGACGTTGAAGTCGATGTGTATGAGAAGAATGACTACATAGGTGGACGTGCGTATTGCTCTTCACTTGTCGTTTGCTATCATACGTAGTCTGACCCGGTTCTTGCTCAGGAAGCACGGTCGTGTACCCTTACAACAACACAGAATACGACCCCGTCGAGCTGGGCGCGTCAATATTCGTAGAGATTAACCGCAACATGTGGCGAGCTACGGAGGAGTTTGGCCTGGAACGGATTGGCTTTGGAGACGAGAACAACGTCATGGGGATCTGGGATGGCCAGGAGTTTGTGTTAACGGTGCGTACTATTCGTCATAGGCTGCGAGTGGATGCCGGTGTTCGGAAATGTGTCGCACGTATATTCGCCGGCATCGTAGGTTCAGCACTGCGCCCTCAATGGCGTCGGGGACTCCTAGCGAGCTGTCGTGGGCAGCCAAGCCTCTCTCACGACCAGTGACCTAGTTTCTGAGCAGGAACTGAGGCAATTAAATCATGGCAGTCGAGGGCCGTCCGTCATGCTACGGGCAATGAGGAGGAGGACATTTGTATCGTTGCGTGACTGTTCAGGATTATTTGCTCATTCTACGGAAGGGAGTCCTCCCGAAACCTGCTCACTAACTCATGTACACTACCTCTAGACTGGCGGCGGCAGCTTCCTGGGCAGCTGGATGGACACACTCAAGGTCATCTGGCGGTACGGAATCTCCGCTCCCCGGCGGACGCAAGCCGTCGTGAAGTCCATGGCCACACAGTTCCTCACGCTCTACGCGCCCACCACGCCGCGCTTCGCCAACATCACCACGCTCGCGTCGAGCCTCGGGTGGACGCCCGTCGTCGCGAGCACCGCCGCGGAGTACTTCGACACGCAGGGCATCAGCCGGCTCTTCACGCGCGAGCTCGTCGATGCCGCGACGCGCGTGAACTACGGGCAGGACGTCGACGCGCTGCACGCGCTCGAGGGCATGTGCTCGCTCGCGGCGGAGAACGCGGCGAGCGTCAAGGGCGGGAACTTCCAGGTGTTTGAACAGTTCCTCCAGCGGAGCAACGCGACCGTGCACCTGAAGACGGAGGTGACGAGCCTCATCCAGGACGCTGCGAGCGGCGCGTGGCTCGTCGGCACGGGCGGGACGACGCGCCCCCGGGCGTACCGCGGCGTCGTCCTCGCCGCCCCGTTCTACAGCACCGCGATCGAGGTGTCCCCGCCCGCGCTTCTCACGCCCGTGCCGGAACAGCCGTACGTCCATCTGCACGTCACGCTCCTCAGCACGACTGCGCGCACACCGAGCGCGGCGTACTTCGGGTTGGGCAGCGGGGTCGCGCCGACGGAGGTGCTGACGACGCACAACCGCGTGCGGGAAGGCCTCGGCGAGGAGCCGGAGTTCAACTCGATGACCTACCACGGGAAGCTCAGGAAGGCGGACGGCGCGCCGGCCGAGCGCGACGAGTGGGTCGTGAAGATCTTCTCGAAGGCGCGCGTGGAGGACGCGTGGCTGGAAAACATGTTCGGTGCGGGGAACGTAGGCTGGGTTCTGAGGAAAGAGGTGAGCACTCTCATTGGTCGCCGTGCGTCTGGCTGACCGTAACTTTTCTTGCAGTGGGATGCATATCCCGTGCTTCCCCCGACAGTTTCTTTCCCGCCCATTAAACTCGCCAAGGGACTGTACTACGTCAACGCCTTCGAGCCGTAAGCGCCTTGCCTTGCATCGCTACCTTGACCTGGACTCATACTCCCCTCGACAGCTTCATCTCTACCATGGAGACCGAGACGATCGCCTCGCGCAACGTCGTGGACCTCTTGTTGCATGACGAATGGAACGCGGGCATCTGCCCGGCAGCCGTCGAGGGCGACGAAGAGGCTACCGCCGAAAAAGCGAAAGACGACAAGTTCGTACTTGGGTGGGACTGTTAGGCGACGGGGCTATCCAAGGATTATCTGCTGTGTTCGTTCGCTATGCGATGCTATCTATCCGGATTGGGTTGTATACTATGACATGCTTATGTTCTATTGCGACCTTGACGCTTTGTTACGCACGACTGGGCGCGTGGGACTCTAAAAGGAAGCCACGATGCCCATACAACTCGCGTTGAGTACTTGAGTTAGTACAGTTATGAGTAGCGAGGACCTCGAGGAGGTTAACCTTCCAAGTCACCTGACTCCGGTCTCTCCACTGTGGCCAATCAGAATGAACTCGAAAAAAGGATGGGCATTCACAGCAGGAGCGACATACAACTAGAGACTCCTGCCCCTGGTACCGTATATGTACCGGCCCCGACTCTTCGCCCGCATCTTGCGTCATTCGACGGTATTCATTAACCCCCCACACCCTCCCAGTCATACAGTAATGAAACGAGTCCGAACCATTCACAGTAAGTGGCGAAAGGTCCACATCGGCCTCCACGCGCATGCCTGAGGCTAGGCAGTCAGCGGCACAGTGTCCTCGAGCGCGGTAGGGTTCTTCCAAGGGCTTGGGTATATGCCGAGACAGACCCTCATCGCCCGCAACGAAGGGCCACAGCGATTCTATCCTGACCTGTCGCGAGGATGAGGATGAGCAGCGCACGACGGGGCTATAAAGACTCACGATGTGCCGGGTCCAGGAATAGACATAGACCTGGGGAAACATCCTCGCCCGCTCGCTTCTTTCACCCGCCACCGCTACAGATCCCCATGTATGCCCAGCACGTCGAACGGCCGCGACGCGTTGATCTCGCCCCAGGGCACGAGGTAGCTCTTGAGGGCGGTGGGCACGCGGAGCTCGCTCCCGAGGAGGTAGTACAGCGCACGGCCGCACACGTAGCGGACGTGCTGCGGGAAGTAGAGGTACCCGGTTGTCGCGAACAGCCCGAGCAGCAGACAGCCCATGCACACTGCCAACGCACGGCGGGTCAGCGGGGGTCAGGGAAGCGAAGAGGGCACGCACCAACGACGACCTTCTCCCAGGGCTGCATCATGGAGAGCGCGAAGGTGGTCTCGATCCAGATGCGGCGGCGCCAGAGGAAGACGGCGAGCTTGCCGCGCGGCGCGCGGTAGGGCATCTGGAGGCGGAAGAGGACGTCCCAGGTGCTCGGCTCGCGCTGCCACTCGGCGTAGGACATGGCGGTGTGCGGTGTTGTCGGCGTCGGGGAGGACGGGGCGCGGCGGGGGCGGGAGGAGATGCGCAGCGAGGGTCGCTGGGAGTTGAGGCCCATGGTGAGGTAGCTGCTGGGCTCGACGTCGGGGCTGGTGGGCGCGTCGAACGCGTCGGCGGGCGCAAAGTCGAAGTCGGTGAAGGGCACGGGGGATTTGGCGTGCTTGCGTGCCATGTTGGGGTCGGGGAGGATGGAGGATGGAGGACAGAGGACAGGAGAGGGTCGGTGGGGGGTCGGTCGTCGCGGGGGCGGGATCAGTCGTATTTTGTATGTGGAGCGTTCCTCGCGGTAGTCGGTTCGCTTGGCAAGATCGCGATCGGCTGCCTCTGTTTATGCGGCCGCGGACAACGCACTGGCAGGCGACGAGGAGGACAGGGGCGGCGGCGCAGCAGGAGGAGGAGGAGGAGGAGGAGGGCGGGGCGAGTGCTCATATGTATACATTGTCGGATAGGAACGCGAAACCGGTAGCCTATGGGATGGGGGCGTCCCTGTGCAACGCACGCGCTGCGGAATCACCCAAAATTAATTGGGTTGTAGCAGGGGCGCAGGGGAATATCAGTATGTAGCGGAAAACGACACCAGAAGGTTGCCAGACTTTGCCAGAAGGGCATCTCTCAGTACGCCATGGGGATGCTCCTGTAGTACTGCCATTTTCCACACAGCGGTGAAGTCTTGCACTTCTCAGCGTTCTCCATCCTCAACATTAACGTTCTAACTCTGATAGCGCATGCACTGTGGGAGTTCTACTATATCGGGCCGGGATCTCGGCCACCTGCGGTACTCGGTCATTGCACCCTCACTCTACGACAGCTGCTCTTATGGACTGGAAATAAATACAAGCACATTTATATACATCTCTTCAATGCCTGTGCACGTTTTGAAGCCACCATGTTGAGACCCGGGTTCAGAAAAAATCAATCAATGAGATGATGTCCATTTTTGGTAAGCTGTGGCTGAGTCTCCCGGACCCCTTGTCTATAACTGCGCACCTCACTCGAATCTTATGCCTAGCACCCAAAACAGAGTCTCAAATGCATCTTTGAATATTTCTATAGGATTACAGACCATGAGGATGGGTCCCGGCGATGTACGGAGCTGATGTCGATAGCATGGCCGACATCCTAGTCGGTCCGGTTCACCCTACCCTCTTCACGGAAACAACGCACAGATATCTACTGAGTGAATCCAAATTTTTTCTGATATTTTTATCATGTTCCTGAGATGTTTTAACATCATCCTATACATTGATTGGGGTCAGTGCGGTGAACATACAGTGGAGAGGGCTCGTCGAGTGCTAAGGTGGCCGAGATCCCGGCCCGATATAGTATACGGTCATGAACCACCGCAGCGCTGAAGCTACAGAGGTCATGTCCTGTTGTCATCCGACGTACCGTGCGGGAGCGCGAGCATTCAGGCGATGCCTGAACACATTGAACAGGTCGCGAAACATTTCTGCCATCAGATTCATAGGGCTGAGCCTGGTCGGTCGTCGGAATTGACAACACTTCGGAGAAATTTTTGCGTTGACCGTCAGTGTGTACATCATGATTCACTACTTATGCTGATGATGCAATTCTCACACATTTACTTAACTATCTCGCCCGCTACCCATCAGATCGTCTCGGAGTTTGCACTGGTAGATGCTTGAGGATTAAGACTACCTTGCATGGTTCTACAGATCTTCTCCGGAAGGATGAGAGGGATACCGAGAGCAAACAAGAAGCGGTGCCGTAATGCAACTTTCCGACGGTCAGCCACGGTTCTAATCCCACAGGGGTCATGCCGAACGTTGCCGTCTGTGGCTGATGTGGTACGGTTCCTGAGTACAGAAACATTAATGTCATGAAACATGCAATCGAAGAGGCACTGCACTAACCACTCATCCTGCACAACATGCCAAAAACACGCGTACAGGAATTTGCCGGAGGGCCACAACAAGGCAGAACACTTCGGAAGATGCTAAGGGCGCGATCACACACCTCAGATCAGAAGATATTGAGAATGTGACAGAAAGATGGTCATACCAATACCATTGATACTAGTGGCTCACAGCGGAAGCCCGCAGGAGCGGAAGTCAGTGGAGGAGGCTTGGAAGTTGCACCAGTGCCAACTTTGCTTGGAGGGACGGACAGCGCAAGTTGAGTGGTTGCATCACTGTCGCGGGTTGCATTGCGGGGCCGCTGATGGTACGGCCGGGAATAGCGCTCCGAATAGCACTCAGTCGGCGGGGGATGTGTCGTGAGTGCGACCGGAACGCAGCTATCCAGGAACAATAAATTACCATACAGAATCCAGGTCATATACACACATCGCAAGTGCCCAGAAAACAAGAAGCTGTGCGCGTGCGATGCATGAGCGCGACGCCGAACGCACAGAAGCTCCGCACTCACCTATACCCATAACTTAACATACGGCGAGATCCCCGCAAGACCCTCTAGAAGCATCGCGTCCTCCCCGCACCCCGTCCCGCATCAGACCCGCGTCACAGCTCGCCCGTGAGGTTCCGCGCCGCCCACCCTGCGACGTGGCCGTCCGCGCTCGGGTCTGGCTCCTGCCCCAGGAGATAGTACGTCGCGCGCTGGGTGGCATACACGGCCGACTGGGGCGCGTACTTGTACAGGCCGGTCATGGCGAATATCGCGATCGAGTACAGGATGACGACTGCACGAACCGGGAGTCAGTCTCACCGCACCGGCACGAGACGCGCCAGCAGATCTGAAGACGGATGGGCGACTCACTCATCAGGATCTTCTCCCAGGTCTCGAGCAGGCAGAGGCCGATCGTGGTCTCGAAGAGCATGCGCTTGCGCCAGATGAACGCGCCGAAGGGGCTCGTCGGCGGGCGGTACGGGATCGTGATGCCGAAGATGGCGGCGAGCGTCGTCGGCTTGCGCTTCCACGTCTCGGGCGACATGGCCGGTGTCGATTTTGAGGAGTGCATGGTCAGTGAATTGGGGCTTGCGAGACGAACGGGGCTGTGCACAGGATACGGAGACTTTGTCGTGTCGATTCGTTACCAAGGGCAGATGGCAGGGTACGTCAAGAAGCAATAGCACAGCGAGAGTACGGTGGATGTGCTCCCACCGGGGACGAGGACGAGGATATTAATAAGGAGGATGAGAAAGACGCAAACGCGGACACCGCCCACGGTGCTCGGGTCGGCGATATCCGACGTACGCAGCCACGGTCACCGTCAGTCACCGTCCAGCCCAAGTCCAGCCACCTCGCGACGCACCGGCGCTGGGCGGATGTTCTGCTTGCCTGGGTTTGCAATTCCCACTACTTCAGGCTCGGTGTTGGACAAGGAACACTGCGTTTAGTGTCGCGAGAGTGGGTATACACTCCGAGTCGGGTCATGAATTTCTTCGCGAACAGCTAGTGGAGATGCGGCTGGGACTCCTTGCAGAAACCAGCTTTCCAGGAGTAGAAGCAGACCAGGATGTACAGCCATGTGCATGAGTTTGGAGAAGCAGCCGTTGGACGCTGTTGGACGTCGCGCGAGGGGTCAATGTCGTCGACCTCCGGAGTCCGGACCGTAAGAGGAGGTCGATAGTCACGTGCACCATGTCGGACTTAGGACTACCCTGGAGGCTGCCAGTTGCATGTAGCGGCCGCCCATCCTTCTACTCCTCCTTTTCCTCGTCCTAAGTACACAATCAATGTCCACTTTAGCCTTGTAAACATTGAAATTTCTCCGCGAATCCAACGTGCGCATTTTCATCGAAGCACAATATGCCCCGCGTTACACCGGCATTCGAAATAATTGTAGGGAGTCTAGTAAGGATTTCACTCGGTACGGAGAGGTACCACGACCCTATCGCGCATCTCAAGGAGAACGACTTTCGTTCTGTCAGGTAAGCTCAATATCGTCTGCCATGCGGAAGCAGCGCTGAGCCTCGCACTGTCAGCGTGCAGGCTCCACCGTTCTAGGTGCGCTTGTCAAGATAGGTACTAAGGTAGGATTATGGTTCGATGGCGTGGAGGAATCCTGAGCGCTGCTGAGCTTTCGTTTGTTCCCCCTGCTCTCTGCTTATCTCCATCCTCCCATAATCACGCTAACTGCACTCACTGGCATACGACTACGCCATGGACACACCCGACGTACGCACTGGCATCCTTCACTGCTGCAGAGGAAATACTGACCGCTGATGCTTCCTACGTGGACTACATAGGAACCCTCGGCACATGGCTCCGCTTCGCCAGTCAAGAGTAACGGGAAACATATAGTAGCCTCCGGCCCCAACGCGACGACCCCAACTGCTGTAGGTTTACCGAATGTCGGAGTTCAGGGTGAAAGCTCGCCGGTGAGTACATACAACAACCAGATGTCGCTTCTGCTCATCTATATGCACAGTCGTCGAACACGGCGGGTACGAATGGTGCAGGAACATCGCCCTCGCCGGGTGAAGCTATGCCCAACTCTTTGGCCGGGGCAAGCGCAAGCGTGGTTCGTCGCGGTATCATACTTGAGTTGTTGCAATCTGACCGGCGTGAGAAGGAGTCGGATGGGAAGCCTATCGAAACGGAAGTTTCGATGGCGACTGACAAGCTAGAGACGAAGACGAAAGCACAGCAGGAGATGGAAGATCTTCTCTCCAACCTCCTCGAGAAGTTCACGGCGCCGCGGGAGCCTCGACTGGACGAAGATGCGTGGGCGAAACTGGCGGATGAAGTCTGGACGTATGAGAATGACCGCGTGAAGCGATGGCGCAGCGAGACCAGCACTCTCCTCATCTTCGTAAGTCCCGTTTCGCAATGTCGGCGACCACGAGAGGCGACTAGAGCTAACGCAAGCGCAGGCGGGTTTGTTATCCGCGGTCATCGCAGCATTCGTCAGCCAGTACTACGCCGTCCTCGCGCCACGACCCAACTTCAATACGGCCATCCTCGAGCGCATCTCTGCGCAGCTGGACAGTATGACCACTGATTCCTTCGTCGCGATCGCGGATTCCTCGGGTTCGGCGCTCACTGCCGGCTCACTCGCCGACTCTTCATTGACAGGCTTACCCTCACCACCCGCCGCACCTCGCTGGATCGCTACTCTGTGGTTCATGTCCCTAGTCATCAGCCTCGGCGTGGCGTCCGTCGCCCTCGCTGTCAACCAGTGGTTGAACTTCCGCGCAGAACCAGCCGAGTTCCGAAGCACAGCCGAGAAACTCTGGACGTGGCACCTCCGTCGGGACGCGCTCAACAAGCGGAAGGTCGAACTCATCGTGAGCCTCCTTCCCTGTTTGCTGCAGGTCGCCCTTGTCTTCTTCCTGATAGGCATCGCGGGCTACTTGATGGTCTGCGGAGCCGACATCGCTGCCTGGTCCCCGTCGGCCTCTTGTTTCTCTTCCTTCTTCCCTCCTCCCTGAGCCGCTCAGCTAAGAGCACAAGGTAGAATCAGCAGGGTTGACATACGACGTGATGTACGGGGATGACTGGTATGGAGTGCATGGCCTACGTCGGTGGCACGTTCGCCAGTGTAACCAGAAAACATGCTGCATCTCACAAAGCTTTGTGTGCGGTCCTTTCAGTAGAGTCTACGCGTTCCTGACCAAAGAGAGATGTCATTCGCCGCCCATTCGCTGACGTTCGTCATCTGTCATTCTTGATCGTGTTCACAAGGCCGATTTTTCCGTCGGCGGTCACTACAAAATACCATATCGCATCCTGTCTGGGTATGCTGGCTGACGTGGACATCCAGGGAGCAAGCCGTTCGCATGGCGGACAGTCTGTCCTGCCACTGTAGGCTACAGCCTACGAGTTGAGGTGTGGATGATCATGAAGGTGCGTGTAGTATCCTCATGCTGTCGGATGGTCAACGATACTGATCAAGATGGACGATACATAGGTCTCCCCGTGTTGCTGCGTGTGCCACAGTAGGCTCGTGACCAGCCGTTCTTTCGAACTCCGCAAGCTCGTTCGCAGAACGGCTGGTACAATTGGGCGCCCTTTTGGGGGGGTCCCGTATATGGTAAGTTGTGACTTGGGACTTAGAGAAATCGCGTGCATCTCACCCTGGGACACAGTGGGTGCACTGCCTAGCATCGGGTAGCTCGACTCTCGACGTAAAACAGCACTATATTGAATGTCTCTGAGCTTGCTTTGTTACATCCTACATATGCCTGACCAATGGAACACCCCGGTACAACACGCGAGGAGCCATACCATCTACGGCAGCCGCCATAAGTTGGGTGTCCGCGAGGGACTCGAACGATCCCCAGAAGGACTTGTACGACGCTCCGCCTGACACGCTAGCGAACTGACCTTGAGCAGACTCGGAGCGTATGTTCGCGCTTGATGCCGAGCCGATGGAATGGAGCTCGGCGGTCCGGGTGCATTGCGTGTCGTCGCGAGCACGTTTCGCTGGTCGCGCAGCGGCTGGGCCCGCCTGTGAGTGTTCCTCGTCTGATACAGCTGGCCGTTTGCCACCGGTGGATCGATGAGAGTCGCGGGAACCACTGGCATGTGGAACGTCGACTCGGATGTCGGACTCAGGTGGCAGTGTGCCTTGGTGGGAGAGACGGAGACCGGTGACAGTAGGGACGTGGGTGCTTCGACTGGAACAGTGTTGGACGTTTGCGAGGTGAGTGCTTGGGCCTGAGCCATGGGCGATGTTTGCGGAGGAGGTGCCTCGAGCTGGGCCGTGGGCGACGGTTGGGCCACGACGCTTGCCGGCTATCATGGTATGCAACGGAGACAAGCAGGCCACGTACTATGCGCTTGGTCTTCGCTGCTCGCGCGGTGACCCCGGGGCGCGTTTGATTGAGTATTTTGAGGTGGCATGTGTCACAGCATGCTCCCGTGGTGGCTGTGTATGCGTGAGCTGAGACTCGGAATCACCGAAGCGAGAAGGCGGTACTCACCTGTGAATGGGCTCTCAAATACAAGACACCTCGGCAGCAACTGGTACTCTGCACAAAGGTCAGGATCCTCTCCTCGAAACACACACCGTCAAACCTCACATGCGAGATCTGGGAGTTTCGACGGTCGCTTGCCGAGGACCGCATCTACGGGACTCGGCTGGGACGTACTATTATTGACAGCGACAAAGACTCGGATGTTGTCCCAAACATTGTCGCGGCCGGTTTCTTGCAGCTTGCGGGCTCGCTGAGCAAGCACAACAACTTGAAGATGATGATTCGGCCCAGGAAGTGCTGCAGGAGAACCGTGACATCACCTCTTGTCAGCGTCGCTATGTACTCTGGGCCCAGCACGCGATCAGGTCACCGCACCGCCCGACACTGCACAAGACCGCCGGAGCGAACGGACGGGATCCACATCGGAGCCATCAAACGCTGACGCAGTCAATACAACGGCAGGTCACGCAACGGAAGAAATGGCTCCTTCGCAGGGGCTATCCGATGACGACTACTAGTCGGATAGAAAAGAGACGGCGGGAGACTGGAGTCGGGAGAATTGGCTCAATGAGCATGAGCAGTTGTAAGAGGGATCAGGATGATGTGAATACATACCTTGGTTGAGGCTGCTTACGGCCACTGAGACTCGCAACTGCAACACATTGACCACCGCCCTCTATAGTGGCGAGCGCAATGCGCGCGATTTCTCTAAGTGTCGTTTCTCACGGGGTACCAAATGCGGCAGCGCGTTAGGGACCCCCCAAAACGCCTTCCAATTGTCCCAGTCGTTAGAGAGGTGCTCGCCCATTCAAACTCCGCCAAAGCGAGCACGTGCTCTCTAACGTGACTGGTTTACGAGTCTAGGTTTGTCCTCGTACTACTGAGCCACCTCGGGACTATCCCTCATGCTACGCCAACGGTTGCCTCCCTTGAACGTCCATGTTCACGAACTCATATAGGGTGTATCAGTATCGCGTGGTACTGACTGGCGAAACCTCCGCCATGCACTTACTCAAGAACGAGTAGGCAGGCGATGCAGTGGTCGGAACGGCGGTAGCTTGGGGACAGAGGTCGTGTTTTCTGACTCTTAGCTATGTGCTAGCAAACGGATCATGATTGAGGTTCTGTACGTGGCGTCACAACGAGAAAGACAGAATGCACCAGCTCGTGTTCGAGGCCGTATGCGCCTCTTGCCTAATATTTCGTTTGTGAGCCATCGCGGCGTATCCGTCCTTGTTGAGGTTCTCGTGCGTTATGCGCGGCCGTATCTAAGGACTCATACATCTAGACGCACCTCAATATCGGCGTTCTTTGGCGGTTTTCAGTGCTACGTCCCTACGGGAGAATATGGGCGCATATAGGCTATTCTTGTCACGCATCTGTCGTCGTACCCGGTATGCCTGGTGGAAGCGCCAGTCACGGTGAGACGTGTCCGTCAGCCCTGAAGTGAATGCGCACCGAGGTCAACGCAGTCGCATGAGTGGCTCGAATCGAGGTGTGTCGTCCGCGCGTTTGTAGTCCTCGATGAACGTCTGATAGCGTGAACAGTACTAGTCAGTATAAAGTTGCTTATTGCAGCCGTTGTCTGGCCTGCAGCTGGACGAGCAGCCGCAGACATCGAGTGTGAATTGAGTGTGAACGACGACGACGACGACGACGAGGCGGAGGAGGCGGAGGAGGGATCGGGGTCCACTAGTACTTACCGGTTACCGCAGTCGGTCGACTTGACTGAACGGATTTCCTCCTCCTCCTCCTCCTCCTCCTTCTGGCGGCAAGTCCGAGTCGGTCGATAGCCACGTGCACCGTCTCGATGACGCGGGTAAGGCCAGCGTCCTGCCCGCGCTGGGCGGATATATATTCTCGGGTCTCTCTGTGAACCGTGCTTACCTGGGTCTGCGTTTCCCATTACTTCAGAGGCACATTGCGTATAGTATCGAGAGTGGGTGCCATACCTCGGGGAACCTGAGTCACAGTGACACTCCGAGTTCGGGGCACGAACTTCCTCGCGAACAGCTGGAGATGCGGTCGGGACACCTTGAAGAAACGAGCTTTCGAGGAGTAGAAGCAGACCAGTATGTGGAACCATGTCTATGAGCTTGGACAAGCAGCCGTTGGGTGCTGTGGCACAGTGTGGGACGTCGCGCGAGGATTACGGTCAATGTCGACCTCGGTCTAAGGTCTTCGCGTCGGTCGGTCGTCACGTGCACCATATCGGACTACTGTCCACTGCTGGTCCACGCCGCACTGGCACAGTCCAGTGGGACCACTGACAGTGTCCTGCTCTGCGCAGTGTCCCTGGCAGTACGCACTCTCAGCAGTCTACTTGCTTGCGGTAATATTGGCTTCTGAGTCCTCAAGCACGATCATACTACTGTCGCCCAATGTCACCATACATGACATCAAGAGGACAAGGAGGCGGCCGGACGCTGCTAGCCTGAGCAAGCACGAAAAACTTCGCGTCGAGTAAGGGCAACTCGCTCTCCAGTTCATTCAATCCACCCGCTCAGCTGCGTCGACTCAGAATTGCCCCAATCTCCTCACTATCGAATCGAAAGACGCGTCTAATGGCCGCCTCAGTTGTCCTATGTATGCTGTCTCGCTTCGATACGAGACATCGGGTGCCATGCGTACGCTGTCTCCGTGACGAGGGCCTGACATCTAGAGGTGGCCAAAGTGATAAGCATACAACACCGGGTCTGAGGTGCGCATACATTCGTGAATCTTCTGAGCCGATCAACTGAGCACGCAGGGTAAAAAGAATCAACAGGGGGTCGACATACGACGTGATGACCGGTAGTAGTAGTTGGTACGGCGTGCATACGTCCTCTATTATGGTCCCCGTCGGCGGTACGTTTTATGTCTGACAAGCTTGAAGAACCTCACGCATCTTCTCACACATATCCCTCGACACTACGTACTCCGTATTGTCGTCGGAAGAGAGATGACGCTCACCGGTCACTTGCCTTCGTCCGTCACCTGCGTCATTCTCGGGAATGTTCACAAGGCGAGCATCTATGTCGGGGGATGGACTAGATGATCTAGCGCGTCCTGTCTGAGCATGCCGACACTTGCGACAGCCCGCTTGCATGTCGTGACAGAGAGTCTCTCCTGGAGGCTACGCGCAGAGGAGGTGCGGACGATCACGAAGGCGCGTGTAAATCTTCATGCTGTCGGATGGTGGAGAAGACTGAGCCGATACATAGATGTCCGATAATGATGCGCATCCGCAATAGTTCTGCCTTCGCTCTCGATGGGCAACGTCTGGCTGTCGGCCTGACGAGGATCACAGACCAGGTTCGATGTACAATGTCCCTCCGTCCATCCTTCGACACGTGAAGATATCGCAGCGCTATTACACAATCTAGGGACGGTACCTTCCCTCCAATCATGTAATGTTCCGCGGTCCAGATACACGCCAGTTCGGCGCTCGGCACCGTCATTCCACTGCGCGCCGCGAAGTCAATGTGTGTCCTAGCGAAGTTGTCGACGTGCGCCCGGATCCAGTATGCTTCCACTCCGTACGACAGCTTCTCATCGTGCGTGCGGTCGAGCGTCGTTCGCACCCTGAGATACGGGAGATAGTGCGAGCTCGAGTAAGCCATAGAACGCTGTCTTTTGTTCTGTGTCGCCATCCTGCTCTCCGTTCATCTCCATCCCCCTATCCTCACGCTATCTGGATTCACTGGCATACGACTCCGCCATGGACATACCCGACGTACGCACTGGCATCCTTCACTGCTGCAGAGGGAATGCTGACTGCTGATGCTTCCTACCTGGACTACATAGGAACCCTCGGGACATGGCTCCGCTTCGCAAGACAACAGTCCAGGAAAAGAGATAGTGGCCTCTGACCACAACGCGACGACCCCAACTGCCTCAGGTTCACCGAGTGCTGAATCCCAGGGTAACAGCTCGCCGGCGAGTACATAGGACAGCTAAGTGATGCCGCATCTGCTCACCTATATGCACAGTTGTCGAGTGCGGCCGATAGGAACGCTGCAGGAATATCACCCTCGCCGAGTGACGGTATCATCAGATCTTTGGCCTGGGCCAGCGCAAGCGTGGTTCGTTATGGTCTCATACCTGACTCAATTGCAATCTGACCGATATGGTAAGAAGTTGGACGGGAAGCCTATCCTAACGGAAGATTCGACGGTGACTGACAAGCCGGAGACGAAGACGAAATCGCAGCAGGAGATGGAAGATGCCGTCTTTAACGTCCTCGAGAAATTCATGGCGCCGCGGGAGCCACGACAGGACAAAGACGCATGGTCGAAACTGGCGGATGAGGTCTGGACCTATGAGAATGTCCGCGTGAAGCGATGGCGCAACGAGATCAACACACTCCTCGTCTTCGTACGTCTCGTTTCGCACTGTCGATGAACACGAGAGGTGCATAGCTAACGCAACTGCAGGCGGGTCTGTTCTCCGCCGTCCTGACAGCATTCGTGAACCAGTACTACGCCGTTCTCGCGCCACCACCCGACTACAATACGGCGATTCTCGAACGCATGCTATCCTTGCAGCTCGGCAGCACGACTACTGATTCTGTCGTCGCGGTCACGGCTGCCTCGGGTTCGGCGGCACTCGCGGACTCTTCGTTGACAGGCATACCGTCACCACCCGCTGCACCTCGCTGGATCGCTATCCTGTGGTTCGTGTCCCTCGTTCTCAGCCTCGGTGCGGCGTCCGTCGCCCTCGCTGTTAATCAGTGGCTGAATTTCCACGCCGAACAAGCCGGGTTGCGAAGCCCAGCCGAGAAACTCTGGACGTGGCAGCTCCGTCGGGATGCGCTCAACAAGTGGAAGGTCGAGTTCATTGTCAGCCTCCTACCGTGCCTGCTGCAGGTTGCCCTCGTCCTCTTCCTCATCGGGATTGTAGGCTACCTACGGGTGCTCGGAACCGACATCGCCGTGCCTAGTGCGGTGTTCATCGCTACCCTCCTTTTCTTCCTCGCGGCTACCTCCCTACTGCCGGCACTTGTCACGTACAGTCCATACAAATCACCCCAAGCATGGTGGATATGCCAAGCCACCAGGCGTCTGTTCTGGCTGTCCTGTGGGCTTGTCTTCTACCTCATGACAATCCGGCAACAAGTCTTCTTTCACTTCAAGTACGGTTATCCACTTGGTTTCTCCAAGTGGCGGCAGGATCTCGAGCGCCGTGTAAAAGGGCACCTCCAAGGCGTTGTAAACGGAGCCCGTCGACTCAGGCGGCAGTATTTTGCATTTCGTCGGCGGTATCGGCGCTTCCGAATGAACCCCAATAACTGGAACATCCGTCAAACACGTTTTCAGAGGTTGCTGGAGGTGTCCGACTGGCTGGGGCAGGAACAGCTCTGCCTGCTTGGGCCAACTGCGGATCAGTCGGAAGGGCGTCTGTTTGCCGACATTTATTCTATTGCACTCGACACAGACGTCCTCCGCGCAATGGAGGTATGTTTACTCCGGATGCCTGCACAGCTGGCGATCCACAGTGTGGTCCAAGTCGGCGAAGCAAGGTGCAAAGCCTTTTCAAGCAGAGAGCACTTAAAATTACGAGGCTACACATTATCAGACGACTCCTCGCAATACGACAGTCTGGACGAGTCTCTGACCACCCTGATAGGCCGCATGATGCTAGACACATCCTTCCGAGCGGATGGCGGTCGTTACCATTTTTTCGGCCTACCATCAAACCATCGAGTGTTGGCAGGCATTATCCGCGCTATGCCTTTCGCAGATGGAATGGAAATGTGTAGGTCTCTTTATCAGGACTTGGACGCCGAGCGGTACACTGCTCAGGGCAGTGTGAAATTTCGAAGAGCTATTCTGGATATCATACAAAGGGTCTACCTGAATGTCGACTCCTTTACGGAGTTTCCTGATCTTCATGACCCAGAAGACCACCGGCGGGGCATAACCCAGCAACTGACCCCTCAATATGATTTGGAGGACCAGGACACTGGCATATCCATATCCCAGAAAGCGAGAAAGTATGCCCATTGTGCACGGTATGGCGCATTATTATATATGTGCAATCTCCAAGGTGAGCCGGCCATACTACCTTTGTTATTAGTGTCAATCTCAGCAGGTCACAGATTGGGAACGCGTCAAACATACATTTGACATCATATATGCAGGTGGTGACACCGCATCCATCATCCAGATTGTCACGGTCATTCTATGCGTATGCCGGTACTCGAAAAGGAATGATTGGGCCACACCAGCAATACAGTCGACGGAAACGGAGCTTGACGATATGCTCGGACGATTTGAACGGCACTTGGCCTCCCTCAGTCGCACGGAGATGGGCAGAGCTGTGGGACAGCTTTCTCCCGAAGCTATATACAGACTTGACTGGACATTCCAGAATACATGCTCTAGCTCTGAACGGGGGGTTTGGACGATTGGTTGGATAAATCGGCGGAGCTTCCAAGACAAGATGAACTCCGTTTTGCGACGACTACAATGGCTGCTCAAATGCAATACGTGGGTGCCACAAAGGACCGTCCCAGGCTTCTTCATTTCGTTGGATCAGTACGTTGGGGACCAAGTCGGATGGATTCCGTGCAACGAGGACGATCCACCGGATGCCTCCCAGCAGGCGGCTGCTACTTCGGGGCCTCCACGCGGCGAGGATGCCCAGCAGCGCATATCTGGGCCAGGGACGCATGCGCCGGAAAGACGATTCATCCCGCGAGTAGTGTAAGCAGTCACCACCCCTTGCACCGCACTCCACAATAGCTGATCGCACGCCTTACAGCCGTAGAGCATGGCAGGGACTGAAGTGCTCTGCAGGGCGCGAACGAGCTACGAGTGACGTCGAGTCGGGAAGCAATGAGATGTCAACGATCTCACTGCCTACTAATGTGTCCAACCCAAACGACGACACCGCTGGTGCGGGAGACCCTTCCGCTTCTAGTACAACAGTTTCCGAGGCGTTTTCTCTGCCCCCACTAGTAACTGAGCAGCGTCCGCCGATCAACAGCGACTCTCGACCTGACGTGCACGACTCTGGGATCACCTGCGGATCAGTGGAGGCAGGCGCGGATGCGGGAAGAGACGGTTGCAACGGAGGGACGAGCAGGAATGGACCGCCGGGGCCAGACACGGACCAGGACGGAGATTGTCATGACGCGGAGACGAGTGCAGTCGGACCAACAGAGGCACAGGCAGGTCACGGCGATGATCGTAACGAAGACGCGAACGCGAACACACCCGTACGGGCAGAGGCATGCAGGAGCCAGGACGGAGGCAACCTTGATGAAGACGGAGACGAGAATCGAAGTCCTGAAGGAGGCACGGACTGCGGACGACGTACGGGCACCTCAGCCTCAACCGCTTTCCGACGCAGCTGACACGACCAGGGCAGTGGACGATTTGACGGTCGGGGGACCGCAATGCTGATGTGTAAGTGACGTCTTGTCCAACTGGGAACCTCAGTCAGTGCTAATATACGACACAGGATGGCGAGCACAGGCCTCCGATGAACGCACCCATTCGAATACACGATACTTCTTGATCTCGCTCGGCCAGTGTTCCGAATGTCTTCATTTCTTGTTCTCGCACTTGCTCGCGCTGTTCGTAATGTTGTCGCCTATCTATGGTCTCTAGAATCGTTGTTGCGCTGGATTCGCTATGGTGTTGTACTGTACGCGTGCGCGGGCTGACGGAATGTAGCCGCGTACGACATGATGTTGCTCTTCGACCGATAGCTCTTGGTACTTACCTGTCTGGTGTTGCTCTGGTATACATGGTTTCCGCTTGTGGTACGCATGTTTGATTCTCCGTCGGACGAAGTAGCAGAACGACGCGATGGTATCCGACATTTGGAAGGAGTACATCGCTGTGAGCGGTGAAGGATGTTCATTGAAGAGCCGAGTCGGAGTAAGATACGAATGAGAAGCGTCGTCGAGGAGACGCGTGCGCTAGCCCTTGTTCATCCGACTTGCACTTCGACCTCTAGGATCCCATCCCGGCTGTGATCGTACGTCGCGCAAGCAGCCATATACAGAGGTCTGTCACTAAACGTCAATCCACGACTCGACAATGCAAATGATACAATACCTACTCACCTTCAGGGTGGGCCTCGCTGTCCTCCTGTTACTCTCACGTCTTCGGACTGTCCCTGACACTACGCCAACGACTGCCTCTCCTGAAGGTCCATGTTCGCGTACTCAGATAGGATGAGTTTGTCGCGTGGTATTGGACTTTGTCTGAATCAGGAGGCAGGCGATGGTCGGAACGGCGGGGGTAGGTGAGCGGTGTTCCACACAATATCTACTCACATGCACGCGCTGGAAAAGGGACCATATCATCAGGAGTTCTGTACACTGCGTCGGAATATTAGCATCTCAGTAAGTTAGGCGCACCTCTACATGTCCGGACCGTCTCCTGCGCGAGGACATGGGCGCATATATGGCATCCGTGTCATACATGATTGTCGTCGGATACGTACCAAGTAAGTGGACGCAAGCAGTAGTGAGACATTTCCTTCAAGCGTGAAGTGAATGCGGGCCTCAGCCTAAATCAGTCAATGATGCGTGGCTGGTTCAGACTGAGAATGGTTCAGGCTCGTCGCGTTCTGTCCGACGTCGCGACGCGCCGAAGAAGCGCTCGCCTCCCTCCGCCTACTTACTACCGTCCTGTCCCTGACCTGACTGCAGTGTTTCCATCGGCATACATACCTATGTACGTCCAGTACGGCAGCTAACTCCCGTTGCCCTTCAGTACATCTTGCTGCTGCACTTCTCATCAAAATCCTTGACGATACTCTTCCTCACTGCCGCTCACCTCCATGCCGTCGACCACCTTACTATGCATGAAGTCTTGTGATGCGACGAACCGTGTCCTCTCGCTGCTGTTGACTGGACTGGCGGAGGCCTAGCGATACAGGACCTAGGAGGTGTCTTCTGTCACAGAGGTGCGTTCGAGAACTGCCTTCTTCACCGGCTCCCACCCGTCCTCCACCCGCTGGCCTTCAAGCTTCAAGCTTCAAACGTTCATTCACCGGCCTTCATCCGCGTACCAATTATTGCTCCTCGCTCGCTTTATTCGTCAGTATGCTTGCGGTCCTTGAAACAGCTGGTGTCTCTCTAGTTCATCTCCTGCACGTTTGGTCTTTCGGAACTAGTATGAACCGACTCTTCATCCCTTCCGCGCGTTTTTCTTGCATAATTGCTGGCTCACCGGCCTCTATTCCATTCTCCCATCTTCATGTTTGGTGGTTTCATCGGCGCGCTCTGATTGATTTCACCAGGATTAACATCCTCCCTCCAGGTCCTCAGCTTAGATCTGCCTAATTAGCGACGAGTCTACGCTCCGTACACTCTCAGTCGGTGGCGCGCACAGGCAATTAAGTACCAGCATCTATTACTAGATGTGTATGTCTCCGAGTCCCTGCATTTGTACATGAATGTACGACCACGTTTGACGCCATCCTCTCCAGCAGCCGTCAATCATCGCCCGTGAACTGCACGCATTCGTCCGCTCCCTCCGCTCAACAAACACTCCATCCGTCAGTCGCCTCGTCCTGAACAGATGCAATGCTACGAACGATTTCGAACGATCTCACTTGTGAACTGGAGACGGCCTTGCCCTGCCGTTCGTCGTGGACTGGGCCCGTCGGGAGAGGTGGCTAGGCGGGCGGTGTCGGTATCAACAGACTCCGAGCGAGTCGAGATGTGATGCTCGATACGTCAAGTGCATCGTCCGCAAGGTTTAACGGATATAAGATATTTGTACCGCAACGTGCGGAATTGACGGCCCCCGACTACAGGCCGGCTGCGACTGCTCATACAGGCTGTGGCCACCGTCGACCTCTTTTGTCGCTGCACTCGTGTTTCATCCTACCGAATGTAGCTGGGACAAAGAGATGGGCGCATTACAAGCAAAGCGCGACCATGCTCCACGCAGGGCACGGACAAGACGTGTAGAGGTCGTGCTTTCGATCAATGAAATACACTACTGCGCAGTGAGGCTACGGTACGCTCAGATGTATGACTATGTAAATATAACTGTCAACTCGGATAGCGCAAGTTGAGGCACCAGCAGGCGGTGCGCTATGGGCGACATTCAGGTAAGAGACGTTTGAGGCTTGCATGATGGGTCGTCTCACAGCGCGGAGAACTTGAAAGAGCGACAGCGTCACGTTAAGTTAAGGAACGCGCATCGTGCATATGGAGAGGAAGCGGTGAGTTCTCAATATCTCAATATGTGTGATTGCCTAACAAAGGACCAGAGCAACGTTGTACGCCAAATGAACGCAAATACCACTGGCTGCTCGTGAACGACCCGCTGCCCTTCGGCACACGAGTCATCTGTATGAGCAAGGTGCCATTGGGATGATCTATGTGAGCTGCGCGTTGACTGATCGGAACAACTGTGTGGATCCAGGGACAGTACCCCAGGTGAGTGCCCGCACTCGTGGTTCACACCTCTCTGCCTTAACACGAACATCGAGTGTTTCATTGGCGGTGACTGCATTTGACAACTTCTTGCACTTACTTGACATTATACAGTAATTCTCGACAACTGCGGGTGGTCGACGAAGCACCGCATGTTGCAACTAACCCAGCCTGTAGCAGCTCGATGTCCACTCCTCAGAGGAGGAGTGCCGTTGCAGCTCGGCGCGGACTTCGTGTGTACCCAAGCTCCGTCTCAGGTACCTCTTCTTCTACATCGAAAAGAGCCTGATGATTGCCAACTATAATCAGTCGACGCATAGCGGTGTTGAACCACACGGACGCCGCGGTCTGTAGACGGTCTGTGAGCCCTCTCTCCCGTCGCTCATCACTTCATTTTGGAAGCTTTCGTATAGATCGCCCAGCGGTCAACAAGACTGCATGACCGTATGAACGTTGACAGCACTGTCGACATGTACGGGTGGACACAGGAGTGTGGCTTCTACATGCTAGGATACACGCCTAGCGGTGGGTCATCGTTCGCATTCACAAAGTGCACGCTTTGTGTACATTATTGACAGATGTTCCCTGCAGTTTCGAACTCGAAGGCCCAGATCATCCAAGCCACCAGGAGTACACAACCCGGACGTCAAAGTACTGCAGTGAATGCTCTGAAATGGGAAGTTGAAGCAGGACCGACACTGGCAGGTGCTGCATGTCAGTACGCGTTGCAGACAGGCGTCAACTATTCGTGTCCTGAGTGCCTGTATGGTCCCGGTCGCGTGTAAGTGAAAAACGTGCATCGTCTTGAGATACTTAAGTCTCTGTGAACGACTCGACCCAGCCCAGCTACCCTTCACCTGGAGTCGCCTCCTCGCTCTCCACAGATCTGACTGTAGTCGTCTTCGCTCGCACAAACACAGCCGTCATGGATGCTGGGGTGAGTACCTTCCCTGCGTTGAATGTATGCTACGACGAGACATCCATTATTCATGTGTTTGTCTTGACAGTCATCGGAACAGGCTCAACAGCGTAAGGAATCCCCTGCCTCAAATGGGAAAGACACGACTTCGCTGCCAGAGGTGAGCACGAGCAATGATCAGCCCCGTGAGAGCATGTTCCTGACTGGAACATACACAGTCGAGCGTTCACCCGGGTCGCTCGGAGGCTCAGACCCCCGCAACTCCAACGGAAGCTAGGGTGAGTACCGAGCAATGATCAGCCCCGTGAGAGCATGTTCCTGACTGGAACATACACAGTCGAGCGTGCACCCGGGTCACTCGGAGGCTCAGACCTCCGCAACTCCAACGGAAGCTAGGGTGAGTACCGAGCAATGATCAGCCCCGTGAGAGCATGTTCCTGACTGGAACATACACAGCCGAGCGTTCACCCGGGTCGCTCGGAGGCCCAGACCTCCGCAGCTCCAACGGAAGATACGAAACTGGGAGACGTACCCATCCAAGAAGCGACCAATAAAAAATCGAACAATGATCTGACCGAAGCCTGGTCGACGTTGGCAAAAGAGGCATGGTCCCACGAGAAGGAGCGCATTGAACGGTGGCGTAATGAGATTGATGCGCTCCTGGTCTTTGTGAGTCATGTGAATAGCGGTTCAGAGGTGCTTGCATTGATGTGGCTATAGGCAGGCTTGTTCTCTGCCGTCGTCACTGCCTTCGTAGCCCAATACTATGCCGTTTTACTACCGGCACCGGATTTCAATACCAACATCTTGCAGCAGCAGATGCTTATACTCGAGCGCATATCCTCGCAGCTCGGGGCCCCTGGATCCGCTGCCTCGATTACTGGCTCCGCACTGGCGACCTCTATGGGCTCCTTGCCGTCGAGCTCATCTCCGAGTACGCCACCGCCGCCACCCAGGTGGATTGCGACGCTATGGTTCATCTCCTTGGTTTTCAGCCTTTCCGCGGCATCTGTTGCGTTGGCTATCAACCAGTGGCTCAACTTCCACGTAGAGAGAACTGCTTTACGAAGTGCGCCGCAGAAGGTCTGGACCTGGCGGCTCCGAAGGGACGCGATTGACAGGTGGAAGGTGGAATCAATGGTCAGCCTCCTTCCCTGTTTATTGCAGATAGCGCTCGTACTCTTCCTCGTCGGGATCATCGGATATCTGCAGGAAATCGGGGCCGACATCACCATTCCGAGTATGGTCTTCATCGGCATATTGTTCCTCTTCCTGGTCATCACGTCCACTCTACCGGCTCTCGTCGAGTACAGCCCTCACAAGTCGCTTCAAGCATGGTGGATATGTCAAGCCTGCCAATGGACGCAGTGGACAGCTTACTGGGTCCTACTACAGGTACTTCGCATCATATCCCCGAGACGTCGACATGCGGATGCGGATGCGGATGCAGACGTGGGTCCGAATCTCTTTGTCGAGGTCGAGCAGAGCCGTGCATCTATCTGGATGGATAAAGCACGCACGCACCTTGCCCATCGGCAAGCATCCCTCCGTACGCTCATAGAAACGCCAAACTGGCGAGTACATGAACAGCTCTGCCTGCGCAGGTTGCTCACCGACCAGAGCCGCCGAGTGGACATGGCGTTATTCCCCTATATGTACCGCATGACAACAGACATGGACGTCCTCTACGCGATGCAAGTCTGTCTGAGCAATGTCTCTCTGTCTCTAGCAGTCACGGAGGCATTTGAAATTGGCAAAGCCAGGACCATGGTTCTGTCAACTCAAGAAAAGCATCGGCGTGGATATGCAGACATTTCCCAAGATGGACCAGTACTGTCTACCGGCACCCTTTCCGACCAGACCCAGTACGACACTCTTGACAGCACCGTGACCGCGCTCATAGGCCGCATGGTGTTCGAGACCTACACTCGGACAAAGGAGCCATCGGACTTGGAGAAGAAGCTTGGAGAGAAGCGTTACCAGTTTGACATCTTGGCCGGCCTTGTCCGTGCTATGCCTGTTGGGGACGGAATCGACCTGTGCATGACATTGTTCAAGTTCGTGCGGGACAACCTATCCGTCAGCGATCGGGCGCCAGTCGTCTTGGATGTTATACGGGAAATCTACTTACCCGTTGACTTCATCGCAGAGCAGAAGGATTACACACAGGTTGAGGTGGTGCAACAGGCAAGACAGAATGGTTACGCCCCGTGTACTAAGCTGTATCGTCTTCGTTCCCAAGGCAAGTCATTGATCTCTCGAATTGGTGAAGGGTTGAGACTTAAATCCAAGGTAGACTGGGAGTGCCTGATAGGGGCGGTCCGCGCGGTGTACGGCACAAAGGACGCTGCAGCGATCATGCAGATCACCACAATCGTTCTGGCAATATGTATGATTTCCGTCATGGAGAAGAAGGCATTGCCGTCGGTAATCAGGACGTACCTGCATACTATGCTGGCCCAATACGAGGCTCATTTGGCGGATCTTCGCCGCGAAGACATGCAAGAGGCATTGGAAAACCTTCCGACTGCGGCGATATACGGCTTCGATTGGGTGTTCGATTCCGTTATACCCTGGACCAAATTCCTCTACAATCTACCCACACCGGACACGAGACACATGTTCCTAGAGTCCGTCAACCACATTGCGCGGCGACTGCAATGGCTGCTCGAATGTGATGTATGGACGCCACCAAAGACGGTCCGGGGGTTCCGCGTCAACCTACAAGCTTGGGTGGCCAATACGAAGAAGCGTCTACCTTCGGCAGAGGGAGCCTTGTAGGTGGAGTCACGACGCATATGTTGTCAAGACAAGCTGACGCTTGCCAAAGGGATGGACGGTTGGCATGCGCAGAGTCTCCGACATCAGCCGAGGATGTCGATGATCCCGCACTGGCACTCTGGCCGCTGCGCAGGCGTATTCGAGCTACGCCGACTCATGTGCCGCAGGTCGAGACTCAGCGACGCGGGCATGGGCCACTGCTGAACGCAAGGAACATTATGAGTGTACTGTAAGCTATCTTCCTTGACATGCACATATCGGTGGAATACTGATCCCCTCGCAGTCGCGATGTGTGGCACAGAAATGATGAGTCTGCCGCCCACGGACCCGACGTTGACGTTGAGAAGCAAGACGTTGCGCTCCCGATAGCCGATGCTTCCAACCGAACGGCAGCGATAGCGCCAGCTGTCGAGGGCTCGCCGGCGGCCTCCACAACAGTAGACGGATTGGAGGAAGGGTCCGGCGCCGCTCAGACAGGACAATCGCCGCCCTTGCAAGACAACAGGGCTCAAGAAGCTGATATGGCTGAGGACAATCTGCCCGTCGCCTCCAACGCGCAGACTCACCCGTCCGGCCACAGTCGTGTTCTGACTCGGACAGCCCAATCGGCGGATAATTCTGACCATGGAAGACCGTCGTGTTGACACGGTATGTCATGCAGTTCTTGTTCCGCTGAGTGCCGTCGCTCAGCGCTGACGTTCAAACAGAATCGCAAAGGTAGACCGATCATCGACGAACCTAGTACAATACACGGAGGTGTTTAATTCGCGCTTTCTTGATATCCTCGGCCGGGTGCCCACCATACGTCATAACCTATATTCTCGAGACTGTTACGTGGAACGCGGTTGATGTGTAGTGCGACGTACTGATGCAAGTATAGAGCAGACTGGGGCTTGCTATGTTGAGACGTTACATTTGACCCGCTACGTTGTTTTGCGTATTCCTATGCTCTGTCTCGTCTCGGCCCGTTTCCTGTATGTCTATGCTAGTTTGGATAGTAGTTAGTAGGATCACGCGCTCAATGGTACACGATTTCTTGTCCGGACTGGCCTGCGGCGAGCGAGCGGTGATCAGCGCATCATGCATGAGATCAGTAACCAGTAGTAGGAGTTGGTGTGAATACCGGGCAGCACGGTAGGCTCGCATCATGGTGACGAACTTGCTTTCCACGCCTACTGTGCCAGCGGTCGTCTATACATCACGCAGGACTGTCAGTAGATCACGGTCATTGCCTTCAGAACGGGAACAGAACACGCACCACCTCACACCCAGGAGTATTTGCGCCTTCTGCTCGCGCAAGCTCTCCTCCAGCTAGGCGCTCCCCCCCAAGCTGTGCGCCCCTCCACTCCGGACGAGACGACGACTGATTGATGCGGGTCACGCGGGTCGTGCGTTGTCTCTTAAGTCGAGAGCGCGTGGATAGTGCATATATACGTGGATTGTGGCTTGGGTGACCGTGCGATGACCGAACACGGATGGGTAAATGTACGATGCTCGTACTTCGCGGTTTCAGCCCCAGTGTCTGTACGTTGCATTCGATAATCAGTGTTGGAAGAATCATAAGGATAGGGGAGTTAACAGGCACGGTCTGGCGATTCAACCTTGCCAAACGGGCGTAGCGGCGGTCGACCAATGCACTACGTGTGGCAGAAACCTGACCAGGCCTATTGACTAAAGGTCACAGTATCAATGCGGCGCACGACAAGAGGATAAAAACAGACTCACATAAGAAGCCCTGCCTTGAGTTGCAGCTGACTCGGAGACCCGCGTCACACTCGACGGTAATGTTCATTTCTATTAGGTATACGTGGTTAGCTACTCATCATGGGCTTCACCTAGTCCGAGCACGCATGGTAGCATTGATAATACATGTGCACCGATAAAATGGTGGTATGGCTGGTGCACGAGCAGCATACAAGGCCTAACTCAAGCTTAGCCAGCGGACGCGGTGGACCAACAATAGACGCGCGCGGCATTGGCCGGTGGCGAGTGAGGAGGCTTTGAGGCGCAAACAAAGGATCCTAGGTGAGAGCATCGCCGCAGTATGCTGCTCATGCTAGGGTTGTATGCGAGGAAGGAGCAGATTACCGTAACGAGGTGCTAGCCCGGACGGCGAGGATAATTTCAGCTCACTAGCCTCGCAGTAGTCGCACTGGGTACTATTGCCACTTGATCAGGAGACAGTGAGGTGGAACTGCGAACTCACGAACCTGATTGTTTGCACAACAGATGCTCCCAGCTACACTTGCTTGATGTTCGACTGATTGCGATGCTTGTACAATCTGTTGTACAACTCGGTATCGAGTGTGTCGCACAACATGCGCGCTCGCCGATGACATAGGCAGGCACTAGACACGGTCAGACTTGTTGCCGACCCAGCATGCAGTGTTGTGCGTTTGTATGTTCTGCTTCAGCCCGTTCAGATGGGGCATGTACCGGGATAACGCACATACTGTCACGCGTCTTTGCGGATGGACAGACCTGTAGCGAGTGAGCGGGATGAGCGGATCATGCATGGGCTCAAAACCAATTCCAAATGAACCGCAACCAATACAATGCGTGAGTTAAACAATGATTATGGAGCTGTTAAATACCGGCCACGACACACCCTCTAAGGACCTTCCACCAAAGGGTGACGCTCGCGTCATGTTGACGAGCCAGCCTCCTTCGCCTGCTGCGCCAGCAGCCGCCTACACCATCGCACACACAGTCAGAAAAACTCGGGCCCTCAAGACGAAGCATGGAATACGCACTGCCTCGCCGCCAGGATCATCTGCGCCTTCCGCTCGCGCAGGCTCGCCTCCCGCTTCTCCGCGTTCTCCTCCCAATCCGCGCGCCCAGCGGCCTCCTCGGGTGTCCGCGCCTCCACGCCCGACGACACTGCGACGCGGTTTTCGAGGTGGTAGCGCTCGATGAGGTTCTCGGATTTGGACTTGCTTGAGGACGAGGGGGCGGGGGCGGGGCGCGCGGCGGTGTCTGTTGAGTCGAGGGCGCGCGGGTAGATCGTGTAGTACGCGGGTGGTGGCTGTGGGGTGTGAGCGTTGTAGCGGACCGGCACGGGTGGACGAACGTACTGCGGGGAGGAAGCCGCGCTCGAGGATGGTGTTGATGGATGTCTGCACGTTTCCCGTTCGTAGGAGGTCGTATCGTATGTTATCGCTGTCCGTCCCGCCGTCATTCAGCCGCTCTATCTGCAGAGGTCTGAGGTACAACGTACCTCGGTATGTCAGGGAACATAGTATGTACGGTCTCGACCTTCCGACATCGCGTGGGTCATGCTCGTCCCTCGCGCGCGTGAGCGGGTGCACGTACCATCTCTATTGTGACATTCTTCGGTCGGAAGCCGAGCACAGCCGACGGCGACGGTCCTGAGGCCGCGTCTTTTCCTGCGTAGCGAGCGGCGGACCGAGGTTGAGCGCGACTCCGAGGTGAGGGGGTGACATGACGTACCGGACGTTACCCAGCGGACGATGAAGACAATGACCGCGACGGCGACGACGACGTTGAGGACTTCTCCCATCGTGGTAGTGCCGTATAGAAATGAGCGTTGCGGGGAGAGAATAGAGGACGGTCGACGGCGGCGAGGAGGCGGAGGTGTTCGCGGGTAGAGTGGCGTTGGACTCCCGATCGCCCGGAGTTCCACGTATTTCTGGCCGACAAGGCTTCCTGAATATCCCCATCCATGGCTTATCCGCCCGCATTTGGCAGCTTTTATTCCCAAAGCTGGTTAGCGGGCATATTGAGACAGGCATGTAGCGCTCACGTGCAGTGCTCAAATACAGCAGCGGCCGGCACTCGTGCGCACCTCTCAGGCTCTGCCAGTGCCAGTCACTACATAACCTTAGTGCTCATCGCTGCCTACGACGCTCGACACTCGTTTGCCTTCTCTGTTGAATGAATCTGGATCTAAACTCTCTGGTGATATAATGGACGTCGACGCACTCTCCGCGACGCAGAAGGAGGCCTTGGCTCAGCTCCAGGCAATCATGGACGGTGGCGACGCCGACGTGGCAGTCAGCGTGTTAGAAAGTGTAGACTGGGACGTGCAGGTGAGCTGTGCCGTCTGGTGTTCTTCGCAGTCGTTCCATCGCAGTCGTTCTACGCTTCAGGCCCGCGTTAGGCATGGTCATCCGGTGGCTGATACGCACGGTACAGCGACCTCCGCTGTGCTCTGTTCCATTGCATGTCGAAAGAGGTGTTGCACGCGGGATATAGCCGGCTGCAACATGCTTGCTTAATGACTCCGGCGTGCCAATTTCTTGCTCGCGGTGCTTACGGTCGGACGTTCCAGAGCGAATGTGAATGTGGCGCTGCAAAGGCCACTCACACATCCGATAATTCTCTGCTCTACGTGTCAATTGCACAGGACAGTAAACACACCCTCGTCGCCCTTTGTTGCCCTCCGTCCCAGTTGTTACGTGCGACGTCCAGGTACTTGTAATACTGGGCAGGCCGACGATCTGGGGTTAGGGTCTGATGGCGACAGCTGGCACACTGGGCGATACGCTTGTAGTCGAAGGACGGACGGTAATACGTCCTAGCGTTCCCTAGCATTTCACCGGACTATCGATGGACTGTTTACCTAGGTTGGGAACCGAATCTTGCAGTACGGTCCCATGTCTTGGACGCCTAGATTCAGACCAGTGCGTTTTGTTAACGATGACACCAAAGTACTCTGAGCGACCAGCATTCTTCTTTTTCTCGTCATTTCTATCACCCGTGGACGGTGTCTGACAACAGTTCTTGTCCCAGCGCGCCGCCAACCTGATATTCGAGAATGGAATCCCACCCCCAAAGCCCCGCGCCCCCTCACCCACCGCCCACATCGAAGAGTTCGACATCGACGACTCCGCGCAGGGCCTGCTGGGCAACAACTCGCGCGGCGGCCGCGAGTTCCGGCGCGTGCACGCGTCCTCGTCGCCCGGCGTACTCAGCGCACGGCCCCTCCGCGCCGTCCTCGCCGTCCTCACGCTCCCGCTGCGCCTCCTCACCTCCGTGCTCCGCTTCATCTTCCGCATCCTGCGCATCCCGTTCCCCCAGTTCGTGCCCTTCACGTGGTCGAGCCTGCAGTACCGCCCGCTCGGCCCCGGCTCGGGCGCGGATGGGCGCGCGCTGGACCCGAGGGCGCAGGCGGAGCGGTGGGTCCGCGCGCTCGAGGAGGAGACGGGCGCGGTGTGTGTTGGCCGTGCGGGCGCGAGAAGGGCGGAGGCGAAGGCGGGCAGCACGGCGAGCGGTGCGGACGTCGCAGGCACGTCGAGCTTGACGTCGCGGGCGGGTGAGTATGGCGATGATGGAGGGGAGGGCGTGGCGAAGCTCCTGCCGGACTTCTTCCTCGGGAGCTACGAGGAGTTTGTGAAAATGTGCGAGCGCGGTGCGAAGGTCGGGTGTGTGGTGCTCGTGAGCGAGGAGCATGATGATGTGCCCGAGTTCAAGCGGTTGGTGTTGAGCCCTGCCATCATATTCGGTCGCTAACTTCGCTTGCAGGAGCACCTTGACGGACCCGACACTGATCAAGATCATCCAGGACAACGACATTTTGGTCTGGGGCGGTGACATCCGGGATAAAGAGGCATGGAGTGGTATGTGCAACGGTTCTTCCGGCTAAAACTGTCTGACGGAGGCACGTCCACAGCTGCACAGAAGCTTCAAGCAACCACGTATCCCTTCGTCGCATTCATCGCGCTCCAACAGCGCCGACTAGGCAGCTCCGGGTCGGCCCCAGCAAATGTCCTGACCATCCTCTCGCGGCACCAGGGACCCTCCATCCCGTCCACGTCTGCGCCCACTGCGGCACAGACGCTCACCACGCACCTCACCGAGCAGCTCCTCCCGCGCGTCACGCCCTTCCTTACGAAGGTGCGCGCCCAGGCCTCCGAGCGCGACCGCGAGCGGCAGTTGCGCGCGGAGCAGGACCGTGCGTTCGAGGAGAGCCGGCGGAGGGACAAGGAGCGTATCGAGCAGCGTCAGAACGAAGAGCGGCACGCACAGCAGGAGCAGCGCCGCCGCGCCGAGGCCGAAGCTCGCGCACAGGAGGAAGCTCGCGCGCAGGAGGCGGCGCAGCGCGCATGGGACGCGCATCGTATGGAGTGGCGCAAGTACCTCCGCCGCCAGCTCGTCATGCGCGAACCGCGGCCCGGCGAGACGGGGCGCGGGAAGACGATGCGCGTCGGGTTCAGGATGCCGGACGGGCGCCGGTCGGTGCGGTTCTTCGGCGAGAGCGATACGGTCACGTCGCTCTACGCGTACGTGGACTCGATGTTCGCGCCCAAGGAGGTGCCCGACAAGGCTGACCCGGTCGTGCCTCCTGGGAACGGCGCACCCGGAGAGGTGGGCTTGCTCAAGGAGATCGAGGGCTCTGGCCGCGCACCGGAGAAGTGGTGGGCCTTCAAGCTGTGGCTGGCGTACCCGCGCAAGGAGGTCGTGTGGGAGCCCTCGAAGAGGCTTGGCGATGTTGAGGCCCTGCGCGGTGGTGGGCAGCTGATTGTGGAGCTGGTCGCGGACGCAGAGAGCGCGAAGGCGAAGGGCAAGCAGCGCGCGTCGGACGTGCCGGCTGGTGAAGACGAAGACGACGACGGCTATGAGACAGAGGATTAGCGTCGAGATTGCAGGGACGTATACGTCGATATGGATTGGAGACACAGTGTGTCAGCGCAGTAGATTCGGTATTCTATGGCTAAATGAATCGCTCGGACCTCTTTTTCGCTCTCGTTGGCTCGCTATCGTATGCTTCTCTAGTCCTAGACAGCTCTCCAGCATAATAGATCAGATGGATTGTCTTATTAACCCTACTGCCACTGTCTGCTGTATCACGCCGCGACATCGACATTGGCTTGGGCTTGACGGTGTACACGAATGTGGACGTGGTATGGAGTAGGACGAAAAGACCTCCCTATGTTCTTGTCTCGTCAGCATTGGGTCAGCATACCGTAACGGCCGATAGCCGCTGGCATCGTCCAGGCACGCGGTGATGCGGCGGAGTCGCTGAGGCAAAATCAGCATCCGCGAAGCGCTGGAGATCACATCTTTACCAGTCGTCAGTGAGTTGCTTCCGTATTGCCATGACCACTTACTCACACGTATAGAACTTCGACAGCCAAAGGTATGGACGCCCATGCATTCTCCGGTGTATGAATCAGGTCTTCACGCGCATGCTGGATGCGTAGACCTGACATGGCAGCCCAGGCCCACGCAGTGCAGGTAGCATCCTCTTGTAAGTTTGAAGTGCCCTGAGGGATGCTTGCCACGTTCAGGTGAGTGGACGACGTCGAAGCAGCACAGATGCTGTACTGAATCTGTGTTTGGAAGATGTAGACAATTGCGGCACCGGACCTGGTGGTGTCGAGAGCCGAACGTCCGTCAAACGGCCTGGCTTGGAGTCCCGCGGCCGCTACTATGCGCGTATATGCGCTTCCCCTTGGTCGTCGACGGTAGGATGCTGCCATTGTGCACACTCCGCGGTCTGTTTTTAATCTGCTGAGGTGGGGATGCTGTTGGGGACCACCAGCACAGATACTGCCACGAAGACCAGTGCAACGGCATGGGGGGACTGGACGAGATGGGAGTGGTACGGAGGCAAGGAGCGTCGGGACAGAAATCGAACCAACCCTGTCGTCCGAAAAAGGAAAGCGTCGGTCGCGCCGCACGCAAACGACGCGTCGCGTCGCGGTCACGCACGCAGTCCGTTTAATCCGCCAAACAACGCCCAACAGCCTCCCCACAAACGTATAAATACGGCCGCCCACACCGCCCAGTCTCCCCATCTCGCCCTCGAGCGCCCCTCTCAGCGCCCTCGTCTTCGCACCCCCCCCCCTCGTGACAATATCAACCATGTTCACCTTCGGTGCCCTCCTCGTTGCGGGCGCACTCTCCCTTGCCCCCAAGTCGTACATCTACTGTCGACTGGGCGGCGAGGGAGGCCTCGCTGCCCACGCCCTCTTTGGCAGCAACCCTCCTTGCCCCCTCATCATCGACAAGGTCGAGTCGTTCATCGACCATGTGTCCAACTCCTTCAGGTACGCACTCACCGTCGTTAATGATGACACTATAGCTGACCTCAGTATGCACAGCGGCATCGGCGACAAGCTCTCGAACGTTGTCGGAGGATCGGTGGTGGGCAACATAGGGTCTGGTATGACAGGGTTCATGTACGACGCTACGTGAGTACAGCTGGCCGCCGCCTACCGTGCACTCACTCACAGTCTCGTCGCACAGACGACGCCTCACCCCGCTTACATCGGACGGCTTCGACGCCTCACATACCTTTCCCTCCTTCACCTTCCTCAACGACCCAGGCGACCCGTACCTCGCGCAGCTGGCGGACATCAGGGAAGACGTACGGAAGTGGAGCAAGACCAAGGATCTCATCGCGGCACCTACCTTCGATCTCGCGCAATGGACTACGGATCTGATCGTGCGGCCTCCAGGGGACATCGTCGTCTGGGTTCCTCCCAACACCTGCCTCCTGGCCGAGCGACCGCGGACGCATTCGCAACCATCGCCCGAGATCGTCATTATACTGCCTGCTTCTGATTGGACGCCTGAGACGCCATACGTGGTCAAGCCTGCACGTACGGTTGTCGGAGGCTTCCAGGATCACCATCACCTTGGCTCTCGTCAAGCTGTCCACGCCCTCGTCGTCTTCTACACGCTGATTATCGCCTACGTCGCCGTCGCTACCCTCGAGCCGGTACGGACGGCATGGCGCACCACGCCCATCGGCCATCTTGGCCTGCAAACTGTTCTGGGATTCGTGGGGCGGACTCTTTACTGGTCAATGGTGCGTGCCTTCATCTATTTATCGCATACAGTTGGCTCACGCGTTTGCTTAGTTCTTCGTGACATCGCTCAAGGGTGTTCCGTCTGACTGGGACGTCCAGCGCGCGTCGGGTGCCACCATCCGCAAGGCCAGTCCCAAGTCTCGGATGCCTCGGTCATTTCCCAAGGACCACGCGCTCATCGGCGGTCCTCGCCCGCTCGTCGCATACGACCTGGCGACCTACACTCCCAACACACCGCTGGCTCTCCGGCCCCTGCTCGTCGTCTTCCGCGACGGCCCGGTCCCCACTCCGCTCGCGCTGCCCCGCTCTGCCACGCGCCCGCGCACGTTCAGCGCGATGACGCTCATGGAGGCCCGACCCGCTCCTTCGAGTGGGCCTCACACAAACGTCTCGCTCATCGAGGATGAGGTGAGTTTCTCTGCGTCTTATGTGTTCGTGATGTCGATGCTCATCGTTCACTCTTAGGGGCCGTGTCCCACGACGATGAGCTTTTGCAAGCGTTTCCTGCGCCGCCAGCACCCCGGCCTCAAGCTGTTCGGGCTCCGGGAGCGCCGAGTGCGCCGCCATGCCGAGCTCCGTGCTCTCCGAGACGAGATGGGTGAGGACGTCGCCCTCCGCCACGCTCAGGAGGGCTGGGAGGTCCTCCAGAAGAACTGCAGGGGGATGTGGGGCTTTGTCGAGGCGTCGCAGGTGAGTCGAACTGACTAAGCCTGACTGGTATGCGGTGCTGATCGCAGCCTTGTCTTCACCAGACTCCTGTGCAGCCTGAGCACTAAACGCGCGACGCACTCTCCACGACATCCCCGACCACTCATATCATTATCCATATCTATCTCTCTTCTCTCCTCTCTTACTGTACCACCACCCCTTTCTTGATGCCCGACACGCCGCGAACTCGCAATGCCCTGCGGGTTCGTGGCGTGCCGTTCATCCGCGGGTCCGGACCGTTGGGGGCATACTTCGGTCCTGACCTGCTTTCCCTTCCTTCTCCTTCAAGTCATCCTTCCTCCTCCTTTTCTCTCTTTCCGTTCTTTCTCTCTCTTTTCGTTCTGTTTCTCTCTCGCCTGGATATCTCGGAACTGTATGATCGCCATCGCCTCGGACGCGGACTCGGACTCGGACTTATATAGGGATAGAACGACGGCATGATTTCCTCCGCATTGGATAGGATTTTTCTGGATCTCGGACTCGAATTGTACGGATACGCATCATGGACTCGAGCTTCCTCGTAGAGCATTTTCTTCCTCTCTTATCATCTCAGATGTATCATGTCTTTCCATCTCGGTTTGTAATGTACTCCAATCAAGTCAAAGGTCTCCGTTAGAGAATGTAGCTTATGCTGTTGCAGTACGACACATAGTGCATACCATAGCCCGGCGCCACCCAAACCGAGACACACCGGTCTGCTATGCTCAACATCACTCCCATCAATCATGTCGTCTCATTCGTAGGCTAAGCCAAGCTAGGGGCACACGCGGGTCCCGCTGGTCGAGAAACACTTGGCCGGCCGCCCACGATGGTGTATCAGATCGCAGACTGATCACACACGCAGCCAACCTCGGTTCGGAAATGAAGAAGGAATGATCTTGTACGGTCAATCGCTACAAAGAACTGCTGCTACACTCAACTATAGTGTACACGGTTCCTGGAGAAGGAAGCCGGAAGGTATACAAGGAAGTACTAGGATGAACGTCCAAAAGGTAATACTAGAAATGTGTGGTACGATACGCGCTCGCCAGTGGGTCACCGGCACGCAGAGAGGTTTAGAGGATATAGGATAGAAGGAGAATAGTCCGATTCAGATATACGTTTGGGGGTATGCAGCGAGGAATCAGAATCAGATATTCGCACACGCACAGACATTGGGCTGGTCAAGTCAACTCAGGACAGAGCACGACAGCACTCAGACGATGGCGAACGCCTCCGAGTGCCACGTCTCGCCCTGCACCGCCTTATCCGCCCGCTCCTGCGCGCGGTTCGACCAGCCCTCGGGTCGCCCGACATCCTGCAGGATCGCCGAGTCGCGCTTCGAGACGACCTTGAACGTGCCCGTCTTCGCGTCTCCCTTTGACGCCGCAGTCGAGGCCTCATCCTTCTTGCGTTGGAACAGCTGTGCACACGCGTCAGCCCATCGAGCCCGAGGCATCAAATGACAAGGGGGCGTGACTCACCTCCTGCAGCGCCTGCGTCCGGCTCTGGTTCTCGTCCTCCTTCGCCTCCTCCATGCGATCGCGCACGGTAACGAGCTGGCCGTCGACGTACTCCAAGCCAGTGCGCACCGCGTCCGCGATCGCCTTCTGCACTTGCCGCTTGACAAGGCCGGTCGCGAGCGGCCGGAGCGTCTTGTAGAGTAGGTCGTGCTTGCTGTCGCGGATGCTGAACTTGAGCGTGTCGACCTTGACGTTCACATCCTTGACCTGTTGCGATACGAGACGTTAACACCAGTCCTCGCAAAAGGTGATGGGAACATGAGGTACGCACGTGGAACACAGACGATCGGTCCTTGCCCGAGCTCGCAACGCGTGCGGTAACTGTGAGGCCGTGCCCACCGAGGAGCACGTCCGCGATGCCCGAGTCGCTCAACTTCGGGAATCCGCTCTTCTTGCGGAAGTAGAATGCGACGTCGCGCATGTCCGCCTGGATCTGGCTGAACGTGAGCGTGAACTCGTGGCGGCCCTCATCCTGGATGGCGTTGTACGGCGAGAACTTGAGGAAGTTGTGTGCCTCCACGCTGACGAGGTTCGGGAAGAGGTTGCGCCCGCTGAGCGCGAGGTTCTCGATGACGAGGTCGAGCGCGTCGTCCGTGTACTCTACGCGCGGGATAGGGACGTAGCCAACCTGACGTGAGCGTCAGCAGCGTTACGGCATAAGACATAGCTGTGCGCGACTTACCCTGTCGATGATGGTCGGCAAGATGACCTTGCGTATGTCCATCCAAAGCTCGGGTTTGTACTTCAGGCTTCCCTCGCTGTCGAACAGTAAGTCTTTGGTCAAGCGCGCCCAATCGGTGCCAAAGCTGCATAACATGCCAAGTCAGCTACTCATATAGATGTTATAGGGGAGTCGGCGCCACGTACCGCTGGTTCAACGGGTCGTCGCCGAATGCAGTGAACCAATCCGTCAAACTGCCGAGCAGGTTGTCAAAGTGTGCCTGGTACTTTCCATCGTAGAATGCCCGTCCACGATCGAGCAGCTCGTTGCCCTGGTTATTGCACTGTGGCTCCAGCACGAAGCCGGCCTCCATCAATACCTGAACGCAGCCACACGCATGAGAACAGTGGTCGAGCACTACCGCATCAACAATTGCCGCTTACCCTGCGAGCGTACGAATCGCAGTCCGTGAACCACTGCCTGAGCTCAGGGTCGTTCTTCGAGTCTTGATAGAGCGCCTGGATGGCATCGCCGACAACACCCATGCTCATGCCGTTGGCGAAGCGTTCCAGGAGTGTGCGGAGCTCTCCGAGTGCCTGCTGCGTCGAGCCCTGCGAGTGCAGATCGTTGTGATTGTCCTTGACTGCAAACCGCCGGTCAACTTGTGTTCCTTAAGCCCATGATGCCGAGGACACTCACCATTCGAAGCAGTCGTCTTCCCGTGTTCCACGTATTCCTCCAGCCAGCCGAGCAGCCATGTGATGCTCTCCTGGTAATCTTTGTGATTCTGGCACTCGATCACCACCTTCTTGAGTCTGTGCAGCTCATGGTCGTCAGATTCAGAAGTAAATGAGCACAGGGATAATTACCGGTAGATGAACTGGTCACGGCGCTCAGGTGGGAAGTACTCATCGCTAAGGAAGTTTCTCGCGCGATCGACGTGCTCGTTGGCACGATCCTTATGCTCTTGCGGTACCTTGTCGTTCAATTGGTCCTGTACATGGGTCAGTAGGTCTTTGCATCAATTCGACCGATGAGGACATACGCGGACGCCGCGAATCTTGTTCATCAGGCCATTCTTCTTGACCTCCGCTTCACCTGCGTCACCGGGGACGGGGTCACCGCCGACCGCGTTGAGAGTGTCGTCCTTTTGGCGGAAGGTCTCGCCCTATATGCAATAAATATTGTCAGCCGTCACGTATATTACGCAAAAACGCAAAGACGCCTGGTGAGAGATGGTAGGGTATATGCGCGAAAAAAGGCAAGTATATCCATGAATATCATGAACGTACCTTCAGCTCGTCCTTCTTCCTTTGTGCCTCGCGCGCAGCTTGGTCGCCGCTCTTCACCTCGCCATTTGCTTGTTTGACAGTTGCACCCTGGCCGATCTCAGCCTTGGGGTGCTGAGCGACACGCGTCTCGGTACCGGGGATGCGTGCCTCGACAACCTAAGTAACTCGTAAGCGCAATGTTCAATCACAAACGCATGTCACCTACCGGCGTCTCATCAGGGCCAGCGACACGGCCTCCCTCGGTGACGAACTGGTCCCGCGGGGCCGTGTCGTCAACTTGCGCGAGCCGTTCCTCGTCGGGACGAGCAGCCTCGGCGAGCTTGCCAGCGCCACGGGCGAGCAGGTCGCGGCCGATGACGCTAAAGTCCGCGACGAGCTTGCGGACCTCCGCGTTCGTCATGACGAGGCTGAGCAGCGTGCGAAGGTGGGTGACGGCCTGTTGGCCATCTTGCTTGACCTTTTGTTGGTCGATGGGGACGTTGTCTGAGTTCGCGATGTTCTTCGCGGGCGCGGTGTCGACGGCACGAGTGTGCCAGACGAAGTTCTGGAACAGCTCGTCTGCGTTCTTCTTCAGGACCATGAGGCGCGCGGTCTCGATGATGTCACGCGTGTCCTGGACGAGCCTCTGGCCGTCGGGGCTGAGCGCGTTGAGGTCGACGGGGGAGTGGCCGAGGGCGTAGGTGAGAGCCGCGTCGATCTGAGTGTTGGACGGCATGCGCGACTCGCGCAGCGCCTGGATGACGCCGTAGAAGCGAAGCTTGCGGTCGACGTCGGCGGCCTGCTCGCGCTTGTCGTGCGGCTGGGCGACGGAGCCGGACGCGGGGTGGTCGGAGATGTCCTTCGTTGCTTGTGGGAGAGACATATTAGAAAATCGTTACAGTCGTCAGAAAGAACAGTATTCGGGTTGGAGTGGTCGTGAGCAGTCGTGAGATGATGGGGGAAAGGTAAGGATGAACCCCGTCCACCGCCCTTATATAACGATCGCCCGCCATGACGCGGACGCGCCCCGTCCGACGTCACAGAAACCGAGTGGCAAGCGCTTCCCGAGTGCAAATGATGTCACTGCCCGCCCGCAGAGACGCGGCGTGTGTCGCTCCCTGTCGCTCCGCCGCCGTTCCTGGCAGTGCCCGATACAATCTGTGAACGTTAATTGACGGATCACGCAGCTGTTTGGCCGTGTTTGGCAGTCACCTCATAGCTTTCGACACCGCTACACACCGTCTGGAGCGTATAGTGTCCCAACTGCTGCTGCACAGTTATATGGACGCATTATTAGCAACTCATACATGCTTATTTCGTCCTCAGCCGAGCCCAAGGCCCGGATGGCTCCAGGCGCCGCGGTGGCTCCTCATGCTCGTCATACTAGGACCTCGTCACTAGCCTCCCAGGCGAGCAGCGCAGGCCTGCAAACAGCCCGGATCCGGAACTCGCCACTTCGCAGACTGTAAGTTAACAGATTGGTTATGGAGAGAGGACCCACGTTTATCGGCATGGCCCTATGGGCGCGATATATGGCTTCGGCAGTCGTCCATGCGATGGGTACGTCGTGGCCTCGCCTTGCCGTCCGACGCCCGAACTCCCGTAGCGATGTCAGTCCAACCCATTCAACACCAAGAATGTCTTGCTTCGAACCCATCGACGGCGAGTGCGGTAAGCGTCCCCACGTGCGATAAATGCCGAACGGCGACCACACGCCCTGTCAACGTCCAGCCTTGCTCAATTGTTACTGTAACATCTTGTTATCCACTTACTTTCACTTTGACTACATCCTCGGGCCATTCTGCACCTCACTGACTTTGGCAGACACTCATCGTTTGCTTCCCTTCGCTCGTCACCAACCGTCAACCTTCCCAGCCCACATGCGTCTCCCCACTATCATCTCGTCGCCGCTGTGGCGTCACCCGCCATGGCCCTTCTGATCTCCGCGTACGTCCCGTCGTCAGTCTCATGCATCCGACGCTCACTAACTGTGTTCCAGCACTCCCCGTGATGCCTCGAACGAGATCTCCGGCGCCCAGGCTGTGCTGGCTCGACGAATCGTCACGCTCGCGTCGCAGACCTCAGGGGTAGCTGATCAATTACAGTGAATCGCTGTCCTACCCGCCGTGCACACTGCACACCAGCATGACGATGGTGCTGCTCTGCGTTTCTATAAGTCATAAGTATGGTGTGATACAATCTCAACTCTACGCACCGCAGACGCACCGCCTCCTACGGCTATCTTTGATTCTTTTGTTCGTCAGAGCAACGCGCTCTCCCTCAAGAACGTTGGCCCCCTTTGTGGCTATGGAATCTTTGTCTTCTGGCTTGCTTCTGACTATTGAATTTGAACAGTTCCTCCCACCAGCAATATCAAGTCGATCACCCATCGCCGATCAGGTTCCTCAACACGAATATCAAGCCGATCACCCATCACCGGCACCGGTCAGGATTCCTCAACTGGTACGCAGGTTCACGCAGCGCACGGGTATAAACTCTCAAGTTACTAACCTAACCCGTTCAGGGCCAGTCGTAGACGAACTCTGCGTTGATTACACGCGTTCATGCGACCCTCTCGTGGTACCTTGAGGTTACTACGTCTTGCACAGCTGTTAAGACACTAAGCTGACGAGCTGAGAGACGTTGTGATTTCTGATATGTTATTTTGATCAAGATCAAGACCTACGATGATGCAATTAATGGTTCGTGTCGCAGTATCTCTCACCGCGTCGGCACCTCTGAGTCGTCCTGCAGCACCTAGCCGCAAAGACTTATAAGGACAGAACACCCGCAGTGAGCACCCAACTCCAACACTTACAATTCAGAGCCCCCTGACAGCGAGTGCGCCGGTCGGTGAGTACCTCTGCATGCATTCTGTCGCTCTATGTACATGACCGTACTGACGATGTACCTCTCACCTCCTGCTCAGCCTTGCTTGATTCCTTCACGTCCCATACCCTGAACGCACGACCACGACGTGACCGCGCCCTACCTTCAGACACCGTCGTCCAGCCACTTCGCCTCGAGCCCCCCATTCAAGATGCGCTTCTCAACCATCCTCCCTCTCGTCTCCGCGGCGATGCTCGCTTCGTCTGCCGTAGCGCACCCCATCTCCTCGATCGCGTACGTATTGTTCCACATCTGCAGAGTCAGCTTGAACGGCTCGCCTGATCAAACCTCCTCCCCTCTGCAGCTTCCGCAACGACGCTGACCTTGCGGAGCGGGCCCCCGGCGACCTGAATACGTTCCGCCTCCTTGTTCGGGATTACCTTGGCGAACAGTTAGCTGCACGCGCGCATCACCCAGGGCCTTTTCCCGACCGGCTCGACTTCAGCCACGGCGAATCAGGATGGAAGGATTATCTGAACGAGCGCAAAAATTGGAATGCCAGGAAAGACGCATGTATCGCTGCTAACAAGAAAGATGCGAAGGCCGACAAACAGTTCAGACATGAACAGGCGTTTACACAGGCACAATTTCACCGGGCAGCGCAACAGGCGAACCAGCACCACAAGCGTAGCAAAGGGGGTTGTAAGTAGTAGAACGAAGGCGGGTCTCCAGAGGGTCAGCGGTCAGCGGGGAAGCGGCTAGATAATTAGCATGGGCGAGTACTTAACAACCGGCATCTCGTACGAGCCTTCATCGATGGGATAGACGTGACAATGACGCGGACCGATACTGTGAAAGTCGACAGGAGGCGGCTCGAAAAGTGCTTATGCACACTGCGACAGGACACTCGTATGGCGGCAGATAGTCCTGTCCCTATCCGTTAACGCTGCAGTCGCACTGCAGCCTCTTGCATCTGCAAACGGCCTTCAGCTTCAGGAAGGGCAAGAGGGAGGGGATGCAGAGAGCTGAGGCGACAACGAGGAGTGCACGCGCGGTGGTATTACGCACGTACTCGTCGGCATGTCAGTGGTCGATATCCGGACAGCCTTCGACAGGTTGAAGATGATTTTGTGAACTTCGACACGAGCGAATATGTGGAAGCGTTGATTGGCAACTCAATCGCGCATGCTAGTATCATTGCCATACAGACTTATCTCGTCCTCGAGCCCATGGCTAGGATTGTTCCAGGCACAGTGGTGGCTCCTCGTCCCTTGATGATTGCATGCACAGGGAGCACTCGTCATATATACCTCAGGGCCTCGTGATTATGGAAGAAGCGGCCCCGTATGAATCAACGATGAACATGCCTCCCAGCCGAGCAATGCAGGCCTTCAAAGAGCCCGGAACTCGCAATTACTATCCACCAACGGAGCGCCATGGTCACCAGTCGGGTCTAGGCAGACCATCGCATCCTTCAGGGGGTCGCCATCCGTCCCGCTGCCTCGCGCATGCCTACGATGTTGTCCCAGTCTCGGGAGATCACATTCATTGACCACTCGACAACCTGCGATTGCTGGTCTCGAACGATCGGGGCGCGATGGTGAGCCAGGATGTTCAAGGCCTAAGTAACCATCACAGTAATTGGTATCTGTCAATGACTACTGAATGTCGCAGCAGTTTGGCAGTCAGCCCGGGTTTGGGCAGTCAGATTCGCACCTGCCCATTCGACGCAGCTCCACCACGCTGGTAGCCACTTATTGTTATACGAGTGGATGTGTACACGTCAGAGGCACCTACGGTGATCTGCATGGTGTATGGGCCCTTAATACGAGTCGCTGATATCGACAAACACCGTTGACGTACCACTAGCAGACACCCGTGCACCGCACGGGACGCGGTTCACGGTTCCGGGTTAACTGCACGGAGTTCAGAATCAGAAGGTAAGCACTCATGTAGATTTTGAAGGAGGATGAGGGGGCCTTGAGTCGCGCCCGGGGCTGTGCCCGGGCGACTCGGGGGCCCCTGTAGTACGCGCTCACGTGCACGCCGGGGACACGGTGGGCTGCGTGGCAGCCTGGCAGGTCCTGGTGCGGAGCTCGCGAGTCGCACTGTAGTCGCACTAGGGCAGCCCGTCACTGACAGTGGCACTATCATCTACTAGTACTTACCATGTCCAAGTTTCAGACCCCCGCGCGCGGCCTCTCCTCCCTCTGCATCCTACATTTGCCTTGGCGTACGTGCTCCTCTCTGAGTCACTCGCATAACTATGGCTCCGCATTACGGTCAGTACGTTGCTATTCAAGAGCATAGTAGTACCGTCTGCTTAGGGTGGATCGGATGCAGGGCGAGCGAGAGGCGAGGGCGGCGATACAGAGGAGCCAGAGATTGTACTATGCAAAGGATTGCGACTCTGATGCGCCGCGGAGCGATGCGCTGGGACCAGCATCCGAGTCACCGACCGGCTGGTAGGCCAACTACCAACGACGCAGGAGAACGGAATCAGTGCTGGGCATCACTGAGGAGATGCGGATGCTTACCGCGCCGCCACGCTGCGGAGCGGCGCGACCCACTGGAGGGCCGCGACGTAGGTCGCCCACACGAGGATGATGCAGCGGAACATCGACTCGGATGCGTCGTTATGTCGTTATGGAATGCACGGGAGGGAAGAAAGGGACGCGCGGCGGCCACTGGCCGCTGGATGGGTACCGACTCGGGGGGTGGGTGGGTGGACCGGCCACAACCCTCGCTGTCACTGGGCCCTGAGTGCTCTTATTGCTCATCGAGGGCACGACATGTCTGAGACTTATCATGGCTCTGCCGCAAATCCTTGTCGCGGGGCGGGGCGGACTCTGGGTATCGCCTCCGAGTCGGTGTGAGCGGCTAGCCGCCCGCCTTCGGAATCGACGTGTTGGCGTTATCTCAGTCGGGGATGTGCAGATGGTTCGGCGCAGCTGGGTAGACGACTGTGCGCAGTACGCCACGTCGACGTCGCGAAGACGCGATGGGTTTGGACCTGAGGGTATGGATGTGTTCGCCGTCGTACAATGCCGACAATCATTGTTATCAGCACGTTTTCGTCGCTTCCGATAAAGAAATGCTAGATCTCCCATGCAGTGCAGTGCGTACTCAGTGGTATCTCGAGGCACACAGAGATGAGAAAATACTGCAGCAGATTAGGCTTGGAGTTGACGGACATATGTAGCGACGCCCGCACTAACACTTTCCGGTCAAGGACACCGATGCACGTCAGCGTCGGTCCAGTACTGTGTCTACTGAAGCATCTGCTACAGTCCCATACCGATCGCTTTTTCGTCAGAAGGGCGAGCTGTTACTACCATCTGTCATGTTCGGACATACGCGTACTGTCGACGCGCAGATTCACATGTTGTTGTGAGCTATATCGGCCTGTCCCAGACTCAACACGTACATTCATATGCGCAGGACTAGTGCGAGGTGTGGCGGCGCGACTGTGACAGTCTGGGCTAGGGCCAAGCCGCATCCTGATGAAGTTAGGATCTAGGACTCGGAGACACGCCGCGCAATGCGCATCGCTGGCGATTGCTTCATAAAGGTATATCTAGCACTTTGAACTTGATGATGTAATGCAGAATCCGCGGACGAGCGGAGGGGAAGGCATACACGGAACTGCCAATTGAGCTGAGCTGGTCGTGCGCGAGTCCCACGAGCCTGGCTCAGTGGGGGAGGAGGATTGCCTTTGTGGCGTCGATCGGTGACGGGGATCTAACGCGGAGATCCGAATCTCGATTTATTGGCCGCGCGATCAGATTCAAACCCGCCCACCGAAGCGTCGCCGAAGCGTGTCAAGTCCTCCCGGCCACGACACACTGTACTGCTGTCGCTGCTTCAAGTTCCTATATTGGTGCGCGCATGAGCATTCGATCTCTATCTGCGTGGCCAATTTCTATGGTACGCTACTCCATCATCCGCGGAAGCTCTGAATCATACTGGCAGGGCAAAGTTGGTACACTGTCGCAGCAGCCGCATGCTCCTGACATCCGCTATGCGTATGTCAACGCTGTGACGCGCCATAGCTCGTGTCCCTTCCCGTGTGGCGGACAGTGTGAGGGCAGGCGATATGCCCTCTAACTTCCGCCCCCTCGCGCTCTTCACTTGCTCCAGTCCGCCTCTTTGCGACGCGCATATACCTGCTTGAATACCGGCCCTCTGGTTGTTGACTGGAACGATGACCTTTGCGACCCTCCGCGCCCTCCACAACATCATCGGCGACGCGCTGGACGACATCGAGAACGTCTTTCGCCACGCCTCCGCTGCGTCCGACCCCCTCGACGCACTTCGTTCGCCTATCTCGCCCTCTCCCTCGCCGCTTTCCCCTTATTCTACGAACGCTGGTGCGACACCATACTCGCCTTACTCCCCGTATTCACCTACCTCCTCCGTCTCACAATCTCCCGGTGAGTCACTTTTCTAATCCATTCCTCCACGTCTCTGTTGCTTTGAATCCTCTACGTCTCATGGTGATGGAGGGAACGAACCGCGTACTCGCTCCCTTTCCAACTGATATCACAGCGGCGACGCTGAAGACCTCATCGATATCCTGGGTCTCGATTCGGGCACGCGGGGTTGACAATTCGGGTCCTGGGTCCGTTGGTTTCTGACCTCGATGGGCTCATTCGGACCTGGACTTGCGTTTTGTGCGTGACGGGTGTCTGAGTGTATGCGGGAATCTCCCACTTCACTCCAGCTGACTTTCTCGTGCGCGCCGCGCGAAGAGGTCCGTCGATTCTTTGAATTGTCGGAACACCGGACAATTGTCGCACCAATTGCCCAGTGCCAGCCTCTTCATATCTTTGATACAGGCATGCTGATCTCCGCACACCCCGACGTCTACATACCTTTCAGAACGTCGGATGACGTCGAGGCGGGCTGTTGGTTTTCGACTGTGGGAGTCCGCAAGGCATTTAACCGATACCTCTGATTGTTACGCCGACGAGAGCCGACTCTCCTCTCCGCACAGATCACTGTCACTGACGCAGCAACATAGGCCCGTATCCCTCGCCGTCTCTGCTCTCACCTAGAGAGTCGAGCACAGACTCGCGAGCACCCTCTCCTGCGCCATCCTACGGAACGTCTTCACTCTCGTCGTATTCAGGGACTGGGACCTACTCTTCTCGCGCTTCCTCGCGTGTTGAGCTCGCAGATGAAGCCGAGATGCCAAGGCGCGACGGGGTGACTCAAGTAACCCCACTGGTCGACGTCGAGCAGCGAATTCCCATTCCTCCCGTCGCGACTAACACACCACCCGAGTCCCCTGTGATTCTGTCCAATGCGACGAGTACCGCCACGACTCATCTCGTGATCCCTACCTCGAGTGGTTTATCTTCCACCCCTGTGCGCGCACCTCGTAAACGCTCAAACACAGTGACCTCTGCGTCGAACGCATTCCGGCGAGTATCCAATCTCCTTGGGGTCACCAGCCGGCACTCTTCCAACCACTCCGTTGCCCACACTCCTGCTGGCGCGGCCACCGAAGCTTCAACGGTGCCTGTGCTCGACGCCGCTACTACTCCCACGTCGACACCTGCGCGGAGCGTTCTCCGGCCCTGCGGTGGGTCAGCTCTTGACTCTCCGTCCGCAAACAACCCGCTGTCACCCATCGCGTTCGCGTCCCCAGCCAGTCCGCCGTACGTCACTGCTCCCACACCCGTACGAACGAGGGCTGGGTCCATCACTGCGTCCGTATCGGCACTGACGCGGGCGTGCACTACGGCTGTTTCGCTGAGCGACTCACCTGGTACGCCGAACCTGCGTAGCGGTTTGAGAGGGTCGCCTGCACGCTCGGCTGAGAAGGAGTCGCCATCTCCCATACGATTCGCGCCTAATCCTCACGTACCGTCCACATTGATGTCGCCGCAAACGCCGAAGAGCGTGGCCACTCAGGCGGGGTACGGGGCTGCGGACTCGCCGAGGACGCCTACGTCGGGTGCGAGGGACAGGAGGCGCCCGACGCCGCTGGCACTTCTCCCTGCCCTTACGCCAACGAGCGATGAAGAGAGGACGGGCACGGAGAGCGGGCAGCAGTTGCCTACGCCTGCGTCGCTCTTTGCAGCATCCTCGCCCACACTGGCAGGCGCGCATACACCCAGGCGGGGCGCAGTGTCCGGCGGAGCGGGCCTGATCTCGTCGAGCCAAGTGTCGCTCTCGGCGGTGGGCAGCACGCCGCGGGGTTCGGCGTCCGTGGTGGCTAGTCAGAGCGTCCCTGCGCTCGGGGCGGCATGGGAGGAACCTACGTCTGGATCGCATGCGACGAGCTTCGGCGCGACGACCAGGAAAATGGGCATGGCCCCCTGTGCGGTGCCGACGCCCCCTCCGAGCGGACGGACGCAGGGCGCAGGGAGGCCGGGCGCTCCAGAGCTTGACTGGCCAGTCTTGGACGAGGCGTACTACGTCACGCAGCAAGAGGGCCAGCATCCCGCAGAGGGCAAGGGCAAAGCGAACGCAAGCTCAGGGTCGCCCCACACGCCTGGCGGCCCTCGAACCCCCGCGACACCAGGTGCGAGCGTGAAGGACGATGGGGCGGCTGCGCGTGCGAGGAGGGAGGTGGCGGAGAGGCTGTCAGAGAGCCCGGTGGTGCTCGCCGCGGTGAGCAGGCTCGTTGCGGCGTGCGGGCAGATGTGCGCGAGCGTGCAGAGGCCGTTCTTGACGGTATGCGATGCAGCCATGGGAGTGAGTCGTTTCTCGCCTTTTCCGGTCCTCGATGGGTACTGACGGACTCTGGTGCGCTATCTTGCAGTATCACCTTCCTGCGGGTCTTCGTCTGCTGGAGGCGGCACATATACCTGAGATCTTGCGAGACGCGGGTCCGAAAGGGATGCACGTCGAGGATATTGCGCGTAGAGTGGGCGAGATTCGAGCTGGCAAGAAGGCATCCGCAAGTCCGACCACGAAAGCGAAAGGATCATCGGGAGAGAGTGAGAACAGGAATTCAGGCGAGACACAGGATGAATCGCGTGAGGAACTCGGCGCAGAGGACGACGACGAGGATGACTTCGGCGTGAATCCAGCATTGCTCAGTGCGTTCATTACTCCGAGCATGATGCTCAAGCTAATCTCGTCACCGATCGTGCGCGTATGACAGGCCATGTTCTACGTTTGCTGGCGACGCACCATATCACGAGGGAAGTGAGGCCAAACGTATTCGCGAACAATAGGGTCTCGAGTGCCATGGATAGTGGAAGGAGTTTGTCTGAACTGATGGATGCGTGGGTGTTTGTGCCTTCTGTCTCAACGATGAGATGTTGACGTGCGTGCGCGTTCCATGCTGGCGCGATATCGTGTCCATTCTCGATCTTCATGCGATCTAGACCTGAGGAGAAATATGAGGGCACGAACGGTATCGCGGCTTTTGTCGGGCTTTGGTGCGTCTGCATCTCGTTTTCTCTGGGAGCACGTCTGATTGTAACGGTCTACAGCACGGACGAGTTGTTCAAGTCAGCTGCCTACCTCGCGGACTGCTACTTACCTCCGCTGGAAGAGTCATCGCGGACAAGCACGACGGTCACCGAACACGTCGGCGAGCAGGTTGACGAATACAAGACGGGCCGCCAATCGAAAGACTCGGCGAAGGCAGAAGTGGTTTCTAATCTTGAACAACCCAAGTCGTTGACTCCCAACACCAGCCTTGCCGATCTCGCGCTGGGAAAGCGGTTGCAGTCGGCGTCGTCGAGCAGCACGCTGACTGGGCCGCCCATGTCGCAACAGATGAGCCCTGCGACGCCCTGTAAACAAGGTGTAGCATCGAGAGCAGGAAAACCCCGAAGGGCCACGTTGGGAAAGCATTTGATGCATGCGCCGTTCAATCTCGCCTTCCGCACGGATGCACCGTACTTCGAATGGCTTGAAACGGAGGAGAATAGCTCTCGTCTCAGGCGATTCGGCAGGGCTATGACAGGGACTGCTGCATGGGAGGTGCCTGGTGCAATCGTTGGCGGTGCGTAGGCTACTGTGATCGATCAGTCTGACGACCTCTGATGTCTGCATCCATGCGCGCAGGCTTCCCGTGGCATTCGTTGCCACAAGACTCCGTCGTAGTTGATGTTGGTGGTGGAATCGGTTCCACTTCGTTGCTGTTAGCACACGCGTTTCCGCACTTGCGGTTCTTGGTGCAGGACAGGCCCCAGGTTGTTACGATGGGGGAAGCTGTGGGTACTCTTCAACGACGCTGGGCGGCAGATACTGACACCCCGCCAAGGCGTGGCGTGATAGAAGTCCTCAGTTCCTGGAGACTGGTCGAGCCGCGTTTCAAGCGCATGACTTCTTTAGGCCACAGCCACTATGGCCCACGGTTCTGAGAGACACGTCAGGCGTTGCGAACAAAGAGGACATACCTGCGGTATTTCTTCTACGTGTCATTACCCATGACTGGCCAGACCTCTACGTAACGCGGTGAGTTAGACCTTCACGATCGTGCTCCGCCGACTCAAGGAAGGTGTCTGTCCTAGGTTACTCCTGCATCTCCGCCGTGCTGCAGGCCCAGATACGAAACTACTTTTGGCGGACTGGATCTTGCCCTTGGCTTGTATTGACGAAGATCCTGATCCGGAGACGCCCAGAGAAAGGGTAGAGATGACAGACAAGATGAAGATACAACCTCTCCCGGGAACCGTACGCACGCTCGCGCCTGAAGGATCTCCGCTGCTCCCGAACCTGGGGAAGGCGAATGCGAATGCCTACTGGCTGGACCTGACGGTACGTCAATCCTATGTCTCGACCTGGACGATGCTGACAAATGTCGCAGATGCGCGTCACCTTCAATGCTCAGGAACGTACACTGCGAGAGATAGCTGCTCTGACGCTGACCGCCGGCTGGCGTATCGTGCAAGTCACCAGAACAGAGGGCTCGCTCTTCGGGCACGTCATTGCTGTGCCGACCGACGTCCCGCAAGAAAACCTCGCTTTGCTGGACGTACCATTGCCAAGCCAAGCGCCGGTTACTGAAGTCAAAGGTTGGCCTTCAACCTTACTAACACTGAAGTGACCACGCTAACTGATTTGTGTCGCAGACGGAACAACCCCCATTCATGAAAGCAGGTCACCTGCAATGGGCGATACCTTCTGCTCCTTCGTCGCGCTGCCTTCAGAGGACGACGTTCAGAAGGGCGTGAAAGCGGGTCGCAAGGCAGCGCAGGGCTGGCAGACACGCGCGAACGAGTGGCGGCAAAGGCTTGTGAAGAAGAGCTCGGCGATATGGAGGGATAGAAAGAATTCAGTCGTTCAGCAACCACAACCACCGGTCCCGCTCATTCCCAGCCTGGAATTGTTGCCGGCAGTGGAGGTCGGGGTGCATCCGCAGGGGAGATCGAGCGACACTGCAGATACTACAGATTCAAGTGCTCCTCGACGACCCGTGCCGGGGAACGTGGCCGTCAACGCGCGGACGGAAGGTCAGAGGGATGACGATAGGGATAAGGATCGAAGGAAGCCCATGGGTTTGAGGAGGGTCTTTTCTCGCGCTCAGCTAGGTTCGCGAGGAACGTAGGGATTGTGCTCTCGTCGGAAGCCTCAGGCTGTGTATCACTAAATCTGATGGAACGACCGATGCTGTCTCATCGCTGGACGTGTATTTACTAGGAATACAAACGGAGGCACGTCGACCGCAATGCTTCAACCATGTTCGATACATGACACTTATATACTAAAGATGCGCTGACGCCCCGAGGCTATCGTGTTTTGCGTGCACCTAAAGTAGAGACTGGTAGGTAGGGAATGTGGTGCTGGTACCTCCTACTTACCCAGCCACCTAACTTATCAAAACGTGCACACTCCGTACTATGTACCACCGTGATCCGGCCAGGCCTTGTGGGGCACAGACTTTGTACAAGGCCCTGAACGGAATCGACCACGATTTGGTCTGAGAGCACTATTATACACATTCAAAGCTACACATACGACCACTACTAAGATCTTGACGAAGAAGCCCCCATAGTTCCGACAGGGTCCATGAGGATAGGACTCGAGTATGCTGGCAGAGCATCTTCCATGCTGTCGCGACGGTAGCAACTCACAACCCCACGTATGTAAACGATACGAAGTCGCGTCTCCATTCGATCCCTGACAGGCGCAGCGCTACTATGTATACATCATCGCCAAACTCATCAATGCCACCCAGGAAGGGCGTGCCCCAGGTGGTACACAGGCATCGGACAATGGTTGGCCGGGGCGTGCATCACAGGTATATGCACCACCTGTGGCGGTGGCCCGCCGCCACAAAGCTGGACACCCCGGGAATTCTGGAAGAAGTGAGAGACGAGGCCCTTGACGTCCGCGGGAGTCTATTATACGCAGATCGTTGGCGGTTATCCGTCAGTGAACGGTTTCCGCGGCGATACAGGAAATCATGCTCACCGCTTGACGTGAATCCGTAGTGGCACATCCCCAATCGATGAGGTGTGCGCGAGAGACGTTGTCGTCGAAGAGGACGTTGCCCAAGACCGGATCCTGGTGAAGGTAGTGCGAGCTCTCGTACGTTGAGAGAATCGATGCAGTCGCAAGGTCAATTGCGTGGTTTACCAGTGCCCAGCAATGCTGCGGACTGTGCTGCACACGCCGGTACGCCGCTGTCTTGTCGAGGCGCGTGCCTGGCGCCGGTTTGACAAGCATCCACCTCTGATGATGGGGGTCTAGGCCCCACATGTACATCGCGCCGACCTAACGTTCAGCACTCGGCACCCGACACGGACAGACATTAGGATGGAGGGACGTACGGCATGGGTCGCCTTGATTTCGTCCTCCTCAACCATGGCCTTTGCGAACGCACCCTTGTACTCGCCCTCGACGACTCTGTACACAACACCGTGTATGCCCTGGTCGCCGTTCTTCTGTACCTTGAACCTCTGGCCGTCCAGCTCCAGCTCCAGCACAGCGTATCCCGGGGCTACAGTCGCGTACAGCGGTCGTGCGACCCTAAGCGCGCATTACGAGCTCAGCCAGCATTCACATACCTGGAGCACGCGGCCAGAGGTCGCGAACTGATAAATCAGAGGACTGTAATTCAAAATCAGCAGCGGGCCGTGTATCTTTCTGCATGAGTTACTCACAGTATCCCATGCGACCGGAGCAGCACCGGTCAGGAGCGCAAGACATGAGACTACGAGTGGGAAGGTAAGGAGTCGCATCGGGATTATGTTGCTGTCGTGAAAACGCAAAACGGAGGAAGGCGTATAGAAAAAGAGAACGTGAAGAGTGGATTAAACGGGACGTCGGCAGATAGTAGTGTAGGGAGCGCGGACCAGCCAGGCTCGACTTGCCGCTCCTTGCGTCCTGACTTTATAGTCGGGTACGTTTCCGGCAACAACATGGTCGTACGAGGGCGCCGATGATTACACAAACTCGCCGGTGACCGCCTCTCCTGGCCGAGCGAAGTTGTCAGGATGGGAGGGTCCTTGTTTATCCCTTCCTTTGCCAATCTGAAACGCACGTCGTGGATCAGACGAGTGGTAGCGGCGGGGAAAGCTGAAGTGTTGATGCACCTGCCATTTTTGTCGCGGCTTGTATCACTACCTGCAAGTCGGGAAGCCCTGAAAATATTTCCTCCTGCCACTGGTGAGTCATGACCGCTCGAACTATTACCATAGAGTGCGTACCAGAACTTCAATCTCGAGCCCACACAATTTGAGGCTTGAACAGATCTCAGGATGTGGTCATGCCAATTTTCACGACGGTGCTCGCAGCCTACTGTTACGGGAAGCCCAAAGAACAGCGCCTGTGCGGCCTAAACTAGTTGAACTCACGCGGAAGCGATGCGATGATCGAGAGCGCGAACCAAGTGCACAGCCACTCAGCGATGCGCTCTAAGCGTGTAGAATGCTATCAGATCGCTATGCTCTGCTGACGCACTTGCGGAGGGACCTAATTCTCATTTCTAAATGATCAATCGGTACTACTCACGGAGTAGTCACCTTACTCACCGTATGCGCGTATTGCTCGAGGAATCCTGCGTTTCGCGAGTTTGGGTCGAGATGAGAATTGAGTTTTCAGCGCAAAGGTTCATACCGAGCATGGAAATGGCGGTGGGAATACGTAGCGGAGTGAGGAGAAGCCTTGTTGCTACATCAGATGGCGTCGGGCGAGTCGGTGACCCCGGCGTTCTCTGACTCTGCCAGTGAGGTGGAACTGGCAGAATCTGGGCAGACCACGGCGGCCTGCAGCTAGCAACTGATCAGATTGGTACTATCCGGCGCCCGTCGGTGGATGATTGTGTCGCGTACATCATCTATGGGGCGGCCCATGTAGCTGGGACACCGTGAATGCGCGATGAATGATATGATCATAATGTCAGTATATCGTACTGAGTATCCGTGGCAGGCCCAGAAGGAACAGGCCCGCACTCGACCTGCAGGCAGCACCTGTAGATGTGGGCGCAATAATCCAGTCAGTACAGAGCCTTGGGCGAACAGTAAGATGTGGATCGACGACATGACGAACCGTGATAACGAGCCCAATGCACCGCGCGGACGCGATCGTGATACACATGTAACGCTTGAGATCCAGTATGGTCCAGAAATGGTCCAGCGTGTGAACACCGTGGGCGGTTCGCTGAGTTTGGAGGCTATAGCTCAACTGTAGATCATCCCTATGTAAGATTGAGATGGTTGACTCGAAGCCACAGGATGGAATGTTAGCGACGACTGACCTACTCCGCGTCGTGCAGTGTCGAGTGTTTCCTTGAGCCTCACGTGCCCTGGGAGGTACCGGTACGCACTGTTGTAAAGGGTAGTAGCCGACCTGGTACCTGCCAGCCTGTGGAACGTGGCTGGAGAGCTGGAGAGCTAAAGATCTTGGCTCCCGTGAAAGCGAGGGTTCGAGCGAATGGCATGATCCAACAGAAATGCTCGTAAATGCTTGTAAGTGAGGGATTTTGATCATTCCGGATCCTGGTGAAGCGTTTGCGTACGGGGGAATGTGGTTCGAAGGCCCTTCCGATTCTTTGCGAGCTTCGTCTGCTAGCTGAAGATGCCTGCGCTCGGTGAGAGGTATTAGAAAGTTCAGTATTTACCTGAATAGTGATCGCTGTTGGCTATGTTCGACGTATCGGAACTAGTCCCTCAGAGGAGACTGTCGTCTGTCCGTACAGCGCATAGGCCTAGGCCCTGAAGGTATAGAACAGACGTCCGAAACCAAGGACTTTCTCGTTGCTCGAAGGCGGTGATGGGAGGAGCGTCGGAGTGGGCATTGAAAACGTTGAAACCTTGGCTACCAGGACAAACAGCACACTCGAGTCGACCGGATTGACGACGACGTCAACATATAGTCCTTTGTCTAGTCGGTTTGTACACGATTTCGTCAGTCGCGTCCCTGCCAGTAGATGTAATTTGATTCCCTTCAGGCTTCAAGTATCCTTGGAGACGTACGCTTGCATACTGTTGAACGGCATCGTACTCACCGCAATGAGACAAAGTTCCCCTGCTACTTACTCGATTTGTTATGGAGCGTTGCGCTGGATGCGCCTTGGAACATTGGACATACAGGTCGGTGTTCAACGAACTGGCACGATCCTCCGTGGACTCCAGCGAGCGTGCTGATAAGAGACTTATTGGGACTTACGTGGCGTAAATGGAACATTTAATAATGGTAAGTTACCATCCCTGGCAGCGCAGTGGTCGCCAGACTCGCCTCTGGTGACTGCTTGTTCCAGTCCTCCCATCTCCGCTGCCTCGCCCTCCTTCCGCATATTCCTCTCATCCTCCAGTATGTCGTCGCTGCCCAAGGTATGTCATTACAGTTGCATTCTATAACTATGTGACGCGTACTCAGGTAACATTGTAGCGAATCATCAAGGTATAATGTGCTCCACTTGCGTTCTCCGGCTCACTTCGCCTGACCACAACTTTGCTTGCTGTCGCGTACGATGGGTTTAGGAAACCGAACGGCTCGTTGTAGACCCAGCGCCAGGAATCACAGCGCTACCACACGATGATAATCTTCGATACTTCGACGTGACCATCCAAGGACCCGATGGCAGCCCTTTCGCCAGTGCGTCCCCCTGCTTTGGTCCCACAACTCGTCTGACTGACGCGTCTATGTCTCATGTATGTTTCGCTGAACAGATGGCGTCTTCAGACTAGAGCTTTTCCTCCCCGAAGAGTATCCCATGGCGCCCCCGAAGGTGCGATTTCTGACCAAGATATACCATCCGAATATCGGTGCGTCCGCTTGCGCGTGATCGAGGGAGCATGTTTTGAATGTTCTGGCGGGTCGATTGTAGACAAACTGGGTCGGATCTGTCTGGATATCTTGAAAGGTGCGTGTATTACTCATCTGAGCCTGCCTCCAAAGCCTCATTCCAGGTCGCCGTAGACAAATGGTCCCCAGCCCTGCAGATCCGAACAGTCTTGCTATCGATTCAGGCGCTATTAAGCTCCCCAAATCCCGATGATCCTCTCGCGACAGACGTAGCGAAGCACTACAAGGAGAACGAGAAGGATGCTCAGCGCGTGAGCCGGGAGTGGACGGAGAAGTATGCGTCGTAGACACCTCCCCTTCGATAGAAGGATCGGGCGATAGGCGGTGTAGGCACGGAGGAGATAGAAGTGACCAGATGTTGTAGGACTAGGTGTGTGTTATATGTTCTCTGCGATGCTGCGCTCGCTGTAGAGCTGGTGATATGTAACGAAAGTTATGATGAATGGCAAGAAGGCAGGGTGTCTCATCCTGACTCACGCGGCTGTGGGGATTGTGTACGAGCGCTTACAAGATGCAGGTCTGTAAATTACCTCCATACACCACGCTTGCCCCAGTCAGTTCTTTCAACGCTCGCGTGAACGCATATGTATTCCACAAACATAACTGACCAGACTTGATGAGACCTTGCTAGGCAGGCGTACGCAGAGAAGCTGTGGATGCGAGACAAGGGCATAGCTTTCGTGCAAGTTTTGAAGCAACCCCCGCGACTCCCGGATAGCAAGTATCAGATGTGCGTATCGATTCACTGACTCGTTGCCCTAGTGAATTGGAGAGTTGCCGTACAGATCAGACATAGACCATCAATCGATGTCGGGCCCGTCCCTCACGCTAAGTTTGTCCAGGTAGGATTATCCCTCCACGCCCTGGTTTGTCACGCGATGAAATCTGACTGTTTAATGTGTTGAGTGCTTGAAATGAGTCGAGGGTACGAGCACTGCCCTCACATGCACATTTCGCCTCCAAAGATTCACTTCTCGGATCCTCTTCTCAGACGTCCTTCACGACGCAACATGCACGCATCTGTGATGCTCATTCTTTGCTATTTTCTTACAATAATGCTGGGATCATTGCTGCGCCGATTGAATCGTGCGACGTGATGAGCGCATACGCCGCTGTGTCAAGGGATCTGACGGTGAGTACTGATGATTTGGCTGGCCACGCCCTGTTGTATTTGACGTGTACACACGCGCAACATGGACATCCTACCGCACACACGACCGTCCACACAGGCGGAGTATGCCCTCGGCCCGTTCTACAACGACCCTTCATGAGTACATATTCCCCCTTCTCCTTCGCCACCAACAGCCCATCATGCATCATGGCTCAGCCTCTACGATGGACACACATGCTAACTCTCGGCCTATCTTCGTAGATCGAGAATCCGATCCTGTGCGAGAAGTCACCGGGCAATCCAATTGAATGGATCTGCGTTCGAGACAAAAAAAAACAGACTCGGATGCGTCTAGGTCTCATGCGGATGGCGCAGCAGCGGGCAGCTCCGGGGGATCGTGCACAACTTGGAGCACATACGAGAAAATTTATGAGAAAGTGGGGAAGAAGCCCGGTATGCCTTGCAGCAGAGTCCGATAGCCTCCCCTGCGAGACTTACTTCGGTACAAATTGATTGTCGGATAGCAAAGGAAACTCAGGCTGCTGCCTGACAGGGGGTTGGTGGTCAAGGCGTGGACAGATCCCCAATCGGATGAAGGACTTTGGCTCATCATAGATGAATTTCTGCTCTACGGTGCATGGAACGTTTCCCGCACACATCCCCGTTTCCAGCCGCCTTAGTTATTCATCGGTTATGCTGCATCCTCGGTGACTGGTGTAGGAGTACCATCTGGCTTGCGACACTTGCGTCTATTAGCCCCTCCAGAAGACTCTAGGCATGCCAGATCATTTCATTAGACGAGTAGCAGCGATGTTCAAATGACAATAAACGGCATTTACAAACAAACACGCAGCGAGGCTGAGGTTCGTAAAGATTGTATGAATACTCGATTGTATGAATACGGATTATCTATGATCTCCTGTTACGCAGCTCAGGCCGTCGCAGTGGACATGGGAGTGCGATTGTATGGTAATAATCGTGTTTCGACCTACACTATTCAGCCACTGAACAGATTTTGGGAGAGTACGCCAAAGTAGGGAGGGGCTGACTCATCAACTTGAGAGACGGTGGTCACTCAGCGGCACATAACATGAGAAGGGAAGGTCCCGTTTAGTCCGCCTGGAGGGCTTCATCCGACGTCACAAGCTTCTGACCGGGGTGGCGAGAACGGATGTGGTCATTGAGCCGCCACACACGAGAGAACGACTTGTCGCAATGCGCGGCGGGACAGAGGTAACGGGTGCCGATCGCACTGTGAAGGTGCTTCTTGAGGTTCTCCAGGCGCACGGTGTGGTCTGCACCGCCCGCGACTCTGTCCGGACAGTCTCTCCAGAGGCAAACGACGTCATACCGTCCCGGCTTGCCCTGGTACTCCTGGGGTACGACTACATGGTCGCGTTTCACATGCTGGGGAAGGTCCTTCCGCGCGAGGAACTTGTTGCAGCCTTCCCACTTGCAGGCGATCGAGGACGGTGACGAGCCCTCTCCCGCGTCAGCGGCGTTGGCGATCGTTGTCTCTGGTTCAACGGCCGGCGCCGCTTTTACACGCCGTCGCTTTGAAGCCCGGGGCTCCTTGTCTTGGCCAGCGTCGATAGGTGCACGGCGCTTACGCGTGCGTTGTAGCGCGGCGGAGCTACCCTCCGGAACGTAGTCCTCGTCGTCAGCCTCGAGCTTCATCTCCACCCGAGCCGCCTCTTCTTCGCTGTCGGACGGAGAGGCAAGGATGGGCGTCGCCGTTCTACGCAGCCGCTTCGAGGATGCCGGCACTACTGACGCCTGTCTCTTGCGTTTCTTGAGCACCGTTGATTCGGGAGGCTGCATGCTGTGCAGCCGGGGGCCAGGGACATCAGTTTCGGTACCAGACAAGCGTAGGCAGATCACTCACTCAAGTGCAGGCCGCTTATTGACGCTGCTTGGGCCCGCTACGGGGCGAGTCGCCTTCGCGTGGTCGAGGTCACGGCGAACCCCCTTGACAGCATCGGGTAGTGCCATTGACCTCCCCTTAGACGGTCCAGCTACTGGGGCAGTCTGTAAGCCAGCACGGACGGTAGACTCCGGGGCACCATGTCTGCACACCGAAGATCAGCGTGCTGCCGCAAGGCGAGAGATGACTGTGTAACCCACTGTGTTCTTCCCGCCGATGCATGAACGCCCTTGTACGGTTTGGTCTTACCGTAGTTTGCAAACGGCGGTCGGGCAGGCGACGAGAGGCGCAGGAAAGGAGGAGGCAGTCTCTGGGGTGCATGCCTGATGTAAATTCAAGTCAGTAACACGCTGGCTCACCGAGCAAAATAGGCAAATTACCCTCGAGACGAACTGGGTCGGGACGCGACCGGCGCATCCGCTGAAGCTTCCGCGGCCATCAGTCCTTCCGAAAGCGTATCGAAGTCGGGGATGACGGGCTCGTTCTCAGACACCGTGCGCACAAACGGTCGTCTGTGGCCGGTACAAACGATCTCCTCTTCGTCATCCCCGGACTCTGATTCACCGTCACTACTAGTAGTCCAGTCGTCGTCGCTCTCGTACTCGACTGCTGGCTTGTTCAGCTGAGTCCTGCAGAGAAGTAAGTAAGTGGCCGCTGAATATATAGGAATGCACTTACGAGGTGGCCTCCGCCTCAAGCTCTACTGACTCGTCACGGATGACTTCGTCATCCGACGTGTCCTTGGAACCTTCGTCGTACTGAACCTCTCTGTTGCAGTAGTCGAGCACCGTTAGAGTGGGTTATATGATGATATAGCTGTGCCGCGGACTCACTCCTCCGCGAGGTCTTCACGCTCACTCTCGCCATCGTCGTCGTTCTCCGAGGCGCTGCCATCTTCGTATTCGCCCTCGTAGCTCTCGTCTTCCTCGGAGTCTGAGTAGATCGACACACGCTCGGCCTCTTCGTCAACCAGGTATGCTTCTATATATTTTCGCTGGACCCTGCTCCAGCGCCTTCACCGGTGAATCAGTAAGACCATCGCAGACGAACAACCGTGACATTGAACTCACTTGCGAGTCGGTGACAGAACGATGCTGTCGAAGTACTCCCGTTGGGCAGCGGAGTCCGGCATGTGCCACCGCGTGCTATAATACGACTGAGGACGCGGCGAACAGTGGCGGACGGAGAGGACTCACAACTCGCTTGGATCCGGGTCAGGAAGCATTTCGGGAGGTACGAGTGTGAGCAGGACCCGAGCCTTCGTCATGGTGTGCTAAGATCAGGAGTTGAGAGCAGTCAAGGTTGGCTAGTCTAAGTAGAGGCGAAGTTGCTGGTCAGCAGGTCGGAAGCCTTTGGGTTCAGGTGGGGGTTCAGACAGGAGGGCAGACGGGGGTGGGTGCGAACAAACGCGATGCAAGGAAGAAGGCAGGTAGGCGGCCTTTGTACTACGGGCCACGACGGTTCAAACACCGCGGCGCCTGTGCACAATGCAGGACTTATAAGGGTCCCTATGTACGCCCCGTGGGAAGGCCAGGCGCAAAGGCCATTCGCACGCACTCGAGGGACAGGTGGCCCCGAGGCCTGAGTGGCGGAGGACAATAGCGAACAATGCAAGCGTGCTTACGTGAGGGACTGGGATGTGTGGCCTCCCAGGGCTAGCCGCCGGTGCGGCCACTCTGACAGGGGCCACTCGCTGCTAGGGCCCTGGACAATGCAAGCCGTGAATAGATTTGAATGGCGGTCATACGCGTGCATGGTTTAATACCTGTGGCCGCCGCGTGGCAAAGGTCAAGGCCGTTCTGCCGAATCCAACAAAAAATCCAGTGTCCTCGTATACTCGAGGTGTATCAACGGGGGAGCGCACCGAAAAGCTGCTGGGTGGGCGACACGCTAAGCGGGTAAGGCCGAGACTCGTACTCCGCCTGAGCCATCTGGGTGGGCCAATAAAGAGCTGTTCAGTGACGCTGTAGCATCGGTGAGAACGGTGTCACTTGCGGAACGAACGCATCACGTACCGTGTCAATATCGTATGATAAATCGCCTTCATGTAGACCAAGCTTGTCTCCTGAATATAGTGATCTCGCAGTGAAATCTCGCAGTAATCATGAATCATAGGCCAACACTGGTATAAGCTTGGAACGTTGTTTATGACGAACAGTGACTATCGTAGGTATCTCAAAATACAGTAACAATCCATTGTAAGGGATACAAGCTAGAAGAGTGTCTGTGTTCATACTACACAACACTGGCGAATCTGCAGTTCAGGGGTATAGTGCTCTGTATGCTACAACCACTCGCCGAAGCCAGTTGTATGGCTTCGGAGGGAACACGGTATTGAGAGACGTAGCAGAGCTCGCGCTCGCGCACGACGCGGGTGATGTCATCGAATCATCCGTTCGAGCAGAATCGCAGCTGGTGTGGATTCTGCGGACGTGCGACATGAGGGTATCGAGGCGCAGAGTCGGACGTTTCCTTGCCAGCAGGAGACCGTCGCGTGCACGACTAGGTGCGACTGCAAGGGCGCGTATGAGCAATGGGCATGACAGATGCGAACAGGACACACCAGACTGTTCTTCGTCAACACTACGGTATTCTTCGGAATCTTCTGCTGGATACTCCGACCTGTATACCATGTGAGCTGAGATTATCGCATCTGTTCAATCAGCTGCGTACCATGGCTTTGCTCCATTATGCAGAGGCGCAGAGCACTCGTCGTCTGGCAATCCGGCGTAGACACGGCCCCAGACGGTTGGAGATTCTTGGGAGTTGCGAGGATCGGCACTGCTGGTATGCCTCACGATTTGTCTCGTGATATGGATCTGTACCTGGACTTTTGGGCTTCCAGTACTGCCAGTACCATCCGAATCAGAGGAGACCAATGAAGTTTTCGTGTCGTGATACATCTTCAGGCGGGCGGAGGACGGATGGTGGACTCGCTGGCTTGCGACGCATTTTGAATGCTATCGAGTGGGCCAGGCGCTGAGATGCACGAGATGAGTCCCTGTTGTTCCGTATCCCGGTAGGTGGGTGGGATACCTACGTAGCTGAATGCCACCCGTACGCGTATTCGCAGGCCGTGGCGCAGCGTATTGCCAGCGACTCCTCTATGAGGTCGTCGACATCTTCAAGCACTCACTTATTGGATTGTGGATACCATATGTTGCGCCACTCCGAATTATGGATATGTCTAGCTCTCATGGCCCGGATTGATGTCGTAACGCTTTGGGCGATGGCTTATTAGGGTTCTGTCAGCTGCGTAGCCACCACCGCGGACAAGTACACCATCCGAGGCAGAAATCCGAGTCCAAATCTCAGTTCTGTATCTTTGAATAGCCACAGATAGTCTCGCAGAGGATCAATGCGTTTGAAGCTCAAGAGCGAGAAAGATAGAAAGCGGATGAACCGTCAGTATTGCTGGTTGTTATGGGCGCTCGACAGTCCTTGAAATCAGCACGTGGTAAGAACAGCGCGAACCACTCACCGCCTCGCCACAACCTTCGACCATCTTGTCTCCTCCTCCTCCGTCCATGTCGCGGTCGTCCCTCGAAGATACTCCCGGATACTACTCGTCTGCTCTCCACCAGATCCGCGAGAAAACAGCTTCTGTACCCCAATCTTACTCGCATGATGACCCCGACCTCCGGGAGCGGCTGGTTCCGAGTGTGCGCGTCTCGATCTTCGCTCCCGATTTGACAACCACTTACCCTCAGAGCAGGTGAAACCTCCAGCCACACACACTCCTAATGACCAGGAGTTCTACGTGCCAGATGTCCAGGCGGGGGTACACAGACCGAACGTCAGGCTCCTGCGCGACCACTTCTTCGACGAAGGACGCCTCACCGAACCACAAGCCCTGTTCATCCTTGAACAGACCACGACGCTCCTCACGCAGGAGCCCAACATGCTGCAGATTGATGGACCAGTAACAGGTGAGTTGCACTAGCCAGTTCCATCTCACAAGGGTTCCTTCCGCGCCGACTACCATACGCCCCCCACTACATCGCACGCGATCCTTGATTCACCGCACCACTGTTTCATACTGCACGCGCGTCTCGCCCGATGCCAAGCAGGACCCGCATTATGTGTGAGGAGGCCCTCGCCGCGTGCCATTAAGGTGCTGGGCTGAGTAGAAGGGGCGGGACCAAGCAATGATGATATAGGCATATGCTAGCTTGTGCTTGCGGGAATACTGAGCGCAGCTTGGGCAGACGAGGGCGCGTCTCTCCGATGTGCCTTCGACGGCCGTCGATTCCATTCGTGCTCGTGGTCGCAACACCCTGACCATGCGTTCACCGAGATGTAACATACTACCGGGCGCTCCTGAAGTCCTGTGCTACTCATTTTGCGCGGACGTGCTGAGGTAGGGCCTGTGTTACGCAGTTGTCTGAATTACCCTCAGCATTTGGGCGGGCTAGAACTTTAGATCCCAATAGCTTGCTCGGGCATGAACCGTACCGATCCAATTTCGGTGTTCATTCGGGTTTAGGGATATATCCCTTTGCACTATCCGCTTTCTGGCTTACGTGCCAGAGCAGTGGGGCTTAAGGCGGGGGCACCGTGCTACGAGTAGAGCCCGGTGTGTCATCTGGCCAAAGGATGTACAAACCTGGGCAGAACACAGCTCTCCGATGGTCACTGCGAATTGTCGGGATGTTGGTCGGATGCAGGCGTGTGGAGAGCACCCATCCCATGTGCTCTCCTCTTCCTCGTTGTGCGTGACGGTCCCGGAACTGGACACACTCAGGTGCCCCAGATAGATGCGCGCTCTCAGGCTACATTCGCACACAAATGCTGGCGAGCGTTGTTATCACCCACTCAGTCACTATGATATGAAGTGTGTGATCGGGGCACCCACTTTCGACATTTACCGTCATGTTCCTCCTGTTTGGTGATCCGGAGCTGATATATTGCTGAACAGTGTGCGGAGATATTCATGGACAATATGTAAGTTCATGATTCTGGAGGTGCTCGTCCGGTTGCTGATTCAGGGACAGTATGACCTTATGAAGATATTTGACGTTGGTGGCTCGTTTGCGGAAACGAGCTATCTTTTCCTCGGGGATTATGTGGATCGTGGTTATTTCAGTATTGAAGTATGTCTGCCATTCGTGCCGTGCCCTCATTGCTCACTCACGTCGACCTCGCAGTGCTTGTTATATCTTTATGCACTAAAGCTTTGGTATCCCGATCGTCTCTTCCTGCTGCGTGGCAACCACGAATGCAGACATCTAACAGAGTACTTCACCTTCAAACGGGAATGCCTCCACAAGTACTCCGCGACGGTTTACGAGGCGTGCATACGCTCGTTCCAGGCGCTGCCCATCTCGGCGCTCTTGGACGGAAAGTTCTTCTGCGTACATGGGGGTATCTCGCCCGAGCTGATGAAACTGTCCGACATCGACAAGGTATGTAGAGCGCGCTCGTACTCGTACTGGGCGGAAGGCTGACTTGCAAGCGTAGGTTGACCGCTTTGTGGAGCCTGCATCTGTAGGCCTTTTGTGCGACTTGCTTTGGTCGGACCCAATGCCAGGTTATGGCGAAGAGGTGAGGAGGAGCCTTCACCCACCTTGTGCGTCGCTGATTGTACGGCACAGCATAAACCTACATATGAACGTCCGCACGGGGTCGCACCCGGTACCACGTTCGAACCCAATCACACACGAGGATGCAGTTTCTACTTCACGTGAGTTGACATCCCGTCTTCTAGCCGCATCGCTGACTTGTCGCAGGTATGAGGCTGCGTGCCAGTTCCTCGAGCGGAACCACCTCCTGGGTATATTCAGAGGGCACGAGGCTCAGGATGCGGGGTACTGCATGTCTTATCCACCGTACTTTCCGGACAACCGGAATGGGCTGACTCGTCTCGAACGCGTTTTCAGGTACACAATGCACCGCAAGACGCCGACGAAGAAGTTCCCGTCGCTCATCACGGTGTTCAGCGCGCCAAACTACCTGGACGCGTACCACAACCGCGGCGCGATCATCCGGTACAAGGACAAGAGCATGACGATCCGCCAGTACAACGCGACGTCGCACCCATACTGGCTCCCGAACTTCATGGACGCGTTCACGTGGTCGCTCCCGTTCGTCGGTGCGAAGATCACGGAGATGCTCCTCGCTATCCTTGCGGTGTGCTCAGACCACGAGCTCGAGGAGGCGAGCCATACGTCCTCGGAGGAGGACGAGGATCGCGCGAGGACGTTGGCAGAGATCGAAGAGGACGACGAGGATCGCGCTCATCCGAGCGAGAGGAGACAGGAAATCAAGAACAAGATTCTGGCTGTAGGCAAGATGCAGCGCGTATTCCAGCTACTCCGGTATGTACTCCATGCTATGCGGCTACGCCCTAGGGGAACTCAGCGCTGTTGTGTCACAGACAAGAAGCGGAGAGCGCTACGGAACTCAATCCTTCTATGCCAGGAGCCCTGCAGGCACCTGGTGCATGGCCTGGCGGCTTTGCCCCACCTACTCCCGCGCCTGACGCGCTCGGCGTGCAGACCGCCAACATGCGACGGTACATCCGGTCCTTTGACGACGCACGGCGGTCCGATATCGCGAACGAACGACTGCCCCACTACGCGCCGGCCTTGCTCCCATTTGTACCCGTGCCGAGCATGCGACTGCCGGGGCTTGGGAACGGTGAAGAGGGCCATGAGGAGCAGGTCAGCATGGAGGTGTTGATCCGGCACGCGCTGGAGGAGGAGGGTCTCAGTGATGGAGGCGTCGTGGAGCGGCTCGCAGAGAGGATCGCACGAGGGCGAAGGTCGGGCGGAAGGCCGAGGGGGTTGAAGCGCTTCGAAACTGCGCCGTGAGGAAGGTACTGTAAACATCATCGAACGACTGTCTGTTGTTGTACCGTGTATCGTGTTGTCCTTTACTGGATACCCTACGCTGTGTGTCTCGCCTGTTGTGTTTACGAATCAGTGCGTTGGATAGGATGTATTCAGTTTATTATCCGGTGCTCTCGTGTATATCTGTTGGGATGAAATAATCAAACGAAGTGCATCGCTACCTTTTGCTACAATGCGCAGCGATTGTTCGTTACGACGGGACATCGATACGAAGCCGCCCCATGGTTGTCTCATGTGTGCACAATGGACCAGGTCGGACTGGCACAGCCTCTGTTGGGACAAAGCAGGGGGCGTTGAAAGGGTATATAGGGGGCGGTTGCAGCCGTCCAGAACAACGTAGGGTGCCTCTCCGAGTAGCCGGCCCTTCGTACAATAGCAACATATGTACACTAGCGTGTCTGGCATGTCTTTGTGCGACGGCATGGTTAGGAGGAATGGTAACGAAGTTACCATTACTGCTAACGATGCACCGCCTAGAGTGATTGCCACACATCGGTGTTGTAATGTTGTACGCTATAGTAGAACAGTGCGCTATTGTGACCCTATGCCGCCTCATTGTTTTGGGCCTGTGGCCAATGTGGCACCGCCACCCCCAAGTTTGGTCAAAGAGGCAGTGGCTCGGATGCGTGACAAAGACAAAGCGATGAGATGAACGTATCTGGTCTTCATTTCGTTGGGTCAAAGCGGGCTGCGCTCACTCATCATGACGTGGTGACATGAGTGGTCATACGTACCGATGCGCTTGATGTAGTAGTGGCTTCGCCCATTGTCCCTAAAGAGTCAGTCAAAGCGCGTCCCTGATCCCTGAAAGGGGCCACCGCCACTGGTCAAAGCGTACGCGTGTCTCAAAGCCACATCGGTGCCACAACGCCACAGCTGTGGCCCAAAGCGGCACGCCGTGCACAGTATATAAGGAGCTCTGCAGAGCAGGGAGAGAGCATCAACCAACGCCTCCGCCTTTCGACTGACAAGAGCCATCGCAGCGAATGCGAAATGGGCACAGAGGACGCGGAGACGATATGGAGGTGTGGTACGTCATGCACCACGCCCCCATATCTCTCCTTCGTCGCCTTCGAGGTAAGGCGAAGGGCGCGGACGCCGTTCGGCGACATGGTTAGGAGGAATGGTAACGAGTGTTACCATTACTACTAACGATGCCGCCGTGCGGTGTTCGCCGACAGTTTGCTGAGCAGCGAGGTGTGTGCTACGTGGGGCCCCGGCTGGCGACGTGGTTAGGAGGAATGGTAACGAGTGTTACCATTACTACTAACGATGCCGCCGCTCGGGCCCGCTGTGAGTGTTCTTCACGCTGCTTGGTGCTAGGTCGACTCCCGCTTGGATTCGTCTTGGAGGAGGGGCAGGCTAAGCATGCCTTTACGCGGCGCCGTGGTTAGGAGGAATGATAACGAGTGTTACCATTACTGCTAACGACGCTGTCTCGTGGAGGACTGTGCAGCCAGTCAAGTTTGGTCACCGGGGAAGGGGGGTGAACCGCCGCAGTGCTGTTTGGTGTAGTGGGTCACTTCATGGGGCCTCGTTCATGTAGGCTTGAACGCTTCGCGCATGAGCTTGGAAATACAAGAATTATTTAGTCGTACTTACACCGTCAAGGAAGGGATTGGCCCCACCAAGCATTCCTATGATGCGACAGACGGCAAAGACAATCATTGCGCTGTCCCAGGCTCGCTTGGGGATTGGAAGTTGTGTAGCATTGAGAACGACCGGAGTCCGCTTCATGGTCAATACACCATCCAGCATCAATGAAGAATGTAATCATACGTTACAGTTACTCAGGATGCGGCAGTCTTAAACATCTGATGGCCCATCTGCAGATGAGTCGCTCGAGGTGTTTTCGTTGCTATCACGTTTGACGGCGGAAGGCGACAGCGCCTTGCCGAATCATCTATCCCAAAGCATCGTGATCTCGAGAAAGCCTGGTACTGTAGACGCCGCGTCGGTCGCGCAGGTCGACCCGTCGGACGTAGTTGACGACTTCCAAGATGGCGGCCCGTTGCGCAGCGACCTGCGAACCGCCTCTGTGAACGGTCAGTAGCGCCCTTCTGTAAGATTGATAGGAACGTGCGCTCCCTGTCGCAACCCCATGACCAAAGCATCGCAAGAAGGCAGACTCGCCTGTGAGAGCCTCAAATAGCCATGCCGGCCAGTTCGCTATGCGGAAAATTGGTCAATCCATACAGCGGTATGTGTCTTCCGTGTTCCATTCTTCGTCCACAGGTCAAGCATCTGTCAGCGCCCAGAGCGGGAATCAGTTCATAAACAGGCCGCAAGCATATCAAGACCACTCACTGGGCGAAGCAAAAACAGAATGGACCCGGACTCAGATCTACCCATACAATTGCATCAATCATGTCAAGTATAAGGAGGTATCAAGACATTGTCACTGGCAGTGCAACGACGCACATGCGTGCGTAGCGATCCGGCGTTTGACAACCGCTGTGGAACTGTGTACTGATAGTATCAGAGAACAAAGGAAGACGTCAACCAGGAAACAGGGAGTCCGAAGTACGGTACCTATTCCTGGCTCGTGGGTAGACCGGGAATAGAATGCCGTAACAAGTTCGAATTGACTGGGAAGCGATGAATTCCTGTTGTGCGGTAAAACCTTGGAAAGGACACCTTCGCGCGGGAGAGGGAAGCGGATGAGCAGCGCCTGGTTGTTCGGAATGGCGTCTGAGGCTAAGTGGCATAAAGCGTCGACAAAGCTCTCCAGTGAGGGCCAAGGCTCGGCATGACCCGAGACCAAAGTACTGTCCAGGAATAGCAACTGCTGTGGTTAGGCCCACCAGCCACATGCCCGAATGTTCCCTGCAGAATTGAGCAACGACACCCACCCCAACACGACCCATTCAAAACAACAAACGTCACCGCAGCCAAAACACACACTGCTTCATACTGACTGCCCAAGCACAGACCGGGCCGTTCGACGGTTACTGACAAGTTCAATCATCACACCATTCAAATCGAGTTCAGCAGATATTATTCGTGCTCTCCTGGTACGGTATGTAGCGATCGTATTAGGTATCGGAAGGTACGTAAAGACGTAGCACCTGTTGAATGGAACACCGTCAGTGACTGGAGACAGTAAATGCCAGTGAAGCATACCTTAAAGGGTGATACCGAGGATGCTGACGAGGACAGTGACCTTGAGGGTCGAAAGCACACCGACAACGTCGCCGAGGAGGCTGACCACAAGAGAGATCACGCCACCGAGGAGGCCGTTGACGAGCATGACGATCGCGCAGATCAGGCAACCGAGAACCTCGCTGTTCATCGGCTTGTCAGAAGTGGAGCAGCCGCGACAAGGCAAAGCACTCACACAAGGGAACCAAGCAGAGCAGTCACGCACTCGGACGCATCGGACGAGACGACAGCGAGCACAGCGGAGACAGCCTCGAGAACAAGCTAGAGAGACCTATGAGCGACATGCCCTCAACAGGGAGCAAAGAAACCTACCTCGATAAGGCCGACGACGGCGGACGCAACCTCATCAACGGTGAGGAGCGCACCACCCTCGACGCCGAGGATGACATCCTGAGTCTGGCCAACGAGGGCGTTGATCTCGGTCAAAGCAGACCCAATCGCACCCTTGATGTTGACAACAATGGGCTCAAGCGCCTCGAACGTCGCGTTGTCGGCGGTCACGAACTCTGATAGAGGAAGTCAATGGTCAGCTCATACCCATTGCAACTGAGTGAAGGAAAGCTTACGGAGCTGGTACGTGTACTGCGTAATCGTCGTGTGCGTCTCGTTAATGATCTCGACGACGTTCTTCTGGTCACGGCGAGCAATGCCGTTAACCCCGGACACGGTGGGAACAACGGGAACCGAGGGGATCGCGTTGACGTTGGTCGCCGCGTTGGTGTCGGCGATGGCGGGGGCCGCAGACGTGAAAGCGCCGAAGGCGAGAGCAGCGAGGACGGAGATGCGGCTGAAGGAGAGCATTTTGAAAAGAGTGTGGGGAGTGCGTGAGGCTAACAAGAGAGAGAATGAGACGAGGAAGGTTGACTAGGTCAATGCTGTCCTGGTCCTCTCGCGCTCCCTTTTATCCTCTCCCGGCGGGGTCCGTGCACCGTGCACAGAGACCAGTCGGATGCGTGCGTCCTTGCCGTGGCTGATGGAGGGCCTCTGCCGTGATCTGCCTTAGTGCGTGACGCGCAGAAGCAGGATACTGGGCGTTAGGCGGCTTCGCGTAGGGTGCTTCCGAGTGATCGATTCGGCAGAACTTGTCGGGGCACAGACGCGGGAAACGTTCCCGCCTCGCCGCTGCCTCGTTCGTTCGAGAGCAGAAAATTCCCTGTAAGCTGTTCGTGCCAGGTTTCAACGTGTTATATTGGCGGTTTTCCAAGAGCAGAGGACAAGGACGAACTCAAAAGCAGTCTCGGTGTACTGTAGACTACTCACGGGACGTGTACGACTGTATCCGACGGACGTCGGTGCGGCTATATTGCTGCTTCGCGAAGTCCCAGTGGAGCGGCATAAACAGCGACTGACCTGTTTTGATGCCATGGTAACTCCCCACTGTTCAGACCTGACGGCCGTAAGCCAATGAAAGCACCCCACGGAGACCGCTCACCGACGCTGCGGTACAGACGGAGACCCTGGCTTGCACGAGGCTATTACGCGACCCCAGGGACACAGCGTTATAATTGGAAGCCGCGGACCAATTTGTTGCAGAGGCCGAAGCCAGTCAGAAGCGGTAAACGGCGCGATATGAAACGGGGCGCTCTGCCGGCGGAAGAGCGTCGGTATGAAGGATCAGCGGCTAAGAGGTAGATTACATTTACAGTTAGCTCCCGCCGCCTCGGTAACGCTAAGTTGTGAAGCGATCCCATCAGCAGGTTTGGGGTCATGACGGCGCCGAGCCCGTTGCGAAAGTGTCTCTCCATCCCGTGGGGTGACCCGCGTCATCGAGCCGCTCGCCCGCCCAGCGCGCGATGGGTCTCGAGACCGCTGCTCGTTGTGAACGACAACGGCTCTAAACTCGAAGTGCTACATATACTACTGGTACCGCTGCTCGCCAAACAGTTGGGGAGAGGGGCAACGCAGCTGCGAAGATAACGAGGGTCGAGTGAAGCGATGGGGTCAGATGACGGCGAGGTGGATAAGCAGACTGCGCCGCAAGACTTTGTAGTAGTATGTACGCTTAGAGGACTCGCCTGCATTCCTGCAAGGATCCACGAGGATAAATATTGAATATGTGCGTACGACGTGTGGTAGTATTCAGTCCAATAACCGGACTATGAGGGAGAAGTCGAGCTGAGGGCGGGACGTGGGCAACGTGGTGATGGTGAGAGTGGTGTTTCGCGCCAACAAAGGAAATCGCCAGTAGAGGCTGCAGCATAACATGTACAAACAACCGCCGCCACTAGCACGCCGGCATCTCCCGACCTACGCCACCCGCTGTGGCGAGAACCTGACCGTATCGCTCTAAGTCCCTGCTGGACTCGGACTCTGCTGCCATGTCTGGGATTCTGCCTTCAATCGAGAACTTTGCAAAAGTCAGTCGCGAATGTGAATGGTGTAGAACTGAGACTCATCTGCGGTCTGCAGGCGACTGCCGCGACCGCCGCGGGACTAGGGACTGTCGGTATGTGCAAGTCTCTTCAAGCAGCTGGACTTATCATGAAACGCGGCGTGCAGGCGTCGGCCTGCTCTTCTTTGGTCAAAACTACCTCATTTATCCGTCCGCATTTCCCCCGGGCTCTCGCACAGGTGCGTGAGGCGTCCAGGTCTCAACGTGGTCACAGAACGTGTCTGACACACGAGACACTCAAGAGGTTCCGACACCTATCGACTTTGGTCTCGAATACGAAGCCCCGGAGCTGATAACATCGGACGAAGTGAGGCTGCGATGCTACCTTCTTGCACAGAAGAAGGACCTGAGCAACCTTGGCGGGACTGCGGTGGATCTGCCCGAGCAGTCGGACGAAGAGGTATGTGATCTCCATCGCTCTTTGAGGTCCCGCGTCTCGTTGTCCGGTATCTGCACCCACTCCCTTGGTCGTCCGACTGTCGATCCCGTCTTCCGCCCTGCGACTTTCGTGGTGAGGTTTTGAGTGCCCGCTGAGTGAAGACTGGCCGCTGGACATGGTCTTATGCTGGACCCTACGGAGCTGGCCGGCGTGCACATGTGGGGGCGTCCTTCCACGAAGCCTACCAGAACATGTCAAGCTGGCGTGTTCGTAAGCATCCGATCTGGTACGCCCAATATTATTGTGCAGTGTCATTCACCACGAGTGTGCTGCGCGAAGACGGTCGCATTTCGGAAGCATGGGCGCGCAACATATTCGTAGGGTCACATTCACAGCGGTGCAGATATCCGAAAAAGGACTAAGTCGTCTCGCGCCGTCATGTTCAGCGTCATGCGTCCGCGTACGCAGGTGAAGACCGCACATCGCGTCTTGACGTCCTCGACTAGAGTTCATCTCGTCTGTGCGAGTGTCCGTGAGCCTTAACAGCCTCTTCGCGCAAGGCAGTCTTCCTCTTTCAACATCTCATGATCGTATTCATTCCTGCGACTCTTCACTCCTATCTGATTCTCTGTATGTCATCGAAGCTAAAGCTCACTCTATCACCTCTCGGGAACACAGTATGCAGCAAGCCAACCTATAGTGATGATGTTCCACGGAAACGGGGGCAACATCGGACATCGGATACCCCTTGCCAAGGTGTTCTACATGAAAATGCGATGCAATGTCTTCATGCTGTCTTACCGAGGGTGCGTCCGCAACGTGGTTCTGTGCTGTATCGATACCGATGAGCGATCCCGCAGGTACGGCCACTCGGAAGGCGCGCCGTCAGAGAAAGGTACGACCTCCTTCGGGATACGGTCGATGCTGTCGATCCATATCTGACCTCATCAATGTGAAGGTCTGCAGACGGACGCGCAGTGTGCGCTTGACTTCATCCGTGCACACCCCTTCCTCTCCAAGTCGCCTATCGTACGTAACGCGCCCCCCTCTTACATACCGCCGCGCCTTATCTCGTCATCCCCCTCCAGATTTTATACGGTCAGTCCATAGGCGGTGCCGTAGCCATCGATCTCGCGAGCCGAAATGCCCACGCAGTACGTATCCTCCCTCCAACCACCGCCTCACCTGCCCACCGCTGACCCGCCCGCGTGCCGCTAGATCCGCGCACTCATCCTCGAGAATACCTTCACCTCCCTCCCGCGCCTCGTGCCGAGCGCATTCCCGTTCCTCGGCCCGTTCGCCTTCCTCTGCCACCAGAAGTGGGACTCCGCGTCGAAGGTCCCGCTCATCCCGCGCGGCATCCCGATCCTCATGCTCAGCGGCGCGCACGACGAGGTCGTCCCGCGTGAGCACATGCTGGACCTCTGGGAGATCGTGCAGAAGCGCACGCACGCGGACAAGGGCGCGGAAACCGGGACGGTGCAGAACGGGAGGCGTGTGCATTCAAAGTTTGTGGAGTTTGAGAAGGGGACCCATAGTGAGTGATGATGTTTGCTTCGATTCTTGGGGAGGACGGCGCTAAATAATTGGTTGACTCCCTGCAGATGATACGTGTGTGCAGCAGGGGTACTGGACAAGTATCGCTGAATTTGTCCAGGCTCTGCAATGATACAAGTTAGTGGAGCCCTATCCCGTGCTGCTTTCGGGAATGTTTGCCACTGTCGTGTTACTCTAACGTCCTCGCTGAGGCAATACCTCACCTACATATATACACTCTCACTGCCGTCTATTTCGGATTCCCCTTCACATGTAACAGTACCGTTCTCTCTTTGTGTGGTGTGCCAGGTAGCCGCGTGACATTGTCAATATTAGAGTGCCTGGCTGTCAGGTCGTTTTGATTTTTGCGAATGCTGAGAAATCTGATATTGATACAACCTGTCTCGTCGGCTATACTGTTAGTCAACTGTTAGTACAGCAGTCTGTCAGTCCCAGCTCCTTGAGCTTAGACTGGCGCCCGCCGTTGCTGTCTAGTAGAGTTGTACTCCTGTTGTGGCATTATAGCATTGCGAGCGAAACTGCTTTCCAAGACTGATGCTCACTCGTGCGATGATCAGTCATGTCACTGCAAACAATCCAACTGATTTTGCCAGCATTTACTTGAAGTCTACTCGCTATTGGATGGCGTTGTGGCGTCAGTCCAAATCGAGTATCGCACAGGCGCCGATGCATTTCATGGTCAGTACATGTAGTTAGCGCTCAAACCACTGTTGTTGGTGTACCGTGACATTGACTTTCGTTTTCGAGACCTTACACCATCTGTGGTCGCTAGTCATATCATGCAGGTAGGGTGGAATATCTCTGTGGCTTGCATCATAGTTGACTCTTGTCTTGTAGGCCGAGAACGCTGCTGCTGCTTCGACCTCGACCTCGGACAATGACTGGGTCAAGCTGATCAGCAAAGACGGTTACACTTTCTTGATCCGTCGGAAAGTCGCTATGAACAGTGGCACTCTCAAGAACATGGTGAGTGTAGAGAGTAAGTGGCATTTGACACCCTGAACGTGCTAGACGTCTCGTCTCACCCGAACGACAGGCAACTTCGCTGAGGCCGCCACAAATACCTGTACCATCGACGATCGGTACAGTGCCTCATTCAGTTATTCCTTCGTTGTACTAGTCTGATGTCAGTGGTTCAACAGTGGCATTATAGTCGAGAAGCTGTGTGAATATTTATCGTACAAGAACCTCTATAAGGATTCCCCACCAAAGGAGATACCCGACTTCCTAGAACGCCTGCAGCCCGAGATCGCTCTCGATCTGTAAGTCAATGTAGTAGACCATCGTCCATCCACACACTCACGCAATGCTAGACTCATGGCTGCGGACTACTATGAAGGCGAGTGCTCATGCATATGGCAACCCAACGTCATCATGTTGACCCTCTGGTTCAGCATGACGGCGCTTCATTCACGCGCAGTGCATTCGGAACTTGTATACAAACAGGATATCATTGCCAAAGTCGATAACAATATGCGTAATGCGTGACATGGAGTTGTCGTAGTCATAATCATGTGTCGTGAGCAGGTAGTTCGGGTTACGCAAGAAAGAGGTGTGGTACTAGCAACGCAACGCAGATAGTCAGTGAGGCAGGTATCGAGAGTTTGAGGCAGCACCATAACGATACATCAACAAGCAGAGATGTGTAATGATCCCCGGCGTGCGGAATCAAAGCGGGAGAGAAAGGAGGAATATCGAGACATACACATGGCTATCCGCACATAAGACAGAACAAGGAGAGAAAAGCAACCGCCTGTACGACAAGGTCCGTGTGATCACTTCCGGGGTGAGCTCACCGGTGAGCCCATTAACACCGAGGATGCTGGACGCTCGAGACGACTCCTGAGCCGCTCAACTTCCCTCTCGAGGCTTCAAGTAACGACCATCAGTCGGTGGAGAGGCAATAGAAGGGGCAAGCAGAGACTTACTTCAATGATTTCTGGCGCAAGTCGGCGTTCTCGCGTTCCGCGCGGCGTTTCGCCAGCTGCAGGCTGTTCTCGGAGGTTTGCTACACACAAGCCGTCAGTCATTCATAGCCCGGAGAAAGACTGAGTGGCTACTCACCAACTCGTCCATCGCTTGCCTCATGCTCGTAATCTTGCCCTCATACGACCTAACCTCTTCCTCGAGGCGCTGTCGCTGCCGCTCGGCTTCCGCGAGTTGAAATCGTGCGTCGCGGGCGGTCTTGTCTACAGAGCGATGCAGGCGCGAGCTGTCCTTGGAGGTCTGGTTGAGCTGGTTCGTCAGCTCCTCAATGCGACTCTCGAGCCGCCGCGATGTCGTTGCCGATGGCCGTGGCACGTTCAGCGACTTCGTCTCCAGATCGACAATGCGCAGATTTAGCTCCTTGATCTGCTTCTCGAGGTTTGCCTGAAGAAGGGAAGATCAGTAAGCCACCAGTGAATCAGCTCTGTGAAGAGTCGGTGTTTCTTACATTCAGCTTGTCGAGCTCCGAGTTCTCTACACGAGTCTTGCCCAGCTCGACCTGGCACTCCGTGGCGTAACCCTCGGCCTTCTTCATCCTCTCAAACGCCATCGCAACCCGATCGTTCTGCTCCTCTAGCGAACGCTCGAGGTCTTGCTTCTCCAGTCGGAGCTTCTGCAGCTCGGTCTCTGACGACATCTTCGTCGAGTCCACAGAGTCGAACTTGATCGCCTCAAGCTCCGCCTGTAGTGCACGGCGCGCCTTCTGGAGGAGTGCACGGTCCGCCTCTGCGTCATTGAGCACACTGCGCAGCTCGCGGACCTGAGAGTGCAGCGAGACAATCTGCGACTGCTGCTCTGCCTGTGCGGCTGTTGACGAGTCGTACGCCTTGGTGAGGTCTTGGATCTTGGTCTCCAGACGCTCCTTGTCCTTCTTCCAGGACCCACCGTTGTACACCTCTTCGTCGAAGCGGAGCTGAAGCTCGTCGTAATCGGACCGGATCTTCCGATTTTCCTCGCGCAATCTGCTCATGCTGTCGCGCTGCGACTGCATTTCTGGAACAATAGCATATTAGCGAAGTAATGATAAGGTCAAAGGAAGGTCGCGCATACCCTCGCTCAGCTGCGCAAGCTCCGCTGCAAACGTTGACTTGAATGAATGAACTGATCCCGAGGAAACGGTACAACACACCTTGATACTTCTTGCGCGTCTGATCCGCCGTGAAGTCTCGTTCCGCCAACTCTTCTTGGTGGTGCTTGCGCTCGTCTTCCATTTCCTCTGCGAGGCGTTGACGAAGCACCTGCAGATCAGACGATTCTCTGCCTTCTTCGTCCAGCCTTGCCTCAAGTTCTCGAGTGCGGGCCTCGGCGGTCTTAAGGCTCTCTTCAGCTGCATTCCTCTCAGCCACTGCATCTGCATGAGCCTTCTCCGCGTCTGCTAATGCGCGGCGCGCTGATACAAGCATCAGTTACCAGATGATCAGACGGAGACCGCGGCACATACAGTGCGATTCTGCACGAGCAATCTTCGCTTTGGCTATCTCCGCCTCTTCGAGCTTCTTGATGTAAGATTCCACCTTGACTTTGTAGGTCTCAACGGCCTCTTGTAGCTCTGCCGTACACACGGGTCAGTATATGACGAGTAATCCAATGCTGCCCTGAAGCACCTGAGTGGATGGTCGACGAAGCAGAAGATGTGATCTCCAATTCTTGGAGCCGTGACTGCAGCTCTCGTCTGGCATCTACGGCTCAATTAGCATGTGTTCACCACGAGCGCCTGCAAGCTTACTGGTCTCTCCATTCTTGGCGACGATCTCGACCTCCAGACGGTCCTTCAAGTCCACAATCTCAGCCTGCATCTGCTTCTTCGTAGACAACAGCTCCTGCACTTGTCGGCGCTGGTCTTCCAGTTCGACAGCAGCAGCACGATGTTGAACGACCTGTCAGGCTGGGCTGAGAACTGGTTATGGGAATGCACAACGCTCGACGCACCAAGGCTTTCCGCGACTCTTCCAATCGAGAGTAGCTATCTCTTTCTTGTTGGATAGTAGCCTGGAACTTGTCCCACATTGCTTGAACACCGTTCAGCTGGGCAGCCTCGGCAGCTCGCCTTGCTTCAGCCTCGTCTTCGAGCAGCTCGGCAAGTCTGGCGTTCTCTTTCGCGAGACGAGCGCGATATAGCTCGAGGGATTGCTTGGAGCCATCCGAGTTATCAAGCTCAGCGGTCATCTCCCGCAAAGACTGCTCGAGGTATTGTCGTACCCGAGTGGAGGCTGCCATCTGGATCTCCAAGATCTGTACCTGTTGTTTGAGGGTATTGACTTGGGCTTGCCGGTTCTCCTGTACACGAGCAGCTTCGGGATGCGAGTCCTTGCGGGATCGAGGCGTTCCGTTCGTCCGCGCTAGTGAATGTTTGGAGGGGGTGAGATTGGCGAGTGAGCGCACATCAGATCCCGTAGTATGGCGGCGGACGGACAGCTCCCTCTCCATTTCTTCGTCGGCTAGTTCGAGCTCTCTGAGTAAACGAGACCGGAAAGAGTCGTCCTTCGGACCGCTACTCATGATGAGTCGACGTATCTCGGCGTGCTGGCGATCAACGTGCTCCTTGATCCTAGCCGCCGTAGTCTTCGCCATCTCCGCATCTTGCAGTTGGTCTTCGAGCTGAGCTATGCGCGCCTCGTACTGGCGTTGCATCTTCGCGGCAGAATTTGGTGCATCAGCCTCATCAGCAAGTCTCGTGAGCTCAAGTTCGAGGTTATCTTTGGCCTTTTGGACGTTCGCGAGCTGTTGAACGGAGTCCGAGACCTGACTATGCGTACGCTCGAGGTCATTCTGCAAGCGCTTGACGTGGAGCTCCGCAGCCTCCCTCGCCCGTCGCTCCTTCTCGAGTGCTGCGAGAGCCTGGACAGCCCTATCCTCTTCCGCCTTGATCTTCTTGTCCTTGGCACGGAGCTGCAGCTGTTCGCTCTCTCTGTCTCGAACAAGGTCTTCAGTCTCGATCATGAACTTACTCCTCGTCTTCTCAAGCGAACGGATATAAGCCTCCCTGGCCTGTAATTCTTGCTGGGCTTCCTGCAATTGACGATCGGTGACACGCTTGGCCTCCTCGAGGACGTGAACATGCTCGACGATGGTCTTGTCTTGACGGGCTTCAAGCTGCTTGACTTCCCACTCGCGTGCCTTGAGGTCAGAGAGCGCTTTATTGAGCTCGCGATCGAGTTTGATATTGATGTCCTTCAGCCGCATAATCTCTTGCTTCTGGGAAGATGCTGATTTCTCGAGCTGGCTGCGCTTCGTTGATTCGTCATTAAGCTGTTTCTTCAGAGCCTCGATCTGCCGATCGTGAGCACTCTTTTCTCGCTCAAGCTGGAGAACAACGTCTTCGGAGTCCTCGAACTTGCTCTGCATTGCGACAAGTTGGCGTTCAAGATGCTGCCAAGGAATCATCAGACTCAGTCCTGTAATCGATCCGAAAGACAAAGGTTGCAACGCACCTCTTTCTCCTTGACCACTTCAGCTAGTTGATCGTCGGTGTCAATCTGACGGGACCGGATAGCTTGCAAGTCGGATTCGAGCGTACGCCTTGCTCTGACAGCCTCCGCGAGAGATGCCTCGGCTGCCTTGAGCTCAGTCCGGACTGATTGCTCGCGCTCGGACAAGGATCTGTGGCTCTTCTCGAGTGATGCATGCTCTCGAGTGAGAGTGTCTAAGTCAACCTTTAGTTTGGTCTGCCCCTCCATCGCGGACCTGCGGGCATCGTCAAGTTCCTGCGACAGGTTGCTTGCCTGAGCGCGCAGGTTCGCGAGCTCTTGCTCCTTGCTCTTCTCGACTTCAGAACGGCGTGTCTCCTCGCTAGTCTTCGCTGCCAACACGCTCCGGAGCTCGTCGAGCTCCTCTTGAAGTTTCGCCTGAATGGCAGCATCGCGTTCCCGGTCGCTACGCTGTGCCAGGAGCTCAACAGTCAGCGCATCCTCTTTGCCTCGCAACTCCGTGATCTGCTTCAGTAATCGACCGCGCTCGGCTTTCGACTTGTCCAACTCTGCGGTTAGGCGCTCCGCTTCGTCCTCCTTGTTTTTGATCATAGCAGAGTACTCCGTGGCAGTGCGGGCCAACTCCGCGAGTTGCTGCTTAGCTTGCCTGGCTTCCTCCTCCAGACCGTCCGCTTTCTCACGAAGTGCATCCCTAAAGGACTCCATCAGCTACACTGGAACGGGCTCGATATAGATGGCTCACTTGTTTCTTGTCTCTGCAGTGAGCTTGGTCCCCAAATCAGACAGAGTCGACTCCATCCTCTCCTTTGTGCGGCCTAGATCTTCCTCTCTTTGCGCTACGAGGTTCTTCAGCTCATCACTGAGCTTCTCTAGGTTGTCACGTTCAGCTTTGATGGCGTCGATATCTTCTTGGGCAAGATCGAGCTGCTCATTGAGCTCGACTTCTCGACTTTCCCAATCTTGCTGCTCACTCTCCAGACGAACGAGGTGCTCGGCCGCCTGATCGAATGCATGACGGAGGGTCTCGTGCTTCTCTTCACTCTCCTTCTGGAGCTTGAGGGCTCTATCAAGTTGGGAGTCCAGAGTGTCAAGATCGGCTTGAAGCGCAGCAACCTCGTCTTCGAGTTCGGCCTCTCGTTTCTTGCTACGATCTAGCAGCGCATCTTTGTCCAGCGCAAGAGCCCGCTCAGCTTCTAGATTATCCTCGACCTTGCGCTTCTCAGCCTCCAAGCTCATCTTCAGACTCTCCAACGCCTCCTTCTCGCGCTGATCGCGTTCTGCGCGCTCCTTGGCAAGAGCTAGCTCGGCTTCCTTCTTTCGAAGTTCGTCGTCGTTACGAGTCGAACCGAGGAGTGGTCGGACCTGAGCGATTGATTAGTGAACGTTCTACAGCAACTGAAGCCAGTAACCGACCTTCGTATACAATTGCCACCACGGCCAGTCACGTAGCTCCCCATACACGCGAGCATTGCGCTGGATAGTGCGAATAGCTACAGCACGGTTCAGAATCTTCTTCATCTGCCGCCGGGCAGTCCATTTTCTCGCTACTGCTTGCAGCCTTGAGAAGATGTCGAACAGCAGAGTGTCTCGACGCTCCTCCAGCTCCGCCAGAACTCCCGCCTTGAAGAAGATCTTCGAAGTACCGATCCGGAAATTCGCCTTGTCGAGCTCCAACGCGTCGACCATACGCAGACACGCCTTGCGGCCATCCATGTATCCACGCGGGATGACTCCGGGAGTGAGCACCTCGTAGCGTTGACGGAACTCGACAAAGGGAAGGCGGTTAGGATATCCGAGACGCGCGATACGGATACCTTCGAGGACACCGTTGCATCGTAGCTGGTCGAGGACGAGAGGAACGTCGACACGCCCTGGTTTCTTGTGCGTATTCGGGACGATACACCGGACGAAGTGCGGCTGCGTAGCCTGCAGCTGAGCCATGAGGCCCGCCAGCTGCTCCTTGTGCCTTTGACCGACGGTTCTGAAGGCGCCCTTCTTCGTGACACGCTTCTTGCCCATCGTCAGAGCGCCCACGAGGGACGGGGCCTCGCTGTACTCCGCGAAGAGCGAGGCGACGTAGCGTTCGGAGGATGCTGAAAGCACGCGAGTCAGGTTATCATTGAGCGGGTCCTTATTCTTCTCCAGCCAGCCATCTGTCCGGTACTCGACGCGGCCAGCGTAGTGGTTGACGATGAAGCCCTGCTCGAAACGCGCAGGCTCATACTTTGAGCTCCCCGGGTGCGGCTCGTCGCCGGGTAGTGGTTCGCTCGCCCAGAGTGCGTGCAGCTTGTTCGTGAATGTGAGATCTGTGGCCTTGGGCATGATGCACTCCTCGTCCAGAAGGCTCAGGATACCGATCGCGTTGCCACTCGTCTCGATCAGGTCGATCGTCGGCTGGAGGTCGAGCCCGAAGTTGACGTAGTCCCACTCGATGCCTTCACGAGCGTACTCCTCCTGCTCGAGCGTGAACATGTGGTAGTTGAAGAACTGCTGCAGTTTCTCGTTCGTATAGTTGATCAGTAGCTGCTCATATCCGTTCACGTCGAAGATCTCGAAACCGGCGATATCGAGCACGCCAATGAATGTTGACTTGGACGATGGCCGGTCGAGAGCACGATTGATTCGGTCGACGAGCATGCCAAACGACTTCTCGTAGAGTGTCTTGCAGAGGGCGGAAAGTTCGTCCAACGCTTGCTGCTGCGTCCGGGCTTGTGTTACCCACTCACGTCCGGCGAGCACGCGAGGACGAAGCACTGCTCTGGTAAACTCGGCCACGGTAATCCCGAGAAGATGGCAGACGCGTTCCGCTTGCGACGGATCGGGCATGACCGCGTCGTTCGAGCGCGTTTCGGTGATCGTGATGTTGCCAATGTGCAAGACGGCAGCAACGATTCGAAATAGGTCAAGTTGTTCAGCGACAGTGAAGCCGACCGTCTCGAATGCGTTCTGGGAAATGCTTTGTCAGTAATTACCCATCTCAGTGGTAAGACTTTCGCACCTTGAGCAATGCCCACTCTTCTTTGTCGTCAATGCCGTCGACTTCTCGTCTGCTCTTGTTCAGATACTCGTAGTCCTCGACGCCACCGTCCAGGAGCAGTGTATCTAGAAATGGGTATCAGCCACTATGGCCACTGCGCAGGCGTCGTTGATCGAACCTTTCAAGCTTCCGCCACCCTCCATCAGCTGGTAGAAAACATGGAAGCTCCGCTCCGCCTCACTCCGTACGACCACTCTGCTCTTCTCGAGCAGATACCAGTCAATGTTCGCACCAGCAATGCTACCGTCCGGAGAGAAGCTGATTCGAATGAACTTGCCGAACCGACTGGAGTTGTTGTTACGCTGTGTCTGTGCGTTACCGAATGCCTCCAGGATAGGGTTGGCTTGTAGGATCTGGCGCTCGAGCAGGCCAAGCCGATCCTTTGCAGTGAAGCCTGACCCGGACGACGACATGCCCTTGCCATGCTTCTTGAATGAGCTGGTGCGGGGAAGGCCGGCAGTTGGCATGATAGAATTGAAGGAATTCGAATGTGTGAGCGAAGGGGACTGAGAGTGGGATTGCGGGGGATGTGCGTCGGTCGCGATCGCAGCGAGGTATTGAATGACCTTCTTCGTGCTTTCCGTCTTGCCTGCGCCGGATTCACCGCTACACGGCACGCATTATTCGATCTGCCCCTGCTCAGAGAAGGGTCACGAGTGCACGTACGTGATCAGGATGCTCTGGTTCTCGCGTTCTTCGCCCATGTTGATCCACGCGCGCTCTGCGATGGCGAAGATATGTGGCGGGTTCTCATCTCGTCGTTTTCCCCGGTATTGGTGGACGATTGCGTCCGAGTAGAGCGGAAGGTGCTGGTAAGGGTTGATGGCTACCAAGAATAAGCCGGAGTATGTCTAGGGAGAGGGGGTCAGCATTGATCACTCATCTCAGGAACAAGGCAATAACAGGACTGGCGATCGTGGTACGCTGCAATGTTAGCAGCGGCCTACGGTGAGAGCGGCAAGCGCATTGGATGGCTGGTTACATGAACAAGCGACATACATCCTATGATGTGCGCACAAGATATGGACCACCGAGTGGCGCAATCATAACCTTGGCCAAAATGTCTCGTGTTTCACGTTGTGGAACATCGAACATATAGTTGATATCGGCTGCCATGAGGAACGTCAAGAGCGAGCCAGACCACGGTCACCCGGCACAGGATGTGTATCACTTGGACCCACAGATAGACGAAGTGGCGACGCCCTTTGCCGCGTGCATACTTCTCGAAAGGGGTCTAACAAGATGCAACTTGTTGTAGATCTCCAACACACAGCACCGGTGCTTGCAGCGATGTCCACACACGCTTGTATGGCAGTGTGCCCTTGGAGTCGGGAGATAATGTGGAATGACGGCTGCGGATGTACGCTACGCCGAGCGCAGTATCAAACCACAATTCGTGGTGGTTATGCAGAATTGAAATTGAAGGCCGACGAAAGTAGGCTTGGAATCTGGCCCCCGCCTATCGTCGGGCCCCTGGGAGCAGTCACTGCATATGAAGCCCCGACAGCAGAGGCATAGAGACACAAACTCAAGCCAGAGAGGACAGCACGGTGCAAGCATACGTAACATTCCCTTGCGTGAGCGGCGTTGTGTGTGCAGTGGTAGTTCCGCGTGTACGCCTCCTTCGGTATGAAGAACAGGGGGTACTCACATAAATCGCGCCGGAGCCATACCTTAGACGGAGGTTATGTACTACGCTTGCTTCGTTGAGGAATGTCAAGTCCGCGATATCGTCGACGCGGTCGAACTTAGGCGGGTTCATCTTCGAGAGCGCGTACAGCGGTAGTCTTCGTATCTTTGGTCTACGGTCAAGTCACCGCTACTCGAGAGCAATCCTGACTTGCGCACCTCTCCTCCAGATGCAATCACGACCTCGCCCATGTCCTCTTCCTCCTTCACCACCCATCCCGCAAGATAGCCCTCCTTGTCGTCCGGAACCCAAACCCATTTCTTCTCGTTGAATTCGGCTTGTAGCGCAGCTGCTCGCGCAGCTTCCGCGCTCTGGGACAGACGTGGAGCAGGCATGATGCCGTGCGTGGGTTGCACGGCGAAGTCGTGGACGTCGAGCAGCAAGCTCGGGATGGTTGAACCGCGTCTCGAGCGACGCGTCGTGGGTATCCAGATTCGGAAGTCCTAGATATTCATCACGTGCATGACGCGGACGTAGGGACTCTCGATGAACATTTACCCCTCTTCAGTTTCAATTGTTGCGATATCTACAACAGCACCTTCTACTTTCCTATGTCTCCAGACTCGTTGTACTTTCGCCGGAGACACAGAGAGCTCAACTGCGAGCGCTTGGCCTCGCATGGTCATGTGACCTCGACGCGTCGCGCGTGTGCCACTGGCAGTTGCAGCCACAGCACCGACCTTTGTCTCGAGCGACAAAGCATCTGTCCCTCCAGACCGTTCTTCCCGTATGCTGTCCCCCTCCTCCTTCTTAAATCTTTCCTTTGACTCGTCTTCCTTCTTCTCACTTTGATTGATTTCCTCAGCATCGTGACGCACGCTCTGGATGGACGCTCGGATGGAGAAATACGCGATGGACGTCGCCACTGACCCTCCGGGTACCTGGTCTCCCCTCGGAAAGTCAGTTGCACAAGACCGTGTTTACTGGGCGCAAACCCAGTACTCATTTACCGACGTACTACAGAAGGAGGCAGAGGCGGACCGTACAGGTGCAGTCACATCCCTTTCCTCGTTTCGACTGCTCTATATGCTCCGGGTGCCACTCGTGCATGGTTCAAAAGACCAGGAGATGTGAGAAACTCAGAGGACGATGTAGCGCCAACGCAGGCAGCTTTGCACTAGTGTTTGCGTGTATTGAGCTTCTTCGTCTGGGAGGGGGGATACGCTGGAGGAGCAAGGCGGCGGAAACCACCAGTAGCACTGGTGGTTTCAGGATGGGCATTCGCCACATATATCAATGGGCTTGTTACCGGATTTTTGGTTTCCTGCAGGGCGTCGTTGGAAACCGCCCAAGCTTGTCAAGTGTGTCAGATTGTGCTGCCGTGCCCTCTGGGAGATCCTGCCTTTACAAGAATGGAGTCTCAAAAGCTGCCCATCACTTCTGGTTGGACGGTCTTGTGTGTGCATTTGAGTGTCGTACCCGGATCATTGGCTTACTGGGCGCGCATTTCACTCAATCCATCCTACAGAACTACGTGCACAACATCCGTCAGACATGATGGACGAAGAGCCGTACAATCCGTACCCAGGATTTGAACTAGATCGTGACCGCCCGCGGCCTCGGCCAGCCCACGGCAGTGTACAACAGGATCCACGAAAAGTTCGACCGGGCACCCCAGATACTCCTCCGAGCATATCACACTCCTCCTACCGCCGTGAGAACCAAGATACAATGACCTCCCTCATAGCGATCGCTAATGAGGCATCCCGTACGGTAGCAGAGCAAAGGCACCACCGTGAACAGCGGGAACTGGCACGGCGGTCGCGGGTCGACGATAGGAGGACTACGAGAAGCGCTGGACCTGCTGCGGGCGCCCATTGTTCAACTGTGCCATCCGTACGGCATGGTGTACGCCGTGGAAGCAGCGGCAAAGTCAGCAAAACCATTGCCAAACGGAAGCCGCATCGTGGGCGATCCGCAACCCCGGCTGGAGACGACGGTGCGGATGCGATGGTCACAGACTCAGACTCGGTGCTCTACTCGAAGGCGCGCGCACAAACCAGTGGCACACGCGTCCCGACGTCGAAGCCGAGTGCCCCACCAGTACCGATCGAACCGCCCGCACAATGGCCCTCTCAAAAGACTCCCCCCGGCCTGGCTATTGTTGCATTCACCGCGTCTCCTGCGGGCCCGTCCACCTCACCACCGCGCAACTCACCACCGTTCCTACCCGTCACTCCGCCCGCGGACGACCCTCGACCCACGCACCGCAAGGGCACCGCCGTCGCTCCGTCCTCTACACCACCCCTCTCTGCTCCCCGGTCTCGGTCTACGCGGCCCACTTCGGAACGGCCTGTGCGGAAGGATGTTAGGTTAGGCTTGGGTAGGAAAGTAATGTCCGCGGTATACACGCCCTCGCAAACCCTGCCTTTGAAGCAGAAGCCGTTCAAGGCGCCTCTCGTCCGGCCGCACCCGGCCAAAGCAGCCCCCGAGACCATTCTCCAGCCCCATCCCGCGCATCGGCCTGCGCCAACCCCTCTTGTCACGACCGCCCGCGCGAGTCTGCCTAAGAATGCGGCCCCCATCACGCCGGAGGATTCGCAGCCGCGCCTCCTAAGGAGCTCTGCGGATGACGAGGATGAAGATATGGAGGAGACGAAGGAGGCGGACTCGAGCTACGGAGAGCTCGGTATTGACCCTGAAGCTGTGGAGGAGGCGATGAAACCGCACGACTAGATATGACATCGAAACTTGCATGCATTTGTATGAAGTCTCCTCTAATTTCTCAGGAATGTACTTATGTCCCTCGTAAATCCGTACTGTAGATAACGTTAACGCTTACTACTGTTGGTTATTGACTATGCCATGTAATAATTCGGATAGTATGTCGCGCATGCTCAATCGTACACTCCGCTTTTACTCGTCTCGTGGACGAAGATCATCTGTTAGCGGTTTTCTAGGCTCTAGCCAACATCTGCACGTGTACTTAGATGGAGATCCCCGCGTACTCGTCATATCCAAGTGCAAGATTGAGATTCTGGATGTCTATGAGCACAGAGTACTGAAAATGAGTCAATTGCACTGACCTGCAGGCATTGCGTTGCGGCACCCTTGAGCAGGTTATCCAGGCCACCCTAAGGCACTCTGAGCGTGCAACGTGCTTTGACTTCACGAAAAACACTCACCACGACGACGGCCCGATCGCCCTGGCTATGGACCTGGAACCCACCAACGGTCCAACCATGCTTGTTTTCGATGTCCTGGAGGACAGGCACCTCCCTTTTGATAGTGACCAGCTTCTCGCCACTGTACTTCTCTTCGTAAAGCTCCTTCACGTCCTTCGCGGTGACCGTTTCCTTCAGTTGCATCGACAGCACCGAAATGATCCCGCTGAACCACGGCGCGACGTTCGGGACGAAAGCGAGCTTCATCGGACTCGCCCCAGACGCGAGCAGGCGCGACAAATGGCACCCCGCCTCGCGTTCGTGGATGTGGTCGGTGAGTGAGTACGGCTTGATTCCGCCCATGAGGCTCTCCGGGCTGACTTTTGGTGCAGTGGTTGGCCGTCCGTCTGCGGCGGGAGGGCCGGTGATGGTACCTGCGCCGCTGTAGCCCGACATACCGAACACCGTCGGATAGGCGTCGTACTTCAGGTATCTCAGCAGCGGCGCGACGAGCAGCTGAGACGACGTCGCGTAGCATCCGGGATTGGAGATGCGCTTCGATGCACGGACGGCCTCACGCCCATAGAGCTCTGACAAGGACCAACGGAAAGATGTTTATGATTCTAGTTACACAGTTGACTGAGACTCCTCACCCGGAAGCCCGTACGTCCACCCGTCCTCGAAACGGTAGTCCGCGCTCAGATCCACGACCACACTGGGCTCCCCGCTCTTCCGCTCCTTCGACCCGCGGTCGACGGCGTCGACAAAAGGCTTGCAGACACCGTTCGGGAGCGCCATGACCCACGCGTCCACCTCGCCGTCCTTCTCCATCCGTTCGACGTCCTCCGCAGACAGGTCGGAGTACTTGATCTGCGCCTTTGTGTACCCGTCGAGAGAGTACCCAGCGAGCTGGCGCGACGAGACATGCGTGAGGTTGAGGTGTGGGTGAGCGGAAAGGAGGGTAGTCAGGGTTTGCCCTGTGAAGCCCCGTGCCCCGATGAGGGCCAGACGCTTCGGCTCTGTTGAAACGGACGCCGCGGCAGTGGCGTAGCCCCTCGACGAACCAGGAACAGACCGCCGGGCAAGGGTTGAGTAGGACCGAGCGCCTCCCGGTGCAGCTCTGTGCGGAGGGGCCGACGGGCCAACTGGCAGGTACGACCGGCTGATCCTACCCTTCTCCTCGTAGCCCTTCACAATCCTCTCGATCTCGGCCACGTCTTGCACACCGTACCAGAACAAGCTGTTGCCCGCGCGCGTGAAACTCCCATCGGCGCGCTCGAAGTGCCATGCACGGTTCTCGTCATCTGCACGCGCCGTCCAGAAGAGCTTGCGGTGGTCCTTCTTGATCGCATTGAAGACGTTGTCGACGATGCCGTTCATGATGCCGTTGCGCGATGCGAGTAGCTTCGTGAGAACGGGGACCTCGCCGGCCGGGTGCGACACAATCGCGACTACGTCGAGCGGCTCGTCGCCGTAGATCGTGTAGGGCGTCTCCTTGATGCGGTTCAGGACACTTGCGACGCTGTCGTCTCCGGAGAGGACGTCTGGGTCCCGGTCGTGGACAACCTGACGGAGACGGTCTGCACCGACAGACTCAATGGATCCGTGCTTGAAGAGCTTGTAGCCGCGTCGGATCAGCGTTCCAGCGCCGCTATCAGTGAACAGCTCCCTCTGCAGCATGTCTGCGCGGATGACTGCCACGGAAGAGGTGCGCGGCAGATGGTCCAGGAGCTCCTTGAACTCGCGAAGCTTGAGCTTGGTGCCATACTTGACCCATGGCTGCTTGATCAAACCCTCATATTCCTGTTTCGCAAGGCATTAGCATGGTGCAAGATACAATACAGACGACATACTTCGTCGAGGTTGATGACGTCCAGCTTCTCTCCTGTCACCCCGTGGAACAAACCGCCCTTCTCATTCAGGAAGACGATCTTCAACGGCTCGAGCTCCTTGGCCAACTCGCCGGCAGCAATGTCGGCATTGACATTCAGAATCTGTCCCGCGTCAGACTCCGCCAAGCTGGTCAGGATGGGGAGTGCCCCAGCCCGGATGGCTGCCTCCAATGGCCGCTTGTCGACCTTCGTGATTTTTCCGACCAAGCCATATTTCTCCTTGTCCAGGTAATCCGCTGTGAAGACACCGGAAGTGATAGGACGTGCACGCGTGCCCAGCTTCTCGAGCGCGCCGACCAGCCTCAGGTTCTCCTCCAGGAAGACACGCCGTGCAATCTGTAGCGTCTTGGCGTCTGGACACAGCAAGGCCGTTAGTGAAGAGATGTAGAATGCACCGCTAATGACGCACCTGTGACACGAATACCGTCGATGTAATCCGGGACTACTCCCTCCGCCTCGATGATGTTGTTCAGCTGAGGTCCCCCGCCATGGAGAACCACTGGGTACAGCCCCACTCGGTAGAGAAAACTCAAGCTGAGGGCGAGTTCATCGAGCTGGTCAAGAACTGCTCCACCAATCTTAATGACTGCGAATTTGGCGGGGCTTGAGGTATCTGACGAAGAGGAGAAAATCCTCAAGTACCGCTCGACCTCGCGCTTGGTACCAATGGAATACAGAAGGCGTGTAATAGTGTCCTGGTGAAATGTCGTTAATTCCCTCGCACAACACTCGCGTTTTGCACTCACTCTATCTGTTTGAGCAACTGATTGTATGGCTCGGGACGAGGCAGGGCATCTGCGCTTCACGACTTGTACGGCAGCCTGACGCCTACCTGCCACAAGGACTGCACGTTGTGCCCCATTCTTCCCAATCGTAGCTTTGGCCGCACGACTCAACGCGTACATGATTGCAACCTGAGGGTCGAACGAAGGGAATAGTAAGCGAGAGAGAGTTGGGAGTCCGAGAAAGAGTTCTGAATCACAGTAAGTAACTGTAGTTATGAGTTCGCCACTGACTCGGCCCCGCTTCGTCCGAGTCTGCCCCCGACCGAGTCGCAATTTCCGCTCATCCGGAGAGTATTCATAAAACCTTCCTACGCGAAGATAGAAAAATTTATAATGTCCGAAGCACCGTTTTGAGAGGCTTCCAGAGCATCCGATAATGACTTTGTCCGTGAAATAATGATACGTGTAGAAGCTGAAGTGCCGCCGCCACAATCAAAATGAACATTACTATTCGTTGTTTCAGTCCCGTTTCAAGCATGTTCTAAGTCATTCAATATCCGCATTGAAGCCTAAATACTGAGGCTATGCGTCTTTCTATTGGGTGTTAACTAAGCACATTACGATTTATCAATGCCGTTGCCAACCCCCTAGTAAACACCCTTACATAAGGTGCCCAGTGCCAATCCCCTTGCTCTGACCGTCTCACTTATTGTCTCCTTGTCGTCTCCTCTCACCGTAACCTCGACGATGGGCGACAGGTGTCCTAGACTCGAACTCACGATACCGACAGAGAGCACGTCTTTCAAGCGATCTTGGGACGAACTTGGACTTGACCTGAGCAGCAGCCCCAACGGCGACCGGAGCAATGGCGGCGAGGGCAGCAGCAGTGGCGAGCGGAACAAACGGGCACGCAGCGAGAGCAGTGCTCGTAGCGTAACCGTGGCGTCTTCATCGGGCAATCTGGCGAGTGGTTCTTCATCTCGTACAGCTTCATCACCGCGCAGAGCGACGCTCGAGAGCCATGAGGGCACTGCGTCGCCCGTCGACCTCGTGTTGGACGAACCTGACAGTGTCGCTGAACCCATGGACGGCGTAGAGCCCTTGCCCTCCATTCTCGACCTATCGCCGCGTGCATCGCCTGCCGCAGAGCAGAATGCCCAGTTCAGACTGTCCATGGAGCGTTTCAACGCTTTCGATAGCAATATCTCCGTCCTGCGACACTCAGACTCGCCCATGCCGGGCCCTAGCCTCCCCCGTGCAGCGCGCACGATGCTAGAGACAGCCTTGGACTCATCATCGCCTGTTCTGGAGATGCCACCCACACCCAATCTTAACACCATCGCTCGATCGAGGCCACCTACTCCCCCTTCGCCCCATACCCTCATGTCCCGCTTGAGCGCAGCACCGCCTGCTCTGCCGCCTGTGGCAACTGTGTCTGGTGCTCCTAGCTGGCTCACTGACTTCGACGACGCTCTGAGACCGATTGCACTGGACCACGGCGACGATCTACCATTCCAATGGGGCAGTCGGTCTGCTCAGTCTTCTGTTCGTTCACCGCCGTATAGTAAGTAAAACAATTCGCTCACAGCCTGTTATACTCACGCGACAACAGTTGAGCGCCGACGAGACCGTCCAATCAGTCCAGAAGAGGCTCTGCGAAGGCTACGGGATATACAACATTCCCTCGAAGAGTACCTGCAGGGGACGTCTACGTCGCTTGAGCCCCCGTCTGCGAGTGAGCGCCCGTTGGGCTCTGGGTATGATCGACTAGCTAACGAACCATTAGCGAGCCCAATGTCCCCCAATCTGGCTCCTGGCATGCCTTACCATCATTATCGACAACACCTTGGTGTGGACCACGGCGACGCCGAAGCAGATCCGCTGACGGCCGAGTTATCGCTCATTCGCGAGGCCATCCGTCGTCTGCAAGCCAGAGCACGCCAGATTGAATCTGTGCAGCGCGCCCGTGGCGATGCGGGTACCGGTGCGGCTAGTGCAGTGCGATCTGCCTGGGTCACTCTGACGGGAAGGCCAGAAAATCCGCACTCTGTCTCCGAGGACAGAGAGCCTCCCTCGTCAAGTCGGTCAACTGCAAACGGTTCGTTCCTTCGATTCTGGAATCTGCTCCGCTTATACTATCTCAGGGTATGACGATCTGCTCTCTGCGAACCACGACCCGTTGTCGCTTGCCGCGTCCAACCGCTTCCGTCGGTCACTCTATACCACACGCCCTGGCCCGTCGAATTCACTCATGTCTGAGAACGCCGCAGAGTTCCGGAGCAGAAGGGCTCGCGAGCAGTTGTCATCGATCTCTGGTACTGCGTCCCGTTCGAATGTGGGCAGCGACCTCCGTTTCTCACCGGTGGATTGGGGCCTACCAGGTGTCAACAACGGCCGAACAAGTCCGATAGATGAGCCCCGTTTCGCCCCTGCAGATTGGTCGCTTCCGAGTTTTCGGGGCTCGACGCGGGCGAGCGAGCAGGACAGCACCGATTCACGGAGAAGTCAGACTTCACGAGCGAGACCAACGACTCTGGAACCTGACCCGTTCGATTCTGATTATGGCTTGTCCCATACAGGGACCGAACTGAATCACCCGCAATTTAATTCGCTATGGCAACCTCTTCCGTCTTTGAGTGGGGGCGCAGATCCAGACGAAAGCCTCGACTTTCCCGACCTGATGCTTAGGCGAAACTCGCCTCCACCCCGCAATGCTGCGAATACAACGGCGGCTACCAGAGCGGCCAGTGCGTTGCATCGCGCGCCATACGGTGCGCTCGAGCAGTGGCTACTCGGCGGCCCTGACGACACTGCGTCCGCGGCACAGACAGAGACACAGCGGCCAAGAGCAGCGGACGCAAATAGGGCCCGCACCGTTCCTCATTCTGATAGACCCCCTCGCGTAATGTCGTATCAGCCTCTGTCTGCGAGAATGGCGGATGCAGATCGAAGGGCACAGCTCGAGTCCATGGCTTCCGACGCAGGCGTCTCGGTCGAGGAGCTCACAAGACGTGGGATGTCAAGACTCGTCGCAATACGGGAGAGGCGCACTGCTACGGCGCCAGCCAACCGCAACGCGCCGCGCCCAGCTGCCAGACCGTCATCTCCCGGATCCCGCAGGGCAGAACGTGACACTGAACAAAGCAGATCTGACTATGACCTCGACGCGAGAGCGGAGCTGCGAGCGTCCATTGCTCCACCCAGAATCTACGACTCGCCGCCGCGATCGACATCTAGAACCGTTCCTTCAGCTGCAAGTGCTTCACGCCGACCGTCAGTCACTGGGGAGACTTCAGCAAGGACTGCACCAACTGTGCGCTTCAACGTAGATTCATTCCACGAAGGTCCCTTCCGAGCGTCGATCCAGCGATCACTGGAGCTGCAGAACATGACATCTGAGGTGACCCGTCCCAGTTCACGCACTGTTCCTCGCGACTCTGGAGCTCCTTCTTTGCCGCCTCTTCGCTTCCAGCGTCTCTCGACCGAACGTCTGGTACGTCATTGCACAAGTCTTGAGCTGCTGGAGAGCTGACTATACCATAAGCCTCCATTTCGGAGCATATCTCGCTCTGCGTCTGGAGAGTGGGAAGAATCAGAGTACTCAGCCGACCCCACCCGGAATCCTTACTCAACCATCTCCTTATTGGACGGCCCGTCAAATCCACACTGGGACTCGCTACTGCATTGGACTATGTCGCGCGACCCACCATCAACCGATAGCCGCAGCCGTCCTGAGAGCACCACATCGAATGGTCCGGTTTGTCCCCTCCATGGGGTCGTCCATGACGGCGCAGACGACGTAGATCCGTCTGAAAGCGACAGAGGAAGGGAAAGCACACACAGGCCTGGATCGCGTGCTCTACCTCGCTGGCGAGGCCTTAACGCGTCACGTTCTGCATCGTCGGCGGATCCGTTCCCTCATCTCCCGCCGGGTGCGTCATCCTCCACTGCCCGCCGTCCGATGGCTAGTCTGTGGGATACCCTGGTCAGTGCGATGCGTCTTTAATTGCTAATAGGCTTATCTCACGGATCGGCAGAGTCCTTCCGAGGCCGGGGAATCAGACGGAGCGTCGGCTCAGTCTCGCAATAGAAACAGCAGCTCACAGCCATCGACAGGCTCGGGAGACACAAGAGATCCAACGAGCAGGCGAACTTTCTCAGCCCGTGCACGTGCCATGCGCAGGCGCGACTTTGACTTCTTCGGTATGGATGCAGATTTTCCTGAAATACCTCGACGCTTCGGTCTTTCCCGCTTTGGCCCCAGAGCGAGACCCTTTGGTGACTATGTGGTCAGTGGACAATTTCCTATCTGTGGCACAGCTACTAACACTTGTCAATATCGTGGCTCGCGTCTCGCAGAGGGACGAGGATCTAGACACCTCGTATGAAGCTCTGCTTGATCTCTCTGGTCTGCTGGGTGACGTGAGGCCGCGTGGCTTGTCGGAACAAACGATAGCTACTCTTCCCAGCGGCACGTATCGAGAATGGGCAACGCCAGGCGAGACGGAGGATCGGTGCCCCATTTGTCTGGATGATGTACGTTCGACGCCATTTCGCCTCTGTGGTACTGATACTCATCGCAATGCTAGTACAATGCGGAAGACGCGGTGCTGAAGGTACCGGCATGCTCCCACTGGTTCCACAGAGGTTGCTTGGAGGTGAGGAACATCCCGTTGGGGCTGTGAACCTGCTGACATTGATATTTGCAGCAATGGCTCAAGAGCGCTCGCACTTGTCCGGTCTGTCGGGGACGTGTCGGTACCTTCGAATACGCTCGTAACGGCCCTCGAGTGGTGAATCCATCTGGGCCCAGTGCGGGTCCGAGTGGGAGTGTCGCTGGTGTCTTCGCTCGCCGACGACGCAATAACAGTACAGTGCGGAGAGGCGCACCTCCGGAGGGCAGACGTGAAGGCGGGAATGGGAACGACAGCGACAGTGATAGGCCGCCGTTTCCTCCACCTCCGTGGCGGTTGGGCTGAACGCCGAGCCCTGGTTGGTTCGTCGTATTCTTGATTTTCGTGGAGTTGGACATCATGGCTTGATGTCTCTTGATTTATGTCTTGAAGTCGTTTTGTCGAACATTGATAATGTTGTATGTACCCACTATATGATATGTTGCAATGTATCATGCACCGCCTATCCCGTTAGGGGATCGCTTCGACGATGCAAACCATGACCCGACCGACTGAGATCAGAGAAGACCCTGCATACCTAAGCAACTTACTTATGCAACCAATCCGTCTGCACAGCCACGGAGAAAATGTGGTTGACTTCGGTGCGTACCGTACCACCACCTGCACTGTTGGGTTGCAAAAGTTCACTCACGCTGCAAGAAACGGTCGGCGTGGCCAGGATGATGCATCGGGCGAGCGGATGAGAGAATGCGTGCGTGCATAATGTAAATGTCGTCGGGGAGCATACACACAATCCATATGATGATGCCTAGCAATATAGCGATAGCAGTAGCAGTCGTCGTCGTTTGTCCGCGCACCTGCCGCGGACTCGTGAGGGCGCCCCCAGCTCAGGGGCCTATCCCCGCGCTCCCAAACCCAGCGTTCAACCCACCACACCCCGGGCGGACCCTCGAGGTAGAGAAGAGACGATGCGTCTACTTCTTTTTTGGTGTCTCGACCTCGACGATGTTCAGGCCTGTGAGCAACTGCGTAAGTTCCAAGTCCAGAGTCGCGCAGCATCTACGGGTTTCATGGGGTAGGTGCAAGTACATGTAGGGAACGGTGGTGGCGGATGAGTCGGGAAGAGACTAGATGGGTACGCACCAGGAGGCAAGCTCGCCTTGAGCTTCTCCGCCTTCTCCGGGTCGTCGAGAGCGAGGGTGTAAAGGTAGCGTGAGCAGCGAATCTTAAACTTCGTGCGCGTCTTCCCGCCCGCTACCCGGGGCGCGATCTTCTTGATGCGCGCCGCTGTTCGTCATGTCCACAGTCAGCACCATCGACCACATCCGCCAAACCTCGCAGGGCAAGGATGTGAACTCACCTGAGGCGTCCTTTCGCCGGGCGATGTCGATGAACTGCTTGATGTCGCGGATTTCCTTAGGCTGTCGGATGTACCGTCAGCACTTCACTCTCTAGATCGCAAGGCCCATCGAGGAGGACGGTGGGGACGGCGGGGACGTACCATGGCGGGCGGATGGTCTTGCTCGGCGTCGGCGCTTCTGCCCTTGGAGATTGTAGCTCGCAGGCACGGGATCGGGTGGCTGAACCTTGCTCATCGAGCTGTATAGCTGTCGGCAGCTGCCGAGATTGCATCGCTACCGACCTCCGCGCGCTACGTGGCTCGGCCCATCTGGCACCGACGCTGCACTTCGTAATGTTGAGGTTGCGGCACGTGATCTCGATCTCGGCCACACCGCACGTGACAGACCGCCGGGGGTGGTTCGTCCTCTCGTCCCCTTCCCCTCTCTTCTCTCCTCAGTCGAGTGTTACCCACGACTGAAGTGAGAGTTCCGCGTTCCATACTTACGATAGTTACTCACGTCCTGCATAGCGTCTGACGGCTGTGCAGGTAACCCTAATTCAGTCGAGTGTTACCCACGACTGAGCGTCTGACGGCTGTGCAGTTCCTACACGTAACAGGGCAAGTAAATGGGTAGTCCTCCACAAATGGGTTATACGCACGACTTGAGAGCACCTTGTAAAAGAGACAATGCCGAGGTCAAATGTACGCGGAATGCGTGATTGCATCCAGTGATAAGTAAGTTGTTCTGACTGCTCAGAGCCAGTCTCATACTTCGATGCCTAATAAGATACATAAGTATCTTCCTCGGGTTTCAAAATTTTCTTCAGCCAATAAAGACCCAAACATGGATTCTATGAGATCATCGATTCCGGCGGCCTGCCGCACGTTTCCCCTTCAGAAATTTGATAACATGCGGAACTGAGTAGACCGCAAACTATACATTCACAATATTCATTACCGGTGTACTGCCAGAAATCTGGGTGAGGGTACAAGCGCGATCTGCGCAATCAGAGTAACATATTCAGGTGACGACATCAAGTGCGAATCAGGCGTAGCACATCTCGAGCTTCAGTTTTGCATGATGGGACCCTTCGCCATACCCATTCGTTCATTGATATCGAGGACTGTTCGTTACATGTGAGAGCTACAGAACACGTACGTTGCAAAGCATGTTATGAAAGCGCGTCACAAGACAGAGAAATCACAGCCGTCCATATTGATACGACAAGTACACCACGGATGTCCCCTTCAGCCGCCGAGCCCCACTATCATCCCCAGGAGCATGCACACTCCCACCAGCCCTGCCGAAAGCAAGTGCAGCCCCCTCTCCAGCCTCCGCTTCCACCTCGCCCGGACGTCGAAGCGCATATGCCACCGCTCGAACGGGCTCCCGCCGCCCTCGAGCGCACCGAGCTCCACGTCGCCGGGCGCGGGCCCCAGCGACGCGGCAGACGCAGGGCCGGAGACGGCGAGCACGGCGATGTCGAAGAACGCAGAGACGCAGGGCGCGCCGTCGAGGAAGGAGAGCGGGAGGAGGTTGAAGAGGAAGAGCGAGAGGTTGAGCGCGGAGAAGTAGGACGTGAGCGCGGAGAGCAGGCCCGGGAGGGCGAGCGGGAGGAGGCGCAGCCGCGGGGCGTACGTTGTCACTCCGACTATGGGGTGGATGTCAGTGCTGTTCGTCTGGGGAGGGGAGGGACTACGTGCCTTCCTCGAGGATCTCGGCGCGCGGGCCGTTCCAGACGACTGTCGTGTCTGATGTATGGGCGTTTGGTGTGACCCACGCGGGGAGGTGTACCGTCAACCGGAGCAGCGCCTGGTCGTCGCGCGGGCGTACGCAGACGTGGTCCGCGCTGCATTCTACGGCGGACGCGCAGCGCATGTGAATGGGTGCCTCGACGGAGTCACCGAGGTAGGGCACGGGGTCGACACAGCGCTCGAGTGCGAGCGGCGGGTACGCGACGAAGCATGCTGTCGCGTTCCGGGATGCCGTCTCTGGAGAACAGCAGGCGGCGGGTTGATCTGCGGCGAGAGTCAGCGGGGTTGAGAGGGATGGCGCTGATAGGCAGCCTACCTACGAACCATCGGCGGTCCACGCACCAGCCCAGCCACCCGTCCTCGCTCTCTTCGGTGGCCTTGCGCACGTCTGGCTGCGAGAGGAGCGCCGTCCATGCGTCGTGGTTGTCGGTGACGCTCGACAGCAGGTCGTCATCGATCTTCGTTACGATCGACCCGAGGGGAAGGTATCCTTCCAACGGCGATCCCTACACGACAACGTCCGGTCAACCGACCTGAGCGTACATAACACATGACACCTACGGGTTGAACGTGCGATACAACGCGTCCCCACGCGGACACGTCTCGGTAGCCTAACGCACCCAGAAATGCGCGGTCGATATGCGCGTGCGTGATCCCGGAGAAGATGAGGTAGAGTACGATATTGTGGAACGCGCCCGAGGAGGCGACACGTAGCCGCGCGGGGACAGGCAGCTCGCGGACGGCGCCGCGCGAGAGCGCGACGAAAGCCGAGGGGATGACGATGCTCAGCGAGAGGCCGACGGACAGCACGGGGACATTTTCACTGTGTATCGACAGTTAGCTGACGGGAGACGTCGGGGCTGGGAACGTACAGTGCAGCGGTAATGAAGTGCCCGACCTCGTGGATGATTTGACTGCTGATGAGGGCGAAGACGAGCAGAGGGATGTGGCTCAAAGGGACGGTCACTCCAGGTATCTAAATATATTGCATTAGACGTCACGGTCTTCTACATCGAGGCAGGCCAAATGACAGGAGTACAGAGCCCGGATATAACAGAAGCAATGAAGAGTACTCTGGAGCATTGCAGCAACTCGAGTCGATGAGACGTACAGTCAGCGGCCATTGCTTGCTATAGCCTGCGGCATTCGTTTGGAAGCATAAGTCCGGTGATGGGAATGAAGATACAGAGGTAGCAGCTGTTGTCGCGCTGTCATATAGATCAGAGCACTTATCCAATGCCTACGAACTCCGCACCACAGGCTATACTGGCTCGAAGAAATGTCGTGGCACGACAATGCACGGAGAACTGAAAGAGTCAACAAGCACGAAGCAACATCAAACTCACAATAGCGTAGATGGGTATGCCAGAGTCCGCCCGCTTCGTGGCGAAGGTGGCGGGGAGCTCGTCCCGCTTCCATACACGCGCGATGTTCACCGCCGCCCCCTGCACGGCCCACCGTCCCAGCCCTCGCCCCGCCAACCTGACCGCCGTCCACCCGAGCAGGCCGAGCGCCCCGAGCATCCCGCCCGCGGCAAGGGCCCCGCCGACGGTGTACATCGCCTTGGCTGCCCTGCGCACCCCCCCGCGCCGCGCCCTCCCGAACCACGCCGCGAGCGCATCCGCGCCCGCGTTGAGGCGTGTCGTGCGGACGGTGAGGAGCAATACGGTTGTGGTGAGCAGGATGGGGGAGCGGTCGGACGGCGGGGGGTAGTACGAGAGCTCGACGCGCGGTGTGTGCGGGAGGAGGAGGCAGAGGGCAAGGTGGATGAGGGCCCAGAGGCCGGCGAGGGTGTAGAGCGCGGTGAAGAGGGCGGAGAAGAGCGACATGACATCGTTAGCGGGAGACTCAGGGATCAGCCCGGCTTTATCGCGTGGATAGGGTTGAGGGAGCTGTGTTCACCTCGCGCGTGTTGTGAGGCTCGAGACGCAGATACTATGTACTATCGCGATGTTTGTCTTGTCGAGGGATGTCTCAGGGTGACAAGAATCAAACCTCGCGTGCCAGACTTGGGTAGACAGACGGCGTAGCAAGAAGCAGAGAGTTGTGCCAAAGGACACAGCAGTAGCAGGAGGAGAGAAGGTACGTTTCGTGCAGTGTACCTTGGCACGTGTACGAGCGCTTGCCACAACGCGCCGTCGAGACGCGCATGGTGCACCGCTCGCCGGCACTGTCGACTCCTCCACCGCGACCACCTCCTCCTGAGTCCTATACCCTCTCACCACAGTCCTACCTCACTCGCCGCCACACCCGCCGCTGCCGACCCACGCAGACATCGACCGATCCACCGATGAAGGTCTACGCGCTGTCCGTGGTCCGCGCGCCGCCCAGCACGACGAGCACGACGCTCAGCACGGCGACGGACCTCTCGTCCTTCTCGTTCTACCAGCGCCCGAGCGTCGGCGAGTTCATGCAGTTCTTCACGAAGACCATCGCGGAGCGCACGCCGCAGGGCCAGCGCCAGAGCGTCCAGGAGAACCAGTACACCGCGCACGTGTGGAACCGCGGCGGCGCGGAGCAGCTCGCGGGTGAGTGCGCCCTCCTCGGTGCCGGTGCGTGCGCGGACTGATGAGGTGTTGTGCGCAGGTGTGATCATTACGGACCAGGAGTACCCCGTCCGCCCCGCGTTCTCGCTCCTCACGAAGCTGCTCGACGACTTCATCGCGAAGGTCCCCGTCGCCGCGTACGACGCGCCCGCGGCGATCGCCTTCCCGGAGATCAACGCGTACCTCCAGAAGTACCAGGACCCCCGCCAGGCGGACGCGATCATGAAGGTCCAGCAGGAGCTCGATGAGACGAAGATCATCTTGGTGAGTGCGCTTCGTTGGGATGCGGGCGCGCGGGTGGTGGGCGGACGAGGGGGCTGGCTTTGGCTCGTCCGGCATTGGGGACGGGGTGTCGAGCCATGCGTTTGGTGGCAGGACGGGGTCAGCGACGAAGATGTCTGGACTGCATATCTTCGCGACTGCGTCGATGGACCACACCGCCCACCGCCATCCATGCACGATCGAGGCGCTCCGTCTGAGGCGCACCTGTCCGCGCGCAACGGACGCTGATGCAGGATCTGTATCTGTCCACAGCACAAGACGATCGAGAGCGTGCTCGAGCGCGGGGAGAAGATCAACGACCTCGTCGACCGCTCGAACGCGCTCTCCGCGCAGAGCAAGGCGTTCTACAAGACCGCGAAGAAGGTGCGTCCCCGCCGCCTCCGCGTCTCGTGCGAGCTCACTGATGCTGTTTGAAGCAAAACTCGTGTTGCGTGGTCATGTGAGCGCGGTGCTCTGAAGCGGGCGCGCACTCGGGCCCGGCAGTGCTGTGGACAGATGGGATGTGGCTGGACACGGACGACCGTGGGCGTGGGTCGAGCGTTTCGCGCGTATGCGTGGACGTCCGTACTGCGATGCTTCTCTCGCGTGCGCTAGCTCGGTGGTACGGCGGTGAACGTTGGTTGCGGGGACGCTGACGCACGCGACGCCGCGGTCTAGATACACACGTAGCTCGCATTGTATTTGTACGACTAGGTTTCAATGCGCTGACTCTTTCGGATTGCTAACACTTGTGTTCGGCGCGACGCACCAACGTTACCTGTCGATGGGGCCGGCGGGTAGGACAGTTGAACGACGCCCACGCCGGTTTGTATTGGGATACCATCCATCTTGTTTGTGGTGATTCGGACATAATGGAACATGGCCTGTCGCGTCGAGAGCGAGAACATACATCCGTTGTCTCTGCGTATTTCAGGGACGTGACCGGGTTCGGCCCGGGACATGCAGAGAGCATCAGTGTGCAATGCTCGCATGCATCGTAGTAGGATACTATTGTGGTCGTGTCCGTAGGCAGACCATTCGGCATGTCCTTGGATCTTACAGCCACGCAAGGCAAGTCATATTGGTAGCTTTCATGTGCTTGCTACGGTTGCCCGCTACAGGCCCGCTAGTCCGTGGTTGAGTGCTTCGCGTGACGCGCCACGCCACATCGCGCGGCGCGACTTGGGCTGCCTATTGTTGGCCATGAAACTCTCAATACTGTTCCTATGGCCTAAATCACGGTAGATCCGGGATATGCGGGGAGATTACGTCCCGAAACCACCCTTGAAATCGTCATAACTGGAGAATTGACGTGTCTACAGGCCTCCGACTTCCGACATAGCACTGCCATGGACGACCTGCTCACGAGAGGACGATGATGGCGAGACCAAGAGAGGTTCGGGAGACAAAGGGGTGCCTGACGGTACGTACGTGACAAGTACGTGGTCCGACGACTTTCCACTGGTCGATACACACCGACCTCAGCAGACCGCTCAATTATTCACACGAGTACCATGTACGTTGTCAATCTCAGTTTGGAGAGATAATATTTATAGAGACATGATGTCGCGTCGCAGCCAATCTGGCATGAATACGCGGATTACTTCACAGTTCACGATAACTGCCGGTGTCCCGTTCAGCACGGCCAAGGACCCCAACATCACGTTGGCGAAGTCGCTCCGTGTTGCTGGCCTACAGTCGAACACGCCCGAGACGATGTTCTTCGAGACGCCGTTCACTGACAGCGTGTGGCACAACTTCGCACTGAGGATGGGTTGGGTGGACAAGTAAGCTTCCAGCCTCCGCATCTCGGATGAGGCTGACTGATTGTGCTCCGCCTCGGACAGTACGATCACTGTGTATTACTCGGAGGGGTACGCCCCGCTGGAGTCGGATGCACCCCAGCTCATGCCCACGAACAGTAATCGAAAACCGGGCGCACAACAAAGGTTGCGCGCCTCGAACTTGGCCACTGCAGCGACCAACCACCAACCGTCCATGTACCTTCCGCGTGCACACCGACTTGCGAAGCAACAGCGCGCCAGTGCGGCGCAAGACAGCGCGAGCAGGCGGGCGTGCAAACAGGAGTGTATTGCCATTTTCTGCGTACGCTCAACAGACACGAGCTCGGCACTTGAACTTCTTGAAGCACGAGCCCGGCGTGCGCGTGCAGAAAGTCGGTTACAGTGCCCATAGCGCGGAGAGGAGCTTCTGATAAGTATACGGACGAGGTGAGCTGTGGCACATGTGACGGCCAGCCATGAATATGAAGCACACGAAGCACGGCGGGCTCAGGCCCGCCATGCGCGGATGCGCCGAGTATGCGACTGGGGGTGGACAAGGACCGGTCGCCTGTGTACATTGGCTGTTCAGATTTGGTACCACCCATACAATTGTCCCACTCGGACGACCACTCACACGCGGTATGCTCCAGCGCACTCTTTCATAGCAAGCATGACATTCTGATTTGCAAAAGAGATCTTTTGTGCCTGTATTCCTATTCCATATCTCACGTCTAGCTTAGAATTCATCACCCCTCCTCCCTCCTCGCGGCATGTTTTCAGAGGCCCGTAGTACCTCCAATGACGCTGTTTACCCATCAAGAAGGGTATTAAATAATATGCACACTCATAGAAACCCATGAGGCTCTTGAGTATTCCAGAGGGTTGGACGAGCATGACCATACATCCTGATTGGGAGTTCGGGCTGAACATCTCGCGAGTAAATGAATGAAAGACACACAGCGAGCATGCAACATTTCGCTTCTACATACAAACCACATCCTTGTCACGTACGTACGTACGTACCGTCGCGCACCCCTTTGTCTCCCGAACCTCTCTTGGTCTCGCCATCATCGTCCTCTCGTGAGCAGGTCGTCCATGGCAGTGCTATGTCGGAAGTCGGAGGCCTGTAGACACGTCAATTCTCCAGTTATGACGATTTCAAGGGTGGTTTCGGGACGTAATCTCCACGCACATCCCGGATCTATGTACCATGATTTAGGCCATAGGAACAGTATTGAGAGTTTCATGGCCAACAATAGGCAGCCCAAGTCGCGCCGCGCGATGATGTGGCGTGGCGCGTCACGCGAAGCGCTCAACCACGGACTAGCGGGCAACCGTAGCTTCAACTTGCCATCCAAACAACGTTACGACATTCCATGTCCTGAGGACGGTCGTCGTGAGTGTGCTCATAGAACGTCCGCACGATCGTACGACCCTCGACGCGCCTACGGTTGTGTTGCCGGTGGAGGGGAGTGCTCATATAGACCGCTGAAATGCCGTACCGTGTTCTTCCCACAGCAATGAGGTGTTCTAGTACCACATCGAGCAGATGGGAACGACGGGAGCAGTGCGAGAGGCCTATAGTCGATGATATGACAGATTATTGGCGGGCCTCGAGGCTCGCGCGCCCATATCGCAGCGCTGTGCCTGGTGATTATCACGAAGCTGGGGCGGACAATGTACGGGAATGCATTGTCGGGCGCTGCAGAGCTTGGGTGACAGCAGCGGACACGCACCGGGCCTGGGACGGCTGTCTGAGAGCGAGATGACGATGTACGGCAGGCGACGTAGACAGAGTCAGCCAGCATCCGCAGAACATCCGTTTCAGACACGTCGCCCAGTCGCCACGCAACGGCTGCGTCACCGCCCGAGCGGATGCGCCGATTCGGATCTCGATCAGCCGATCTCACGCTGTTGTTGGACGTCGCTCGTCCACGGCCACGGCCACAGCGACTCTGCGCCGACGCCTGCCCCTTCTGCATCCGCAGCCTCGGGTCTGCGTGCGGCGGCAGGGTGGCAGTGCGCATGGAAGGCCTCTGACTTCGCAGGAACGGGGCTCGCAGATGGGCGGCCGCGTCCGTCTGGCAGCTCTTCGACTGCCATCCAGATCCATCGCCTGTCCTCCCTATATCAACCCGCCCCTCCCCATGTCCTCCCCACACCGCCCCGCCCAGCATGAGCACCATCCTCCAGAACGTCAAGACCGCCGTCGACGCCCTCGCCGCCAGCGCGGCCCCCCTCGACGACGCCGGCGCCCGCCCCCAGCCGCCCTACCTCTCCCGCGAGATCACCGACATCCAGGAGCGCCTCCTCCGCGGGCCCGGCTTCACCCCCGCCGACCTCGTGAGTCCCAGCGCGCCCGGCGCGTCGCGTACCGCTGACCGCGCGCATACAGCCCGCATACATCCACGCCGTGCGCAGCCTCAACGGCCCCGGCATCGACGACCGCGAGTTCCTGGTGAGCCGCCCAGCACGCAGCGCGCGCGCACCCACTGACCCGTGCGCGCATCGCCAGCTCGAGAAGCTGCTCACCCTCATGGCCCGCTCACCGGACGACTCCGCCTTCGCCAAGCAGGTCGAGCGCGCCGCGATCCAACTATGTGAGAGGAACAGTCCTTCGTAACGGTGGACGCCGTCGGGGCCCCAGTGAACTCTCGCCACGGTCCAGCCGTCGCAGCGGCCGGCGGCCTCGACGCACGCCAGCGCGTGCCTGGTCCACAGCGTCATTTAGAGACGTTGAGGCACGACAGCTGATTTCATATCGCTGGGCCCCTCCACGAGAACCGCATGTCAGTACCGCGTGTGGGCCACCTCAAAGGCCCACACCCTCTGCTTGTGTACGTTTCTCGAGGAGGTGTGCCGCAATACGGGAGGGGCTGCGGGGGTCTCTCATGCTACCTCGACGGCTCTGACTTGACGCTCACTACGGGAACAGTGTACAAAGACCTCCCGCACCCCCCGAGCGGGTACCTCACGCTCCCCAAGACACCCAGCGCCCCGCCGAGCGCGCCGAGCCCCACCGACGGGGCCAAGTATGCCTTCCGCAGCGCGGACGGCGCGCACTACAACGTCCTCATGCCCACGCTCGGCATGGCGGGCACGCCCTACGCGCGCAGCGTCCCCTCGACCACCCCGCTCCCGCCGCAGTACCTCCCCGACCCCGGGCTCGTCTTCGACACGCTGCTCAAGCGCGACGAGTTCGTCGAGCACCCCGGTGAGCCCTTGCGCGCAGCCTGTTGAGAGTGGTGCGCTCATATGTGCGCAGGGGGGTTCTCCGCGATGTTCTTCGCGTTCGCGAACATCGTTATACATAGCGTGTTCAACACGGACGCGAGGGACTGGACGAAGAACGCCGCGAGCAGCTACCTCGACCTGAGCCCGCTCTACGGGAGCGCCCAGGCGCAGGTCGACAGCGTCCGCCGTGAGTCCCGCGCTGTCCGTCTGGCTACGTTCGCTGACGATGCGGGGCTGCGGACGTGTGGAACAGGCAAGGACGGCTCGGGTCGGCTGTGGGAGGACGTCTTCGCGGACGCGCGGCTCCTGTTCATGCCGCCCTCGACGGCCGCGCTGCTCGTGCTCTTCTGCCGGAACCACAACGTACGCATCACCGTCTCTTCTTCTCTTCTCCCCCGCCGTGCACGCTGACTCGGACCCCCTTGCCGCCCTCGCTTCGGACGCAGTTCGTCGCCTCCCGGATCCTCGCCGTCAACGAGCGCGCCACGTTCGCCGACCCGGCGAAGATAAACCTGGAAGCGCGCGCGGCGCAGGACGAGGAGCTGTTCCAGCGCGCGCGCCTCGTGAACACCGCGTTCTTCATGCAGGTCATCCTCGGCGACTACGTCGGCGCGATCCTCGGCCTCACGCGGGACGGCCTCGGCTGGCGGCTCAACCCGCTGGAGGTGCGTCTGTCGTTCTGCGCTGTGGGTGTACGGAGGGAGGGCTGAGTGTGTTTTCGCGGGTCGTAGACGATGCGGGGGATGAACCATGAGTTCGCACCGCAGGGCGAGGGCAATATGGTTTCGGCGGAGTTCAATTTGATGTATCGCTGGCATGCGACGAGTTCGGCGCAGGACACGGAGTGGGTCGACGCGCTCTTTAAGGGGATGTTCGGTGGGAGGTCGGGCGGGGAGGTGTGTGGTTTGGTCGCGATTTGGGTGTGTGGAGGTGGCTCATGCGTGTGCGTGTGCGTGTGGTGGGTGTTGGGTGTAGGTTACGGTGGACGAGTTCAAGACGGGTGCGGTCAAGCTGGTGATGGGCGCACCGAAGGACGTGAAGGAGTGGTCGTTCAACGGGTGCGTCGTGCGTCGTGCAGTCCCGTTACTCGTATTGCAGTTCTGACTCTCGCGCAGACTCAAACGCGGTCATGACGGTCGGTTCGCCGATGGTAAGTATGTTTGTCTGCGGTCGCGACGGTGTGGGCGGTGTAGAATGAACGTTGCATTTCAGAGGACCTCGCGAAGATCCTGCTCGACGCGACGGAGTCTCCCGCGAGCGCGTTCAAGGCGCGCGGCATCCCGGACGCGCTGCGCGTGATCGAGATCCTGGGGATCATGCAGTCGCGCAGCTGGGGCACATGCTCGGTGAGTCGGCTGTCAAGCTCCGGGAAACGACAATGGCTAACGTGTGGGATAGCTGAACGAGTTTAGATCGTTCATTGGGCTGCGGCGTAAGTAGATGAAGTTCTGTGGCTGTGATATTTGTGATTCACAGATATGTAGCATACAAGACCTTTGAGGAATGGAACCCGGATCCGAAGATCTACGTGAGTCGTCTGCACTGAGATCCGCTGTACGCCGGTAACCGCTGATGCCCATCACGCCAGATGGCCGCTGAGAGCCTCTACCACCACATCGACAATCTCGAGCTCCATGTGCGTATACACGCCAGATGTGATTCGCTGCGATTGTGGGCGCGTGTTGACATGCGTCTGCACAGGTGGGCCTCCAGGCGGAGGAGGCGAAGGTGCCGATGCCCGGCTCGGGCCTCTGTCCCGGGTACACGATCTCGAGGGCGATCCTCGCGGACGCGGTGTGCTTGACGCGCGGGGACCGGTTCTTGACCGTCGACATGACGCGTGAGTCGTCCGCCCGTCCGTCGCGTTGTATCCGCGCTGATGCTGTTGTCTCGCGTCCTTCTAGCGTTCAACTTGACGTCTTGGGGCTACCAGGACTGCATGTACGACAAGCAGGACGGCTCGATCGGCGGGATCATCAACAAGATGCTCTTCCGCACCCTCCCGGACTACTACCCCGCCGCGTCGGCGTACGCACTCTTCCCGTTCATCGTCCCGAAGCGCATGAAGGGCTTCGTCAGCGCGCTGCCAGACTCGCCCGTCGCCAAGTACGACTGGACGCGGCCCGCAGGGCCGGCGCGCGCGCGTTCGCTCCCGTCGTCGGCGCAGCTGGTCCCTAACGGAAATGGCGTCAACGGGTTGGCGAAGCCGGAGGGCAGGGTGCAGAGCTTGTTAGGAGGTGTTATGCCGGACGTGGCAGCGGTGAGTGGTAGTATGAGGCTGTTTTGTGTTGTTGCTGACTCGCCGGATGCAGGTCGACCGTGTATTGTACAACGACGACGCGGTCGCCAAGCAGGCGTGGTCGATCCGGACGTTGACGGAACAGCTGATCGCGACGCGTTCGATCGAGCACGTCGGGTCGAAGAACAAGTATTTGAACGTCGTCAGAGACGTCATCAACGTGCTCCCGGTGGCGTGGATCGTCAACGACATTGTAAAGCGACTTAGCGACTGTCTTTCTCTGTTGACATGCTGACTGGTACTTTAGGTTGGCCTACCTTTGAAGACGGAGGCGAATCCGAAGGGAATATATCGTCCTCAAGAAGTGGTCGATATGTTCCGCAGTGTCGCGAGGTGCGGTCGGTTCCGATGCATGATACTGATGCGCGCTGAGACACCCACAGTTATGTTTACGATGAGGCTCCTGCATCGCGGAAATTCGAAGTACACGAACATGCTGTGCGCGCAGCAGCTCTCATCATGAGATCTGCGAAGGAGAATCTTTCCGACTCAAATGGGCACTCCGTGAGTGCATTCACCGGGTGGCCATGCTTGTCGTTGGCTTATAAGTCCCATCCAGCTCAGCGGTTTCGCCGACAGCGCCATACAATCGGCGATTGGCAGGAATGAACGTGAACGGCCATTCCTCCAGACGCTCTGGGCCGCTTCGCAGGGCAGCTCGCGCGATGCTCTGGCCGCCGGTATATTCGCAGAGTTAGTCCCGACAGCCGTGCTGTTCTCGCGCGCCATCTGCCAAGTCGTCGACTACTACCTGAGCGATGAGCGGCGCGCGCGATTCGTCGACGTCTTGTCGCGCTCGCAACGACCAGATGCTGCGTTCGACGCGATGATTGCGGAGGCACTAGGTCTGTTGCATGCTCCTTTGATGTGCGACTTATATGACTGACTGATACCGCTCCAACAGACGGCTTATCTGTATGTTTGGTTTTGTCTATCACTCGCTAAATCATCTTACACAGATTGTCTCATAGTTCCAGAATGCAGCATCTCTCAACCATGGGTGTGTTCTGTTCAGTTAACATTGTGACTTACATGCTCATCTGCCATACACAGCCTCATGCATCCTAGTCTTTTCATTCAAGTACCAACGATGTTCTCTATTCACCCTGATCGTAGATACTGACCAGCTATACAGGCTGCCTTCCACATACTGCAGCCCATATTTGCCCTTATCAGTGTCCAGAGGGCTTCAGGGTTATCAGGACAGCTCCATAGGTTAGTCTTACTATGTTCACTCACAATCTCACTGATGACTGCTTCAGAATCATGAATGCTGGTGATGGAGACAAGGTGCAATACCTTGATACCAATGCTGAGATCACATCATGGCCTGTCTCACTCATCATTGAGGTATGTCATTCAGTTGTGCTGACAGCATACAGCTAACCTTCAGTAGTTCAAGATCTGTTGAGATATGACTACATTTGTTCTGTCATGGACATATAATTCATGGCCTGTTGCATCATGTGTCAACTTGAATCACCCCTATCAGTAAAGGTCAATCAATGGTAGATATTTGTTCTTGTGATCAAAGCTGTGACAATAGCACATGCCAAGAAATGCTTGGATAAAGTTGGCTCTATTGGAGATGGGCATGTGAAGCATGATTCAATATGCAGACTTGAACATCAGGAAAGTGTCACCACATCTAACTTGCCCTAACTGGTCTAACCCTCCTAACTTGTGCCTAATTCATCTCACTGTCTAACGATTTCAGGCCTCTGCAGTCAGCTACATACCAGCAGAGCAGCCATCCATGTATATTATGACAGTACATATACGAATGATACAACACAGTAACAAAGCATTACATAGTGCTAGCATTGCGAGGCAATTACATACTACTTACTGCATGAGTTGCATCATTGTGTGCCTGCTACTACAAAAACCTCTGTTGATGAGATCTACATCAGGGAAAATCACAATTGCTACATTGGATAATGTAGCAGGTGTAGCCAGTATAGGCTCATTGCGAACCCCCTACTTTATAGCAGCTCATAGATTGCCGGCTCAGACTATAGCTGTCTGTAGCGCCACTGCCAATCAACATAGAACAACATAGAGCACTATAGATCTACTAGACTGATAGTGCAATAGACTGATAGGCTTATGTAGAGTGACATATGGAAGTATAATCAGTAGTCAAGTGCATATTAATTGTACTGTTGCTAGCACTCGTCACGGAATTGAACCATCGGACAGTACGAGAATATTAGATCAAATGTATTGCAAGGCTGCAATGCTACGGTATTCAATATCCTACGGTGTTCAACAATTATGATTGAAGCGTGCTAGTAATGTAAGGCAGCAGTCACAGTGGTCCGTAATATGTATATGAAACCAACTATAGGGGTATTGATTAGCAGTGAGTAAGTCTGTTGAGTACGAGAAGACTGCAGGCTAAGACATACAACGGGTCAGCCAATGATCTGTCCCGACGGCAGCAAGTGCAAACGCACCAAGAAACGTCCCATCTATGCGTCATTGGCATCATCAGAATCACCAGCGTCCAGGGCTTGCTGGAGCGCGCGCGTCAAGGCATCGTGTGAGAGTGTAATGGCGGTGCTATCTGTATCCTCCGCACCACATCAGAACTTTGGGGAAACCGCTGACAGCCACTGACGTCACTGAAGTAGCTATATCAGTGAATTTCAGCAACGTCAGTGCAGCTCAGCGGTGTTCAGCAGGGACGAATATGTTGTTCAAAATTTCAACTTATTTCCGTCAGTAGATGCAAAGCCTAAAGCGTCAGCGGGTATCAGGAACCGTCAGCGGCCGTCAGCAGAGATCATCCAGCGTCAGGAAAGGGGGCATCTAAGGCATGCTAGACACATTGAACGAGACACGATAGCAAATTGGTTGATTTAAAGAAGATATATTCGAGCATCAAACACTGCACTTTCTACTACAACATACACATTTATGAACCTCCTGCACGTCAACGAGTTGAGGTGATTATTTGTTACACAGATTCATGATGGTCAACGTAGTCTAAGCATGAAGAACAGTCAGAAGCAAGCTGAAAACATACCACACCATCTTTGTCAGTTTAAGTGCATCTATTTTAGTTCATTAATGAACCGAAAATTGAATTTAGCTCGTTCTTTTTGGAACCCCTGTTAATCCAATCCCACCTTAATCCCAATCCAATTCAGTCTCAATCCACTAGTCAATCCACACACTTAATCCAATCCAATCCTAATCCCATCCTACTCCAGTCTAAACCCACTAATTGATCAATACACTTAATCCAATCCAATCCTAATCCACTGGCAATCCAGTCTAAATCCACTAGTCAATCAACACACTTACTCTCAGTGTATAACAGGGATCTCTTAATCCACCACTAATCCACTACACAATCCAATGTCTAAGTCAGCCAGCAAGCTGTTAATCCATCTTAATTCACTCCACAATACACGGTGAATTAAGCTAAGCCAGTTGCATAGATCATCATAGCCACCACTAATCCACTCCTAAGTATGATCCTTAATCCACCTCTAATTCCCTGTAAGCCGGTAACAAAGCCGTTGTACGCGGGTAACAAACAAACTGTAGGCCAGTAACCAACACACTACGGTATGCTGTACGCGCGTAACAAACGAACTGTAAGCCAGTAACCAACACACTACGGTATCCTTCTGAACCGTCCGGGGCGTAAGCAACCGCCGACGTCTCGAGACAAGCGATGTCTACTGCTGCTAGTGAGCCTCAAGACCTCTGCACAGCCTTCCGGGCAGTAGACCTAACGGAAGACTTAGTAGGACTTCAAGTCCAGAGAAACAACAGTACTCACTTCGATGTTGCCGTTGTATTACTCTTGGGGCGCGTTGCGCGCGATGAGCCCGCCGACGACCGCGTGGTCGATATGCCCGTCGCCGCCGCCTCCGCTGCTTTAGACGAGGGTTTACGTACGCGAGGTCTGTCCCCTTTATTAGCTGGTCCCTCAGAATGCCAGGCATTGTTACGTACTGTCTTGGTTCATCAGCGACCTCCTGCGTGCCCTTAGCCTTTCCATCATCCCCTCCCTTCATCTTGCGCTTCTTCTTTGGTCAAGATGCTTCGGCACCCACCCTGGGTTCTGCATTCTCGTCCTCCTGGTTATTCTTTTGCTTGGCGCGCCGAGCTGGGCCATCCTTGCCTGCTCATATGTTAGTGTAAGGTCTGGAGAAGTAGTGGTCTCACTTACCTTTGGATCCTGCGCCGTTGCGAGCCGAACCCTCGTCGGCAACCTCACCACCCGCGGTGTCGTCCATGACCTTGTCGTCGCCGCCTGCGTCAACGTCAGCAGCTGCACCGCTCGTCGTCTCGTCGTCCGGCTCTGAGATGCCGTCGATGCGACTCGCCGCCCGGCTCAGTCGTACCGACGTAGAATCCATGCCCTCGTCGTCGTCCTTTTCGTCGTCAGTGGATTCCACGACACGGGCCTGCACAAGATCAGTATGTCAATTCCAGATGAGAAATTCGTGACTCTTACTCTGCTCGCCCTTCTTGTGATTGAGCGTCCGTCTGCATTTCGGCGCGTGTTGTTCGCAGGATTGACGGGGTCCCTGGCTGCATTCACGCTCGCGATCATCACCTCATCACTCAGATTGACCGCGTCCTTGGGCGCGAACGTGAAGGCGGCGTCCGTATCTTGCGTAGAACGGATCTTGATCCACAACGGGAAGACTTGCTCGACGGTTGCACCCGTCGCCTGGCTGAGATCCGGGGTCGGCCATCCCAAATGCGCGAGGCGCTCGGATATTGATGCCGCAGTGAGCACGGGCACCTCGTCGACACCTTGATGGGCATAATCTGCAAAAACGTTCAGTGTTTCTGGGTAACGGTGACCTGTCGTGGACTCACGCCAGGCGGCTCGGAAGTACTCCTGTAGTACTTCTATCATGTTGATTCCGTTCCACTCCGGCCGACTCTCCGGGAGCATGGGGCGACCGTTGACGTACGTGATCCCATGTCCCACCCCTAACAGAGGTCGTGCTGGGAGTAACGGTGAGTACTCAGGAACACAGCTCATCGGACAGACACGTACGGAGGGCTTTTTGGGAATAGCCGACCCACTGTGTGTTCTCCGCCATGAGACCACCGGCATAATCTATAAAGCTCTCTCCGTCTGGTTCATCACCGACATAGAATCTGGTGTCACGTTCAGTTCAGAGGTTGCACGGTACTGTTCTTGGTCACACTTACTGCATTGTGTCGAGTTCCCCATCGGCTGGCATAATGGCCCACCGCACGAAAAAGATAGTGTTACCTATTCGGTGTGGACCGACACCAATGAGGCTGCGCAGCATCTCCGACAGCGTGTCCGGGAGCTTTTTACGGTTCCTGGGTGTGTTCGTCAGCGGTGAGTCTGATAGAGTAGCAAGGATGATACTTACTCTGCCATGTCAGCCTCGACTTCGTCAGGGGTCTGTTCGGGTGGGGGGAGACTCTCCCAGTAGTCTTTCTCCTCCTGCGGCAGCTCGTCGTACAACCTTTTACGCATCGCCGCAATCCGCCCACCCTGGCCAGCTCCCTTCGTTGGATCCATGTACTGCAGGATGCGAGCCTTGTTCTCGGGGACTTCAGCCCAGCGTTCGGAAGGTCCTTTCGCTCTCTTGGAGAATATTGACTTCTGGGTGGCATTGTCGTTGTCGGGGACATCGTCTTCAGACTCAGAGCCAGAGTCATGGGTGTCGTTCTTGTGGTTCTTGAACCATGTACGAGTAACCTGAGTGTCATTGCATGTAAGCTAGCTGATACGTCGACGCCATTCCTGATGGGGGCGAGCTCACCGCGCGAAGATTCGTTGGATTCTTGGGCTTCCACTTCCCCGAGGCTGCGATCTCGGCGACGACTTTGTCCAAGAACGCCTTCCTGCGTTGAGTATCATCGCCGGAAGCGTTCCACCCTGCCATGTGAGACTGCAAGAGCTCCACCAGGCCCAGCTCCTGCCAGTTAGTACGTGGTTTCTTCTGTTTCTTTGGCTTTGGAGGTGCGTCCGGGACTGTTGAGTTCGTGCCCGCTTGGTTCGAGGACTCGTTGACCTGGGGTGCGCTCGCTTCCTTCTCGGACGCCGCATTGGCGGGGTCAGGCACAGACGCCTTGGGCTCGTTTGCGACGACGTTAGCACGCTGGGCTACCTCGGCGTCGGGGCTCCTTTCACGACGATGAGAAGGGTGAGGCGCGGAATCGTCGGATTCTGGGAGCATGATCGACGGAGGATGTCAGGCACGGGGGAAGGACGGCGCGCTAGGAGAAGGAGAGTCGAGGGTGGACGGGGACATGTACGACGTGAAGTGTATGGTGCGAGACACGACAGTCTGGAGACGGCCCCGGTGGTACGCAACTCTCGGATCACCGGGTTGTTTAGGTGCATGTCCCTCACGACCGCCAGGCATGCGACGCCTTTCGCCCCATGAGGAAGTCGTTCTACCGACGTGGTTGTGAGTGCGATCAAATCTCGTTTGGCGCATCGTGGCGCGGGTAACGTAGGTACTCTGGGCAACCGGCATGAACACATCGTCACCGCCCACCTCCATCCGTCGGCCCGTCTTCACCCACCCCATTTCCCACCGCCTGCTCCTTCCCCCTTCTCCCGACACGTTGCCGCAAGCGTCTCCGCAGAGTGCTTCCGCAACGTACCGTCTTAGGGCTTACTTTTACGCCTGTCAGTGTCCGCGGTTCTTGAACCACTTCCGCGTGAGCTAAAGGGGCCAGAACGTCAGCCATACGATACCGATTCACATTTGTTACGGCTCACCGTGCGAAGATCTCCCGGGTTGTTGGCGTCCCACTTCCCTGAGGCTAGGATGACTGCAACGACTTCCTTTATGAACCGCGCTTTGGCTTGGTCGTCATCACCGCAGGCCAGCCATCCTCCCAAGCGAGACGTCAACACGCTCTCGAGACCCATTTCGCGCCAATTCGTGCGCCCGCGAAACTTTTCACGAGCGCGATGTTCACGAGCCATAGTCCTCGAAATGATCTGCAATCAAAGTCAGAATGGAAATGCAACTGGGATGCTACGGATGCGTACAACGTGGGATGCAGACTGCAGATAGGGTTCTCCAGCGACCAGGAGTGGGTTGTTTGACTTAGGGCTGTGATCGTTGGGTTGATTTATATGAGGGGCTCCGGGAACTGGACATGTCACCCGGTTTATACATTTGACGAGACGATCCACTAGACTGGATCGGTGTGCGAGCAATCCAAATTGCAATTGCGCCTGGTGCGCGTGTAACGTAGGTACTCTAAGTTAGGCGCATCATGATCTCGTCGTCGATCTTCAGCCAAGTCACCTTACGCGACCCTCCAGCCACTCCTTCTCCCTGCACGTTTCCTCCCTGCACGTTGCCTCCCTGCGCGTTGCCTCCCTGCGCGTTTGCCTGCGCGTTTGCCTGCGCGGGCTCCTTCCCCTTCGCAGAGCGTTTACGCGGTGGGACGCTTTCTTCTTCGCGCTTCCTCTTGCGCCCGACTGAGACGCTCCCTCCTTCGGTCGTCGGGCTGCTGGGCGTCTGGGAGAACATGCGAGCCGAACTAAGGACTCGACCTGGCGAAGAGTAATTGATCTCCAAGCCGTCGCTGGGGAGAGACAGCTCGGAACCTGCAGGCGAGGGTGGCGGCGACAACGCCTGGCTAGACTGGGTCCCTTGGGCAAGTAGGTGGTCTAGGAGAGAGGGTAAAGGGCGAGCGCCGAGGACACGCCCGGTGGCTGCGAGATGCACGACTCCAGGGCAATGGAGCACGTTGGTCCGCCTGTACACTAGGACGTCACGACGCGGGAAGTATCGCACTTCGTGAACGGGCGGGTATGGCACAAAGCGTCCCAATCGAGTGTCGTAGTGCTCGAAAGGGATCTCGCTGCCGCCCTTCAGTGGGAATCCCAGCAGCTCGCTAGTGATCGGCTGCCGGAAGTACACCTTGAGGAAGTCATCGCTCACTACTGTGCATAGGAGCGGGATGGTAATGGGGATGTCGCCGTCCTGACTGAGCGTGAGATTGAGGACAGCGATGATATCGGCTAGACTTACCTTGATGTAGATGAACGCATCTACCATCGTGGATAGCGTAGCTGGCCCATCGCGCGCAGCTGACCTTGTAACGCGTTGAGACGTTGTCTGCGCACCAAAGTACACCAGGCCGCCGAGCTGAGCAGGCGGGTCGAGCTCAGCCACTTTGACGCGGACTTGCTCCATGTCGGCGTCCGACAACTGGACCTTCGCGGGCTTCTTGTGATTGGCGCATTTGTGCCCGTTCGGTAAGTTGCACTGTTGGACGACTCGTGAATAGCTTCGCAAGGAGGATTGAGGCAATACGCTTACCACGCCGAAGACTTTGCCCAGCTGCTCGTAATTCTTGACGCCAAAGGAGACAACGGGGATGTGTGGTACTTCGGGGAAGACCAGACACTTGTGAAGGCTGGCTCGTTGGGCGTCTCGAGAGGGGACGACGTCGTTCACGATGGCACGGACTCGTGGATCGCTCCGAAGCGGCATTTTGGACAGTGGCGTCGCAAAACGGTGCATGCGCTTAAATACTTCCAGGACTCAGGCGCCCGGGTGTGCGTGTTTAAAGGGAAGAATTGAGCGTGCTCACGGGATTAAATAAAATAATAAACTCACCGTCCGCGCACTTCGCTGTGGATTGATACCGCTTGTGCTGAGTCATCCGAGTACGTGTTATGCGATTCGTGCGAGTACAGTATATACAATGGTGAGAGCGTACAGGAAACATCACGGCCAGTTGACGGGAACGACAGCGGGTGGGATAGGAAGCCGTTTAAAGACACGGACGAAGGTGTGTACGTAGAACTCGACGGCAATGCGCTGAACAGTGGTAAACTTGTCCGAGGGCCAATCCATGGCGGCGTCCGGGAAGACTTTGAGTTCCTCAGGAAGACCTGGCCAGCGCGCTATGACCGCGAGCAGCTCGCACAGGGTTGAACGAGCGTGACTTTGATCAGCCTCATCGTCCGAGTACGTCCATTGCGCACGGGTGGTCTCGTCATTCTCCCAACAGGGCCACAGGCGCAGCCCAGACCCAATCGAACTCCAGATCCGACTGACGCGTGCCTCCCGTTCCCAACGAGCGAGCGTGTCCCACTCGCGCGACTGCGTTAGCTCGGCATCGAGCTCTCGCATCTCGCAGCGCCAGTTCACCTCATGCACCTCCCAGAGGACCTGGGCATGGAAAGAACCCTCCTTCGCGTCGTCCACGCTGACAGCCCTAGCGCCCCACGACGGGGACGTTGCAGCGTCGTAGCTAGGCAACTCAGCGACGCCTGCGAACAGACGGCGGATGGCTTGTTGCAATTGCCTGCGCTCCTTCGTGCGCTTGTCCATGTCGGGAGATGTGACGTCGACTGATTGAGTGCGGTAGTCACCCCAAAGAGCATCGCGCCACTCCGCAATGCGCAAAGGCTCGGCCCTTAGAGTTGGATCAAGTAGCCGCTGCCGGCAAAACTGGCGAATGCGGGCGTAGTTATGGTAATACCTGTTGCACTTCTCGCCGCCTCCTTCAAACAGGAACGGGGGCGGCCAGTAATATGTTGACGGTGATGGCGGGGTAGCCAGTGTCCCGACGGCCGCCAGCGCATCCGCCCAAACCGTGGCCACGGCACATCCTTCAAGCGATTGATACCGTTGCGACGGGTGCAGTGGCGGCTGCTGCTGCGGCGCGGCTCGCTTTCCCCGACGCGTGCTACGGCGCGATGAACCTCCGGGAGCAGCAGGGCCGGCGTGTTCAGGCTTGGGATGACCAGGGACATCGGATTTTGCTTTCTTGGCCGGGGGTGGTCCCGAGGACACTGGCACTGCACTGCTCAAGCGGGGGATCTTGACACCCAAAAGGGTCTTCAGGACCTCTTGCTGCATCGCAAACGGCCAATCCCCTGGATGCTGCACAACACCCGCCAAATCACCACCATCCGACAACAACTGCGGGCGTGAGACCTCCTCGCTCAAACGCGAGGCAATCGCCGTCGGGAACGTGTGGACCTCAACGACCCGCACCAAGCGAGTGAGGGGCTGGATGTACCAGACGGGAATGCCGACGCGGAAGAGGACTTGCGCCGTTCCGGCCTCGGTTGTGAAAGCGCCGCGAACCGCCAGAACGTTCTTCGCGACATTGTTGGGGTCGAGAACCCGCGGCTGTACGATCTCATACAAGACGAGTAGTCCGCAGAGCTCCAATAGAAGCCGTTGAACGTGGGCGGCGAGGGCGATGGCGCGCGCGCGGGACATCGGGAGGATGGTGAGTTGGTCGATCGCCTGATCAACGGTAGAAAGTAGCTGAGCGCCGAATTTGTTGTGGTCCTCGCGTTGTGACCGCGCGGACATTTGATAGTTGGCGTCGATACGCCCAGCCGTCGCTTTGAGGATGTACAGGTAGGGTTTGTCAAGGAAACCAAGGTCGGGCACCCCACACTCTGAGGATGCCGCCCACCCATTCCACGGAACTGAGTCCCAAAGGTCGTCGATGTCGAGATTGAACCCGTCTATTTCTTGCCCCTGAACGGGGATGCAGGCATGGTGTAAGACTTTTCTATGGTACAACTGAGGCCACAATGTATACTCCTGGGGTCCCCAGCGCCCGTCCTCCCGCGTACTGATCCGGCCGGGTGCTGCGACGGGGAACTCCGGCATCCACGTTGCGTTGGGCGTGGTTACAACCGCTTTTTCGTCCATCTTCCAAGGCGTCGCGATGCGGCCATCGCACCACTTTATTTCGGGGGCGGAGGCTAGGCTGGCATGAGCTCACAGTTGAAATCAGTCAAGCCAATTAGCACTCACCGAACAGCTCGGGGGTTTCGCACAGTTCAACCGGTCCTTGCTCATCGCTCACCCGCTCTTCTGCGATGGAAGGCGGGCCGGGCAGCAGCACGACCTCACGCCCCGTACCCGACGAGCTACTACGCGAGACCTTCATTCACGCAGTTGAGGACATGTAGCATGAAATAACGTACCCGCTGCCGTGTCGACTGTGTCCCGCGACGCCCTGCTCCACGATGTCCCAGTGGACGTGTCTGTCGCGATGGTTGTGAGTGAATCCGTCATTTGCCACGCCGGAGACCACTCACCGGTCTGGCCGCGAGGATGGGGATACTTCTCTTGACATCGTTCTTGTGCTACGTCAGATCTGGCAGGAATTAGCGTCGTGAGCCGTTGTAGATACGTGTCTTTGTGTGATAACACAACATACCGGACTTTTCTGAGGACGGTCACCCCTGGGCTTCGTCAGTGGAAGCAGCGACGCGTTGGCCTCGCTGTCTATGCGAAGTCCCCAAGTTATCAGCGTGATCTATGAATGATTGGTTCATTTGCGAGACGCAGCGACTGACGGGACGGGGTGCGTTCGATCTCTTGGTGCGGCTTGAATCCACCAGAGGGAGGCGGGGCGGTGTTGATGATGTCTTGAAAAGTAGAAACCGGGCGACAGGAGGTAACCCTCCTGTACGCGCACGGGTGGAGATGAGGGGCTACCCTGGGTGTATGCCCTAGGTCGCACCGCTCGTAGATGGGACGGCCGTTCTTGAGATCTTGAGGGACGACTTGAGGGGGGCGAGGGAGGGTTGGATTAGAGTGGATGTAGTCGTTAAGTCGCCTGTAATACGGTGGATTAGTCAGGTTGACTCGGCTTGCCGCGCGTGACTTAAGCCGACGCCGCGCCATAGGCTCGTGACTTAGCCAATCCGCACCTCAACTCACCTGGCAATCCACCTCTAATGCACCTGTAATGCTGGGCCAAATCCCCTCGCTCTGGCGCAATCCAAACTCAAGACACGGTTGAGCGAGTTGGCTATACAGCCTTCTCTGCTCCCGTTTGCTCACGGCATGCTCCCGCAGGGTTTCCTGCGGCTGAGCTGTCGTCGTCACCCTCAAGACGAACCCAGACCACGCATCAAGGCCGACGACTTCGTGGTTCAATGACCCAACCTTGCCACGCTCACTCACCCACTTGACTTTGCGCGCGAGACCCGGGATCCCAACGGCCCAGCCACACATCGGGGTCGGCTGATGAGCGACGCTTGAAGGTCAGTCGGCCACGGCCACTCCATGTGATAGAGATGTGCTGATCTTCGTCAACCTGCTCAGAGGCGGCAGCAAACGTTTCTGAATAGAGTCGAAGGGCCTGCCCTCGACAGCACGCAGGTCCCTTGTCCCAGACAGGGGCGCCTTTCCCCGGTTAGTCCAGATCTTATAACCAGTAGGGTAGCTCTTCCTGACCGGCAGCATGGTTCGTTTGCGTCGCGTTATGCAGGCCTCCATGAAGAATATCACTGAGAACACTGTCACGCTGCTCGGGGTGCAGTAGCCAACGACGTTCGACAATATGAAGGCGAAGATCCAGGACAACAGGGCGTTCCGCTGTGTCATCCCTATGCCTCCCACGCGGCCGTGAGAGGTTAGGAAGTCACGAAGGGTCTCCGCTGCATAGCCCTCTCCACCATCGTACGTTCTGAACGGGCTTGGATTGGCTGTGCACGCCTACTGACACTCCTCGTTCGTGTCGATGGTGGTATGCAGATCTTCGTCAAGACACCGAAGGCATCAAACATAATGGCGCGAGACCCTTGGAGGTAGTAGATCGCAACCGTCATTTGTTCTTTGGCGAGCAGTCGCGCAGTGTAACGCTGATAGTAGTACAACCATTACGTGGGATGAATAAATCTGTGGGCTGCTAGGATGGACGGTAAACGTCTTCGGTTCATTTGGAGGGAACGTACACGACTGGTTGTTACTCTGACCGTATCATTCATGTCTCCACTGTCCGTGGCGCACCATTATTACCGTCACCTGGTGAGCTTTTCGGAGGATAACTCCGCTTCCGGTCCTGATGATGACGACCCTAGCAACCGACCATCGTGTTTCTCGATCACCCGCCGCATGCGCTCCGTCGGTCGCGCGATCAAAGCTGGCGATTCGCGTATTCAGTGACCCCGCTTGTAATTCACGCGCGACGACAAACCGGCGGGAGATTGGATCGGGAGGGACAGTGGGTTTGGGGCGACGGATCAAGGGGGGCTGGTTGGTGGCGTTGTAGTCCATGGTTCGGCGTTCGTTGCTCGGGCGCTCGCTTGTACCCACACTGTCGTGTCGTTTCGCCTACCTTTGCATCTAACACTTTCACTCTCGCTATGTCACATTCACGCCCACGCAAAGTCGCTGCACGCGCGGACACCATTCTCCCTCGCGTTGTCGCCACCTCTAGGATTATCAGTGTATCTCGGACTGGTCGCGCGAGGAAAGTCAATACTGTTAAGCATCGAGAGCGGCCGTCCTTCGTGACAACGCAATCGCGACAGACACCCGTCCCTGCTGGCGAGCCGAGCACAGAGGAGCCTACCGCGCCAAGTACAAGCGACGACGCGCCTACGCTGGTACGCGAGCCTACAGGTCCAGGGCCAGCAGCGCCCTCTGAACCCGCGCGCACTGTGAAGGTTCGTAAGAGACCACATAGAATGGAAGTGCACTCATTCATTGCTGTACGCAGAACGGTATCTCCAAGGTGCTAGAGCAGTGGAAGCCTAGATTCCCCAGTATACTTGAAGATATCCTCGCAGCCGAGGTTCCTCCCAATGTCGGGGCTCTCTGCAGCTGTGGTAAAGCGGTTGCCGACGTTCGATGTCGTGACTGCCTGCGCGAGGCCTTGCAATGCTCACATTGTCTTGTCGACTCACATCGATTCAGCCCTTTCCACTGGATCGACCGCTGGAACGGTCGCTGTTTCGAGAAACAAGATTTGGGCGAAGTCGGGTTCGTGTTTTACTTGGGGCATGACGGACTTGCGTGCCCCTGTCTGCGACCTGCGGACGCTCCCGTAGTCTACACCGTCACCCATAGCAACGGCATTCATCGAGTGCCCATCCACGAGTGCCGTTGTCCCTGCGCTCTTGACAGCGTCTCGCAGCTCCTCCGCGTCAGCCTCTTTCCAGCCACTCTTGAGCGCCCCGAAACTGCCTTCACCTTCGACGTTTTGCGCCAGTGGGATCTCCACTTCCTGACATCGAAGAAGGGTACCTACGACTTCTACGAAGCATTGCGGCGTCTCACGGACAATTCAGGCACGCGCCCCCAGAAGGTGAGATCCGTCCTTCCTGCATAGCGACACCATGGCTTATACCAACGTAGAACCGCTATCGAGAGCTCAACATAGCTGGCCGCATTTGGCAGCACCTGGCAGCGCTCAAGCGCTCGGGGCTCCACCATGGTCTCTTTCTTCCCAATCGACCCGAGTCCGTCGCCGTCCCCTGCTTCGCTTGTCCATGGCCCGGTTTTAACATGCCTCCCAATTGGCGGGACACGCCTCCTGAGCTAGGGTGAGTAGCAAGAACGTCCCGATTGCGCGTCGGATGGGAAACTAATCACCGTCCTAGGTACATACATGCCTGTGAATTGGGGGGTGATGGGAATCATGGGCTACAGAAGAAACGCAAGCGCGACGACCCGGCTGACACCAGTCTCAGCGAGGGCAAGGGTTTCTTCGTACACCCGGAGAAGATGAAGAAATACTTGGAGGAGATCAGTTCTGAGCCCGCCGTGAGCCCGCCGCCGCCTTAGCTCCTGTACACTGATTGATGATGGCCTAGCCGGAGACCTGCAGCGGATTCAAAGTCGGCCGAGCACAGCGCCCGGGCAAATTCCGCAACCTCGAGATCAGTGGTGTCGTCGCAGTGATCTGCATCCGGCATGGCTGCTTCAGGCCCGGGGCCATGGTCGATTTGCAAAAGGGCGAGAGGTCAGTCCGATTGCTGTGATCCATGGTGATTCACGCTGACGTACACCAGATATGGTCATATGGACTTCGCCTTAGCGGGCGCGCTCGCCGGCCTGGACGAGCTCCTCCACTTTATCTTCACCTACGACGTTGTATGCATCTACAGCGTTAATCTCCGGAAACGCTTCGGAGAACGCTTCCCCCATCTTGTACCCCTTCTCGAACGCATGCAGATGCTCCTTCCCAAACTGCACATGCTCGCACACGAGGAACGCTGTCAGATATTGTACGCGCTATGTTACTCCTGGGGCGCGGGTCTCTCGCACGGGGAAAGTGTTGAGCATCCGTGGGCAGAACACAATCAAGTCGGGCTCAGTACACGTGAGATGAGCCCCGGCCATCGCCACGACGCGCTCAATGCTATCCACAACCACTGGAATTGGTGCAAAATGGAGACAGCAAGTAAGTCGATACGCCCTCTTTAGGCCGCGCTGCTGATCTCCACGTACAGAAACTTACCTCGCTCGTAAGCTCAAAGAGGCGTTCAAAGTACAGGAGAGCAAGACTGCAACATTTAACGCGCTGAGTGAGATCGCTGGCGAGCAGGTTGACGAATGGGAGAAGCTGGAAGCCGAGCGTGCATCTTCGGCTGCCAACGACGCAGGGGGTGATTCGGCGTCAGGCAAGCGGAAGAAGCAGGCACAGAAACGGAAAGGCAAGGGAAAGAAGGGATCGAAAGGCACGAAGGGGAAGGTGGAGAGTGTATACCTGCTTGACGAGAGCATAGGTGCGTCTGTACGACCATGCCCATCGTACGTCGCCTTGACGGTTTCGCTGCTTATTAGTTCCGCGAGCCGGGAAAGTTTACGAAGACCTTGCAAAACAAGAGATCAAGCCCGCGGGGAACTTCTCGTCCGCTGCAGCGGACAGTATCCCGCGAGGTACCGCAAACTACTTCAAGAAGGGCATCGAGCTCGAGCAGCGCCAGTGCGTCACATCACGTCCACATTGCGACTGACCACTTAACGACAAAACCTGTCACAGGTTCGACCTGCGCGCCAAGGTCAGGAAGAATACCCGCAATACCAGCGACGATGAAGAAGACGACTCAACTGGCGGAGCCAAGGCTGCACGGCGCACGCTCCGCCGTGAACTCGACAAATGGCGCGAGCTTCAAGTGTCTCTCATGCCCGACATCGACTTTCCCGACGCGGATGCCGACGATCTCACCGACGATGACGACGATGACGACGCTGACGGCCCAACCGGCACCCCGGAAGACGAGCCCCTCGCACTCCCTTCCGACTTCACTGCCGCAGAGCGCGACGACCTCGGACTGCAGGCACTGGCCGCCGTCGAACGCCGTATCCGCCTGGGGCATGCTTACGACCTGCTGGACGGCATAAAGCAATCACTTAACCATCAAGGTGCTTTCCTGCTCGACAAGCGCAAGCACGCGAGGGGACAGAAAGACAACACGCGTTCGCAAACCCAAGTCAATGCTGCGGTCGCGCGGACGAGATCAATTGCTGGGCTTTACAACTATAACCGTGACCGGTTGTTCGCCCTGAGCTGCGACGAGTCGGACATTCTTCCACGGCTCAACCTCGACACAGATCTCAAGGGCAAGAATTGGAACAAACCGCGCCAGCTTGGAGATAGTCGGGACGAGGCGAGCTGGATATGGACTGTGGTTCCTCCGTGGAGGTCAGGAGCGCAAGCGGAGGCTTGGCAACTCGAAGGTAGGTGATGCTGGTTTCCCGGCGACTTTGCATACTGACAGATGTGCAGTTGATCGCGTGCAATGGTTCCGGGCCAAAGCGGAGATGACTCGAGCAAACGAAGAAGTCAACAAGCTTCATGCCGAGTTCAAGCGGACGATCCTCGGCTTCAAGAACATGTCGAAGGCATGGGAGGCAGTGTCCACGAAGAAGGACTTGTCGCGCGGCGCACAAGTCTATGCATGGAAGAAGGCCGATATGTTCAGTAAGATGAGTCTCCAGTGTGCGAACGCCTTCGCAAGCACGCGGAGAGACCACGAAGAGAAATGGGACTATGCTAAGGTCAATCAATCGCTTTGAAATTACAATCCATTGACCTTGTCTCTCAGGTCGTGACGGAAAAGCCGCGCATGGAGGGCGAGGGAGAGTCTTCCACACGCAAACACCAGGGGGCATCGCAGTGAGAGGGGGGGCGGCGAGAGTGGGCTCCGATGTGCGACATCAGAAAGTCACGCAGCATCGGCGGTCAGCGTACGTTCACCTTCCATAATATCAACCAGAAAGTGCTTCGGCCGTCAAGGAATGCGGACGCAACACTATATACGCGCTTCACGCGCTCTCTGCATCGTCTCTGGCCTCAAGTCTCTCCGTATTTCCAGGGTGGCGCCTCCTGGCATACGTTGACATGTCACTTTCGCGGGCTATCTCCAACCTCTACCTTCGCGCAGCCCCTAGTTGCGCTGCTGCTCTCACTTTCGCGCTGAATCACTTTCAGCAGACCGCGCCTCTTCCTCCCGCCCAGCTTCCTCTCCTACAACCTACCATGTCCTTTGATCCCTACGCCGCCCCTTTCGTCGTCCTCTACCCACCGCAAAGCCGACGGTTCGCGCGACACTCTGGTGGATACAACGTATCGAAGAAACTACGGCCCTGTCTAGTTACCGCCGTCGACGGTGACTGGATCTGCCTCGCCCCTTGCTTGTCGGCTCGCCCGGAGAGCCAGGTAGACTCTCTGTACTGTCGTCTTCTCGTCGTCTAACGTCTCCAACTTCAAGATGAAGCACTCCTCCTGGAGCATCGTCGATTACGGCAATAACGGCCCCACTCTCCCCGACCACCCTCTGCGCAACACTCCGGTCTTTACCCTCCCTCTGCGCTCCCGTTGGCAGCGTGGCTGGAAAGCGACGTCGTGCTTCGTTTGGACGCGCGATGAAGGCGAATGGATCAGCATCGCCGACTGGGAGTCGACTCCTGGGGCGCGCATCCTGGACTCCGACTTCGACCTGAGTCCAGGGCAAATGGCGATCTTGCGGGAGCAGCATTGGGCGATTTGTACGTCCCTCTTTCTGCCTTCTGTGATCGCGGCTGACTCTGAGACAGGGGGAGGGAACTAGGGCTATCGGTGGGCTGGCGATGGGAACGATTTACTTACTCGCAAGTGCGATCATGCTGAAGTGTTATCGAATTGACTCCCATCCCTCCGCTCGTCGATACGACAAAACGTACAGTCTCGGCCGCTGTTCCTGATGTCTCACGCAGGCTGTACCTTCGAAGCAACCTCGAGCTGTCGTGCATGCGTATACTTACGGCGCCTCGCGCGCCCCATTCAAACATGTCGTATGCCACCTCAAGCTCCTCGAGCTCGCATCTTTCCCGCTCCCTCCGTCGCTCGGCCAGCCTCCTGCGCACCCAATACCTCGGCCAAGCTCCTGTGCGCCCAATGTACGACCCTCTGTCGCGTACGACTACGACTACGGCGCGGTGGACATCTCCAAGCTGTCGCCCGCTGCTCACTGCCTGGAGCCCACAGTCGCATCCCGCGCGTCAGCATTGCACGCCTCCCCTCTTCCTTCCTCACACATTCTCAGTTGACTGGATACGTGGTGCGGCGCGCCGTTTCCGACGTTCACTGGGCCGCCATGTTCTCCTCGTGCGATTATCAACGCTGGGGCTGCGAGCGAGGGTGTTCCAACATACGGACTGACTGTGCGCGCGGGCGCGGTGGAAGTCCATGGTAATCCAAACATCGCGTGAGCGCCCAAGCGCGTCGCTGCGCGCTCGACTCTCGCATCGACCCTCTACCTCCACATCCTATGCACCTGGACGGCCGGCCGACGCGTCGAAACCCGCACTCGGGCAGCCCGGCAACGCGCCAAACTCACCTCCATGCAGTCCCGCAAGTCAGCTGCGAAGCGGCACAAGACTTCGCGCCCCAGAGACTTCAAGCCCTCGCCTGCACCTGACGGACGGGCCACCCGTACTCCAGCTCGCTCGACCAGGCACGCTGCATGAATGCGACCCGCGCACGCAAGTCGCCCCTCCGCGAGCACAGGAGCTCCTGGCGAACGATCCGTGCATGGCACGACCCAGCGAGCACAGAATATCGTCCTCCCCGACTAGGAGAGCTGAGAGACAGAACGGATGGGTATAGATATTGACTGTGAGTCATTTCGCTCTCCTCATGTGCACTGCACGGCCGTCCTCCGTGCTCGCTCCCTACCAACACAGCCACCTTGTCCCGGCTCCATTCTCGGCCCAGTCCACCTCTCTCGTGCGTAAGTCGCGCTTGCGCTTACGCTCGTACTCTTTCCCTCACCCTCACCCTCACCCTCAGGCCCTTGCGCTCTTGCCGTCACCCTCGCGCTCTCGCTCTCGCGCTGGTGCTTGCCCTCACGCCTGTGCCTACGCGCGGCACGGAGCACCGACGCGTACTTAGTACCGCCCGAAGAGGAGTCTCTTGTAGAGGTATGTCCAATTCTCAATCACTCCATTCTCTCGGTGTCGTGCAGGTCAGCTACACATACCATCATCGCCATGATGGGTTACTGTTCCTTGGCCATGCGACGTGCACGTTGACATGGCGTCTGACAGAACCTCCGGATTTTTGACAAGTACTCGGTCTCGCCACCTACCACGTATGTACTAGCCCCGTACCGGTCGGCTCTCGTACTGAATGGACGTGTAGATATCTCGGCGCGGAGTTCAAGGAGGAGTTTAATAAGCCCAATGTCACGTATCGTCAGGTGAACTTGACCGTAGCTTGTAAGTGCTCGACACAACCGCCCTTGCACGCATCGCTAACTTCCCCGCTCTCCTTGAGCCCTGGCTGCCATTCACGACTCCGGGAGCACCGTGCACGAACCCAGTGCGCATGAACGCGCCAAGTACGCAACGTCGCAAAAGATAAGCACAAGCCCGCCGCAAGCGAGCCCTGACCGGCCGTCTATCAGTCGCGCTCGCACTTGGTGAGCCATCCCCGCCGCTCGCTAGCGGCCGCCCGACGTATGGTACACCGACGCGGCACGCGGGAGCCCGCCGCTGGCGAGCCTGACGGATTGCCGCATGCCCTTCACGCACTCCGCTTCGCCGTCCTTTGCCCCGCGGTTCAGCAGGCCCCGCCCACCGAGCACGGGTCCGCCGTCCGTCAGCCGCGCCGCCGTCTGTGAGCGCTGCCGATTCACACCGCGGTACTGCACTTCCCCGCCACGCCGCTCGCTCTGCCTGCCCGCCCGGGATGCATGCCAACCCGTGGATGTGCCCGCGGACCCGCCAACCCGCGTCAACCCGCCCGTGACCCGTACCCGCAGCGGCGGGTCTGTACCCGGGCGGGTACGGGTACGGGTCGAGCCGGATATACCCATGGGTATACCCGTGCTGTGCACAGCTTTCGCCGCCCTCTATCTGCTCCAGAGACTAAACGCCCGATTCCCCGCCGCTCGCGGTTCGTCAGGCCATCGCCTTTTCATCTCCGCCTTCATGATCGCCTCTAAAGTCATCTGCGACGACACCTATTCTAATAAGTCGTGGAGCATCGTCGGCCAAGGCATGCTCGCCCTCCGCGAAGTCAACCAAATGGAGCGCGAGATGTGCTCTTACCTGGAGTGGCAGCTCAACATCGAGCCGGGAGCGTTGAAGGAGTTCGAGGCGAAGGTACAGAGAGACTTCAAGGGCCAAGGGCCATACCCAACGTACGTCCTCACCACCCCAGCGCCGACACCAGTTCCCTCGACGACACCCTACGGTGCCACAGCCACTGCAAAAGCAGACGAGCAAGTCGCTCTCGCGGTCGAACACCCTTGAGTCCATCCCCACGAAGGAGTCCCCTTCGATATCGACGACGACCTCGGCCGACCACTCTTCCACGGCGAAGAAGGCGAAACGGCAGGACTGGTACGCGCACGCGGTGCCGCGTGTGTGGTAGGGCCTTCTGGCTACTGTCATGTCAGTGTTTCCTCGTATGCTTGCTTTCTTCCAACTGGCCACCGCGCATTCGCTGTCGCACGTGCGGTCCCTGTCATTCCCTCGCGTGGACACCGTGCTCGAAGGTGCTCGAGCATAGGACCCTCCTGTGAGGTACAGCGCGTTTGTTCCCCGCTTACAGCGTGTTTGCTCCCAGCTTACAGTACATCTGTGACGTTCAGCTGTTATTTTACTAGCTGGTGGTTTTTGTTGGGATTAGAGGTGATTTAAGCTTCATAGTTTAGAGTGTATTAGTGGTGGCTATGACATGGATTGAGCTTCATACTTAGGGGTGGATTAGTGGTGGCTATGACGTGGATTAAGGATCATACTTAGGAGTGGATTAGTGGTGGCTATGATGATCTATGCAACTGGCTTAGCTTAATTCACCGTGTATTGTGGAGTGAATTAAGATGGATTAACAGCTTGCTGGCTGACTTAGACATTGGATTGTGTAGTGGATTAGTGGTGGATTAAGAGATCCCTGTTATACACTGAGAGTAAGTGTGTTGATTGACTAGTGGATTTAGACTGGATTGCCAGTGGATTAGGATTGGATTGGATTAAGTGTATTGATTGACTAGTGGATTTAGACTGGATTAGGATGGGATTAGGATTGGATTGGATTAAGTGTGTGGATTGACTAGTGGATTGAGACTGAATTGGATTGGGATTAAGGTGGGATTGGATTAACAGGGGTTCCAAAAAGAACGAGCTAAATTCAATTTTCGGTTCATTAATGAACTAAAATAGATGCACTTAAACTGACATCCCTGATTCGAGCAGACGAGCGTCGAGTACCTAGGCTTGGTAATCTCGGAAGGAAAGGTCAGCATGGACCAAGTCAAGGTCCAGGCGATCACGAGTTGGCCGGACCCCCAGAACCTGAAAGCACTTCGAGGGTTCCTGGGCTTCGCCAACTTCTATCGCCGGTTCATCAAGGACTTCGCTAAGACAGCACGTCCTCTGAATGACCTGACCAAGAAAGACGTATCCTGGCATTGGGGGCCAGAGCAGAAAGAAGCATTCCAGACGCTTAAGGACGCGTTCACGTCGGAACCCATTCTAGTCACATGGGAACCCGACCGTCCTACGCGCGTGGAAGTGGATGCTTCCGGGTTCGCGACCGGTGGAGTTATCCTGCAAAAGACGGCAGATAATCTCTGGCACCCGGTTGCGTTTAGGTCACAGTCGATGGCGGAAGCCGAGCGCAACTATGAGATCTACGACCGCGAGATGCTAGCTATCATCAGAGCTCTCGAGGACTGGAGGCACTATTTGGAAGGCCTTCCGGCCCCCTTCGAGATCATCTCCGATCATAAAAACCTAACGTTCTGGCGAACCTCGCAGAACTTAGGACGGAGACAAGCTCGCTGGTCGTTATGGTTGTCACGATTCGACTTCACGATGACGCATAAACCCGGAAAGACGAACACTCAGGCCGATCCCCTGTCACGTATCCCTTCGCTCCAAGTCACGGATGCGGAGGATAACCAGGGTCAGATCGTGTTGAAGCCTGAGCGGTTCGCGGAGATTTCTGCTACCCTCAACGAGCCAGAATCCCCACTAGAAGACCGCCTTCGTCAGGCTAGCGAGCGCGAAGCTGAGGTGCTTACCGCGCTACGCGAGCTCCGTGAGCATGGCCCACGTCGATTGACGAACGGACTCTTCGAATGGGAAGAAGACAAGGGTATCATTTACTACAAAGGGAAAGTCTATGTCCCTGCCGACGATGGGCTGCGCACAGAAGTCTTACGTCAGTGCCACGACGCGCCCACGGCAGGACATCCCGGTAGAAATGGAACCCTTGAGCTGGTCAGCCGCCATTACTGGTGGCCAGGAATGGCCAAGTTTGTGGAGAAGTACGTTGCAGGATGTGACAGGTGTCAGCGCTACAAGCCAGCAGCTCATCCGCCGGCTCAGCTACACCCCCTGCCCGTGCCTAGAGGACCGTGGACTACGATGGGCGTCGATCTGATCACTGGATTGCCACTGTCCAACGGATTCGACGCCATAGCCACGTTCATTGATCTCTACGGCAAACAAGTGCACTTCATACCCACGACCTCCACAGTAGACGCTTCGGGTATCTCCGATTTGCATTATCGTGAGATATTCCGGCTGCATGGGATCCCTGACGAGATTGTGTCGGATCGCGGTCCGCAGTTCGCCGCTAAGCTAATGCGCGAACTGTACAAGCGGCTAGGAATCAACTCGAGTCTCACTACGGCCTACCACCCGCAGAGCAACGGACAGACAGAGCGCGCTAACCAGGAAGTCGAAAAGTACATTCGACTCTTCTGCGATAAACGCCAAGACGACTGGTCCCGGCTTCTCCCAACCGCCGAGTTTGTAATCAACTCGCGCGTTGCATCGGCTACGGGAAAGACTCCCTTTGAAGCCATGTATGGGTTTACGCCGGACTTCACTGTCCCTGTGGGTAGGAAAACAAGTATTCCTGCACTCGACCAAAGATTGGCACTTCTTGCAGAAGCACGCAAGGAGGCAGAAGCAGCACTTCGTCTAAGCAAAGTCGCGATGGCGGATCAGGGCAAAGTCAAAGCCCCGGTGTTCAAGGTTGGCGACAAAGTCTGGTTAGCCGCCAAGAACATCAAGATCCACCAAGCAAGTCAGAAGCTTGGGCCGCGACAACTCGGACCTTACGAAGTAACCGAAGTCCGAGAGAAAGACGACTACGTGCTTAACTTGCCGCCTGCGCTCAAGGTGCATCCCGTATTCCACGTGGATAGACTATCTCCCTACAAGGGTAATGACGTCAACGGACTCCTTCCTCAACCACCCGAACCAGTAGTAATCGATGGTGAGGAAGAGTACGAAGTCGAGACCATCTTGGATTCCCGGTTCTTCAGACGCCAGCTTCAGTACCTAGTCCAATGGAAGGGCTACGGTGCGGGAGACAACAGCTGGGAACCCGCCAAGAATCTCGAACACGCCCAGAAGGAAGTAGCGGAGTTCCATCGGAAGCACCCCAATGCACCTCGCAAGATAAACGCTGCTCTTTTCGACGGAATCGTGTGGCAATCTCCGGAGAATATGACGGACGTCGTGCCCACAGACCTGGAATGGGAGACGGGGCGACGTGTTGGGATAGATTCGTCGGGACGACGAGTCTTAGGAGGGGGGTAATGTCATGGTATGACACGGAGGCCCCGTATTTTTACTTTGTTTTATCCTATTTTTGCTCATTTCCTATGGACTTGTACAATACGCTGTACGGTAGACTTCGCCTGGAACGGCTTTCTGACTAGCCACGTGACACATCACGTGCTAGAGTTTGTCTTGTGACTCGTTCATCATGTGGCCTTGCTTATGTAACTTATCATGTGCCCTGCGGCAGCGCCTAGCCACCTGACTCGTTCTGACTCGTTCTGACTCATACGTACACATGACCTCAGTTCTCGGATCCAGCGTAGGTAGACCTGCCCTCAACCTAGCCAGTATATATAGGGTCCTGTACGCTGCCTAGCACTCCAGCTCGTCCTCTTGGAGTTGCTAGGTAAGCACTTCACATTGTACTAAGTAGAGTGCAATGTAACTAACTTGGAGTTGCTAGCATTGCGTTCGACGCTGTTAGACTGTTGTTGACCTCGGTCCAACACCTTGAGGTCAAGTGTTTCTGTTCCCAGTTCTGTTTCTAGTCGCGTCAGACCTAGCTCCGCGACAGGCGGGGCCCACCAGAATGCAATCGGTGCCGCCGCCAATTTCTGCGACATCGACCTCGTCGCTATTTCCCGGGAAATGCAGGAGGCGGGCCTGGACTGGAACCTCACCGCCAACGAGGAAGCCCTTGTAATTGAGGATATGCTCGCCGGGATGGCCCCCCCTCCCGAGTTCTCGGATCTTGCTCCTGCGGTCCCTCCCCTTCAGCCTCTCGCCAACAACTTCCGCCTGCCCTCGCCCCCTTCGATCGCCCGAGCTCTTGGAGGTGAAGCCCAACCGCGAGTAGGTCCGTCGAGTGCGCATGCACCTGCCAATGTTCAGATGCAGGCGAGTTCCTCGAATGACGTCCAGGCACCTACCGCATGTTCAACTGCGCAGACACTGACGCAGGAGGCCCAGTCCCAAGCGAGCACCCCTACGCCTGAAGCCCAGTCGAACGGAAATAACCTTGAGGGCGAAGCCTCAGGACGGCCGGGTTGTCAGAATGACAATGGAACCGGACTTTAGGCACGTCTTGGGATCTACCAACGATGGAACGCCGCCGTCCGACGTAGATTGCGTTGAACATTTCCAGTGCGAAGACCGAGCCGCAACGAGATTCAAACATTAGACTCCTTCCGGACACTGTTATCATGCACTCATTCTCCCATGCCGCATGCTTCCTACCTTGCTTATGTCTCCCACTCCCATGCATTCTGACATGTTCGTATTACCTGTGTTCTAATCTGATAGAGTTCTCCGTCAATGTGACCTCTGCTTGAATCCGAGTCGCGAGAATGAAGGGAAGACTCACCCAGATGGAACAATCGTTCGCGCATACTGCTTGTCCCGTAGTCCCTTCGAGACTCACAAGCTTGAGTGGGAACCTAGATGGACGCGTACATGAAGAACCTCCACACTAATGTGACACGAGAGTACGTCACAGGTAAGCTAGTCATGACCGTCGTCCATCGGGGCAATTCTGGAAGCGCTTCGTCAATATACGTCTATGTCATGATTTTGCAGCTTGACCACGGTATAGGCGATGGAACAGAGGCAATAGTTCGCTGATAAGTACATATTGCTGAGTTGGTAGTGAGACGTATAGAGGTCGACTCTTCGGAGGATCAACTTTCCGAGCGACGCGGCACGCCACACTGGGCCAACAGTCTATCACGTGGTTATATGCCTTCTGCAGGACCGCCACCGCCTCGCGGACCTCGCCAGGGCCCAGCTTGTTCACTCTGGAATGTGATATGATCACAGGCACGTATATAAGGCCAAGCCCGACACACTGGTCATACTTTATGACTGACTACATACCCGCATGGCAACTTGCTCACCACGCTAGCTGCCCTAGAGCCCAATATTAATAATTCAGCTTTGCGATTCATTGACCTTGGCTACACACAAGCTCTGCACACGTGTGCAAAGCAGAGGTAAAGGCTAGCTAGAGCGGCGCGGTCCCCATGATGATCGATGAGCAGGAGCCACCATCACCAGGGGCGTTGTGCGCAGTCTGCGTGCGATTGTATTGGCCAGCGACGATGAGCGCAGGTAACCGCCCCAGTACCCCAGTTGGACTAATCTCCGCTTCATGATCAGACGCTTCTGCGGACCAATCCGCTGCAAGAATGGATATGGGTAATTGTTGATCAACCACTATGACGGGTCAGGACATCCAACGTTGGCGTACTACCATCTTCGCATTGAATCCGCTGACCATGTATCCGACCCGCAGACCATACTTACCGTGGGTGCCGATTAGAGTCTAGCGCGAGATGGCGCCTACACTTCGATCCATGAGTTCAAAATGTCAACGGGCTTGGGGACGTTGTCGCAGCCCTGACGCATCCCCCAACCTCCGAGTACTCAGTCCCCCCGTGGTATATCTAGTTGCCAGTGCCCTCGGACGACATTCGCTCTTGTGCCTGGACAGAGACCACCCAACCTGCTGACTTCGTTTCGTGCGCAATGTCGCGTGTTGACCCGGAAGTCGCGAAGGCGGCGCCCACTGTTACGCTGTCGGACGTTGTGGAGAAAGAGGGAGACTCGCAATCCGAGGACTCAAGACCAGGGGATGCCACCCCGGAAGGGTCCGAGGAAGTCCTGATGGACTTGTTTTTGTATCACGAGCACAACGCAGGTCGCCTGGTCGTCGATCCCGAGTGCGTACCAGTCACGACGCGTTTCGCTGCCATCTCTCTAACGCTATTACAGGGAAGCACTGATTGAATTCGGGGAGAAGGTTGCGAGTAGACTGAAACTCTCGCGGGATGGTACGAAGGTGCTGTGGCCTCAGCCCAGAGACGACCTAGAGGACCCCCAGAATGTAGGTATTCCGCTATGCGCAGCAGCATGCCACCACTCACGCGCCACACTTCATTCTGCGTACAGTGGTCAGATGCGCGGAAGAATTTTCAGCTGTTCATTATCACGCTAGCCGCAGTCGTCCCCGACTTCGACTCCGGTATCGGTAAGCAAGCACCGCTGACGCGCGACTGCCTCTGACACTCCCGGCATTGACGTTACATTCCTCTCAGGCATTGCATCTATTTTTGCCCTCGCGGAGCAGTATGACACGACTACGGGGGTCATCAATAATCTGACATCGAAGTACGTCAATCGGATGGACGATCTCCTGCTCATTGAGACTTACAATCCGCTATAGCTGGAGTATCTTCCTCTTGGGTAATATGTGCTGTAGATTTCCAGTTTGCATTGGTACTGACCTATCGCAGGATGGGGCAGTCTCGGTGCTGTAATGCTGATGCGGCGCTTTGGTCGTCTCCCCGTGCTGTTCTGGTCACAAGTAAGCAAGTCGCGGCATTGTTCGTAGCACCACAATGACCATTCCCGAGGTGCTTGCCCTCGGTTTCCTTATAGGATGCACCTTCGCACCGAATCTGAAGACATTCACCGGTACTGCACTTCACTAGCTACCGGGACCTTTCAATTGACGTTTCCTAACAGCCATGAGATGCCTCACTGCGTTCTTCGGGTGAGCACTTCGATACTTCATCTGCTTTAGTTCCTAACACTCGCGATAGAACATGTCCGCAAGTGACCGTAAGTTTGTCCGGTCGGCACTGCGAGTCCTATTTCTGATATGCGGCGCGCTTAGGGTTTGTACGTGGTCACGGACATGTACCCGTTCCATCTCCAGGCACGAAAGGTGGGTAGCCATAGAGTTCTGTCGGACGCGAACAGAGTCTTGACACTGGCGTCGCCACCCAGCTCAATATCTGGACCATGGGCTTCATCATCTCCCCGTTCATCTCACCATTCCTCTTCGGATTCCTTGTGGCGCGCGCAAGGTGAGTCCGGCGTCGCTGTAGACGCTCCCGTGTCCGAGTTCTCATGGCGGCCACAGCTGGCGCTGGACATATGGAATTGGTTCGATATACGGGGCAATCGTGGTGTTATGCATCACATTCTTCGCAGAAGAGACGTGCGTCCGCTCCGATCGTTGACTTTTCAGGAAGCTGACAGCTTCCCCGCGGACCACACATAGCATGTACGATCGTGCCTTGCCGAATCCACGGCCCATCCCCCGCCCGACGTCACGTCTGCGGTATAGGCTCGAGACCCTGATAGGAATCACGGGCGCGCGGATGGCGCGGTACCGTACGAAGTGGAAAGACGCCATCCTGGCGGTTCCATCTTTAGTCTGGCGGCCCCAGATACTGGGAATCCTTCTCTTCGAGGTATGCCATTGGCTACGGAGTGTCTCGAATGGTGATTGAACGCTATGACCTAGGCCATGCTGTTCGGATTTAGTATTGGTATCAACGTATGTCCCATCTCGCCAATGCCGAGCGTTCTTCATTATCATAACTGACTCCGCGTGCCACTCGCAGACCACGAACGCCGTCTTCCTCGGAACCCCTCCGCCAGTGGGCTATGGCTTCAGTCAATACGCAGTGGCTGGTGCCTACGGAACACCAATTGTGTGCTGCTCGCACATCGTTTGTTGAGTGACATACTAACGCAGCCCGCTGTAGGTCGCGGTCCTCATTGGCGAGCTGCTTGGCCGATATTTCAATGATTGGGTCATGAATTTCTGCATCCGGCGTAACAAGGGTGTCTTCGAGGCCGAGATGCGACTGTGGTGAGCCCGTATGGTTCCTTTCTGCGAAGCACTCCCGCTTACTTATCGCTCTTTAGGACCGTCTACATTGCCGTACCTCTGTACATATGCGGTTTTCTCGTGCTAGGGGCTTCGTTCCAGAAACACCTGGGTGTAGGCGCACTCGTGATGGGTTGGGGTATCGCGGAAGTGGCTGTCATGATCTGCACCGTCGCAGTCTATGCGTACTGTAACGACTGTTTCCCGACCAGACAGGTAAGTGCAGCATGCAGTACCGTTCCTCACAACAGGCACTGACATCACATCACGTTGGTCAACGTAGGGCGAGATTTCGGCGATGATCAACCTCGTCCGGACCTTGGGTGGATTCAGTGTGGCATACTTCCAAGTACCGTGGGCCACGAAGAACGGCGCCTTGCAAACGTTTGGAGTCGAAGCTGCCATCGTCGCAGCGCTCTTCCTGCTTATCGTCCCGATGCTCCAGTGGAAGGGGGCCAGTTTCCGGGTACGTCTCGCTGTCTGAACCAGAAAGCCAATAAGTTAATGCCCGATATCATCTCTAGCAAAAATATTCGCTATGATAGGACCCCGCCATTGGAGGGCAAGGAGTAGCTGTAAGATAGTATTCTCACGAGTGAATATGACGACACTATGGGCCTATGTGGCGTCCTCGACGAGAAAAGGGTTGTCTGCGAGAGACATGACGCCCACACCTAAGAAACGTGCAGTGAACGCCCTCTAGTCATCAGCCTCGTCTGACAGCGTCAGTCGCTGATGACACAACCGGGCGACTGCAGCACCGTCAATAGGAATTGAATTGCCTTGGAAACCTTCAGGGTAGTTGACCGGAGGCACATCGGGACGCGTGAATGCCCTGCGAACCCTCAGCGGCCGTCGCGGAGATTCAAGAGCGGAGAACTCACTTGTCGTTCCAGAAGCCGTAGTGGACCATCCCGAGGGCACGCGTCGTGTACTCGTAATCTTGCGCGAAACCTTCCGGGAAGAAAAATTCCATGACGGTCGAACGCGGTGTCGGACGCATCCAGAGCAGCGATGTTAGACCATTACCGTGGACACCCATCATGATCTGCGTGCACAAAGCGGGTTCAGCGACAAGCGGCGAAAACACGAGGTCGCTGCTTACGGTTGTCCGACCAGCAAGCTGGAACTGCTCGATGCGTGATAAAAGATCCATGCTCACGACGTTAACTTCGTAGCCGTACGTATCCCTCAAGGTGTGCAGCTCCTGGACAAGCCGGTCATGATCCTCGGGAATCAGCATACGACGCCCCCAGTCTTGTCGGGAGATGTAGGTGATGACCGGGACACTGTCTACACCCTGGACGGACTCCGCTCCGCCGCTCTCCCCGAGACCAGCGAAGCCAACCACGTTGTTACGGATAGTGCTCCACCAGTTGACACTCCCTGGGAGTGCGAAGGCGTTCGAGGCGGTACGCTGTGTCCGGAGAAAGTTCTCTCCGTGCATAGCCGCAGCACGGTCGGCGAACACGACGCGATCGAAGAAGAACACGCGGCCCATGTCGGCGCGTTCCTTGAAGTCGTTCATGAACTCTGTCGAGATAGACGGGAAGGACGCTCGGAGGACCCATTGGTTCATCGCGGCATAGTCCCTCCAGTTGTTGGCATCTATATGCGGGAAAAGCATTCGCCTTGGGGCCGGAAGAGTCGTCACGCCGGTCGGGGGAATGCTCGGGTCCAACGACGAGTATGTCCGCCAGAAACCGAAGAAGAGTTCGGCAGACCAATGGTAGTAATGGGTGATACTATAACATAGTCAGCAACAGCAGACGAATGTCCCTTATAGACTCACAATTGCTTCGGGTCATTAGCGTACCACTACAAGTATTGCATCAGCTATCGTGTCAATGAGAGGGACATTTTTCATACCGTCACGCCCTCCAATCGTGCTGCGTCCGTGCCGAAGAGTCGCCTGGCTTCTTCAGTGCTGACGACGCGCATGTCCCTGTCGGTTGGAATACGCTCGGCTTCCGCGATGGGGCCATTCTCGATGAACACGGCGGTCGAGGATATCCGTCGACGGTCAGGTATCATTTCGGGTGCATCGGACACGATGTAGACAGTGCCATTCAACATGTACAGTCTATCGAAGATGGTCCAGCCTATTATTGCACGAACAGTCAGCAAATACAAACAGCAAACGCATATGCACAGAGAGCGCAACACAACGACGCCTTCCCCGCACACAAGAGCGGTTCATTAGATCACGTGATCAGACAAGGGAACGTAGACCTCTGCTGTGTGAAGCAGTATGTACGGGGCCGCCACATGGGAGTCCCCAAACTGACCGAAAAGACGCACCGGGAGCATGGGCAACAATCTTTGTTTGGGGGACGGTGCCAGCATCCCATCGCAGGGGCAAGTTCAGTGTCTGCAACGTGTACTGCTTCTCGAGGGTTGGAGGCTCTGCGTCGATCCCGGCATCCTCGTACACTGTATACGGCCGGACTATGTCGTGAAAGGTCCTCGTTTCTTGCGGAAGATTTGCGGTGAAGACGAGGAGCAAGACCAGCAGTACGGCGAGTAGGCAGGTTTCGCGAAGGGTGGGCGTGAAGGGTGCCATCAGTGTTGCTTCAAGTTGCTAGCGACCGACGTTATCAGAGACTATGGAGACAGGCTCTGAGCATTCAGAGGGAGTGGCACGTAAATGACAGTCGCGGCATGCGCGTTTCGTGGAGGAGGACGTCGTGGCGGTTGGACGTTGAACGCTGAGCGCTGAGCGGTGGCCGTCGCGTTGTCGCGATTCGCGAGTAATGGGCGTCAATACGATGATGCGCAACCCCCAATAGGCAAGTCAGGTAGTTCGTCCGCTCATCCTCGTCTCAACTTGGAATTACCCTCGATCCCACTTGGGTATCACTGGAGGTTCAGCTCAGACATACGGATTGATATAATATTCGTGTTGCAGATGGTATATGTATGGATGCATATTTAACCAATGATTGCATAGTCTACAGATTGAGCTCGAATCTGGATACAGTCCGCTGCGATGCAACATAGTGATACATGTCCTGGTTCAGACCGAGGCAGGCCCGGATCGCGGAAGGGAGATGGGGGAGGGCGTTCAATAGCAGACTTCGGCCGCGAAGAACGTGGGGTCCCATGGTATCGAAGGCATGTTGACGGGAGATTGCACGATGCTCAAAGTCTCGGGACTCGCATCTGCAGAAGAGGACCCGGTCAGAACTCACCAGCAGACGCGGGATGGTGCGCACCAATAGGCGGAGCAGGAGGAAGGGTGGTGCAAGGCATCGTGGCTGCACAATGAGTGCAAGAAATCTAGTGGGCCTATAGTCAATGTGCAGGCATACTACTAGAGGTAGATGATGCTTACCTGGACGATGAGAGATAGTATTGCGAATAGACACCAGCGACGACTACGCCAGCGCCGTCGGAAGGAAGTGCTGAGAGGGACGAAGGGCGCTGCCCGCCTCCGTCTTTTATACTGGATCGCCCATGTGTTCATAGCGTGTACGATATCGATAGCTTCGCGGAACCGTAAATCTGATCGGATCATCTCCTCCCCGCGCTGCCTCAACGGCTCTCGCGTTGCAGTCGCGTTGCACGCAGCACCCGTTATGCCGCGGGCCTGATTGGCTATGGACAATCGCTTCACGACCTCGTCGCTCCCGGAGTGTACAGGGACAGGGACCGCGCGGTTGTATCCAGAGGCGCGAGCAGATGCGCCTGCGACGTAGGACTGATCTGGAGAGTGCGCGTCGCGTCGGCCGAGCGGAAGGGAGCGCATGTGCTAGCTGCGGATACACAGATGATTGTTATCTCACCTTTACGTCAAAGTATGCTCGCCCTTCGAGTGACCGAGCACGACTACCTAGGCGAACGAAGGCCTGGAAGCGGATACGAGTACCTTCATGGCTCCTTAGGTTCGCAGGCCAGGCTCATCTCGTACTTACCCGGACGAAGGTTGGGTTGGACGACTTACTCATGTTCCCAGCGTGCCCAATGTGCTCGTCGCGCCTGGTTGACATACGTCGTTGATGACGCAGAGCGAGGCAGGTGTTGGCGAAGGATAGGACGACGTGGTTGGTTAGTAATACATGAAACCCGACCGACCGACAAAGTAGTCTTTTCCAGCTGTTACATTTGGCGAACGAGCGAATGCGGGGACGGCGCGGGCACCGCATCAGTCATCTTCACTGACTCTCTTCCATGGTCACTTCGGGTAACACAGACGAAATCTTCAAAGCGAGTCGCCTACGCACGAGGCTATAGCAAGGGCGTCAACGTCGCGTGCAAACACGGCTAAGGAACGCACCTCTCGAACACGTTTAAGGGACTCTCCGGTGCAACCTTGCCCTTGCCCATATCGGTCTCCGGAGCCGCCTGCGTGTACGCCTGGAGCGGAACCCAGCTGCTCAAAGGGCTAGTCCCCGGCTCGTAGGTCGCTTGCGCGACATACAGAAGCAGGCCGTCGCTCTTGATCTCTACAGACGCCGTCTCGAGATCGGTAATTAAGGGCGCTGGAACGTCCAGATCCATATCGGTGGCCCGCGGCTGGGGTGTGACTGGCTTCGTGATTGAAATCATCCGCGAGGACCTCGTCAAAGGGATGAGTTCGTGCAGGAGGTGAGCGAGCGACGTGTCGGTGTGGTATGGTACCGGGACAAACGTGGCTGGGTGGGGGAAGAGATAGTGGCCTCCCGGTTCAATGGCGCTCGCAGAGAATCCCCCTTCTTGGTCCACAGCATTGACAGGCGGAGGGTGCACCGGCAGCTCTGACAGACGCGTATTGCGCCACCAGAACCGGAAAGCGGTCTCGCATTCCGTGATGTCTTGCTCCTTCCATTGCAACACGTCGAGCACGTGTAGAATCCCGTTCTCCTTCCAGTTCTCGTCTAGAATGCAGTCGAGAACGGTGTGCGGCGGCAAGGGCGATGGAAATGCATTCATGAGCGGCTTGCCGAGAACGCGTGAGCGCAGCGTTAGGTTCGGAGCTGATAACACGAGGACGATCAGGGACGAGGGGTATAGGCAGAAGGCGTACTACTCACCTACGCCCGGTACACCGGATGTCTGGTGTGTGACGGCGAGGCAGCGTTTGCCTACAGGAACCGGAGTGACGGCCACCCATCCTGTCTCGATATCGTGCGGGATGCCATCGGACACGACATTGTAGCCGTCGTACACTTCGGACATCTCGAGCAGCTCCGCATACATGCACTTGTCCGCCCACCGGCTGGGCTTACGCTTCGGTGGCCTCGATGGCCCAGACGACGAAGGTGCGGCCTTCGGCCTGCGTTTATTCTTTCCACGCTTCTTTCCGGACGTTTGCATTTCGGCCGTCTGAGGAGCAGGTACTGCAGACTCACTGGTGGGCGCCGCGCCGCTATTAGCACTGGAGATCTCTCGCGCGGCGGGGAGCATCCCGGCGAGATGTGATACGCCTTGACGAACTATCTCCGGACCATCTTGGCCATCTCCCTCGTCCGCCTCGTCGTCTGAAGGTCCGAGAGTGAGATCGGCGAAGAGGTCGAGCTGACGGCTGGAGTCGAATCTTTCGGCTCGTCTCTATCGTTGCATTGAGTGACCGCAAAGGGTTTAAGTGACTCTTTCTCACCCGCTTTTGCTCTTCCAGTGCCTGCTGCGCGTTAGTACGACTTGATCATGAATGGGGTCTGCGACCACTCACTTTGTTCCGTCGATGTTCTTGTGAGGTCAATGTGTCTCTGATGGCTGCAGGGGGTACTTTGTATGATGCCTTTCTGTCATTTTGCATGCTTTGTGAGGAAATGATAGCTTCGTGGTGACTCTGAGGATCGGATGGATGATGGCTCGGACTCGACCTCGGCCTCAGCCACAAGGAAGGCGTCTGTCGAGCCCGCTCACAAGCGCTGTCGACAGCCACGTGGCTATGTACCTCCACGGTACCGACGGCGAGGATCCCTTCAGTGAAGTGAAGCCTTTCTATTCGTCCTGTATTGGCGATTGCGGGTAACTAGCGTTCTCAATCATGGTCACGATCGCTTTACTGACTGTGAGCAGTTGTAGGGCAGCACACGATGTCGTCAACGGACTTATTGGCTTCACTGGAAAGCCAGGAGGACGTAGTGGCATGGATCAATAGTGCTCTTGAGCCCGATGAGGCTCTGGTCGACGAGAGCCCCATGGAGCTCACCGAACTCGATCGACGCGTTTCCAGCCTAGTAGGGGCGCTGGAAATCGCCAGCGAGGACACGTCTGCAACCGTCGAACGACTCATTGACGATATATCCCGAAGTGCGACGCGACTCACGTATGATTTGCACTTTATGCGGGATGGGGCCTTGTCACTGCAATCAATCCTTCAGAACGTCGAGACGAAGTCCAAGGCCTCCGTCGCGGCCGAGACGAATGTGGCATTGGAACGTTTGCACTTCCTCGACACAGTCAAACGTAACATGGAGGCGGCTCGAGAAGTCCTGCGCGAGGCTGAAAGCTGGGGCACGCTCGAGAGCGATGTCACATCGCTGCTGGGCGAGAAGAACTACGAAAAGGCCGCGGAGAGGCTCTCTGAAGCTAGCAAGAGCATGGCCGTCTTCGAGAATACGCCAGAGTACGAGAGCCGACGGACACTGATGATTAGTCTCCAGAATCAGCTAGAGGCTTCCCTGAGCTCTGCGTTAGTGGCGGCGGTTAGCTCGCAGGACGTGGCCGTGTGTCGCAACTACTTCGGGATCTTCAGCAACATCCAACGGGAAGCCGAGTTCCGAAACTATTACTACGGGTCCCGTCGAGCGTCGCTCCTCGAGATGTGGCAGAGTGCAACACTCCGGGACTGCGAAGGATCACCGGACGTTGGACTGGCTGCTCAGACGTTCGCTGCGTTCCTCCCAACATTCTACGCGTCCTTCTCGACGATACTGCAGACCGAACGCACCTCTATACCAGCTATCTTCCCTGATCCGCAACAAACGCTGTCCACGCTGATCTCCTCGACGCTCTCTGCACTGCAGCCTACTTTCTCCCAGCATCTAGCAGATGTCACTTCTTTCCATGGACCAAATGCCCTACGCGAACTCATCGCCGCCTACCGCGCTACGGAGGAGTTCGCACTCACGATCGAGAAGATACTTGAGAAGCTCGGCTTCTCCTCGCTCGTCACCTCCGCAGCCAACACGACCACGGACGGACCTCGGGACCACGCCCGCCGTCGCTCGATCTCTCGGATGTCGTTGTCGATGTCACGTCGGATGCCACCTCATCGCTCATCCGAGAGCAGTGCGACGTTCCCCACGCTGCCGGTCCTTGACTGGGACACAGACCTCTTCGGGCCCTTTATCGACTTCCAGGCTGACTACGCGTCGCTCGAGCGCCGCCTCTTGGACGACGGTCTCGCATCTGCGCTGCAGAGCACACCGCGGCCGACTTCCGGAGCAGATTACGCGCGTGTCCTGCGGGAACGCGCTGTCGATGTCTTTGGCGCGGCAGAAGAGGCCGTGACGCGTTGTAACGCCTTCACTCATGGTTATGGTGCTGCGGGACTGGTCCGGTCCGTAGACCATCTCGTCTCCGCCTTTGCTTATGCGTCGCGCTCCGAGATTGCTTCAAGGAAGTCGGCGACAACGAACTCGGCTGGTGCTGAAACTCCGGGCTCCGAGACAGACCTAGCGGATCTGGACTATACGGCGGAGGACTGGGCAGAGATACAGGCACTGCTTCACCTGCTCGAAGCTGTACGGGCCCTGCTCGATCGAATGGTCTCGTTCGAGGGCAAGCTTCGCGGCAGTCTCATCCAAATGTCCATGTACCTCCGTGCTGCTAGACAAGACATCGGTGTGTTCGGCTCACACGACACTGGGACGACCCGAGGTGCATTGCATGTCCTGATGCAGTCGACTCTCAACTCTGCCGAGCTACATGCTATATTCGAGAGCGTCGATCCGGAGCCGTCTGTCCCGACACAACCCGCACCCAGCGTGCCCCCTTCTCCGGATTCACGGCGGATGTCATTCATGGGCAGTGGCCCGTTGTCACCACTCATGGGCCTGTCTGCTCCCTCGCAGCCGATCCTCACCGAGGCACGCAGCGCCATCTCCGCCTTCGCTCACGCCTGCCAAGTGGCTCTCCAGGACACCATCCTAGGTCCGCTCTACGCACACCTCTCTGCGTATCCTACGCTCTCTCTCTGGGCCACACCCGATCCATCCTCAAAAGCCGCAGGCGCCACAGGCGCCACGAGCGCAGTACACGTACCGACCTTCTCACTCAGTCCGAGCACGACAATGTCGCGGGTCGCAGAGGGACTCCTGAGCCTTCCGAGGCTCTTCGAGGTTTACGCTGACGACGACGCGCTCGCCGTGTCTCTCCACACACTTCCATTCCTCAGCCAACGGTTCCTCCGCGCTCTCGCCGAATCCGTACAGTCTCCTCCAGCGGGCCCACCCGAGCTGCGCTCGCGACGAACAGCCTCCATGGCGCTCCTCCCGGGACAACAGATACAAGCGCCCCCGCAGCCGCAGGATATCCAAGACATGCACTTCTCGCCAGAGGGCGTCACGGCTGCGTGGCTTGCCTCTCTTACACGGACGTTGCTAGCACGCCTGACGCGCGACGTGCTGCCTCAGATCCCGCGGCTGACCCTTGCTGGTGCTGCGCAACTCTCTGCCGACCTTGGATGGCTGGCTAACATTGTGGAAGCGTTGAACGCCGACTGGGCGCCGTTGCGAAGGTGGCGCAAGTGGATTGACGTGACGGATGCAGACGGAAAGAAGAAGATCGTTGAAGGTGCTACGTCCTGGGATGGATCGGCGGACGGAGAGAAGGACGACGACGGCGATGGTGAAGATAACGAGGACGATCTGACTGAGGAAGGAGATAGCGAGGCGCAGGTCGTGCGGACCGTGACCAAGCTGAGAGGCTGGACGACATGAGTACGGGGTGTACTATGTAGTTGGTCGGTGTGTGGATGCCAATCCTGGTCGTTCCAGACAGATTCAAGCAACTTCTGTCATCAGCCGGGTGAGTGGCTTGCTGAATTCAACCGATAGCGCAGTGTCGTATCAGGGCCACCTTAAAGGTACCGCGTACTGTGTGTCCATATCAATCGACAGAATGCCGCATCCTGAGGTCCGTAGGCACATGCTTCGCCCGACCATCGCGAGGTGTAGTGGCGTTCATTCTTGCATGCCATGGTCAAGCCGACATCTTCTTAAATGCTGCAACTTCACTAACGTCTATCTTGGAACATACGGGCGCAGATATAGCACATGGTATGTGTTAGGCTCGTGTTATCAAAGACGTTCACTGACGACCACCTCCAGACGATTCCAAGCGATGTTTCGGCTCGTCCTCTGGCCTGCGTGAACCAATACAGGCCTTGAACTGTTCACAATCTCGTATCTGGTTCTATCCCATTGTTGTGTTGCGTACGACGTGACAGCAGCATTCACATGTCGAGTCGAGGCCATGATATGTGATCACGAGCAACTCGAAGTAAAGTACGGTATCAAGGAACCGCACCACTCACTCTACGATAGGAAGCAATAGTGTTTGGAGGGTCAAGTGTGAAATGCAGTGACCTTTTGAATAGATCGAAGCAGATGGCGCGATGTATGTTGTTTGCCATGAATAGAGCCCAGGACGTCCGATGTGGGCAGCCTCTCACGAAGGCGCCTGTCGAAGATGTACACCAAGGATAGGCCTGATCTTTATATTGCTCGACCAAAGTCCCTCGTTCCCTCCTCCTTCGTTGTCGCGATTGTCAAGACCACCCACTGAACGTACCGCGCCCCAGGCCATCTATCGTGTGAGTGTTGCAACGCATGATCCCATCCTCCAAAGTACTCACGTGTCAGTACAGAAGCAGGGCCCAGGCATGGGCTGGTCTATGTATGCGGATGTCAAGGACAACAAACAAGCGCTATTGCGTCTTATCATCGGTTTGTTCTTCGGATATGTGCAAAGCGAATACGGCGAGCTCAGGTAAGCATGAATTCGCCTTCCTCGAGAATTGAGCGACATGGGTTCAATCGTTATTGCAGCGTAGCAGAGGTTGGTCAACTCTCGCTTTGAGTTGCGCGTTTCCCTAACGCTCGTTCTGTATGCAGGTACTTGAAGCAGAGGGACGCGTGCATCGTATGCTCGCTGGGCTTCGCCGCCGACAGAATGCCATGCTCCTCATACACCGATTGCCACCCGAAATCCTCAAGATTATCCTCGAGTCGGTTTTGTCGCAGCGCTGCCAGTACCCCGACGGAACTGCCATACCGTGGAGGTCTCCGATGATGGGACTGAATCACTTGGACTGAATCACTTGGCTAAGATCACTGTGGTCTGCAAGTATTGGAGGGCGATTGCGTTGGACACACCGACGCTATGGACTCCCAGTATCAGCCCTGGATGGATGGATCGTCGCGAGGTGTTCCACCATGCGGCTACAATGTTCCTTGAACGTGCGCAGGGACTTCCCTTGAACCTCATCGTTGATCACCACGGACACGCTGGAGGTCTCGACAGGTTTCTTGCTGATCTAGGCCCCGCCTTCACTTCGCGATTGAAGAGCATCCACTGTCAAAACACGTGGGAGACTTTTGATACAGTGTTCGACTTCCCTGCACCCCTATTGGAGTCCCTGCATTTGAACGAGAACTTCAGAAAATTCCCGAAGACCAGCATATCCTTGTTCGGAGGTCAAACACCGCGACTGCGATATCTTTCTATTGCCCGCATGAAGCGTGTACCCAGATTGCAGCTTCCGGCATTGACACATCTTCACGTGCACTGCTCTGTCCACGGCATTGGCAGCCTCATTGCCCTCCTTCGATCAACTCCCGGCCTCACCGATCTCTCACTCTCCAACATAAAGGTGGACACCGAGTCGGTCACAGCCGCAGGGCGCGTTGTCTATCTGCGAAACTTGCGGAGACTCGCACTTCGCGGCGTAGGCTGCGCAAGCGTACGCATAATCATGACATCTTTTGCCATCCCTACGACCGCGGCCATCTTGTTCTCCGGCTCTGATCCTCTGGATACAGGAGCCATGTCGTCTCCAGGCCTGCGCGACTACTTGTCTAGTCAGACCTGGACAAGGGTGTCAATTCGACCTGACCCGGAGGGAGGCTCTTGCTCAGTGATCGCGACCAATGATCGCATCGGAGTGTCGTACGACACCGTGGCACAAAAGCATCTAGAGGAGGAGGAGGAGGTGTGCGCCTACTACTCAGCGGTGCGGCGCAGACATCGAGTTCTACCGCCGAACATATGGCCATTCGAAGGCGTTCGCGAATGTTGGGTCATGAGAGGGTTGTACTCCATCCGATTTCATCCGTCCGGACTGCGCGACATGCTCAGCCGCGTAACTTGGAGACATTAGTTATATGTGCTTGGGATGCAAGAGAGGTGATCCAAATACTCGAGCCACCGGTAGGCACTGCCACAGAAGAAGGGACGGCCACTCGTCCCATCTGCCCGCAGCTGAAGGAGCTCCGCATTGTGAGTGCGGATGACTACGATCTCCCTCGGTCTACGCTGGCCGAACTCATTGCCGCCGCCAAGCTTGACGATCTGCGTCCTCTCAAGCGCGTGGTAGTAGGCTACCTGCCTGCCAGTCGCCCTTCCAAATGCCCTTCCAAATGGCCGCGCATGGCTGGTCATACGTCAACCGACTATGCCAGCGAAGTGGAGGTTGTTCTGTTGACGGAGCCACTCGAGACGAAGATGCCCCGAGTATGCGCCTACGGCCCAAATGGCAGCCCCATACCACAGAGGACCTCCTGGCGGATACCCGAAAGCAGAAACAAGCGAGGGACAGGCAATGGTCAAAATACTACGCAGCGAGGGATTTGACATGAAGTGCGTGCTTAAAATTGACCATGACTATCTCCGGTTTACACGACCGAGGCTCGGTACGAGTACGGTTCCGAAACCTCAATGTACGAGGCTGCGTGGCAACGTTCGCTTCAAACAATATTGACTGCTCATATCAGATTGATACAGATTTGTAGGACTAGGCCTCAAAGGTCGCTAATGGTCATAACGCGATTCAGAACATGGGGTCGGGAATGGCGAGACGGTCGTCGATACGGCGAAACTGGGTCTTAGCAAACTTACTTCTGATCTTTCTTCGCCGCCCTCTCCTTCTTGACCCACGCAATTGCATCCGCCACCGCCTCGCGCGGCCGGCTCTTGTACCTCATCAGGTATCCCTGGAGACTCGCCATCGACATCTCGCCCTCTGGGATCGCCTCAGAAAATCGGGTGGCTAGTGTCAGTGCTTCGCGGTGGGAGAGGAATTGATTGGGTAAGGCTGGCTTTCGTTGACCTGGCTGCAGCGTCTTGAAGGGCGGTGGCCGAGGAGCCTCTGTCACCTGCTGTGATGCAGAAGGCGATAGCAGCAGGAGAGGCATGTCTTCAGAGACGCTTGGGCTCTGAGGCTCGCTGTCTGGTTCGTCGCTGTCGATACTATCGCGTTTCGACTCGTAGCCTTCGTCTACGTGCTCGTCCGCGGCGTCGTCGGGGCCTTCAGGCATGTAAAAGCATTTGTAGAGGCTCTCCGCCTGGTATCGGCTCGCCAGCTTGAACTCGACGTGGAGATCCATCCGCCCAGGACGGCAGAGCGCAGGGTCAAGAACCTGGTAATTGTTCGTCGTCGCAAACAGGATGCGTCCCTCCTGGGCACCGATACCATCGAGCGCGTTAAGAAGACCCGAGAGGCTGAGGCGGGATTGGGAGTCATTGCGCTTCCCTTCGTTATGCAGTGCCTTGGCGATGGCGGCTTTCTCGTCACTGCTGCCACCTGCCAGGAAAGGCGGCTCAGCTGCCACAGGTTCTGAAAGGTCGCGCGCGACCCCTGTTATAGCAGCGTCGATGTCTTCCATGAGCGCGATGCATTGATTGGGCATATTTGAGATTAGCTCGTTCAATGAGCTGTCGTCCATGCCCGCGCGACTGAGCGTCACGATGTAGACGTTTAGGCCCAGCTCTCCTGCGATGCTTTGAATCATGGACGTCTTCCCGGTGCCTGGTGGGCCATACTTTGAATGTGGTGTCAACGACCAACGTGGCGTACCAATGTATAATAGACATACCAGAAGATACCCGCGGCGGAACGGGATCCCTCTGTCGGCATACCACTTGCGGCTACTCAGGAAATCGCGGGCGTCATTGATCAGGAGTTCCTTGATTCCCGGTTCGAGTATGATAGAGCTGAGAGGACGTTTGGGGCGTGATGTCATGAGCTTCCATTTACTCCCGCTACGGAGAATCATTCACTCGTCAATCATACATGGAACCAACAAGGAAGGTACGTACGTGTCCGCTGAAAATACGGAGACGACTTTTCTTTCCGCCTCCTTGTATGACTGACGTGCCTCGTCAATCAGGCTCTGCAGTATACTTCGGTCCATCGACAGAATGCTGCAGAGATAACTCAGTGACCAACACGGAACGGACTATCGAGTGCCCTACCTGATCTCAAGACACTCTCTCATGTTATAAAACCCCGCTGACTTTTCTTCTCGTTGCACAATCATATATCGCCGCTTATACCACAGCGAATATGTATCTTCGAGCTTCGGAAGGTAGGATAGGCAGCGGGAGGTGGTACTCTCAATACCGTCGTCGTCGTCATCGGTCATGCCGCCAAGTCCGAAGCTCCGAGTAGAAACCTCGACCGTACGTGCTCGCTTCCAAACCGGATGACGTGACAGCCAATAGAGGACCCAGCCTGGCATGTCATGTCCTTTGAGTGTGCAATAAGCGTAGCTGGTACGATTGGCGACTCACGGTAAGGATAGTCGTGGGCGTCGAACGTCGCGGTGACCCAGAACATGCGCGCGGTGGCGTCACGGCAGCGAAACAAGAGACGGCGGCACGTCTCGAGCAAGCCGCCGAGGATAAGCAACTTCGCCCAATCTCCCAAAGCAGAGAAGGATAGGAGCGTCGATAGTACTGAGCGGACCTCCGCTGATAAAGACGACGCTACATCCGGGGATATCGTGGCTGTGGCGGTTGTAGCGTTGTCCATGGTTAAGCTGTCCGAGTTCTGGAGTTTGCGCGGCAGCTCAACGATCTATGTAACAAGGTCGTTCGTCATATAAATTCAAGATGAGAGAGAACCACAGCAGACGTACGTTACAAGATTCGAGGCCAGTAACATTCCGGGATTGCAAAGTGAAGTCTTATATGCTCCCTCGTCCTTCATCGAGTCATGCTGATCGTTCCAGCGTGTCCCACCTGCGGTCCAGATGAATTCGCGATTGGCCGAATAAAAGCCATCCATTCCAGAAGTATGACCACTTGACTGGACCGCATGCCAGTGGCACATACAGAGACTTGGTCATGCCTTTCTTGTCGGCGCTGCATACTAGTTTGAAGAATCGTTTGAGCCGGTGGTCAATTTCTACTGTATTCTGTCTGATACACGAGGTGCAGTGAGAATGCACAGGCATGCACCTACTGTGACATGGCCAAGCGCGCCTCTGCGCCAGCCTGAGATTCGGAGTCAATCTCTGGTGCGACGATCCCTGCGTTCACCTAGGTTTACTCGATGTATTCGCCTTGTGAAACACCTCTGTCGGAGCGAGATGCAACAGTCGCTGGTCCGATAGCGATTGGGTGACCGTCTGGGCCTCGTACCCTCAGACATTGGATCAGGATCACACTCCCGGACGTTGACTCGGTGAGTGCATACGACTCGGAAGCGGCGGCCGGCGCCCTGAATTCGTCCTTCTAAGCTGTCACTCTTCGAAGAGGAGGAATCACTCACCGCATCCCAATAACCGCAACGCAAGTGCAGAAGGTCATACCGTAGGATGCCTCTGTGGAACTCGTCGAACACCTTGATCATGAAGTGCCAGCGTTGTCACTCAAGCGCCCAAATCCAAACATCGATCAGCGCCGAGCCACTGCCGTGGCTCGTCCTCTACATAGATCTAAGTATCACTGATCAAGACGATTCGCAGCAAGTTCTTCTCATACCTGCACAAAGGTTGGTCCGGTTGGATGTCACATACTGACAATTCGATAGGACTCGGATAGTAATTGTCCACGGGCCCGACCCTCCGAGAGCTCGACTCGATTTCCGGACGCGCTGGGACATGCGCCTCGTGTGCAGTATATGTGGAAGCTGTCGCTGAGTGTATTCAGAGAAGACACCTCCGGACAGCCTAGGCATCGGATCCAAGTGACACCGTAGTATCAGCTCATCGTGGAAACGCTTGTCAACAATTCGGAAACCCTACTTCCAAACCCTGGGGGAATCACTGGCCACCGTATCGCTCCTAAGTTCCATCGCTAGACTCTCATCACCGCTGCGCGCAGGCCTAGTTTGGACTGATCTTCCATCCCCTTGAGATGCACGAGTCTTCTGAAGATTTCACAGCGAGGCAGAGGCGAGTGGCCTCTATTAGTGGCCTAGGATGAAGAGGGCACGCCCAGAGATGACTAGGGCTCATCGCCGCACTCCAAACTGGAGTGCAGATGCTGCCAGTGATAGTAAGCTCAGACCGCGTGTCCCGATATGTAGCGTTTGTGCGTGTCGCTACACAGTCGCAATCAAGCCGAACGCACTGGCCCGGGCCAGCTGCTGCGAGCTCTACCGCACGGAGCTGAGCCCCACTGTCACGGATGGATGTCGTATCTGACTCAACGTCGTTACCAATCCACAACTTAGCCAGCCTCGGGCGCTCTGAGAACGCAGATGGGACTGCGATTCCATGGATGACCCTGGCGACGGGAGTCGGTCATCCGGTCTAGTTGAGCGCGGTGTGCAGGTATTGGAGGTCCATCACGCTGCCCTGTGGACCACCATGACCCAGTTTAACAGAATGAAGACTTGGGCAATCAACGTCAACCCGCACGGCCACCCTCTTCATGGAGGGCACCGTCCAATGCCCTCTCGAGACTCGACGACGGCCCGTGGAGCTCGTCAGTTCATCGCTGACTTGCCGTCACGTCTCCGTGAGGTGACCGGCCAGAACACGCGGTGGGCCCTGGAGGCTTTCAGTCAAGCTGCCTGCCCGGGCCTGCCGCCCCCTCTGTGCCTGTCAATGTCGGTGCGACGTCAGTCCAGGAGCGGGGACGGGGCGGGGACAACTCACTGAAACGGCGGAGTTGCTTGGGGCTCAGTGTGGTCCGTGCAGCACGCCGCAGCGACCCCGGAGTGTGTACATGTATGGCTGAGTGCATGCCTTCAAATTCTGCTGCCATGGTCTTCGATCTCTGGCACATACCAATGGGGGACCCAGAGTCAGAGCCTCGTACCTGCCTTTGGCGGGCCAGTCAGTAAGGCGGATGTACGTGCGTGCTTACATACCCGTATACTAGCACACCCGACTAGATGACTGGCCAGTCTGAGGTGCACTCTTTGTGCACTCTCGGATGCGAAGTCGCGCCAGGAAACGGGCCGCCCGACTGGGCCCGCCAGCATACCGGCCGGTTTGAAGAGAGAAGGGTTGACGCAGATTATGTATGGTGCAGGGAGACCTGCCAATGACCACTTCGTCGAGCGGAGGGTCAATAAATTGTCAACAATAACGCCAATGACTAGGGGAACAGTCCGAGTCGTCGCGCATATAGCGACGCGGGCCGAATTGCAGTCGACGTATTCATCTGACAGTCGTCACTTGCAATTGAGGACTTGCTGTTGCTTCACGGAATCCAACTTCAAGCCACTACGAGCCGATCCTCCCCGACCGAGGACAGTAAGTAGCGACACACTGGCAGTACGAGGCAGCTGAGGGCCATGACCACGACGGCCGAAGCTTCAAAGCTTCAAGCCCGGGGTCGGTCACCGCTACTCGCCGTGCGTGTCGCGCGACCGGCTCGACGCGCTACCGCCCGACTCCCTCCCCAGCACCGTACGGCCAGGCTGCCGTAGAGATAGGTTAAACGGGGCCTGGCGGGCAGAGGATTCTGGACGCCACAACGTTCACGAAGCCCTGGCAACCGAGATAAGGACTCGGTGCGCGTCGGCACGGGGATCGAGGGCGAGGGCGTGCGGGGTATCAAGCTTTCCGATCCGTGTACTGCCTCTGTTAGCAGACTAGGCACGGCACCTGGCCGTCATGCGCGAAGAGCCTCCAAGCGACATCCCCACAGCACGAACTTGACAGGAACGCGGACACTGGGACGAACCCGAACTACGAGGCGCACTCCACACTCCCCACACCGCTAAAACGTATAAGTAGAACCCCCTGAAGGCCTGACGGCGCACCGTGCGCCCTTCCACGGCGAACTTCCAGCCACGCCGATCGCCCGCTGCCAGATCGCGTGGTGGGGATCTGGCTGCACCGGGCCCGGCGACCTGGGTGCCCGACGCGCGATTGATGCGCCAGCCGGCGGCGGGTTCTCGCGGGCTATATGTGGACGAGGGAATTGAATTGCCGCGGCCGCGGAGGATGATCGGGCGGGGCGCAGTATGAGTGGAGGTCTGTGGAGGTGGCTGAAACGGCGAACAGTCAGTGGTACAAATGCGTACTGCGCATCTGCCACCGCTGCCAGACTGCGAGCCACGGTGTTGGCATATCGGGAACCGTACTAGCAGGGCTCGTCAGGAACGGAGGATAATGGGAAATGTCGGTGGCCTGGCTATCGAGGGAGCCAAGCGATGAATTCACGACAGATTTGACAGGCCTGAGTCACCCCCAGCGTCCGGTACAGTCAGCAGCAGGTTGTTGAGCGAGACAGCATCCACAGCGCCGTCCTGTACGCAGAGAGTGACGAGTGAAGCTCACAGCAGGTATCGATGCATAGCCACGAGGCTCGCTGTCGGCCGGGAGGCGCCAGGAACGTCCGCTTTTGGAAACAGATTTGCCAGATCGGGGTGGTGCGATCGAGAATCGGCCCGCCCCGAGTCCGCGCGCGCAAACATGTCCCGCCGCGCCCCTCGCCCGCCACAGCGCTGTTGGGCCTCCTGCAGCGCGCACAGCAAGGACGCGGGGTGTGCGCGTGCCTTGGAAGCGTAGGCGTGTTCCTGGGGGCGAAGAGACGCGTAGGAGGATCACGGCTGCTCGATCTGTGGCGGCGGCTGTGGGACGGGAGATAAACGGGGGCGCCCCCATTGGCCGATAAGACGCGCCCCCGCCCGCCAAGGGAGGCCGGACGCCATTTATGAACGCGCGCGGAAGACGCATTCCTTCTTTCCCTTCGAAGTCACTCCCCGACTCGCTCATCGCCCGCCCACCGCCGCTGCCCCAGCGCGCGAGCCGTTCCCTCTCCTTCCCGACAAGACCGCACGCCGACACCCCGCTGTCGCAGCCATGGTCAACGTCACCTACGACAGCTGTGAGTCGCCCCGTGTGTAGCGGAGTCTGTGCTGACTGTGTGCAGCCGGCGACCTTCAGTGGTACGACCCCAGCAGCGGCACCACCTATGTCTACAACCTCGGCGACATCGCCTGGGTCCTCGCCTCCACCGCCCTCGTCTGGATCATGATCCCCGGCGTCGGCTTCTTCTACTCGGGCCTCCTCCGCCGCAAGAACGCACTCAGTATGATCTGGATGTCTATGATGACTCTCGCCGTGGTTTCATTTCAGGTGAGTGTCCTCTCTCTCGCGAAACCATCTCGCCTTGCTATGCGGTGCGCTGCCTCGACGCGACCCCTCACCTCGCCGGAAAACCGCACTTTTTGCAGCCCACACACCGGGGCACCCAAGGCGCGTGTGCATTGCACATCGAGGCCGCCGCCTGCCCTCAGGCGTCTACACACGGCTGTCAACTTGTCGAGATGCACACACCGTGGTCCCCCCGAGCTGCCCTGCCCTGCCCGTCCCTGGTCCGCCGCGGGGGGCACCGCGCGGACCGCCGTTCCCGTCTGCGTTGACACGGACGTCATCCTGTCGAGCCCTTGCAGGCACCGAGCGGTCCGCGAACCTGCCATCGCCCAAGGCCCACCCGCTTCGTCGCCCTGGGTGGCACGGCACCCTTCTGCGCAGCGCGTGCACCTGTCCGGGCTGAACCACCCCGCGGTGCTCCCGAGAATGCCTGCAGGCTTCTTACGTGCCCAGGTGTCGAAACGGCCCACACTGCGTCGATGTCCCACACCGACGACCCACACGGGCGTTCCTACGGTGCATTCATTCCCGATGTGGCTCGTCGGTGGGACACACCGCCGGGGCTCTGACATTCACATCTGTTTCTCTTCGGCTGTTGAGGCGTCTCGGAACCTTCTGTAACATCGTGTGCTGACAACCTTCCCTCCACAGTGGTTTTTCTGGGGGTGAGCACCACCACGCCGACGCGTCCCGAGCGCACGAGGACTGACTTGATGCCCGCACAGATTTTCACTAGCTTTCAGCGACACGGCGACAAATCACTACATTGGTAACCTCCGTGAGTGTCGGTGTGCTTATTTCTGGTGGCGCGAAGGCGTCGGTGGTTTTGCGACGCGGTTGTGGCTTCGATGGAGAAGGTTTTGTCGTGCGTGCCTGGGAAGCGAGGCGGTGTTTGTGATTCGCCGGATCCTTCTTGGGATCGTCGGACTTGCCAACAGCGTCGTTCGACGTGAGGGCGAGTGGTGATCAGCCTACGTGCGCGCGTACAAGGCGTCTGTCTGTGGTCCCAGTATTATCCAGCCTCATGCTAACATCATTCCAAATTCCCAGAATATTTTGGACTCAAGGGCGTGCTCGAGAAACCCTCCGTCGGCTCAACACGCATCCCCTCCATCGCCTTCTGCGTCTTCCAGCTCATGTTCGCCGCGATCACGCCCATGCTCGCGATCGGTGCGTTCGCGGAGCGTGCGCGGCTCGGGCCCGTCATGGTCTTCGTCTTCGTCTGGTCCACGATCGTCTACGACCCGATCGCGTGCTGGACGTGGAACGCCTCCGGCTGGTCCTTCATCCTCGGCGGCCTCGACTTTGCCGGGGGCACGCCCGTCCACATCTCCAGCGGCACTGCCGCGCTTGCGATCTCCATCTACCTCGGCAAGCGCAGGGGGTATGGCACGGAGCGCCTCGCGTACAAGCCGCATAATACGAGCTATGTCGTGATCGGGACGGTCTTCCTGTGGTTCGGCTGGTTCGGATTCAACGGCGGCAGTGCCCTCAGTGCGAACCTCCGCGCGGTGCAGGCGTGCATCGTCACCAACTTGGCTGCGTCTGTTGGCGGTCTTACCTGGATGCTCTGGGTGCGTGCGCTTCCGTCGACGCCGAGAGCATATCGTGACACTGACACTATCGCAGGACTACCGCCTCGAGCGCAAGTGGTCGACGGTGGGCTTCTGCTCGGGCGCGATCGCCGGGCTCGTCGCGATCACGCCGGGGTCCGGGTACGTCGGCTCGCCCGCGGCGGTGCTGTTCGGGTTCATGGCGGGGACGGTGTGCAACTTCGCGACGCAGCTCAAGTTCTACTTCGGGTACGACGACTGCCTGGACATCTTCGCGTCGCACGCGATCGGCGGCGTCGTCGGGAACGTGCTCACGGGGCTCTTCGCGCAGGCGAGCGTCGCGGGCTTCGACGACATCGCGGCCATCCCCGGCGGCTGGCTCGACCACAACTACATCCAGCTCGGGTACCAGCTCGCGGACTCCGTGTCGGGCATGGCGTACTCGTTCGTGATGACCACCGCGATCCTCTGGGCGATGCACTTCATACCGGGCCTGCGCCTGCGCGCGTCGGAGGAGGCGGAGATCCTCGGGATCGACGATACGGAGATGGGCGAGTTCGCGTATGATTATGTGGGCTTGGACTTTGTCGCGGGCGGCGCGAATGGCGGGTTCCACGACGACGTGCGCGAGGACCGCGGCGCGATCGCGGGCGGCCGCGAGCCCCAGCATAGTAAGCTCCATATGCATGACCAGGGCGTGGAGGTGCAGGAGCGCGGGGCGGCGCCGGGCAACCACGAGAGCGCGAGCGCGAGTACGGTCGACGAGAAGGCGCATTCGTAGATCTGGGATTCGGCTCTGGTGTTTGTCTTGCTTGGATTACGGTAATGTGGAGGTAGATGAGGCGGTGGTGCAGCGGGAGGGCTGAAGAAGACAAAACGTCGTCGTTCGTTTCATATATATCCGTATCTCCGAGAGCTCGTCTGTTCATTTCGTATTCGTAGTCTATGGCATACTGCGCACACTCTGTCTCCGCTACCTAGATACATAATGTACACCTTCCCATTGCATATCAGACGCATACTATTATGCTCGTTCTGGATCTGTGTAGACAGTACTTGGTCTTGAGGCCTGCCTGCCCACTCGATAGGGTATTGTCACGGTTGGATTGTAAACTCCTTGTCAAACGACATGAACCGTACATACTTATCTACATTGGTATAGCCTGGGTCCGCCTGCCTCGCCAGTTGTTCATCTCCTCGTGGTATTCAACGACTCCCTATGTGGGTTCGCCACAAATCCCAGTGTCAGAGCCGTGTGGAGGGTTCTAGTCCAGGACTAGGGTTTCTCGACTGCGAAAACGTAGGTGCGGGTTCCCCTGAACGTCGCCATATGGAAGTGTGGTCGACTTGGTTCCAAGTCGCTATCAGTGGGCCACTGCGCCGTCCACACATGTCAGTCATACCGTGCATGGCGAATATAGGATCGTGGACAGTGCGTACCCGCGGCCCGTCCCAGTCCATGCGTGACCTTATCAGAGTAGACTTGAGGCGCTTGGGCATGACCACGCCAGCGTTAGCGATGGAGCGCATCGTCCAGACGGGATTCGAGAGGATGGACGGGACGTGGAAGGATATGGAGAAGTAGAACGGGTTGCGAGGATAGCGCGAGTGCCCCCCGATTACCGCGAATCTGGCGGTCCGCATCGTCTTGACACTGGATGCAGTCAGTCTCTGTTGGACGGCGTACGATGGAGTAGGAGGGTGCGCACTACGATTCCGCGTGTCCCTCCGCTGCGCAGTCTTTGAGCTGCTCGAGCCAGGCATCCTCTCGGAACCCCGGCGCTCGGGACACCCACGATGGTATGCTGAAGCGCACTAGGGCCGTTGTGTGACTGTCGGTAAACCGCACCCGCACCACCTCCTCAATGCTGTGTTTCTCCTCTGGAAGTATCATCAGTGTCGAACACTGTACAAACTCGAAGGAATAGCTCACCGCTTTGAGTCCGAGGTCCCAATGTGACGCTTACGGTCGAGCTCCTCGTATGTCCTGTCACTGCAGACGGGATGCAACATAGCGTCGGGAGCTCCATTTCAGGATCTGCATGGCGCGTAACCTTGACGACTAGTGTCTCGAGCCTCGCGGCGCAGTGTTGCAGCGCTTGAGTCAAGAATGATCCTGCGACCAGTGCCATTGGTGAGGTCGAGAATCTGCTAGCGCTGACTGGATGCTGCCTGTGCTTACGTATACTTTCCGGAGACCTTCCGGTATCATGGAATGTGATGCTCAGTTGAGAGATCGAGGTTAATCTGTGGATGAGCCTCTGATCGTTCGTGGTCCGAGTACCCTTGCGGTCAGGACGGGTGTATACGGCGATTACCGCCGTACGAGCGTATTGTGCAAGAGTTGTCGAGGCGAAGAGGTGGATTATATCGTCGCCGTCGGGACAGTCAAGGTCGAGTCTCTGCAAGTCCATCAACGGCCTCAGCAGCGCGTCTAAGATCGCCGCATCTCCGTACTGCTTCTTCGTTGTCGACACGCTAGCGCACTTGAGGGACCGCAGGTCAGGCAGAGCGCGGAGCAGATTGGCAATAGTGGTCGCCGATGGCAAGATGACGTTTTGCAGGCGGAGCGTGCGGATTGACGTGAACTCTGAGAGACGCCGGAGAAGTATAGTCTCCTTCAGTGCCGCAGTCTTCCATGTGCAATCGAGGATCTGGAGCTCTTCGAGCCGATGGAGCTTCCCGGAGAGCATAGCCGCGAATGTCCCGAGATGGGCTAGCGACCCAGTGTGACGATCTCCGTAGACATGGACCGCACGCGTGTGCAGTGCACGAGCGCGAGAGCACTGCGAGAGGAGGATCACGTCTTGCCGACTGAGGAGACCCACAGCGTGTCCATTGCCCTTAGGCAAGTGCGCCTGCGCACGAACATGCCATGCTTGGCAGACGATGGTGCAGACTAGCAGCGCCGACCAGTCCTGCTGGAGGCAGTCTATGATCTCCCACCACGTCTCGACTGGCAGTTGTACGCCCACAGTGCGCGCGTCTTCCGCCGTACTTGCATCCAGTGGAAGTGCCGACGCTCTGAGGGCGAGGTTAACAATCGGGACGGCGGCATGAAGCTGTGTGAAGAGCACTCACGCAACATCTTCCCCGTTACCAACGGCACTAACAGACACCAGGCCCTTCGCGTCCCTGCTAGCAAAATGTTGTAGAGGTCTCCAAAGCTTCTGTATTATCCTGCCTCGTTTCGGTTGCTTCGGATTGAGGGGGAAGGTAGGGCCAGCCGACACAAGTTCACCCCGGCGAACACACGATGTTCCAGACATAGTGAGTCTATGGTAGTCATGTCATTTGCATTGCATGGGTGAGGGACAGGTAGACTCCGTGGGATTACCGCATACGAACTGATGAATGCTGTTGAAACTTGAAACTTGTGCGCAGGCCAGCACTGGCAGTGCACAGCCACCGCGTCTACTTGCGTCTAACTTCAGGCCTTCAGGCCCAGGGTTTGCCACTTCGTGGGTATGTACACACCTCCTCTCGGACAGGATCAAGGCGTTCAACAGTGCCGCTTCTGGCTGGGGAACGGTCGGCGTCGAAGACTTAGACTTGACTTAGACAGTAGTAGACTCGTCACCACTTTAAGCAACCGTCCCCAAAAGGTCCCGGCCGATCTAGATTGGGTCGGGCCACGCCGACCCAGGCTGCCAAGTACAATTACTACTATTAGTGCTGTACGGTCTGTACCTAAGTACCACTGGTACTTATAGTACATCTCTACAGGCAGCAGCAATCTGTCTTGGTATCTGACCAATTCATCCCACAGGTCCTAGTGAATTAACACTCTTTCTTCTCGCAAAGATTGCTGTATGGCTTCCCTTGATCCACTTAAAGTTCAGCCCGTGAGGCCTTGAGGGCGTCGAACATACCGTGACTCTGCCAGAGCTGCGTCCCATTAACAACACGTCCGCTGTAGCAGACATATAAGAAAGGATGTAAGGTAGTACCCACCCGGCCCCATATCGAGTACGAGAGTATGTACGCTTACTAGGCGTGCTTCCGAAATGCGTGTCGACGGCGATATAAGTACCACCCAAGATCAGAGGCGACCCGCTAGGGATAGAAAAATACCAGTGCGGCTGCAGCTTCGGCTTCCGTACGCCGGCAACCTTGATACGCAGGCCCTCGATCCCCAGGCGTTGCAGAGGCACCCGGAGACATCGCGCTGCGCTATGGTATCACAATAGTGTATGCCGACCTCCAGGGTGCGAGTGTATTGAGCAAGGTCTGACAGGTGCCAACTTTCGTCTATACCATATGCTTGGGGGCATTCGCTGGGCTATTACTGTACGGGCGAACGTCTGGGCAGCACGTCAAATGTCCAACGGTCCACGCATCCCAAGAGACTTCACACGCGTTATCCTGCCGAGACCGACGGTATGCGGTGTCCACTTAGGCCAGTAGACATGGGCCTCGGTGGTACACGCCTCGGGCAGCTCCATCGCCGGGCACTCCACGAGGTCAACATACTCGACCGTCCCGTGGAAGAACTCGTCAAGCTGGCTCGCGTGCGGACGCGGTCCGTGGAACCCAGGCAGGTAGCTGACGACGACGCGCTCGAAGTCGCGCCGCAGCTCGTCCCGGTCACGGAGGCCATGAATTCCCAGCGCCCGATCTAGGTCCCGCACGCTCGTCGCGAGGATGCTGAGCGTCTTGAGTTTGGGGCAGATCGGGCGCGCGTCCACGTCGGCGCCATTGCGGGGCTCGTTCGGTGCGGAGAGCGCGTCCAAGACGACCTCGCAGTTCCAAGCGCATACGACCAACGTCTCGAGGTCGCTCAGTCCCTCCAGCATGCCACGCAGCCCCGTAGCTGCGAAGGTATACATAGAGTCGTGGTCGTTGTTCTCTATGATCCAACACTCGCGAACGCCTTGGAAGGGTAACTGGGGAGGTCGGATCCAAAGGCGTGCACGCTCATTGTAGCGGTGATAGTCGCGGTGCTCTATGACCACCGCGAAGTCGCCTGAGAACGCGGCGGAAGTGTCGGCGACAACGACGGAGCAGAGGGTCTCCGTCGGGTCGAACTTGATCGACATCCGCGTCCAGGATCGGTTCGCAAGGTATAGTTGAGGACCCGAAGACGTGATCATCTCGTCCGTCAGCGACTGGGAGCCTTGGAAGCGGATGGAGGCGTCTTTCGAAACCGAAACAGCCTTCATGAGCTCGCAGACGACGTCCCGTTGCATGGCATCGAACGTGAGACGACGTAAAGTTGAGAGGTGGACGTAAGGCACGTCGGGCGTTGACCCAACGAGCAGTGACACGGAGAACACGAGGTCAGTCAATGCCGGGGCAGACCGCAGCAACGTGATCAAATCGCTTCTGCCATCGACCGACTGGGCACACATCCGCAAATGGAGATGCGTCAATGATGGTGCATGGTTCCTTGGCGCCCAGTTCATGGCAGTGAGCGAAAGGTAGCGTAGTTTCGGTGTGTGTCCCTGGAAAAGAGGAAGATCAACAACCCGTACCACATTGTCTTCTTGCAAAGACAACGACTCAAGGCAGGGTGCCGAGAAGTCGAAGGCCCAGTCGAAAGTATCACAGAGAGGTCGACAGTAGATAGAACGGAGGCGTGATGTAAGCTGAGGGCCCATTTTTCTGAAGAAGTCGTCCAACCCTCTGGCTTTTCCTGGCTTGTCGACGATGATGTTGACAGGCAGATGACGCGCACGCTCTAGAAACATGAGCGCGGCCCTGTCGAAGACATCGCGGCGATCCATCCAGCCGGGACTGATGGCAGTCCAGAGCTCGGGGGTGTTCAAGGCGACCGCTCGCCAGTATTTGCACACCATGGTAAGGGTGGCCTGAATGCGACCAACCATGGGAAATTCCCATGGTAGCAGATCTTTGCCTATGTAGTCTCCGGCATACCTTCGCGACACGGAGTACTTGAAGATGGCCTGGAGAAGTTCAGCTGGGAGATCATTCTGAACCACCGCGATATCGTTCCTGTAACCGTACGTAGGAACAAGCCAGGCCGGCTCCGATTCGTTCGTCTGGAACGGAGCTTTGATTCAGTAAGTGCAACACAGCGGTCCGCTTGATGCTGTACCTCAGGCTGTGCTAACCTGCCCGGGAAGGTCAGATCGCTGAGGCAAGCTTGCACGCGGCGGCTTACATTTCTTCAACCTCATATCTGGACGACAAGTCAGTCTCGCTCGCTATCTGTTGGTCACGGCATCATTTTGAGTAAGAGGCACGCCGGCGACGGATCTAACAACACTTACCGAGGTCCAAAGGCTTCGTGGGGGCTGCAGATGCAGAAGCATTGTCGGTTCAACGTCTGGTACTTGATGAGCTCTGGGAGAACGGAGAGGTCGCGATATAAGAGTAATAGCGCTTGTGTCCCTTGGATACCTTGCTTTGTTATTAAGGTTCGAGGGACAAGGAGCTCGCCAATTTCAGCTAATCCGGCTTCAGTCCGCGATGTACTTCGTGCTAGCAAATACGGCCGCCGGAACAAGACGCACCATGATGATAGTACAACGGGCCACACCCGCGAGCAGTAAGTCAGGCTTCAGACTACGAACTCTTAGCCATACATAGGTAGCAATGCGTACTGCTGTCAGCAGTACAGTGAGTGCGTACAGCCTTTTGAATGTTAAGTACTTAAGTAAGTACTGACAGGCTTCCAAGAGACCGGAGGAGCGCGAGCGCCGAGTATCATGCCGTGAGAATTCTCGGTAGTTCCCGATGACTGATCTTGCCATGTGCAAGGCCGGATATGGCGCGGTCGTTACCTTTTCTGGAATTACAATTTTCACCATTCTCGTCACCGACCTCTACATAACAGCCCGCGTCCGTTTAAAGTCTCTGAAACGAGGTGAGATGGCTGCACCGAAGCAGGAGCCTCAGGAGGCAGTCATACCTCCGCCGAAACCTGCGCCCAAACGCATTGTGGCCAGTGAGAAGGCCCGCAAAGACGCACTCAAAACTATCACCGCCGTTCGCCGCGTCTCTGCATGGCAGATACATCGCTGGCCGCTAGAGAAGCGCATGGTGAACGAGCGCACACGAGTGCACCTCCCGCGGACGTACCTCGGGAAGGATGGAATAGACGTCCGAGTGGTTCGCGCTGGCCAAGATTTAAACCAGTTCGTTCATCGACACTACGCCGAAGAGCTCGGGAAGGATGTAGGGAAAGATAACGTGGACGGGAAGGGTTGGGTCAACTTCGTTACACCAGACGATGTGCTGCAACGGAGGTGCGTGCCTTCAATTCCTCGGGACATTGTTATTGTTGCACCAGACTAATCGCAAGGCTTTTAGACACGAATGCTTGGGACCAGACCCTCGTGTGGCAGGATATCGATATGACGTGGCCGGAGACGTACACATCAAATGGTGGGATGCATTCCTACAGGACCAGTGGATGGACAAACAAAAGTGGACCTTTGATGTGAGGATGGAAGAAGATGGACGATGGGTGGAAATAGACGACTGATGTGTGTACTGGCTAGCGCGCACCCGTACAAGTTGCTTCATTTGACGTGCCTCATAGCATCGCAGTGCCCGCGACCACATGCAGCATTCGAACCTTGGACCGAAAGTGAAAGGCAAGACTGGCATGACCTGGAGTCCGTGGCTGGCTCATGGGAGTTGGAACTAGCGAACGAATATTACAAATTCCCTAATCTAGTAAGTTCCGACTCGGACCGTGACTAGCTCGGGGGCTCACCCTGGCTCACCTCCGATTGCTCACCTCCATGACGAGTCTATCTCGAGGCGAACCCCGGACGGCCACGTTCTAACGATATTCCAAGTCCGCAGATCCGGCTTCCCTACAGAAATGCGCTGAAACAGAGGGGCACGGGCACTGATGAGTACTGTGTGCGTTACCTTGCCAGCCTACCACTGCACGTACTGCCTGAGTCGGAGAGCTCGGGGATCCGTTCAGCCCGACACCTTCTCACCCTCAACCCGCCTTGGACGTTCTCTCATTCATTCTGTCAACGCGCGTAAATCTCAACTAGGCAAATTGTACTGACCGTGATGAGTCTGCATCTCACAGAACTTGATCGGACACGACGCCGTGGCCATGTCAAGGTGCCGCTCGGGACCGCCACAGCCACTGGCACTCTGCGAGTCATACTTAACGCGCGCACTTACTCTAGGCGAAGAAACACAGAACTTTCTGCACCAATGCGTGAGTCACATTTTTGGTTATCCCTTCATGAAGCTCATGGCTCATTTGTTTGCCGGTGGCAGAGAAGCCGCGTGCGCTCCTCACTGCACAGTCTGCAGTGCAGAGTGGTCGAAGCCGACGCCGCTGAGTGCGAATAACACAGCGCCCACTGACTCCTTTACACCACATCGAGTCAATTCTGCAGTATTCGAGCTCGGAGTAGGCACTCTGTTTCGCGGTGCCTCAGCGCGCTTATGATTATGCCCTCCCGCGTTGCCCGAGCGGCTGATGCGATACACTGCATGCGCAGGTTCGTGTATAAAATAAGGCTTCGGACGCGCTTCATTCTGCAGCCTACAAGGTAGGCCCCGTCGTGCACAGCGCGTCCATAACCATCCAACCTATCAGTCATCCCCTCTCGTCTCCCTGTCTCTTACACGTTGAGCCTCTTCCATCTGGATTTCTTTCTTGGGTATTCTGATCTTGGCTACGCACATCAAAGCACGACCATGAGCAACATCACAGCCACAGCAGCATCCCTTGCGGCAAACTCCACTACGGCCCTCCCATCGGACCTTCACTCTCTAGTATCGAAGCTCGCCTCGGTTTCGGCCCTGCAGGACTGGCTGAAGCTCTTCGTCATTGGCGGAGTGCTCGAGACATGCCGTCGCCACATCTCCGAGTGGTGGGAGCAGCTCATGCAAGCCCTCTGGATCACCGCGACATTCGACGCGAACGACGAGGCATACCGTGAGTCCTTATAGTATCCGGCACGAATTGCATCTGGCTAACGGCTCGCATCCATCAGGCTGGATGCTCTTCTGGCTCTCGCGCCATCCAATGTGGGAAAACGCACGCACAATTGAGGTCTCTACGCGCAGGTTTGGGCTGGACGAAGATTCCGACGACGAAGAGGACGATGACTGCGAAGACACACGCAAAGTGTCGTACCTTCCGTCGCTCCAGAACACATACAGTATCTGGTACCAGCGCCACTACGTGACAATTTCGCGTCAGGAGAGGTCGGAAGGCCGCTGGTCCATGAAGGAGTCGCTGCAACTACGGTGAGTACATACTAACGTCGGGACACTGCACCAGCGTGCTGAATGATGCACGCAGAATACTCTCGAGAGACCTTAGTGTGCTGAAGGGCATACTCGACGACGCGCGCGAAGCCTATAAAGCCGCTGCGAACAAACTCATCTCAATATATTCTGCAGACACGTATGTGCTTCATGTCAAAGTTTGCTTTCCACTATGACTGATTTCGTGCGCCCGGTTTTGCAGATCGGGAGGCTGGAATTACATGACATCGCGCCCCAAAAGACCACTCAGCTCGATCATTCTCGACCCGGGCATCAAGGAGCTACTGCTCAATGACGCGCGGGACTTCCTGAGCAGCCGAAAGTGGTACTCCGACAGAGGGATACCTTTCCGGCGCGGCTACCTCCTCGTGAGTCGTCTGCCCTCATCGCCGTCGGACAGCGAATACTCATTCCCTGTCATCAGTACGGCGCGCCTGGTTCAGGGAAGACGTCCATGATCCAGAGCATTGCAGGGGAGCTCGGGCTGAATGTTTACATCGTAACGCTCAGTCGGCTCGGGATGGACGACAGCTCGCTGAACGAGCTCATCTCGAACATGCCCCGCCGCTGCATCGCGCTCATGGAGGACATCGACGCGGCGTTTACGACTGGGATCAAGCGCGACCTCCCATCGGACATCAAGCGACTGAGGAAGGACGATGATGGCTCGGACGACGAGTCGGATGAGAAACGGCGGCACGAGGGCGCGGAAGGACCGGGCAGCGACTTCGGCTCGCGCGTCACCCTTTCGGGTCTCCTCAACGCGCTCGACGGGATCGGCGCGCAAGAGGGCCGGATCTTGTTTGCGACGACGAATAACTACAAGGCTCTCGACCCTGCGTTGTGCCGGCCCGGGCGGATGGACATCCACATCGAGTTCAGGCTCGCGAGTCGGTACCAGGCTGAGAACCTCTACAAGTGCTTCTACATGCCCGACGGCCCGGAGGACGCGGATGCCGAGGAGGTCGACGAGGGCTACGCTTCGAGACGCAGCAGCACGGAAGCCAGTGGCGACGAGAAGGAGTGGGAAGAGGAGAACGCAGACGCTTCTGAACGCACGCCATTGCTCCCATCTTCGCCGTCATCTCCCACACCTTCGTCGCCCGAGCCGCCCTCATCGTCCCCATCGCACTCAAGTCGACCTAACTCCCACCTGCCGAGTCACGATTTGTCACGAAGCGAAGTGCGCGCATTGGCAACGCGCTTTGCGGATGCGATCCCCGAACGCGAGTTCTCGATGGCGAGCCTCCAGGGATACCTTATGGCATACAAGAGCCGACCATGCGAGGCCCTCGAGGATGCACCTCAATGGGTCCAGAAGGAGAGGGAAGCTAGGAAAGAGCGAAGCTAAAATGGACTATAGTATACCCATTGTATCATATATTGCGACTATAACTTGATGACCGCCACGACATCTACGCCGTTTTGCGGACTGCGTATACAGACATAACGCCCCAGTAACTGATGTAGTATAGCAAATACACTTATCCAATAAGTTTCGTAGACCTGACTGGTCATATTTCGTTGTGTATTGAAGCTCGCGATGTCTCGGAGTTCGATGTGCCCCCGTCGAGTGCACTCTGTCCCAGCGCTCATGTCGCTTTCCGCTCCGCTGCATGAGCCTTTCGCATCTGGTGTGACGAAAATGCTTCCAGAGATAACCCCGAGGGGCGTCAGGCTGAAGACTGTGATCTAGACAAGCAGGGTTGCAGCAGAGTATGTCGTACACCAGACTCTTGAGAACGTGATATCAAGAACGACGGTAAGTTCGAGAGTTAAATTTGCGTCAACGGCCTACAGGTCGATCGTTCAGCTGTACGATGCTCATAAGAAGCGCAAGACGAAGGTCCTACATTGGGGAAGACAAAAACTCCTCCGTGGAAGGCCGAAGGGGAAGCCAAGATGACGGGGATGCAGTAGTAACTCAAACATCGCGAGGACATAGAAGGACAACATCATCGTCACCGGCCAGAGCACGAACCTGACGAACACGCATGTTGTGTTGAGCGTTGATCCTGTCGTGCTTCCCTCCATGAAGCTCGAGTACCCGAACGAGATAGTTGACCAAGCTGCCGAGGACGAGGACGGAGTAGCCAAGTTCTCGAAGTACTGGCTAATTACGAGGATCGCATATCCGCCTTGGCCAACGAGACCGAGCGTGATCCACCCGGAGAGGACGTTCTTGTGTAAGACCGTGCAGGATGAGGCGGAGTAGAAGAGCGCGCCGATGACGACCGCGAGGAAGAAGGGGGGGAGACCACACGAGTGATGACGATCACGCACCCATTTCAAGCCAATGTCTGTTGAGGTCATGAGCTACCGCGATGCAACCGACCAGATTCTCAAACAGTTGGGGCTATCAGCAACGCTCTTTGGATTACTGGACAGAGTTCGCGGCTCAACGGCATATAGGCATCATTGGCGGCACCAGTCATCCGAAACAAAGTTGGCGCCCCTACACCGCCCACCACTTCGATTCGCCTTCGCCCTGTAGATGCACCATACCCAGTCCTATGCCCGATGGGGCCTTCTTCCTAAGAGGTCGACCCTTTGTCGGCGACGGCATGCCAAGGTCGCCGCGGCTCGCAACAGGCGTGGGCGGAGTAACGCGCACCTCGACAGCGGCACCCTCGCCGTCCTCTGTGTCGACTTTGAAGATACGCGGGAGCGAGGGCGAGATGACCACGTTGAGCGTAGACACGGACGTGTTCCCGCAGTCTTTGTCGAGGTCGCGACCGGCCCGCGCAAGGGGCTTCGGAAAGCTGACGAGGTCTGCGGTGAGCCTGAGGCTGGGCGATGGCTTCCGGGACGGCGCGCGCCTCACGCGTCGTTGCGGCGTCTTGCTGAGAGGCGCGGGCTTTTCAGAGCTCGAGGGAAGATGGGGCGTAGCGGGGAAGCCAACTCGTCTCCGATGAAAAAGAAGAATCCCAGTAGCGGATAAGACGACAAGAACCAGTAGTGTTCCTATTACGATGCCAGCTATGGCGCCTGCACCATATGGCTGTAAGCCGTAAACTCACATTTGGGCGTAGTATGATGTGACGTACCGGGGGCGAGTTCGTGTTTGGAGCCTGACATTGTCTTGCTGCGGTAAGGATCTGAGACGATAAAGCTGTGGAACGTAGGGTACGATATTTTCTCTGCAGGTGGCTGACATGATAGAGGTGGCTGGCGGCTGCATGTTAGCTACGCAGGACGCATTGACGGCACAAGTAACAATGGCATGTGTCAGACTATGTTTGAGTCAAAGTGCACAGACATGGCAATTGTGCCGGAAGGCGTGCGCGAAGATGCATTGAATCGTCGATCCTGGCCAGTCCAGTTGGTACAACGGGTGAAGCTTGAAAGCTTGAAGCTTGATGTCCCGTAGAGCGTGTTCGTGGCCTGGTCAGCCGCGTGCATAATCTGTACATTCGGTGAGTTGTGCGCAGCGAGATACAGGTGTTGATGCGTAGCAGTTGCGTCCCTCTCCCAAGGCATCTCGGAGTCATACCACATCAGTCGCGGTCGTGGTTAAGGAGGAGAACTTGAAGTGGGAAAGCGCCCGGCCCATTAGTGCCACGCTCGTTCAGGCGCCTATTTACTGTAAACCAAGCATAGTATCAGTTCCTGATCAGTTCCCTGTCTATTCGTCTTGGGGGCATATACTTAGTGATATCGTCGCTCACTGGGCTGCACTCCGGCGAGTCTTGACTAGCTTGACTAGCGAAATTGATGGCAGCAGTACAAGTTGTGGCCAGGTTGTGGCAGTGTGTGGCTGGGCGTGCCGCATAAATAAGCGGCGGCGTCAGTACAGTGGCTGCACACTTCGATCCCTGGCCATGGACGACGTCTCTACCACGAACGCATGCCAAGGCAATACTTTTCGGAAATACCGAAGCTAGTGGAGCTTGTATACCATTGCCCCGAAGGAGACGACTCCATCAATAGTATCCAGCAAATGGGTTATACGAAGTTTGTCCGAACCTTGGTACATAAGTTACTTGGTCGACTCCTGTTGTGATTCACAACGTGGATATCTCTTTCGAAGCGAGTCTAGGTGAGCTTCCGTGTATGTTCAATGGCTGTCCACGATTACGATCCGTCTATGTACCGCAACACAACCAAAGGACACATCGAAGTCGCGCCCCGTGCTAATCGGGCGACTGAACTCACATTCCTTTTGACCATTCCGCCCTTGGTTACCGCCCCTCTCAACGAGGTCGTGTCTTTCTCGATCAAAGATGGGCATCTCAAAGGCGAGGAACCATAGCGCTCACCGCTCCATTCCCGGATCATGGAGTTGAGAGGCCCTCCGGCCTGACTTCATGGACATCACGCGAGTCCCCGGAAGCCGGAGTGATCACAATGAAGAGGTACTGCGGTTGCGGTTTAACTACCGCGTTAGACATGCAGATCATACGAAAGAAAGTTTGTGAGTTTTCAGGCCCGCTATAGATGTTCGTATACCGTCTTGGGCGGTCTACGCTCTAGCTTCCGCAAGGACGCCTGGGCCACACAGTTCAAGCACCATATCTCGTCCCTAGGGAAAATTGATCCTGAGCAGTGCGTCCTTCAGCTGTTGACTTCTCTCTGCAACATGACCCCTCGGTACTGAAGGATTGGCGAGATTTAGCAGGTAATATAATGAGTTGTAGATCCACACCGACATCCGAGTCTGTGGTTTTACGATCAGCTGAGTCTCGCTACATACATATACGTTCATATACTAAATTCTTCTACAGTAGGTGCCGAGGAGTGCATCATGACGGTGCCGCGAATCCACCGACGGCTACGAGGTCTTCCATTACGGTGGACGTCAGCCGTCGGAAGCGGACATTGCACTCTATTATCAGTGAAGAAGTTAACAGACAGACATGTAAGCGGGATGATGCCGCGAGCTATTTGTGGGTGATCGAAGCAACTTGAGGGTACTGCAGTACCAAATCGTACAGTGTCGCCGTGGACCGGGCTTCGTTGCGAAGTTTGTGGCGTCGGCGGCTGGGAGCAGTTGTGATGTAGCACCGGGATGATGAAGTACGACTATGGCATTGACTCGTACGTAATTTTCTTTGAGTACTAGTGCTTTTGACTGCTCATTCTTCCCATCAGTTTCATGAGCGTACGAAGAGAGGACTCAACAGGATGCAGCGGAAGTAGAACAACATATCATACCACGGTGGTATCACGCTTCACACAAGCGCAACAACGATCAGACGCTGTCGGCGTCTCTGTCAAGTCGAAGTTGCGTTCACATGGTGGACCACACTGTGCCCGTAGTACCGTCATTGTTTTGCGGCCTAATATCCGGAAAGGGGAATCTACGGTACTGTACTCACTGGCTTACCTTCACCATCGCCATTGACCCGATATCCCTTCAGCGCCACGCTCTCGGCCGGTACCGCGTGTTGGCAAATCGCACCAGTTCCTACTGCTGCTCTTCATTTCCTCGCTGCGTATGTTGCAGCGTTGACTAGGCCTATCGTGGAAACCGTTCATATCTTCGATAATCATGCTTGAAACAACCACTGGACCCACTGGTAGCTCCTCCCTCGCCACGATTTCGGACCACTCAATACAGCGCGGAGGCGTCAGGGCATGGAGCACTTTACGCAGGTTGACGAACAGGGGCGCGAGGAATCTGAGTCGGAGCCTGCCCAGAGAGCCTATGCCTTTTACCCCTCGCCTTTGGTGAGTGATTGCATATGCCTGACGCGCTAGCACTAAATTGTCTTTGTCGTCTTTGTTCACGTCCAGGGAGGGATCCCCCGGGGCTTCACAGGATGACGCTCAACCCAATGTCCCCACCATGACTGCTCAAAGCGCCGGACTGCCGCTCGAGCTGTGGTGGCAGATCATCGATCAACTTCAGTATGACTGGCTCACATTGCTCGCATGTGGGGTAGTCTGCCGAGGGTGGCGCGCTCGAGCCCAATCGTACCTACCGCAAGGCTACCGACGTACCGTGGAGCTCTACAGCCAAAGGGACGTAGCGAGTCTTTCGCGATTCGCTCGTGTCCGTAATCTGCAAGCACAGACCGTCCAGATTCATGGAAATCCCCACTCCGGCTCAATCGCGCATCTTGGGACGTTCGCAGCGATGCTCTCTGGGCGACTATGCCATCTTAACGAGCTGCATGTTATGTACGGTATCTGGGAGACGGGGACAGTGGACACGTGCACCCTCTTCCGATGTCTGTCCACGCATTCGGCCATCCGACATCTTCGTCTCTGTGGAGTCACATTGCCGTCCACTACAGCCCTCCTTCGTCTACTCTCTTCTCTTCCTAGACTCCGTTCTCTCGATTGCGTCGATATATCAACAACAGCAAAACACCACGGCGATCGAACATGCGTCTATCCGCCGCGGCGCTGCAAGATCGAGAAGTTTGTTTTAGACTGTCCTGACGTGGATAGCATCTTCGACCTCTTCGCGACGGACAGCCTCGCGGAATATAGCAGTACTGTTGAGGTTGGAATACACTCCGCCTATGATGCCGATGAGGGCCCGTCGATGAATTTTACGAGGTTCATCAAAAGCCTGACCTCGGTCTCTCGATTGACGATTGTAGTGCGCGATGCAGACATGTCCGACGATGAACCCCTAGGTGAGCGGAACTCAGACCTTCGCCATAATTTCTCAAGTACTCATGGAACACAGCGAGATGCCTGTACTTGGCACAGCATCACTGCGAAAGACTTGAATATATCAGCGTCCAAGCTGTTCCTCGTGCACGTCCGCTGCTGGAACTCACATTCATATGCGCCATCCTGTCCTTCGTGACTATCAACATAACCAAGCGATTCATCATGCTCGATATACAGCGCGGTTATTTACACAGCAGTGAGTCGTCTGCCTCCCTGTATTCGTCCTCTGAGTCGGCTAAGTGCCTCCGTGAAGGCCAGCAGATAGATCCCATGGACACTACGTCGTTCTCAGACGGGCAGCGGGGCGCTGATCAAGTGTTGATGATTAAGTACCAGGACCGCAAGGCCACCCGGCCTGCGATACTCCGGAGAGCATTTGTGACTCTCAGTATACCGTCGTGGGTGGCTCGCGCCCCAGGCTTCCGCGAAGATGCATGGATTCGACAGATTCGACAACATCTAGGTATTCTAGAGCGACGAAATGATTTGAAGTACGCGCTTTCTACTTATACACGCGATTGTCTGATAGCGAACTCACTGACACGCAATGTTCATAGCATTGGCGAGATATACCTGCGGTAAACGGGGATATGTGCTTTGCCCCGCTGTACCTGATGCAAGGCTACCATCGCATCGTGGCGCTCTGCAACCAGAGAGGAGTTGTGAGACGTTCCATTTCGCCTGCATTTGCGAGTTGTATATGCGTACAGTGCGAATCTCCCAAGTTTGCTACTCCTGGTGTGATATACGACTTGAAGGTCTCATCGGGTCAGCCGGACAGAGTCCTTGTTACCACAGACAGATGTTGCAAAACATTGATACGAACTGCTGCAAGTTATGCGTATAGTAAGGGCGCCGCACGCCGCACGGTCTGCCCCCATGCAGCCGGACAAGCCTACACCGCCCAGGTGCCCATATAATATTCCCGCAGAAGCCGTACGACGCTCGAGTCCATGTTCCCTCCAACATCATGACTGTGACTCATGATTCACGCGGCTCGATTCTTGTGACCGTGTTCACCTTGCTCCCGACCCGCCTGTTGGAACGATGTCCTTTCCACAGGTTTTGGGCTCAGTATAGTATCGTTATAGCGTGAAGCGTCAATCACTCGACTGCTACACCTCCGCGCGAGTGTTGTCATTTGAGGTGGCTCACATCCCCTCCATACCAGATGATTCACATGGACCTGGCTCGCATCGTGTCCGCTCCGTCTCCCGTAACTGGCGCTCAATCAGCTCTCCCTCCCATTCAGCCAAACGCTCGAGTTGCGGATGAGCCTCTACAGTATCCATTCGAATCCAGCGCCACCACATCGTCGACGATGTAGCAACGGCGAACGACAGACCGACATACTGCAGGGCGTGATTGCACGCGCTGGCGACGTCCCGCACGAGCGCGTCTGGGTCAATGGCGGTCGCGTGTTCCACCATTACACCGGGCCCAATGCGAAGACACAGACCGGTGAGTTTCAGCGGTCTGAATACCGAGACGAGGCTTATCTGACGGAGAGATGAGTAGAGAGTCAGACAGTCGTGACGCGGGACAAGAGCTAACCAGCCATGCCTCGCGCGGTGACTCCGGGACACCGTCGGCGATCCGCCACTTCACATGCAGCTCGAGGAAGCGCAGACTCGGAAGGAGCCGTGCGACGCTCCTCGCAGGCAAGCTCCACCCTGCGTGGCAAGAAAGGACGACCGGGTCCATGCGCTCGAGCATCGCGAGCGCGTTGTGCTGCAGGAAGGCGTTGAACTGGAGCTCGACGCGACGCACGGCACATGTGAGGGGAACCGGGGCGTCCGTGACGAGCTCGTCGAGTTGCGTGTCAGGCAAGTCGACGAGGGATGAGGAAAGCGGCGCAGCTTTGAAGCGGCAGGTGTGAAGGTGGAATGCGCGCAGGTTAGGGAGGATGTGCAGGATCTCGGACAAGTCGGCCCAGCCTCGCAGGGTGAGCTGACGCACCGAGGGTAGCACGAAATCAGGGTCAAGGTCATTTGTGAGGAAGACCGCGTCGTCAAGCTCCAGCGCTGCGAGCGTCTTCGCGACGCGTGTGAATGCCGAGAGATCGTGGTAGAGGGAGCTCTCTCGGACATACTGGTCATCGATAGAGACGGCGAGTGAACGTACCGCCCCGGATAGACGGGAGATGCATTCGAGACTAGCGGAGCCACATTTCTCGAGGGAGAGATGACGGAGACGTGGCCGACTTGCTAGTGCGTCCACCAAACGTGGCTCAGACGCCAGCAACGGGTCGGCACCTGCAATGTAGACCTCGTCCAGTCTGACGGCTTGCTGGACTACCTCCGCCAAGAGACCAGCCATTGAGTAGTCGACCATGTACGCCCGGCCACTCCTCGGATTCCCGACAGGACCTGCAATCTCGACTTCAATCCACGGAAACGCATCGCGTCGCAGGTCGAGCTTCCGGAGGAAGTCCACACGATTAGAAACGTCGGCCAGGACGAAGTTGCAGAATGAAGCGATCTGCGATTTGGGTCGACGATGAAAGTGTAAGCCCAACGTGACGTCTGAGAGGAAACGCGGGGTCGCATGGAAGTATGCAAGGCGGCAGGTACATGCCAATTTGCCTGCATCGGAAGGAGGTAGGAGCGAGAGTATGATATTCAGAACATCGTCATTGAGCACGCTGTATGGGTTCATACTGTGCACCTGCAATGATGTTCTGTCAGAGCAGCTCGTCAACAAATTCAAAAGTACGAGTAGTGATGGTATAGGTACCTTTCGTGGTGGATAGCACTGGCGAACTAGCCACAATGCACGCTCTGGGACTAGCGATTCTGTATGAGCGAGTAAGTAGCTCAATATCGCGGCAGTTTGGTATGCTCGTAGTATGCAGGCTCATGAGATGGGGGTCGCAGCGTAGCCTGAGACTTGGGGACGTCCGATGGGAAGGACGTATGCATATGTCGGACTTCCGTAACTTATGTCATGGTACAGTCCAACTCGCTCCCACCCGAGCGCCGGCAGCCGTGGCCTTCTCACGTGATCCGGGGGTCCGTATTAATGGAACGATTTTTTCCAAAGCTTCTGTCCGGTCTTCAAGTTACGCACTGACACTATTCACAGATTGCGAGAAGATAATAGAAGACGTCAAATACATTTCATTATGTGAGGTTTACGATGACGCAAGTACACGCAGGTACTGCTACTACTAGCATCGCCCCAGTCGTGCTGCTGAAAGCGCGGATCGTCCCCAACCTACGCGGTTCAATTGTTTCCGAAGCACGACGTTATCCAACATGAAAGCGTGGTCGCTGCTTTGAAGACACGGACGAGCTATCAGATACACGAGGACGCCAAGAACACGTACACAGCTGTTCATGAACGGCCCGTCCAACGGGACACTCGGATAATTCCAGTCTCAACCCACACACTGTATCAGGCCAGGTTCGCGTTAGTCTATCCAGCGGAGGCGAGAACACGTGTACAAGCACGTACAAGACCGGACGTATATCCCTCGTTTTCGCGAGCTGCCGCTCGACATGCTGCCTCCAGATGGCGTACGAGTCCCTCACCGGCCAGGTGTAGTCGAGCGAGACGATGACCACCAAGCGGTCACTTGCAAATTGCGGGTTGGACAGCAAATTGTCGAGCGCAGAGAGATCCAGGTCCTCCGTGAGGTCCTTCATGAGCCGGAGCTGAGGATTACTGGCCTCTGAGCGCGCGGCACTGCTCTTGAGAGGTACTAGGGAATCAGGGAGGGAAAGAGACATACCAGGCTTGTCTTCGACGACAAACTTGATGTCGATCTTGCGCAGATAACTGGATGTCATGCCAGCCAGTAGTGACACACTGCAGTCGCGGAACATAAGCTTGGAGTCCACGCTGTGGTATAGCACGAACTGTATCTCCTTCAACCTACTGCTCGCGGCAAGGCTGAGGGTGTGTGCTACCGAGATAAATCAGTCCAGCAGCAGGAAGCTCTTCAGAGGTAGACTTAGACTTACCGACACTCAAATTGTGGCTGTTCCTGTCACGGAGCTCGATCGTGAGCCTCTCAAGGGCTATAGCGTCTTCAAGGAAGATGGGATAGCCTGATGTATCTGACCACGGTTGCCACCCCTGCTCGGCCGCACTAACGACCAGTGTCGCTTGAGTGATCGCACGCGTAATGCAAGCACGAGCCAGAAATTCGATGACGTCGCCGACCTCAGAAGAATCCAATAAGAGCCAGCGTAGTTGCAGTGGCCGGCCATGCGGGAGACAGAGGTCCTGTCCTCGGCGCTTCTGGACAGTCTTCACGTCCACGATCGAGAGCCTCGCAAGATTTGGCAGCGCACAGACGAGCTTAGCAACAATGGTAGTCGACGGAAAGGTCACCCCGTGGAGGGTTAGTCTGGATAGCGCGATGCACATCGAGAAGCGGGCGAATGTTGGCGCGTCGACTGCACCCGGCATCCAAACGCCACTATGTACCTCCAGCTCGTCGATCCTACGTAGCTGTTTCGCCAAGGCGGCCGCGAACGTCTTGAGATGCGCCAGCGAGTGCGTCGGCCCGCTCCCCCTCACCACGACCGCGCGCCACTTGCGCTGCATCAGGACGGAAGGGTACTCCCACCCAAACACCCTTGCCACGCGCATCACGTCCGCACGCCCGGCGAGCTCCCATACGTCGTCGATCCGCGGGAGGCTCTTGCTCGCGTGGGAGTACCACGCCCGGCAGACGCACGCGCACGCGAAGAGCACACGCAGGTCGTCCTGGAACTCGTTCAGAACCCGCTCCCAGATGTCGATGGGCAACTCGCCGCGAGCGGTCGGTCGGACCGGCTTGGCGCCGCTCTTTCCCAGCTCTCGTTCGATTCTTGTGAGCCTCTTTCTGGGAGGTTGCGGGTCGCCTTTTAGAGGGAATGATACAACTGATGAGGTTGATTTCACGTACAGCCAGTCTGTTCGGGCGGGGGCGTCCGTACCAGCCTCTCTGTACATTGGATCCCAGGACTCGCGTCGGATTCCGATGATCGTCGAGGAAGTCGTAATCAACGAGCTCGAGGCTGTGGTCGTTGAGACCGTGTCAGACCTTCCCCTGGCATGCTTGTAGGACTTGGGTGAAGACATGGGCTGAACAAGCTTGGGAGGTGTCGTCGATGTTCACTGTACACCTTGGAATCTCCAGTCGACGCAAGTACAGGAGGAAAGTGGTGTTGGTTGGCAACCTGTGATCAAGTAAAAAACTTCTCGGAAACTGAGGCTGTCCGCCAAATCAAACCGCACAGTGCAGGAAGTGTACAGTGTACGAATCTGTAGATTGACAGGTACATACATTGCTCTGGCATCTGCTCGTGCCAATTTTACGCATGCCGGGAGCTGGATCGTCTCGCGTTGTACCATGTAGCAACACGTACCTCTGTTGCCACTGCCCAGTGCCAGGATGCTGAGCCCTTCAGGCAAACAAACGGTATTTATGGCAACGTACGCGAAGGCTCATATAATGGGCAACTATATGCTAGATCTCCATCCGGTAGGCAAAGGTGATTCGCAGAAGCGGATGGCCCCGCATGTGTATGTAAGGGGCGATACCAAAGCCAGAAAGCTCACGCATGCATCCACTCGACTGTCATTTCCGAGTACTTGTTGGCTTCTGTGAGCGAGAGCAGAAGGCGTACAGTACACGCGGTGACCGGCAAGTGACCGGCAGAAGCTTGAGAACGTAGACGGGACCCAGGACCCAGGTTGTACCCACCCGAGAAACAAGAAAGCCGGCAGTTCAGGCGGGCTTTGTGAGGCCTTCGTGCGGATCGAGTTCATGCAGATCATGGTTGCTGAGATCAAGCTCGTTGGCCGGAGCGATCTTGGTGTCGCTGTACGAGTGAGGACGACCGCGATCACATCGGTCGAGTATTGTGCCTAAGTCGGTCTTGAGGCCGTTGGACGCGGTGTACAGACTGGGATCGACAGCGAGCACGAGGCGGATCGAGACGAGATGAAGGGGGCGGCCGCGAGATGGGCGGAGATCAATGAACAAGACAAGCGTCGGAGGTCGATATACATATCCCGCTGGCTGGCTGCCCGTTCTTGCCTCCTCAGCCCGTCCTTGCTGCCCCTCTGTGCTCTGTCGCCGTGCCGCTCGACGAGGAGGGTGTCGGACGCGATGTCGGACGCTGTTAGAGCGTCGCGGAGCTTCCGATGACACGACCCTGCATGACCTTCCTGCTTGGTCTCCCAATTGGGGACGGCCGCTCCTCCCTCCTTCTCACTCTCTCGCGTCTCCTCGCTGTCATCGCCGTCGTGCTCGACAGCGCCCGCGATGCTGCTTACTATTCAGCGATATCCCAAAACAGGTGTGTCCAGCGCTGCCCCACACACACGACCGCTGATATGCCTGTCTCCCATTGCCACCCAAGTCCCTCTGGATGTGCTACTCATCCGCTCGCCCAACGTTATGCGCCGTTTCACCCACGTCAAGCTTCTCGACCTTAACCACGATGTCCTCGACACCATCGTCTCCTTCGTCGCACCCACGGACGCCATGCAGCTCGCCCTCACCTGCCGCGACGCTTACGATGTAGCCATGCCTCGCTTCCTCTCCGAAGTCGTCCTCGGCGGCACCTCCGTCATGGACGGCCCCGAGCAGATCACTCTCTTCTGCAGGTGAGCCTGCCGTTGCCGTTCATTACCTCGATCGCGCTCGCTCTTCTCTTCTTCATATCTGCTATTTGCAACCTCCTTGCCGTCAACCGAAGCGGCAGTGACATCCACTCTCCACATCGGGTCGCAAGCGGTCGTACCGGCTGCTCCATCCTTCCACGCCTCGTTCGCCACCGTAGAGATGCCATGCATGACGGTGTCGGTCGAGGCGTGGCGATCGAAGGGTGCTTGTGATGTACGAGAGCCTTGCTCCCGGGCCTCGCCACAGGCTCGTTTGCGGAGCCTCTCTCAAGTTTTGCTTTATCTCAGCCTCTCCCTGCGCGAAATGTATCTGGGAGGGGCCACCCTTTGGCTTGGGGACGCGGGCGGTGCTGACTGACGCGCATCCGTGGTTGCATCCGATACACTCGGAGCAGCATCTGACATAGTGGGTCAGCTGAAGCGAGCAGACCTCGATAAAGTTCCGTGATAGTGCGCAGAAGGGATTGTCTGCTTCTCGCGCGCGCCTTACGTTATGCCGGAGGCGGTCTATGGCCGACTCGCGACCACCTTCGGCACCCGGGCTGGTGCGGGATGCAGCAACGAGCTCTAGTGCTGACGGCTGCGGGTTTGTCGCATCGTTCTACACCACGTCCTCAGCGATCTGTGTGTGCTTTCCAGCAGACACAAACCAGCGATCAGAGGCTACTCTCCTACCCGAGAGCACACAGGCGCCCCGTTTGACATAGTATGTCAGCTGGGGCACAACCAGGGTACACCGGCTGCCGCACCATGGCCACAGCAGTCCCCATGCGTCAGCGCAGACGCGCCGTGCACATGGCACGAACCACACGATACGCCATTGCAATTCCCCCAACCGTGCAAGTGCCGTAGCTGACACTCCGACCCCAGGTATATGCTAGAGGACCCACAAAACCGCATACGCCATCTACGTGTGCTCGAGATCGTGGAGGGCGCGTTCGTGAGCGCGGAAGGCGAAGGCGGCGGCGCGTGGGTCGCCGACTTCAGCTGCGCGGCGATCCTCGCCGACATGCTCCGCAAGGCGACGAACCTCCGCAAGCTCGCCATCCGCGACCTCGAGCCGCTGCTTCAGCACGAGCCCGCCATCGCCGATGCGATGTCACACCTCACGCGCCTGCAGGACCTCAGCTTCTACCTCGTCGGCAAGTGCACGCTCGAGATGCTCGGGCGCACCAAGTGCCACCCATACCGCCTCGAATTCGGCATGTGGAAGGATGGCCCGCGCGTCGCGGGCGACACCAAGGCGTTCGACGAATACGCGTCTTCACTCCACACTGTTAATCTCTGGCAGGTTGCGTGCCTCCTCGAGAGCTTCGGGCCCGACTACGTCGGCGAGGGCGTGCGCGTGCTCGGGCTCGGCGGGCGGGTGCCGCTGCTGTCCACGATCTGCCGCGAGTTCCCGAACGTGCGGACGATCACGTTCGCGCCCGAGTGCTCCGTCAAGGAGGAGGCGCCGACGGCGAACTGGACGAGTCTCGACCACGTCGACACGAGCTCGCCGCTGCCGTTCTTTTCGTGCAACGTCCGCCGGCTCGACCTCCGCTACGTTCTCGGCGTGGTGCAGACGCGCCTCAGCCGGATGCAAGTGATCGACCGGACGGTGAAGTTGCTCACGCAGACGAAGCCCGTCGTGCTGTCGTGCAAGATCAAAGAAGAGCAGGGTGACACAATCGTCGAGCGGCTCGTGCCCGTCATCTCGCAGGTGCGCTTTCTCGAGGTCGCGTACACCCCGCCACAGCGCGAAGTCGGCCATCATGAAGTGTTCGCGCCGTTGCAGCACGTGAATGACTGGACGGTGAGTCCGGTGCGATGTGGTCGTTCTTGACACGGAGTCGAGTCTGACTTCTCGCAGGGCGAGTTCTTCCGGCGCTTCGAGAAAGTCCCGCTCGTCGGCCTGTCCTTGTCGTACAGCACCGACCCTGTCAGCTTCAATTATACCAGCGTCAAAGAGACGGCTCGTCTGGCGACGATGCACATCCCAACGCTCCAGTTCGTCAGCGTCGGTGTCGCTCCAAAGCGTGACGGGCTTTCTGTGCCGACGCCCATGTACTTCCGTGTGCAATTGTGCGGCAAGGGGGAGTTGTTGCTTGACCAGCTTGAGAGTGGTCGCGGCAAGCGATTCCGTGACGAGCTGCGTTTACTCCCGCGTCCTACCTGTGCTTGACATGTGAGTCATTGTGTTTGGCTCGCTGTGGCGGCTGACCTTGCCTCCAGACTACGATACCGGAGAATATATACACGCTCTCCACCATAAGAGCCTCTCTAAGGAGGCTGATACGGTTGCTTATGTCTTGGATAACACAGCTTAGCGACGTCGCCTTGCTATCTTATCCCTCAATATCCCTGCTTTTGTATGCTGCTCGAGGATGCGTAATCCGATGTACTGTATCTGCACATCCACCCGCTCTGGCTGTCTCGCTTTGTTTGTATCTTGTACTAGGCTGCATGTTGTCTTGTTGTCTGAATCTATGCGCTATGTATGGATGATAGCATTGTTTAGATGCTCGTAACCCCAATATACTTGTGGTCGATGCGCGCGGACTTGACGTGGAAGTCGAGTACATATCGATGCTTCCCCCCAGCATTCCTGCGATCTCTCGTGATCAGCGCTATCATATACGGAGAATGGTTTTAGTAAGTTGATTATAATCACCCATCTGTCGCATCCACGATCGTAGACAGATCCTCAGGCGTATATCCTGCCCCTGCCATGTTCACGTATCCGTAGAGTACTTGCCACTGCGTACAAGTAACCTACTTGTCAAAGTGCCACTAGGCTCAGCTTCCAGTGGCGTACCGTATCGGCGGCTGTGGCGGTCCGGCGCGCGCGACGTTGCACGTGGCGGAGTCAGTGCGCGAGGGAACACAAACACAGGACAAACAAACGCTCCCTTCGCTCATCGTCGACGACGACGCCCTCGACGTCCAGCACGATGCCCGCCCCCTTCTCCAGCCCGCATGTTGTGCCGGTGCCCCTCCCCGCGCTCTACCTCTACCCTTTGAACGATTCATTTGTCCCCAAACACATATCGCTCGTCAGCAACCAGCGCGTCAAGATCGGTCGCCAGACGAACGCGAAGACCGTACCCGCTGAACGGAATGGATTCTTTGACTCGAAGGTACTCAGTAGGCAGCACGCGGAGGTCTGGGAGGAGGGTGGAAAGGTACGTTGTGAGGCACGCTGCGCGTCGGGAATAATCTCACCAATTTCACCACACCCCCGGCCGCGTGTAGATCTACATCAAGGATGTCAAGAGTTCTAATGGAACTTTCATCAACGGCGAGAGACTCAGTCCTGAAGGACTCGAATCCGAGCCGTTTGAATTGAAGTCGGAAGATATCGTCGTACGTATCGTTCGACAACCGCATTTCTCCCTCGTGCTGAACCGCCACGCTACTCATCAGGAATTCGGTATCGACATTGTCGGCGAGGATAACAAGACAATCGTCCACCACAAAGTCGCCGCGCGCGTCCTCTGCGTATTTGGGGAGCAAGATGCACAAGCCGCCGCACGGGCAGAGGCGCAGCAGAACCCGCCTAGCTACGGCACCGTCGCGGGGCAGGCACCCGCGGGCAGCGGATTTAACTTTGCGGGCCAACAACAGCCCTCCGCGAACGGCGTTCCGGGACAACAGCGCCGCCCCTCCATGCCCCAGGGTCTCGTAGGCATGGGTGGCATGGGCGGGAACGTGCGCCCGCCGGGCAAGAGTGGCCTTACGTTCGATCATATCCTCACCCGCCTGCAAGGCGAGCTCCAGAAGAGTCGCGATACCGGCTCTGAGCTTCACTCGTTGACTAGTGCTATGAATGAGATCCATGATACGCTCGGAGGCAACCTGGTATGTTCTGTGATCATTCCATAGGCTGTTGACCGATGTCATTCCGCTCAGCCGCCTAATCTCCCTCCTTACCCATCGGTCCTTCCCCCCGTCATGCCGCCTCAATCGCAGGCACCACCCGAGCCGTCGCAGCAGCAATTGCAGGACGCGAATGCTCTGAATGAGCTCCAAAGCCAACTACGCGAGACGCAGATGTCGCTCGCCACGCACGTCGAAAAGATTCGCACGCTCGAAGACATGCTCGCCGAGCAGGACGCGATCAAGCGGGAGGTCAATACGATGCGCGAACTGATGGAGGAGCGGAGGAGGGAGGTCGAAGTGCTGCGGAGCCTCAGCGTCCGGAACTGGCGGCACGACCAAGGTTCGGACGACCACTATATGTCTGACGACGACGATGCACGGAGCATCAACACCATCGTTCCGCATGAGCTGGAAAGAGTGGACGAAGAGGACGAGGAGCAGCTGGCTGCGGAGGAGGACGTCGAGCGAAGACGGAGGCGAGACGAGCTTGGCCGACCGAGGACGCCAGAGCCGACGGGCATGGGGATGGCCGAGGATGAGGAGGAGCAAGAACTGCGCGACCGTCAGAGGGCCGCAGAACGATCTCGCTCGCCGTCGCCGTCGCCGCCACCCGCGCCCCTCATCGCCGCTGCACCTGCACCATCGGCGGCTCCCTCGATCCCTGACGAGCTTCTCGAGCGAATGAATACCTTATCGAAGCAGCTCGAAACCGCACTTGAGTTCTCGCGCTCCCTCGAAGCGCAACACACGATGGCCCAATCAACCATCCACATACTCGAGTCCAAAGTCGCGTCGTTGGAGAACCTTGTGCACGACACGCAGACCCAGGTACAGACCCAGGCAGAGACCACTCAGCAGCTCGCAGAAGTCGTGAAGGCCGTTGAAGTATCGTCCCAAGGACCTCCGCCCTCATCTGACGACGACCGCATGCACGAGCGCGAGTCATTGACTGAGATCGTCAACGAGTGGAAGAAGAGTGTCGAGGGTCGGTGGACCGGTGTACAGGAGGAATGGACGGAGGAACGTGAGCGGCTGCGTCGTGCGCGAGATGAATGGGAGAGTCGAATGCGCGGGCTGGAGGACGGCGTTGGCAACGCGGTCTCGAAGCTCGAGTCCGGCCTGTCTGTCCTATCGGCGTTCCAGGGTCAGCAACGCCAGCAGCTACCGAATGGTAGCTTTAAACACAGTGGTGGACTGGTCACGCCTCCCAGCCCGAGAAGCCTGTCGGCGGAATCGACGAGGCCACGGCAGCGAAAGAAGCGGACGAGTGCGTCGCGTGGGCGCACTCGATCGCGGTCGACGTCGACGGGCGGGAGCCAGGACCAGCAACCGGGCTCGTCGGCGTCATCGGTTTCCGATGCTGGTTCGTTTCCCGACTCTACGGGCCGTGCATCGTGGGCCGTGTCAGACGCCTCGAGCGCGACTGACATGGAGACGCACCATCTCGCGGAGATGGCTGCCAAGTATGCACTCGGAAAGGACAAGAGCGCGCAAGTCATTCAGGGTATGCCCTTCCCTCTCACGCCGGAGTCGTCGGTGTTGAACCACACATTGAACCACTCTGACTCTTCCTCTGGCACGGCAACAGACTCGCGAACGGATACGACGACGGAGGAGCCACCTAAAGACCTCGTGAGTGCCATCCCCGGATGCTACCCAGACCAGCCTCTAATGTCGGAACGCGGACGCGAACAGCCTCATTTCACCAACTTCTCCACGGCGTTCGGCGTTCTGGTTCTTAGTGCGGCAGCGGCCGCGGTTCTTTGGCGAGTCAAACCGGAAGGGACAGTTTAGAAGCATTCGAACGTTGTCGCAGCGGCATGCAGTCCGCAAAAGCCTGCAATTCCCGGAGGCGGTCATTCTCACTCTTACTCAGACGTATGCACTCGTAATGATTACCCTTTCTTCTTTGCCCGCCTGCCTCCTCGATGTCTCGTTCATGTTTATGACTCGGATTTTGCCACTTCGTTCCTCTCGTCGCTTGTCCCTACATATTGACGGAACCGCCACTCGTTGCCGCCCGCTTTCTGTGCATGTATATACTCGATCCATGTCTGTCCTCATTGTCTATTTAATCACGACTCGTCATGACCCAAGACCATGTCTCGTTGCGTTTTGTTCGCTGTGGGATCGGTGAAGGGCTACTCCAGATCGCACGTGGTGTGGATAGGACTACATGTTTACCCGGGTATAACTTAGTACGTTGTGAACCTTCTCACCACGACACACTCTACGCTCGACGATATCTGTGCTCACCAGCGCCCTTGATGTATGTTGTACAGGCCCAGTTATATCCGCGACTGTTCAGCGCCATCGAAGACCGCAGAAATCTGCCCACCGATATGGAAATAATGGAACGACGCGTGAGGCGACGGTACGCTCTATACATACGTGGACTCAGCGCGCTCCAAGCGCGCTCTGTTACTTATTTGTCGTCTTGTCACGCATTCGTCTCCTCTGGTTCTCGTTCTCAAGAGATTCTGTCGGTGCTCAATCCAGAAATACGCGATATACTCGTTGGGGACGTGCGTTCATCTCGTGTTGGGTTGCACGCGACCATAAAAGTAGTGAGTGCTACCTCTCGCATTCGGGGCGCTTCGGTGCTGCTCCAACCCTACAACCTACCGACCTCTGCTCGGTGAGGCTTTGAAAGCTGCTTTACTCACACCTCCATAGGCGGAACTCGGAAATTTGCTTGTTCGAGGACCCACACTTCATCCATAGCCCCCGGGTCATTGTGTCGCCGCGTCTTCAGCGAGGGCCCTCATTGAATTGTGCGTATCTTAGATTGATGCGTAACATTTGCTAATCGTCATATGGCACACTTGTAGTTCATTACTAGACGAACATGAACCTGCTCTCGCTAGACCTTGACGTCGTTCACGTCATTCTATCTGAGATCAAGCCCACGGACGCCTTCAGGCTTGCGTTGACATGTCGCGCGGCACACGATGTAGCATATCCGCGTTTCCTGTCCGAGGTCGTCCTGGGTCACCCATGGCGGCGGACAGGCCCCGACCGTCTCGTCCAGTTCTGTACAGCCATGCTCGCCGATGCGTCCCTGCGTATTCTTCATCTTCGCGAGTTGATCATCCACAAAACGGCCTTCCAGCCGACGCGCTCCACATCGACTCATAGCGTTCTGGATTCCGCAGCCATGGCATTCCTCGCGGAAGTGCTCAAGTACGCTGTCAATCTCCGATCGATATGCATCCATGACACGGAGGAGCTCCTCGAGACAATGCCCGAGTTTCGCTGGCCGCTTGCGTCGCTGCCGAACCTCCAGGACGTCCGGTTCTTGCACGCAGGAACCCGTGCCCTCGACGTGCTCGTTTCGTTCGGCAGCCAGCCCCGCCGGTTGGAAATTGACTTCTCGGGGCTGCCCACAGACATGGACGCCCCTCCGCCTTACAAGCACGAAGTCCTGCAGAATCTCATGCGGAACCTCGTCAGCATGAAGCTATCTCGCGTCGCAGGGATGACGTTGGCGATACCCGCGGAGCACGTCTGGCCGAAGGTGGAGCAATTCGAGATCTTCGGGGACCTCCAGAGCCTCCAAACCTTCGCCAGCGTCTTCCCTAACCTGCGCCGCCTGAGCTTGGTATCTAGCTACGTCGAAGACGGGTTGCACCCGGTGTCTTGGCCATACCTCGACCACGTCTCGACGTCCTGCCCGATCCCGCTTGATGGGCCCGTGCGGAGGATGGAGCTCATGTACGACCTCGACGTGCTCTTGGACTCGATGCCGTATTCGGTGTGGGCGCCTGGGACCATGTCTCTACTTCAGAAGACGATGCCGGTCGTGCTCGCGTGCTCCCCAAACATGCAGATCCTGCGCTGGATCGCAAACATAGTCAAGAGCGTGCGGGTCCTCCAGGTATATGTTTTTCAGCCGATCCACCCGGACAACGCGGGCATAGAGGACGTGGATACTTGGTTGGTATGTCACGTCCGTTCTGACGGCGGAGATCTCGGTTGCTGATGTCGCTACGCTTGTGCTTGTAGAAGTGTTACGTACCGATACTATCCGCCGTCCCGCTGGTAGCGTTCACCATCGCGCGCGGGCTCAGCAAGGCTGTCCCCGCAGCAGAGCTATCTAGGCTCGCTAGCTTCGCGGCCGCACAAATACCGACATTGAAATACGTCGGGTTCAACCTGACGGCGGCATGGAAGAGCCAGTCCGAGTGGAGCAACTGCGAGTACTCCTGGTACCGCGTCATGCGAACCGAAGCAGCAGATGCAAGCACGAATCCTGCTGTGGTCGCCCTGTCGGACCTAGAGGGCTCTGTGGTGCACCATCGTCTAGTAGAGACTGAGCGTACGTGTTCTTGATGTCTGTCTTGTGTCTGTTTTTCTTGCGTCTTCTGTCGATATCGTATAATCGCTCATACCAGAGAGTAATTCTTTCTTTGTAATTCAGCTTCGTAGACACGGTATAATGTCCGACACGTCGCTCGTATTTCGGATAGTCTGCCGTCCTCGTCGGCCGTCCATTCGGTCTCATTGTTTCCAGACTGAGGATGTAACTGACCGAGGTCAGGTACTTCCAACAAGCCGTACACGTCCGAGTTTACAAACGGCCGACAATGTGACTCCTTCTCGAAAGATTTGACAATGAGAGAGTCCTGTCCCCGCTCTGCTCTCCGGCCGCCACTTGCGTACATGTTGTTCCGCACCGTTATCAACCAATGAAGCTTCGAGATCAGTACTACCAGTGGCGAGGATAAGCCTAGATAAGCAAGCCAGAAGCAAGCCGCAGAAGCTTGGCAGAAGCCAGTCTTGCCAGTGATCGCAATAAACGTCACGATCGCGGTCGACGTCGAGTCGATCCAGAGTCGATCTACGGGCAACGATTCTTCCGCTGCTATAACATTTTGAATTTGTCTCGTATAGTACAGTACAACGACGGTAGAGCCTGGACTCCATGGGCTGTCATTCCCGCCGGCGGCTGCTCCCTGAACTACAATGATCAGGCAGCGACGGCATCTTCGTTCCTGAGGTCAGCGGCAGGTGCCCCGAGATGTCCGGAAACCGTGACAAGACAACGCAATAGTCAAGTACATCTCTGTAAGCTGAGCAACATGTGGTCGAACATTTCTGAATACATTCAGCGGGGAAACCTTCCTCTGCGTGATGCTTCCCAGTCTCGCTTGCAACCAAGTGGCTCCTTCCCCGCGTCAGTCTATCATATACACCACCGCTTCGTCTTCGTCAATCCACGCATCATTATCGTCCTCGACCGTCGCCTCCTCGAGAAGCACCATTACGAAATCAGCATCTCGTCCTTCTCGATAACGGTCGTCCAGGTGCGCCACATCACTGTGAGAAGTCAAAGCAGTCAGCCAAGATGCTTCCAGACCGCCGGCGAGAACAGGTACAATCGAGCAACTGTATCGAACGAGTCTTCGGGCAGCTAGGTGTGAACGAACGGGAAGCGAAGAGGAGAGAACCGCCCTTGGGCCAGGCACGCAACGCCACCGACGCTGCGCAAGTTCAACCGTCGGCACGCCCTGGGCGCGGGGGCTCCAGATCGAGAGGGCCGACGGTCCAGGAGGAGATACGCGGCCCCGATGGCATCGCAGAGCCTGTGCTCGGAATGAGCCACCGGGCCCTCTGCGCGCACCGTCGCACTGTATCATCGCGCAAAGGTTTGCCCTAGACCAGAGACGGAGGCGTCAGCCCCTGCGCCGCCCAGTCGCGCTGCCGGCTGGTCACTGCTATCAGCGAGAACGGGAGCGGGTGCAATCCGACTGGGCTTGGTCTGTCAGCGATGCGAGTCTGCAATCCGAAGGACATTCGCGGCGAGAGGGATGTGCGAGCGCCCGTTTGCGTCTGTGGCGTCCGGCGGTAGTGTCGAACTCCACATGCCTCTCGACGTCTAGCCTGAACCCGGCGGGAGAGGGATATACGCTCCCATGCCAAGGGAGAGCGTCCGCATGCAGGTCTGACGATATGCGCCGCTCACGAAGGCAGGGCCGATTCGGTCGATGTCGAATGACGGCTGGCGGATTGCAGGCATGGAGTAGTGACGCAGCATACGGAGGATGCATACAGACGGCAGAAGCCAAACGGCCGACGCAGGAGCTACAAGGACAGACAACACGGGGTCTAGATGAGAACGCCCAAACGGAGACCAAAACGAACGACGAACGGAGCGTAACCAAATATCCCAACCAGACAGATCCAGTACCAGATGAAGCACGGCGTGCAGAGATGTGCAGAGTCCAAGACGGAACCCATGAGGGAGTGCACAGCGGAGAGCAGGGAGCTGGAAGCGAGTGAGGAACGAGGAGACGACGCAGAGTCACCCCCCCTCGTCCTCGTCGCTGTACTCATATGCCTCCAACGAGAAGTCCCCCTCGCTCCCAGCCTCGCTCCCGCTCCCGCTCCCACTAAACTCACGCTCCTCCCATTCAAGATCAAAGAAAGACACATACTCCCTGTCCTCGTGCAGCGTCGGCAGCGTCATCGTGCGCGCGCGGGGCTTCCAGGACGCGCTCGAGTTTGCATGAGCGTGCGCACCGAGACTTGCGTGCGAAGTCGGGCTTGTCGGTGAGAGCTGGAGCGAGGCGAGGTGCTCGCTCAGGTCGTCTTCCTCCGGCGGGAACACCGCCACGGACACCCCGTGCGCCTTGTCCTCCTCGAAGTCGACCGGCCCACCCCCATGCGCGAACTCGTGCGGGAGCCGCGGGACAGGCGGTATTGGCCACGCAGATGTCGGCGTAGTCGGCATCGCTGTGCTTGCACTGCTCGCGGACGAGACAGACGTGAACGACGAGTACGACTGCCTTTGGGACGAGGCGATTGTATGGGGGAGAGAAGTGGCAGAGGAGGCGGCGAGGCTGCCGTCGTGGCTATACAGGCTCGAGGGCGGGCTGCTCGCAAGGGTGGACGTGGAGGGCGAAGACGGAAGGGAGGACGAGCGTGCTGGACGCGGTGGGCGGATCAGGGTCGGAGAGGTGGGCGGAGAGGCATACAAAGATGAAGACGCGGGCGAACTAAAAGGCGAGCTAGAATACACCGATGCTGGAAACGAGTGGTGCGCGTTCTGAGGCAGGGGCGGGACGGGCGGGACGGGCATGGCAGGCGGGGGGCGGGGCAAGAGGTGGGAATGGCGTCCGCCATGTACAGAGCTGCGTCTCGGACTCGGACTGGGACTGAGCGAGTTCGCGTGGAGGTGCTTGACGTCGAGCGTGAGCGGCGTGCCCACCCGTCTCTGGCGCAGCGCCTGCGCAGACAGCCCCGAGGGCCCTATCTGCCGGCTCGCGAGTCATTCGCGCCGCTCCCCGCCGTCCCCGCCACCCTCTCCTTCACGATGCTCGTGCCCGCCGCCCCCAGTCGACCCGTGCAGCGTCTGCTCCCCGCTGCGCGACGAGATCGCGGAGAGCTCGCCCCCGCTGTGCACGGACCCGATCCCGCTCTCCATCGACGCGCGCTCGATCCCCCTCGCGCCCCGGATGTCCAGGTCGACCACGCCGTCGTCCTCGTTCCGCGCGGGGGAGACACCCGGCGCGCGGCTCCGGCTCCGGCTGACCTTCTTCCAGATCTTCTTGAGCCCCTCGGACTGCGAGGACCGGTCCTTGGACGCGCTGCGCGAGCGCGAGCGGAAGATGTTGCCGACGCCGCCGCGCCCCGTGGACTCGGCGTGGTGGGGAGAGAGCGGGCTTGAGGGCGAGTCGGGCGGAGGGGAGCTCATCGCTGTGATGTTTGCAAGGCCGCCGCGGCCGGTCGAGTGCCTGTTGAGCGTGTCAGTCGATGATCACAGTTATAGGATCACAAGCACCCACCTGCCCTCGGGGCTGGTCGCGCGCGCACGACCCATCTCCACATCATCGAGCGCGCCGATCCTCTCCGCGTCCTCCGGCGAGCCGGGGTACAGGTTCCCCGCGCCGCCGCGGCCGGACGAGTGCACAGGCGCGACGGACGCGGAGCGCGAGCGCGAGCGGAAGCGCGATCCCGACCGGCTCTTGGACGTTTTGGGTGACTTTGGATTCGTCCCCGCTGCGTTGCCTGCGCCGCCACGGCCGTACGTGCGCTGCTCGTCGTCAGTATCTCAGTGAAGTGAGTGGGGAGGAAGGGGACGTACGCGGGCGTTGCGGGAAGCCTCTTGGCGGGCGGCGACAACCCTGCGCTCGTATTCCGCCGCGGCCTCTGCCTGGTCGGTGACGAGCGAGGCGGTGAACGAGTGCTGGCCGTCGCCCGAGAGATGGTTCGCGGCGCGCGCGATGGACGTGGAGCGGATGTTCCCAGCACCACCGCGCCCGGTAGACTTGGCCTGCAAAATTTGGACCGAGTCAGCTACCAGGAAAGTAGGTGTGCAGCTCCGAGGACTGACCGAGTCGGGGTTGATGGCTGGGGGCTCGCGCCCGCGAGTCAAGGAGAGGTCGTCGTGGTCGGGCCTGCCAGTAGGTGAGGAGGGGCTGGCGGGCGGACGAGTGAGGTCATCTTTGGATGCACGCCTGATGTTGCCCACTCCGCCGCGCCCGGAAGAGTACTGCAAGTGCGATGTAAGTTGTGTGACGGATTTTCGGGGGAATAGACGTACAAATTCACGGCCGCGGGAGACCGAGCGGTCGGTCGAGCGTGCGGTCGAGCCTGACGAGCGCGAGGTGTGGGATGCGATGCTGGCTGTGTCTGCCATGGCGAAGTTAGGTGAGGAATAGAAAAAGAGCAGAAGTGCTAAATAGAGAGGGAGAGTCGGTAACCGGGAGGACGAAGCCCGTGATAGGGGTGAGGAAAGCGAGAGACGGCGCCCTGAAGCTTGAAGAGGGAGGAGAGGCTGGCCATGGACGGCATGGCTGCCCTGGTGTGCAGCGCGAAAACAGTTTTGGGTCGCGCGCGCATGATCCAATCCACGGACTCCAACGCGCTGCGAGCGCGCGCCTTATCGCAGCGACGCAGATAACGCCTTCTCGTTCGGGCTACCAGTGGGCTGCCCGCCACAGATAGTGTGCCGCGAGGCTACTCACCTCTTCCGTAGCCCCGACGCAGTGATTCCACCCCGTCCAGGATCGACTCGTAGTCGTCGCCGTACGCGCCGCCCGCCGCCGTCTCCGCCGCCCGGAGGCCGAGCCGCCCCGCCACCTCCGACGCCCGGCGCTTCCAGGACCCTCGGCGAGCTCCGGGCGGCCTCCCATGGTCGTCCATGTATTTGAGTCGGATGTTGTGAGTGAAATGTTGCACGTCGTCGAGTGCGCTGATGGCAGCGGCGACAGAGGGAGCAGGGAAAAGTCGCGCGGTGCGCTGGCCGACGCGTGCATTTGAGGACCCGTCCTTGCGCCATCGCCCGCCGTGCCTGCGTCATGAGACGGGCAAGCGAGCCTGCGTGCCCGTCACGTTCGTGGACTGCCCAGTCGCAGCCAGGTGCTCGCCCTGGCTCATCCTTCCTCCTCGCGACTCGCCATTCAGTCTTCTGCCCCATCCCGCACACGTGGAGGCTCCCGGACGCGTCCACCAAGTCTAAAGCTTTTTTCGAGAGCACCGCGCCAGTGCCTCGCGCGGCCAGCCCTCGGACCTTCCACCGCCTGCAGGCCACGGGGACGCATGGCACGACAGAACACGCTCGCACCGGCGAATGACGACTTTGCGCTCGCCATCCAGCTGCTGGGACGGGTGCCAATACGGGCGACTTCTGCTGATCCGGTGGGGGCTCTCCAGCAGCAGGCATCCTCTATTTGTCGAGGCCGGAACGTAGTGATGGTCAGAGGCGGAGTTGCAGAGCGCCTGCGTGTGCACTTCGCCGTCGCATGTGCGTTCTAGAAACAACACAATTATTGACGCGAATATGCATATGCAATTTGCACTCTCTCTCTATGTGTGCACCCTGCCTGCGGTCAACGCTGCTAAACACGCCGCTATCCTGACACCAGACTTGCCACACACTTTTCTGGCTACCCACCGCTTCACACCATTTTCATCTCCTTTTCGCGCCATAGCACTCCGTCGCGGATTGCGGAGGCCTATTAAAGCACGAGACCTCAGCCTTGTTGTGAGATCGATGTTATCCTCACGCACACCCATCCACTCCCCGCTTGCCGTTTCATCTCACGCCGCCGGTCCCCTCTCACCACAGCCCAGCTCGCAAGATCGCGTCAGGCGAAGTCGACATGAGTCGGATGCCCTACGTGCTCAGCCCTGCAACTGCACGCCTCGCTGGTCGGACACCTCGCCCGAATCCGATTCTCCTCGCGTCGACGCCGCGGAACAGGGTGTCGTCGCCGATGCGACCTGCGCGCGCTGTTTCGTTTGAAGCTCTCCGTGGGCATTCTCAGTGCAACACAGTCCTCCCGACACGCCGCCGCTGGCTCACATTGTGGATCGACGACGGCCTGTCTGACTTTGCTATGTAGCCGATCACACGACGATATTTGCCTACGCTCTTCAAATTTGCATCTCGAGACAGCGCGACTTTGGATACCACCGCTAGATACACGATGTTGTACCCGATAGGACTTACACGACGCTGTCAGAGGGCTCGTCATCGTTCCATGTGCCTCTGAGAATCTCCACCCGTGCCGACGCCTCGATAACTACTGACAAGTTGTACCGAAGGTGCTGTACAAAAAAAGCCATACATTCGTCTGTTATCGCACCGCTCGCTCGTTCGCTCATCTCCAGGTCTGTCGCACGAATTGCAAGACAACAGGACAGCAATCCAATCGGTGTGTACTGTCTACTCCATCATGCGGCACCGTACAGCTCATCACCTCAGGTCTCCGTTGCGCCTCCGAGTCATGATCGTCGTTCGTGACCTCCAAGGCCCGTCGAATCGTCCCAACTTTCTGTCACACATCGCCCTTCACGTTGACCCTCCCATTCCGCTCGGGTCCGGCTCCACGTCGAGGCTGCTGCCCTAGGTACGACTTGCGGCGACCGGAGTCGGATCCGGGGCCGACTACCCTCTGCCGATTTCCAGGCGTCGGCGGTCTGTGCACCGTACGCGGACGAGCAGCTCTGCCTCAACTTCTTGTTGCCTCGAAACATCGACCTGGGAACATGGCAGTGGCCCAGCCGGCTGCCCGTGCAGCCTGTGGCTATCCGCGGAGGCACGCACGCACACTGGTTTTGCATCAGCAGTCAAATGGTGCCCGGCTGGTCAGTGCGTAACTTAAATTCTTGTTTCTTTCACTATGCCTGACTCGCCTTCCGACAGTCCACGGTTACCCATACTATCGCGGCCCACCATCGACCATCCAAGGGCACAGCTGATCACTCGCAACAGCCAGAAACACAGTCCGACGCGGAACGAAGATTACACCTGACCTCACGACGCTGCACGCCTGTGTCGCAAAGGCCTCTACTCATACCATTCCAAAAAATAAAGAAGCAATCCGTCTTCCCCCGCATAGGAGACGCGAGCCCATCCGTCAAGCCTCGGTAGGTCCCCGCACTGTCAGATGACGCTGTATATTATCTCATTGTTCTGGGTTTGGCCCCCCGGTAAGTTCAACCCTAGCGCATTCCCGATGCTGGCGACTCTCGAGGACGCCTCCTCGCCCTGAGGAGGAGCCCGGACGCACGAGTCGGGCGGGACCGGGTGGCGTCCGAGTCGCGAAGACATTTCAGTCTAGGTAACCTCCCCTGCGCGCTCGCACACACTCCTGGAGTCGAGTCACCGTTGTTCATGCACATGTTAGGCGCGTATGGACGCGTCACACCTCGGACGTTCGTGGGTGCCCGCTCAGAGCCAGACATCCCGTGCATCCGAAACCTCTGTCTAGTGCGCCGACTCGGGGCCATGCCCACTTTTATTACGAATTGTGGGATCAGGTGCGTGCTGTGCAGCTGCAACCATACGCGCGCTGCGAACGATCATGAATAGCCTCACGCGGCGTGGATTGTGGGCCCACAGTCGCGCGTTCGCAGAATAGCAGCGAGATCCCGGCGGGAGCTTGAACGCGCACAGGAGTCGACTCGGACGAACTTGCCAAAGGCCTTCCGACGCGTGGAGCAGCAAGCCGCGCCACGACACGACACGACACAGACACCGTCCCGGCCAGGCTCGTCCGAGTCCACGCCCGCGTCCTCAGGCCTCAGGTCCGGCGTCGAACTGCTCGGGCAATCCGCAGAGGCGTGCACTGACACTCCTCGTCCGGCAAGTGAGGAGCGCGGATCCTCGGGCCTCCAGGCCTCAACCTGAAGGCCGCTCTGACTGAGAGCATGCTCGTGGCCCACTGAGAGGCCTGCGGGAGTCATGGTGGTTTGCCGTATTACTATTAGCAGCTGGACCCGGCTCGCCTTCGCGCACGCCAGGTGCGGATCTGCCCGTACTTACATAATTAGCCATGAAGCGATGCCACTACTACTAGATATTTCGAGCCGTAGATCATCGACGGTTCCGCACTGGATTAATATTCGTTGCGAGCGATTTCGCCTCAACGCGCTGTTCACGTCCCGCGGGCAGATCATACGGCGGCAACGTATGTACTCCATTGATACATCGCGAAAATGCACCGACACGGAACCGGGAACCTAGCACACCTTTGCGACGGTGTGGCCACGGAGTAAAAGTGAACATATGTTCATTATACGAGTGAACCAAGTCACAGAACGTCGAAGCGGCGTAAGGCGCAAAATCTATCTACATTAGCCCAGGTAGTAGGGTAGCGATAGCCACGGATCGTGGCAAGTAGCACACGTATCCAGCCCATCTCAACACACGAGTCGCGGCGTCGGGCAAGCGACGTCGAGGGCACCGGCGCGCGCGCGCGGAAAACCCGCACACGGCGTACAGTACATACTCGTCGCCTTAATCCACCTTCAATCCCACCGCCCCATCCCCTCCAGCCTCCTCCGCACGCGCACCGCCTCCTCCTCTCCCACACACCGCGCCCGTGTCCTCCCCTTGCCAACCACCTCGAACCACTCACATCGCACGCGCACGTCCGCCTTCGGGTTCCCGCCCCCGTTCTGCTCGTCTTCGACAGGCCCGCCCGGCGCGAGCGCGAGCCACCTCACCCCGGGCAGCGCGTCGCCCACCGCGCGCGCGAGGCCCGCGACACCGGGCGGCGCGCGCCGCACCGCGCCGTACACCGTCTGCGCGCGGTCGTCCGGGTCGAGCGCGAGCGCGTCGACGTCGGCGGCAGGGTCGGCGGGCAGGAGGGGCGGGCTGGAGAGCGGGGAGGCGGCGGGGGTGGGCCGCGGCGTGGGGAAGGCGGCGGGGGTGCTGCTGCGGAGGGCGAGCCCTGCGAGGGGGAGGGCGGAGAGGTGGGGCGCGGTGTGTGTCTGGGGGGGGGAAGGTGTCAATGTCATGTCAGCGGGGTTCGGGGGAGCGGAGCGCGTGGATGGAGGGTGGACGGACGGAGCACTCACCATCCAACTCTCGACCCGCGCGAGGCTCCGGCAGCCGCTCAGGCTGAGCTCGAGGAAGCGCACGCCGGCGGACCCGGCCGTGCCGTCGCCTGTGCAGGCCTCGTGGAGCCGCTCGACGAAGGCGGCGTCCGGCACGTCCGCGGCGACGGCGAGGCTGAGCACGAGGGGGCGCGCGTGCTTGATGAACGCGAGGGTCCGCGCGATGGCGGACTCGTCGTTGGGGACCGGGTCCCGGAGGGTGAGCCGGCGCGTGCGGACGGGGGCGGAGGGCGTGGGGGCGGGCGGGCGGGCGGCGGAGAGACGGTCGAGGGCGTGCCATCCGCATCCGCGAGAGGCGGCTGCGGCAGGGGAGCCGGGGGCGAAGCACGCGCCCTCGACGAACTCGAGGGTGCGGACGTGCGGGAAGGCGCGCTGGAGGACGGCGAGGGCGGGGACGTCGCCGCCGAGGACGACGGTGGTGAGGCGGTCGCAGCGGGCGAGGGCGTCGACGATGGAGGGGCACGCGTCGACGAGCTGGGTGAGGCCCCAGAGGGTTGCGCGCTGGAGGCCGCGCGCGCGGGTCAGGACGTGGGCGAGCAGGCGGACGGCGTCGGGGTCTGTTTCGTAGGTGCGCTCGCGGCGGACGGCGTCGCGGCGGAGCTCGATGGAGCGGACGAGCGGGGCGCGGACGGGGTGGGCGAGGACGGAGGCGCAGAAGGCGCGGAGCTGGGCGTTGGGGGAGAGAGCATGGACGGGGCGGTGGAAGGCGCCGCCGAGGGTGATGTGGGCGAGGATGCGGGGGAGGGCGAGGGCGTGGGCGGAGTGGGAGACGCGGGCGAGGCTGAGGGCGTCGGGGGTGGGGAGGAGGCCGACGATGGGCTGGAGGACGTCGGGGGCGAGTGCGAGGAAGGGCATGGGGGCAGTGTGGGCGATGGCAGGCACGGGCGGTCTGTAACGGTGGCGGGCTAAAATAGGACGCGTCTATAAGGTCTATGGTTTCTGCGCGAGGTGGTCGTCCGAGAGAGAGATGGGCGAGTGCGACGATGGCGACATTCGGGGGTGATCATCGTCAGGCCGCCGCGGAGGGCCCCGACCCTAACCCCGCAGATGGGCTCCCCGCACCCCATGGCGCTCCGTCTCTCCCCGCTCCTCCTCGACGATGACTCGCACTCACCTCCTGTCGCCCTTTGGTCGCCCTCCTGCTCCGCCCGAGCACGGCGTCCCCCGCTGCCATGCTGGGACGATCGCCTCTTCGCGCGTCCGCCGCATTCCTGGCAGCACCCCGGGTCGCCTGCCCGTCGTCCGGCTGCGAGGATAGCCGTACCGAGAGGCCTGCCGGGAGACATCGGAAGCAGGCCCAGCCAATGCCTAGTGCGCTGTTAGAGCTGGTGCGCCCCACGCAGCCCCGCCCGCCCCCGCATCGACGTCGGGCGCGGGGGATGGGGGAGGGTGAGGTCGCTCACCGGGTGGGTGTCGCCTCGCCCTTCCTATATGCGCCCGCTCGCTGCTCGCACGCCCTCTGTCCGCATCATGGGGCCCTCCATTACGCTCTCTTCCATCACACCTGACGCTCCCCGAATCATGTGCCCTACGCGCCCGTAGTACTCGCTGCGTCCTTCGTCGCCCACTGCCCGCCCCCATTGCGCACATTCCCAGCCGCCTTTCGCCCGCACGAACATTCGCTCGCGCGGGTCGCGCTGAGACGTCTTCATCTCTGTACGTCGCTCTTTGACAAACAATGCGATAGTCTCTTTACTAGCCTGCAGATCAGCACGAGCCCTGGTCCGTGCAGCTCGCTGGTCATGAGACCCTGCGCGCTCCGTCGCAAATCGACGACCCCCGCGTTCGTGGCTACCCTATTACCTGCGCTAATGTAGACGCATGTTACGCCGCTTCGACGTCCACGGACCGCAGTACAACGAGCACGGACGCAACGACGATGCGAGTGCGCATATACACGGTGAGCAGGGGAGCAGACACGTTCAGTACAGGTGCGAGCACGACAAGCATGTGTCTGGCGCGAAAGTGTAGCTGATGAACATCCGTCAGAGCGCCTGGCACAGTGCAGACGGTCGATGATGGATATCCACGGGCCACTGCCGACACTTGCAATGAGCCCGGGTGGGGTACAGGTAGCATCCCTTGCACACGATGCCGTATGCTGCGTGTGTCCGTGGTGCTACCTGTTCCCCAGGAGACGAAGTGCGCCGTCCGCACGGGCTACTGACCACTCTATCGCCAGAACCCGTCTAAGAGGGCGACGCCGCGTGCACATTCGACAGATCAAGCTCATTCGTATGTACTGTGTTCTCTGTCGCTTCTTCAGCACAACATGATATACTATACTCAGATTGTATCGGTTTGTACGAGAAAACATGGGATTACCGCGGGCGCAGGTGGACTCGGAGACTTGTGTGAGACGTGCAAGCTTGCCACACCATACAATCGACTTGCATACAAAGCGTAGTCTGTATGTTATGAGCTTGTAGTGAGCTTGTTTGCTTCGCTAGCGCTATGTTCATGACGCGTTTGGTGATCACAAGCGGAGACAACGGCTATGTCTACTCAGTGCGAATTCTGTGATGAGGCGAAGTGAGCGGGGCGTACAAGCGTGCGCGACGAGAGCGACCAATGCTCGGAGCAACGGGGGACGCGGGGCGATCGGCGGGCGCCTAGAGGGTGGGATCACAGCCTTGGCGGGTCGTTGTGGGCGTTGTCACTGTTGCCATCGTCGTCCACGTCCCCGCCATTCGTCCCGTCGACACAGGGCCCGCCTGCGAGCCAGCGCGAGGCCAGCGACGCAGCCGGCGAGCTCGCTGAACAGCGCACGGAGAGAAAGAGGCGTTGGTTGTGGCGGTGAGTGTGCTGCCTGATTGGGAGTAGCGCGCATGTTCATCCGCGTGCGCACTCGACCTTTTTCCCTCCGTCTGACTCTCCTCTTCACGACCGTCCACGACCTCGCCCGCCATCTGCGCTCGCAGCGATACCCGCCCCCGCACCCGCCGTCCAGCGTCAGCGCCCACGATGACCCAGTTCGGCGACTTTGCGCCTCTCTGCCACACCGTGCCCTCCTACCCCTGGTGCAATCTCTTCTATCGCCAGGTCCGTAGCCCGCACGTCCACCCGACCCGCGTCTCTGACCCGTCCGCAGATCGTACACGCCAATGCGTCTTTCCTCGCCAATGCATCCGCGAACGCGACAGAGGCCCCCGTGGGTGTCAACCCCCAGTGCGGCATCCTCCGCGTCGGCGCCGACGGTTCCATCGGCAACGTCGCCAACATCGTCGTCTGCGGCGTCAGCATCCTCTTCACCGCCCTCTTGATCGTATGGACGAGCAGGAGACGGGCCGCTGTCGGTGAGTGTCTCTCCGTTTCGTTGTGGGTCCTTGTGCTGTTCTGTCGCCCGCGCGGCTTCGCCGCTCGATGGCGCCCCCGTCCGCCTGCTTCCCCACTTCCCTGCTATTCTCGTGTCTGCGAGCCGGCCTTGGCCATGCATCTGTGACTTCCCCGCTGCCCTATCTTTTCGCGTGGATGCTCCAATGCACGACACCGACGACCCTCCCACGCATGCATACGCCGCCCGACCGTCTCTCTTGCTCTGGCGGAAGTGCCGGGCCCTCTCGCGCCAATCCACTGGACTAGGAGCTTCTAACGTGGTCGCGTGAGGTCCGCCATTCGCCTCACATACGCGTCGATAGACCACCATATGGACTTCGTGTGTCCCCGTCTAGTCTTGGCAGCACCCCTCCGCTGGTCAGCCTGTTCTTCCGCGACCGCCGCCCGATAACGCTCTCGATGATCCTCTTCTCGAGCTCTATGTTATTCCCGGCTGCACACATGCTCTCCGGCCATCTACGCTACTTCCCTACGGCCCTGCTCCCTCGCGTAGGCGCTCCAATGCTCGACTCGGACTCCCACACCAGTCCACCTGCTCCGACTCCTGCCTCTCGGCCACCCGCGTTGTCCTCCTCGCATTCGCTGAGACGCATGTCGCCGTCTCGCGATCATCGCAACGCCTCCCGCACGCACCCGGTACACTGCCCCCCGCCGCACTGCTCTCGGGCTTGGCACCACTCACCCACCGGTTTCGTTCCTTACTCCCTTCGGCGACGTCGCTATTCCCGGCACCCCACGCACCCGCCCACGCGACCACGGCTGTCTTCCCTCGCCGCCGGCACCCACACATCGCGGGCAGGTCCTCCCCGGCGAGCTGGCCCTTCGCGCGAGCTCCCCACCCACCTCGATCGATTGACTCGCGCTCGCCTTCGCCCGCTCAATGGCGACCCTGAGAGCTCCACTGCCGCGTCCGCCGTCTTGGACGGGAAGGCTCCGCGCGCGTGCAGCTCGCCGCGTGTGCGTGCTCGTCCGTTCGTCCGCGGCTGAGTCCTGCGGGTTGGTGGTGTCTGTGACGCGTTACGTTGCGAAGGTGCAGGGTGATTGCGAGCGACGGTCAGAGCTTCATCGGCACGCCAGTGTTCTGTCGACACCGCCGCCCTTCTCCAGCCGGCCTCTGCCCCAGACGGCGCCCTCCGCTCTTCTCGGTCTCGTGGCTATACCTGCGCACACGAGCACCTCTGTCGGTCCTTGTCCGTTGAAGACCCTGAGGTCGCCGCTGGCTATGTGCGCGTGTGGACTGTGCTACCGATGTTGGGTGCCCAACCGAGGATCATCCGCACATGCGCGTCGACCCTGCCGCTCGCTCTTCGCGTCGGAGCGTACCCGGGCCTCGCTGAATACGCTCATGGGGCTATCTTTGCCCCTCCGTGTACTCTGCTTGTCGTCATCTGGCGATCGTGTCGATTGGCATAACGATCGGCGTGCGGGACCGAGCAGAACGGAAGGGGGCTGCTCGTTCCGCTGCAGGCGGGCGGGCGCGACGGACGCGCGCCCGCGAAGCAGACGGATGGCTGTGCTGGAGTGCATCTCGTACGGCTCTATCGCCGCACCTGGCTTGGCTGTTTTCTTCTTTCTCTCCAAGTTCGCGCCTCCTTCTGGCGTCGTCTCTTCTTTCTTTTGCTGTGTCTTGGCGATGCTATGGACCCGCACTAACCCCGCGTTTGCTCTGCAGGCCGCGTCGAGCTCCGCCAGTTCCTCGTGCTTTACCTACTCACCCTCCCCTTCCAGCTCGTCACTACCGGCGCGTTCCTTGAGCAGGTGCGCTCCCTTCACTGCCCCGCTCCCCTACCCTAGACCTCTCCGCCGCTCTACCGCCCACTCTTGGGTGGTGCTCTTGGCTCTTGGCGTGTGTGTGCTAACGTGGTGTGTACGTGCAGGGCTCCACCGCGCTGACGGCCGTGACGGCGGTGCATGCGGGCCTGGTCGCGGCGACGTTCTGGGCGCTGCTTGGGAATGCGATCGTCAGCACGCAGGTGGTGGAGGATGGGACGCTCAGTTCGTTGATCGTGAGTGTTGATTTACTTGTTGGTTTGGTTTGGTTTGGTTTGGGGCGGTGTGTGTTGGATAGGGACGATGGCTTGCGGGCGTGTATGGAAGGTAGAAGGGCCGCGAGTGCCCCGGGCAGATGGCGATGCCTGGGCGTCGAAGAGTTGGGTCGGACGTTGCGATTGATGGGTGAAAGGATCGCGCACGATGCTCTCCGGGCTTTGTCACTACTATCTCATGCCTTGGTCCATTGGATGCCCCGTAAGCCAGTGTTGACACCCTTTGTCTACAGCCCTTCAACTTCTTCCTCCTCGCGTTCTTTGCGGTGACGACGTACATCGCACTCGACGTCGGGTTCTCACTCACACACGTCTTTGGTCCGAGCAACCCGTTGAGCAGCGAGAGTAGTGTTCCGCTTTTTGTTCTGACTAGCATCTGGCCTGGCGCGTGAGTACTCTGTTCTTGTTGGCGCTACCTTTGTTGACTGAGAGCGTGCGCAGCGCCACGATCATTTACTTCTTGACCATGATCTATGTCGTGCTGGCCATGCTGAACGAGGTCCGCCCGGTGTGGTACTTCGTGCTCGCCATGGTCATCTTTGTCCTCAGTCAACTAGACTATTTCTTGTTGAGCAAGGTTATTTGTAAGGTACGTCGTCGTCCACGTTGCATCCGGAGCATGTAGGGGGACTGACGCAACTGCTCCGCTCCCAGGGAACGTCGGCGAAAGTCGACGGCTCATTCGTGGCGACGATCCTTGAGACGGCCGCGGTCGGCGTTCTATATCTTGCATGGAGAAGCATCACAGAAGGTGCGGTCCTGCCTGCGTCACGCACGTTGCGCACGCCGCTCACTGACGGTCTGCAGAAACATGGGACGATGATGTGTACTACCCGCGGTAACGGCGCGCCTGCTCCCCGCGCTGCCGCGGAAAAAGCGACACCTCACGACTCCCTCCCTGCGATGACGAACTTCTTCATAGATAGTAATGCCCACCCCACGCCGCCTCACGACCGCTGTGCATTAGCCCGGCACGCTCGTCGCGAGCCATATATATATATCCCTTGTACCAGTACGCATTGCCAACCGTGTGTTGTGTTGTGTCGTGTTGTGCTTATCACCTGCGTGTCGTCTACTGCGTATGTACTGCCTCTCGGGTCTGCCACTGGACTGACGCGCTGGACATCTGGATGGAGGATATATCCTTAGCTGTGTTTATTATTTGTTTTGTCGTTCCTTGCATTCCTGTTTTCAATATGAAGTGGACTTGGTGCGTTGCGTGTGTAAGTTGGCAGGAAGCAAGAAGCGGGATTGTACGTGAGCTTCGTGCCGCTGCGGTGTCCGTGTCTTCCGTCCTTCCTGCGGACGTGCGGCATGCCGTCGTCACTGAAAGGCGAAATCAATGCGTGGGCTTCGTGCTTGGCACGGCCGTGAGCGAATGTGTTGATCGGCCTTTGTGAACGGTTTGCATGACGGTCATCGGTGAGCTACATCCGCGTGTAAAGGGTACAGCTTTCAGCGTGATACAACCTAATGTACAACAAAGAGTTTTTAAGTACAACAACATCGTGGACAGGCGTACGTGTACATCGTAGCGAAGACATTTCAAGAAATTGTCCCTGGGCGTAAAATGAATGTATGGGGACAATGGCCTCTTGGGCCAGCGAAAGCGAAGACAAAGATGGACCATCGAAATGAACAGTTTGACCACAAAACCCAGGAACGTAGGCGAAGCCGATCAAGTCCATGAGCCCTCATCACGAGCGAGAAACCGACTAAACGATGTTGTGCTCCACGCGGTGGACCACCCGGTGCTCGACCTCGACGCATACCCACCCATCCTCGTCGTTCTTTCCCACTTTCTGTAAGCGATCCATCACCTTCGCACGTGCGACGGATGCTTTTCGCTTCAGTGTTGACGGGAGCGACGCAGGCGGCGGCGGAGTGGGTGGTCGGGGCGGCCAGACCTTCTGCAGCGGTGACGGCCCGGGCGTGGTGGGCGTACGTGGAGACATATCGGGCGCACCGTGGTTGAAGCGTCGACGCGAGAGGACGGAATGAGGGCTGGCGGGCTGGGACTCGGTGGTGGGAGAGGAGACAGGGGAAGTGCGCTTTCGGAGCCGGCGCCGGCGTTCGGGTGGTGGAGGGATGTTCAAGCAAAAATGGCGCTCGGCGCCCCGGACGGTCTCCCAGGTAGACGACTCGCAGTCGAGCTCATTGTAACCGTATTGGGAGGGGAAGTCGACTTCGATGTATTCGTTCGTGGACGTGGTCGTAACAGAGAATCTAGAACTCTGAAAGGCGTGCAATCAGCAAGTGCTACGGACAAGTCCAGCGCGGTAGTCTCACCAAGTTCAAGTTCACAAGGACGGGAAGACTACCGTAGCTCCCGTTGGGCATTTGTCTGCCCTCGAAGAACCCCTCATCCGTCACGGCGTCCTCGGAGCGTGTGAAGGACTCTTTGTGTACGGGCATGGGACGGAAAGGTGCACCGTTGGGCCAGTCCGGCATGGCACCAGCCGCACGAAGCAGATTGGAGTACCTCTGGTGGTGCATGCCCTGCGTATTTGACTCGGGAGTCATCAGCGTTAACGCCGCAGACGACGCAAACGCCGGACTATTGAGGCCCGTGCTCATGCCGCGCGGGACACCCAACCACTGCGGAAGGAACTGTGAGTTGACGCCGTCGGTGTCCGTCTGCCCATCGCACGCCCATGAGCTAGGGTCGCCGTTGTCCCGCTCGCGATCACACGCGCCTGACGCAGCGCCCTGAGAATGAATTTGGTGAAGGAGCATGTCGATTGTCAAAGCCTGCGACTGATTGTCTACCGCGTCCTTAGGGAGCGGCCGGGAGGTGCCGCGCTCGCCGCCCTCGGAGTCGAAGAGATGTGCTCCGGAGAAGGTGATCATACCCTCTACGGGGTCCCAGACGGCGGCGAAGGTGAGTGCGGTGTGGGGCGGAAATACCTCAGACCATCGGCGCTCATCGCGGTTGTCCGCGCTGCCTTTCATCTTCAAGTCTCCTTTAAAGTCAGACAAAGGCGTCTACGAGAGGGCACGTTCAACCCGAACATGTCAGGAACAAAGCACACCGAATGCGTGGATCCACGTACCTTTCGAAGCGAATTGTCCCTGAACAACGCGGATCGAGAGGGCGAACAAAGACAAAGGCTTCTAGAGAGAGCGTGCTTCTGCCACAGACCGTTCCGCAGGCTCCGTTTGCGACTGGGCGCGAAAGCTAAGACCTGGTGAAGGAGTTGTGTCGCAGGTAGGACGAGAAGGGGAGGAGCCCCGTATGCCTGCACACGAAGGTCGCCTTTGAAAGGGGTCTTGTCAGATTGAGGGACGGAGGAAGGGAAGTACTCTCGTTACATTGTCCTTCCCGCGCTCGGCCTCATGCTGATTGGGCGCCACATACGGAAGAGGGGACGATCCACATCCAATGAGAACCGCTCCTTCCGTGAGAAGCGGTTTGCCTCCGAGCCCAAGATTGCCGCTAGAAGCCTATTTCATTGATCGAAGATACTGCAATTGGGAGCAGAAGCGTGAGCATCCTCGACAGCATTCGACGAAATAAGCTGCACGTACCTGAAGCACAAAGCCAAAAGGACGGCAACGAATGCGTTGGGAGGTCGTTTCGTGCCTTCAGGGAGAGTCCTGGCATTGTCCGAGTACGCCGACCGGTATCTCACTGCGCGTCACGCGGTTGAGTGGCACCTTCTTATCTGGCCTACTCTTCGGAGGGTGTACAGCCTCGCTGCATACAGGCTCGCCGAACTTCGAAGGAGTCGCTGTGTAAATGCCGCATGGCTCGGTTCAGGAGGCGCGGGTAGGCCAGCGGACATATCGTCATGGATACTCCAGCCTTGTACGGTACGTCGCATACCGGCGCCACACCCTGTAGGGTACTCGAAACGATGGCGCCAGTTTACCATTTGATTGTGGTTGTTTCTGCGCGACCGTTTATACCATGGGGCAAGAGGTCCATAATGAGACTCCACCTGCGGCGCAGTCACTATCCCATCAAGCAGCGAATGTGACCGGGTCTGCAACATTACTATAGCTCGGTGCTGGGTGAAATGAAGCGCGGAAGCACGAGCGGAGATTGAGGTCACTTACGGACGACGCACTATTTCCACCATGCTGCAGAATACGGAAGGAGAAGCGGGGGGTCCCGGGCACGCCGCAGCGGGGAGGCAGCGCGACGGATGACGTCGCCGGCTCGCAATATGGCCACGGGGAGAACAGTCTAGCTTCGTCTAGGTCGTCGAGGACGCATCAGCTGGTAGCCACGGAGCATGTATCTTACCGCAATACCTACCTCACGTTCACGGTCCGTCTTTGGGAAGGAAGCCTGGCACGCCGGCAACGCGGGCGGCAATGCCGTACCAGCGAGGAAACGATTTACACCCTTGCGTGAATTAGACGGATGGTAGGCGGGTGAAGGGCATGTCAATTTGTACCACCCTCGAATAATTGATGGCATCTGGACGACCGGTTTGTGGCAGGGAGGATGTGAATTGAACAGATGTCAGCTACACAAATGCACCGGCAGGAAACACACCGTTCACTGTCGAATGAGACAGTCCGTGGCGACCAAACTCTAACAACCTGCTGACAAAGCTGAGAGCGAGTGGGCGCCATGTCGTCCTACTTGCACACATCCGACGGAGAAGGCCACGCGCGAAGCAGTTCCCAAGGCCGAGGTTCCATTTGCCTGAGACTGCCGAACGAGTCCGATCTGCAAGGGACACAGAAGAATTCGCCGCTGGAGCAGAATCGCGGAAGCGGTTGGTCGTCTGCGTCATGCTGGTTCGACCTGGAAGCTCGTTCGGCCATCTACGCTGCGAGAACCGGAGATTTGAGACGGCGCGAGAGAGATTACCTAGCAGACGGATGAAGCCGGCCGGGTCGTTGTGTTCGTATCCCAGTAACCAGACAGCCTTTGGGCGATGGTTATCCCATTTGGTCCATTTCGCCCATGGTAAGGTAGACGTGAGTTTTGATGGGTGCACGTCGAGATCCCGCGCAGATGTCGACGAAGGGCGCAGCAGATGCATTGCCATAGCCGTGTGTAAGCAGCCTGACGGAAGAATCGTGAAGCCTTGTCAGAAGGCATACGCCGCAGCGCACTTCTTGTTGCACCGCGCCGTCCTGCGGGGTCGCAAGCGACGCTGCAGGTAATCGGATGCATGAGCGCAGGAGCGGCGGAGTGTCGTCGTCGGGCTTGAACGCGAGCAACTAGCGCGTTGCCGTCATAGAACGTCCGCCTTGCGCGGTGTTGAATGTTCGAAGCACAAGAACGCGGCGCCACAGATCCGAGGGTGCTTGCTGGATTTCGATTATCACAGGCGCGGAGGGGGTGAATTTGACTATGCGGCTCAGAAGGATTCTTTGAGGACGCCTGCATCGTGGGAGAAGCAGAAGGGTGTGAGCTTGTTAGAGCGGGGTCAAGTGTGTGTGCGTTGTTTGAGTGACGATGAATTGCGGCGACGTACTGTGCTCGTCTTGAAGCCTTGGTCCATCCATCGTACGCTTGCGTCGAACGGTACATAGGCCTTCAGCTCACCGCGCTCAGACGCAACAAACAAGGTTATGTGCAGTGAAGGAGTATTTCACGTCGACTTCCACCGTGTGCTGTGAGACGGTGCCGGCATCACCTCGCGTTCTGTCCCCCACACTTGCCGATTTGCACCCAGCGACCCGAGGGTCGGGACAAGTCTAGGTCATCCTGCTGACGCGAGAAACGAGAAAGGTTGGCTATGCGCCGCTGTTCTACCGCCTGCGAAGTAGAACGTCGAACGCTGGCAGGAGGACGATAGAAGTGCAATACGAGCTTGATTGTAAGTACCGTCCAAAACTCCGACCCTGCAGGCTGCCTGCTTGTTGGAGATGCGCGCAGGGGTTCGATACACGGTGAGGAATGGCACAATCGCTATTAGCTCGGATCCTAGGCTACGATGGGAAACATACTGTTGTGTAAGACCAATGTCGCGCGTCGAATGGAGGCTGCGAGTGCGAAGAATCGTTGCACTGCGGGTAGAATCGCAATCATTAGCTGCCATCCTCCGCTAGGTCGGAAGAGACGTACTGTTGTGTACAGTAGGCATCACAGCCTTCCAACGTCCGACATGAGGAGGGGTACCCTTCTGTAAAGTTGACTAGCACTATCGCTATGGAGTCTGGACAGCTTGGGATGGAATTTCTTTACATCAGCCAGCCACGCTCATTGCCGCCCACTTTCGAGGTTGCACGAAACAAGATCCATCCCCGTCTTCGCGGCACGTTCATGGATAGTTCAGAGTTACCGGTGCGGCGTTAAGGGAGAATACGAAGCATGCATCTACCACCGTTATATATGCACGTCGACAAGCGAACAAAGGTCTACATAAAGCATGCAGCTAGCAGCTATAAATTGAGATGGACAACATGATGGAGGACAATTGACCGGATATTTGGTGCATGCGAACCGTACCTCAAGACCTCCGCATCACCACTACTGGCCTCGCTGTCGGTCAATATTACGCATATGGTGATACTTGAGCGACTTTGAACAACTGATGCAGGTACTCGTTCAACCCGCACGACGGTAGCCGAGTGAGGAGGATGGAGGACGAGGACAAGGAGGGCCGGACATTGCCGCCGCTGCCGAGGCGCAGTCAAGCGCGCAATGTCCCGCTGTGCAGCCAGCGGTCATCCCTCGACATCGCCGACACCCTCTCCTCGCCGTCCTCCTCGTCCCCCAGCTCCTCCGGACGACGCCCAATATACCCATTGAACCGCAGGCTGCTCACTAACGAAGGCGCGCGCCATGACGACGACCGGTGGACTCTCCCGCCGCCGTGTTCCCAACGCCTCAGGGTCCTCCGCAAACGACGCAAACGGCGACAACTGGGGCGGGTCGCCCACTACGCCCACCAGCAACGGCGGGGGGCTGTCTACACATAGCTCCATTCACTCGCTCTCGCACGCAGGTAGCGCGTTCGAGGGTGGGAGCAAAATCGCGTACGATCCCCGCGACCTCGAGAACGCGGACGAGGACCAGCGCCAGGGCGGTCGCGCACCCAAACTCACGATCATGGAGGAGGTACTACTGCTTGGCTTGAAAGACAAACAGGTAAGCTGCCGTCTGCTCACTGCGCTGTCCGTGCTCTCTTGTGCTGCGCGCAGAAGCGCCTCGCAGCACTGGCCTCGTACTCGTCTCTTCACCAGCGATCCCTTCTGTGAAGTGCCCTTCAATGCAGAATGGATCGTCTGTTGTGCGCCGCTATCGCTATTGCTGCCCGCTTCCTCCTCGTGGGGCGGCCGATCACCAGTAGACTGGTACGTGATGCGGTTCCGAGACATTTCACCGCTACCGAGTGTGAAGTACCGCGGGGTCCGCCTATGCATTCTGCCCTATCTACGTGAAGCATTGGACTGGGGACTAACGTGGCCTATGCACCGAGAACCTTCTCATAGAGCAACGTGTCTAACCCAACGCTCGCTTGCCACCAGGGTTACCTTTCATTCTGGAACGACAACATCTCTTATGCCCTACGTGGATGCATCCTCATCGAACTCGCGCTCCGCCGACGAATAGCCCTCGTCAAAGATCCGAACCGAAGACACCTACCACCCGCGGAGCGCATCGTTGAAGTAATTGATGACCGGCAAACCGGGGAGACGCTACTGGACGAGACGCTCAAGATGATGAAGGCGCAGGAGGAAGTAGAGCGGATGTCTGTCAACACGTGGATAGACCTCCTCAGCGGTGAGTCCCGTTCTCCCGTCGACTGCAGCCGTGCTGGCGGGCGTGCTCCGGCGCCGTGCACGCGCGCATCCGCCTTGCGGGGGACTGTAGACTCACGCGACGCAGGCTGACGGTGACGTTTACTTCTTGGGTCTTCTCGCCGTCCTCTCTGGATTTTCGCACAAGTATAGGCGAGACATGGAACGTAATGAAGATCGGCTTCCAACTTAAGCAGGTCCGCGAGCGGCTAGCAAAGGGGCTCGTGGACAAGGGCGTCCTGCGCACGGAGAAGCGCAACTTCCTCCTGTTCGATATGGCGACACACCCGGTTGCGGACATGCGCGCGAAGGAGACGATCGTCGCGCGCGTGGTTGTGCTGCTCACGTCAACGACATCCGCCGTCCCCGCGCAGGCACTGCAGAAGGAGGGCACGCAGGCACGGCACGCGCGCGCGGTGTGCCTCGTGTGCGCCGCATACGCCGCGAGCGTGCTGGACAACGGGTTCACGCGGCTGTCGTACGAGGAGCGCGAGGCGGCGTTCCAGCGGTGCGACGACATCCTGGCCGAGTTCGCGTGCTGGCCGTTCGGCTCGTCAACGTCGACGAGCAAGGCGGGTGGGCCGACGCGGAGGCGCGAGGCGTCGCGGATCGGGATGGGGAGCGTGGGAGGCGTGAGCGGGCGCGAGGCGGTGCTGGGGCTTGTGCACGAGGTGCGGAAGGAGATGCAGGGCGAGGAGGATCTGTGCTTTGAGCTGGTTTCGGGCGTGCTGGAGGTGCTGTCGAAGCTCGACTCGTTGCTGCTCTAGGTCGCTACTACTATCGCATATATGTATGGATTCGCTTCTGTTTGATTCAATGCTTTTGATGTCCATTTTTCATTCAAGTGGTGCACTGCATGCGGGCAAATACTACGTGGAGAGGCAACTTGGCAGGATCTGCCTACGTCGTACCTTGGTAAGTACTGTAGTACTACTACCTGTTCCCCTCAAAACGTTGATGCTGACTAAGCGGGTAGTTGTGCAGCGTCGCCAACCGCGTTGCCTTGTTCCCACCGCCGCCAGACCTCGCTCCCCGTCTGCAGCGACCCAACAGCGACCCTCCATCTCGTTCAGCCATGGTCCAGCTCGTCGACCTCCTGGGACCTCTGTCGCGCTCAATTGGATCCAAGGGGTGCACCCAGCCTAGTCCCAAGGCTGTTACTCGCCGTCACGGTACTCATGTCGGAGTCTTCGTCCGTAGATCGTCCACCGCGACGCGTACATGACCGCGAATATTTCATCAAGCACTGCGACCGCCTATCGGATCCTGCGGCCCCGACCTCATAGGCGGTATAATTTGGCCTCAATGCAAACCACTACATCGGTAACGTACACGTAGCGCTGTGTCTGCACTGTCAGTGTCCTCACCAACGCGGTGCTGATCAGATGCACCAGTACGAGCAGGGTCGCTGGTATGTTGGATGCCTTGTCTCTGTCTGTGGACCCCTGTGCTGCTATGGGTCCAAGCCTTCGCCGCTCGATGGGCTGCTTCGCGATCCTCGCGCTATTCTCGACGTTCTGCAGACCCTACGATCCCCCGTTCACCGCTATCGTTCCTTTGGCCCTCTTGCGCAAACGGACCGATATACAACTCTGACCAGTCTCCTCCCTCATCCACTCCTCTTCGCGTCCCGACCTTCTCTCGTACACGGAGCGCGGAGCCCAGTACACGCGTCGGTTCGCCCCCAAAGTTCGGCGCCTCGTGGGACCCTTCTATGCCTCGCGGGGGTTCCGTCCGCGTTCGCTTTTCCTTGCTGGAACTGTGGCGACTCCGCGGTGCTACGTATTTCTCGAATCCGTGGACATGCTTCCGTGTCCCACACCCGCAACGCCGCTCTTCCCGGAGGTAAACCCGTACGCTCGATGGCATCTTATGCCTCACCGTCCGGCTTGCCGTGAAACCATTCTCCGGCGTACGTACGTTCGCATATTCGTTCCCTCGGAAATATTACTACGCGATTGCGACATGCTTACGAGCATGATTGCAACGTACACTTCGTCGGGAAGAATCTCCTTTGGCGTGATTGGGTTGGCGGCATCAACGGTCTCGTCCGTCATCCACGGGGCTCCGAACGAGAATCTCGTCGATGAAGAGTGGGCCGTATACTAGCGAGAAGTCCGTCCTTGTCCGTTTCGCCGTTACGCTACTGAGGAGGCTGCGTGCTCACGTTGGCCATCAAGCACGATTCACTGCTCAAAGAAGACGTTATCCTTCGGATATGGCCAGAGTGCGGATGCGACGGCGGCCCTGCCTTTCGCCAACGCTCCGGGCAGCTCGATCGCAGCGTTGTCGTCTTCTGCTGGCACCGGATGAGGCAAATTGACCGTGCTGTTCGATCGCCAGTACGTCAGGCCCCGATCCTCTGCGCTGAGCTCATGTGTCTCAAGGCGACTCTGAGCCGAAGCTCATCTCAGTCGTTACCGCGTTCACAGACAATAGGAAGACTTGGGGTTGCGCCAGGAACGTGACGAGCAGCTCATGTATGCTAACTTGTTTAGCACGATTTCGACGTTGTAATGGCAATGAAATTCCCCAGGTCGAAGCACTGCGCGTTGCCGTTGCTCAGTGCAAGGGCATCTGTCCCCAGCAGCAGACACTCCCGAATTGGTAAATACCCCTACGGCTCGTAGCTTGTGTCCAACAGGAGGCTCTCCTTGCAGTTACAGTCTGAGGCATTTGAGTGTTCTTTGTGAGTGTGAAACCGCATGGAACTCTTCTCGATGCTGATGTGTATGTTCGCAGGGAAATCCAGAATAGCTGCTTCTCGGTTCTCAGCTGCGCTTTGGAGGTTAGACTAAGAATCGCGCGACCGGGCGCAACTCTGGGTTAGTAAGTCAGGAGCATCGGACCCTGGGCGGGCAGAAGGACGCTCGCCAGTTAGTACTTTCTGTGGGCGCACTGGACCCGATCCGTGTCTCCCACGCCGACGGCGCCACAGAAGCATCGACGTACCCCACACGGCTCGTCAACTACACAACACGAGCCCCGTAGATTGGCCTCCAACGGGGACGCTGGGGCCCAGCCATCGTTTCACGCGTGCACGTCTCCATCGCGCGGCCCCTATGCAGCTTGCTTACCCGCGGCGAGAGTATTCGGTTGCTCTTTGTGATGCCCAGGCTTAGGTGTGCATTGATTCTGCTGAATCTGTCGGTGACGCGGTCCCGCCGCCTGCTCTGGATCAACAGTTACTTACTTGGGGCGGTACACCTCCACCGACGAACCAACTAACTGCGATATCCAATATCGCCATCTTCAAAGGACCGGGTTGTTCAATATCGTTCCCCAGTACGTACGTCGTCAGTCAAACATGAAATCCTCTACTCATGCTCGCCCCCAAATTGACAACTAGCAATCACGACCGCTCTTCCTCCACGGGACGCTTCACGCTCTACCGCTCCTCGCATGAGCCGTCACATGAGATGCTAGGAAAGTGGACGCCATCAAGCCGCTTGTGCAGCCCGCGCGTGTCTGCGGTACGCCCGTTTCTCCCTGCTCGGGAAGGACTACCCCGCAGCGATCCAGCGCACGGAGACCGCGGTCATCGACGGGCTGCTCTTCCGCCCACAGACCGCGTCGCAGCGGCGGAAGCTCGACGACTTTGAGCGCGAGACGTATGTCGTGACAGCGGTGGCCGCGGAGCCTCTGGACGCGCACCGGCGAGCTGGTCGACGCGGATATGTATATGTGGCAAGGGGAGCCGTGGGAGGTGTTGGAGGGAAAGCGGGAGCTGGAGGTGTTTGTATGGGAGCGTTTAAATGATTAGTTGGCTTCGTTTGGGGGGGATGGTCGGGGACGATGGCGCTTGACTCGAACGAACCGTCACCCTCGCGCGGCCGGCAGACTCTCGGGCGCATTCTGCATGCGACGAAAACTCAACCACGGCATTAAGACGTCCTGTGCGTTGTATATTTACTCCCTCACGTCGTTGCGTATTGGCTCTGACCTTTGATCGCGCAGCACTACCCGCACGAGAGGAAGAGAACATCTGAGCCACAGCACCCCCTTGTCCTCCGACCTTCATCACTTTTCCACTTGGCCCTTGCTCGTATCTTGCAAGCCGCATTCCGCGGCTACGAGGCCAAGGTGCCAATCCCTACTATACAGTATAAGCACCGGGACTTCCTCACCAACAGCGCAACCTCTCATGTATCGTACCGTCCGCGTGATACACGTATCATCGGGTTCGACTGAGCGTGTTAGCACTGTCTGCAGGCCAACTATATGTTGTTCTTGCCTGGGCATGCCGCGCGCCTCGAGGTCTTCAAACAGGTGCGCGATGTAGTGTTCAAAGCTTCTTAGTTGTTGTGCGCGGACCGCGGTCAGACGTAGCGGGGTCTACATCATGGATTCAGTTGCAGTGAGCGAGCGGCGACAACTAGCTGTGAACACTATTCCCGCCTTCATGTCGACTCTCCGAGGGCCGCTGTGGGTCCCAGTCTTTGCAGTCTGGTGCACCGCTTCGCGATCCTCGTCCTATTCTCGACGTTCTGCACACCCTGCGCTCCGTCCTCAACCCTCTTTGCTGAGACCCTCCCGCGTCAATACGTCTGCACACAAGCCCATTCTATTATAATCGCTTGCTTATCCCACCTTCGTCCCTAGGCCTCGCGCACGAAATGGGGGCCCTACATACGCATCGCTTCCCTCCCGGTGATCCGCGCCCTGTGAGACTGTCCTACTCCTCGCGGGGACTACGTCTCTGTTGCCCTTTCCGGTCTTGCGCAATGGGGCTACCGTTCCGCCAGGCCATCCTCGGATCTGCAAACATGCTTCCCTGCTCCCACACCGCCGTGGCCACTCTTCCAGAAGGTGACACCGTGGAGCCATGGCCAAACCGAGTGACTAGGCCTTACGGCCTGTGCACGTTCGTGTTACTCCGTGCTCCTTTTCGTCGATGGTCTGCGGTTCCTTGCGTAGTGGCAACTCGCAGACAGCCGACGTAGGGGCCGGCGGTTTGGAGATACTCCTAGGGTTATGCTATCCCCTCCTTCCAAAACGGTGCAGCCCCACATTGTATGATATTGGAGAAGGTCCTCGAGAAGCTGTACCTCAGCACCTTGCAGACTGTTACAGTAAGTGCGTAGTAGGCTCGGATATGTCAAATAGGAAGAATAACTGGTGATTTACATGCTAGTGGCTGTATCTCGCAGACGCGAGGCGGCCGAGGTGGAACGACGAAGGTAGCGACCTCGGAGTTTGCGCCCTCTCCCTCGTACACCGCGCGTGGCCCGGCGGGGGTTCATGAAATGGACGGACGACATGCGTAACAGGATCCGGTGATGCTTATATGCCAGTGACTGTGTCTCGCAGACGCAGACGCAGACACAGACGAGACGTGGGTGGAGGAAATCGAACTCGAGGGCGACAAGGTAGCCGCGGACTCGAACTCGCCCGCCCTGCCACATAGTACATCAGTGGGTTCGAGACCTGGGTCCGAATTACAGTAGTAGAGGTAGTGTTCACACACCCCACAGTCTGTTTGACCATCCTCACGAGCCCTATTATCATAAAATAGATTGTATTGATCCCCATGTACCGCCGTTGTTGGTTGTCAGCTGCACGAGTTGCTGAGGCCGCAGCTTCAGCCCAATGTGGTACCGTGTTGCCCTTTCAACTCGCACCACACATAATCGTACACAGTTGTTCCTTATCCGCGCCAGTAGGTTTGATCAACTCGTATCCGCAACTACAGACCCTCGTATGGACAAGACCTGGGAACGAGGCCAACCGGTGAGACGATCAGTGGCGGTAGATGACCAGGAAAAGCGGTCGGATAGCTTCGTTCTGCGCGTATCATCGTGATTGAGGGAGCCAGTTCACGGGGTGCGGGGGATCAGCTCACCTTGTAGACTAGATTGGGAAAACGACGTAGGCATCAACACGAGCAGAACGACAGACGACGACCGATCCTCACCAATAGCCTCGTCATAGTTCAAGTCTCCACCGGGCTCGCCGATCACAGAGTCATAATCCTCAGGGGGCTAGTAGTTGAAGCAATCAACCCATCTAAGCACGCGCGCACCGTCGTACGATATGCTGGGGCTCAGCGCACCTCAGTGAGCGACGTGTCGGTCTTCTTGAGCTTGATCGGCTTGCCCAGCACGACGTCGTTCAGGAGCATCGCCTTGTAAGGGGACCCACCCTTCTCCGCGACGTAGGCGTGCGCCTTGGACGACGTCGCGGAGGTGTAGATGCCCGCGCCGAACCGGCCGAAGTTCGTGCGCCTTTTCGCCTTCGCGATGCGGAACGACGTCTGCGAACGACCCGCAAGACGATGTCAGCGTGCGATTTCGCAGGAAGTATGCGAGTAGGAATGGACGGACCCGGATGATGGAGCAGAGCGAGCAGTCGTCATCCTCGCAGAAGTCGGTCTGCCCCTCGCTGTCGCCGATGGTGCACGCGCGGATGGTGCCGTGCCAGCGTCGCTTGCTGTTTCCGCTTGGGTAGTGCGTCTTGCGGTGGATGGCGTGCCTGTACTTCGAGAACTCGGCTTCGTGGGCTCTGTCGCAGTAGATTTTCCAGATCTGCCATAGCAGTCGTGAGCGCGTGAGTGGTGGACGCCCTGGAGGGCGGCGGAGATACTCGCCTTCACGATGGTGGGAGTGGAAGGTGTGGGGTGCTTCCACTGGTCCTTGAAAAATTTCGATACTAAAATTTGGGGACAAGATGAGATTCAGTCGTATCGTCATGATTGGACCGCCTCACTTGCTCTGAAGATTGCCATGTTGTTGCTTATGTGCAAGATGATAGGAGCTGTAAGTCTTCAGTTCGATCGCCGCTCCACTTGAAACGGCACAAGATGCGAAATACCAGAGTCCAACGTGTCTTCCGTGCATCGCCTCGAGCAAAAGTCACTCAGCTTGCCGTTAAGCGTCGCCTTGGGCCACTTTCCGCAGCTACATAGCAATGCAGGTGGTCAGTGTCCAGCATCATGGCCGCATTCAAAGATGGATGAGCTACAGGAGGCATGCCTCCGCCTTCCCGCTTTGAACAGCTTCACTGAAACGCAGGCCGCTCAGTAGAGGACCACATCTGACACGAAGCGCTGTCGCTCACAGACGATGCGCATGATCGCAGTAATCGCTGGGAACACCGTCGGACCCTACAAACACTGGATGTTGGCAGCCGTGGAGCTTGCACATGCGGAAGGTCGGCGCAGGCGAGGCTCGCGGACTGCCTGGATTCGGCTTCCCTGCTTGGAACGCGTCTCGGCAACGCAAACCACAAAAGTCGTGCACTATAGGAGTGATCAACGTGCGAAGGAGAGGCGGCATGATCAACCACGCACCGCAGCCGTCTGCGATGTATGCTGGCCTCGATGCGCAGTTCTTGACGCAGTGTTCACAGGCGTACGACAACAGACACGGTAAATTCGTACCTTGCAAAGTTGTACGGACTCTTCGCTGTTGAGCAGCTTCATCGCATCACGATGGGTCGTACCGCAGTACGAGGAGTACGATCCATCGGGATCCTGCCACACTGATCGTTGGCAGCCTGGGTATTGACATGTCGTGTCCTGCGTGCGTAGCGTATCGGCGCACATCCTAGGTGAATACTGTGCCGAACTTTGGGGATGATGGTGGATGGGGAACGAGAGCTCGCATGTCCTGAGTCGGACGGGTTCATTATACGGACAGTTAGACGATAAGGTTTCATAGATGGTGCACTTCGAAGCTACGAACATACACACAGCAGGTCAGATGCTGCGAAGGTGTTACTTACATGTGAGCCTGGCCACTGCTCTTGTTTGGACGTTATCCACGTCTCCTGTTCCCCCTGATATGACCGCCCTTCTCCCATTCAAAAAGGTCATATTTGCGGTCTGCCTACGGGAGACTACCTGTTCCCATTGTAGTGCTCAGCGGTTGCCAGTTACAGTGGCGCTTGACCGATAAGGTGCTCACCAAATGCAGCCAAGTGCTCCCCTCTGTCCGACTTTACCTTGCTTGAGCTCTTGCTCGCAGCCGCGACAATGTGTCGCTACCACAGCACTTCTTATCACACCTACCATTATGTTATAGTGCCATATCCGGCTCCTGCGCACCACCACCGACCATATCGTCACCGTAGTCCAGATCGTCCAACCATGTCGGCCTCGGAGCACCATCACCGTCAGGCTGAGAGGCCACCTAGCCCAATGGACGTCGAAGTACCAGAGGCACCAGGTGCGTTGTCATTGCGAAGTATGAAAGTGAAGCTCAGATGCAGGTCGTGTCGCGGACGAAGTGGTCCCTCCGAGGCCGAGCGACTTCGAACGTTGGCTTCCGCGTCGCGGGCGCTCGAGGCCCTCCTCTCCGCCACACCCGCCCCCAGTAGTGCCGCCACAAGCCTCAGCATCGAGGGTGGAGGAGCCATCTCCAATTCTGTTCTATCACCGCCATGAGCCGTACTTCGAGTATGTATTCAGGTCATTCCGGCGTACCATTGTCGAGGTGGATTCACCGTCGCTTCATCAGGTTCACGAACTTTGCGCCCTACCCTATCCACTGGCATGGCCATACATATCCCACTGCAGAACATTGTGAGCCATCTAATCCGCTTTTCATCGCTCTCATGATCTCATATACGCTCAGTGTTCCAGGCGCACAAGTTCATGACGACCAGACCAGACGTGGCGGAACACATCCGCCACCTCCCCGGCCCACGCGATGCGCTCGAAGAAGCCGGCCGCCTACGCAGGTTCCAACGCCCAGATTGGTTCGACGTCAACGTCGGCATCATGGACCAAATCCTTGAGGCAAAGTTCTTTCAGCACCCGAGGCTGAGAGACATGCTCCTTGGAACAGGCAACAGCATGCTCATTGAGGACAGTCCGGTATGAGCGTCCCTCAAAGTGGGCTGTCTCGATGACTTACCTCTTGGGCAGGTTGATTCATTTTGGGGATGGGGTGCTGACAGCCAAGGGAGGAATGAGCTCGGGAAGGCGCTCATGCAGTTGCGCGACAGGCTACGGCATGCGCATGGTCACTTGTGAACTCGAGACGGCCTACAGCATAGGCAGAGGTAGTAGAAGTACATCTCGAGTGGTAGCCGAATGGCCTTGGCGACGCGACCTCCTGAGATCTACTAGAGGATGTATGCCTGGCGTGGATCCTGCCCGCGTTCCTTTCCGGCCGAATTTCCCTGCTGTAGCATTAGCGGCATCGTTGTGCAGTGTATTTCTTGATCGTGTAAACATCTTTCCGTTTGTCACTGTTTCTCGACCGTGCATCCTTGTCAGTCGTGTGCTTTTTGCAGCGCATTCTCAGCGTAAATGTCGAAGGCATCTCAAGTTCATGTCCACTTCGCGTGCGTTACGGCGAGCTCACAAGCCGTAGACACCAATCACCATGCTTACCGTCCCACTGGGGGCACGAGGATCCATTGATTAAAAGAACATCACGAACTTGCACCGTGCCAACATCTACTCATTCCGAGCGCTCTGCGCTAAACGTAGACTCGGAGGTGTTCCATCAAACAGCGGCGCTACGATGAATCCTCTGTTCACGAAAGCTAGCCTTCGTGAACAGAGGACACATCCCCTGGCAATGCACCATGGCGATTCACCTGGAAAACCTATTTGCTCTTCCAGTTCACATTTTTGTTGAACACTGATGCGGATGAGAACAAGATAGAAGGTGGACCACTGCGCGACTCGGACCTGTAGCAGCGCGAGCATCTGTTCCTGCGTTAGTGTTTGCTCTGAGGCACGGCAATAGTTGCTTAGATGCTTAGATAACAAACATACAATGTACGTGGCGTGCGGAAGGCGTCGCCGTCCTAGCTTTGTGGTAATACGCATAGTTGGAGGTTCGACACTTGCTTGACGAGAGCAGGGTCAATTCAACCAAGTGGGAATCACCTATATGGGTCGCGCGTAAGTACGGCTTCTGAACTCGACGGAAAAATGAGGAGATGAGTATCTACCTCTGCTGTCATATCAGCCGAGATGTTCGAAACGTCACTGTATTTCATCAATTGAGGGTCATTGTGCATATATACGGCGGGCGCCAGCAGCCCATTCCGTGCCAAACTCGACCTACAATACACATTGTCGTCGCGAGAATGCTTTGGGCTGGCGAGCAGCCTCTGAATCAAGGAGACGGTTTAATGTACGGGCACGCCCGGGCGTGATGAGCGCAAGCCGTGTCTCTAACATAGACCACCGTCCACATCATTGGGATTCCGGCCTGGCAACGCATGTACCTGTAACGGGGTTTGAACGATTGGAGGACATGCCCAAGGCTATCAGTATACTTCAACTCGCACACAGCAGTGTCGCAAAAAATCGGAGTAACAAATGCCAGCCTGTGCTCACCTCGCGGAAGATGATCAATATTAGATGCATTCTATTTTCCATGACATGAATGGCCTGGAACACACCGCCTTTGCCGGCCGAGGACTGCTAGATTGTTGTAGTACTACGTTGTCATCAGTGGACCGCGGCAGGCTTCCGAATGTGCGGACCCGATGTGTCGCCGTACGCGGTGTGACCGTTCGTTACCAGCCCGACTGAAACGAGGTACTCACAGCATGTCATGCACAGCTTTTTCTCTGAACATACCAAGATTGAACATGACGCCAGTGGCATCCAACACAGGGTGTCGTAACAGTTGCGGGCTGGCTTCACGTTCAAGTTTGGACTTCCAGCCTGGTACACTGAGTCACTGACAAAAGCCGACGAATGGTCCAACGAAGACGTATAGCGTCGCAACGTTAATTCTGCTTGCGCCTGTTTCGGGGGGATCACAGAAATGGTTGTTATTTGCAGGTCACTGGCAGCTTCAAGGGGAGTCACTCACGCTGTCATCAAATGGTCTACAAGTTCGTTACCTTGGCGCCTCCCGCCCTAAACACGTTACTGATCATGAATGTACGTTTTAAGCAGGCGCTGCCACCCTTAGCTCGAGTCGTTAGTAGGTGCGCCAGTGATGCACACGCTGCAGCATGCTGATTGCGAGCGTATCGCCGGCTCTATTGAGGGCGGGAATAGGTGGACATGGGGGAGGCCTCGACCGCGCCCGTATCTTCGAACTTTGTACCCCAGCATCGACGCAGTTTCTGACGGATCGCCCGACATCGCCGCTAGTCAGATCGCTATCTCATCGCATTGCCCAGATCGCCGATGAACTTGAATGACTCGACCTAGCTGAAGTAGGCAACTGCACGTAGCGCGGTGTCTAGACCAGCGCATTGCGTTTGGGCGTCCGCGTTACCATGTATGGCTGTCCGCTTCATCGGAATGCCTGAGTCAGCAGTCCCGCCGTGTGGATGTCGAGCTGGTGGGTACCAAAAGCTGGCGAGAAGCTCTTTCAAAGGGGCATGAGTAAAGAGTCGATAACATTTTCGCCGCGCTAATGACTCTCCCTCTGCGGAGGTAAATTAAGACGATGTTAGACAGTGTCGATAGGGTATACATGCACCACATACCGCAGTCGACATGTCTACAGCCCGGATGGGATATATTCGTGTTGTCGATTCCAAGGTCGGAAAACTGAGCGCGTGTTGACGCTTAGTTGCTGCAGGGGGGATGGTCACATACTAAGAGCATGGGGCGACACTACGAAGAGGTGAGAAGAGATGGACGAGAAGTGGTAGTATATGCCTGGTATATGCCACCCAAATGGGACATGAGCGCTTGAGTGCTCGGTGCCACCGCGGAGCCGGCGTCTGATGCAAGTCTGATTCTACTGCATCAATTATTAGCTACAAAGTTCTTTGTAGCGTCTATCATATATACAACCTGCACACCTAGAAGGAGAAGGAAGGCCTCGCGCTCGTGAGCGATGTATGCCATCAGAACGCTAAGTCGACACACCATATGCCGGGCGCCAGGGTGGTACTGTGCACCACGTAGCTAGGTACGCGTACGATATGTCATGACCACCTAGTACGTAGGGCCTCGGCCGTGTAGCAGCTTCGACTCCGCACCACGTCTGAGTAATTCTGGGGTCGAGACTCGAGACGCGCGCTGGAAACCCACTACACCTAGTATCGGCCGCATGCTCATGTAAGTTAAGGACTATACCATATCTGGTTCACTCACCTGAAGGGAGTAAATCGGGCAGTGCGCATCCTTGTTTGGAAAGTCTTTAAGAACGAATTGATGCGGGGGCAAATCGACTCAGCTACCCCTATCCCATCTGTATTGTTCAATCGCAAATTGAAATGCGGTATCTGCTTCCGCTACTGATGAGTGGAGCGGAGGCAACCACATGAATGCGTGCCATATGAACGAACTGATAGTAGACACGAGGCATAAGATGGGGTGATATGGTTGCTGTAGGAAGGTTCAGCCTCAATGAACTCACTTACCCGCGAGGTGTCTGTGATTGTGACTCTCGCCGTAAGGTATGTCATCATGCCATGAGCGTGCTCGTTGAACAGTGGACTACTTCGTTGTCCAGCCACGGCTGCTTCCGACCGTGACGAGACGTCGGCCCCGATGATGGCACCGAGCATCTTGTCGCTTCTGCAGACGCTGCAGCGAGTTGTATAATTCCAATATCGTCCGTCTAAGTGACGTAGTGACGCACGTATGAATTTAAGAACGAGAAGTAGTCGTTGAACCGAGGTTGCGTTACTGGAAATCTGAGAATCAAGTGGCAACCACCATACTCAATAATATGAACGCAGAGCTACCTCCGGATGTGCCATACCTACGTGTTGTCGCACGTCAACTAGTTCAGTGGAAATGGGCAATTCCAGTACAAGATCTGCCCCGTTCCCGCACGCCCACTCTTGTATAGACCACGAACTGTCGGTGTCACCCGCAGATAGATTGGTCCACCCCAAGCGGGCGATGAACGTCCACCCTCCCGCGCACCTCTGGTAAGTGCTCGGGAGGCACCGTACGAACCTATCCTTACGACCGGCTGTGTCGAGCAGTGTTTCGGCCACAGCGAGCGCCATGTCCGACGCACGCAAGCTTCGTTACACCGCGGTATGCGGACTGACCGGGTCACGACTCGCGCGAGAAGCCAGTGGCGGTCAGCCGCGGCCGTAATGCGGCTAGGCCAGGTTCTGTTGGGATTGTGCTCTTGTTATCTTGACTCAATCGGTGTGCTTACGGACGTCTTCAAAAATGCCGTAGTACTTTCGTAGCGCGTACGAGATGCGGCGCACCGTCGGTTAGAGGACTTCGCGGATGCTCCAACTTGCAGCCTACGTGCATGCAAGTGGGTGGTGCGCTGAGCGGCTTCTACTCGCTTTCTTGCCCCTCGTGCCGCTGGTTATAGTCGCTACGCGTTGCTTCTCTGTCGTCATGCTGTCGGTCACTTTGCAGCAGGCATTCGCGGTGGCCCCGTCAAGACGTAAGTCTGCCAATAACAATAAACAAAGGTTGTCATTCGCCGAGACTCACGGACAAAAGCGGAGTTGACAATACTAGGATTATCACGCATGGTGTCGGCTACACGCCGGATGACATGTCCAGGCGAGATGCCTAGCGCACAGATAGATGCAACATGCATTGCTTCACATGGCGTCCTGGATGCGATTGAGGCGACTTGGCTCGGCTAAGCCGGGGGCTGAGAGGCCTTCTTCTCTCTTCACTGAGGCCTCGCACATAGTTCGTCGATGTTCTCGACATATATTCGATTCTACGAGAAAAATCATTGTCGACTGAGGATAGAGGTAAGGCAAGAATGTTGCATAATCATACCGGGCGACTTGTCGTTACCGTGGTTCGTTGGCCTACGGGCTCACTATAGACCAGTAGGAGTGCCAAAGACAACACTAGATTGTCTTCGGTAGATTTCCATCTGTACGTGGCAGCGGTTCCAATGACGCCGCGGCGAGCGCGCAACAAACGGCAAGTGAGTCCTCCCGGCTCCCCGGCGAATATGGCTGATCAACACGCAAGACGCCGTTACTTCTCCCGCGTCTTACGACAGCACATCTCACGAGTCCTTGCAGGCCAGCCGCGGGAGGAAATTGCGTCCCAGAGGCCGGGGGATCTGAGGATCTTCTCAACCCAAATCCCGATTGTCGAGATTGATGAACGTACCGCCGCGCCGTACCTGCCTCGCTAAGCTGACTTGCTTCGCGGCTAGCAGTTTTTCGATGTAGGTGTAGTGGGTGGCGCGCCCTGGTAGACGTGGCCCGATAGCCGCGAGCGTTCTTCGGCGCCCGTTGCCATAGGAAAATCTGTGACGAGAGGCAAAACATGCGAACAAGAGCATATCGCGGGCGGCTAGCACGAAAATGTTGAATTGGAGAAGTCACGTACGGAGGAGCGAGGGCTAGAAGGCGGGCGACCCTGGCACCGTGACGGCAGGAAGATTCACGGATCGACCACACATATGTGTTGCATATGTGCGTAGATATGGGTCACTGACGGCCGACGGCCGGTATCGCATAAGTTGTGCGTGGACAGACATCACTGGGTCGGCTTTCTACGGGGGCAAGCGAGAACTCAATGACATTTGGCGTATCAAACACTCTGCTATACGTACCTTTGACCACGGTGTGCGAAAAAACAAGCCTAGGCTGCGGTGGTAGCGCAGTACGGCCGAGATCGCTGTGTGTACGTACGACTTTGCATTCGTTCAGAGACTTGCGACAATGGACCATCTACGGTACAGACGTGGCTTAGCGAGCATGTGATCCCACGCAGCTTCGCGGGATCCGCGCCACTGGCGGACCAGGCAGAAAGTATAGAGCGCGGGCCTGGGCTAGAGAACGATTAATCCGCACACAGTAAGGATTGTCGAGTTCGGGCCAAGTTCGGGCGCATAAAGTGTGGAGACTGACAACCTGGCCCGGTTTCAAGATGGTGGCGCAACAATCCGCGGCGAAGGGCACAAACTAGGCAAGTGCTGTAGAGCTTATGTAAGCATCCGCGCGACCCTGTGCGTGCGAGGTCGGTCCCGTCCTCGACAGCGACAACGGCGACTACAGGCTACGCGGCGTGGCTCATCATTGTACAAAGCACCAAAGACCTTGGCCACAACCATCGGGATCACGAGCATCATCGAGATGGTAAGTCGCAATTGCGCGCATTGGGGTTGCGTTTTAGTAAACACGTTCATCCAAGATAGTCTTTGAAAGGATTGTCGTCGCCGACGTCCTTACAGACGGCCTTCGGGCAGGGTAGCGCGGGGGCCACACCAGCAGCAGTATCGTCCGCATCGACATCGGCGGCTGTGCCAATGCCGCCCGAGCTCGAGCAGACTCTGGCGATGCTCTCCTCGCACCGATCGGTCCTGGGCTACATGCTCCTCACGCGTAGCCACCCCATCACGATCATCAGACACTCCGGCGTTGTCTTCGAAGGCGAGCAAGGCCGCAAATATGCGAGCGCAGTCGGGCGGATCGTTGAGAGCGTGCACCGAGGGCTGGAGGAAGTCAGCAGCGACCAGTCAGAGCCGGTGCGTCCTTCCCTTTCCTGCGCACGGCCGAGGCCAGCTCCATCTTCCGAGCGACACTGGTGACTGACAGTTGTGCGACCTGCGTCGTCCCTTCTCCTAGGATGATATGCGGTTTATGCGAATCCGTACCAAGCGGCACGAAATCATGATCTCGCCCGGTACGTCACGCGCGCACTGGACCTGACCCCGCGCATGCCGAGTCTCACGGTTTGTGTCGCAGATGAGCGGTACCTTCTCGCAGTCCTCCACGATCCAGCATCATGAGAGCAGCTGTCGTCACTGGTATGGTGCGAGGGCATTTCGCTGTGTCGTCGACTTCTAGTGTATTGTGTACGTGTCGGATTGATACCCTGCCTTTATCCCGCTGGTGCACCGTTGTGTGACTAGGGGTCACCACCGCTGTCTGAACCGAGTTCGATGTACCTCGGACGGGAGTGTAGCATGCATTTGGCTCCTAACTGCCACTGGGCAGGGCTGGTGTGGCGGGAGGCCTCGGCCGGCGACACTGTAGGCGCGATAGGCGAGAAGGACGATATTGCGATCATGCGCCACATGGAATAAGGCCGGAGGCTGGTGTGTCCCTGTTTCCCTCGCCGAAGTCGCCGCCCTGCTCAAATCGTGATCTAGTGCGTCTTCTGAGCGGGCTGACATAAGCTCCTCCTGCCTCTAACGCTTATCTGGCTACCTGCCGTTTGCGTCCGTTCCCCCACCAGCCGGCGATGCGACTCTGTCTGACTTGCGTGCGTCGGCCGCAGCGGTATCGTGAGACACAGGCGGTCTCAAACCAAGGGACGCTGCCTGAACCTGACTCAGACAATCGCCCTCACGATGCGCGGGGGTGGGCGGCCCGCCTTGTATAGCAGGACAAGGCCAAGCGGACGGAGAGATGCACGCGGCAGTTTCTTCACCATGGCTAAGTCTCGACCCTGAGCTTCCCGATGCTAGTACCCATCCTCGCCGAAGATAGATATCTCGCCAGTCACTCCCGAGCAACTCGGAAAGCGTGTGCAGTCGCTTTGTCTCCGTCGCCTATGACGTGCGCAACGGCAGTCGCAATGCTGCTTTGTACACAAGACTGCGAAGCAATGGCGAGCTCGCTACGAATATCAGGAACGCCTCGCCTGGATTCTGTGCTCTTTCAGGGGAACGTGGGGACTGGACAGATAGGCATGACCGGTTGCGCCCGCGTGCTCGGTTCTCGGTGATGTTTCCTGTCCATCACGCCTCTGACGGCGTGCGGAGTTACAGACTTCGTTAGCCAGATCTCAATTTCATTCCAGATCGCTCGCCCGCGCAATCGAGATGCGACATCTCGCATGCTGGGCACCAACAATGAATTCTCAACGTAATTTCGTACCCTATTTTCTCGGTCCTTTATTCGCCGCGTCCAATCCAGGCTTGCCGCCCGGGTTGCATATTACATCGTCGCTGTCCAGCGGACTCACCCTCCCTCTCCTCTATTCCCTCCGAGATAGCACCGACCTCTACGTCGTCTACGACGCGTGCGAGTCGTCGTCAATATGCCATCTACTACGTCCGCCACTCCTTCGCCTCATACCGGATCCTTGTACCTTCCACCCACTGCCCGCCGTAGCAGGGCCGCCGCTGCAGGACTACACCTCATCTTCGATTCTGCCTCGGACCGCAACTCTGATTCTTGCGCTGATTCGCCGAGCAGCTACTCGGACGCGTCCTTCTCGTCCGTCTCTTCCTCTGGGCCTGCAACACCTCTCAGCAGACCATCCTCCCCTGTGGTCGTAGCTCCCGCGGGAGAGAATGCGGATGGCGAAGACTGCTGGAACCTCATACCGTACCACGTTCCCTGGGGCAACGAGTACTGCGACTATAAGCCTGGTAGCCTCCCTGGTCCTGACGGGAATTGCTTCTTCCTGCGCTCACCGACCCCGCTCAAGTACAAGCGTACGGTGAGAGCATGCACGAAGTGTCGCGATAGGAAGGCGAAGGTATAGTGCCACCCGCGTTCTCACTCATGTGTCTGTCTCACCAATCTGCACCACAGTGCTCGGGCGATCGTCCCGCATGCAATCGCTGCGTGAGCCGCGGATATATCTGCCAGTACGACCCTGAAGAGCCCAAGCGTACGAAGGGCCCTGAGCTCGCCAGGCAGCGTCTGCGCGAGCGATCTGACCGTAACGTGTCTGTCTCGAACGCGACCGCATCAGGCGCGGCCGTCCCCTCGTCACTGAGCATACCGCCCCTCGTCCCGGCTGCATCATCTCCGAGTCATTTCTTCCCGAAGCGCGAGGAGGTCGAGATGCTCCCCGAGCTCGGCGAGCTTAGCTATCCTATCACGGAGGGCGACGTTGAACCTTGGCCGGCATTGCATTCACAAATGTCCGAACTGACGACATTCGACGGGTCCAGTACGGCGCAGAACGCATCGGCGAGACATCATTTTGCGCAGCCTATGGGCTCGCCGGAGTCTACCAACTCGCTACTCCTCCAGCATGACCAGTCTTCACAGGGATACGCCCTATCGAACTTGCCTGTCAACGACCAGTGGTCATACGCAGCCCACAGCCCGGCTGAACAACTAAATGTCGCTGTGCCGCTCGCATCGTCCGTCTATGCTCCCCGCCCCGTCAGGCGCTCGCAGGTATCCTTCCTAGCTGAAACCCAGCGCGTGCAGCCTCCGCCCGCTGCCCCGCCTCCCATCACCATTCCGCAACCACCTATACTGCAGCCCACGCTCGTCCCCGTCGCGGAGCCCGAGTTCGAACCTGCACATGTGCCTGCACCTCAGCCTATGTGGCCGAACGACGTGCAGGTCGACGCGTACGTCACGCAATCGGCACAGGAGCTGATCAACGGGTATGTAACCTACGAGTGCGTCCGTTCCCGTTCTCTCTGCTGCACCTACCTGACCATTGTTTTATTCTACAGTTACGCTCCAGCCACCGCAACATACAACTATGCGTATCCCCCGCCCCAGGAGTACATGCCGCAGGCCTACTACGACATGTCGATGTACGGCCAGGACGTCGGGGTTGCGCCCGCTGCTACGTACGTCGCGCCAGCAGCGACGTACGTTTCGTACGCTGTATAGGACTCTTCCCGCCTATCTCTCATCACCTTGCTCTGCTGTTCTCGTCTCGCACCCTCTAAGTTAAGCCGTCCCGTGTATATACCTGTACATTTACTACCACCTCATCGTCATAGCCATCGCCATCATCACCGCCATCACGTAGTGTACCTCGCATCCCGACCGACTGCTTCTCCATACATATTTATCCTCTCCCTTTGTTACATTACCACCATCCTCTCTCTCTGCCTTTGGATTTTAGGATTATTGTTTGGGACACTTGCGGCTCGGTTCGGTACTGGTCACGTTTACATTCACTCTCGTCCATCGCACATCGCATTCCTCCCGTACCATACCCACATCGTATACAAGTGCACTCTTGGGTAACCTCTCGAAGTCGTACACCTGTCATACCTGACTTAGTGCGCCGGAGCTCCGTCCTCAGAAGCAGCAGCATGTGCAGATACAGCGCCCGCCCGCGTCGTGCGAATGTGGCGTCCGCGGGCTGGCGGGCCGCCCGCAGGGTGCTTCTAGTGGTAAGCACGCGCGCCAGCCGCCTGCGAGTCCCCCGCCCGTAGCGCCGTACCGCCCCTGCACGGGCTGACATTTCCCGTCGAAGGCGACATCTGAACATTCCACACCACGGCGAGTCGTCGGCGACCACACGTTTGGCCTCGTCTGGTGGCACCGTCGCGAAGGGAACACATAGTTGATGGGCCGCGCACGGACCCCGCTCCGTCCCCCTGTGGCGCACGGCAGGGTCTGCGCAGGTACCACGGACGCGTTCGGTATGTCCTGGCACACCCCTCATGATAAATCGCGAATAAATCAAATATATCGCGCGGCAGTTCAGGAGCATGATCAGTCACCGTCGGTGCCTTGCGCTGCATGCGCGGGCTCCGGCGTACCCAGGCACCGAATTCCTCACGCGGGAGGGCGATTGCTCCCGGGCTCGCTGCTGAACAGAATGCGCGAGACCGACCGACGTGTGCCGTCGACGACTCGACGACGACGCACGCCGTCTCGGAGCGCCGATCGAGGACGCGCGATGCGGCCTGTTGCTCGATAGTTACGAATGGACAGGATGCATGCTGGGGGCTTCCACAGGGCTTCCCCGCCAAATGACATGCCGATCGCGTCCTCGGAGCCTCGGTCTGTTGACAGCGGTGTATGGCCTCCATTATGCCAGGGGTCCCGCTTATGAGGCGCCGATTGGTGACTTCGTAAGTCGGCAAAACGCCATAGCATGGGCGGGCTTGCGTCATGAAACTCGCGCGTCGGACAAGCTACAGTCTATCCTCTTGCCCGTCTTTGTCGTGGTCTTCTATGTTCACGGGTGGAGTTCACGATGCTTTTATTGCTTCAGCACTGGTGTTCACGGGCCAAAGGCACATACCGTACTGAGATGGGTCCGTAAATGACGTCGATACCTGTCGTTGGCCAAGTCGGGTTTCAACTTGAACCTGGGGCTGCCAGATCGCACGAAGGCGTCAGGAATGAGAGTGATTCCGTTTGGGTTCCGTGGTCCAAATGCAAGCAGTCAAGCATGTCAAGTATCACCCTTCCCTCCGAGCGAGTCGGGACCCTGGATCAATTGACTGACGAATGAATGAACGGCGAACGCACGATATGAGTGTAGGTAATCTCGAGAAGGCTGCTTGGAACTGCGGCGGCCAGGACCTTCTGCGCCGCGCCGCTGACATCTGCGAAGGCTAATATGAGGTAAGTCACGATTCAACGCATCAGGACAATATCATTAGGGCTGACAGAGGCTGCCTCTATCGCCGACTGGGCCACCAGGCCAGAGAGGCGATGAACTCGTGTAGCCTGCTCCCTCGCGCTGATAGAGGCTGACGTCCGCTGCGCGCTTGTCTCTACGGCGTACGGACACGGGCAGGTCGATGAGCCTGTACTGCCTGCTAGTGGTCCAGGTGGACCACCAAAATTGTCAACGTAGGACATATCCCTGTTGTCGTCCACTCATTCATTCCAATACCTGAGGATCATGCAGACTACATGCGAGGAGTGCTCCATCGCAGTGGCGGCTGCAGCCTGAGCTGTGAGCAACCACGATGACGTCTGTGCAAAAGCCAGCGGTGCCGGTGCGTACGCGGATAACCAGCTTCGTGCGCGTTCACCCTTAGCTGACTGATGGTCTCCAGCAGCCGGCGGATGCGCAGTCGGCGAGAGACTGGAACCTGCCAGGTCCTGTCAAGCTTGTCCCAATTGAATGGCCAATCTTCGTGTCTTCGTCGCGGCAGCCCGGATTCCCAGGGTGAGATTCTTCGCCTGAGGAAGGCGATGGTTGCCGTACGTGCGTACGCGTACGCGTACCCTGCACGCTGCACGCGCCCCATCCGGAAGTCCAAGGGCGCACGGGCACGGTCGGTCGTCGCGCTGACGTTGAGTCTGACGCTGACACTAACAACGCCGACCCGTCGGACATCCCGGCAGCCTGGGGTCGACGTGCGTGCGGGGTGCGGGCGTCGTTCTGCTTTCTCTAGAGAAAAAAGTGATACGCGTAGATGTGCCTCGCGCGTCGCTTTATCTGGCGCACTTACGTGGCCGGCCGCGGTGAGGGGAGATTCCTGGCAAGATACATCAGCTGGAATAACTGTACGTACGTATAAACCTGATGGTGCCGCGCAGGCGGCTCTGTTGGTTGCCAGACGTCGGGTTCTTCCCACTCCCGTGGCAGATCATCCGAGTCCGTCGTGGTTGGGAACCGGGCCACGTCGGACGCGCGGATATCGATTCGCAGACGGGTCCGTACTGGGAGTCGCTGCTCGGCCACGGTTGAGTCGGCCGTCGCGTCCACTGTCGTACAGATGAACGAGAGGGCCAATCCAACTACGACTCCGCAGGACGGGGCGAGGCGAGAGGAACGTGTCGTTTGAATGGACTTGGCCAGAGATACACAGGGCGCGCCCGCGTGGGTGGTTGCATCACCGGTACTCACGGGCTCGCCTCGCACTCGGCTCAGCTTACCCACTTCAAGTTCCTACCGCCACTGTTTACCCCGTCCCCATCCTCTCTCTGTCTTGTCCCCCCAGTGGCCATTTCTTCGACTCTACTCAGAATGCGTATACGAGATAACTTGCGGGAGGAACAACGCTCGACGACCATGACGCAGCCAACGGCCATCTGCCAAAAGTTCCACGGCGACGAAATTGGCAAGTACGGACTTGGACCAGTACGTGCGTCCATATCCCCAACAACCAGCACCTATGTCTTCGCTGTAGGTTATTTGTCTATCCCTCCACAGTCCCCCTGGCCGCTCATACCCAAGCAGCGCATCTCGGCGAGCTCGTCGCTCGACGAACAAACAGCCCGCCGTATTCACACGACACTCAGGAGGCAAAAAGAATTGAGGGCTCGCTGGTTCAACCGTCAGTTTTGCAAACTTGAACTCGTCACAGCTCCAGGGATAAGCAGAGACCTATTGGTGCGTGCTACATCGCTACACTGCACATTGGTACCGCAAATATTGGTCTACGCCCAGTCAACGTCCCTTTCATCCCCCCGCACTCTCCTCCTGTTCTGGCCTATGCCGCTCTATTCGCATCCACTTTCAGGCCATGTACAGTACTCACTTTGGTCCTCCGACCTCTTCGGAGCCGAACTGTGCGTCCGTATGCATATGCTTGTTTTGTACGAAACCACTCCGTGAGTGTCGTCGTGCATACTGAACAACCGGGGTTCTCGTATCTCTCGGTTGCACAACTACGATGACGCGGCCGACCGGCCGGCGTGCCCTCAAGGCTCACCGTATGCCCATAGAGTAACCCGAATTTCAAGTCCACGACCGGCATGGCAGACTCGGAGTTTAATGAATCCTTCCGGGTCGTTCTCATCGTCACTCGTAAAACGATCCTTGTGCGTACTCGTCGTTTCTTTCACTCAGCCATGAACACCATCCACTATGAAATGAGCGGTGGGTAGTCAATCCCTTTGGCACAGGCTACGATTCCCTGTACGACTAAATCACAATGCAACTGCGCTCTCATTCACAAATTTGCAACGGTAGAACTGTCACTGCCCCGGCTGCAAGCTCATGCGTGAATTTGTCCCTACTACGCAACACTCGCGGATTCGCTGCGTAGCTACCTACATAGTACGTTGGCACGTAGTCTTCGCATTGGTAATAGCATGGCGAGTTCGTGAACAACTCAGAGCATGTTCTTTTCGGCTACTAAGCGGTACCCATATCTGGGAGGAAGGGCCCAGCGTGCGGGCAGCGCCGATCCCCAAGCCAGACGAAGTGTCCCAACTTCTGTGGAGACGATCGTAATCGCAAACGCGAGCCCCTCGAGTGACACTGCTGACCTCACTGCGATATTCCTTAAACTTGTGGTGCTACGCGAGCCACCTACCTATTTCGTCGCGCACAGGCGTCGTCACGTAGCAGACGTGCACGGCGGTGCAGGTCGGGTAGAATGCCAGTAGCCCGGCTTAGTGGCAAGCGTTACGTGATTGTGTGGACTGCGCCAAGCCCTTCGTGCGTCGGCGGTTCGACAGCGTCACTACAGTCACTTTGTCTTTCTTCAGGAATGAGTCTGAGATAGGCAGAAGCACAGGCCATGGTGCGGCCCGCTACATCGCACAGCTGGTTCATTTTCCCCCGCTCGGGCAACCGCAGACCTCCGCGGTGGGACAATCCCCATCAGCGCGCCGAGTCGCCGCAAGTCTTACCTGTTCTCCAGACATATATGGACTAACCAGTGCCAGGAAGCGCGCGGACTAGTAGTAGTATGGATACGTGCCCTCCAATGCAAGCTCCGGATTCGGTTGAGACGTGCTGCATATGATGCGGTGCGCTAGCGTGTGTGGAATTGCAATTCGAGTTATTCGACTACAAATTGGATGGGGGTGTCTGACTCTTAGGCCCGGCGGAGGCTGCAGGTTGCACTCGGCGGCTTGGAGAGCGCTGCGCAGCGGGGTTCTCATAAGGGCAGGAGTAATGTTAGGTAGTTTCTGGAAAGCGGTGCGTTGCTGGGGGTCTTGGGGTTGCGTCACGGAGCAGAGAGGGCGGTCCGATATGCGCGGACTTGCGGGGAAGGCCGCGGTGTGCAAGCATACGCGCACAAGGCTTTGCTCAAGTGTGGGTACGAGTATAGCAGTAGCCTGTCCGACCAGATTCACGTTCCAATAAATTCTAAACGCAACTACTGCCAGCAGGCGGTCAGCACCCTCTCATCACCACCAGACACTGACCGCACGCACCACTATGAATACAGTACAACACGACAGCAGCCCGCCTCGCTCACCATTCACCAGACGCTCTGCTGCTGGGGCGGCACAGGGCTACTTGGTATGCTTTGCGGGAGGACCGTGCTCCGCGGCGCCTCCTTAAACGCCTCCGTGTCCTTCCGGTACTCGATCTTCTCCACGCGGACTTCGCCCTCGATGAGCTGGTAGACGTACGTCACGACGACGGGGCCTTGGATGTCCATGAGCGCGAAGGTGGGTGTGGGCTCGCTGGGGAGGTGCGTGGTTAGCAGGTCTGGCTGTGCGGGTGAAGAAGCCGGAGGATGGGGTGTGAGCGTGCGGACGCGTTGGGGCAGAACGTTTCGAGTAGAGGACTCCGGCATGCGCGGACACAACAGCAGAGAGGAGGCTCACCCATTCATGGAGCCTATCCACGCGCCCGTTGCAGAGCCAGGGTTGACAAAGAAGCGGTTGTCGTATTCGACCGCCTGGAATCTGCACCATGAGATATGAGTCGGAGCAGAGCACATCGTCAGCGAGGGCCGCACGCACGTATGTGTATGCCCAGAAATCAGCACATCGACGTCCAACTGCCTCGCAATGGCGCTGAGCGAGTCGAGGTCGCCCGTCGGGATGGACTGGTGCCCATGTACGAGGCCAATCCGTATCGGCGTATGCGTCACCGTCGCCGACAACGGGAAATTGCTCTGCACCGCGCCCCATGCTATCAGCCTCCATCCACTCGGTCTATAGCTCACGGAGACGCACCTCGTCGTAGTCGCCCCGGACGACGTGCACGTCGGGCGCGACGCTGCGGAGGTACTCGTACGTTTCGCGGTCGCAGACGTTGCCTGTGCAGAGGATCTGCTGGATCTTGCCCGGCACGAGCAGCTTCTTAAACTTGGCGGGCAGGTCGTGTATCCGGTGCGGAATGTGGAGGTCGCCGATGACGAGCACGAGGACCATCGCGGCGGCGGAGAGAATGAGATGAAGCGCGGTGGTGGTCGCGGTCGCGGCCGTCAGTGAGCTGCAGCAGACAGTACATACTTAGACGCGGTCGGTGGCTGAGGTGGCTGCGCCCCGCCCGAGCCGTTCGGTGACGAACTCGCGGCACCGCGAGCCTGTCCCTGCAGCCACGCTCAGGGTTTCCTTCGTTCTCACCACCACCCCCTGGTCCTGCCATTCGCTTTCGTTGCTCTTGGGTCGTCTGGCTTAGTTCTTGAGATGGCTCACAGCCTATCCGAACAGTGCACACCGCTGAAGCGCGAATACGACGCGTGCTTCAACGCCTGGTTTGAGGGCTACCTCGAGCCCGCCGTCTCCACCTCCGCCAGGCCAGAGGAGCGGCAGAAGTTCGCGCAGGAGAAGGCCGCGGAGTACGAGAGGAACTGCGGGAAGTTATGGGTGCAGTACCGCGAGTGCGTGCAGGTGCGTGCGCGCTGTGCTAACGGTGCTACATGGGTGTGCTGACGGACGGCTCAGAAAGCGGTGAAGGACAGGGGCCTCGAATCTTTGCTCGAGCAGGCACGGACGGAGAATCCACTGAAAGATGCGCCGCCCGCACCACCGGCAGAGTCCTCATAGCGAACGCCAGCTGGGGGGCGGACACGCATGGTCTCTCTCGACCCCCCACAGTGCACCGGTACGTCCGCCGCCACTCTGCGTGCACCGGAATCCGTTTGCTGCCATCCTTCCGGCCTGACTCTGCCGTTAGTGCCTTCTACTAGTTCTAGCTCCTGCCCTCTCAGTGTGAGAGCCGTCGCGCAGGCCGTTCTCTTCTGGCTCTCCGGAATCCGGATGACTGGCGGATACCGCCGGTAGTCTCCCCGGAATCACTGCTCAATTTGCATTGAACCCCAACCCAATGGACGCAATGCCTTGCTACTAGTCTGCTACTGTATTCTTCCTAATATCATGCCGCCGCATTCTCGAAGGCGTCGCGAAGGCTCGAACGAGCATTGGAAGAACGTGGAGCTGCCCCTGGCATTCCACTCGAAGGTGCATGATCGTCGATTCTGATCGTCCGTGCCGGCGGTCGCTCTGCCGCGCTTGTCGTTCTTTCATGGTCGGCAAAGGAGACTAAGTGCTCTCTGCCCTGCTTCGTAGGAAGCGCGAAGCTAGCTCGGATAGGCTCGAATCCTTGCAATCAGTTTGCATGTATATATCGGTCTCGCTACTTCTCGTCTTCAAAGTTGTTGCGTGCACATGAGTACGTCAAACGGTGCCGTCAATGAGTCATTACTGACGGGCCTTCACCAGACACAATAATTAGCGAGCTACTACCGAGCACTATACGCTGTAGGCTATAAGCACTGTCCCGTGAGTCTATGGTACATATCGGAAAGGACTGCGTTGAGTTTCACCAGACACGAAGAATATTATCATCAGAAAATTCAACAATCAGAAAGCGGAAAAGGCATCACAACTCGTCACACCTGCGAATATGCAGACAGGGTCCGCGCACCCAGAGTCGGCGTCAGGCTGCGCGGACCCAGGGGCCGCCCCCTCGCCGCCCCAGTAGCAATGTCCGTCGCGGTCCGCCGATGGCCCTTCCCGAGTTTCTCGGCCAGCAACGATGAGGACGAGAAGTCGTCTCCCTCCGAGCTCGACGGCCTCGATCTCGGTTTTGGCAGCGGGCGCAGCGGGGCGGGAACCTCGAGCTGCACAGGAAGGGGCAGGGGGCGGAGCGTCGCGCTCGCCGGGGCTTCATGCACCGGCGTGGACGGCTCGCTCACTGGGGTGGCGGGGTGGAGGCGCACGGGGGTTGGGGAATCGGCTTCGTCGACTGCGGCCTCCTCGAGGAGGGCGAGCTCAAGGAGGAAGCGGCCCTCCTTCCACTTCTCGGAGGCCTCGTGCGCGCGGACGATCTTCCAGCCGAGGTACGTGCCGCACGGCGCGCAGGCGGCCTCTTGGATCGTGTGCGCGCCTGTGTCCATGAGCAGGATGGACGGCGCGGCGAGGACGGTGTTCAGCGTGGACGCGTAGAGCACTGCCTTGCCTTTGTAGCCCCGGAAGCCGGTCTGTGCTGAAGCGGTCGGTGCGGGTTGAAGGAGAGAGGGAGAGCGGTGGGACGCACCCGAGCGATGATCGACGCGTCCGCCGCGATGGGGGCCCTGCATGACCGGCAAACATAGGTGATGGGTGCTCCACTCCGGCCCTCTCCTCCTCCCATCCCCATTCCATCTGTGCGCCGCAGGTCGGGTGCGCTGTGTCGCGCCCAGGTGGTCGTCGAGCCCTCGGCTATCGGCGCGAGCATGGTTGCGAAAGACGTCAGCAGCAGGTCGTGTGCGTGCGTGCGAGTCGTAAGTCGTGAGTCGTGGCGAACTGGGCGAGGAACGATGCGCGGGCGGAAAGCAAAAGAGACGAAGAGAGGCAGACGAAAGGCAGAAGCGTGAGCGTGAGCGCGAAGACGGAAGAGTGCGCGCGCGGGAGGGGCGGCGGGCAGCTATATAGTGCAGAAGCGGCGGGTGTTTCATGATCCAGCTGCAGTTCGCATCAGACACGTTTCGCTTGTCACTCACTTTGACAATTGGCGCGCCGTCTAGAGGCCTCCGGATGCACGACCATACACGGCCGGCCAAGGGAGAGCAGTCGGATTGTGGTGCGGCTCGTGAGCCCACACGGCCCGGGTATACTATCGGCGTGACAGCCGGCTTGCGGGCTGAGCAATTCTGGGCGCCCCCGCGCCAAGCAGTGACCTGAGTGCACTCGGACGACGCGCCAGACTGCAAGCAGACTGCAAGCTCGGCTATGTTGCTAGATAGATCTATGCACGTGCGGCTGAGTCATATAGAGCAAAGAAGGAAAATTAGGTTGGCTGACTCAGGCATGCGGCGAAAAAATGCAACAACAGCAGGAGTCGAACTTGAGACACTAAGCTATTCGCCCAGCGCTATTACCGCCTCGCCATGTGTCCGATATAGATTGCTCAACACACCCGTATATATATGACAGGGCCGTCAAGTAGACTATAGGGACTTACGAACTTAGACATATCGTGCTGTTGGGCACGCACCCAACGGTCAGCACCATGCTCTGGTGTGCACACTGGGCATCTATTATACATTTTTGCTGGTGTATATGCCAATCAGGATTGCAATATACCAAAACGGAGCAATATTTGACCTCACAGCCCGAGGAACCTTGAGTTCGTGTCAGCTCACTTGGCTCGGGCATTTGGTCACGAGGTGTCACCCAAAAGGGCAGGTGGATCGATTCGTAGGCAGCGCGGAAGACTGCTTGAGATCGGCTTGCATTGCCCGGCTTGCGATACGATCGCGGGCTGCGAACAAGCTCGGATCACGGGCGCCCCAACTCACTCGCCTCACACGCAGCGATCGGGCAGATATTAGTCGAGCTCGTAAGCTGACTGTGCTCGTCGGCGCTCGCAAGCTGCCTACGATCGTTTCGTTGGCGGTGTACTCTTACTGTAGCGGTGCTGCGGCCCATCATCACCGCGCATCTTCCTCGTTGGGCTGGCAAGCCGTAATATTAATGTGTGAGACGGACTGTCGTCCTCAAGCAACAGCTGCCCTCGACGCATCTCTGAAATTGTCCAGAGGCTATGTGAGCTAGCCCGCATGCGTGCATGACGGCCTCATATGACAGAAGTGATAGATACAGCACGGACGCTGATGAGCAGCATCGCCTCGCATTTGTAGATCATTCGCGCGCGATTGCTCGACGACGTTGATTGCCATATCTGTCTGTTCAAGTGCGATCCAATCTCGTCCCTCAGCCACCGCCGCCACCTTCGCCTCCAACCTCTCTTCCTCCTCCTCCTCCTCCTCCTCCTCCTCCTGCCACATCTCCAGACCTCGCTGTGCAACACGTGCCGCGATGTCCCCTCATCGCGTTTTCACCGGAACGAATGTCTTTGTGGACGGTACCCTGAAGCCCGCCACGCTCGTCGTCAATGTCGCAACCGGCACAATCAGCGAGGTCTACGACAGCGCACGCGCCCGGACGAGCTTCCCCGAGGTCGACGACGCGAATTGGATCGACGCAGGGGACAAGTACATCCTCCCCGGTCTTGTAGAGTGCGTCTCCTTCACATCCATGCCTATCTCGCGTCAATGACGCCGCAACCCCTGTAGTGCCCACGTCCACCTCAACGAGCCCGGCCGCACCGACTGGGAGGGCTTCTGGACCGGCACGCGCGCTGCCGCGTCTGGCGGCGTAACGACGGTCGTGGATATGCCCTTGAACTCAATACCCCCCACGACAAGTGTCGAGAACCTCGAGGACAAGCGGGTGGCCGCGAAGGGACAGTGCTGGACGGATGTCGCCTTCTGGGGCGGCGTCATCCCCGGGAATCAGGTAATGCACCCCTCGTCTCTGAAGATTCTGGATTGGCACTGTTTGCGCTGCTGTTTGTTAAACGAATCCTGCGCGGATGAGCTTGGTCAAATGACCTGACATATTTATGTTCGACACAATTACTAAAGGCAGCAGTACGATAGACTTTTCTACGGCCGTTGATCGACGCTGGCGTGAAAGGCTTCAAATGCTTCCTCATCGAGAGCGGCGTAGATGTACGTGGCCATGTTCATCCACCCCTCGCCGAACGTCATATCCATACAGGAGTTCCCATGCGTGAATGCGACGGATCTCAGACTCGCCATGGATCAACTCAAGGTGTGTGCCCTCCGCGGCTCCACGATATGCCCACCCAACTCCCATCGCACAGGACACATCCACAGTCCTGTGTTTCCACGCCGAGCTCGACAAGCTCAATCATCCCGCGCCGAGCACTGACCCGACCGCCTACAGCACCTTCCTCGCCTCGCGCCCGCAGCAGCTCGAGGTTGACGCGATAGAGCTCATCAACACTCTCCACAAGCAGTACCCCTCCCTCCGGTTGCACATCGTCCACCTCTCCGCGGCCGCCGCGCTCCCGCTCGTGCGCGCGGCCAAGGCCGCGGGCCTGCCGCTCACCGTCGAGACGTGTTTCCACTACCTCTGCCTGAAGGCGGAGCAAATCCCCGCGGGGCGCCCCGAGTTCAAGTGCTGCCCGCCCGTGCGCGAGGAGGGCAACCGGGAGCAGCTGTGGGACGCGCTCCTTGAGGGCACGATTGACTGCGTGGTGAGCGACCATAGCCCGTGCGTGGCGAGCCTGAAGTGCCTCGACGACGGGGATATCATGAAGGCGTGGGGTGGGGTCAGCACGCTTGGGCTCGGGCTGAGCTTGCTGTGGACGGAGGGGCGCAAGCGCGGTGTGGGGATCGGAAGGATCGTGGAGTGGTGCGCGGGAAAGACGGCGAGGCATGCGGGCTTGGATATGAGGAAGGGCACACTGAAGAAGGAATACGACGCGGATCTAGTCGTGTGGGACCCGGAGGCGGAGTTCACGGTAGGTCGTGTATTGGATCAGTGGTGTGGTGTGGCTCATTGCTGTGCACAGGTGACGAAGGAGTCATTGAACTTCAAGAACAAACTTACCCCGTATGAGGGTCTGACGTTGCAAGGACGGGTGGAGAAGACCTACTTGCGCGGGCAGCTTGTGTACGATCGTAGGGCTGGGGAGTTCGAGGGGCTACAGCCTGTCGGGCAGCTGCTTTAAGCTCAAGAAATGTATATGATGAACAACGATGGTGGTACATGTAGGTCAATGTTGTATACTACAGATGCTCAGAAGAAAGCTGACTGTACAGATCCCTCGATGCTCGAAGATGATGCGCACGCCTGAGTTCGTCGCGCAAACGCATGAGCGCCTTCCCCAACTCGTTCCTCCCTTGACCGTCAGCGCCCGAGCCCCAGAACGAATCGACCTGTTGAGAAGGTGAGTGTCATACCAAGCAAGTGCGAGGAGGCTCCGTACCGGACTGCCCTCGATGAGCATGCTGTCGGCTGTCCCAAGAAGCGTGTCTCTCAGCCGCGGATGCTGAGTGAACTTCGCCTCGAGGATTTTCTCCATAATGCTGACATTGACATCGAACCAGTCAGTGCGTTGGAACCTACGATAGCGCCGCGCCTCCTCACGCGCGGCGCGTGCGCTGGGCAGATGGCGGATCCGTTCAGCTAGTTCTGGCTGAGTTGACATGAACTTATGGGCCTGGAACACTTAACAGTGTTCATGAATATGTTAGGTTGGCGCAAGCCTAAGACAGTGGGATGGACACACGGTGTTCTGCGGTCGGATACCAATGCCCGTTCCATTGGATGGGTGACTGGGCGAAGTTGGTGAACCTAGAGAATGGAGATGTTGCTCTTTTCACAGACTATCCACTAGGTTCGAGTACGTACTCGAAAAAGGGCTCATCGCGGTGGTAGAACACGATGCGGGCCCCATGGTCTGCCACTTCTGGCCGCAGAGCTGGAGCCTCAGGCGAAGGGGAGCGGGAGCCTGAATGGCTGTGGGCTCGACGGCATTCAACTTCATGTACGTTATCCATGGCCGCGTTATCTGCGAAATTGTTTCCATACACAAAGCTGCTTCCATAGGTGAGACGCGTGCTGCGTACCTTCTTCATCCGTTTCATCGATAGCTATGGGGCTCAGTGCTCGTGCAGAGTGATGCATGCGCGACTCAGACGCTGGCTTATTGCTTTGACCACGACGTTGAGGTCTCTGGTCAATCATTGGTCGATGAGGCTCTTGAGGGCAGTACCACCAGCCTGTCCCTGGTTCCGCCATCAGGGTCAACATAACGAGTAGCTCGGGCGAGGACATGAGCAAGAAGGGAGATATGTCCCTGGCGGCAACATCGAGTGAGTCGACATGCGTCGTTGACAGCGTGGGCACCAGTCGAGCAGCTCCGTAGAAGCGACTACCATATACATATACCGGCCTATGTTGGGCCTATGTATATACTTGACTTCTCAAACTCAATCTCCTCATGTTTTTCCCGTATAAGACTCGATATAGACTGCATGCATCAGGGGAGCGCGTCTCATCCACGACCCACTACTACTCGCTCCTGATCAGCCCCGAAGACATGTGCTCGGATTCGTCACGCACGCAGCACACATCGTGCCAGTATCCTGGTTGTCGCCTTAATGTTTGGCAGGATCCCGATGGGTCGTATTCCTCGTACTGTGGTACGAGTCATCGGGATGCTATGAGACAGGTGAAGGGCGGCCCACAAGGCTCTGTCAAACTCTGCAAGGTGCGGATCGTCCGACATCTGCCATCGTCCATCTTATCCTATCCTGACAAATTGTAAAGCACTGCGAAGCACGGCCGGTGTACGTCGAAAACAATCGCGGTGCGTGGCGCAATCATACCCTTGACGGTCTTGTACTTACATGGCAGTCTCCAACAGAGCTCGACTTCTGCGGTATACGCTGTCGCACCGCATTTCAGAAGGGACAGGAGAACCCAGGGAGTGTCCGTGCGTCGCCCGCCCCCACATCACCTGCCACCTGCAAGCTCCCCCAATGCGAGAAGCCAGTATTCGTGGACAGAAATGGCGTGCCAGGTGAATACTGTACCAACGCACATCGCCTGTATGTTGTCAACCGCTTTGGTCGTAGTTTTACTCATTCATACCATAGCGAGTCCATTCGGAACGCAGGGGCAGAGAAATGCCTTTAGTACGGACTGTTTCACTCTAGAAATGGCCATGGCAACCCACTGAACGTCTGCATGAATAGTTGCTTGAGGTGGCCGAAGGTCATCATGAATGACACGTTGAGTGATTTCTGTTCCAAACGATGCAGTGAGACCATCTTCACCTCAGGCGAGCATCATCGATGAGCATCAGGTACAACTCAGTGTCGCTGACTACCAGCAGCACCTATTCTACTCATTATCAAGAACGATATGGAGTCCTTCAAAGATGGTACCCATAGTCTCCAATCGCTGTGCAACAAGTCTGAACATCGTTCCTCTCTAGTGTCGAAGCAATTTCGGGATCAATGGAAGCACCGGACCGTTGTTCCCACTGTCGTCCAGGCAAGCTAGCATTCCGCCACTACCGCAAGGTTACCTATGCTCATTTATAGACAGATCTGGAAGATCTACAGCGACAAGCAGCATAATGATCAGTTCTCTCGATACCGTCTTGAAGTGGAACGCACGAGCGGTGTGTCAGGCGGTAACAGCAAACGCCGTTGGCACGGGACGATCCGTGCGTGCAGCATCGGGGATACTGAGAGACAGTCCCACGTGTGCAACAGCCCTGCTTGTTCGCTCTGTGGAATCATCAAGGTTTGTCAATACATGTTCACTTTTCTCTATCGCAGAGGGTTGAATGTGCTACGTGTCACCGCCCCACCTCATAGACGTCCTTCCGCCTTGCGAGATTTGGCCATCGCACGAACTTCGGTCGGTTCGGCGCGGGCATATACACGTCCGCGACTTCCTCCAAGGCCAACGACTACATCCAGCAGCAAGGTCGATCACCATACAAGGCAATGCTCCTCAACGACGTCGTGATGGGCAAAGTCATCAAAATGACCACCGATAACCCGACGCTCACTGCGGTAAGCATGGAGCCATCGTGGAGCGATCTCACTGAGGCGGTTTGCCTCATCTAGCCACCTGCGGGATATGATTCGGTGGTCGGCGAGCCTGGCAGAAGTCTCAATTATGACGAGGCCATTGGTAAGATGCTGTGCCAGTGTTTGCATGTCGGCCATATGCACTAACGACGGGTCTGCTCATCTTGTTCAGTCTACAAGGTGAGCAGGGTCGTTCCTCGCGTACGTGTCCAGGTGCTGACAATACCTGTAGAATGAGGCCATTCGTCCGCTCTTCCTAGTCATCTTTCGTCCCTGACCGCTGCCGCGCACTCGTCAATCAAATTTGCTTCTGTAGCGTTGGCGCTGTTGGTAGCGTTTGCTTGTAAAGAATATGCCAGTGTACACATACGGTGCCAGGTGAAGAACCAAGAGGGATGCGCTTCATCTGCGCGCACGATCGTCGTACTCTCCTGCTCTAATGGTTGTACCGCCAGTTGAACGGTAAGGAAGGTGCATGGTTTCTTGAGAAGTCCGAACCCATCGCGACACTCAGGCAGTAGACATTGATTTGAGGCGCCTGCCGAACGCCTTCGACGTTCACGCTGAGAAGGAGCGGCACAGAACATGCTATCAATAGCAGGGTTGCACGTCACTGGCACGGATGAACATCATGTAGCTGCACGACACACAGACGGGCGAAGTGTCGTTGTGTGTAGCCATGTTTTGGAAGTCCTGAGCCTATCTATAATACAAGAGGCGTGGAATTCGCACGGGAGACAAAGAGAGCATCTGATTGGCTGAGAGACGGACACCGAGCGCCGCCCGAGCCCCGAGCGCTCTTTCACCGCGCGCGCTGCGAGAAAGGTCATCGTCGCGTCTCTTCGTTGTTTACCTCGATGATCATTTCTGGATTTGAATGGCTGGTGACGGGGCCTAGCGGGCTCTGCTTCTCAATATCTCCGAGTGTCCTGCACGACCGGGAAGGGGAGGAGACGCTCAGGAAGAGCCCGGCGAGCATTGTGAGCGCGACAGGGAAGGTTCACTGATCCAGTGTTGTGCCTCCTGGCCGGAATCCGACCAAGTCGACAGCTCCGACTGACCGGTCGGAGATCCGGCCATTCCGCCCGCAGGAATCCAGGAATCCACGTGATATGTCGCCGCCGGTGGCGGTCGTCCGCGCGCTGGTATGTAGCACTAAGCAGATGAACATCGAACGGGTACGTTTGCGGTGGAATTGCTCAGGATGGAGGGGCTTGTGGGGTCAGCCATAGAGTACAGTATACAACAGATAATGCACCCAGGAATGAGCACCATTTCGCCTGCACTATCTGTCTCACCCCTCGGCAGCCAAGTCCAGCAACAGTCCGAAATGGCGAGGTTGGCAAGATGTGTGGTGCCGCGTGAGCCTGGAACGGAGATGTCCTCCCAGACACAGAGAGGATCTGAGCTTTCACTTTGGAGGAAATTTGGTGCAGGGAGAGGTTCCTCACGGCGGCATGCTCATTTTCGGCGCGATCGCGAACAATTTGCGGTTGCGACTCGCAGCCTCGGAGGTGTTGGGGGCAATTCTCGCTACGGCTCTCGGACCAGTGGTACTGCTGTGCACTACGGTACCTAGGATGTGGATCGAGACTCCAAGCTACAAGAAATCAATGCATATATCAACTACAGTAACCTCTCACTTATGAATCTACGATAGGCCACCTGGTTGTCGTCAGACTGCCGATGAAGCAGCTGGCCCAGCTGCCTGTCAACACATTTCTTATATCAGACTTTCACCTGTCTTCCTTTGGTGCAGCATTCGTGCGAGTTCCTGTTGTATGCCATGGGGTGATCATAGAAGCAGATGCACCTCCAATTCCGGCTTTGAGGAGTGCCCGTTGAGCCATCACCTTGGGCACTAGTATCGGCCATGAGCAGGTTGCCGTCGCAGCACAGACAAGAGATCAAAGCGATCGAGTATATTGATAATGTCCTACGCTACATCGCGCAACACTGCGGACAAAGCGGATTGTGGGAAATTCGAACATCGGCCTAACATAGGCAGAACGAGTATATCATCTCGCGGCTAATTACGGGGACCTAACATAGCGTGACAAATTGATTTGGTATTACTATGTTCGGGACCTGACAATTGAGGCTAACGATGGTATGTTCGGTGGCATAACATAGGTCACGTTTTCGCCGCGATGTTAGGAGCCCGCACAAAGGTGGAGCATGCCGCATGTTAGGCCAATGCTCGTGCGTTGTGAGGAGCCAGCCCATGGGCTCCGCGAATGTCTCAGAACATGGTTAGAACGTGTATACCATTTAGAATCTTGAACATTAAGTATTGACGGTAACCGACCATTGGAAGGCACGGCTCCTGATTGGCTGGCTTACAATGTTCGGGCTCGGACCATACAAAATATTTGGAATTGATAAGATATACACGTTCTCGCTATGTTCGGACCGTGTCAGCACTCCGCACCATGACGCATGGTCGGGTTCCTCACAACGCACGAGCATTGGCCTAACATGCGGCATGCTCCACCTTTGTGCGGGCTCCTAACATCGCGGCGAAAACGTGACCTATGTTATGCCACCGAACATACCATCGTTAGCCTCAATTGTCAGGTCCCGAACATAGTAATACCAAATCAATTTGTCACGCTATGTTAGGTCCCCGTAATTAGCCGCGAGATGATATACTCGTTCTAACTATGTTAGGCCGATGTTCAAAATTCCCACAATCGGCTTTGTCCGCAGTGCAAAGGACAACGCGTAGACCACCGTGACGCGAGTCACGCGACGCGCGTCGCGCACCGCGGCAGTCGCCCGTAATCGAGTCACATGCCGGTTCTATTCAGCCAATCAAAGCTGTGGCTGATACGCCTGGGAAAGACGACAGCTGTCGGAAATCCGACAGGATCAGTTACGGCTGCCGGCTCCGGCCATTCCTGAACGCAGGAACTGCGGTCGGTCGGTCGGAGGCACAACACTGCGTGACTGATCGAATTCATTCACAGCTCATCTGCCTCGATTCGGACACGATAGTCCTTGAAGCTTGAAACCCAGTGAAAACGTCGAATTATCTCAGCGATTCTCATATAATCAGTAGCAAATCCCCATTATCTGGGAGGACACCGTCAATATGGGCGGCAGCTGAGCGCCATCACATTTCCCACACTTACGCCTGCATGTACTCTGCTCGTGGAGTCGGTTGTCGTGTCGTGCCCTACCTGCTCGTACAGATTGTCGTCGAATTTCCTCCTCTCAGCCGCTGCTCTACGCGGGTTCTTCAACCATCCGTGTGATCATGTATGTACAGTTGAGACAATTCAGCGTGTTTCCGTCATTATCTGTGGCTGTTCGTTCGTTCTCTGCATCCCAGTCACACTGGCAGTCCTTGGTCAACCGTCTCGAGCTCGGCATGGCTTCTCAACAGAACAATACACTCAATGAAGAAACTTGGCTATGTGGCTGTTCCAAATGCAAGAAGAAGGGTAAATCCTGGCGAAAACGGACCACCTGGTATAGACACCAGAGTCAGCGCGATGCAGATGTCCGGAATGGGCTCCTCCCTGCTCGTTCGTCGCTTACGAAACGTGCCCGCGAGGAAGAACCTTGCGATGAACAACGAAACACATGCCCTCGCAGCGACAGTGGAACTCGTGAGGAGGATCGCGACACGGCGCAAAGCATGGACGCCGTTGTGCCGGAAGACGGTGTTCTTTCCGGAGGCATCACAGTATGTGTATCCGTGCTTGCTTTCTCTGTCGGGCTAACATTCAAACGGCAGGCAAATACCCATGTTGGGAACGACTGCACGGGTGTTGGTGGGAGTTCCGAGACGGGAGGGAGAGAGCATGGTGCCGCAGGTGAACAGATCATAGTGAGTGCTTGCCTTCTCTTATTCGTGTTCAGCCAAGGCTTATATGCACTCACCTATAGGTCAGCACGCATTCTGAACCTGAGCAAACCTCCGGGGGTCTTCCACGCTCAGGAGCCAGTACAGACGGCACGAACCTAGCATCCGAGCGGGGTAATCCTCCTCAAGAGCTGGACGGCTCGGCCGACTCGGATCCAGTAGTAGGGGGGACGGATACAGACGTGGCGGGCTCGCCCGGTTTGAATCGCGCCACTGCTGTAGACGGTGCGGACATGCCCTCGCTCCCAGAAAGCTCTCGCATTCCTGTCATCGATACGGCTCTGAAATTCATCCATGATTTGCGGTCAAATTCATCTGCGGCTGGTGACAAGCTTGATGGCAATACACGGTGGCGACTGCAGCATCCCCTCACCGAGGTACCGACGCTCACACCCGATGAACGCCTTTCGATCCGGCTCTTCCTTGCGGACACAGATGGCTCCGAGAAGATCTACAACGAGACGTGTGCAGCGATCAGAGAGCGGTACCCTGCGTGCGAGCTGCTATCACACCATCTCGTCAAGAAGAAAGTCGCCGAGCTCTCGGGTGTGGTGTCGATCCTCGAAGATATGTGCCCAAACAGCTGCATTGCGTACACGGGGCCTTTCTCTACCCTGGATGAGTGCCCTCACTGCGGGGAGGCTCGGTATGACCCCATGCTGGCGGCGAAAGGCAAAAAGAAAGCGCGCCAGCAATTCAACACGTTCCCCGTTGGTCCGCAGATTCAGGCACGTTACCGCTCGCCATCAGGTGCGGACGACATGCAGTACCGCCGAAACGTCATGGTAGATATCTTGGAAGAGCTACGAACGACTGGACAGCTCGAGAGTATCGACGACATCCCGTATGGATCCGACTTCTGGGACGCATACCAGCGAGGCAAGATCTCCCCCGATGACACCTGTCTTGTGTTCTCGATGGATGGTGCGCAGTTGTTTGAACACAAGGCGTCTAACTGTTGGATCTACATCTGGATTCTCGTTGATGTTGCACCGGACAAGCGATACAAGAAGAAATACGTCCTCATGGGTGCGATCATCCCCGGGCCAAACAAACCCAAGAACGCGGAGTCATACCTCTTCACCGGTCTGCAGCATGTTGTCTTCCTGCAAAATGAGGGTATGATGATCTGGGATGCACGTCAGAAGAAGTGCTTCCGCTCACGCCCATGGATAGTCCTAGTTGAGGCTGACGCCGTCGGTGCACCTGACCTGACGGGCTACGTTGGACACCATGGCAAGAAGGGCTGTCGTAACGGATGCGGACGGAAGGGTAGGAGGAAGCCTGGGGCTCCGCACTATTACGCAGTGTGCCGGAAGCCGGATGGCTACAATGAACGAGGATGCGAGGATGATGACTATGATCTGTCAGATCTACCTCGACCGTGTCCTCAGCATTACCGAGACGACATCCATTACTTGCTAGCATCAACTTCAAACACGAACTATGAGGCGCGGCGACTCGAGACTGGCTTATCAAAGCCAAGTATATTCCTTGGGATCCCTTCGTCGGGACGGCTGCCCATCCCTCTTCTGTTTCGGGGCGATATCATGCATGCTTGCGGGATCAACATCACCGACCTCCTGCAGAGGCTCCTCCGCGGCACCATCGACTGTGATACAAAGAACGGAGATAGCAAGACATCATGGGACTGGGTTGTTCTTGTCGGCGATGTGTGGAGGACACATGGCGAACAAGTTGCCGCCGCTAGGAAGCACCTTCCGGGATCGTTTGGACGCCCGCCACGTAATCCCGCCGAGAAAGTCTCAAGTGGATACAAGTGCTGGGAGTTCCTACACTGGATCTATGGCATGCTCCCGGCGATGCTCCACGGTATTCTTCCAGAGCGCTACTGGAAGAGCTTCTGCAAGCTCGTCGCAGGCATCCGTATTGTATTCCAGCGGCAAGCGACCAGGGCGCAGTGCGAATACGCGCATCGCATGATCTCGGACTTTGTCTATGAATTCGAGAAGTTGTACGTCCAGCGCAAGATTTCCCGCATGCATTTCCTACCTCAGTGCCTTCATGCAATTCTCCATCATCCAACGGACTATGAACAGATTGGGCCCCTGATATGCTCTTCTCAGTTCACGATGGAGCGTACAATAGGCGATCTTGGTGCAGAGATTCGACAGCCATCAAATGCATTTGCGAATCTTGCGCAGCGTGCTCTACGACGGGCGCAGGTCAATGGACTCAAGGCCATGTTCCCTGACCTCGACCGGGGTCCGACCAAACAATCTTCAAGTAACGTTCCAGTATGCGACCTTGGGAAGGGTTATAGCCTACTCCATCCTCGGGAAGATCGTCCGAGATGCACGCGGCCGTGTGAAGCTCGTGCGATCTTACAACACCTCAGAAGTGCTACCAATGGTGTCCATGAGCACCTAGACACGGATGTGGATGATCTGTACATGCAAAGATGGGCTCGTTGCCGGATTCCCAACGGCCAGATCTGCCGCAGTGCATGGAAGGAGATCCCAAATGATGTAACACGTATCTCTCGGAATGTTAAGGTGCGTAGTAATGAGGATTTATGTTCTATGTGTATTGAACTGACTCTGGTCGGCTTGTAGTTCAAGACGGGATCACAAGTATCCTACGGCGAGGTCTTATATTATTTCCAAGTCAACACTGACAAAGGGCGTAAATCACTCGCCCTTGTCTCTCAGTACGAGGCGCCAGATCGTACCTTGTTAAGTGCATCTTCGGGAGTCTTATGGGTCTGTCGCAAGGGCGGTGATGACGCACTAACTGTAATCAATGTCACTGACATCATTCAATGTTCGGCACTCATACCGTTTACATCTCCTGGCTACGACACTGTTCCTGCATCTACAAGTACGGCCACCACCGGCGCCATGCCACGGTACTTTGCCATGGATAAAATTGGTGCGGAGATGACTTTGTTCGATGGGGACAATGACGATGCTATTGACGATGATGATGTACCGGATTGATAAAACCTATTGTACTTACTATACACTGAGAACAGTCAATTTGAACGTACCGGTTATAGGCTGTAGTGTATTGTGTACCCAAAAAGGAAATTTCCGTGGGCGCCTGTCTGTCACTGGACGTTGCTTTTGTTGCTCTGGTCTGCGTCGTGCGGCCACTACAACTCATCGCAGCAGAGAATCCCGTTCTGGCAGTTCTCTGCTGCCATTATACCCTCAAACAGCTTCTCGATGACATCCTTCCCACTAAGCTCAGCCTATGGCTTCCAGCCTGAGTACCCTGGCGCAGCCTCACCAGCTTCTCCTATCTCGTCACCGATGTCCGCTAGTGCTATGGACAACAGCTTCCCCGACAGCACATATTTACAAGCTACTCAGCACTCAAACTCTCTCTTTGCCCATGGGAGCTCTAATTCATGTACATATGCCCGGGTATGTTGAACATTCTCTAACTGTAGCGGGCAGTGGCAATAATCAGTAATTTTAGATGAATTCCTACGACTCGCACCCTTCTAATAGACACGATCATCAAGTATATACAAGCATATCGCAGGCCGACCACGATACCCTAGTCCGCACACGGAACAATGCCTATTTAGTGCGCCTGCGACAGATCGAGCAGCTTGATCAGGAGAAGAGAGACCTATTGCTTTATAGGTAAGTGATTGGTGATACCAGTACTGCTGCTCAGATTGCTGTAACGTCGTCCGTTTGTTACCCAGGACACTATATGAGGACCTCACTGCACGGATACCGCAACTCCTTGGCATGGCTCAAGAAGCTGCGGCTAACCCCGGGGCTAACACGCAGACCACTGTTGTACCAGGTGTCGCTCCATGGTCGGGCTCGAGAGTGACCTTGGGGCTTGGTCAATCTCTTCCCGATGTACCGCCTCTACCGCCCGGTGAATCGTCTACAGGACCCGTGACGACTGGAACAGGGCGCTAAAACCGAAGGCAGCGAGGCAAGGGCCTCAGCCAGAAGGGAAGAATGTCGCTCAACGGTTCATTGAAGACGAGAATGGAGAACCCATCCCGGGCGGTAAGGCTAAAGAAGCACGGACCATGCTGTATACGCTCCTTCACTCGCTTGTATGGAGCGGGCAAGCCGCCACATCAGCGCAGACGCTCGGAAACGAGGCACGTATCTATTTACATGTCAATCTCGCTCGCCGTTTCCCAATGCTGCTCTTTTGCGAAGAAGGCACGTGGAAGATCGACCTCTTCATCAGCCAGCAATATCCCGGCTTCGCAAAGACATATATTGATCCTAACAGTCTGAGTCGCCGTGCGATACGAGCAAAGCCCGAGTGCTCTGAGGACAAAGTGGAGTTTGACGATGATGATGAAGACGCTAGCAATCACACTGGGATTCCTGCCAAGCGAAGTGCCGGCACATCCCATGAAGATGTCCCTCAGGCTAAGAGGTCTCGCAAAGCTGCGAGCAATGCACCGAGTGTTGAAGAAAGAGGTTTTAGGCTTAGTAAGCCCAGTGGCAGTGAAGGACTAAAGAGTGAGTGAACAGACCAGTCCCAAAGGGAAGATCCTATGCTGGCAGGCAGAGGAGAGGACGAAGGATCGTTATCATTACAGGGCAAACCAGCCCAGTATATATACACATTTGATACAGGTCACATGCTGTATCAGTGGTTCATCAGTAAGCACTAAGTCCGAGGTTTTGGGGATATGAGTAAGCTGGTAAGCAGCATGAGTAAGCCAAAACTCGGAGTTTGATGTGGAGAGATACATGAAACGTGATGGAACATCAGGAATAATATGAGACATGATGGAACATCAAAGAGTGATATAGGACGTGATGGGACATCAAGGAATGATATGGAATGTCATGGAACATCAAGGAATGTCGTGGAATATCATGGAATGATCCGGACTAAAGTCACATGACGTAATCTAGGCAAAGTCCATCAAAGAACGTATGTAATCTGACATCGCAGAACATAAGTCCATATTCGTACATAACTGATAAGATAAGAACACTGAAAACTCGGAAGTTCAACACCGAGTGTGAGTACAAGAAATCTATCAAGATTGTTAGTTCATCAAATATTGATCACACAGAAGGCGGTATCTACTGCCCAGCCCCCAGCGCAACGCACTCCCGCTTGTGTGCCCGGCGATTCCACGCATGACACAAACACGAGTACTACAAGTCACAGCACCGAGGACCACGCAAACAGGACCATTGAGCGTGACCGACCCACCGGTACGATGGATTGCCTGAGCGTGCCAGCTGCGGCAAATCCTCGAGCTGCCAGTCACCATCTGGCAACTCTCGCTGATGATACGGGCTGTCCGAGTCTTCCCAGCGAGCAAGAGGCTACTACCAGTAGCACCCCGGGTACTACTGCAACAGCCCCGTCTCCTGTCCCTACTGAGGCCGCGGCTTCTGCAGTTGCGAATGCTGGCACGTCCATTGGGCCCGCGGTGGACGGTGCCCGCCGGCGAGCCAGCGACCAACTCACACACCGTGACCGACGTGGTCCCCTCCATTTCCTCCGACTCGTCGCACACCACTTTTGTTTCTGTGCGTCCCGTTCAAGTCGTCTACCCCGCTGCCACGCCCCAGATGCTTCGCCCGTCACGCGAGCCGGTTGCCCCTGGGTCGCTCGCCACGTCACCCGCCACGTCACCTGCCGCGCTCACCACAGAGGCAGAAGCTCGCAGCCAGCATGCGAGCATGCCACCGACGCTCACCGCTGCAGCAGACTCCGGCGCAAATGAAGCAGCCGCAGTTGCGGACAGGACTCGGAATGATCAGTCCCAACTCGGACCGCAAGCTGGCTCGAGTCCCGGGCAGGACAATAACCAACCTAGTATGCGGCCAGAGAGCTGTGTCCCCGTCAGAAATTCTGACGTAGCCTGCGATGTGAGCTCATCAGAGCCACCCCTCCGCGCCGGCCCCGGCAGTACTGAGGTTATGGCCCCGCGCTCTGGTCCCGGTGAGTTTGTACCCGTCCCAAAAGCAATGTAGGTCTTGTATGATTCTGAGGTTCAGATCGCTTCTCATTACCGTTGATGTAGGCCAACTGCGCGCAGATCCCCAAGCCCTCCGCGGCCCGCCCAGTCACTGGCAGATGTATCACCGTTGCCAAGCGCTAGTACCAGCCAGGCCGCGTCATCCACTGCGAAGAACAAACGATCGTCGAAGAACAACTCGTCAATCAAAGCGTCAACCGAGTCGAAGCCGGGTACTATCAACGAGAAGTCCGTTTCCTATCATCATCTTGTACTATGTAGTGCCGAGTCGCTGATCCATGCTATCTACCGACTACCATAGACAGATTCATCTCCGCCGTTATCTTGATGTCCATGGTGAAGATGTGCTACTGAGCGATTGGGACAAGGCCTACAAAGCCGATCGCAAAGACCTTGTGAAGTTAGCGGTACGTCGAACAATTCATACAACATCATACCCGGGCTCACACGGCTCATTACAGGCCCTTAAAGCAGACGTCGAGGAGGCAAAGAAGGTAAGTAGTAAACAATGTATTTCGGCATATAGGCAGGCTACTGACATCTGTGGCATAGCGCGACACTAACGGCAAGGGCAAGGCGCGAGCGAAGAAGTAGAATCAAGTTCTAACGATGTTCATTTTGGACTCGGTCACTAGTCTCCTTCCTGGTAATGTACAAAACACTACGAGTCAGTCGCCTAATACGGAGCTAGATGCTCTGCACAGTACTATACCGGTATATAATTGTGTCGATTGTACGGTGTCGTGACAATCGTCTAATCTATGACATTCGATGTGATCCGACGGAGGGAACTGCCTCTCAATTCTAAGAGAACCTATCTGAGCTGCTGGCATGAGATGTAACAATTCGACGAGAGCAGACAGGAGCATACGACCGGGGCAATCTACCTTTCCTTCCTGTCTGTCGATGTCGGATGACTCAGAATAAACCCGAAGACATCGTCTACAATCCGAGTGAGCCGATCTCAGCTGAGATTTGTCCCATTTTTGCGGATGTCGTAGGTTCTGATCGTATCAGAGCGTTCAGGTGGCTGATATTCTACAGGAATCGCTCGAATAATATGGCGTTTTCACTGGGCTTGAAAGCTTGACCCGTGGTACCGTCGTCATCTAATGGCCCAGGCGACGAGACAGTGCTCGACGACTTGCTGACGCCGGAACGTGCTGTACGTATGCAATTTGTTCTGCTTTCACTCGGAAGTACTGATCTGGGAAAAGGTTTGGGCGAGCGAGAAAGGAACATGAGAAAGCTGCCTAGCAAAGGAGAGGTAAGCAAAGGAAGATGAGTGCAGATGCGTGCAAGCAAGCGAGCTAAATGCGGGCCCAGCATGCACACAGGCGGGCGAGCGAGACGGTGGGTGGTCACACACCGCGGGCGACAAGACGCATAGCGATCGCGAGCGCAAACACGACCAACGAATGGACTGCGAGCGCGCAAGGAAAGAACGGGCGAGGGCGAGCGGAGGTCAGTGGACGAAGACGAGTCAGCGGTGGTGGGAGCGCCGCGGCAATGCAACACACGGCGATGGCGAGCACGCAGGACAGATGCCCGGTGTGCAAGCGCAGCCAGCGAGTGAATCACAACCGAGTACAGTGCAGGTGAGGGCGAGGGCACGGGCAAGAGCAAGGGCGAGCAAATATTGGTGGCAACGGGCGGGCGCGAGGGCGAGTGAGTGGGCAAATCAGCAATCGGCGAGTGCGAGTGCGAGCAAGTGGGGAAGAGGGGCGAGAGCAGAGCGGGTGCAGGCGCAAGTGCCAGTGCGCCAACCAGAGGCAGGTGAACTCTTCATGATGTTGTAGCTTGCGACTGCGCTGGTGCATCCTCGAGGACATGTATGTATATGCAAGTGACTGGAGCTTTCCGCTTTAATCATAGGATGTTGAACTCAGCAACTTACGAAGGCCGGGCCATCACTGAGACAGGCCCACGAAGCCGACTCGGACTCCCGGAGGCCTCATTGACCTAAGTAGGTATGGACTTACTTGAACGCTGACAAGAATGTGCGAAGGATCTCGCTGACTCTGAGTTGTTGCCCCGGAATGCCTGCTGAATGTATATATAGCTGAGTGGCAGTTCAGCATTAAGCTATGGGCACAATGAAAGGTTCGTACGTCCGTAGCGTAGCACGGGCATCGGCTAGTGTAGTATGTACAGGGTGCTTGTGTTCACAGATCCAAGTCGAATTGCGTGGCGCAACGGTGCCTCCGTTACACCAGCGCGCGCGTCGATGATGGATGCGGACGTCCCGCGCGGCGTAGTCCAAGCGAGGTGAGCATACTAGATGTCGAAGGTTCGCGCCACCAAGACCGCTAGGCCCCCGCTCACCATCGAGACGTGCTGCTATTACCTCTGCCTATGCGTGGAATAGATCCTGTAAGCCATGTCGAGTTCACAAGCGACCACGCGCATGCCGTAGCCTGTCGCGCAACCGCATGAGCGCCTTCCCGAGCTCATTCCTCCCCTGGCCGTCAGCACCCCAGCCCCAGAACGAATCAACCTGCTCAGGAGGTAAGTCATCGAGACAGCCTACTTTGAGGGACACTCATAGTCATAACTTACCGGACTGTCCTCGATGAGCATGCTGCATCAGGAAAAACACTTCTAACTTCAGCAGTCTTGAATGAAGAACACCTGATCTTATTCAATCTTTCACAACTTGTGTTCCTCAATTAAGTGCACCATGTGCATGAAGACTGCTGAAGTTAATTATAGTACCTTTGAGAAATTTGTCTTGTGCCCAAGTTGGAAGATATGCAACTTTAGTTCTGCAGATTAAGACACATAAGTACACATTAGTTGGAAAATGACCTCTTAACTAGAAAATATGCATGATGAGATGTCAGATTGCTCAATATGAAGACTTCACCAAGATTTCACCTGACAAGTTAACACATACTATATCTGGCAACAGTAATGGGGTACAAATAAAGATTATTTGTTTTTCCCTGTGATTATGAGTATATTACCCTACTTACAACAGATGCTGTGGTCAAAGTCATATTGTCAGGGATTTGGACATATTTGACCTGTTAAGGTTGAGAGACAGCAAAAGAACACTTAAGCATGCAAAGTGAGACAAGAAGCCTGCCCTTGAGCAAATTATGAGTCTACACAAGGTCTGCAAGGCAACAGATAGTGCCAAGAAGAAATGAGGCCAGTCTGAGAGCCCAGGGATGCACAGGGGCTGGGCTAACAGGGGGCAGCAATTGCAGATTTCTCTAAGTCCAGACAGATAGTCAATATAGGTTATTGTAGAAGGGAACAAGCACAGGGACCTATGGTGTAGTGGTCACAAGTTTGTGCTGAGAGTGGGAGAAATTAGTTTAGCAGGTCAGGGGTTCAATTCTGGGAAATGGCAGATTATTTTGGGCGACATTTTTGCATCTGGGATGCCTGTTATGACAGCATATGCACAAACACAGCAGAATCATGAGAGAAGTCACCCCAGTAATGATGAAAAAACATCATTCTTGCTTGGAATGAGTGTTTACTTTGGTTACTTAATGGAACTTAAGTAAGACAATTTAAGAAATCGACTTACCTTAAGGCTCTTGTGGCACATAGTGACACATAATGTCACTTTTGGCTCTCCACAAGACCACTTAAGACACGAACATTTTTCCTGATGTGTTGCCTCTACTAAGGAGCATGTCCTCAGCCTTGGATGGTGAGTGAACTTCGCCTCGAGGATGCCGTCCATGACGCCGACGTTGACGTCAAACCAATCTGGGCGTTGGAACCTGCGCAGGCGGCTGGCTTCTCTGAGCGCATCGCGTGGGCCGGGGAGATGGCAGCGGATGCGGTCTGCCAAGTCTGATCGGGTCGTCATGAACTTCAAGTGCGCTTGGAACACTGAGTGTATATGAGATCGTCAGAGCGATGTACAGCGTATACGACAACTCACGATGTTCTGCAGTGGGGTATGTATGGCCATGCCAGTGGATAGGGTAGGGCGCAAAGTTCGTGAACCTGATGAAGCGACGGTGAATCCAGATTCCACCTCGACAATGGTACGCCGGAATGACCAGAATACATACTCGAAGTACGGGTCATGGCGGTGATAGAACAGAATTGGAGATGGCTCCTCTACCCTCGGTGCTGAGGCTTGTGGCACTACTGGAGGCGGGTGTGGCGGGGAGGAGGGCCTCGAGCGCCCGCGACGCGGAAGCCAACGTTCGAAGTCGCTCGGCCTCGGAGGGACCACTTCGTCCTGCATCTGAGCTTCACTTTCACACTTCGCAATGACAACGCACCTGGTGCCTCTAGCACTTCGACGTCCATTGAGCTATAGTGCCTATGCGAGTTGAAGGCCGACATGGTTAGACGACCTGGCAGCCGCTGATCACCACAATGGGAACAGGAGACGTGGATAGCGTCCACACAAAACCGGAGTGGCCAGGCCCATAGGGACATAAGTAAGTAACACCGGATGAAACTTTCGATCCTTCAAGTGAAAGATCGATAAAATTGACAAAATCTTTTTCACGATATTTCGTATGAAAGATTGTCAATAAAAGTCAGAAACAATCAATTAATCATTCAGACTCGAAGTATCAGGAACAGATCACAGAAGGATTCATTGACAAGTGTCTTTGATCTGTTTGTGATCCTCTAGGCAAATGATTGAGAACATGATATTCAAAAATTCTTGAACACTATGTGGCTCAATTGTTCTGAAAGGATTGAAAACAGATTGTCACATGGGGTGTTACAATCTTTTCTCAATCTTTCAGGCTGTCACAATCTGTTTCAAATCCTTCCAGCTGTTGATATCTTGGTGAGATTGGAAACAATTTGTATCCCAGGGGTTCAAAACAATTTGCCCAAAAGGATTGACAAGAGATTGTGACACTAGCTGTGACACTGTGCCACTTCCCTATGACAGAGCAGTGAAGGCAAATATGCCAAACCTATGAAAAGCTGCCTTCTGCTGGTATGCTCAGTCGATTTTGGTCCCTCTTTCATTGCATCTGGACATGCACAGGTCTGGGACATGTTCATTAGTCATACAATGAGATGCACATCTCTAGGAATGTACAATCACAAGTACAACCCTGTACACTGAGTGCATCTAATGAGACTCATGTGATGGCAGGCAATGAATGAGGGACCAAAAATGACTGAGCATACCAGCAGAAGGCAGCTTTTCATAGGTTTGGCATATTTGCCTTCACTGCTCTGTCATAGGGAAGTGGCACAGTGTCACAGCTAGTGTCACAATCTCTTGTCAATCCTTTTGGGCAAATTGTTTTGAACCCCTGGGATACAAATTGTTTCCAATCTCACCAAGATATCAACAGCTGGAAGGATTTGAAACAGATTGTGACAGCCTGAAAGATTGAGAAAAGATTGTAACACCCCATGTGACAATCTGTTTTCAATCCTTTCAGAACAATTGAGCCACATAGTGTTCAAGAATTTTTGAATATCATGTTCTCAATCATTTGCCTAGAGGATCACAAACAGATCAAAGACACTTGTCAATGAATCCTTCTGTGATCTGTTCCTGATACTTCGAGTCTGAATGATTAATTGATTGTTTCTGACTTTTATTGACAATCTTTCATACGAAATATCGTGAAAAAGATTTTGTCAATTTTATCGATCTTTCACTTGAAGGATCGAAAGTTTCATCCGGTGTAACGCATACGCAGCATCTGACCTGCTGTGTGTATGTTCGTAGCTTCGACGTGCACTATCTGTGGGCATGCCATGGAGCCTCATCGATCAATCTCGGGCTTGAGCTCGAGTAGAGAAGCCATAGTGCGGTGGGATCGCATATCATACGATCAACGCATACGGCGCCACGTTCAAATTGAGTCGCGGTGAGAGGAGGGATCCAATTTAGCCACCGGCCATAGGCGCACGCGCGATCCTTGACTTCTTCAGGGAAGTTCGGATCCGAGGCCAGTCTGAGTGTGTTCAACTGATGCCCCGGATGTGGCATTTGGGCAAGCGCAAGTAGCGGTCACTGATCGGTATTCATACATAACTGCAAGAAGTACGGAGGAGGTCAGCACCTATTTGAGAACGCGAAAAGTATCCGAAGCGGTGAGTACTGAATCCACCGAAGTCGAGAAGTATACGTCTGGCGGTATCTTACCTTCCGGCCGGTCAGAGCGCGGCGCACCTGCAGTATATCACTGGGTGAGCATCGTGGCGGCTCCGAGCAATGCGGAAACATCTGCTATGGCAGATACGCCATACAACCTTGGCCGAGCTCGCCGTGCGGCTTGTAATCACGGCGCTGCAAACATCATTAGGGAAACTCGCCGTGCCCATTCATCGCGTCCTCTCACTGGCTGAGCGCTCAAGATACCACTAACGGTGCCATAGTGCCCGCGATTGCTTCGCGGTAGCTTCTACATATTGAAAACGAAGCGGCTACAGCCATTTGGAGAGGGGGAATGAGCGAGCACAAACGGCATCCCGGGAGATCAGCTACGCGTACAGTACCGGCGGCCTACCGAGCGATAACAACTCGCAACGTGCGCGCCGAACTTAGTCAGCCTGAACGGAACAATATTGACAAGACAGGGGGACATACAGAGGGTAGGAGATAAGCAAGCCGCGTCATCTAGGACTCAGAGGTGAGGTGAAGGTAAACTAGTCATTGTCAGCTCGCGATCGTCAATGTGAGTTGGACCTGCATCGACGGGCTAACACCATGATTAGACAACGAGATGGCCATTAACGTTGACAAGCTGATGCATAGTATACGACTCGGGGTTGTGAGGGTATAATTAGGAGACTTACCTGCTAAGCCAGCTTCCATTTCCTCGATGAGGTCCGGTCATACCTCAATCAGTTGGGCGGACGCTATAGTTCCTGCGCACAAGTGGAAGACAATAAAAATCGACCTATGAGTACGCGCATATAGCGTACATATAATACTTGTATATGCTCCAGATGCGGGAGACCAGGTGCAGGTATGATCTCAGGGCGTACTCCGTAACTTGTCACGGAGTCTCATGAGCGCCTTGCCGAGCTCGTTCCTCCCTTTGCAGTCATTTCCCCAGCCCCAGAACGAATCAACCTGACCACAATGTCAGCACATAGTCGCCACGCTCACAGCGATCCCGTACCGGACTGTCCTCAACGAGCTCACGATGTCCCGTGCTTAGAAGCAAGTCCCTCAGCTTCAGGTGTTGCGTGAACTTCGCCTCGAGGACTGCGTCCATGACGCCGATGTTGACGTCGAACCAGTCCGTGCGCTGTAGCCTGCGCAGGCGACCTGCTTCCTCGAGCGCGGCGCGCGAGCTGTGGAGGCGGCGAATTCGCTCGGCCAGGTCTGCTCGGGTGCTCATGAATTTGTGGGCCTGGAACACTGGGTGTAACGTGTGAGATCATAAGAACGATCGACAACAGCTCAATGGACGTACAGTGCTCCGCGGTCGGGTATGTGTGGCCATCCCAGTTGATGGCATACGGAGCGAAATTCGTAAACCTGGAGGATGAAAATAAACGTCGATGAGAATCGTATGGCCTGATGTACAGAAGGATCAGAATGGAGGTGATGGTACTCACTCATAGTAAGGCTCGTCGCGGTGGTAGAACAGAATGCGAGATGTTTGTCCTGGATCCGGGACCGCTGGCGGGGAGCGCCCGGTAGCTCGGTGGCGTGACCGGTCTGGGAGGACAATACCTAGACGACCTCCTGTTTGGATGTCATCTACATTCTGAGCTGGCATGACATACCTGCTTCGCTGACATTCCTAGGGTCGGGCCTCTGCGTTCTGTGTCTGCCACGCCGTCCCTCTGAACCTGTTCCTGACGATGTTCTACCACCGTGGCTTGGGCGGCCGCGTACCCATGCTACGAGTCGACTGAAGAGGCCGACGCTGCAGTAGAGCCCAACCATGGCTGCGAATGCTGCCACCGCAACCTTGAGTGACATACCAGTGATCAAGAGCACTCGCTCCTCACTTGGGGTCGTGGACGGCGTGTGGACGCTCAGGCTGTACAGGCACGCATTGTCGAGGCGCAAGGTGCTGGCGTTTGCCGCGTGGATGGCGTCCTGTGCGTACTAGTGAACCTTATATTTGTCGTCACTCTCAGTGTTTGCCGCACACGTATACAGGTCACGCACGTTCCTAGAAGGCGAAGGTGATGCATTCGGTCGTAAGTAACTCAAAATGCACAGGGGCCCCCAACTCAGCTCTAGGCTTGCAGTATCTGTATGAATACATCAATCACGCACAAAACGTCCGACCAGTATCTTGAGACTGCCGTATTCAGAACAGCAGCATTGTGAACTGCGTTCCTGAGACTCTCGGACGGAGCACAGATGGTAGTAAGGTCGGTGAAATCCGAGGACTGGTGAGTCGGAATGCATCAACGTAACTTGTGTTCATTGACCAGCGCGAGTTGATCACTGGCACGCGTCCCAGGGCCCGCGGAAAGCATCGTTGTGACATCAAACTCGGAAGCCATGAATATGTACACAACTTCGCGGAACAACACTGTATATGTGCCCCGTGAAAGGTCAATTATCCAAGTGCGTGCTCGTGCGGATTTGAACACATTGCATTGAGCTCCTGCATCAAACAGGCGCGTGAGAGCTCGCCCCCACCTGACACAGGAGTCAATCCCGCTTCTCTTCGGCCGGTATGCCAGCTGGCTAGGGCACGATACCTCATCTACCCCCACCACTCCGGGGAATGCCATTGGCTGGTCCCTTGATCCTTCACAGGTGCAGGCAGTAGTTGGGCATGCGTCATCCCGTGGCTATTTTCCGGGACAGGCTGGACCCCTTCTGAGCGACGCTCTCGGTCTGGCGGGGGAGACGTCCACGCGAAATGCCTGCGCGCCGGATGAGCTCTCAGCTTCTCGCGCAGCCGCATGAGCGCCTTCCCCAGTTCGTTCTTCCCCAGGCCATCCTGACCACATCCCCAGAACGAATCGACCTATCCACACAGTCAACATCCGTGTGGAACAACAACACGCAGACCTCGATGCGTACCGGGCTATCCTCGATGAGCTCGTTATCGCTGGTGCTGAGGAGCGTGTCGCGCAGGGACAGGTGCTGCGCGAACTTCGCCTCGAGGACGTCGTCCATGACGCTCACGTTGATGTCGAACCAGTCGGAGCGCTGCGCTGCGCGGAGGTTCCGCGCTTCGTCGAGCGCAAAACGGGAGTCGGGCAAGAATCGGATGCGTTCTGCGAGGTCTGGCCGGTTTGGCATGAACTTGTGCGCCTGGAACACTAGGTGACGTGCATTGGGGCTGTGAGTATACTGCATGGCATGCCCGTGGACGTACGGTGCTCTGCAGTGGGGTACATGCGGCCATCCCAGTGGATGGCATACGGTGCAAAGTTCGTGAATCTGCATAGGGTGAGGGTCAACAGTTGTAGATCGGATCACACACAAGAGCTACGCACTGGTAATACGGCTGATCGCTGTGGTAGAATCTGATTACATGTGACCGTTCCTGGGATGGGGGCTGAGAGTATGAGGGAGGGGGCCCCTGAAGGGGGGCCAGACGTTCATCCGTCGTCGGCCTGGGTGGAGCAACTGTCGTGCATGCCAATTGAGTGGTATCTTACGCAATCTATGCTATACAACTTACCTCGGTTAGCAGGATCCTGAATGTTCGTGGGCCCTCTGGCTTGATAATCATGACCAGGCCTCGGCGGATACGAGGCAGGGTTAGGTGGGCGGGAATACGGCGAATGATTGCTCTGTATGGCAGTTGGATTCGATGTCGCCTGAGAACTGGCGCTGACAGGAGGAGGACGCGTCGTCGACCCGTGCGCGGGATGCGTTTCCATACTCGTGTTGATGGCGGCAGTGGTAGGTCAAGAGGGTGATCTGGAGGGGATGCGTGCTGAGACAACGGCAGATGCGAAACGCGCAGATAACTATGAAAGCAGGGCTGATCACGCTTTCGAAGTCCGTGTGAGTGTTCCGATCACTGGCGTGAGGGAAGTGCCATTCCGACTGACCTATCCGCATTTCACCGACAGCACAACTTCGACCGCTCTTCATTAAACCTTAATAGCCCCTGTGAAGAGTCGCGTCCCGTAAACGGATGTTGACGAGGGCGAAGTCTATGGTATGCATACGTTCCAAACCCTGTGTGTTAGGATGAAAAGCTGGTTTCGACGTACAAACGTCGAGCCACCTACGTACAGGGATACGGGCAACTCTAGGTGTGCTTGGGCCGGCAATGGGAGTGGACGTCAGTCGTATTGTGGAAACCGCCGTGCTCGTTGCAGAGCTGAAGGCTCGCGGCGACGCAGAAGAATCCATTCTCCAGGCAAACATCCACGGTCTCAAGCCAGGTATGTAGAATATTATCATACTCCCATATTTCTGACATTGACCGAGACTATCAGTATGCACTTCGACTCCCATCCTCAAGGAACTTGAACGAGGCACGAAAGAGTTTACGGCTGGTACGTGGACTTCGTTGTCAATGCTTGGTCTCTACGCTATATCTGATTTATAGTCATGTATCATTTTGCGAACCAGTGGCGCCATCCTACACGTGTACCAACAGTGCTGCGGGTACGTTCCCGTGGAGCTGCGTCCGAGGTTTGCAATCTCACCAGTACTTTTGAAAGATATGGAAGATCCATTGTTTGAAGCGTGTTGATGACAAGTTCACTCAGTACCAACGCGCCATAACGTCAAAACGCAACGTCGCCAGAGGAAATACCCGTTTGCTATGGCATGGAACAATTCGAGCGTGTAGAATCGGCGACAACAGCAGCATGGGTAATGTGTGCAATAGACCCAGCTGCTCAGTATGTGGGATTATCAGAGTTCGTGGCCTGTGATCGTTATTTCTGGTTCACACTCACAACCCATTTGTGTTCATCTCACACGCGCAGACGTCCTTCTCCATCGCAAGAGTGGGTCAGCATCACAAGTTTTCCCAATTTGGGAAAGGGATATATACGACCGGAACGTCGTCCAAAGCGAATGACTATGTCGTGGAGCAGGGTGGGTCGCCATACAAGGCGATGCTCCTGAGTGAGGTTGTGGCAGGCAAAGAAGCAAGGAAGACGGCGAATGATCTGATGTTGTCCAAGGTCAGTGACCTTCCGATGAAGATGTCATCCGAACAAACAAGCCTACCTTTCTATCCAGCCACCTGACGAGTGCGATTGCGTTCTCGGCGTGCCCGGAACACAGTCGGTCTTGAACTACGATGAAGTGGTTGGTGAGTGAATATCTGGCGAAACACTCCTACTCTCGTATTGACCTGTCATCGAACTCAGTATACAGGGTAAATTGAGCAAGCTTCTGGCGTTTGGACTGTTCCATTGACCACTCGCGTGCTCGCAGGACGACGCTATCCGCCCGTCATTCCTGGTTATTTACCAGTCAGGCTGATGCGAATGCAGGATTGCGGAATCTCTGATCTGTGTTTGGATAACCATTGTACAGATTGATGGTTCAGGATGACGCTCATGATCTGTATCTCATGCAAGTTCCTCGTTGCGGCCCTTACTCACAATGATTGTCGTGGTCGCTGGCCCGGCCGCCACACCCCGTTATGTACCGTATTGTCACAGATGATAGTCGTACTACGCATTCCAGTCAGAAATCATACTTCGGGATTTCAACCTAGGCAGAGCTGTGACATGCTGATTATCTGTTAGCGGCGGCTCAGACACGGCGCTGCGAGTCGTGACGGGCACAACACGGGCGCCTATTGATGCCGCAAGTACTCTTTCATCCGACGCTCACTAGGACCTACATAGCAGGAATTGTACGAGGTCAACGCATTAACTCTGGTGCCTCGTCAAAGTGGGGATACGCGCTGACAACGATATTGTTCACCACGAATGGTTCAGATGCGTCTTAGGCGTTGCGCACTGCGAGTGACGTACTCTATCACGGAGTGTGCATCGCGGTGCTTACCGATTTTTGCGTAATGATACAGTCCTATTTGATTCGAGGATGAGTATGCTTTGCCTCGTAGAATGCGAGTACAAACTACAGTGTGCCTCGACGGCGGGGGCGCTAGATTGCTGACCGGTATCTTCCTTCAACACGATGATCCCACAGGCTAGACAGCTTGTCCAAAGTATGTGACACGCCTTGCGTTTGTCATACGGCTTGATGCTAATGGTTGTGAATGCTGCCGTGCTCACTGCGCCAATAATATGCCTCGAGCCCACCAACGAAACGAGTACTTCACGGTAAAGTCGAGCTTCGTTTCTCCCTCCTGATGATAGTAGGTCCTCACCTCAATTCCGATTGACAAACGATAGGACTTCACGGAATGGCTGGGAACTTCACCCAGCACTGCCACTCCAAATTTGAACTGCCACGGATGCGGAGAACAGCGTTATGGAACTTTGTCGAAGCTGTACGTTGTGCGATGTATAGAAAGATCAGCGACTGAAGGTTCGCACTGGTATAGGTCATGTTGCGCTTTAAATCTCAAGTCTGCGCTGTAGCTTCTGTGAGAATGTATTGGGCTGCCATGCGCTCGGATCCTACTACACTTATCTATGGTTTGAACTGTAACTGTGAGCACGCTCAGCCTTCTCTCTGATGGCCGTCCTCATGCGTAACACGATGTATAGGGCGGTCAAGAAACGTCCTCCATGTCGACATTACAATCGTCAATCTGAACCGTTTCCAGACGAAGCCGATCGCGTAGTACCGGCGTAATGCGGTCGGGACACACGCTGAACACACGAGCATTGTCAAAATCAGACAGCTTCTCGAAGCGCTCACGCTGTGAACCAAGCCGGAGATGAAGGCTTTCTCGGACGCATGAACTACCTCGTGACTCTGATCTGCTCTACCTTCCATTGAACCCTATCTGACATCCCGGTACGTCGTGCATATAAGCCAGTCGCACTCGTGTTCGCAGAGGCTCGGAGTGCCGACATACCAGCTCATGGCCGTGAGCTTCCCGAGCATACCGATGCAGAACGGATCCTGCCGCTATCCCGGCTGCCAGAACAGCACCTTCCAAAACGCTAACGGCTCGTACTCGTCGTTTTGCTCTAGGAGACATCGGGATGCTGCTAGCAGTGTTCAACAATCAAATGAACCCCAGGCTGCCACTGAAGTAGGCCCGACGGTCGGACTATGCAAGGTGCACCAGTTCCCAAATCCTCGTCTATCAGGCTTCTTATGCACACTCATTAGAACTGTCAATTGCGACCCGTGTATTCCGACGGCAATCGAGGTATGCGTATATTTGTAGTATGTCTTGATGTTCTCAAGCCGACGGGTATCTGTGCAAACAGCTCATGAGTTCTGTGGTACGCGCTGCCGTGACGCCTACCAGACGTCGGCTGGTGGAGCGACCCAAGCAAGACCGGCGGGTCCGCGCACTGGGACTTGCAAGCTCCGCGGATGCCAGCGGCCAGTATATGTAGGGCCGAACGGAAGACCAAGTGAATACTGCTCTATGGCACACCGCGCGTAAGCAATATGTACTATCATCTCGACAACGTTCTGCACTGACCCTGTACTTTTACAGCGAAGGCGTGCAGACTGGAGCGGAGCTATGCTTGCTGTATGCGTCCCGCAACTCCGGGTCTCCGGCTCACGACGTTGATACTGACCGGCGGTGGGCTACTAGGTGCGGGCAGTGGCCGAAGGTCATCATCAACGGGAAGCTGAGCGACTTCTGCTCCAATCGATGCAAGGAAGACACGTTCAGCTCCGGTACACAGTTCATCTGAGTGCATCAACTGACTGGTCGTGCTGACGGCCGGTGTTAGCCCCTCTCATTCTGCACCTCGACAAAGAGATGGCGGCCTTCAAGGATGGTGAGCACGTCCCATAGCTCTAACAGCTTCGGGTGCTTTGATTAACTCCTGATACGCAGTGGAGAAACAATTCACAGACAAGTGGAAACACCCCACAACTGTTCCGACTGTGGTCAAGGCGAGGCGCAATGGTTCTTCTACCGAGAGTCCGCTGCTTACATGGCGCATTTCATCAAGATATGGAAGATCTACTCTAGGAAGAAACACACCGACGATTTTCTGTCGTACAAGGATGCTGTCGAACGCATGACCGGTCTCCCAGGCGGGAACAGCAGACGGAGGTGGCACGGCACGTTCCGGCAATGCACGATCGGCGACACCGAGAGCCAAGTTGCTCTATGCCAGGACGCCAACTGCTCGCTCTGCAGGATCATCGAGGTTCGTCATGATCATCTCGTCGCCATGTGTCTCTTTCTCACCTCAGTTGGGAAACCCGTAGACGTCATTCAGCGTCGCGCAAGCTAGCAAGAGATTTGGGGGCCGGTTCGGGAAAGGAATATACATATCGGCCACGTCGTCCAAATCGAATGACTACGTCCAAGAGCGCGGTGGGTCGCCGTACAAGGCGATGCTGCTCAATGATGTTGTCATGGGCAAGACTAAGAAACTTACGACGGGCGACATGACCCTTATGGAGGTCTGTACCGTGTATGCCGTGATGCTGTAATCCGTATACTGAGATGATGTTGTGTGTACTAGCCACCTGCCGGCTACGACTCTGTCGTCGGCGAGCCTGGTGCCGACTTGAACTACGACGAGGCTATCGGTAAGCCCCCTGCTATTATGCGCTATCTGCTCGTGCTGACACAGACCCGCACGATGTCATGGTTGTACAGTGTACAGGGTGAGATTATATATGCATGAGAGTGTTGGTGCATACCGTGACTAACATTGCATACTATATGCAGGACGACGCCATTCGGCCGCTGTTTCTGATCATCTACAAGATGTGATGGTCAGGGCGACGGTCAGGCAGAAGATCTCATAGATAGCCTACAGATAATCATACATGTGTCGTCTCTATACGCTTCTTCTGAATTCAACGCTCATTCTGGAGTTCTGTGGACCGTAGCTTGTTGCGGAGTCGCATGAGCGCCTTCCCGAGCTCGTTCCTGCCTTCGCCATCTTCACCGCATCCCCAGAACGAATCGACCTGGTCAGTCCACGGTGGTATGCGTTAGCAAACGGACATCGCGTCGTGAGTAGGACGTGCGCACCGGACTGTTCTCGATCAGTTCACCATCGCCGGTGCTGAGAAGCATGCGTCTCAGTTTAGGATGCTGCGTGAACTTCGCCTCAAGGATCGCCTCCATGATGCCGACATTGACGTCGAACCAGTCGGACCGTTGTAGCCTGCGTAGGCGGCCCGCCTCCTCGAGGGCTGCACGGGCACTGGGGAGATTTCGAATGCGTCTAACTAGGTCTGGTCGGGTTGTCATGAATTTGTGCGCCTGGAATACTGTTAACGGCGCATTAGATACACGAGCAATGAGGTTCACAACAAGACGTACAGTGTTCTGCCGTTGGGTACCAATACCCGTCCCAGTCGATACCGCATGGTGCGAAGTTGGTGAACCTGATGAATTATGAAGACAATGAGATCGTACGCAAAAACAAAGCGATTGTGAAGGGACATACTCGTATAACGGCTGCTCACGTTGATAGAAGAAGATTTGGTCTGCAGGTCGTTCGGACGGCGGGCGCGGTGGGCAATGAGGATCAGCGGGAGGGTGGCGCACATCCTGATCTGGCAGTGGAGGAGGGATCACGGGCGCTAGCACTTCGCACTTGGGGACTGAGCACAACTCATAGGCTTCTCGGTACTTGGTCTGTACTTACCCGGCTCTTCTAACCCATCGACGTCCATGGGACTTGTTGACCGCTCTCGGTACTCGCGCGTATCCAAAGCTGGCATTGTTCTGTGACCGTGCGGGCGATGATACGACGTTCGACGTCCTTGAACTAGGACTGGCAGAGAGATGAGAACGACTTGCTGTTGAACGACGTCGACTGTGAACATGAATGCTAATATGGTGATATGCGCATAATCATGGCATTCAGGTGAAGAGCTGCTCACCTACTACCGAGTGGTGGTATGGGCAATGTCGTGCGGAGGACTATATATCGGTGCCGGTAAGCAGTTTGTAATTACCGCATTGGATTACGGATTCTTTTGCCCCTATCATCTTATTATTCGACGCATATATAAGGCCGCTCGCTTCAATTCGCGAGTGATCCACCATCTACCGTGATCATCGCCTGCACAAAGGCTTCAAGGTTGCAAGTATGTGCCCCGACACGTCGCGCACGCAGTACACTACCTGCCAGTATCCAGGCTGCCTCCGAAATGTGTGGCAGGATCCCGATGGGTCGTATTCCTCGTATTGCGGTACGATCCATAGGGATGCTATGAAACAGCTCAACGGGGCCCGACTCTGCAAGGTGCGTGTCTTTGTTCCAGATATTCGGCGCATATCTGGACACGGAGGAAAAGAACTGCGAATCACGACCTGCGTATATTGAGGGCAATTATGGTGCGTGGACATTCACGACAGTAACATCCTGCGCTGACGATTCAGTGCTCTGCGCCTTCCTGATCGGTAGTACACGATTTCTGCGGCGGACGCTGCCGTGATGCCTTCCAGAATGGGACGAGCAACCCAGCGAGCCCGCGCGCGTCTCCTGCCCCTGTTTCTCGTGTCTGCAAGCTGCCAAAGTGCCAACAGCCGACGTTCGTAGGGGGTGATGGCATGCCGAGCGACTATTGCTCCAACGCGCATCGTCTGTAAGACGTCTTGCCCGCAGGTCCTGTTTCTCCGTGTATTGACATGTTATTCCCGTAGTGAGGCCGTGCGTAGTGGAAAGGCGGAAGCATGTCTCTTGTAAACGTCTTCGCTTACTTATTGTAGCGTCCCTTCTGACTGTTCCTTTCGTCAGCTGTAACAAGTGGCCGAAGTCGGTCATCAACGGAAAGTTGAGCGACTTCTGCTCGAGGCGATGCAGCGAAGATACATTTAGCTCAGGTCAGGGGTCCGTTTGCTCACCAAGAAGTCGCTGCTGATATCGAAGACTTGCAGCTCCAATCATCTTGATTGTCACCCACAACATGACGTCCTTCAGAGATGGTAAGCTCTGTTTCGCTTTCGTCTCGACAGAAATTCAGTCCGCCCTCGGCCGCCAGTCGCGAAGCAGTTCCGGGACCAGTGGAAGCACCCGACGCCCAAACCGACCGTGGTCAAGGTAACAAGGTCACCTTCTCTCCTCGCAGATCGACAGCTCACAGCTCACACCCCACTAGATATGGAAGATCTACTGCGACAAGGACCACACGGACCAGTTCTCGCGGTACAAGCTCGCCATCGAGCGCAAGACCAACTACACGGGCGGGAACAGCAAGCGGCGGTGGCACGGGACGATCCGCACATGCACGGTCGGCGACAGCGACGGGCAGATGAATCTTTGCTCGAATGTTAACTGCTCGCTTTGCAGCATCATCCGCGTACGTCGCGTTCCCTTCTACTTCACGCTCTTGTGCATCCTGCTGATAGCCCGGCCGCGCGACCACAGACGTCGTTTCATCTCGCGAAGGCAGGCCAGCGCACGAACTTCGGCCGGTTCGGCGCGGGGATATACACCTCCGCGACGTCGTCGAAGGCGAACGACTACGTCGACGAGCGCGGCGGGTCGCCGTACAAGGCGATGCTCCTCAGCGACGTCGTGATGGGCAAGGCAGTCAAGATGACGACAGGAGACGAGGACCTCACTGCGGTGGGTGTCATATACGTTCTTGTGTGATCCTTCGAGGAGCTGATGAGGTGATATGACGGGTAGCCCCCGACGGGATATGACTCGGTTGTTGGCGAGCCTGGCGGCGACTTGAACTACGACGAGGCCATTGGTGAGGACTTTCTTGTCGATCTACGGTGGTGTACATGCACTGACGGTGATTTTCCTGCGTAGTTTACAAGGTGCGCTAGAGTAGTGTTCTTGAGTTCTTGGCTTAGGGCTGACCAATATGCTCGCGTGTAGAATGAAGCGATCCGGCCGCTCTTCCTAGTAATTTACCGCCATTGACGGTCGACGTGCTTCATAGATTGTTCATGTATGCTACTGAGGATGAGGGCTGAAGCGCTGATGTTTCAGTGGCAGGGGAAGGCGACATGTGTACGTATGCATCGCAGATATGGTCTTGGACGAGCTCGTGGCGCGCAATCAGTATCAGAAGTCTTTCTCGCAAAAACGACTGCAGCTGTTGGCTACCAAACCCCTAGCAATGCAATGTGGAAGCGAAGAATACCTACCGCGGCTGTGCGGGGTACAGCGCTACATGCGACGGTCGTCATCTGCTCGATCAGAGCATCCTGCCTCAGGACGTCTGTCAATGGCGCCGTGATGCATGTTCTCGAGATTCAGCGGAAGTGCCCTATGCTTGCCCACCTCGGACCCGCATCCGATGCACCGTGCCTCAAACGATGTCTATCACCCGGTCAAGTAGCCAGGAACGTAACGTGCTCCGCGCGCCGCCGTGGTGGTCTACTTTGGTGCCGCATCGCGGGTGCTGGCGACGAATGGACCGCAGCCCGTCCTGCACTCCCACTCGGCTGGCCAGGCGGATGCCCTTCTGCGCGAGCCCCGTCATTGGGCGCGGGTGAGCTCCATACGAGACGTCCACTGGCGGACGCGAGGAGAGCTCGCAGCTTCGCGCGGAGCCGCATGAGCGCCTTACCCAGCTCGTTTCTTCCTCGCTTGTCCGGGCCCCATCCCCAGAACGAGTCAACCTATCGGACAGTAAGCATCCGGACGATAGCGTCGCATGAAGGCGTCCGTACCGGACTGTCCTCGATGAGCTCGCTGTCGCCCGTGCCGAGCAGCTTGTCTCGCAGTGAGAGGTGCTGCGTGAACTTCGCCTCCACCACGGCGTCCATCACGCTGATGTTGACGTCGAACCAGTCGGGGCGCTGTAGCCCGCGCAGGCGGCCTGCCTCTTCGAGCGCGGCGCGTGGGCTGGGGAGGTGGCGGATGCGTTCTGCGAGGTCTGGTCGGTGTGGCATGAACTTGTGCGCCTGGAACACTGCATGGAAGCAGTATATGCTTATGAGACTCATAGCGCCTCAAACTGTAGATACTCGTGGCGAACGTACAGTGCTCTGCTGTGGGGTACATGCGACCATCCCAGTAGATGTTATATGGTGCAAAGCTCGTAAACCTGATCATACAATCAGAGTCACTGATGCTGACTGGGGAGTGGCATAGCCAACGCGATGCTTACTCGAAGTATGGCTGGTGGCGGTGGTAAAAGAGGATCCTAGATGCCGGTTGCACTCGAGGTATTGGCGATGGCTGGGAGTGTGAACGCAAGCGCTCACGTCTAGGGGAGCGACTCGGACTCGGGTTCGGAGGTGAGTGTTCACTTGGCTTCGAAGGACTGCGTACTACAGCACACAGCACGCGGAGCCGTGACTCGAAACTGAGTACCGTCCTGTGCGCATATGGGGCGTGGAACTTACCTCGCTTATGATGTTTTCGTACATCCCGGGCCGTTGGCCTTTCATGCGGCTGGTTTCCTCGCCCGTGCGTATCTGCCACCGGCACTGTTTTTCTGCATTTGCGGTCACTGTGATGCTGCGGCGCCGATGCCAACCGATTGTCGTGGACAGTAGTCGGATGGCATGTCGGTACTGACAGGAGACAGTGGTTATGGACGAAGGCTTGGTGTGTGTGATGGTGAAGCCAAACCATGCTCTAGTAGTGACTGTCAACCTCGGAGGAGATCTGGGCCAGAGGACGGTCAGGAAATGCGCGGCGTACGAAGAAAGGGCGGAATCGTCCAGAGCCATTAGTGCGGTGATAGACTTACATAGAATGCTTAATAGCTGCCTGTAAGTACTTGGACGGACTTGAATACGATGCGCAACGCGCGTTCAGGCGGTCGATGGCCCAGGCTTGTGGCCGCCCTGGGCGCACGCGATCACATGACAGGCGCGACGGTTCGCCGTCGAACATTTAGCGCCCGAACCGAGTTGTCTGGTCGCAGCCACAGCGCCAATCTTCCTCGCTTACCACCACCTCTCATGTCGATACGCAAGTCCCAGGCCCTTCATCTCATCCCTAGCCTCTGAGCCTAGCTTCAAAACAATACTTATCGACATTGATCATAAACATGTGGTCTAAATTCAGCAGCGCGCTCAAGCAACGCCCCTCCACGCCCTCGCTCCTCGACGGCGACGAACCGTCACCATCCAAAGCAGAAGTCCTCGCTGGCGTATACGAACAACACCCCAATCTTTCTGTCTTCCACGCAGAACATCCCTCCGAAGTTCCTTTTCCACCCTCGAGTCCGACGATGTCGCCTGCGGTCAATGGGCGGAAGAGCATCTTCAAGAAACCAGGCAAGCCCCAGCTGCCACCGATCAATACACAGGCATCCGAGCAGGGCACGTCAAGTCCAATGATGAGTCCGCTCTTGCTGCCGAAGAAAGTAAAGTCGTCTCTTAATCTTGCAAGTGGTGAGTATTCTATCTACTATTAATCGCGAGGTCGGGGCAGTATCGTTCGCGGCTAGCTGTCAGGCGAATGTACGAACGCGTTTCATTGGTACTGTTATTTGCGCTTGGCGGGCGACAAAGAGTGGACCGAGGGTGACATCCTCCGGCGTCGTCTACGACTACATTGTGGTGTTTCACACAATTGTTTCAACTCTAGGGAGCGCACTGTACTGCCTTAGATGTGGCGGTACTAGCGACTGCAGTGTTGCAGGCAGGCTGGTGCACATATGAACATAGGAGGTCTCTACCGTGTGGTTTACACAGTGGCAGCTGGCGAATTTCCACACATGGCCTCGTCACTCGTTGCTTCACCTCTTCCGGATAAGATGTGACTTGAAATGTCCCCAAAGCGTTGATGTTTCCATGGTCTGCTCGTGCATCGGCCAACACGACCCACGTCTTCTCTGCGAGGAAGCGGGGTTTACGCCGCTCGACAATTACTATCGCATAGATGAATATCTAGCCTCTCCGCCCATTGTCACGGGTCCTGTCCATTATCCAGAGCGACGTTATCAGCGTATCACCTCAGACAGCCTGGGGGTCTACACCTCGCTGCTGGCAGCACGTTATGCTGTGTGGCTAGGTTACTGATTGCTGACTTTGAGGCCAATTTGAGGTGTATAATATTTATGGTGCCCCTTTCCTGCTTTGGATCATGTTGCTTGTGTGCGATTGTTGATCATGTTGCTGATGCTTTGATCACTGCCAGTATCCGAAATCTCACTTGGCCGCTCATCCATAGAGTCTACTCAACGCGCGCCGCATGACGTGCCTCACGAGCGTTCGAGTACACCAATCTCAGAAGTGTTCAAGTTTGGTTCACTCCGATCTCGCGCACCACCAGAACCACCATCTACGTATGCCCCTCGCCCATCGCAAGACTCGATGTCTACCGTGTCCACGATTGACGAGCGCGCGCATCCGGGCTCTCCTTTGGACGCTTTCCCACATGAACCCGTCCGTTCGCGTCCGCAGGAGGCGACACATGCCGCGAGGCCATCCCAAGATTCTGCAGTGTCACTTCAAGACAACAAGGCACCAATAACCCCTACGGCAGACGCGCGGTATAGCTCGCTGCGTTCGATCTTGCGCGATCGGAAGACACCGGCGACAGGGCAAAGCGTACGCTTCTTCAGCCGTGACGCCTTCAAGGTGATTACGCCGGACGTCTCGACCGCGAGCAGCGAGCCCGAAGAAGTGTCCTTCGCCGCACGTCTCAGTCGGGCCAGCGGAAAGCCCGCGAGGCCAGCGGCGCAAGAGCTGTTTGCGAATACGATGCCGGGTACGCCCAGTATGGTCGGCTCGGGGATGCCGAGTATGTTGACCCAGGTTCCCCCGCCCAATACGTCCAACATCTTCGACCTGTCAACGGAGGTCGAGATGCCGATGATTCCCGTTGGGCACGATGCACCTCTCCTAGACAGCGCGGTGGAGATCTCAGAGGCAGAGGCGCCAAACGAGGAGGCAGACAAGTCGATGCCACCCACGCCTCCGTCGAAGCAGGGGATGCACGACCGGAGCCATTCGTTCAGCTTTGGGCAGACTGTCTTCCGTTCACTCGCAAGTCCCGTGGAGGAGGCGCGGACGAGCACGCCACCGCCGGGATCGTCGTTCTCCAAGAGTCGAAGCCGTGCCATGAGCGACACCGTGTTCCACTCGTTCATGGGCGGGACGACAAAGAGTGCACCCGAGGCGGACATCAACGACACGTCTGCACTCAAGGTTTACCCGTCGCACCCACCTTCGCCAACATCGCCCGAACGACCGAAGGAGAAAGACCCTTTCGGAGCACACGCGACAACGTTCTTCACCCCGGGCACGGTGCCGCCGACGCCGCCGGACCACCCCACGCATGCGCGGAAGGTTTCTCGTGAGGAAGACAACGCATGGCGGCTGCAGACGGCGCTCGCGCTCAAGTCGGAGCTGTGTGCGCAATACGAGCTCGACTTGGCTGCACGCGACGAGCTAGTCACACTCTTGCAGCAGCGCCTCACCGAGTGCGAGAAGGAATGCGAGCGCCGGAAAGGCCTCGTAAAGGGCTGGCGCAAGCGCGTGGCGGAGCTGGAGAAGTGCGTGCGCGGCCTGAGCGAGGAGGTGGAGCGCAGCAGGGAGGAGGCGAGTGAGCGGAGCGTGATGGACGAAGCCAGCGGGATGGCGCTCCGCGAGATGCACCGGCGGATCGGGGAGCTGGAGCGGGAGTGCAGGGAGCGGGAGCGGAGAGAGGAGGAGGTGAAGGAGGAGGTGAGCATGCGGGAGGACGAGCTGGAGCACATCCGGGACGAGCTGCGCAGGAAGGATGACAGCGAGCAGGAGCTGCAGCGAGGAATTCGGGACGCGAGGGAGGAGATGGAGAGGATGCAGATGGACCTCGAGATGAGCGCCAACCTCGGCCCACCTGTCCCTGCGCCCTCCAGACGTGATGCCTCAGGGGAGAGCGACTGGGCCGAGGAGCGCGCCCGCCTTCTTGCAGAGAACGAAGCCCTGCGCAGCGAGCAGATCTCCCTTCAAGTACAACTCACTGATGCGCGCGAAGACACCCTGCGCCGCGACTCGGAGTTGCGTACACTCAAGGAGGAGCTCGAGGCGCAGTGGCGGCACACCGAAGAGGCGGGTGAACAGATCAACGCCCTCACGCACGAGCGTGACACGCTCAAGGCCGAGGTCGATGCCCTCAACGAACGGGCGTCCACGATGGAGGTCGAGTGGGCGCAGGGCGAGAACGGCAGGGAGGAACTGGAGAACGAGGTGCAAGAACTCTTGTCTGCGAAGGAAGAGCTCGAGCGCGAGTGCCGAGAGCTCGAGGATCAAGTCCACGCTGCAGACGAGCACGGCAATGAGCTCACTCGTGCACTACAAGAACGGGAAGCGCGGGTCACGTCTCTCACGCAAGAGAAACAGTACGCCACAGATCGTGCCGCGCGGTTCGAGACACAGCTCAAGGTGCGCGACGCCGAGGCAGAGGAGATGCGCGAGCGTGTTCTGGAGGCGGAGTTGGCCAAAGACGCCGCTGAGGAGGACGCGGTGCGCATGAAGCGCGAGCACGCGCGGATCGTGAACGATCAGAGCCGCACACTGCAGGAGGTCGTCGCGCGTGAGGTCGAGGCGCGCGCCAACTTCGAGGCGCTCCTCAGGGAGAAGGGTGAGACTGGTGTCGAGCTCGGCTCACTGAGAGACCGGGCGAACGTTCTTCAGGAGGAGGTGGACAAGCTCCGGAAGCAGGTGCATGCGTTGCAGCAGGAGAGCGCCGACAAGGAGATGAGGCTCGTGAACCTGCAAAAGCAGAAGGCGCAGGACAAGGAGGACATCCAGGGCCTGAACATAGCTCTTGACTCGAAGCAGCAGGAGCTCGAGCTGGTGCGTATCTCAGATCGCAATGTCGTTCGTACTGACTGACGCGTATTGAACAGCTCAAGCGCCGCATGAACGTGCGCGGCGCATCAGCCACCCCCGCTGCGCCCTCGAAGGTCCCCCCTCACAGACGCGAATCATCCATCTTTGGCACACCCAGCGTTACTGGATCGCGGCCGCCATCCGTCTTGTCTGACAGCGGTAGCACGATGAAGGGCAGGCTTGCCGAGACACCGTCGACAGTCAAGGGCAAAGGAGTGGACACTCCATCGACTGTGAAGGGATCCGCGCTCACTCGGAGCATGCGCGCGAACGGGCCCGCCGCCACGACGACGACGACGGTGAGGAAACGGTCGATCGAAGGCGCAATGGGTCCGCCTCCGAGCCTCTCTCGCCAGAGCTCTGCGTCTAGCACTACGGGCGCGAAGGACATGACCCCGACGCGGATACCGTCCGCGTCGTCAGCGCATCGCGCGTCCATCGCGGGCCCGCCGAGTGCATTCACGAAGACGCCCACCCCGACGCATGTCCGGCGGACATCTGTGTCGTCACGCCTGCCGACGTCGCTTGTGAGCCGCGACCGGGAGGTGTCCGGCTCGGCGAGTGAAGCGGATGAGAAGGAGAAGGAGAACGCGGCGCCGAAGGCGAGGAGGATGAGCATGCTCGCGGCCTGAGTGAGGAACGTTACCGGCCTCGTGCGACACGGACACATTGCATCCTGGATACCCACCCCATCCGCATCCGCATCTGGACACTCCATCGAACATCCCGTGTATGGTAAATGATCCACATGTATCAGTTATGCGTCTCTTCTTCCGTCTCTACCATTACCTCCATCGCGGTTCGTTCTCCCCCCGTCGTGTATCCCTGTCTATGCCTTCCCAATCTTGAGATGCCTCACTTCCCTTGTGCTCCGCCTCACCGCGACCCATACCTGACCCATACAGATTTGGAGCGAGATATGCAATCTTGAAGTTATGCCGTTATCTACCGAGTTAGCTCTGTGTTCGCTGTGCCATACACTCGTCTTGCTCTCGACTGAATGCATCGTCTTTGGTTGAACAACACGCAGACCTTCTTTGATGTCAATGTGTCGTGATGTTGTGACTCTCTTACATCGTGGTGCGAGTCTGCTTATGCCGATGGTGAGTACATATCCCGTCTGCAGGGCGTGCGCTCATCGACGCTCAGGTATTATGTCATAATGTGATACCCAGCGCGCAGGACATGCGGCATTCTATGCTCAATTGAAGAAGGAAAGTACAAGGAACCCGTACGCGTGGAACGCTGCAGGCTTCTGTCCGGGGTGCCGCACTGGTGTCGTGTGTCCAGGTCGGCTGCCGGTGCACCTACGTCTTCCGCGGCCGGTACACCTATATGGGCAAGTGTATCACCACTGCATGCACCGAGCTAGTCGATAGCACAGACGAAAAGCTCGACACTACGCGATAGGTCGTCTGCATGGACGGCTTCCGGAGCTGGGTCATGTGCATGAGCCTCGGGCCCAATAGCGGGTCGCTGCTGGCGCGAAAGATTACTCGAGTGCTAAGGAAAAGAATAGACTGACGAACTTACTAGAGGTAAGTGCGTGGTTTGCCAGATGGGTAAGGATGTTGAAGGCAGAGTTGATCGGCCCATGTGCATGATGGGCTGGATGCCCCCCGGCTCGTGCCCTCGCAGGCTCGAACAGAGCCCCGATGAGAGGACTTCCAATACGAGCTCCACGATGGTGTCAGGAACTGCATGCACTGGATCGAGGGCGGGCAAGCCACCATGATGGGCGACATTTCGTAATCGTTCTAACTTCTGTGTACGCACCGGCGAGGCTTGCATCTGACTATCCCATCAGTGGGAGGTGGGGGAAGCTACGCGGCTAGCGATCGACAGCTAGTAATATCGCTTACTCGTGCATGCTCAATTGCACTTACGTACTGGTGCTTATGATCGCATTGGCTTGATCGCGGGTGCATACATAATGAGATACAAGATCATCGAGGATCGTTGAAGGATCGTCCGCGACGCCTCTTCATGTGGCAATTGATCGACGCCCTCAAACACCAATGACATCCTACGACAAGTACCTGTATTACGGAGGTCATCAAATTGCTTACCTGTCTACAACCTGTGGAGTATGACTCTTGTGGTTGTACGCATCCGGATTTCGCCGCATCGAGACGACGAAGATTCATCAATGCACGTCTGGATGCAATCTGGATCGGCGGCCGCGGGAGCCTGGAGGGATGAAATCTTTGTCTTCGGCTAAGTCGTCGCGCAGTCCGTCGGTGATGTCGTTGTGGTTTCTGTGAGACAGCCGGTCGTTCCCACAAAGTTCCCGCTCGCTCGCTTGAAACAGTGATTTCTCCAAGACATTGGGAAGCACCTGGGCGGTGGGAGGTTTCGAAAGGTGGATGCACTGCAGTCTGTCCGAGTCCGACAGACATACGGTACATATGCCTCCGAGTCTCTCGAAGCCGACGTCAGGTAGCTGAAGAGGCTCCTCGCATGGATCAACCTAATGATGGAAGCGGAACAGCTGTTCCTGATGCGACAATGAAGGCGACCAGGCCCTGGCGGGATGTAGGGCGGTAAGAGCATGTACGGAAGAGCCGGTAGGCGGAGCGGCATTGACGTTGACGCGGGGCTATAAGTGGCTATAATTGGCCGAGTGCAGTACGGTACAGTACATCTAGGCGCCACAGACGTGCCCCGGCGGTCCTCCAGCGCCTGAGAGCGGTTCAGTGATACCCGTCGTGAGGCGCGACATTTGCCTCCGCTTTCTGAATGAAACTATCCGACATAACACTGCCCGTTTACGTAGCGTCAATCCTATCACTTCTCCACTCTCTTCCACTCTCCCTCCTTGCTGCGTCCTCCAACACCCCGCATTAAATGGCCAAATTCTCGCCGTCAAAGTCGTTCGCCGGCAACGAAGATCCCCTCGATGTCGTCCTCCGTCCACCCCCGGACGAGACACCAGATGTCCGGGCGGACAGGCTGCGCAGGGAAGCCGAGGCCAAAAAGGTCAGTGACGCAATAGACGAGAGCATTCGTCAAGAAAAGGCGGCCTGGAAGAAGAACAAGAGTCTCTTCCGGTTATTGCTGCTTGGCCAGAGCGAGAGTGGTGAGTGGTTGTGTTCAAGTTCGTGTGTAGCGCTGTGGAGAAGGCCCGCGATCTTGGCGTAGTGACATGAGGACACGACGATGTGCGCATAGGGTCATGTCAGTAAGGCACTGTCTCGGGGAGATCGCGACAGTCTGTCTATTCATGGCACATCCGAGCGGAGTTATGTTTGTTCCTCGTTTGGCCGTAGACGTGTGTCCTTGTGTATGGATTCATCCTGCGCGTGGGTACTCAAGTATCGGTGACCGTGCTATTGACACTTGACTCTCAGCTCAAGCGGACACGCTGCACAGATGTTTGGCCCCGGTCTGCTGCGTGTACATCGTAATTAACAAGTTGCGATCCCCCGCGCTAGCGTAAACCGCAGGCAAGGGAGGGTTTACCATTTCCGGGCATGGGCCACACCCTCGTCCACGACGGGAATCGGGTCGGAATGCCTTCTACAGTCGTTGGCATGGTGGTTGTCGCATGCGCGCGACGAGAAACGTATTTGATCCTCTTTGGCTGGCCTCGACGCACCACCGGACCTGGTCAGTCCTGTTATTCGTGCAGTCCCACACGTACGCTGGGAAACGCAGATCGAAAAACATGCGCGTGTTTGTCTCATGTTCGGTCGATGATATTGAAAGTTCGAGGATTGGTGCCGAGCTTTTTGTATTCTGCCCGATATGTTCTATTTCCAAGCACATTCTGGAAAGGTCCCCACCGTGCACCGGTCGTTGAGGATGCTCGGTGGCCACTAAACCTGCTTTGCCCGCGGTGACCGCTTTAAACGGAGCCTATCCCTTTCGTCAGTCACCAATTTTCCATTTGGTCATGTCTCTGAAGCAGTGTGCAAGGCTAACCCAGTTCTCCATTGCAGGCAAATCGACCACGCTCAAAAGTACGATCCTGCGTCTTTGTGCGGCACGCAGCTAGCATAATAAAACCATTCGCATTACAGATTTCCAGCTGACATTTGCCCCGCAAGCATGGGCAGCCGAGCGCGCGTCCTGGCGCGCCGTCGTCCAGCTCAACCTTGTCCATTCCATCAACTTCGTCCTCGACGCGCTCGCGCAAGAGTTCACCGCGAACCCACCCGCCCGCCCGCGCACCGGCGTCTCTCCCTTCAGCACCGCCGCCCCCGCGAGCGCACAACACTCCACGGCGTCCTCGCCCGACTCGCCCACTGGCCCCAGCCTCGCGGACGGCATCGCGGACACCTCGGTGCCACTCAAGTTCACGGAAAAGCACGCGCTCCTGAAGCTCCGCCTTGCGCCCCTGCGCCATATCGAGACGGACCTGCGCAAGGCGCTAGGTGCGGCGGACCTCGCCGGAGAGGGGGCCCTGGGCCCTGGCAGCATGCGGGCGACGCCGTTCGACGAGCCCTATGCTCCGAGCGGGAGCGGGAGCGCTTCCGTGCGTTCCGTGCGCAGCGCGGACCTGTGTTTGAGGTCGAACCGCTCGTGGAAGGACGCGCTGCATATGCAGTACCATGGGCATGGCGGGCATGGGCACGGGCATGGGCATGGGGTTGGCAGCCGCGAGGGCGCGCTGACGCCTGGCTCGGAGAGGGACGACGCGACGGAGGTGATTGCGGGGTGTAGGGAGGATATGAAGGCGCTGTGGGAGGACGAGGTCGTCAGGGAAATGTTGGCGCGACAGAGGATGCGGATGGAGGACAGCGCAGAATTGTGAGTGTGTTTCTCGTGTTTCTCAACCTACTTTACAAGAGGGAGGCGGCGAGATGAGGCGACGGGGTGATGCACTGATCGACGTCTGCTTGCGGTTGCCGCGCTTTCATCGGTACCTGGAATCACGGGTGGGCATTGAGTCTCTCCGAGAGAGCTGAACAACCATGTGCAGCTCGCCATCGTCAACCTGTCACACCAGTGTAGGGTCCTACAGCGGGTAGCCGTGCCATCTGTTTGCCGTCCCACCTGTGATATCAATTGTACTGAGGTGGCTGCTAACACTAACCTGTGATCGCCTTCACAGCTTCCTGGATGACATCGACCGGATAGCATCACGCACGTACGAGCCCTCCGATGATGACGTTGTGCGTGCACGGCTACGGACAGTGGGCGTGCAAGAGTACCAGCTGAAGTTCGAGAACGTAGGTGAGCAGAATCACGACTACTCGCATCGTACATTCTGCAACGAACTCGGAGAACCGGCCCAATGCACGTGCACTGACCCCTCTGCCACAGCAGGCGTAGACCGCTCGATCTCCCGCGAATGGATCGTCTACGACGTCGGCGGTGCCCGATCATCCGTAAGTCACTCGCCCGGCTCTGATCCGCTGCACTTTGACTTTAACGCTGACCCGCCCGTCTTGCAGCGCGCCGCATGGGTGCCCTACTTCGAGGACGCGAACGCGCTCCTGTTCCTCGCACCGATCAACTGCTTCGACGAGTCGCTCGAAGAGGACCGGAACGTCAATCGCCTCCAGGACTCGTTCGTCCTCTGGAAGAGCGTCGTTGGAAGCAAGCTTCTCCGGCGGTGTATCATCGTCTGTGAGTCTCTTGGTTCTGACGAGTGATGTCACATCGTCACGTACTACATCGGAATTGACGGATGCTCGGGGCGGTAGTGTTCTTGAACAAGTATGATCTGCTGGCGAAGAAGCTCAAGGCAGGCGTTCCTATCAAGAAGCACCTATCGAGCTATGGAGACCGCGAGAATACCGCGCCAGTGTTCGCAAAGTGTACGTCCACAGTTGCGTAGCTGCGATGCTACGCTTCGCTCATGCTGTCACTTGCAGACCTACATCAAAAGTTCCGCGAACAGCATAAAGAGTATTCTCCCGAGCCGCGGTCTTTCTACGGCTACGTGACCTGTGTTGTTGTACGCCGCAGCCCGCCTCCTTGACTGTTGGTTGGGCTGAAAGAGAGTTTTCTGCAGGACACGAAAGCAACTGCATCCACGCTCTCATCAGGTACGAAACCCTGCACCTTCTCGTATGCTGACACAGACTAATCCGTCCTTAGTACGGGACGGCCTTTTGCAGCAACATTTACAACGAGCAGATCTGGTTGCGTGAGCTTTCGCCATCGGTTGGCGCGACATGTTTCATCATGAGTCAACGACTATCTACCGTCTTGAGCCTTCCGCGCATCCATCTTGCAGGGGGCGGTATTTATCTATACGTATTTGTTTGGATCTATTGTGTATGTCGTCTTGCATGCTTGACTGTGCTTAGCAGTGTTCGTCATAATGCGACATCGATTTCTTCATTCCGGACTTGAAGAATCCTGGTTCCGTCGTGACTACAGGCGCGGCGTGACAGAACCACATGACTATGCCAGTTTCCCGAACGCATCCGGCGGATTCCGGCCCGACGAGGAGGGGATCCAAGTACGCTCACAACCTGGCGTCCATCCTCAGAGTCGCCCTCCCGAGCGACATCCCTCGTGGCAGGTGCGGCGAAGTTGAGGGAGACGAGGAGGAAGACAAAGGGATAAGCAAATGGGTGGCATATTTGTCGTAAGGATAGGGATACGTCGAACGGTAGCCGTGAACCAGCGTGCGGGGTAAAGACAGACTACAGTGGGTAAGATGAAGTGGACACCCAGACCATTATGACCATGTAGCATGTGGCGAAACGGTCGCAGAATGAAACTCATCGAGCTGCGAGTGAGACCAGAGTGAGACCGGGGCTGCATCCTGCATGCCCCTGGATGCTACATCTCGAACTCTGTAGAGCCTTGGTTCTGAGACAGCGACATTGTCAGCGAAGTTCCAAAAACATCGGGGATTCGGCTGGCGGTTAACATCCGAGTTGCCTGCTCTACGCTCTATGATAGGTCACACTTGCGTTCGGATATGCCGCGGACAGTACCGCTTGGAGCAGAATCTATCCATGTACACGCTTCGGTGGCACGCACCGCTGAAGAGCGTATCGTACTCTTCCGTGTTCTGTATCGGTAAACATTTCGAAGAGTCACCTGCAGGCGGCGTCGAGCGAGAGATATTAGAGATATAACGAGCTCGTTTAGAGCAAATACAACACGAGTCTACATTGTTTCAGCGACATGCGCAACAGCTTGGGAGATAACATAGCTTGACTTGGAGTCCCTTACATATAGGAACCTTGTCTATTCTGTGTTGATACATATGACTTACGATATGTCGCAATCACCATGGTTGTCGATGTTGTACGATGCGTAGGAGAACATGGCGAGGACTGCTGTCGGTCACTGTACAAGCTCGTCGGCCGGCACTGGCATATCCTCAGTGAATTGTTACACCGGGTCACACGTGGGACACGTACCAGGCGGGAAGTCGACCTGATCGTCGTTCAAATACCACGCTCCTGGTGGGACAGTCAGACACGTGTTCCGTCGGTGCGTCGCGCGGGAGGTGGCGGAACTTACTGTCGCCCGTCATGGTCTTCTCATTGTACGTCTGCCCGTCCCCGAGCCAGTGCATGCGGTTCTTGACGCCATCCGGGAGCTCGTACTGGAAGTCCTCCCACCTGGGATGTTCGAGGGCTCGGACGGCATGCAGACACGAGCCTGGGAGCGTTGAGCCGGCGAGCCGGAGGAAAGCAGAATGGGACATACCCGGCCACAGCGCAACGACTCTGCCCTCTTCCTTGCCCATCTTGTACCATGACCTGCACTTCTCGCTGTACACCGTGTTCGGGAAGTAGTGCTAGCGGAGGCGCGAGGTTTCAATCGGCTCACGCGTCCGCAGAATCAGACGCCGGCGCACTCACCTCTAGGTACTCATCGAAGTCCGCCACAGCCTCCTTCTTCACCTCGACACTCTTCAGCCGCTCCCGCTGCATCTTCCGCGCCGCGGCGACCGCATAGTCCACCTGGCGCTCGATCAGCGCCAGCAGCGACCCGCTGCCCACGCCGCTGTTGGGCCCGAGGCTCATGAACCAGTTCGGGAAGCCGTCCGTGCAGACGGCGAGGTACGTCGACGGGTGCGGGGCCCACTTATCCTGGATGGTGGCGCCGCCCCGGCCGACGATGGGGAAGTCGAGCTGGAAGGAGTAGTCGTAGCCTGTCGCGCAGATGAGGACGTCGAGCTCTTCGTGCGTGCCGTCGACTAGCTCAATGCCGTTGGCGGTGACGTGTTTGATGTGGGTGGGCTGGAAGTCGACCTGGATTACGAGCGTTTAGTCGGATGTGCCAGAGGTGAATGGATGATGCAGACTTGCATTATCTGCGCAGAGCGATTCTAGGTATCCAGGCCCCGCAGTCAGTCGCCGACAAGCAACCCCAAACTCTGGTATCACTGGACATTGTCAGTGGCCGGTAATGGAGGAGCGATAGACAACGCGGGACTCACAGAAGTCAGCGATCCACGGCTTCTTCGTGAGTTTATTCTTCATATGCGCATGGAACGCCGCGCGCCCAGCACGCTGGGCGTCACTGTCCCTAATCGTCGCGGGATGCACGCTCTGCAGACGGGATATCATCGGCGTTAGCAACGAACCATAGCAGAGGAGAGCCCGCGTCGTCTCACGTTCAAGTCAGCTTCCAGCTCGTGCCTGAACTGTTTATAATACTCCGGGTCTCTGAAGCGCTCCTTGTCCTCGTCCGTGAACACATCTGCGTATTGTTAACGCAGTCAGCGGGGGCTCGTGCAGGAAACGGCGGGGACCTGCAGTTCTCCACATCGGGATCGCGCTTGATGAGCTCCGCCATCTTCGCGCCCGAGAACGGCGTGGCGATCCACGTCCTGCCGCGCACGAAATTCACGATTTTCTTCACTCTCGGCTGGAGCGCCGGCACGATCTGGATCGCGCTCGAGCCCTGGGAGACGTGCAAACCAATCCTGTCTCAGTGACTTCGCAGTCGCTGCCAGACGGGTGTACGCACCACGCCGATGACGCCGACGCGCTTGTCCTTCCAGTCGTGTATGGCCTCCTGCCACGCCTGCTCCCCGTCCCCGACCTCAAAGTCTGCCGTGTGGAACAGCTTGCCCTCAAAGTCCTTCAGCCCGTCGATCACAGGCCACTTCCACCTGCTCAAGCTGCCCACGCCCGTGAACAGCAGATCCGCGGTGTCCTCGAACTCCTCGTACGCCCCCTCCTCGTCCGCGCCCACCTGCGCGGGAGGAGCGTTGGGCGGGGGCGGGGAGGCCGGGGAGACGCGCGGGTCGAGCGGGCGCCGGATGCGGAGGTGCCACTTCCCGGAGGGCTCGTCGTACCGCGCGTGCACGACGCGGTGCTGGAGCTTGATGTAGCGCATGAGCTTGTACTTGTCGACGACGGACTGGAGGTAGCTGCGGATCTCGGGGCCGGGGGCGTAGAAGGCCGACCAGTCGGTCTGATAATATATGCCGGGCACGGTAGCATCGTCGCGTGAGCGTAGCTAGGCGAGTGTGTGGTGGATGCGCACCTTGGGCTCGAAGGTGAGCTGGTACTGTGTGATGTATGGTCAGCCGGATTGCGAGCGATGGCGGAGTGGCGGGATGTGAGCAGTGGACGTACGCAGTGTGCGGGTATGTCACACGCCAGGCCCCTGCGTGAATCACTTCAGCGAATGATTGAGGCGCGAGGCAAGGGATGTAACGCACGGATACTTGTTCGTGAACCACGTCCCGCCTACACCGGCATTCTTGTCGTAGATCGTGAGCTCGACATTGGGTATACGTTGTGGGAACCTAAATGCTCGTTAGCATGATTGAATTTGACCATAAGACGTGCGCACCTTATTCCTGCGATGATCCCGCTGAAGCCCGCTCCGATGCAAACGACCTTGATGGGCTTATGCTCGTCGATGGAAAAGTCGCCCAGCTTGAAGCCGCTTTCTGAGGCCTGCCCGTTCGTCATGGGCGGTGCTGGTATGTCTCCTGGCATGGTACCGTAAGTATGGGAGTAGGCGTGGGGGGACTCAGAAAACACTGTTTCACTAATAAGCGGGCTGCATATATGATGGCCAAGTGCTGGTATACTGTTCAAGAGACGATAACGGGAGCGCGAGAAGAGGAAGTGCGCCTCCCACAGACCATGTATGCGCGAATCCCATGGACATTTGAGCTGTTCTCGTGTTCTGATTCATCTGCGGGTGTGATTGAGTAGGAGGATAATCCTTTCAGCCGGTGGGCTATACCTGATCATGGGCATACTTTGGGCATACTTGACAACGCTCATATGTCACAAGTCCCGTCCAGAGCAGCCTGAGCTGTCGACCATGAGGTCTTTTGAACATATGAAGGCTGCAGATGCCGCGCAGTCCGGACAGTGTCCCAAGCCAGAGAAGAGTGTGACTCTTGCCCGCCCGCTAGAGAGAAGCAGTCTTCCTCAGGTAGACCCTCAAGATGGCCCATTTGACGACGGTCTTCGAAGGAAACAGGGTCCGAGTCGTCAACCCCACATCATGGTGGCCATATGAGTTGCAGTCGTCATGTCGCCGGACTGCGCGTGGAGGCCAGATGGATGCTGGAAGAGGATCGGAATGGGTCTTACAGAGCCGGACTCACCACTGGGCAGCTCCGAGCCGCATACAAGCTGGGAGACGAGGTGGAAGTCGATTGAATGTGGACGGCGACGATGAAGTTTGAACCCTATGTGATGACTGCAACGTCCAGGCACAGGCTCTAAGAGACTCGGAAGAATCACGGGCCATGAGATCAAGCTTCAAGCTCAAGACGGCTCCGGTCCACGCGGGGACTGCATATTCGAGCGAAATTGATGTGTGTGCACCGTGTGTGCCCTCGGCGCTGTTGTCGTTGCCGTGGCGAACGGCGGTGAGGATGGGCCGCAAGGGATGGAGATGACAGCCAAGTTGAGCGAGTCCGGCCGTGCCGCAGATAATGGCAGGGTCGATGACTGGGCACAGGCTCGGCAACCGCGCACGCGTCGGGCGCGTCCTGCCTCGCGGCCGCCCCTCCTCCTCTCCGTCCACCTCCTCATCCCCCATCCACGACCACCGCCCTCCCGCCCCGCGAGACAACCGTGTATGCGACCTCTTACCCTCCACTCCTCCGCGCTCAATGATGCCGAATACGCCGTGTACATCGCGTGCCTGCGCGACCTCGCCGAGGACGAGCCCGACATGCAGGCCAGCGACACGTTCTACGAGAACATGAAGGTCGGCGTGCGCGAGGCCCGGGCGTGGCTCCGCGGCCGCTATTCCTCCCTCGCGCCCGGGATGATCGACTCGGTGCGTCTCTTCATGAACGTGCCCGCCGCGGCTCTCACGACTCTGCATCGCTGCAGATCCTCCGCCTCTTTTGCCCAAGCCTCGCGCCCGCCGACGTCCTCACAGGCAGCCAGCTCTTTGCTGTCCTGAGGCTCGTGTACCATGCGCTCAATGGGAGGGACATCGACAAGGGTCTCGTCTTCGTCCAAGGTGAGTCGCGCGCCGTGTCTACCTCTACCGCACCCGCCTTCAGGAACAGCCGTGGTTCCGCTCTATATGTCCCGCATCCTGCCTAGGGCTTTTCCCAGCACTCCAAGGGTCTTTCGGGCTGCATCCCCTTTGCTCGACACGCTCTCCTGCATGGCGCATACAGAGCGGCACAAGCAATCCGCGTGTATGCAGCCCATGATATGTCCTTTGCGAGTCAGCCACGTCGCTTCCGTATGACTTCGAAATTGCTCGAATACTGCCTGCGCCTCCTGGGCTGCATAGCTCGCCGCCAACCACGGTAGGCCGAGCAATCGACGAGCTGTCCTCTGCGTGTCCGTCGCTCTGCCCCTTGAAGCTCTGCTTCCGGCACACGGCCGCCGGCATACCCAGATACCATTCGAACTCTAATTCATCATGATTGGGTGCCAGCTCGCGCCGGGCCCTGTGAGCATCACCGCAAACTCTTGCTGCACCTTAAGGCTCAATGAGCGCGTCGCGGTCAATTTTATCTACGCTCTTGCTGCGGCCAGTACCGTCGGAACCCAAGTCATGCTTCGCGTTGAACGCGTGCGGTGTGCGGGCCGTCGGCTTCATATACTCGCTCCATTAGTGGTTCTGCCAGCGTTTTGTATGATGCCTAACGCGAAGCTTAAATGCTTTCGTGACGTGCATAGTCGCAGAACGGGCGCAAGCGACGGTGATCGTCTGGTCGACTCGATCAATGCGTTCCGCTGTGACTACCTGCGTAGCTACTTGCCAGGTCTCGCCGTGTCGGGTGCATCGTCGCTGAGACGCGCTATGTTCTTTCGTTGTGGTATCCGGGCACACGCTGTTCTTCACGCATTGACGCTAATCTTCATGCTGCAGCTCATCCTGATCCACAACCGTCGTTCCCCGCGCGACTGTCCATTGATCGACTACCTCCACCTCCTCCTAGCTATGACCCACCCTCCCCAGACAAGAACCCCTTTAGCATCGCTGACCTCCCCCTCAAGTCCGCCCCCATGGTCCCATCGAAGTCCGCGCCGCTCCCCCCGGCCGTTCCTCCCAAGCCCTCCACGAACCCCTTCCTCGCGCGTCGCGGCTCCGAAGAGGGCCACCGGCCATCCGCACTCGGCGAGCGGGAGCGCCCGCCAAACCCGAACGCGCGCGCGCGGAGCGAGGGCCGCACGCCGCCGCTGCCCCCGCGCAAGCCGAGCATCCCGGTCGTGCCCTCCCTCCCGCCGCGCCACTCGTCGCTCGCGAAGATGCCCGAGACGATCACCCCCGGCACGAGCGCGGCGAACCCGAACGTGCTCATCCAGCAGAGCCTCCAGGCGACGCGTGTCGCGCAGAGCCTGAAGAAGGCGGAGCAGCGCCTCCAGCAGGAGCGCGTGTGGGAGGTCCTCAAGAGCAGCAACCCGTCCGCCTCGAGCGTCCATACCCTGCGGAGGACACGCAGCATCAGCCCCACGAAGGACCCTGCTGCGCAGTCGTCCTCTGGTTCGTCGGGCTCAGATAGGAGGGAGCGCCTGCGGGACCGGCCTGCGCCGTCGCTCCCGCCACGAAGGAAGCTGAGCCCTCCCGCGTCAGCCATCTCGGGCTCCACGACGCGCTCGTTCGAGTCCGTCGCGCGCGCGAGCATCCCAACCTCGCTATCGCGCACCCGCGGCGTGATCTCGATCTCGCCCTCCGCGTCCGCTTGCACCTCGCCCACGCGCACGCCGCCGCGGCCGCTGGCTGACCTGCCCGCGGAGCCGCCCCCGACGCACCCCGACCGCAAGCCGACGCTGCCCGGCGTCGACGGCGAGCGCAGCGGCCCGAGCTCGCCCTCCACGACGGGCGAGTTCCCGCGCGTGTACCGCAGCAAGAGCATGAACCACCCGTCGCCCCCGCCGCTCCCGCCGCTGCGCCGGAAGCGCCCCGAGAGCGTGCAGCTGCCCCCGATCTCGTCCGCCTCGCCGTCGCCCGTGGACTCGCCGTTGTTCATGAGCCCGTCGCGGCCGAGCTTCCCGAGCTCGGGCACGGGCGCGGGCACGCATAGTCTGAGCAGGCACCACTCGCTCTCGGGCGTGGGCCGCCCGCGCCCCGGGGAGGTCCTCCAGGAGCCGATCGCGAACTTGCAGAAGACGTTATCGAGCTTGGGCCAGAAGGCCGCGCCGAGGCTGGACAGCGCGAGGTACAAGGCGGAGGCGGTGTTCAACCCGCGCGGGTTCGTGCAGCACTCGCACTCGCGCCCCGGGCTGAGTGGTCTCAGCGGCCGGTGGGGCGTGCAGGAGGGCGAAGAGAAGTTGATCGACAGCGACGACGAGGCTGTGGGCGATGGGGAGAGCTCGGTCGGGCAGGATATCACCGGGGACTCTGCGAGGAACCCCGGTGGCGAGGAGCCGGAGTGGAGTCAGCGATTGAGGAGACTCAAGATGGGCGAAGTGGAGAACGACGGTGGGCGGGAGAGCCCGTCGCGGAGGAGCTTTGGTGTCGAGAGAGACGAGCTCAAGTGGCCGGCCGGCGAGGGCTGGAAGCGACTGTAGGTCCTGGTTTGACACAAGTGAGATGTATCGTAGTATATAGAACGGGCAGTGGCCCTCGACCGGCAGTAGTCTGTATATCCTGTATTGGTATAATCGTCTATATCGCTGTCCGCGCAACTGCAGTTTACTCAGGAGCCACCCTGCCGGTACATCCCACCGTCGTCTGACTCTGTGAACGAAGAACGAATTGAATTCGGCAAACTACGCTTATTAGGAACGACGCGAGCTTATTAGATCACGTGTTATGTCTCACCGGGTACCGGTCCGGAGACTGTCCTCCTTTCTGTTCATTCAAGAATTTCAAATTGAACGGCTTCAGTAAAAGAACTTAAATAACTTAAGTACGTACTACTTGGTACTTACTGAAGGTGCCACTTACGTCGACGTATGCAGAGTTCATATACTCGTACTACAGGCCACGGTATGCCATCGCTGAACTTATATATTATCACACCGCCATATTGGCACGGCCAGGTTCACGAACTACTACCTAATACTTATGTTACATGTACCCTACCCTCAGGTCCGATTCAAGCATTGCATCCGTTACCTCTCCAACCCACACGATGCGCTCCGAATCGAGAAGCCGGTGGCTGCATCGTCTAAATATTCATCGGGCCCGGGCGACCGTCTAGCGGCGCAGCGAGCTATTTGCCCTCCGGCTTGAGTAGACCACTCAGATGATAGCGTGTGGTGACCCCGGTCTTCCTCGCAACCTTTCAGAAGCTCCAAGGACCCCAACTCGAGTCTTAGTCAGTGTCATTGGCCTGTATGGAATGCCGCCAGCAGAATCGAAAGTCAATGTGTTTGGCCCGTGCTGGCTGCTGGTTGATCGCTCATAATGGTTATGAAGAGTCATGCATATGCATAGCACAAATTGTCTAGATGTCGCCATGCCGTCTAGGCTGACCAAGAGTCGTCGCTGAGATGAGCGTCTGCCACACACGTTCGAGTAATACTTATATCAACGCGGTCTCGGACCTAACGTGCCCGGCTTGCATCGACAACTTCCACTGCGGGCGGCGTGGGCGTCGATTCTGTTACGCAATCTAATACAATGATATCTCCGTGAAACAATGGCGATCTGAGTGACTGGCACCCGCGATGATCAGCTTTCCTTCATTTCTGCAAGATGGTCGAGAATTAGATCCGAGTCTACGAAGACCAGGAACCATTCCAAACATACCTCAGGTGCAATACGCTCCGTCGACGGTAGCCTCGCAGCACGTCGAGCACGCGCAACCGGCAAGATACACAAACGTGTTGGTAGGGCCGCACTCGTAGATGAACGCGTTACCGCCGTTGAGGCTCGGTACGTCGTTCGCACAACCTTCCCCGCCTGCAATAAACAGTAAGAACACTAGCTTGACGAGCGGCGAGATGCTGAGCTTCACTCACCCTGAGGAGGGCCGCAGGGCTGACCGATGGGATTGTAGACCTGGCCGGCCACAGAACTGGCGGCGAAGAGGAAGGCGAGGACGGTAGATGCGTTGAATTGCATTGCAAGATATCTGAACTGCTTCGTATGGCGCGGTGAGGTAGGCGAGCTCTGAGGAAGAAGTCATTATAAGACCTTTTATACATTATACCGGGGCTGTGGGATGTCAAATACATACCGCCGGTCACTGCGCCATCACGCCGACGTCGGATAGGAAAGCTTTGGAGCCCGACGATTCCTACTTCCAATGCATCAAGTCCTGTCAGCTCCTGACTCATGCGTCAGCGCCAACCTCATGCCGATCTGAAGCGAGGTCGTCGAGACAGACGTTGGCTGTCTCGTACTGCGCCTCGGCCCGTTGACCAGTGCGATACACGATCCGTAAAAATGGATTCGTGGCTGGCCCAACAGACCGTTGTCCTGTCGTGCGTGTTACAGCACTACCGCGGTACACGACCGCGACGCGATCCGGGACTACGTGCAAGAGCACGAAGACCCGCAACGAGAGACTGAATCGCCCAGGGGTTTGACCGTTCAGCCGGGTAGTCGCGCGAGCTGCAGAATATACATGAGACCCCGCGCTACAATGAACTAAGTACGTACTATGACTCGCGATCATTCTGAATCCCCGAGGGGCTCTCGGCCATCGACGCGCTACTGCCAGTGACAACGCGTTCACATACATGGCCATCTGGACTTGAGCTTGAACTCCGGGCCCTCTAGCTCTTCGTACTAGAGCCTAGACGGTGGCACCCTGATGAGTTCCGCGTCTTTGCTGCGTTTCGACGATCGCAGTTGCCTTACAGCTAAGTCCAAATCGTTAGGCCCCATGGCCTGAAAACAAACACAGGCGGTGTTTGACGGGGCGCAGACCGCGATCAAATCGCACACCGAGAGCGGATCGGACACCAGCGCAGCAGGTGGCGCAGCCCAATCGGCGTGCATACGGACCAGCTCGGGATGAGCTAATATCAATGGCCGACACACTCCGCCTCTATTCGCGCTTTCCCAGCGGGCCTAACGATATGGACTCATCTGTAAACGTTAACTTATGTCCACTCTTCGCACAGAAAAGGACCTCACACTTCATGTGCAGAGAGGCGACTTCGCGGCGACAGATTTCCTGTAATTACACGCTTGCGCAGTTTCTCTGATGAACGCGTACATGTGGTCATGTATTGTAGGTCAGTCGCTGATGCAATTAATATGGAAGCAATGTATCCTGACGTACGTGTGAGGGATTTCTGATGAAGAGTGACCGATACTAGGCATTAGGTACCTCGCAAATACTCTGCTACTATCTAATATCAATATTATTGTCAAGAAAGTGCGCCGGGCAATGCCACTATTTGGCCACTATCACTCACTTTCGCAGAGAGCGTCTGCCAGTACTTATGTCCGCAAAGCGCTCTCGGTGAGATGGCCGGCTTGCAGCTCTTTGTCGTCTAAGTCGTATGTCTTTTTGTGACCCTCATTGCTCGCGTATCTAATACGTCGTTAACAGTATTCCAGGTGCACGAATTCATGACAAACCGACCAGACCTAGTTAGACGCATTCGACATCTTGGCGCTTTCTGGACGTGCTTCATGGCTGGGAAACCTCCACTTTGCTCTATCAAAACTGTCGGTCCCGGTAGAGTTCGATATCACTGCACCGCTCACGACGGAACGCGCGGATGACTGCCTAGAGGAACTGCGACTGTCAGCCGCCTCAAACAGCAAATGGCAAGTTCGCACTGACTCACCATTCTCAAGGCGCGCCCACATCACAGGGCGACGCGCGTACCTAGGCACCATCGACCGAGACCAACGGTCTGCCTATGTCGGTTGCTGGCGTCAGATTCCCTGTTTGCCGTCGAGGGAGTACTGCGCCGGCGAACACCACCGGTGCCGCGTGAACGACGAACGTGCAAATTCTGCGAACGACAAGGATCAGTTGAAGACGAAATACATGTGTTATGTAGTACTATGCCCGGATCAGAACAGTTGCGACAAGCGCGGGAGCGTTTCCTGGCATCAGCGTTCGCCCCGTCTGCCGCTACATATTGGCATAAGTTGGGAACGCATGCCGGAGTGACGCTTCCTGGCGGACTGTGTTGTCGGAGATGAGGACATAGTAGTGGGCCGGGAGTCTGTACACGCATACAATCTTCCAGTTTTGCGAGACTGTCCCCATGGTGGTGGTCGCCCCCGAGGAGCAAGTCCAGGCAAAGGCCTAGCCCGGGCCCCTCAAAGCCGTCCCGCGTACAACTACTAGTATATCATCGTTGCTGTTTATGGGACTCACCGAACAACTACTACGACATGCTACTAGCACCGAGACACGGTGCCCCCTATCCCTGCCCACCACGCCGGATGGAAGAGACTTTGAGCCCATCCGGAGTGATCATGCGGACAGCCCGAGGCTGTCAGAGAATGGCCTGGTCACGGTGCTCTGAGAGTTTCGTCAGATGTCCGGGGGCACTCAGCTCCTGGGTGTTGTTCCCGCTTTCCCCACTAGGTTTTAGCAGAGTGTCCCGCCCCGCCGAACGTGGCGAGTAGGCCAAGGTCGCGAGAGCTGGAGCCTCTCAGGAAGAGTGTGTGGCAGGGATGGATGCTGAGAAGGGGCACCGGGATCATCTAATGTAGTAGCAGTCGGGTAGTCTAGTGGTCTCGTACTGTACCCATCCGTGTGGACGCACCACCAACGCGACCTGCAGACTGACCCGTAGGTTAGTCATACTTCCATCTGCGCCCATTTACTCACCAACGGCGATGACCCCGTAGTCGATCGTTGCGAAGTTGGCCGGTGAAGGAGAAGCCCGCTCGTTGTAGCAACAGGATGCATAAGCTAGATAGACGTAGCATCATGTGTTGACTTGGTCTTTCTTCACGAAGTTGCAGAAGCTGCCAGCATCGGGCTACACGCATTGAAAACAGAATGTCCGATACAAGTACACGACCCAGCAAGAGGTCTTTTGAGGCCAGATCCAATAATCTCAAGACGCATGTCTTACGCGAATTCGCCCTTCCCGATGCGCTGTAGGTTCCATCTCCCACCCTCATAACCTCGCAGGAGCTTGAACTCGGCTGTCAGCTGCACCTCGCGGAGCGCCGGGCAGTACCTGTTCCACGGGATGACGAGCTCCCGTAGCTCATCCTCGAACGATTCGAACGTGTCGTCGAACAGACACAACGGATGCCGCAGCGCGCGCTCGACTTCGTCGTCGCTGTCGTAGTCGACACTACGCACGGCTGCGGTCAGCGTCGGACGTACGTAGAGATGCAGTGTGTGCAGATGAGGGAGGCGGGTGAGTAGTTCTGGTCCCATCGCAACGAGGGCTGTCTGGGAGGTACGATATCGGTAAGCAGCGTGCGATCGACGAAGAGAAGGGGGAACTCACCTCCGTCGGACCACCGATCTCATACGTGATCTTGAGGGTTCGCAACTCAGGGAAGAATCCCACAACGGCATGCATGATCTCGTCGTCCCACGCAGCGAACTCGACATCGAGTCCCTCCAGATCACGCAGCAAATCCACCACCGATGCCAACGCGGGCAGACCCTCTCTCTGCCCGCCCACAGCATTTGGCATCCCCGGGTTCCGCGCGGCATTGCGCTCTGCCTGTGCAGCCGCCTCCGGGCCTGTGCAGTTCGTCAGCCTCAGCGACTTGATCGGGCGCCCGTTGCCCACGACGCCGAGCAGGGTGCCCACGGGGCCAGCATAATCCTGCAGGTTCGGTAGCACCCCCGTGGGCAGCTGTGCGTTCTGTGTGGCGCAGTGGTAGGTCGAGTATGCCGTTAGAGTCGGGCAGCGCTGGAGGAACGAGAAGAGCGCCGCCTCTGGGAAGTCGCCAACACCGTATGCATGTCCGTGTATGTGGCCTTGCAGGTTACCAACGTGCCACATGTGCATGCCCGGGGGCAGATGCGGGGCGGCTACCATGGCGGGAGGCTGCTGCGGGGGCTGCTGCTGAGGGCGCCCCACTTGGTGCTTGCGCTTGATGAACAGGCGCCGCAGGTGAGGTGGCGGCGGATGTCCTGGACCAGGCCCCAGCTGCCCGACGACCCAGACGCCTGCCTGCGGACCAGCAACAGCGTCGCCAGGTCCAAAGATGAATTTGAACACTTCAGCAGAAGCATCGACCGTGAGTGTGTGCAGGTTGGGCGCGCGGGCGAGATTGAGTAGGGCGTATGCATTATCGCCCATCGTCCCGTCCCCGATGAATTCATGATACAAGCGGCGAAGGTTCCGCATCGTGAGATCGGTGATGGGTAAGGTGAGCGGGTCGAAGACATTAAGGAATCTACCGAGCTGCACCCCGCACGACTCGATGCGGAGGGTCTGCAACACGGGAAGATTGTAGATGAGCTCGAAATGTCTGTAGCCCAGTTGTAGCTTGGTGAAGGTTAGGCTGGTCAACCGCTTGAACGAGAGCATACGCGCGACCATATCTGAGTACGCAGCAGTTGTGAGGTGGTTGTGTCGATGGCCGTTTTCATCGAATGTGTCCTCGTCCGCCAGAAAATCACCTCCGCGAGACGGTGCAGAGTATGAAAGAGGTGTAGCGACAGAGAAGTTAAGTCTCTGTACGCTGAGGTGCAATCCAGGGTGGTCTTCCCACATGGGGAGACTGCTGATGACGTCCGTAGGAGTTCGCCAGACGACGGTGCGATGAAGAGCACGGAGGGCTAGTATATGGAATCGCTTCGAAGCCAGCATGATACTGAGGATGTCGGAGGAGCAAGGGACAAGGGAGAAGATCTCCTGCCATATTTCAGCCGGGACATGCTCGGGATCCATCTTCGTGTCCGGGATGCTGAACGCCACGAGCTGTTCTCGCCTCTCTCCGTCCAAAAAGTCTTCCATAGTTGTGAGGGATGTTCTGAGTAGTCGAGGGTCAGGCTTGAATGCACGGTCCAGAGGTACAAGCGGACATTTATATGGGATTGGTTGTCAATGCCAAAGACGTGGGCATAGCAACACGGTGCATAGTGGCATTGAGACAACCAAATATGCTAGGCTATCCACATTCGTTCTGTACTGCCCGCCAATGATAGACGCGAACAATCTTCTCGTGTCGCATGCGTGATGTGAACGTGCCACCGCAAGCAGGTTGTCAAACCTTCCGAGCATAGCTCGCAACCAAAACACACCAGCGGACGCCAGCCAGGCAACTCACAATTGTCAGTGACAGGTGTACATGGCCTGACAACCACACAAGCGTCAAGCTTGCCTTGCTGTGCGTGGTACGCATCTCCGGTCCGCAACCTAATGGAAAACTCAAGGAGGACCCATACGACGCTGGGGCTGCCAAAACCTTGCCCAGTTCAGTTGATCTGTGGACTCACAATGTATGTTATGGCGGATTCTGAGGCTTGCAAGCTTGGAGACGAGGTGTGTCCGGTACGGTAGATGGAAGTCAAGAACAAGGGACAATACGATGGCGAGACGCCCATGTCGACGTTCTCCATTACGCGGGTCACGTGCCACAACCTGCCGATGAAACCGGCGTGGATTGTGGTCAGCAGTGAGCACAGACACAGGCAGCACAGACATTCGAGTTGCTACTTATGAATCCACCCTGGTCAGTAGCGATAATTTCTTTAGGAATGACGCTGGATTTTCCCCAGGTACGTGCAGTATTATGTAGTATCGCACAAGTTGACAACTCGGATTCAATCTCGGAACCCCTCTGTATAAATCGTACTGAGTCAATCTGCCCGATGACAACGCTCTGGGGGTTTACTCACCTTAATTTTTCTCTCATAAAAGCCTGGGATACTTGAGAAGTTGAGGGGCAGAGACGAAAACGATGCCCGAAAGCAAGCACCGGCAGCTCTAAGTACTTTAAGTAGCGCACGAGCTAGCGCTATAGCATGCAAGAGCTTGAGATCCAAATCGACGCAAACGCCACCGCCCTGACAGATCCAACATCACCGATCGAGTCACCAAGTACTACCACTCATAGCGTACGAGCAAAATACCGCTTCGGTCCCTGCAGTCAGAAATTGAACGTCATGCTATGCAAAGCTGTCATCACTATATGCAAAATACATCTACGAGTCTATACGATACAGCATCCATGACTATACTTAGTATATGCTACACGTCATTCTGATCATATGAAATCGATGCGGCGGCACACGTCACAATAGAGTGTCTATTCCATGCTAGCCTCGACAAAGTCCCAGCCGTCCTCCTCCTCCTCGACGATTCTCTCCGTCCGGCGCTCGCGGCCACCTGTGCCGCGTGCCTTCGGCCGCGTCGGGTTAGCAGCCGTCGCCTGCAGGAGCTGCGCGAAGTCGAGCGGGAAGCTCGGCGGGGTCGGCGGAGCAAGCAGAGGTCGTGTGGCATGCGACTTCCTATTACAACATGTATGAGCGTCTGTGAAGCCAAGCCGGTTCGGGAAACAACACACCTCCCCAGCTCTGGGCTGCAGCACACCGCCCACAAGTTGCCCAGAACCTCGCCCGCCTGAGCGAGCGGCACCTCAACAGCCTGCGTATGTGCGAGGTAGCACACGTCATACACGAGCATCGCCAGCGCTGTCGTGAACGCACCGCCTGGTGCGGCGGGCTCAGCTACGTCTGCCTCGATCTGGGAGTCCGCCATCGACGCGGAGAGCGAGCCGGAGCGTGCGCGTCCCGTGGAGCTGTTCGGGGGAGTAGAGATAGTGGTGCTCGCACGACGCGAGGTGGGCCGGGACGAAGAGGCTGAAGTGGACGATGGCGAGGATCCGGAGGCGGATGAGGCGGAAGGTGGCGAAGATGATGAGACGTGCAGTGGGTACTTCGTTGACCACCTGGAGGGTGCAGTGTTAGTATAAGGCGAGTAGCAAAGGAGAAGTAAACATGCCTTGCCCATCCGCCGTTCTCAGCACCCTTGACCGCACCAATCCAAGGCACGCCCACGCCGAGCAAACCCATCCCCTTGCTTGCGCCCACGGGAGGTGGCGGAGTGGACTGACTCCATACGAGCTCAAAGGGCAGCCTGACGCCGAGGTAAAATGCGAGCAATGTAAGGAAGTGAACAGTATGTGTGATGACGGCATTAATGTGGTCAGGCGGATATCCTACGCGAAGCCATCATTCACTGTATATCATGTATGAACGACGGTAAACGTACGTCGCATATCTCCGGGTACAGGTAACACCAGGCCGCCAATGGTCCATTCGCCCTTCGTGCCTGCCTTGCCTCCAATGGGCGGACGACCACCGACCTACAGACAGCATCAGACAGCAAGCTCAAGCACACAAAGACATCACATACTTCGACAACACTGAACACTTCCACAAGCTCCTGCACGAGCCCAGCCCTTGCACGCGCGATCGTGTCCCCAAGCGCCGCTAACTGGTGATTCGTCTCGTCAATCTGGCGCGCAAGCATGTCCGCGCCGCGCTCGTGTGCCCCACGCGCATACGGCGCGGAAGCGGTCGGCGGAGAAATAAGAACACCTCTAACGGCCTGTGGTGACGATGCGACCCGTTGGGCTGTTGGGGCACGCGACATGGAGGCGCCGGCAGGTGGGGTAGAGGACAGAGGGGATGCTGAGTACGAGGATGAGCCGCGTCGATGGGTAGTTGGTCGAATGGCTTGAGGTAAAGAGGCAAGGGGAGAAGCTGCATGAGGGAACGAGCCAGGGGGCGTTGGTGAGTGACCGGGCGGCGAGGCCGACGCAGAACTGGGTGTGCTCGACGGGTAGTAAGCTCCAGTCGAGTTGTGGAATGTCGAGGAGGCAATTGCCAGTGTCCTTCGTCTCGTAGACAGAGATGCGCGAGTGGTCCTCAGACGTTCGCGGGCTGCGTGAGGTTCGCATAGACTTCAGGTGAATGCGAAACGTTCAGTGCGGCTACTGACTCACTCTTGTCGTTCGCCTTCCTAGCCTCGTCCACCGCAGCCCAGATCTCCTGTACTCTCTCTTCTCCGCCCTTCAAATCTGCTCTCCTCAAGCGGGCAGGGTCGACGATCGACTCGAGCGCCTTCTGCGCAGATGCGATGTGGTTGTCGCGGTCGGCAGCAGCATGTTTGGTTTGCACTCGAAGACTTAGTAGGCTGCCTCGGACATGAGCATTGTTACATTCCAAAAATATGTGTTGTGTAACACACTGTTGCTTTAGACAATTCTCGCAGTAAAACTGACGCTGCTTCAGTTCGCAATTCTGGCATTCCATCCGCAGGCGCGGGTCCCAACAGGTAACCTAGTAGTGGTGGGCTAATCAAAGGGATTGTATATCGACGTGTCAAAGCTTTATGTCGGTGAAAAGAGTGATAGCAGATATTTGACGAGCAAGTAGGAGGACAAAGCCGACGTCGAGGAGCAGAACAAGAGCGGGTGGCTGAGCCTCACTGTCCTCACTGACGCGTCCCACGTGACTATTCGAGCGCTGCGCCAGGGCGACGCGCCATTTTGGGCTGAGTGAGGTTCCGAGTTAAACGTTAAGCTTCCAGTCTTCCAGTTCCTTTGTCTAGGCTAGGCTATCATGCGAACTTCTGGTAACTCAGAACGAGCATGAGACGGTACGCCGCCCTTGTATCGTGAGCAGGAATCAACGTTCATTGTGGAACACGACTTCGCTGTGAGTGATGATGCATGTCAGTGATCCTAAGGCGCGTCTCACATACGACCGCCCTCCTCCCCTCAAGAAGATCGTGTTTAGAGTCTGCCTAGGGGAGACTAAGGCGCGTCTGAATATTTGATATCCTCCTTCCTCACTGTAAGTTTAAGCATCAACTACTTGCACCGCTGTCACCGAGATTATATGGGCACCGAGAGCCGCAGTTCGCTGCAAGTGATAGCACAGCCTTGCCAGTCGGACTGTGCATTGATATGTCGCGATGGCACGGGAGTGCAGCCCTCGTCGACGTCGCGGATCGTCCCGTAGGCCATGGAACGAGTGCTGTGTACAGTGTTATCGACCACCAAGTCGCCAACTCGCTGCGGTAGCGCGAGGCGCGCACTGAACAGAGCACATGTCTCTGTTCAAGATGAACACAGTGTCATTACCGGCGCGAGCCTTCCAGGCGGCTAGCGCAGCCCGCGAAACGATAATGGTCGCCGCTCTGCACGCGCATATTGTTGTGAGTTTCCCTCCTCAGATACAGTATAGATCTCTGATAGATATGTAGGCTTCTCTGACGATAGCTGTCATGCAATGTGGTATGTGTCCGCCGTTGATTGACAATGATACTCACGGAGTACGCGAGCGGTTCAGTACGCCGTGGATGGGCGAGGTCCATGCGACTGTATAAATTGCATTGAACCAGTGCTACACAGACTTGTCTCTGTTCCCTCGTTGAAGGCGATCATGTCCTCCGTGAGTAGGTTTCCTACTACCACTTCCTCGCATGCACCGATGATTGGGAGCACTGCGGTCGTCAGCGGTACTGTAGCGGTAGCTTCTTCGGCGCCGGTTGTGAGCTCCGTGCCAGGGTATCCGCCGTACCTTCCGATGACTACCGTGGAACAGGCGCAAAGCTTCATACAATCGGTCAACGCTGGCGTGTATATCGGTGCCATTTTCCTAGGTTCGTCTACGGAGCCTCCTGAAGCATGATCACAGACAGTTAACCTAGTCACCCCTCTTCAGGTCTTCACACATACACCTTCGCCCATGCCTTTTATGCCATCCGGAAGGACCAGAGGCTCAGCAGCCGCGCGACGCTTCTTCCCCTAGTCAGCTTGCTCTGGCTGATGGCGGTTATCAATGAAGCGTGTAACATTGGCTTCAATTCGAACGCGTGGCTTCATTACGATGGGACGAGCATGTCTGCGTATCACTACTTCACCAGCAACCAGGCGTCCGCACTGAACGGAGCCGCATTGGCCGGGGCATTCTTCACCGTCATTCTGGCTGACGGCTACTTGGTTCGTACACATCAATCAAGCACAATGACCATTCATTAACTTGCGTAACCTCTGCGTAGCTGGTGCGATGCTACAGATGGTGGAAGAACTTGTGGGTTATTATCCCACTGGCTATGCTAATGCTCGTGTCTTACGGTAAGCCCACGTCCTGGATCTTGACTATGAACAGAGCTGATGGTTAACACCCTCCGTCAGTCTGGGACTTCTTCGAGCTCGTGTACACCGCCGGGCACGCAGTCGAAGCCAACAGCGGCTGGGTTATGCCCTTCTTCGGGAGCTGGCCCATCACCATCGGCCTCGCCGGGGCCCTCCATCTTATCTACACCGTGTTGTTGGCCTCTCGCGTTATCACGCACGCTCGCAAGACATGCATGGAGGTTTTGGGGCTGTGGGAGATCAGCGTGGAATCTGCCTTCCCGTACGGCTTTGTCTCGCTTGTGTTCATGATCCTCTATTGTTCGAACTCGGTGGCGGCCAATGGCTTCATACCGATGCTGGTGCAGCTCCAGGTGAGCACAGCATTGACGTGCGGGCGATGTCTCATGTGATGTCTGACAATTCTTTTTGTCCGTAGGGCATCACTGTTGACCTGCTCGTCGCCCGTACGTTGAAGCTCGAGCACCGCTCTGCTATCGCGCAGCTACCTGTGCCGGTCGTGGCGGTTCAAACGCAGATGGTCGTTCCGACCTCGGACTCCGCATCTACGACCGCTCCGTCTGCGAGCATATACGACGAGAAGCTCACGCTCGTGAAGATGTCGAGTATGTGGAAGGCATCAGCGCTCGAAAAGAAGGAGCCTGCGCCCCCGGAGTATCCGGGAAAATAAAAATGATCTGGCCTTGGTTATGTTCTGGTACGAGTTTTACGGACTAGGTTACGACATTTATGTCTAGGGAGCCGTCTTTGAGATTGTAGCTGTACTAACAACGAGTTGGCCCGGAGTAGCCTGTTGATGAATACAGGCATTTGTGGATGAACTTGCAACCAGTCTTGCTCTGTTACCAGTGGCCATAACTAGGTCTAGACTCAATCTACTGCTGCGAGACGTGAGATTCAATCGCCATGAGTCCTTCGCAGAGTACAGTAATGAGCGCCATATTACACCAGTCATATATACTCATCTAGGTCCGGACCTCGTCAGTCCGACTCAGGGCGCGACTGGACCGCGATGTCCCGCAAATCGAGCTGCACGATCCAACAGGTGCGTCAACCTCGTTGTTGGTGTGACTAACCGATGAGCCTCGGACTGATAATACCCGCATGGTCGGTACCTACGGACTTGAGTATGTAATCAGCACACGACGGGATTACGGCGCACCGCAGCACCAGACGTTCGTCACGACGCGCGACGGCTGGTACTTAAGCTCAAGTATCGGTCACCGCATATATAGTGCTAATTTATCGTCTACAATTCTCTGAGGGTTTCTCTCTTTGTGGCAACCTTGTAGCGTCCATTGGATCGACGCATCCCAGCGACTGTAATGGATGGGCAAGACAGCGGCAGGGTCCACAGAGGCCTTGCAGTGCAAGGCACGCAAACCTCGTTGCAGACCCTAGACCAGCGAAGCTCGTACTATGCAGATAGGGCCGCTCTATACAGATGCTACAGCCTTTTCCCAGGGACCACAGGCGGGTAATGCAGTCCGCGGAAATGCGAATCCGCTGACGACCTTCCTCGGCCTTCCTCTCATTCTGGTCGTGCGTTATTAATCAGCTCCGCCAATCCGCAGCACATACATACCGCACTCCAGTTCGATGTCCGTTCCTTCGAAAGAAGAAGGAAGAATAGCTTCGGTGGGCATCAGCAATATAACCCTATTAATATTACTGTTGGCGCACAAAGCTGTTAATACACACTAGCCCAGAAGAACCAAAGCATCGTGCACGTACTACTATATGATAACGCTGCTTGGATCGCGTTAGCATTGCCAGTGGTTGCGAATGACGCAGTTAACAGCTGGCCACACCTACGCCGCGCCCGACCGGTATCAGTAGGTACCAGTAGTATGAGATCTCAAGTTCTCCGTCAGACTCGGGAACGGATATAGGTGCGTACTCACCTCGCTATCTACGCAGGCACTCACAACGGCTACTTTCCCCATTGTTCAGGCGCCAATATAACGGTTATAAAGCGACACGAGGAGTCAGTGCGTTCTCCCGGGCATCCAGCTTGGTTCCCTTGTACGACTATGGCGGATGGTATCGTTTCTATCGTGCACAGTTCCATCCCCGCTCCTTCTACTGTCTACGGCACCGTGACGAATGCTGTCGGCAGCGCCAGTAGCAGCGCTGCATGGGCACAGGCTTCTAGCACTTCTGTTACGAGCATCCCTGGGCCAACAGCGTGGTCGGTGGATTCCACGGCGCAGCGCTCCTTCCTGCGCTCGGTGAATGCGGGCGTATACATCGGCGCTGTTCTACTTGGTGAGTGAGCCCCTTCCGCTGTGCGCTGAGTAAGACTCTAACTGAAGCGTACAACACAGGGGTGCATACCATCACCTTCGGGCGTGCACTTGTCGCCTCTTGGCGCGCGGAGCGGTTGGGTCGTCGCGTGATGTTCTTGCTTATCGCGAGCGTGTTGTACGCGATGGCGAACGTGTATGAGATCTGCAACATCGTGTTCACGGTAAACTCCTGGGTTATCGGGGAAGGCAGCTCGGGAACGTCGTACACCTACTTCATCGACAACCAGAACTCGGGATTGGAGATCGCGGCTACGGTCGCTGTCCTCATCAGCACTGTGCTGACCGACGGGTTCCTAGTGAGTCCTTGTTCTGCCAGCCTTGTAGGAGCCGATGTGCTGAGTGCGAATTGCTTTAGTATGTTCGATGCGCGGCTCTGTGGTCGACCCTATGGGTCACAGTACCGCTTGGGTTACTCACCTTGGTTACATACGGTACGTGACGCCTCCATTCTTCTTAGACAGATCGCTGAGTGCGGTCTCACTCCTCTTAGCCTTGGATATTATGCAGGCGTGCTGGACTGCGACTCCTGGGAACGACAATAGCCTCTGGCAGATCCCACTGTTCAGCCAGCTTACCATCTCTGTCGCGCTTGCCCAGTCGCTGCATGTCATTTTCACTGTGCTCTCGGTTTACCGCCTCGTCACCAAGCGCGACTTGTTCGGCCAGCTCGTCGGCATCAAGGGCATGGCGATCGAGTCGGCGTTGACGTATGGCGTTGTATCGGTTGTGTTCTTGGCGACCTACTGCGCTCAGAACATGGCGGCCAATGCGTTCCTCCCGATAGTGGTCCAGATCCAGGTAAGGTCATCAGAGTGACATACCTTTCGAGAACACGGCCTGACGTGACTGTGCACATTTGCCGTAGGGTATCGTCGTTGACATGATTCTTGCTCGCTGCTACCGCGGCGAACGTACCCCAGTCGTCAGACCCTGGGCCGTGGCTCCTGCTACCATCGTTCAGCTCCCTGTGCCTGTGCAGGCATCCTCGGAGGCAAGCAGCGTCACGTATGATGAGAAGCTCGCGCTTGCGATGATGACCAGCAAATGGGACCACGAGATCGACAGGAAGGAGCCAGTGCCGCCTGAGTACAGTGTCTAAACTGTGCATCCACGGTTTCGACGGCGACTGCACGGGTTCCTGGTAACAACCTGGATGACGGACAACGCTCCTGCATACGTATTATTTACGATTGTCATGTACATATGTTCGTGTCTGAAGCGCATACCTTGCTATTAGCAAGACGTGTTGTCTCGCAAACAAGCCCCATTTGGTTCAAGTTCTCGCAATTTGGATTTAACGGCCTGAAGCCTGAGAGTGGGATATTGAAAGGTCCATTGGTTGTCCATTGGTGGGAGCAGTAAGGCAATCTATACACCGACTCGCACTCGGAAGGCGTTGAACAATGAAGTTTTGAATACATATTACGCGCGCACGCCGTCGCAGACTCACTGCTGCCAGCGGACAAACTTCGCTTGACGCGTCCCACGTGATCCAGGGGACGCGCTTCGGTCCGCGTCGCGTGTCGCGTCGCCGGCGCCAGCTCGCGCGACGCGCATCTCAATATCCAGTGCTTGGACAGACATCTCCTGCAAGTACGTCCTAAAATTTTGCCCGGTTACTGAAGGCTCGCTATTGCGTCTGTGTGTAACACAGCACCGGCGCTGACCTATCTATAACAACATCAATACCTGAAGTCGTCTTGCGATTCAAAAGTGGCGTGGCATGCTGGTGAGGACGTATACATATTCTGGTGCAAAACGTTCCGACTGTGTATGCACAGTATATTTGCGTGTTATCTTTGTCTTTGGGCAGAACTGCGGTTCAGATATTGTAAGCTGCTACACCTGTTCTGCCCTGCCGATCATCCAATCTCCTTGCTACGGCGCATGCGAGAGATGGCCAACTTACTGATGAGTCGTCGGACTGGTATATGCATGGATTTCGCGCTGAAAATTGGAAGATAGGGTCTGTTCGTGATGTAAGAGTCCACTGCATAGGTATGTTGACAGTATTCACACGAATGACATGAACAGGAAGGTACGCGGTGAGAGTTGGGTAACATTTGCGCATACATCGCCTACGCAGCTCATACTTCACCATCGGAACGGATCCCCCTCATAGTACTTACCAACAACATGCTAGACTCTGACCCTTCTGACCTCATACCTAACCTTATCGCCGTCTCTGAGTAGGATGACGACGCGTCCCGTACCCTCTTCCCAGTGGTCGAGCCTCCGCAGCTTCTGACATTTCCATGCGAGGGTCGCAGCGACCTCCTCGTTCTTGCGCATCCGACTGCGATCTGACGGCGTGATCGGCAAGCGCGTGCGCTCTGACGGGGCAAGGGGTATAGTGGCCATTGCGTGCGGACCAGACGAGGAGTTGTGCACGAATGCAGCTGACGGTTGCGCAAGCGCCGAGGGAGCGATCTCGTAGAAGAAGCGTGCACCATGGAAAGTAGCAAGCGATGGGAAGTGCGCGAGCACGCTTGCCCATTCGGCGAAATTGGTCGCGATCGCAGGTGCCGGCCGCCCAGCTCTGTCCACGCCCATTGCGGCACCTGCTGCCCCATGTCCATCGATCCGCTTCCCGACGTCCAGCCAGGTGAGCTGCGGGGCTGCATCCGAGAGCTTCCTGATCTCGTCCATGTCGGTGTAACCGAGAAGTTCGATGCGCTTCACTGTTTGTCCGAAAGCCCGGAGGTTCGCTACGAATGCGTCTCCACCAGGTCCAGCCAACTTCAATCCCTTCAGCGTCTCGAGCGGACGACCCTCAGGATGAGTCACTGTAGGTAATACCGGGCAAGCGAGGATGGCGTTCGCCATCTCTCGACTGGCCTTGAGTTCCTTCAGCTTCGGTAGGGTCTCATCCGGTAAGCAGATTGACGTCCTTGCTTGTCCGAAAGACAAGTCAAGGTGGAGGACCTCCAGCTGCACATGTGCAGCTAGAAACGATGCTACGGCATCCGGACCAGCAAGCGCGGAGCAGCGCAAATTGGAGAGAACCAGCGTACGGAGGGTGGACCAGCGCGCACAGAGCAAGAGGTCATCTGCCGCGGGTAAGTAGAAGCCCGGCGCGCGCCTGGGCTGGTACGCGATGCTCAGAGACTCGAGGACCGGGCAATTCGTGAGCATGCGGGAAATGCGGGTCATCTCTGGGTTCTTGGACGCGCCATACGCGTACTTGGTGGATTGCAAGCTGATCGTCTTCAATGCGGGCAACTGCTCGCAATCAGCCTACGCTCGGGACGTCGCGAGTTGCCATCACTCACGACGTACTGCCGCCTCTTGTTCTTGCTGGTCTGCCCCTCCGTCGGAGCCAGCTCGCTGGGCGCGAAGACAAGATTGTCATTGATCTGCACATTCTTCAGGCTCTGACATTTGAGCAGGGTCGGCCAGACCTGATCGATAGAGATCGGCGAATGGCCGCATGACCACACGAACGACTCAAGGGCAGTCATCCGCGCCAATGCGGAGACGAGAACGCGCTCCTGCTTGTCGTGCATGCCGAGTTCATCATCCGTAGACTCCAGGTCGGTATCAGTGTTCAGGATATCGGAGGGAACCGACTCGGGCTCCGTGCCTCGCTCGTCCATGATCTCGAGCCGGCGTACATTGCGCGCGAGGCCACGATGGACAGCGAGGTGGTTCCACACCGCGAGCCTGCTGATCTTGCAGCGCACGACGCGGTACTCGTAGTGCCGCGGGAAGATGATCCCGTGCAGCCGCTTGCACGCCAGCGCGAGGTTCAGCAGGTCGCGCTTTTCGTCGAGGTGGAAGACGATCGCGTCGAGGATCTCCGTCGGCTGGCGCGTGAGCGTCCTCCTCTGTGGGGCCAGCCCAACGAAGGGCTCCACGATGGTGAGGAGGTGCAGCGAGAGCCGGTGCTCTTCCGGCGTGAGCTTGTACGCGCACCCGCCGATCCGTGCGGGCAGCGACGCGAGGAGCGTGCGGAGGACGTTGAGCGCCGCGAACGGGTCCGTGCGGTCATACGCGGACGGGCTGGTGTTCAAGGAGGGCAAGTGGGCCTTCCGCGCGCGACCCTTGCCAGCGGAGGACGGCCCTCTCGCCTTGGCCAGCGGCGGGCGCGCCGCGACGGTCACGGTCGCCATGGTTGACTGGAGAGCCGTACGCGTCGCGGACGCGCCTGTGAGCCTGTCGAGCTCGGGCCCGAGAGATACGGACTGACTCGAGTCGGGCTTCGCACATCACTGCGGGGTCCGCCGCTTCGCCCATCAGTACATAGTGATGGAAGACCATTTGGCATGCCACGCTTTGTACGATCAGGAACTCACTTGGGAAGGCCAAGAACACCCACAGTGATAAGTCGGCCGAGGTACGTCCACAGTGAGCGGGAGAGCCTGCTTATCAGCTACAGTATCATTATCCTCCGAAAAGGTACAAAGAGACGTCCGAGGGTACCAACCAGAACCCGTACAAATACCCGAAATCACGACATGAGTTCCCGACGTTATGATCATATACGCATGCGCCGCACACTACTACACTATATGTGTCCGTCCACGTAGATGCATGCAAAGGTAGGGAGCGTCGCGTTCTCTATGATGACGCGATGATTCCATTCCGAATGAGAGGTAAGGATGGAAGGAGGTACAACAGCGCACTTATGCCTTGACCTCGGGGGCGATGACCTCCTTCTCGATCGAGCCCGAGTCTGCCTCGGGCGTGCCCTGCTCCACGGAGTCCTTCTGGACGTCGTCGACGTACACGACCTGCTCGTCCTCGTAGTTCGTCTCCTTTATCGTGCGGAGCACGAGGAACGCGAGCGGGAACGAGGCCAGCATCAGGATCCAGCTGGCGAGCTGCAAAGGCAACACAGCGCAGAGTCAGGGCCGACTCCTCGAAACTATTAGACAAGAAAGACGCACGAGTTCGTTCAGCCACGGCGTGCTGACCGCGTCCATGCCGAAGCTGCCCGCGGAACCCGCACTCTGCACGGCCTTGTACATACCCGCGAAACGCGCGAGCGTGAAGGGGTCATTCGTGAGCGCGGACATGATCCAGTACGCGAGTGCCTGGTAGCACGCGTCACCGAAGTAGTCTGCCCATCATGTCAGTACCACCATTCACAGTCATCTGATAAGACACCTACAGAAGAAGAACAGCGGGCCCTTCGTCCTGTACGCGGCGTCCTTGTAGTTGATCTTGTACAGGACGTAGTCGGGGCTGTCACGCGTGTAGGTGACCTGCCATGCGAGGCCACATGCCCACACAGCAATGGTCAACACGACGACGACGGCGAGGCCCATGTACCCGCGCGTACGGCGGCCGAAGCGTTTGCCGTCGAGGACGAAGAAGCCGATCAGGAGCGCGCCGACGATCGCACCCGCGCCCTCAAGGACGGCGTTGAGCGCACGCGTCGGCGCATCGAAGCGTGCGGTGTTGATCGAGCCCTGGTACGCGTAGAAGTAGTTCGACGCGAAGAACATCGGGAGTAGCGCTGCCCAGGGGCGAAATTAACATAAGAAGAGGTATGGCAGATACGGTACACACCGAGGAGTCGCCAGTCCTTGAGGGTGTGAAGCATGCCGATGACCTCTACGTGCGGCTTGGATGCTGCCTGGAGCTTGACGATCGTGCCGTCGCTCCGGATGACCTGGTTCGGCGGGAGGACGAGGAAAGCGCTCGCAACACCGACGAAGATGATGACCAGGAACGCGATGTACGTCGACGTTGACACCGCGCCGAGCGAGCCCGAGCGGATGTTGATCCCCAGTGCGATGAGCGCGCCGATAAGCGAACCGAACTGGAAGATCGCCCAGAAGACACCGAACGCCTTGCCCTTGTCCTTCTCGAGAGGGTACGACATCATGATCGCACCTTGCGCGGACCAGAGCAGCGCGGCGGAGATACCGAGCAGTGCGCCCGCGAAGATGAGGAACCATGACGTGCCTTGCGTCTGGTAACACCAGAGTGCACCGACATAAAGCGCGTATCCTAGAGTACCGATGAAGAGGGTGATCTTGGGACCGAGAACTACAGAAACAGGATCAGCCTGAGTTCGAATGGTGCAACGCTTAGTGGTGTGAATATGTGATTCTAGCCAGCTTCGATGCGAAACCTCTCTTCAGTAGTTCAAAACGTTCTCGTAGCCTATCGTCCGACTATCATTCACTCAGTGGCTTCGCTCAGGACATCTGCATGAAGATGCGGCGAACCCTGATTACGCTCAAGTTTCCCCAGTGCTCCCACCGGCGGGCGCCTGTAAATGCACAGCGACATTGCACGTAAAGATAAGGGGGCTCTGTTGGGGCTCGGATACGCAAATGCAGCCAGCTCCCAAGCAGAGTTCGACAGCTTTGGGAGCTCTCGGTCACATGAAGCTGACGAGCGCCCGAAACTGCCCGGCATGTCGACAAGCAACATACAGTCGCCGCCACGAATGCCTGCATGTCAGAATGCAGGCCAGGCGGGACTTGACCACGCCGCGGTACCCAACAGACCTGGCGGCAGTCTATCGTGCAGGCGATTCATGCCCGACGAAACGCCTGACCGTGTTGCTAGGATCTCTGCCGGGCATGAGGGGCATAATGACAGTTGCGGATCAAGCCACCAGCCCCGATTTCGGAGACCTGTCAGGTTCGTGCTGACCGAGGCCCCCATAGACGTCTATCGCGCTGATAACCCATGAGCACGCCGCACCACTGCAGTCACAAGGATGACCCTAGCTCTGCTTCTCCCGGACCATCAGCTGCAAAAGGGAGGCAGAGCAACGAAGCAGGACGGGGATAACGAGAGGTGGGGAAGGTGGGAAGCGAAGACCGAGACGCACCGTTGGCAATACCGCCGCTAACGAGACCGGTGACGGCGAAGAGTCCGTACAGGACGCCGTTCGCCGTGTCGGAGAGCGTCAGGTTCTGGGTACCTCCCGCACCGAGGTTAGAGACGGCGCTGAACATGCCCACTGTCGCGAAACTGCACACGGGTTAGCGTCGCGCTTCACGCCACAGACGGACCCCGACGGAACACTCACCAGGTGATGCCCACGAGCACAACCTGCACCATGGGCGTGCTGCATGGCAGGACACAAGTCAGTGACAATGCTTTCCGGAAGTGAGTGGTACGGACGTATAGAAGCGAGGCCATTTGATTTCCACCATGTTGACGGCGTTGGCTCAAGGACAGGAGCGCGTCGTGGAGGGAGGGGGCGGGGAGGCAGGAGCGCGGCGGCAGAAGACCGGAGGCAGGTGCAATATATGTAGCGGCATGGATGGAGCGGGGCAGGCTGCAGGGGAAGGAGATAAGCTGAGAGATCGCAAACACCCGATGGCCTACCTCGGCGCGCGCTGATATGTCCCACCGACAGCCTGACCGGCCTGTCAGACGAGCACACTGTGATGTTCCTGGCCGCGATAGCGTGCAACATGCTGTTCCAACCCCGTGGCCGCCCGCGCCGGCGACGCCTTGGCTGCAGTTTCGACCGCCAGACAGAACTCTACCTGCACGCTGCGGCCTTCGACCGCGCACGCGTCGCTGCTCCGCCGGGCTACTCACGCGCGCACCTATTTCCGTCCATGCTGGCAGCGAAGGCGTGGGTGGCAGCGAAGATGCGCGGAACGTATGGCCGTCGTCCACAGGTCGTCCAAGTCGTGTGCTCGCCCGCACAGGCGCTCGCTCATGATCGTGGGACTCATCCTCGCCTGCGGGCACTGCAGCGAGTCGACCCTGGTCGTGCCTGCTCGTCCTCGAGCACTTGACATCACAGCAAACGGTTTAGCATTGCCGTGTTTCCCATATGCACCATGCCCCGCCCACCAATGCGATGCACCCGGCCGAAGTATGGCACCCCAGGGCCCACACGGCGAACTCCTCGGGCGTTCTTCGAAGTTCGAACGCTCGACGATAGGCATCTACATTGCCTCTCCGAGGAATCGAACGTGCGAGCCCTTTGATTCCAGCTCTGAGCTAAATTGCAGGATGATGCGGCAGAGCCTCAACGTACTGCAGAACTGGGATGTTCTACCCTTGAGAGGTTAGTTGACTGCATTTGAACTTACCACATTTTACGCTACTCACAGATGCTCCATACTTTGTGGCTACAGACCAGCACTAGCAAGGCCCGGCCTGGTCTTTGCAGTGACAGGAAGATGTCGTGAAGGCGCAGCTTTGGCGCGACGGCACCACGCGGCAGACTTTCTACCCTACGCTGAGTATTTTGCCTCTTCCAAACATCCCCGACTTCCTTACTCGCTACCGTCACCGCAGTCACGCGTCACCAAACGAACCTTCCCTTTTCTAGACGGCGCACAGTGCAAAAGGCTTAGGTTGCCGCTGCGCCACCCGCATCCGTTCCACATGGAACATCCGGCGCGTTCCTGTACTCAACCGTAAGATCGGGATCTCACACTGATAAGTTGTGTACGTGGACGCGCTGGTGGCGTTCAGGCTTATCGTCCGCAAGTGCTAGCATACGTTGGTGCCTGGTATAATGCAGGGCAGCGACTCGGAGTCGGAAAGGCTAATGCGTAGAACTTGTGCTTTGCACCCCTGGATATCGACTATCGCGGGACGCGTATCCGAGTCTTGGTGTTGGAATCTTGGCGCATGGGAGCATTTGCGACGAGGTACTCCAAGAACGACCATTATCGCGGCTTGGTGGACCTGGGTGTCTAGCGTGTGGTGCGCGACGCACTATGAGAGACCTAGAACATGGAGTGGCAGAGCTGGTGCTGACTGGATGGCACAATCGTCTTCAGGCCTCTGCAGTTCAGATAAGTGCTCGCTCGCTCGGCTGCCACCATGACTTAGTCAAAAGGCAAGCCCCGTTCAACCAGGACTCCCCGCTGTTATCGGGCTGATTATGATCGATAGAGTTCATGCGTATCGCTCAGACAGCCTTCATTATTGCAGGCCTCCGTACGCGATAGTTGGTTCAAGATTCACACAAAGTCATACTTGTCGAGGCGTCATGTGTATGTTTGGGAAGAGCCCAGGCCAAGCGGGCAGGGAGTAGGGTGTCCCTTCAAGGACAACGACTGGGACGCAAGTACTGTCTACGAGGCCAGCATGGTCACGATTGTCACCGGCGTTGGCTTTGATGAGTCGAGGATGTGAACCTTGTCATTAATAGCATATCAGTTGTCTGTTTTGATACGTGAGTGGACTCGTATACATGTCACTTCGTCGCCGCCCGGCCCGGACAAGTCTTACCTCCCGCCAAGTCACGTAGGCTGTACGCTGCAATCCTGGTCAACGGTGATCAGTCTCCGACATCCCAAAGCCTCCTCGAAGCAGGCTCGGTGCACAACTCAGGCCACGCCTCTCCAGTGCCATATATAGGCGCCTACCACCCCTCCCAACCATCCAGGTACGCGCCCCACCGAACTGAACTTGACTTTGATACAATGATAACCTCGAACCAAGACTTCATTGCCACGAAGCCCCATCGATCTCCGCGTCTCCCGCTTCCGGAGGGCGATAGCGTTTTCGTCGCACAGGGTTTGACTCGGGTGTTTTAATCTGCTACTGTCCGCACAGGGTCCGAGGCGTGGTGAGTTCGCCGTTGTTGACAGATGATCCTCGCTCGTCGGTGCCCAGATCTAGAACGGGGTCGATTGGCGAGACGTCGCTCCTGGTATGAGGATACGAGGGTGTACGTGTGCTCGTGGGCGGAAGTGCATGAGCTGCGAAAGAGCTGTAGAGCGTATCCTGCGTGCTCGGGCGTTGCTGGTACGTGTATCGGTTGTTGGTCACTCAAGTCTATCTCATTCAAGGTCACTGGTTAGGTCTATCATGCTATCTGTAACTCATGGCATCCCGAGCTTGCGAATACATTCATTTGGATCTGGTATGACCGATAACGACATAACAACACTACATCACTACATCACAACGCAATCACAACATAACAGGTGCTATGTATGAGCGCAATACAACAGGACAGGTCCAGGGTGCCGTGCATATCACAGCAAGCCGACAACACTACATCGTAACATACATCGCATGATCAAACAACCAACGACAGCGCGGAACCCTGCGGAACCTCATCAAGAAGACTCCTCGCCGCCTCCCACGTCGCTGGGACTCACGAAGCAGGTTGTGATATCCTGCATGGCCGCCCGTTTGGGAGGCCCGTCCGCGCGACGAGTCAGTGGATGACCTTGAGGCACGGGCCCGTGAGTCGCGCACGGTTCGGTCTGCAGAAGCCGTGACATGACGTCGCCAGAAAGGGAGATGTCCCAGCGGTGGCATGCGCCTTTTTTGGGTCCACTGGCCTTGCGGGGATCACAGCCCATCCAATCCAGCACGTTACAGATCTCCTGTCAAGGGTCATGTGTGAGTAGATCGTATAGCAAACGTCCATTCATCGTTGACTTACTATGATCCAGCGGACCATCGTATCCGCAAGGATGAAAATCCCTTGTCCGCGCGCCGTTCGAACCAATGCATCCCTCCACAGATGGAGCATGGGGACGGACAGTGTCTGCCTCGCCGAGACGTATGCTCGAATCAGCAATAGATGCAGGGCGCGACAGTGCGTCAGCGAACGCAAGTCGTACACCAGCGTCGACACCATCTCACACATGATGGTGGCCGGCAAGACGCCGAGCGCGAAGAGGTCTCCGGCGAACGCTGCGATGCTCAACAACTGAGCACGCATTGGCTCGAGGACTGGGCTGATAGGCTCAAGCCCTGTGGACCCGTCCAGATATCCCAGCTCGGTCTGATTGCGCGAATAGGTGGTGAGTCACTTGGACGATGTATGTGGCCGTGGATGTAGCCTACCTGATAAAATCCGAAGAAGAAAGCCGTTATCAGGGCTTTCATCAAGGCAATGTACAGCTCATGGGTGACATCCGCCGACGACCAGGTCAACTCGGTGAGCACCTCGCTCACAACGGCCGCAATGGAGCGAGAGTACTCCTGGCTATAGATCCCAGCGTGGAGCAGTCTCGCCCCCCAAGGGACTGCGTCAAGGTTCTCCTTGTCCTCGTCGGAGAAGACCTCTGTGATGTTCTTCGCCTCCCGACGTATCTGTCGAGGATGACAAGTCCGTCGGCTGTTGGCGTGCGCACGATGAAAGTAGAGCTGCATTCTTCCGTCGAGGGGAATGATTGGGAGTGAAGGGGCAGGGACGACTACCGGGGGGATTGGATCCTTTCTCGAGGCCAGTGCGGAACGCGTGCGACGGTATGGAATTCCTCCTTCCTCTTGTGATTCATTTGAGTTGACTCGAGAGTGAAGAGATGATTTCGCCGCCGCCGACGACGACGACGACGACGAAGTGCTAATGAATAACGTCGTAGAGCTGGCATCAACGACGGGGCACGCGTCTGCGGATTTGACAGGATCGCAGGTGGGGTCGCTCCAGAACCATTGCCGGTTCCTCGCGTTCTGGGCGATAACGTCGGCATCGTCGAGCTCACGCCGAAGCAGAGACATGGAAGAGGAAGGACCGTCAACGGCCTCGGGGGATTCGTCGAAAGCCATGACGAAGTGGCCACAAGATTGCACAAGGATGGAGGATGGATCTATGGCCGTTCTGCACAGCGGGTGATGGTGGTTCGGGTCTATGTGGCTGTGTCACGCGCGAACGGGCTTAAATGCCTCAGGTGGCCTGCGAGCGACACGCGTGACGGCGCTTTGTGTGCGTCGTCGTAACGCGGGATGAAAAGAATGTGGACGCTTTGGCTTTGCTTTGTGTGGCTCGCTGACTATCCCGGGAATTCGGCACTTATCTGATCTCGCGCTGATGGTTGCGATGCTGCTGATGCGACCTCTTAGATGCTGCAGACTTTCACGAGCTCTCTACGTCTGGGCTATTTCCCTCTGGTATTCAAGCTCGACATCATGCGCCTACACAAACAGAGTTTACGGTGCAATCTCCCCAATCTGTGTTTCAGAGAGATGGTTCAAACAATATTGCCTTAGGATACAATACAATGACTACCATGAATCATTGCATACCTCTGGAGGTGAAGGGGCAGCGACCTGAATGCGAGACGACCGCCTCAGCCACAGACGCGTACCGGGGAGATCACCTTTGTCACGTGCCTGTGCTACTTTCAAGGCCGCGGCATGGCCGACGCCGGGCCGCTGCGAGTCGCGACGACCTCGAGCTCAGACCAAGTTCTTACTCTGCTGCAGGCGGCAACTCAAGTACTCATGGCCGGCAGCCCCTCGTCCAGGGCGGACGCATCCTCCACACCACCTGCAAAGGATGGGGCGGACAAACAATCCGGGTACAGCCCCATTTTCGGGCTGAGCGATGGGAAGAAGGACCCGATGCCGCGGTGGCTGCCCATCTCGCTGGTGCGTTTCGATTGTCTTTGTTTTGTCGTTCTCAGATAACACTGTTCGTGAAGCTGGCATTGACGACGACGGCGCTTGTTGTTCCGATTGTGCTCTTGAGGCGGCAGCGGGCTGCGAATGCGCTCCAGAAGTCAGTGGGAGGTGCGCCGCCCCCGCCGCGGAAGAATGGTGCCGGTGGGCCACCGCCAACTCCACGGAGGTCTGTATCAACTTCGAGTGCCGCACCGCCGCCTAGAGTGCCCTCGAGTAGGCAGACACCGCCTCCGAGGGTGCCTCCGAAGACGAGCACTAGACCCATAGACCGCTCTGTTGCACCCCCCATCGGTCCCTCACCGTCATCTGTACCAACGGCCGCCGACGATGACTTCAATGGTGCGCTGTACTCTGCAAAAGCTTTCGGTATAGCTACGCTTTTCGTGGGTGCAGGAGCTGTCATCACTGTTTGGGGCGTGCAGCAACTTTTGGGCTTCCAGAATGTAAGTCCCATCCGATGACCTAAACTTCGCCTGAAGCTGAATATGTGTTGGCAGACGCAAGAGTTCGCACATCGCATGCGGTTTTTCATTATGCATCGCATGCCGTTTCTGTCGTCCAGAATTCACCGTCCTCCAAATCCTGAGAATAGTGGGGACGGCTCTGAGGTGCCTCGGTTGCGCGTTGACCAGGGGTCGGGCACTATCGAATGGACATGGCCAGACGCCGAACGACGATTGAAAACGGCATACGAAGAAGGCGGCTTCATGGGCTGGGCAGAAGCTGCACTCCAAGAGATAGAGGCAGAAGGCGAGTTGGAACGGAGTAAAAGGGGACAAACGTGAGCTACATCTAGAATACAGTCGTCATACATCACTGGGTATCCATCTGCTCTTCCTGACTCTGCCGTCCTTCGAGACCTGCCAAGGCTTCGCTTCCACCTGTCAACTCCAGCACGGCTTTCACGTCGTCCGCACTCCCGACACCGTATGCAGAGGCAGCGACAGCGCCGACCGCAGAGCTTCCCTCGCCGAAACCACCTTCGCCCTTCGCCTTCTCCTTGGCGCGAAGCATGAGTTGCTCCACCGCCCAGTTGATATATCCTGTCTTGTTGGTCTCCCAGGGCCGCTTGCCTGGTTCGGACGGGCCGGCTTGTTCGGGCGCGGTAAACGACGGGTCGAGTAGAGGGAGAGAAGATACGGAGTTGTACATGGATTGAAATTCGCCGGAGAGTGCGAGGAGTGCTTGCAGTTGAGGCGCGCGCAAGAACGAAAGGCGCTCTAGGCGAGACTTCGAATGGGCGAGTTGTGCAGCGGAGGCTCGGACAGCGTGGCTGTACAAGCGGCGGAGCTTTCGTTGCTACAACTAGAGTAAATACAGGAGGCTGGGAATAACGATGCGCCACGCACGACCTGGATCTGCCTGCGCAGATCCTTGATCTCTTGCAATAGCTCTGTCTCCTTCTCCTCCGGCTCCTCAAGATTGAGCCCCTTCTGGTGCGGCGCGACGATGGGCAGGTCGGCGGGGATGGCGAAGATGTTGCGCAGAGACCATGCTTCGAAGAAGTCGAACGCGATGTCTACGTGAGACTCCAGTAGCGTCTGGAAGGCATTAAGTCCCTTTTCAAGCTCCTCTGCGCTCTTCCAGGCGTCGGCGTCGTCACGGGCAGCGTCTCTCCTCTCGAGGAATGCCTCCATGGCATCCACCGCTTGCTGTGTCGCCTCGTTGGCGGAGTTGATGACATCATCGAGTAAGAATTGCGGAACAAAGCCAATGAGTTCAGGAAGGAGGACAGAGGGCACCGTGGGCGGCGGTGCACTCATCGCGGCGGCATGCAGGGTTCGTGCGCGCGTCGCGTCCAAACGCGATGCGTCACACAGTGTCACGTTGCTGTCACGCGACCTCATCACGTGGTCGGGGGCGCAAATTCCCGGAAAGGCGAAGAGACTGTATCAACGCCGACAGAGCACGACGACAAACGACATCCTCAAGAATCCACCATGACGGTGAGTCTATCTCGCTGCAGGACTGCTGTACGACCCTCGCATTCCGAATGGCATGAAGGAAATGGGAGAAAAAGACGAGCAATCGGGTGGATGGAGGTCGGCTGGGTTGGATGGCGTCCGAGGCGTCAGATGTAGGGTGGGTGCAGCGGGGTGAAGGACGACGACAACTACGCTTGCACTGCTAAGGGTGGAAGAGGTCCTATGCGAGGGTTGGACGCAGGCATCGTGTGCCACAGCCAATAATGAACTCCGTCTGTTTCTAGGACCAGCCATCCAACTTCAAGCGCTTTGTCGAGGTCGGCCGCGGTATGTTTGTGAATCCCCGTTACCTGAGAGCTTCAGACTAATGGTGATGCAGTCGTGCTCCTCACGTCTGGTCCTCAGGCAGGCCACATCGCGGTGATTGCTGAGATCATCGACCACAACCGGGTACGTATGCCTACCCCGCTCCAGGGCATTCAATGCTGAGTGTCCTATCCGGTCTCACAGGCCATCGTCGACGGCCCCACAACCGGCGTGCCCCGCCAATCCTTCCCTTACCGCCACCTCACCCTCACGCCCTTCGTCCTCACCAAGCTTCCCCGCGCGGCCGGCTCAGGAATCATCCGCAAGCACCTCGAGAAGGAGGGCACCATCGAGAAGTGGAACAAGTCCGCATGGGCGCAGAAGCGGGAGGCGGTGGAGAAGCGCCGGAAGCTCAACGACTTCGAGCGGTTCTGCGTCGTTCTCGCGAAGAAGCAGCGGAGAGACACTGTCCGCAAGGCGGTCAAGAAGGCGTCTGCATGAGCCTTGGAGTGACTGGCTAGGGGAGGGATGCGGGTGTGTATGTATGACGCGTTGGCTCGCCTTCACGAGCGGCATGGGATCAAAACGGGCTGGGACGTGCGTCCTTTGCGGCTGCACCCTCAGCATCTATATTGCACTGTCTATGCTTTCTACCATTATGACATCAGCATGCAAAATCATACGCTTGGCACACGGCTACAGGCAAATGTCTGGCGAATGAGGTTACGAGCATGCGTAGAACCAACGCAAGACTGCCATCTGTTACAGTGACCGTACTCGCGGAAAAAGGGTAGCAGCGTGACCATCTCATGCACGAGCAAAACACGATTGGGGTTCAAACGTTCAAGTTCTTCCAACGTTCAACGTTCAACACGGGAATACGAAGTTGAACGTTCCATAACAGTGCGTCGTCAGTTTTTGTCAACTTGAAGTGAATACATTGTCGGTGACGTTTTCGAAAGCATCATCTTTACACCGCAAACAAGGGAGGGACCTGAGTGAAGCACTGCGTTGCTGAGCAGGTGGTCGGATGGTCCTCAGCCTAGCACTTGTGCGGCGCTTGCCATTGAACGTTCGTCAGTCTGAGTCGGCATTCCGGAGATGCTCTCCACTCACATACTGAGTTCACGGAGCCCAGAAGTAGTGCCAGATCAGCACATGGATGCTCTGCGAGAGATTGATTCGTCCCGTCAAGTCGTCACAGTCGACATCAAGTTGAGTCGCGGCCCTTCGGCGCTCTGCAAGTTTTGGACGCGGCCACAGTGACACTGCCGCCACAGACGGACGCGTAGATACGGTCACGTGGGAGGCACGCGCCACTAAACAAGGTTGGTTTCAACTTGAAGCATGCTCTGAACGCGTACGTACGTTGGCATAACGTCCTTGTTCGTCTTTGCTCTTGTCTCCCGCCACTCGTAAAGTTCTCATCTGACATACAGCTGCAAATAATCTCACATCCGTATCAAAGCGTCCTCTTGGCCGGTCCTTTGTGTACATCTTCTATTTCCACTGGCACCGGCACTTGACAGTACTGGTGGACACTCGCAGCACTAGCCAACACGTCTGCTACATCACGATGCCACACTCAGCACCCGAAGTCGTTCTCTCTGCGGAGAGTGGGTATGCTTTGCGCAGGAAAGAGCTTCTAGCACTGGTGAAGAAACTGCGCGCAACGGGGTGAGTGGCCACAATGCATCCATGCGTGTTACAAGTATCATCATCATTGATGGGTGCATAACTGTTGATAGTGCGCAGGCTGATCTGGATCTTCCGCGAGTAGCCGTCATTGGGAACCAGAGTGCAGGAAAGTCAAGTCTCGTGGAGGCCATCTCTGGAGTGAGTTGTCATATTTGTTTCTGATTTCCCTTCGCCAACTCCTCCAGATTACTGTGCCCCGTGATGCAGGAACATGTACTCGCTGTCCCATGGAATGTCGTCTGTCCTCCTCGTCCGATCCATGGCGCTGCCAAGTGTCCATCCGATGGGAATTCGACTCGAATGGCAAACGGCGCCACGAGGTCCAGGAAGTCACGTTCGGCGGGGTTATCACGAACAAGGCTGAGGTTGAGCTCATGCTGCGCCGTGCTCAAGCGGCTGTATTGAGCCCAGATATCTCGGCTGCGAAATTCGTGACCATGAGTGCCGATAGTTTGAGTGAAACTGGTGCACTCGAGAAGAAACGCCTGCCGTTCTCGAGGAACGTCGTTTGTATCGACCTAGCAGGACCTGATCTTACTGATCTTTCTTTTGTGGATCTTCCTGGTACGTTCACCTAATACCATGAGCATGATCGTCTCTAACAATCGCACTAGGTATCATCCAAAATGCCGACCCTGAGATCGTGCAACTTGTGGAGAATCTGGTCATGTCGCACATCAAAGGCAACTGTCTCATTCTCGTAACATGCCCTATGAGCGGTAACCACTTTCGGTCCCTGGCGTTGTTATTCTCTCACTGAGCTCATCCGTCCAGACGACATTGACAACCAGAAAGCACTGCGTCTGGCGAGAGATGTAGACCCGTCCGGCCTGCGAACAATAGGTGCGTTTTCATCTGACTGGTCTTATCCATGCGCTGAACTTCAATCGAAAGGTGTCCTCACGAAGCCCGACACCCTCACCGCAGGTGCCATCAAGCAACAAGAACACTGGCTCGACGTACTCGAAGGTCGCAACGCACAGCATCGGCTCACCCACGGCTATTTCTGCACACGTCAACCCGACGACGCTGAACGTCGCGAGGGCATCACCACTGCGAAGGCACGCACTGCTGAAGCCACATTCTTTACGAAGACCTCGCCATGGTCGAGATCTAGCCATCAACACCGATTCGGCACGGCTAATCTAGTCAAGACGCTGAGCGCACTGCTCACGCACATCATCGACGACTCGTACGTCCTGATATCCTGACGCATTAAGGTTCTATATGGTGGCTTATCCACGACGACCTCCTGCATAGCATCCCGAAACTCCAGAAAGAGGTCGTCCACCAACTGACGACATGTCACTCCGAGCTCGACGCGCTCCCGCCCGCAATCACGTCCGACCCCGCCTCGTTCGTCCTCAGCCTCATCACGGGTTTCTGCGGCACCGTGCACGCGCACGTCCAGGGCGGCCCGGGAACGGAGCAGTTCGTGCAGAAGAACCGCCTCTCGTACGCTGCATTCAAGCGTGACATCCGCGGGACCGCCCCCGCGTTCCTCCCCTTCCCCTCCGCCTCGGAGGCCCCCTTGCATGCTCAAGCGTACCTAGGGATTGACCTCGACGACGATGATGAGTTCCAGCCGCTTGAAGAGCCCTCCGCTGCCCACGCGCCCCCGAAGGCGATGTACCTGCGGGACGTCAAGCGATACATCGCCAGGTAGGTTGCTACAGTTGTGCTAGGCTAAATGCAGTGATAATGTCAGTCGTACAGTGCTGTGACGCGCGAGTTGCCGAACAACGTCCCGTATCCGGCGAAGGTTGCTCTGATCAAGGACTTCCAGAGCGGGTGGGGGCAACTCTGCCAGCATGTCTTCAATCAAGTCGGAAGGGACTTCCACGACGTCTTGGCCGAGCTCATGCGGCATAAGTTCCAACGATACAATCTCTTACACTCGCGAGTCAAGTAAGCCTCTCATACTGGTCGATATGATCAATTTCACTGACTCGTCTGCAGTGCCGCATTGCAGGAGCTACTGAAGATCTGTAGGGACGCCACAGTCATCCACCTTCAAAATCTCCTGAAGCTCGAGTCGACGCCATTCACGCAGAACGGCCACTACCTCTCCGAGAAGACCTCCAAGACCCTCGCACGGTTCAAGGACGCGCGGTCGGGGAAGGACACGATGATCGACGAGATCCGACACTTCCAGGCTCGCAAGCAGACGGGCGCCCCAAGCAAACGGCCACAGGCGAATCAAAGCCAGGGTGATCGCCCCGCTGCTGCACACGCGTTTGATTTCAGCGCGCTATCGTCAACGAAGTCGACATTCGCGTTTGGAAAGTCGGCATTCTCCGCGCCCAGTTATACCCCGGGGCTCCCGACCACTACGGCCCCTGCATCATCTCCTCCGAAGCCGAAGGCGTCACCCACAACACCAGCGCCCGCCTCCAGCTCGTCAGTATCACCAGCGATCCCTAAAGCTCCGGCACCGCAAGCACAGGCAGAACAAAGTTCCTCGTGGGTCGCTGGCCTAGAGGAGCGCGAGCAGCTTGAAACAGACGCACTGGCGCTCTTAACGAAGCTGGGCTACAAAAGCCTGAAGGTTGAGGATCTGGGGAAGCTAAACCCACCAGATGAGTTTGAAGAGGAGATGCAGGTTATGGCCGAAGTACGGGCGTACTTCCATGTCGCGTACAAGGTGGGTTGAACACGCCCGGTGTTGATTCTGGGATGTTGCTGATAGCTCTCGGTTCATCAGCGCATCATCGACTACGTTCCGCTCTCCGTCGACCACTTGTTTCTCTTTGGCTTGAGCGAACGGCTTCAAGACACCTTGATCGAGAAGCTCGGGCTTGGATCGGCCAAGTCGACGGAACGCTGCGCGGCATATCTGTCTGAGGACGCGAGTGTGGTCGCCGCTCGCACCGAGCTGTTGGGTAAGAGGGAAAGGTTGGAGAGCGTCCAGAAGGAGCTCGACAATTTCATGTATGCCTGATTTTTACATGTGTGCTTGGATCGATCTGTAGTCTCGTTTTGTATGCACGTTAAAATTATGTTGGCTGTTGGAACCTGGAGATACATACTACTTGTATATCGCAGTGACGGTCTGTAGAACTCGGTAACTGCAAGTGCATGGAAGATATACGGTGCCAATCTCAGGCCCCCGCCTCCGAGTCGATCTGGTGGCATCTGCCCCGATTGGATCTGAACGTTGCAACGAAGTTAATCGCTCAGCGCGGCTTGGTAATCGTCTTGACCGTTGACCAGAAGATTGGATGGTGTAGTAGCTTCGAGAATCGAGGCCGACTCGGACGTACATACGGCGCGCATGCTACCAACAGCCGTACATTTGGTAAGCAAGACAAAAATCAAGTACTCTCGACGTCCTGCGAAATATGACAGAACACTGGCAGGTCGGTAGCGCGCGCGCACTGGCAGGCTGGTGACCGGTTGACCGCTGGTCCCAGGCTCCCAGCCGTGTAGGTTGTCAATACACACGACTAGCGAACTGGCAGAAACGGAGACCGAAGTGGGTCGTACGCTACAGGGTTTCTATCTTTGTCATTTCTCTATGCCCTGTCAGTGCGTCGTAACCTACCCACACGGACTGAGTACCGTGAATGCCTCCGAGTCCACGTTCGATCCGATTCAATTGCGAGTGTTTTGCAAACTGCCTTTCATTCGAATCAGAACTCACATTGCCTGTGTTGAGACAGGGCCGGGACAGGCTACTCCTGTGTTGAAACAGGACTCGTCGGATGTCTCCGGACTTCCACCATCCCTTGACCTAGACTGCACTCAAGAAGGCGGCGGCAACATATCAAACACGGCCTCCGGCGCGACGATCGAATTCTGCCACTCTGGATAATAACCCAACGTAGTCAGTCTTTGGCCTTGTGTATCTAGAGCTTAGTACTCACCGTAGGCGTTCTTCCAGAAAAGCTCAGCACCTGGGGGAAGCTTGTTGCCGAACGGCGCAAGCTTGACGAAGCATCCCCCGGGGGCAGCCTCAGACTCGGCCCAAAGTGGTGTACTACGGTCACCGCAGAAGTAGCGGGTGACCTGCTTCCCGGAAACGTTGTCTGACGTTGGCTGCTTGTAGCCCTTCGCCGTACCCTCCAAAACCTGGAGGTTGCTGCGTGGGACGGGGGCGAGGTAGGAGAACACTCAAAGTGTGCGGTCAGGTTCTCTGTCGTCCACAACCTACACGAGGATACTTACGACTCCCAGCCAGCGTAGTGCAAACGTTGCAGTGGCATGCGACTGCCTTAGCATTATCGCCAAACCCACCGACGATACGCAGCTTAATAGCGCCGCAGTGGCAACTTCCTGTTGTCGTGCGGTCAGCAAGTCGTCGAGCAACTGATGTGCGACGATGACCCACCTTCGACGTCGGACATTGCTGATCTGCTGAGGAGTGGAAGGAAAGTTGTTGTTGAACGCTCCTTCTCTCGAGCTGGTTTATATACATCTCCAAGCAGCACCTCTGATCTCCAATCTCGTGAGTTCCTCCCAATATTACCGAGCAAGAGCTCTTTCATGGCTCCTACATTAGCTAAATGCATGCGCGCACATGTAGGACCCGACGCAAATTCAATGGGATACTTCTGACCGCGCGGAATATCTTCCGAGTCTCCATACATCGAATTAACATAGTCTGGGTGGATACTGTCCACGCTCTGATATCGCCGATTGCATCAATCAGCCGTTGCTTATTCTCTTCCACGGATTTGCAGAGGGCGCGCAGGTCGAGTCATTTGCTTTGTCAGAGCGTCGGGCGGCGGGCGGCGGCAGCGCCCATCAAGGCGGCAGCAACCGGCTTCCAAAGAGCTGAACAAGACGTATGGGTAGAGACTACGTGGAAGGAGATAATTCCGCGGAGCGCACAAGGCGCTCGATGGTCCAGTCACAGCCAGCTGGAGATCTCGCTGGAAGTAATTTGGGACGGTAGTTAAATTAGGGCGACATCTGCTGTGATACTACACTGTGTTGATTGCATGATACGAGGAGCTGTGGGAGTTTGTACAGACATAATGATTATTGAGTGGTGTTTGCGATGCGTTCTAGATGCTAGCAAGCGAAATCCAGGACTCCCCAAATATGAATTCGGCGTACACGGGGGTTTAATTGACCAGACCCTTTACCCTTCCCTTCACCCATGCGTCCTTGAGCACAACAGAGCCCACGCCCGGAACCGCCGCACTACCCTTCTGCCTCCACTCCCAGATGAGGTCTCTCGCCTCCACAGGAGCTACAGCTTTGTCCCGGGTCCCCACCGTGATATGCAGCCTGTCCCTCAATTCCGCAGGCAGCTTCAGCACAAAGTCGAGACCCTTCTTCTGCGCCTCCCCGTCGACATCGTCGAGAGACACTGCAAAGTCGACAACTGTCGCCGCCATGATCCGGTCGTTCCACACGACGTGGCCCAGCCGGAAGCTGAACAGCGGCGGGTGCGACGCAGGCCCTTGCAAGCCCCTACACAGCTCCCATAGTGCGGTCTGCTCCGGCAGCGACTTCGAGTGCACGATCGTGACATGCGGGCGGGGTGTCACCCGCTTGTCCTTCACCAGCCTCTCCCAGAACGCCTTGCCGGACTGCGAGACGTCCTCTGCGCTGAACCGCTTCTTCAGCACGCTCTCCAGGTCTACCTCGGCGAGGACGCCGTAGTACCTTGGCGGCGGTTCCTTCTTCTCTTTTTTCTTCCCCTGTTCGCTCGCCGCAGGCTTCTTGGCCGTCGCCTTCGGCCTGTAGCCCCTTGCGACCGCGAGTGCCTCGCCGAACTTCTCCTGGTCCGGCTTCTGCACGCCCAAGATGCGCACGCACGCGTCGACCGCGCGGGCGAGCCCATCCTCAAGGCTCTCCTCCCACCCCATTTCGACGGACACGTCGACCTCGTCGTCGGACAACTCCTCCGCGTTCTTCAGGAATTGCCAGACGACGTCCTCGTGGGCGCCCGCGACAAGGCTCTGGTGGTTCTCGCCCCGCTCTGCGATCCGGTCCGCGCACACGCGGTGGATCGTGCTCAGCGGGACGTCAAACGACCAGTTGAGCGCCATCAGCCTGACGGGCGGCTTCATGTTCGCCGTCGCATTGCGCAGCTGTTGGCGATGCTGGGCTAGGTGGTTGTTTCTGTGGGGCAAACGTTAGGTCGCATCAGAAGCCCTTTATCAAGACGAGTACTCACTTGTCCGCGATTACGACGTCGTGTGTCTTCAGTAGGTCCACGACATTTCTGATGAAGACAGGCGCGGCCTTCTTCGCCTTGATGTCGTCACTCTGGATATGGCCGAAGCCAAATAGGTGGCTGAGTGCGACTGCAACGCTCGTCTTGCCCACGCCCGGGACAGCCACAGGGACGATGATCGTCTTCCCGAATTGCTTGCCACTTTCGCCGCTCGTACCAGCGACGTCCTGCTTCTCCTCCACCTTCTTCTCCGCCGACCGGCCCTCGTTGCTCTCCAGCCACTTCAAGAACCGTTCCCGGGTGGCGATGATGCCCTTCCCCTGCGTGTACGTATTGAACTGGCTCTTATCGCGCTTGATCTCATTGATGACCCAGTCGACATACACCTTCGTCTCCGGCCGCCGGAGCTTGCCCTTCGGCACGTTCGTGAGCACCGGGCCCTTCGACAGAAGGCTCTTCGTGACCTCGCGCCAGTCGCGGTACATCATGTACGGCTCGTCAAACTTGACCTTGAAGAAGAAGGACGAGCCGGGCTCATATGGTGACATGCTCGCGGGCTTGCCGCCCTTCGTCGGTGGGTTCACGACGCGCGTGCGCACGACGAAGCCCTCGAGTGGCTCACCGTTCCACTTGCCGCTGCGCCCGATCTCCTCAGTGAAGGATTTTACTTCCGGGATGGAGTGAAGCACAGTGGACTTGGTCACGATGAACCCCCATTCGCGCGCGAAGGCGTCGACGACGGTCTGGTCCGTCGTCTGGAAGTGTTTCCGGCATTCGTTGAGGCCGTGTAGATGCAGGCCACTCTGATCAGGGCCGTACGGAAGGACGTGCTCTTCGAAAGAGTCGTCACAGAGCTGGGAGACACGCGTCAGAAAATGATGCAATACACAATGAGTGAAGGCCGTGTACCTCAGCGATGGCTGTCCAGTTCTTGTCCCAAAGTTTCTTCGCGAGCTGCTCTTCTGTTTTGCCTGAGTCGGCGAGGTGCTGCCGCAACCAACGTTCGCCGACCTGGGCATGACTCTCTCCGGAGGCATTGGAGGGTCCGAGAGCATGCTTAGACGTGACTACGAGTTTCGTGGGCGTCAGAGCCGCTATGAAGATGATGCAACCGTTCGACTTGAGAGTAAGTGTATACGGAGGCCCGGTATGACTCTCAAGGGATGCCCACTGGCTCGTAGTTTGCTGAATGAGAACGCTGAGACCGTCGTGAAGATGTAAGCTTACATGCGTCCATGGCACTTCGCCGATATTGAAGAATTTGTCATAACCACGGGCCACAATTCGGTGCTTCATTTGATCGCCTTTCTTGATTTCTTGGGTGAATAGACCTCTTGCAAGCGTCGGGAACGGAGAAGGCACGTCGTAGTACTTGAACTCGTTCATCTTCCAACTCCGAAGCACGATGCTTGAGTCTGCGGGTGCGGTGTACGCCGTTGACCGCACAAGCTTCGGGCTCTTCTTCGAGATGCGAAAGAGATCCTCGATGAGCTGCGAGTCCTCTGGATCAATGTGAATGGTATCGAAGATGGCATCCTTCACGGCCGCGTCGAGAGTAGGGACCGGGCCCTTCTGCGTTGCGACCGACTCTGCCTCCTCTTTTGTCGAAGTGATGTTGGCAGAGTCAGTTTCCGTGCGTTGTGGCGTCACAGTGGCGGGCTGAGAACGAGTCTCCATACTCCGAGTCGTGATCTGCTTTGCGACACGCAGAGACTGTCTTTGTAGAGGGATGAGGCACCTGCTATACCTGGTTAGATGAGTGAAGGGACGTGTCCCGGTCAGAGCGTAGTGGAGCTGAAGTTGAGACAGAATGTTTGCGGCTGCGACTCGGAAAGCAGACGAATTCCAGATCTAAGTAGGAGGTGGTGCAAGCGCTCGTTGTGCGGTGACGTCTGACGTCCATCACCGGAGACATCGGGTAGTTTAAGGACGTCCCAAATCGGGCACAACCGCGGTCGCAAATTGTGACCAAGTCCTTAAACGGGATCTTAGACTGTCCCGTACACTAGCTTAGATGCGAAGTTTACAGGCTTATCCCATACTCAAATACTCGAATGACGCATGTCTGCCAGTCGCAGTATTGATTTGCCAATTTACCTCATTTGGGGTGATAAGTTTGAGACGGGCCTATACCTTACCACACAATTGACGACATTTGTCCTACCCACTTCAATGGTCACAATTTGCGGTAGGGTTTCATCCCGATTTGGGACAATCTCCGAGTCGAAACCGACCGACGACGGCGAGTTGTTCAGATCTGATCGGACTGTGGCGAACACTGCGGTGGCTCGGGCGTCTAAGAAATGTTGATGACGCGATCCCCGTTCGGTACTACATATGTAGGCACGAGTATCGCAAGGTAATTTCGCGTTGTGACTCACAGCTTACAACAACTACGCGCACACAGCATTTGATCCTCTCCTCCTCACCTCGTGCCGCTATACAAGCGGCTTATTCATACGCATGTGCGGATGCACCATTCTCCAGACATGATGCCGTGGCTGACATCGTATGTGCTAGGGGTCGGCGCGTGCTTGACTCGAGTCTAATGTCATCAGAAAGCAAGGTAAATGAGACAGTCGTGGGTAGTGTTTGTAAGGCATTAGTAAGACCCGGGAAATCGACATCAACAAGCGCGGAATGGATTCGCATTCGCATCCTTGACTGCGTCCTTGTTGCCGCCTAGCCTTGTAGTACATAAGGTGAAAAGGCATTATGAAAGGGCGGCAACACACCGACATTTGCAGGGTGGACGTCTCAACTGCTACCTCCAAGCCCTGCAATATACCATCTTCCAACGGTACTATGTCTGACATTGAAGGTCAACAATGCGTAACCACACCTTCTAATTAATCCTGGGACTGACGCACCGAATTTAGGTAGCTGCCACTGCGGCGCGATCACGTTGCGCATCGTCGGTGGGTTCGGCGACGACGCCAAATCCTTCATCTGCCACTGCGAACCGTGCCAGGTGCTCTCCGGCAGTCGTAAGTTCATTCTTCGTCTATCCATCACTTCAACTCACTGGTACATGCCGTGCCCCGCAGTCTTCGCCTGCACAGCCTTCGTCGCATCCAAGAATTTGCAAGTCGTCCGGGGCACCCCGAAGCCATACAAGCAGTCCAGGGAGACAAACTCTTCCGGCATGCAGGTGACGCGGCACTTCTGCGGCGACTGCGGCACCCCGCTCTGGGGCGAATCTGAGGTGGCGCCCAGCGGGAGCTTCGTCAGGACCGCGCTGTTCGGGAACACGTTGCCCCCCAAGGCGGAAGTCTTCTGGAAGAGGGCTCATGGTGAGTGCGCTCGCAAGTGACGTCGTGATTGAGTGCTTATTAGGTGTTATTCTACAGAGTGGGAAAAGCCGATGGTGCCTCCCGGGGCGCTGTTCGAAGCGGGACATGGGCCTCTGACTGCTTGAACGGGAATACCATGGGACAGATCGGTATGACATAGATGCGCGCTCCAGTATCGTTGAACAAGTCGATGCGAGCAATAGGATGGTTGAAGTGATCGACACTACGCAGCGCCCACTGGTGACAGTGGTGTGCTCTCTACAGTGTACCTATCAGCTGAGTAAAACGCACTGCTTTGTCGGCTGCCATCTAATTTACTAGGACTCACCTTTATCAGCCTATCGCGTGCATGAGCGATAGATCACTCTTCCAACCTTGAAACGCCAGTTCTAGCCTTTGCCAGACGTTGCAGACAGATACCGCTCATCTTGTTATTGACGTGCGCCCTTCAATCAATCCTGACTATGATGCGCAGGCAGACCAGCAGAACGCCTGCCCAGACGCGCTCGCTCGGATCAGGACCACACAGCGGTACTAGGTGACGGCACTACATACAGTAAGTTATGAGGCTGGGCGCGGGCTAGTGCAGGATGTCCGCTCTAATCGCGTAAGGATAGGCGAGGATGTGGACCGGCGTTTGCATCACGATACGTACGTCTTGAGTGCATCGCAGTAAAATCTGCTGATGGGACCGATGACAGCGGTGCGATGGCGCCCACGACGTTGCCTAGACAGAGCCATGTGGTGAGTATATAACCACACATCTCGTCCGAGACGGCCAAGATAACTCTGCTTTGACTCTATCATGGCTGATATTGAAGGTCTGAGTGCGCTCCTTGAGACCGTAACCAAGCAGTATCGCTCACAGCAACACAGGGAGCTGCAACTGCGGCGCGATCAAGGTGCGCGTCATCGGCGGGTTCGGGGAGAACGCAAAGGCAGGCATCTGCCACTGCAAAACATGCCAATTGTTATCAGGCAGCCGTACGCTACGCACTACGTCGTAATCGTACTCACCTCTGACGATCATGACTCTGAAGTCTTCTCTTACCTCGGCTTCGTCTCGCGCGAGAACCTCAAGATCCTCCAAGGCGAGCCCAAGGGGTACAAGCAACCCGCAGAGGCAGCGCGGTCCGGGAAGGAGGTTATCAGGTACTTCTGCGGTGACTGCGGGACGCCCTTGTGGGCCGCGGCTGAGTCGGCGCCGGAGACGTACTCCATCAAGCTTGCGATGTTCGGGAACAGCTTGCCTCCTGCCATGGAGATCTTTTGGAAGCATGCTCACGGTGAGTCTTCACGAATTTCGTCTATGGTTATCTGAATTGAGTCCTCCGTGTGAAGACTGGCAGAAGCCGATAGTTCCAGCCGAGATGGTGTTCGAGGAGTGGTACTAACGGCTGTGAGTACGGTTATTTGATTGGTACCTTTGGGTGTGCAAGCGAACCACTGGAATGAAATGCTGCTGCTGAACAGTGAATTTGCGGCATATGAAGAGCGATGTTAGCAGGATTGTATGATGAGTATCCACGAGGCTCACCTTACTGTCATGACACAGCCCCGAACCTCACCGCCGCGGACAGTCATGAGTCTTCACAACAATCCATCCATCCATGCGATGACAATACAACATCATTATATACAAACCGGCGACTCCAGTCATCCCGCTCTATCGACTCCAGCCAGCCTGGATAAGTAGGTTGTTGGTTTCTCTTTCAGCGGGTGGAGGCATCCCATCCCTCGCGCTATACGTCGTGACCGCACAGTGAGTCAATGTCAGAAAGACTTGGAGAAAGAGCGCACAGGTAGAAGCTCTTGATGAGAGCCTCGACTTCTTCTGCCGACATCTTGATATCTGTTTCTCATAGTTAGTGGGTCAGAACACCTCCAGAGGAAACGTGCCTCACATTTCTTCGGGTCTGAACATGATATGAGCTGGTGATAGGAAGACTAGGTGATGGAAATGACACGTACTCTTACTGAACTCCTTCCCGAGGTTCTTCTGTATGAATTTCTGCAACGACGGCACGACCAGTTTGACCGCCTCCTCGCTAATCTGCATGCGAGCCTCCTCATCATCGTGCAGCACCCTTGCGAGCTGATGGCGCTCCGTCGTCTCGTCGAACAGATCAAAGAAGCGCGTGAACTTGTCCTTGATCGCGCTCTTGCTCTTATTCGCGTCGTCCGTGAGCGTCTGCAGCATTGGACTGAAGTTCGAGTCGAAGTACGCCGCCTTGGCCGTGCGGAAGTTCGACTTCAGCATGTCTTGCGTGGGCTTAGAGAGAAACCCGGAGAGTGCAGGCGAGGTCGGGTGTGTGATGAAGCGCGTGACGAGGTACGAGACGTTGTTCAGCAGGAAGATGGACCCGAAGGCGGGTCGTCGGTTGGAGTTGGCGAGGGCCTGCAGAGTGTTCAGTGTCATACTGACGAGGTCGTCTTGTTCCGTGTGTCAGCTGTCAGCCTTGTTCAAGGACGATAGATCACGTACATGTGAAGTGGTGGAGAATAGTATTCTCGTCAATATCTTGCCGCGCCGCCTTCGCGACTGTGGCGCCTTCACCCATCTTCCAGTTGCCATCTCCGAGACTGAGCAACATAGCACATACGGGTTCGCGCACGTCGGGCATCCGCTCGATGTAATCGACAGTCTGAAATACCCCGTTAATGACTCGCCATGGGCATAGGATAGATGGTTACGCACCGACAAAGTGGTGTCAATGACGCCCGTGCTAAGCTCCCCGCGACTGCTGCCCGCCGCCAACTTGATGTCCGCCAAGAGCTCGGGGAAGCTCCGCTGGCAGGTCGCTCTCATGCTCTGCAAGCCGTCCTTCAGCTCGTTCTCGCGCCGGCCCGCTCGGCGGACCATCGTTTCTTCCCATCGATCCTGTGCTGCGCCCATGCAGGAGAAGAGTGACAGTGCCATCGGTGTGTTCTTGGTGAGATCGCGCTTGATGAGCGAGCTGAGGGAGGAGAGGGTAGATGAGAACAGGGAGCAGAGCGGGTTCAGGAGCGTCGTGTAAGTGCTGTTGATTGAAGCAGGAGCCGTCAGAGGGGCGAGGGTGAGGAGTAGAGCGTATTCGGCCTAATATGCACCATGGATAGCATTAACAATCCATATAGAGAGGACACATGCGCGACTTACATCTGTGATGTTCAAGATATTGTCCATGAACGTTGCAAACTCCCGTCCGGTCGCAACGCCGTTAAGCGTCCCTGCACGTTCCACGACTCTCTTCCCGTAGACCTCCAAGCATTTCTTGCTCCATGCTCCACGCATATCGCCATATCCCTTCTGTGCTTCCTTGAGTGCGGACTGGATTGCAGGTGCCGCAGGGTGCGTCGGATGTGTCGGTGGTAGAGGAAGTGTTCGGAGGAAGGCGACAAGGGAGTGAAGGGTCTCGAGGATACTGGGCGGGAAAGGCATGGGCTCGAAATCAGGGCCATTGATGGGTGTGCCGGAAGAGGCCTCGGCGACGAGCTTAGTGTATAGTTGTACAAGCTTCTTCGCACCGGTCTCGACTAGACGCGCCTGCTAGCGGGTGAGGATGCGCAATAGCAGCAAGGGACTGACGCATACAGTCTCGACAGCGCCGATTTCCATGCTGCCAAACGCAATTGTCTGGTTCATACGGGTAACGATCTCAATGTACTCCTGAAGCTGCCCTGGCTGTGGGCTGCAGGGGCGTTCATTAAGAAAGAAACGCGTGGTGTCGATGGAACTTACCCGCGAAGCACCAAGGCCTCCTCCGCAGCGATTCCTTCCTGGTAGGCATGGATCTCGTCGATCTTGTTCAAGGCACTCTCGATATCTGAAGTATACCGAGTCAGATAGACGGAACCATGGTCATCTGACAAGCATACTCTTGGCTCGGCGTGTCAAGATTTGGGACGAGTTATACAACGGCAAAATGGACTTCTCAAGCTTGACGAGGCGTGCATCGAAACTAGACAGTATCGCTGCAAAGGTCCGTTACTTGATAGATAACTTTTGAAAGCGGCAATACATACAAGTCATTCGTTGTGATATTTGCCGCGTCTTGTTGAGATTCTGCTCCAGCTATTACATGCCTCCATCAGAATCTTCAATGAACACCAACGAGGAGGCCGTGGTGCACCAAGCCCTAACTTCACGTCGTGCAGCCTCGTTCATCCCCTCTCACTAGCCACCGCCACAATCAACAATAGATTTCGGACATACCAATTCTATCTCTGCCGTTTCGTCGTCCATATTGACTTGGCCGCGAGGCGAAGATTGAGAATGTAGGAGACCACACCAAGTAAAAGGTAGTAACAACCGCTTGCTGCGCAACAGACGCCCATACTTGGTATTGCTAGACGCCCGCTCAGCAGGTGCGATCTCGATCTACTCGGTCCTCCTTGCCACCTTCCACTTTCTTCCACTACGCTCGCGACGATTCCCTGCTTTTCGTATACGACTCTATCATGGAGGGGCCGCTAATAGACGATACACGAAGGCTAGATGATGAGGATACTTACGATGCAGAACAACAGGTGGCGCAGCAGTCGCGGGCCATCGCGGAGCGACTGCTCGCGCAAGAGAACGAACGCAACACTGTCGTAGAGGTGTACCGCGACGCTTGGCGCGACTTCTATAACTGGGAGCCCGAACCCTGTAGTTCGCTCATAAGGAGCCTCGCACCGGCCCACATCGAGTGGGACGAAGTGACTGCCGTGCCTCTCGACATCCCTGCCGAGAGCATGGTCGTCGACGAGGTTGTTACTAGTTTATTCCGGGTATTTGACCTCGAGCGAGATCGGCTCACGGTGTTGGATGAGGAGTTCATCCGTACCCCGGATTTTGCGCCCCACCCCAAGTACGAGGCGTGCACCCCTACGATGCACATCATCAAATCCGACGAAGAGACTGATTGGCTCCGCTTCATAACTTACGCCGGCGACCCTGGGTTTGCAGAGCAAGACTTGTTGCGGGACCATAAGCGTTATAACTGGCAAGATGGAATTCGTGATCCTGACGGTGCGCGCCCTATTCTATTGTGATCGTAATTTGCGATGATCCTATGGTCTTATTGAAGCGGACCTCATCGGGCTTGAAGCAATACATCGCTTGGAGGGCCGCTCGCTTTCTTATGATACAGTCGATGCACATTCAGTGCTTCCCCGGCTGTTGGGACATAATGGTCTTATCTGGCGCATGTCTCATAGGTGTGTGCTTTATACGCGATGATTGTGACGATTCAATAACATGTCTTATAGGGACCTGTGGCACTGGCCAGAACTTCCTGAGCTGCTCCATGTTCCACTTGATGATCATACTCTCAAGACTCAGGTCAATGAGTATGTGGACAAGATATGCCCACATATGGGCTGTCTGAACAACCTCTGTTTCCCACATAGTATGCTAGCCTGTCTTGAATCCATTGGGTTATTGACAAGTGGTCAACAGAGGAGGTTACTGAACCCTTTTTTGGGAACAATGTGCATGTCAACTCTCAAGTACTCAAACAGAAGGTACAGACACCATGTGGTGACATGTGCTGTGTTATGGACAGGGTATATAATCTTCTTGGCACATCATTGGGACCAATCCTCAACCATAGACAGGATATCATAGGCATGCCATCTATGGCTGAGATGCAGCTCATACAAGACATATTATCACTGTTGCCAGATGAAACCCCCTGTATACTTGCATCAATTGTCAGGCTACCATGCTATCAGGTATGATCATCCTACTAAGCATAAAACTACTTGAAACAGCATTTCATCAGGTATACATGCAAAGATGTCAATTATTTCCTGACTATAGTATCAAGCCAGTCAGACAACCAAACTTGGTACCGTTGATAAGCCACTTCAGTATGCCAGGGATCACCAATTCTATATATCTCATGATTGAGTTTGTATCCCTTCACAGATGATGAGGGTGAAACTCAAGCTGCAGGGTAGGTAATCAAAGGTATTATACATCAACTTCATATATTGATCTTGTGATAGAATTGACTTCTGCTACCACCAAGGGCCATGTGGAACTCAATGTCCTTGCTACAAGGCTAAAATGCATTGCAAGAGGAATTGCAGATGCAGTGAGAAGTGTATGATGCATTTTTCTAAAGCTTGGATTTCATAAAATGACCTGAAACTGACAGGCCAACTGAGGGCCAAAGGATGTAAATGCCAGAAGCCTGAGATATGCAAGAATACAGAGCGGTGTCCCTGTAGGAAAGCACTGAGAGAATGTGACCCAGAGATGTGTGGACCCTCCAAACTGAGGAAGTGAGTTTTTGTTTACTTTATCCCTATGATGATTTTGAGATTGAATCACTGTCCAGAAAAGGTAAATAAACTGCAAGTCATATATTGGACTTGATCTATCAATTATGCTGGCATTTAGGCAGGAGGCATCAATGCCCCAACACCCACCTACAACAAGCTACTTATCCAGTATGCTCTATTGATATGCAAGCTGTATGCAATGAAATACTTACAGTCTCTGCTCAGCAACTCATTGTCAAGAATGGCCAACATGGACAGGGCACTTTTGCTAATGTGGACATAGGAAAGGACACTGTCATTGGAGGTCAGTAAATCATAGCTATTAGCTTCTCCAGGCTCCTCACCCCTACATGACTAGAATACATTGCTGAGCTCTTCCCAAATGAACTGTCCCACTTCCTGCAGTATGCAAATAATCTACGATGGTTGACTGTCCACTGAGTCTGTATACCAGTGCACTTTTCACACACAGGCACCTCAACTACACATTCAATGTGAATGTCAGAGATGTCCTGGATGCTGCATGGGTTGGCAATGAAACCAGATATATGAACCATGCTAAGGGCAAGGCAGAGAATATTACAGCACATAGTGGGTGGTCCTATAGACTTTCGCAACGACATCTAATTCACATCTTCATGCATGCAGTGAAATGGGTGGATGGGGAGCTCAGAATAGCCTTTTCGAGCAGTAAGCCATTTCACAAGTCTTGTTATGACTTACCTGAATTTAGACTTTTTACAGCCAAGAGAATCAAGAAGGGTAATGAACTGCTGTTCGACTATGGAACTGAGTACTGGAAGGATCATGAGCAAGAGCCTTGATATACAGTACATGTTCAAGTTGTCGGCACTGGTGCGATGTCACACTACCGAGGGCATCCAGTATAGGACAAGAAAGAACACTATGTGCTGACCGAGTTCGCAATACATATCACCAATCCAATCAACTTGAAGATCAGGTACCGCGGTTTCAAGCCCCTGTCATGAACCAAGATATACCATAATGTGTGCAGATATCACACGACGACTAATCAGAGCATACTGTACAGAGTCCCGGACACTCCCCAACACCCATCATATCATATCATGACCGTGTCGTTAATTATAATGACGCACCGGACTCGTGATGAGACCCAGTATGGACCTGGAATGGCCGCCACGCAATGCTGTAGGAACTCGAGGGCAATATCCGATCCATCCATCCCTGACTGCCGAGCTTCGTTTGATCAGTCATTGACTTCGTCGCTTGAGTCGAGCAGGCTAAAAGAATATTGGCCAATTGTCATGGAGAGCGATAGCAAGTGACGTCTTACTTGTATTGCTTCATCAGTGAGCACTCCCCGCCATTCTCCAGATCGATGCTATACGAGTAGAAGTAGCCTTCCGAAGAAATGACCATGACTTGAGGCATTGTTCTAGATATTCCACATTAGTCAACCGTAGCACGACTGAAATAGCTCAAAACGTTGCTTACCCGCTGAGCGCGACAACGCACCGTGCACCGCTCGTAGGTAGCCGCAGGAATGCGAAGTCTCGCGACGGCTCCCACATCTCGGTCAGGGTATTGGGGAGGTATCCGCCGACGGAAGTTGTGAGGTTCTTCGTCAGACGCGCCGACCCGCGACGCAAGCTCGACCTACGGTTCTGTAAGCCATAACAGTGCTACCGACAGCAACGAGGACGTACGAGACACCCCCGTCCCTTTTCTTATCGACATACGCGTCATAGCCTCCATCCAACTGCCCTTCCCGACTGTCCACCGACTCCGACGGACTGGACGGTGTTTTCAGACTGCCCGCGCCGCCCTTCTGCTGGCCGAGCTTGAATATATGCACGGTATCGTGCGCCGAGCTAACCGCGAGTAGCGTCGAGACGAGGTTGAAGCTCATCGAGTGTATCCGCGTCTCGCGAGTGCCCCTGCGGAACTGGTATAGCTTCTCGGCGCCGGGTATGCTCCACACGCGGATGACGGTACCCTTGTCCGACGCGGTCGCCAGCAGCGTGCCCGTCGAGTTGATCGCAAGGAAGGAAATCGGCGATTTGTGTGCTTGGATGACGTTCGCGACCGTCAGCGAGCGCGTCGAGAACAGGAGCACGTCGCCGGTCTGCTGGCCAGCGAGGGTGGGCGACGCGGGCTGTGCAGACGGCTGCGCGAGCGGCGAGGTGGGCGAGGGGACTGGCGAGGGGTATGCAAGGTACGAGTTGTCGGAGGACGGGGAGAGCGCGATGATGGCTGGGCGGACCGGGTCGATCGTCAGCAGTTCGGCGCGCCGGAAGAGGGGGACTAACCGTCTGGGTTCGGTGTTGTCTCTATAACGTGCATAAGCCGCATATTCGAGATGTCGTAAATGTAGATCTCTACTTCGAGGACGATGACGAGCGTCTTGCGGTTCATCTTGACGGCAAGGATGGAGGAGGGGAAGAGCAGCTCGCAGATCATGGATTGCCGCTACCGAGTACATCATGAGCCCACATGCTATACAGGGGACAGTGAACGCACCTTCGTGTTTACGATCTGCAGCTTGCGGGGACTGGAGTGTGGGTGGTCCGCCGCACCGACCAACGCGAGTAACGACGTGCAGAACAACATCTCCACGATTCCCCTAGCCCCGTCATCTGCCACAGCCCATCCTTCAGCTCTCTCGGATCTTCCTGCGAGTAAAGTGCAGACGTACTCTTCGTGTATACGCGACCAAATGGATCTACGTTTGTGATGCTGTAGCCTTTCCGCGTCCCGACGGAGATGCACCTGCGCGCATAAGCCAGGCTCCGGACTGTCAACCCGGAGCACTCACGTAAAGTCTTGGTTGAAGTTGGCGAACAGCATGTTGGAATTGACGCGCTCAGCCATGGCGAAGGCTGGAGGGTTTTGAGAGGTCCAAGGCAAGCGGAATCCGAGAAGGTGCTCAGAGCACTGTACAACCGGCGAGCTTCACTTGGGCTTCCCGCGCTTGTGGCTGGTGGTCAGTAAAGGCAGTAACAAAGGCAGTAACTGAGTAAGCAAACGCTCTAATGTCAGTCAATTACTTGAGACTGAACGGTACTGATAAGTAGCTACTTCAACACAATCCGAGACATCTTCTCCCCTCTGAGGCACGTCAAACCGCCCACGTATAGCACAATAGGCGGCTTTAGAACGCGCTGACAAAGGTCAGAAATACAGCACGCCCGTCAAATCCTGACTTGACGTATTGCATCGTGTCCAAGTCGTCGTCGACATCGAAGTACAACCAAGGTACAACTTAGGTACCGTAAATTTCTCGAGCGAACGGGTATACATGTGTAGTGATGCACCTCCGAGTCCGAATACAGAAGGAACTATGCTAGATGTGGCAAGGATCATAGAAATGAAACAAGTCTGAACGAAACATACGCTCCATAAGGCCCATACACCACGAGGTGGTTTACTCATGCCCTCGGTTCGCCAGGAACACACCCATGTCGCTCTTCGTCCGCTGTACACCGCGCAAACCGATGCTTGGGAAGTCCCCGGGTTCCTTTGCATCCTCCTGAGCGATCGCATGCTCCCGAGCCAAATCTAAGGTCCCCCCGGGGAAGCCTTCGAAGTGACTGTCCGATTCCGCAATAGGAGCGATGGCAGTGCCAGGTTGGTCGAATGCAGTCTGGTTGGGAGGCGGGGAAGGCAGCGAAGGCGATTGAGATGTGAGGAGTGAAGACGTCGAGTGCGAGCGCTCGTCAGACTGCTTGGACGACAGCGACTTGCCCCGCGACCTCTTCTTTTTCTTCGGTGGTACTGGCGCGTCTGCCCCAGAGGAAAGGGCTGGAGAGGGTAGAGGGGACGCCTGGGAAAGATAGTGATGGTTGTAACGCAGATAATCCGTGTTTGATATCGAGGCGGACGTGCGGGATTGAGAGTCGGACGCGCTTCCGCCGACAGGCACGCCATTAGGAACGCGTCGAACATAGGTCTCCGCACCAAAGTCAGCGTCTTCCTCGACAACATCGTCACCGTGGGCAAACGGGCCAAACTCTTCCTCGAACGGAGAGCCCGTGGACACAGAGCCAGAGCCGGGCCCGACGGACTGAGCGCCTAGCGCGGGTCCGCTCCCCTACGTGCGCACATCGCTCAATGACGACCCTGACAATGGCATGGGTGACAGGACGTACCGGGAATCCCTCAAACTCCTCTTCTCCATGCTGTTGTATCCCCATAGCCATAGCCAGTGCCATCCGCTTCAGCTCCTTCCTCTCGCGCCTCAGCCTCCGCCGCTCCTCCTTCGCCTTCCTCTGCTCCTCCTCCGCAGCTGCGGTGGCCGCTGCAAGCCGCGCGATCGCTTGCTCGTCCAACGCAGATGCATCAAGCGGTGCAGCATCCGAGTCTAGAGTAGACGTGGATATCGTCCTCGACCGCCTGCTCGACCCTCCCTCTTCATCATCCGAGTCGAGGTGAATTGGTGGTCGACCGAACAGACTGTATCCGAAGAGCGTGACGCCCTTTCGTGGCTTTCGACGCTTTTTGCGACGACGTTCGTCACCGATGTTGGAATGCAGCGACAGCGTCTCGGCGTCTGGAGAGTCAGAGCCGGCGAGCAGACCCTCGAGCTCGTCCGGGCGTGCGCGGGGCGGCGGAACGACGAAGTTCAGGCCATTGCGCTGGCGCGCTCCGTAGTGTTCTTGTTCTTGTTCATGGTCATGGTCATGATGGTCGTCAGGGGATCTGAAGCAGAAGAGACACGAGGAGAACGCCGCCTGGATGCTGTCCGACCATGAGAAGTGTAGATTGGCCATTTAGGACCACCTATTCCTCGAGAAGACGGCCAGAGTACTATGCCGCTGGCTTCCCTTCGACTCCTTTAGGGGCAAGCTCAGCTTGGGAGGGGAGAGGGGCAGCTGCAGGCTGTGTGGATGACGAGGAGACTGGGATGGCGGCGGCCGATATATTCGGAGTAGCTACTGCTGTACTACATGCGCGATCATGTGATAATGATCCCGGTATGAGCTGGCGGTCAGTACTAATTCTGAGTCGCCTCGCTCAGACTGCCATAACTTACTTAGCTGAAACTGAGTCCTAGATTTCAACGCTGAAATTTCTAATCAGCATTCACATGCCTGTACTTAATGGCCGGGATAGCATTCGCAGGGGTCGACGACGATGACCAGGACTTCTTGTAGGGGCTTACCCGGTAACTACTCTCGAGATCTCACAACGCGGAGCCATCCATGAGAACATTCATTGCAACACGAAATCATAATACGTCTACGCCAGCGCAATATCATTGTCCTACAGTTTTTCTTCCCATCCCTTTAAACATTGTCATTGCAGCGGAGCCCTACAGGCGCAGAATGAGCTGCTTCACGCCCGACATCCACAAGCCAATATCATCCGTGAGCGAACCCGTCGTGAGGAGGTCCATGTGCAGTGCCATGGCCCCATCACGATCGTGAGCCTCGATCGCTATCACACCTGTCAGCCCCAGTAAATGCGTCAGCATGCTATGATACGCGCACCTCGAGACAGTACGAGCAGCTTTTCTTGCACGGGCTTCGACAATGTATCGCAATTGAGTGCGTCGAATAGCGGATTGATCCTCCTTTCAAGGTCATCCACAAGGCGTTTTTGTGAAGGCTATATATCTTATCAGCACGAGCCACAGACAGTTACTAGCAGGCAAGACTTACCGGGGTGGTCTGCTTCAGCCGCTCCAGTTGGCCAGAAAGTACAACGTACACCGGTTGTATCTCGTCGGAGATGTGGCTACGGTCACCAGGAGCTGCGAAGGCGTGCGTCAACTGGGAGAGCGTACGTTAGACATAATCATGCTCACGATACTTCGACGGCGGCGGGCCTGTACGTCCCAGCGCTGCCGAGCCATTACCAGTCGGTGCACCTCGCGGCGGGCCGTGCGGGGGGCCCTGAGGGGGCGCACCGCCAGGAGGAGCGTTCATCCGCGGCAGCGGGGGCGCAAACTGTCCTTGCGGGCCCGGTTGCTGCTGTTGCGGCGGCGGGGGATGAGCGAACTGCGACTGGCCAGGAGGACCCATCGGCGGCGGGCCGTGGGGCGGGGGTGTCGGGTGCGCATACGGACCAGACGGACCCGGCACACCCTGCGGCGGAGCACCAGGAGGCAGTCGACCCTGCATGGGAGGCGGCGTCTGGCCGGGCAGCGTAGGCGCCGGCCCGTATGGACTAGAGCCAGGTGCTTGCGGCGACCGTGTCATGCCAGGACCGGGCGGCGGCGACATCATCATTCGACCAGGAGGGGGAGCCATGACATTGGGGGGACCCGATGGAGGACGCGGGGGAGGGTATGGTCCCGAACCACCCTGCGGCGGAGGCGGCATACGCTGGCCCTGGGGTTGTGGCGGAGGTCGTTGTTGTACGCTTCCAGGACGCGGAGGTGGTGGCAAGCTAGGCTGTTGACCGTGACCGAAGCTCGGCGTGCTAGGCAGGCTAGGAGACATCGGCGCGTTGGGGAAGGGAGCAGTGATGGCAGCCGGTCTGCTATTGGGGCCAGTGCCGCGTCGCTGCGCGATGCTTGATGGCGCATCATTCCATCCACCTGCGTCACGCTTCGGGGGCGGCGGCGGGCCGGACGGTGTTGCATTCGCAGCTCTTGGCGGCGGAGGAGGGAGGATGGTAGGTGGGGGAGGCACCTGACCGACAACTGGCTGAGGCTGAGACGCTGGGCGGCCGTACGGGCCTGCGTTGGGATAGGTCATCGGGGCCGTTGCCTGATATGGTTGTGCTGGTTGCGTGGCCTGGACAGGAGGCGCGTACAGGTTTCCTGCAGGAGCGGCAGGAGTATATCGGTTGGCCGCATTCGGAGCGCCCGTCGAACCGTTACCATACGGGTCGTACAATGACGACGGTGCCGCAGGAGCCTGAGTTGCGACGGCCGGTTGAGTGTGAGTGGGGGCGTTGTATGCCGGATACCCATACGCCGAGCTGGAGGAGGTCACTGGGACTGCCTTGGCAGTTGCTTGTAACGAGGCAGACCGTGGAGGAAGCCGCTGCTCTCCAGAGGCCTTCAGTAGACGGTCCCTGATGACCTTGAAATCCAAAGGTGAACCTGCGGAACCTTGGTACTCATCCGGAGTGAGCTTGAGATACGCAACAGCCTGCTTAGCCAGCCCCTGAGCAGCGAGCAGGTCAGCATACTCGAAGTAGCGATCGTAGAGGCCGGAGAGCTTGTAGGTGATGTCATCCACGTCCTCGCCGTTTGTCTTCTGACTCAGGTCCGTATCCTCATACTTGATCGCGCTGCGGAAGACAGTAACCTTCTCGATGAAGGTCTGGAGAGCAAGCGCGTGCGCAGTGTATCGAGAGCCCTGCAGACTCTCGTCCTGGAGTAGACGATGCTCCTCCTCGGCCAGGTCTTCGATCCAGATGTTCACCAATCGCTCGAGACGACCGGCAGCGAGGTACGTCAGGGTTGCATTCCTCCTGAATTCCGCCGCCTTGTCCTCGGCTTCAGGAGCGCCTGACACCTTCGCGAGGCTCGACTGGAATTCGAGACGCTGGCCGAGCTGTTCTGCAAGGCCAGAGAACTCCTCCTGACTGGCGAAAGTGCAGAGAACGACGAAGATCTCCTGCCACTCCTGAAGGTCGGCATTCTGGACAATATCAGCAAGGTCGTTGGTGACGATCGACTGAAATAGACGCAAGTACGGTAGAGTAGTGGTCTGGCGTTCGAAGTACGCCTTCTGCGTCTTCTGCAAAAGCTGTGGACCACCTTTGACCGCGAGCAGGATGGCGTCTGCAAAGCGATTAGACGAGAGACAGAGAGACACCGCGGAGTCGAAGTCGCCGAGAACGAGAGCCTTCGTAACCAAGCGGTCAGTCTCAGACTCGTCGGGGGGATAAATCTTGAATGTGTTGCTCTGCAGAGCCTCAGATGCCACAGAGGACGGTCCCGAACCAATTGTCGCCGCCACGGAGGAGTCCAGACCGTAGTTCCTGTGCGGGATCTGGATCTGATCATCGTCCCTCTGCCCAGTACCAATGCTACCGAAGAAGTCGGCGGCAGCATCTGTTTGCGGCGTTCCGATGATATCGTCCCCGAAGAGACTGGGGGCAGTAGTAGTAGACTCGGCATCGGCTACAGGGATGTTGGTGTTATCTGACGCGGCGCTTGCGCTGACCTCAGACGGCGTCGCTTCCGCTGCAGTGGAACCGGTCTCGTCAATATCCTCTCCCCCACTGTCAGAGCGTGCTTCGCTCTCGGGTTCTGCGAAGGAGACCACGGGCGGCTTGTAGCCTGTATCAGAGGCTGCCTCGGTGATGTCATCCTCGATGGGTGTCGCAGAGGCTTCAGCGGAGGCCGTCAACTTTTCGACAGCTTCTGCCACGCGAGCGGCCACCTCCTCCTTCGAGAACCCAAGCAGCGTGATGAGCTCATCCCTCGAGTTGGCCTTGAACAGGCTGAGCAGCGCCTTCCAGCTAGCAGAAGCCTCAGCAACCTTGCCTTCCGACGTCTTCTCCTCCGCGAAGGTGCTCAGAGCCTCGCCCTCATCCGCGGCCTGCAGCTTCGTTGCGCGTTCCGCGATCGACGGCTCAGTGACGACCTTCCGGGTGTGCACAACGCTGCTTTGCGTCTTGCCCTGGGCAGAGGGCAGGTTTGAGACGCTGACCAACTTGCCGCCGTAACCGAACGAGCTCGAGACAGGCCGGCGCAACCACTTCGGCGGGTGTTTCAGAGAGAGAGTCGCCTGCGACGCGCGAGAGAAACCAGGAGCGCCGAAGATATCAGAGCCGTCTGACTGCGGTGTGACGGGCGGCACATGCGCGGCCTCGTTCGTGGACTGGATAGAGTGGATACCGATGGTGCCGTCGAAGAACGCGGTGGCAAACAGGTCAGGGTTCCGGGGACACCACTGCACCTGGAACGCCCAGTTGTCTGCAGACGGGAGCTGGGAGAGTGTCAGACTAGTGATACAAAGCGCCGTGTGCCACGTACCTCGCCGATGATCTCTGACGTTTGCGGATTCCAGCACAGAGCGCGGTTATCCTTGCCGCACGACAGCAGGAGATCCGGATCTTGCTTGCACCATGACAGCGACAGGACACCCTTCTCATGTCCGGTGAGGATCTGGGCGTAAGGTTAGCAAAAGTTGCATGCTGCCAGTATGGAGAACTACCTTCTCGGGCGCACGAGCGTTCCGCAGATCCCAAACCATGATGACGGGCGACGTGTCGTCTTCGGATGCAGTCACTAGACGTGTTGCCTACAGGACGATTAGCAGTATCCACACAAATTAGGCGCCTAGACGTACGTTGTCGGGATGCCATGCGACATCGCTCATGCCACGTCTACCACCCATAGCCATCCCGCCGCCAAATCCTTGCATGGCACCTCCCATTGTACCGGCACCACCACCGTAAGTCAAGGCTGCGACCTCCCGCTTGCCTCGAAGATCCCAAACAACGGTGTAACCGGTACTGCTGGATGCCGCCAGAGCATATTGGACGTGGTGATTCCATGCGAGGGCCGTTATTTCGTCGAGTTTCGTGCTTCGCGTGCCAGGCGAGTAGGGTTTGCTAGGATCTCTAAGATCCCAGATGTAGATCTATGGTCCATTGTCAGCCATGCAATGAACAACGCACACGGCCTGATTGTAAGCGCATCAGCACTATAAGGGCACGTTTGCTGCACCGAAGCCATTACGCCTAGCGAGATGGCTTCATTCATATCCAGAAGCAGACTGCGTATAATTGGATGTGCTGTTGTATGGCACCATACGACCGTGCCCACGTAGATTTACGGGCCGCAGCTCGGAACCGAATGAGAGCACGTACCTCGCCATTGACCGCGCCCGACGAAAACAAGTTTGTTTGGATCGGGTTGAAGTCAAGTCCGCGTACTGGACCAGTGTGCGTAGAGTTGCGCAAGATTAGGGATTCTGTAGGGCTGTCGGACGTCTCACGACTGAACGGACGCGTTACGCTGGGTACCGTTACTCACTCCGCATGTGCGACAATCTTCGCAGGGTCCCAGATGTCCAACTCTCCGTTCTCCATACCCGCGACGAGCACCCCGCGCGGTCGACTTGCGTCCGTGTAGCCCCATGCTAACCGGTTGAATCTGCACACATTCGACGCGTCAGTGATCGTCAGTAGCAGGATTGAGCAGAGCTTCCGCTATACCTACCGTGATGTAGTCGTGACCGACGCTTTGGGCCCCGCCTGGCCCTCCTGACCAAGGTCATACTGTGTTTTGTCCAAGAAGTCCGGGGCCCATATTTCGAGTTGGCCATTATTACTGAAGGACTCGTCGAGTGCGCCCGCGACCGTTCCCGTCGCCAGCAGCGGCAACGATGGCGACGGCGACCATGCAAAGGTCGACGTCCTGTGGATTTCCTTGAGCTTCATGTCGCGGTGTAAGGAGAGATGGGGCGACGTGTCTCGGCGATGATGCGTAGCAAGTACAGCATTTCACGTGAATTATGAGAGTTTCCATATGTGGATTACTGCCACAAATTCAAGCCAAAGGGCGCGCACTGCCAACACTGACAATGAGCAGTCTGTAACTGAAGTGCACCGTGAAGACCACGTACGCTGAGTGGGCTGGGAAAGATCTGTCGCTTTGCGTGCCTCCATGCGATCAGTTGATTAATATTATACAGTCGCAGTAACAGTGCAGACTTTGCACTTCAATGCCACCGTAGGAGGATCCATTAATATTCTCAAACCCCATCACGTCCACTCGACGGGGATACTCGACAAACGACGACGACAATAAGAGTTCGTAAATCTGTGCGTTCCTACCAGTTTCACCCATCCAGTCATCGTGTTTGCCTCTCGAGACTTCGGTGCGGGTCACAAAGCGGCCGGCCTGCGGTTCCGTGGACTATTAAGGCACCGAACATATAGTACAAGTAGGTTGTTGTACAAACAGCAGTCCGACAGCAAACACGATCTGCACTTTCTCTTATATTAGTCCTCTGCCGCTGGATCTGACGGCTCCCCTGGCCTTTTCTCGCTGCCGGCTCCGGTTTGGTGCTGTAAAGCGCTCTTACGTATGAGACGACCAATAGGCGTAACGCAATACAGACACGCACCTGACGCAGCTTTGCGAGATGAATCTTCAATGTCTCCGCGTAGTTCTCAAAGCCAAGTGTGGCCATCGCATAGAGTATGTCCTCCCCGCCAATCGTCTTACGCTTCTCCATCTGGCATTTCTCGGCCGCCTCCGACGTGATGAAGCTGATGAACTCAGAGACGCACTCCTGCACGCACTCCTTCGCCTCCTTGGATATCTTCGCCGTACCCGGAACGGCTGCTTTCATGATGCGCGCAACGTTCGCAATCTTGGCCGCGCGGAGGCGTATGCGTGAGGTAGCGTGACCAAAGAGTCGATGAGAGAGGGCTCACCGGAAGAAAGCGGTCCTGTTCGCGATACTCGCCCACCTCCTGGTCCGTGATGGGTACGGGCTCCGGTGCAGGCTCGACGGTGGCTGGGGCGACGCCCGAGCCGTCGTCTTGAGGAGCGATATTGAGCGGTGGAAAGTCGGACATGGCAAGCTGTTGCCCTCGGTGGGCAGCCCTCTTCAGCCACTGTCAGTCTGCGTTCGCCGCGACACGAATTGAAGCGAATTGAGCGGTCGTCGCTGCGAGCGACGGGCGGCGCGGATGTGGACGACTTGGGCGGCGAGTGTTCTGGTGGGAAGAGAGGCGTTGTACGGCACGTGGCGCTCGTCGTCCGACGACCTTTGGGCGCGGTCGCGCGACGCGTCGAGCCAGACAGCGCGCCACGATCGCGTGTGCTAACACCGCTCAGCCAATCACCATCCGACTCTTTGCGACGACTGGGAACTACGAGCAAGAATGACCACCTGCGCCAGCGAGCTGCGAATAGGAAACAAGGTATTTGGAGACGGCTTTGCCGGCATTCAACAGTAGGTTCATCGGAGCAGTATGTTATAATTATCTGCTATCTGCATCACGAAGTGTCCGGTTCTAGATACGCAACATCCAAGTATAGTAGAGATCGCAACCAGCAGAATGAACAAAGGATGGATCCTTCCACGGGCAGCCAGTCATGAAGATATGTCCCCTAGGCGAGAGTGAGCTCGGCACCTGCGGGTATGTTCTTTCCTGTTGTGATCGGGCATACATCAACTTAAGAGTCAGACAGGTCGGAGCACTGGACGTACTCGCAAAGACGCCAATGCGATGATCGCCGTTCACCATAAATGCTGAGTAGATGCATAGCGTTCAATGATACTGGCAGCACACTACCGCATGGACAAACTCACTGGCAAGTCTACCAGTCGCTTTCGCCGCTGGAGCAGAGTTGATGAAGCGAGTCTCGTTCCCAGCATACGCACCGTCGATGTCGAAGGACTGATTCAAGTTATACACACCGTCTCGCTCTCCATCCCGCGCCAGGTGACTGCACCATGATGATGAGGCTCAAAACGCAAAAGAGTAAGTCCGTTTGCTTACACTCGAGCTTCGGAGGTCGTCTCGTAGATGAGCTCTCAGGCTCCAGCGTACTCTGCAGAGATATTGCACATCAGAAATGTGTAACATGAGCGGTCATAAAATGGGAGAGGTCATACCTGCAATGAGGTCCCCTTCCTTAGCGGACTCCACGAGGAACACGCCTACCGTCGACTCGTTGTGCTTCAACTTCAGAGACTGCGCAAACGAAGGTTCAATAAGTCATATTCACTCCTTGTCCATAGCGTATTTGTGCACTGCGCACTCACCTTTCGGCATCCCAGTTGTATCTGACAATTACGACATTGAAGTGAACGGGCTCCTGTAAAGAACGCACCAATTTTAACGCGTTTTAGTGTCACGCTATCGTTACTGAACTAGGCTCACCGTTCGAAGAAGACCCGAGACGTCCCGGAAACCTCGCCTCCCGCACCGGCTCATAACACGGTGTGCATAGCTCGGGGTCACACTCGCGACTCGCCCGGCGACACGGACAAGCTTGCGTGAGACACGATCGACGATTCTTCCCATCGCCCTTGCGCCCGCATTGGCATCCTGTCCACCGCCTGCCACCTGAATGCCTTTGAGTCAACATAGAGGATTGGAATTGAGAGCAGACAACATACATTTAGGCGAGCACCGACAGCTCCTGCTGCAGTGCGACTTGTTGAGGAAACACGCACACCGGGTTTGTGCGGTGCAAGGCCCGACATGATCACAGAGGTCGTTCAACCTTGAGAGTGGGTTCAAGTTGTCAGATAGCAGTGTGCTGATGATACATGAGCACTGACGGAGCAAACTGACTGGCGTAGGTATCCTCTGTGTCAGTCATTGTGAGCGTGATGGCGTGTAGAGCTCAGACTTTCCACTTACTATATTCATGAATTGATGCATCCTCACTGGCATCTGCTGGAGTAGCAAGTCTGGAGTTGGCATTCTGAGCATGCCACGGCGCCAATATTTCGCGCATGGCGGGTATCTGGTCAGAGTTGAGCAATTGACAGTTCAGGAGTACAGTTCGAGCAGTCTTACCTCTCGACATGGCTTACGACAGAGCACAGAGAGGTCGCATGGAGACATGCCCGAGTCTAGTTGCAACATCATGCGCAGCTCTGCTCTTTCAGAGGGCGTCCAGGCGATTTTCTGCAAAGAGAGCGGCAGCTTTCCAGTTAACAACCTCGAGTGCGTCGTGCGCGCAAAGTTCCCACTTCTTTCGAAACGTCACGGGGCCGTAGGAGGTAACACGAACTTCCGCAGTGAGGTTTCCCTTTTCTATATTTGTCTTCTTCACGATCGACTCGTAGTACGTGTTTAAACCGTTCGTCATCAGGTGCCAACGGTAAGGTCACCTGGCGCACATCTAAACAGACATCATCAATATTTGCATGCCAGGTAGGTACACACGGAAACGCACTGTGTGTCAAACACGACGCTTGCATGCAGCTCAAGTTCGAGCAAATCAGCGAGAGGTCGTCTTGTAGGCGCGTGCGCAGGTCGCTTGCGTCGGGGACGGTGAGGTCGAGCAGAGGCGGATAGTCCGCTCGAGAGGAGCCTGGCCAATCTATGATGTCGCTATATCCGTATGCATAGGGAGTCAAGTCACACCACAAATGGACGACGGGTCAAGACCGTACCTTTGTTTGTTTTGTCCCTTTAGGGTCACTGAGGGCGGAGCCCTATGTAGACCTGACCGTACCTTTGCGTGCTGATCCAAATTATGCCCCACGCCCCCGTGTACGTTTTGAGTGGCCTGGGTAGGACGTCGGCCTCGTCAATGTGCGCTATCGGGATGCCGTATCTGTAACACAGTCACAGAGCTGTTTCAAGAATGATTGCATTCACTGAGCCAATGGCAAAGCATTGACAGAGATGGGATACTGTTCAGCGACAACACCAGTCGGCTCTTGAAGACTTACAGTCAGGATCGACTTCTTTCTCTTGAAGTTGCCACGCCAAGTGTTCGTAGTCTGCACAATATTCAGCGGCATTGAAGGTGGGGTCATCCGCAAGTGGTATGAATTTCAGATCGCTCGGGTCGTCTCCCTGGAGTAGGTTGGCCGGGATAGGCGTGCAGCCCTGGTAGGATGAGCAAGGCTCGAAATCCGTCAATGTAATTGTCTCCATTTTGACCGCATCCTCGGTCGAAATGGAGTCTCCGTAGAGTTCAAGAACCAGGAATGTTTCTGTAGCCCTTGATTTCGTGCCATCCACATGGTTGAGTGGTGTTGAATCCCCGCTCGTAGGGAGGTAGGCACCGTTTGCGCGAAGGGGTGCTTGCTGATAATCGACACTCTTCGCTTTACTATCGATAGCTGCAACTTGAAGCGTTTCTGTCGTAAAATTTGCCTCCCATGCACAGAACTCGACCCAGACTTCTTTGAATATTGTTCGAACTTTCGCAGCCGTGCGGGCTGACGTGTGAGGCTGAGGACGATTCCGAGCCTGAGATTGCATTACTGCCGTGAAGATATATGCACTCTGACTTTTATGAATTTTAAGAGAAATCACTCGACTTGGAAAGATGTACTTCTCTCAACTGACGATGGCGCTGCTTTCTTGAATCCGTCCTATGCCTCTGTATGACACTGCATTCGAAGGTTACCAGTATGAGCCTGTTCGTTGTGAAGCTCCTGTCAATGACGCGTAGAATGATGCACAGAAGGTCCTTACATCCACCAGCACCCCTCGACTGGGATAGCCTGTGGTATTGTTCGCGATGAAGGAGTTGGTGAAGGTTCGCTTCGACCCTGTTGGACGGACTTCGAGTTGGTCCTACTACACCTTCCTTTCTTGGACAACGTTCAGTTACCATCAAATTCAATTCTAGCATCTCTTCCAAGATCGCTTTCCCCGGCCGCCTCAGGCAGTCACTAGTCAATTCCTGGCCTGCAGCTCTCACGAAAGTTCACTACACACCAGATCCTCGCAGGTCCTCGCACGATGCCCGCACCCACGAAGTTCACCACATACATTGACGAGCACGCCGATGGCTTCATCCAGCGGCTCAAGGAGGCGGTAGCGATTCCGAGGTATGAAACCCGCTCGCAGAGCTCATCATCGAGCTCATCTGGATTGTACAGTGTGAGCGGCGACCCGAAGCACCGCCCCGATGTCTTCAAGATGGGCAGCTGGCTGCAGAGTCAGCTCGAGCAGCTCGGCGCGCAGACAAAGTCGGTCGACCTCGGCAAGCACGTCATGGACGGCCACGAGCTGCAGTTGCCGCCCGCGATCTTTGGCCGCATTGGCGACGATCCCAAGAAGAAGACGATCCTCATCTACGGACACTACGACGTGCAGCCTGTGAGTCGTCCGCATGAGGGTGTGCGAGTTCGGCCGACTGAACTGCCTGAGTTGCACAGGCGAACAAGAGCGATGGGTGGGACACGGAGCCGTTCACGCTCGTCGTCGACAACGCCACGGGCAGGCTGATTGGTCGTGGGTCGACGGATGACAAGGGCCCGATTCTCGGATGGCTCAACGTCCTGGAGGCGCACAAGGCGCTGGGCCTCGAGCTCCCCGTCAACCTGCGCTTCTGCTTCGAGGGCATGGAAGAGAGCGGCAGCGAGGGATTGGACGAGCTCATTGCATCCGAGGCGGCGAAGGGCAAGGATGGCTGGTTCGGTGGCGTAGACGCCGTTTGCATCGTAGGTGCACAACCCCGTCGGTCTGCACTTGCACTCATGCACTTCGCGACAGTCCGACAATTACTGGCTGAACACCCGCACGCCGTGCCTGACCTACGGTCTTCGTGGGCTGGTTTACCTCAAGCTCACCGTCTCCGGCCCCTCACGCGACTTGCACTCCGGTGCTTTCGGCCGCGCGGTGCACGAGCCCATGACCGACCTCGTCATCCTCATGAGCAAGCTCGTCGCGCCCGACGGCAAGATCCTTATCCCTGGCGTGGACGAGATGGTCCCCGCTGCGAGTGAGGAGGAGAAGTAAGAGGCTTCGTATTTTGTGCTGGCGACAACCTGACGAAAGTCTGGCCCGCAGGAAGATCTACGACAACCTCGACTACAGCATCGAGGACATCGAGGAGGCCGTCGGCGCCCCGATTGCGCTCTCATCGGACAAGTCGACCGTGTTGATGGGCCGCATGCGCTACCCATCGCTCTCGCTGCACGGCATCGAGGGTGCATTCTATGGCGCGGGTGCGAAGACGGTCATCCCCGCGAGCGTCTCTGGCAAGTTTAGCATTCGGTGAGTCGCGCCAGTCATCGTTTGTGCACCAACTGCTGATAGCAGTCATAGTCTGGTCCCGCCCCAGACACCGGAGACGGTCGAGCCGCTCGTGCAGGCACACATCCTCTCGGAGTTCAAGAAGCTCAACACGAAGAACAAGCTCAAGGTGGAGAACCTGCACGGCGGCAAGCCCTGGATCGCGGACTACAAGCACTGGAACTACCAGGCGGGAATCAAGGCGACGGAGGTACGGGCCTCCTTTCTTTGATCGCTACAGTGGCTGAGTATTTCGTGCAGGCTGTGTACAAGCGGACCCCCGACCTTACGCGCGAAGGTGGTTCCATCCCCGTCACGCTCACGTTCGCGGAGAGCCTGGGCGTAAATGTCCTTCTTCTGCCCATGGGTCGTGGCGACGACGGTGCTCAGTGCGTCCCGTTTATCTGTCTACTGCTGCCGCGTGCTAACTATTCGTCAAGCTCGACGAATGAAAAGCTCGACAGGTCCAACTTCATTGAAGGCGTACGTTGTTACTACCTATCCTAGCATCCTGCAAACTGATGGGTTCTCTACAGAGCAAGCTGCTGGGCACCTACCTGTATGAAGTCAGCTCAATCGCCGCATGAACAACCCATGTTGTAAGGGGGCCACGGTATGGGGCACATGGGGCGAGTGGGTGCAGTAACTGACATGTATTCATTGCTGTATGTACAAGACGGGGCTGTATCAATGCATTGGCTTTGTATCACTATCGTTGTCGCAAACTGGCATCAATTAGTCTCGCATTTTACCAGGACTAGGTCTTACCCCGTGTGGGTGTATGTGGGGTCGTGGTTGTTGTTGGACCTTGTGCGCGCGGATGAGTACTGAGGTACTGAGTACTTGAGTGTGTCTCGGGCTGCCTCAGTGGCATGAGCGCCCAGTGTATTCGACCTCCATTGGTGGATCGCCAGTGGATTGCCTCCGCGGTTAACGCGTCTATTTACGGGGATCATCCTCATCCCTGGCTTTATTGTCGTTCCTAGTACCCGCTATCAACACCTTCGAGTGCTTTCTCGATTGACCTCTGATCGCACGTAGCACGTATGGCTGGCGCAGACAATATGCATATGAGCACCAATATCAAGCCCGAGCCTAATGACGATATCAAGGACTTCAGCACTGTCGGGGCCGTTCTGGCCAGTAAATTCGCCTACTCAGCAGCAGGTAGCACTCCATCGACACCTATTCCCTCCTCTTCCCATGTCCGCGGGGTCAAACCCGAGTCCTCTCCTACGAAGCCGATACTCGAGCCGACTCGGAAGTCCACGCGAGTCAGACGCGGCACGGTAAAGCAGGAACTCCTTAACACCTCCTTTCCCGTCGTCAAGACGGTGAAGCAAGAAGTTGTCGGGAAGGTCAAGAAAATAAACACGAAGCGGGGTTACGCATCGCCGGAGCAGTATGCGCACCTGCAGCTGCTCCCAGAGTTTTTGAAGGAGGAACTTGATAGTGAGTTGTTTATTGTCTGACCTACAGCGAGATATTCGTGCTTAGTTATCGCCTTGCGCCGCCAGTATTGTTCTGTGGTATCAAGTAGGTCTCGATCTTCGTCGATTTCCGCCATCCACTCACATACTTGAAGCCCAGCGGTACGCTCTGCGCAAATTGGTCACCACTATGGTCATGGTAGCAACCACTTTTGGCCGTGTCTCGTTGCATCAGGTAAGAGATAACAAAACAACATAGGATGCTAGATGCTATCTTGTCTGATTTAAATGCAGGCTTGACAAATGGTGAACAAGTCACCGCGTTGGAAGACCACACCATCAGTGATCGGTTCAACTTCGGCTTGGTCAGTCTCTCTCGAGCTTTGATAGCCACCATGATTGTGATTATCATTGGCTTGCTAGACCAACATCGTTGAACGACCGAGTGCAGAGGTAAGACCTAACACCTTGTCGATTTCATGTCACCCTCGCTGAGAAAACGTTCCGGCGGTTCCTAGGCTGCGGAGTTGTCAAAGAAGGAATTGGCTGCAGGAGTTCCGAGCCTCGTCCGCAAGATCGCCCGATATCGTCCACGAATAATTGCTCTTGTGGGCAAACTTATTTGGGACGCCATCGAACGGGGCATGAAGGACCTCGGGGTGACGGTCGTGAGGAGCGGCAAAGCCTTTTTGTACGACATACAGCCGTACAAGGTCGTTCACCCGGTACAAGACGGTCACGAAGTGCGCGAGACGCTCTTCTTCGTCCTCCCGAGTTCGTCAGCAAGGGTGGTTGCGTATCAGGTTCGGACACAACCTGCACAGCAGGTGCACGCGAGCTGACGTACTTACGTCGGATCTTAGATGAAGGACAAAACCGAGCTGTTTGCTCTCCTCAAGCAACGGCTGCAAGAGGTCAAGCATGGTAGAGTGGATACGTCCTCGATGACCGTCGTCCGACCATCAGCGAAGTAGAAGTCATTCATAGATAGCCGTATACGCGTTCGATCTAGGGGGATATAGGAGAGCATGTAATATGACATACACAGTACTGTACTTCACTAATGATACACTGGAGGAGACCACAAAGCAGAACTACAACGACAACAGCAAGAACATAAGCATCAGTGTCCCGGACTCATCTACTCTTCCATAGCATCGTCGCTCTCCTCCTCGCTCTCGCTCTCCTCGCCCTCTGCGACGTCAAGCGGGTCCAGGTCGATGTCGTGGTCCGCGCCGATGTACGAGTCGCAGATGACGTAGAGCTTAAGCGCGTGGGTGCCCTGTGGAAGCGAGAACTCGAGCTTGACCGCAAGATTCTTGTGCACGGTAACGCGCTTGATCGCGAGCAGCTGGCGTGTCTTCGGCTCGCCGACGACGATCCACCAGTTCGCGAGCTTCTTCTGAGGATAGAACGGCGCGACCACGATCTCGTCGTCGCCCTCCGTGTCCTCGTCCGCGTCTCGGCTGAGTGAGACCTTGATGGGGATCGGCGCGCCCGCGGAGTAGTCGCCTTTCGCGAGCTCGTAGTTGACGTCGAGGGTGGGGTAGGAGTTGACGAACGTTGCGACGTCACGCATCTGGCGCGTGTCCATACGCAGGACGGTATTGCGCTTGTCGTCTTCCATCTCCATGATGTCGTAGACAGAATCGACACCAGCCTCCTTGCACCTTGCAATGACCTGCAGCAGAATCGAGGTCAGACGCAACGCCAACGGAAGTAAAGCTATAAATGCTTACATTAGGCTCAAAGTGCGGAATCTGCTTGAGCGGAGAGTCGGACTCCCAACAGGCCTGGACACACATCTGCGACAGATCCATCGCGCTGAGGGCGTTCAACCATGCATTGGACGACATGACATCCACACAAGCCGAGAGCAGGTTGAGGACCTTCTCCAGCACCAGCACCTGATCTGCTGCGAGATCCGGAGGGAGCTGCAGACGCGAGAAGTGCGCCTGCAACAGGAGGAACGTCTTGAAGTGCGGCGCCTCAAAGTCTGCGCGGTCGAGCTTGACAGGCACGCGGTCGTATATGCGTCGAAGGAGCACGTCCTCGTGCCGACGTATGGGTATGGACTCGAATTCGGCGGACGAGGACACGACCTCGAGAAGACCCTTCATCTTCGTGCGCTCCTTGAGCGAGAGTGTGTACACCTCGACGGTGACATATGATATGTTGTAGTACGCCGCAATCATGCCGAGGTTGAGTGGCGTGACGTCCATCTCGTCCTCGATGGCAATGCACTTCGAGTTGACGAGGTCGTTGAGGGTATTCTCGACAAGCTCGGAGAGGTGATCGGAAAGGTGTTGGTGGCTGACATTGTGCAGGTTGTAGTAATTCGGGTTTTGCGTCATCCGCCGGTAGAAGTACGTCCATGTGAGGATATCCATCGCATCCTGCTTGTTCTCAATCGTCTTCACCGCAATCTCCGCGAGGAAGTAGTCGTGGAGCATGTGTGTAGGCAAATGTGACTCGATGGGCAGACCCTCGGCAAGGAACTTCTTGTAAAAGTCTTTCCGAGTCTGCTGGCACATCAGCACACAGCGACTCTTGTCATCCTCCATGGGACGGCATGCGCGACCGAGCATCTGCAGGACGTCCATCACAGGGTAATCTACGTATCGGTGTTCCTTGCCTTCGTAGAACTGAACGCCCATTATGATCACCATGTAGCTGGCGACCGGGAGGTTCCAAGCAGTGTCCTAGTAGCTAGGTCAGCTCGTTGTATGAAGACGGCCCATGAGTCTGCTTACCTTCGACGCAATCAAAACCTGTATGGCACCAGACTGGAATAAACGCTCGACGATCTTCTTGTCCTGCTTGCTCAAAGCCTCGTGGTAGTACCCGATACCGTGCTTGAGTGTCTCGACCAGACCGGGATCAGATATATGATCGAGGTGAGGCTGAAGATCGGCCTCCTCGATGTTGAGGAAACGGTTGCTGTCGTCGTCCGCGCCGCAGTGTGTAAGGATGTCATCAGCGGTGAGTTGACATTGTCGACGAGATGGGACAAATATGATGACCGGTTTCGTCGGCGAGTACTCGAGGATCGCCAAATAGGCCGGCTTCGACATGCCGATCATGAGCGATGGGAAGTGCGGGATGTTGAAGCTCTGAAGATGAATATCCATGTCGAGCGGGCGCGCACTACACGAAGTTTGGTCAACATGAGTCTACGCGAGGACAGCTCAAGACTTACCTCGGTGGGAAGTTGAAGATGGCATGCGAGGGCGCTCCCATCCACTCACCGAGATCCCGAGCATTCGCCAGCGACACACCGCATGCGACGATACGGGTCTTCAGCTCGGTCTGAGCGGATACGTACCGTGTGCGGGAAATCACAACCTCGTAGGTGGGACCAACCTCACCGCCGACAAGCTGGATCTCATCGGCGATCAGTAGACCTATCGTCTGCACGTTCTTCCGCTGGCGCCATCTCCTTGACAGCACGTCCCACTATATATAACGTCAGTGCTCAATACTTTCGAGACAAGCAACACGTAGCACGTACCTGTGTCGGAGTGCACACGATAACATCGCCCTTTTCCAACAGCCTCAAGTCCGCACTCGTCTCTCCTGTCAGGCTAAGGACCTCCTTGCCGCCCTGAAGATTGCCAAATTTGTTGCGCCACTCTGCGACACGAAGATCGACCATCTCCTGGTACGGCTCGATACACACCGCCCGTTGTTGCTCGCGCTTACTCCAGAGCCGCAGGAGCGCGAATTCAGCGCAGATAGTCTTACCACTGCCCGTTGGCGCACCAACGAAGACGTTCTCGTCGGTGGTGTATAGGGCTTGGAACACCTGTGTTTGGATCTTGTTGAACGTCTGGATTGTGGAGGAATAGATACTCTCGAACTCCTTGTTGTGCAGAGCAGAGAGGGGCAGGGGCTGGAGGTCGAGAAGAGGTGTGGGGGGTGGGAACTTCTCAGGTAGGATGAGGTGCTTGAATAGGATGGGCAGACGGGTTTCCGCGTGCAGCCAGCGATCCGAGACGATGGAGATATAGTAGTTGGGAGGGACAGGCTCGAACATGGGCACCGTCAGCGTCACGTTGTGCTCGTCCTCTGCATACCGCTGCCGTAGGATGAACGTATCGTGGAATAGGACGATCTCGCCGTCGACGTCTTCGACCATGATCCAGAACGATTCAGCTGCGCCATGGATCTTCTCGTCCCATCGGAAGTCAGGAATAATAGTCAGGTCGATACGAAGAAGCGTGCGCGTGATGGGCTGGACCTGGGCTTGAAGCTGCAGCTTCGGAAAACTGTGTACGAGACGGTGTACCAAGTTGCCGGCTTTCTGGATGCCGATCAACTCGCCGATTTCTGGCGGGTTCAGGTCGAAGTAACGGTACCAAGGGAATTGCTTGCCCTCCGCCTTCCGGACGATCTCCGCCGGAACACCCTTGAACTGCCTCAGAGGCGTCATGGATCCCCACATGCGCCGCTCAACCATCTTGCAGAGAGCGAGACAGTCTTGCGCGGGGACCGCCCATCCGCGCTTGAGACAGATTTCGAACATCGCACGCAAGATACGGCCAGCAGACTGCTGGACGTACACCATGTCGGCGACAAGGGCAAAGCCTTCGAGCTTGAGCTGCGAGATAAAGGCCTGCAGGAGGACGTTGATCTTCGCTGCCGGCTCCTCGACACTCTCCTTCACAGGTATTGGGACTCGCTCGAGCAGCTTGCCAAGCTCCAGCTTCTCATCCTGTCGGACTGGAAGAAGCTTGAACTCATTTGACAGTGCAAACACCCTGAACAACTCGAGCATCGTCATCGTCGGGCGGAGGTGTTGGTTGTACGTCGCCATCGAGTTATAGGTGACATAGTAGTGCGAAGCGATGCGACCAAGCTCCGTGCTGTGGAACCGGCCGGACGCGCGCTCGTACTTGACGAGGTGGCACTTCTCCAAGAGCACGGCAGCCGTATGCACAATGTCCGCGCGCTTTTGGACCAAGCTAGGGTCGTCCTCAAGGTAATCGATGCCAACGCTGTAGAGCACTGGGTCCTTAAGCATCCGGACGTAGCTGAAGGCATGGTAATGAGAACACACATTAAGAACGAGTCAAACACACTCACAGATAGGTGTAGCCCAGCCATTGAACGGCCTCATCCCTGTTCCGGATGGTCCCAAGTACAATCTCTGCGTTGAGGTTGTCCGCAAGCTTGGCAACGAATTGAGACTCGATGGGCAGCTGCTGGTTCATCAAGCTCAGGTAGTACTGCAGCTCCGAGTGGTTCGTAATGATGATACCTTCACCGAACGTGTCGTACTGAGGGCGACCAGCACGACCGAGCATTTGCAGTACGTCCTGTGACGATAGCTCGACCCAACGACCCTTCTCCGGGTTGTAGATCTGCGTGCCCTTGATGATGACTGTGTGCGCGGGTAGGTTGACACCCCATGCAAGCGTCGCGGTACACACCAGCACCTGCAGGTGACCGTCGGCAAAAAGCTCTTCGACGAGCCCACGATCCTCACGCGACATCCCTGCGTGATGAATACCGAAGCCGAATTGCAACAGATCCTTGAGGTTCGGGTCCTTTACATTGTTTGACTCCTCGAGCAAGATCTCCCTAGTGGCGCCGTCAGGCTTGACGAACTGCGTGATGGTCTCCTTGTCGATAGCCATGTCGCGAATGGACTTTGCCGTCTTTGCCGTCTCCTTACGCGAGTGGACGAACACTAGCGTCTGGTTCTTGCCAGCTTGGTCGAGGACCTTCTCGTAGCAGACCTCGTTCATGACCTGGTAGCGCTTGATTGCCTTCTTCTCCGTGACACCGATGAACTGTTGCTGGAGTACACAAGGGCGGTATGACGCGTCGAAGTAGAACAAACCCTTCGCAGGGTCGACGCGAAGGAAGGTAGCGACGTCGTGGTAGTTCGGCAGCGTGGCGGAGAGACCAACAAGACGGACGTACTCTCCCGTCTGCTCCATGCGCCTGACGGTACGCGCAATAATACTCTCCAGGACTGGACCACGCTCGTCATGGAGTAGATGAATCTCATCAATGATGATGAGCCGGACGAGATTCGTGTAGCTGGTGTCCGTACTCTTGCGAGTGATAACGTCGTACTTCTCGGGAGTCGTGACAATGATCTGCGTCTCTGAGATCTGCTGCTTCGTCATTTGCGAGTCACCCGTCAGCTCGCCGACCTTGACACCGAAGACACTGAGTCGCGAGCTGAAGTTGCCGACCATCTCCTGCACGAGCGCCTTCATAGGGGCGACGTAAATGATCTTGAACGAGTCGAGGTCGAATGCACCAGTCTGCTCGTCCCGATACTTGCCGAGCTCGTTCAGAATCGTAAGCATAGCGACATTCGTCTATGACACACATAAGCATGAGCTGAGACACAAAGTCAGTCAACGTACCTTTCCGGCACCAGTAGGCGCACAAAGTAGCAGAGGCTCGTCGGTACCGAAGGCCACAGGATACAGCTTGCTCTGGACACGGTTCAGGTTCTTCATTCCCGAAAAGCCTTGCTGCGCCCACTCCGGCAGGGCCGTGACGGGCACCAGCTCGTCCGGGGCAAGCGGCTTCTGCTTGGGCGCGGGGACGTGGATCTCCTCGTATCCCTTCTTCGACCGCTTGAACGACCCTTCGGGCAGCTTGCACTTCTTGTTCGACATGAGGTGTCCACCCTGGCTGAACGCCATGCCCTCCAGATCGACCGTCGCCTTGGGCTGCACCGTTGAGCCGGGAGCTAGCGTTGCGGTCTTTGGCACCTCCACTTTCGGCTTCTCGTCCACGTCCATCGCGTCAGTCCGCGCCTTCGCCTTCCTATCTCCCGCCAGCTCGCGCAGAATCCAGCCAAGGCCCTTCTCCCGCATCGCGACCTCGACGTTCACGCGCTCGTCCGCGTCACTCCGCATAAGCTTGGTGCACCATACGATCACGTCTCGGTTCTTGAGGAACTTGGTGATCACGTCAAAGCTCTGGTACTCGAACAGGTCCATCAACTGGTTCTCGCAGTCGCGTAGATTGGACTCGGAGCCCAGGATCGACAGCACCTCCGACGCTTTCTCTGCCGCAGTGGCGGGGTCAGGATAGACCTCTGAGATCTGGCGTTGGACCCAGAAGCCGTCTATGGAATGTGGTGAGACGATGTCCTTGTCGACCTGCGCCTTGCCGTGTTGCGCTGCAGAGCTCCCGCCGATGACAAGCTCGTCGTCGTTTTCCAGCGACTCGGGTGGGGCCTCTCCCTCCGCGCCCTCTCCCTCCTCTTCTGACTCCTCGCGCACCTCAAAGCCCTCCTCCTCCTCCTCTTCCTCCTCCTCCTCGTCGAACACTACCGCTACTCCCATCTCGTCGTCGATCTCCGCGTCCTTCCGCTCCATGTCCGGGTCCGCCATCGTCTCGTCCTCCGCGCCATAGTCGGTAATCTTCTTGGACAAGTTGAGCAGCTGCGAGAACTGTTCGTTCGAGATCGGGCTGACAACCTCCTCCACCTCCTTCTTCTTGTCAAAGTCCTTCAGGTTGTCGTTTTTCAGAGACTCGAGCACCGCGTCTGCGGCACTCCGGACGATGTCGTGCGCCTGGTCCCCGAGAGCCTGGTGCACGCTCGCAAGAATGAGCTCGTACACTTCCCGCGTCTCGGCAGTGCGTGGTCTGTAGGTCAAGCCCTCGAGATCCTGGGTCGCGTCGAGGATATCGGTGTAGCCAAAGCCAGTCGCCGCTGCAGCTCGCCGCTTAGACAGCTGCTTTTCGGTGTCGTCCTGCTTATCCGCGGCCTTCTTCTTCTTTTTCTCGAGGTCTTTAGGGGCTTCCCGCTGGACCCTCGAGCCCATCTCGCGGGGGTCGATGCGACCTGCAAGAGAAGTAGGTGCACCATCAGGTTCCTTGTCGCGACGGGGTAGAGCGGACCTGTCTGCCGTCAAGACGAGAGACGAGATGGCGGCATAGTTGTAGCCAGACAGATCCCGCTTCGCAGACATCGTGAATGGCGTGAAAGAGGTGGTGGTGGTCGCTCGAAGCGATGAGCAGGCTGGTCGGTGGCTGAAAATGTTGTATTGTTCATTAGTCATGAAGTAACTCCACACATTATTGGGTTATGTTTATGTATAAGTACTGACGCCGGCCGGGATCTCGGCCACCTAAGCAGTTGATGCGTCCTCCTGAGCCTATGTGTGCATTGAGTGCCCGGGTGAGTGTCTAGAACTTTGATAGAACATCCTAGGTACACAGTAAAAATATTTAAAGAATTTTTGGGCCATTGAGATGGCAATGGGAGGGGCTTTCGTGACGAGAGTACTGGCGGCTGAGTTAACTATGAAGTCGGCCACGCAGTTGCACATGAGCCTATACGAGGCTGTCAAGTGTCTATATGGGCATCAAAATAGTTTGTGAGGCTCACAGACATTATCACAATACTTCAACAGCCACGGGGCCTGAGCTGTGACCACAGTGACTGGATGCAGTCAAGGTGTACAGGATATGCAGCCGGGAATTGCCAAATATGGGCATCACCACACAGATTGATTTTTCCTGCTTCCAATTCTCGGTATATGGACTTCAGATATGGTACATGGATAGAAAGGATGATTAGTTAGACCCTAGTATTTATTCTGTGACCATAGAACATGGTTCAGTAGACAAAGAGGACGGTGACCGACTACCTAGGGTGGCCGAGATCCTGGCCGGCGTCAGTATATCTAAGTATATCTAAGTATCTACAGTAACGTTCTGGCAACCTCTCCCTACTTAGCAGACTGTCTCGGTACGCATGTATTGACCATCCTGAACACTCAGAGCTCGAATTCGCTTTGCCTGGTTTATTTGTTTAGATGGAGAGGATGAAGTCTGCAGTTCAGGGTGTACCGGGGGTCTCATCTGTCTTCACCGCTGGGACCCCGATATCCCCTGTGCATTGAGCGCTCAGGCGCGCTCGCCGCTCACCTCACTGAGTCACTCACGCGTGTAACTTGTTCACGTCCAGAATACTTACCGCGTTGCGAGCTCAACGTTCAACAACCATGCAGGCTTTGCGACAGGAAATTTTACCACCGAGCGGGGTAGAGTTTGCAGCATGTCTGAAGTTGCTGCCGTCGACGCTGCCGGATAGCAAGCTGCCTGGGTCTAGCACGAGCACCGGAAGAGCTCTCTTCAACGTCGTAGTTGCCCGGTCAAATCACCTACGCATCTTCGAAGTTCGAGAGGAACCGGCACCGATCTCATCGCAAAAGGAAGATGAAAAAGAACGGAGGGCCAGTGTCAGGAAGGGGACGGAGGCGGTGGAAGGAGAGGTCGAGATGGACGCATCTGGGGAGGGATTCGTGAACATGGGCTCCATCAAGGTAGTTGCTGCTGTCTTCATCGTAACGCGGTCAATGGAAATCATTGTTTTCTTTGCTCGTGCGCGTGAAGTGAGCAATGCGTGCTAACCACCTCGTCGTAGACAACTGGTCAGCATGGTGTTCCGGAACCACAGACTGTCACTCGCTTCTACCTCGTGCGCGAACACCGTCTGCATGGAATAGTCACGGGCATTGAAGCTGTGCGAATCGTTACGTCGACAGAAGACAATCTCGACAGGCTGGTGGTCTCATTCAAGGATGCGAAGGTATGCCGCATGTGCACGCAACGCAACGCAGAACTCATCCCGGAGCCTACAGATTGCCCTCCTGGAATGGTCGGAAGCTGTTCACGACTTGATCACTGTATCCTTGCACACGTATGAAAGGGCCCCGCAACTGGTATTTGTACATATAATGTTATGTCTACGGTCACTGATCCAGCCTTCAGTCCGCCATAGATGCGCCTCTCTTCCGTCCAGAACTTCGCGCGGACCCGCTGTCCCGATGTGCTGCTCTACTTCTCCCCAAAGACTCCATCGCCATCCTGCCGTTCTACCAGTCTCAGGCAGAGCTCGACATAATGGAGCAGGAGCTGAGCCAAGCGAGGTAGCTGTCTAGCTAATCATTCTCATTGTGGTGAAGCTAACTGGCTATAGGGAGGTTCCTTACTCTCCGAGCTTCATACTTGATCTGTCCGCAGAAGTCGACGATCGCATTCGCAATGTGATTGACTTTGTCTTCTTGCCGGGCTTCAACAACCCGACAGTCGCCCTTCTCTTCCAACATACACAAACATGGACTGGGTATGCCTTGCCGTATTTGCGATCTTTGCATGATCTCATGACGCATATAGCCGTCTGCAAGAGTACAAGGACACCGTCGGATTGCTCATCTTCACCCTCGACCTCGTCACTCATCATTACCCTGTCATCACCGTCGTCGCGTCGCTCCCCTACGATTGCTTCGCCCTGACTGCGTGTTCGACATCCCTTGGAGGTGTTGTTGTCCTCGCGGGCAATAGCATCCTTTACGTGGACCAGGCCTCCCGCCGCATCATTCTGCCCCTGAATGGCTGGCCCGCGCGCACTTCAGATATGCCCATGCCGTCGCTGACCCCAGACGAGCAGAAGCGGGATCTGCAGATCGAGGGCGCGCGCTTCACCTTCGTCGATGAACGGACGCTCTACATCTTTGGAAAAGACGGCACCGTGTATCCCGTCGAGATTGTGTTAGACGGCAAGACAGTGTCGCGCCTTTCGATGGCGCCACCGGTGGCGCGCACGACAATTCCGGCACTGGTCAAGCGAATCGGAACTGACCACTTATTCATCGGTAGCATCGTCGGGCCTAGCGTACTCCTGAAGACGGCACATGTGGAGGAAGAGATGGCAGATGACGATGAGGACATGGCCCCTGCGCCCGCTACTGTTGTTGCACCTATTGATAGCATGGACCTCGACGAGGACGAAGGTGGGCACAGTACTGTTTCTCATGGCCGCTCGTATGCTGAATGTGTCCTCAGAGCTATATGGCACCTCTACCGCGGTCGAGCACCCTCATGTCAACGGCAATGCCGTGAACGGGGTGGCCGCTGCCACTAAGAAGCGGACAGTCGTCCACTTGTCGTTGTGCGACGCGATACCAGCGTACGGCCCGATTGCCGATATGACCTTTGCGCTCGCCAAGAATGGGGTATGTCGATCAGACTCCGTGCATTGTCCTCTTCACTCAACGACACTAAACGGTTGTGCCTGTTATTAGGACCGCTTCGTTCCTGAGTTGGTCGCAGCAACAGGGTACGGCGCCTTAGGTGGATTTACGTTACTGCAGGTACGCCGACCTTTCATGAAATGCATCGCATCTCATTCGTCCTTGAACGCCGGCGGTGTGGTATTAACTTGTGCTCCCGACATCACGGTGTAGAGAGATCTGCCGACGCGAACGAAGCGCAAGATACATGCGATTGGCGGTGCGCGAGGGATGTGGTCCCTCCCGGTGCGACAACCGGTTAAGGTCAACGGATCGACGTTCGAGCGCCCTGCAAATCCGTTCCATACTGACAAAGACACGCTGATCATCAGTACGGACGCAACACCGTCACCGGGACTCTCGAGAGTGAGATCGGTTTCTGTAGTGATATCCGTAACCATTGATATGTTCCTTATAGATTGCATTGCGGAACAGTCAAGGCGAGATACAGATCACTACCCGAATACCGGGCACAACCATAGGTGCCGCATCATTCTTCCATGGGACTGCTATCCTCCATGTCATGTTCAACGTCGCGAATGTGATACGAGTGTTAGAACCTGGTCAGTACAGCGCTCATAACTCAGTAGCATTGCTTGATGGATCGTAGATGGCAGTGAGCGACAGGCTATCAAGGATACTGACGGCGACGTCCCTCGACCGCGGGTCAAGTTCTGCAGTATATGCGACCCATTCATCTTGATCATCCGCGAGGACGATTCTATAGGACTGTTCGTCGGTGAGATCGAACGTGGCAAGATTAGACGCAAGGACATGTCCCCCATGGGCGACAAGGTCAGATACGCGATTTCTCCGGGAAGTTCCCAGGCGCATTCATTTACACATGCGTGCCGTAGACATCAAAGTATCTTGCGGGCTGTTTCTTCACGGACGCGAGTGGGCTTTTCCAGACCTACCAGAGTGCGGAGGCTTCCGGGACCGAGGGTGTGACGTCCACCCTGCAGGCAGCCATGGATTCAGGCAAGAAAAGCCAATGGCTGATCCTAGTGAGGCCACAGGGCGTGGTGGAGGTAACGTTGCGTCCATGCCTAGCGCACAACCGAGCCTCACTTCGCCCTGATGTGTAGATTTGGACACTTCCTAAGCTCGTCCTGGCATTTTCGACGACTGTGGCGGCCTCGCTTGAGCCTGTCCTGAGCGATTCAATGGATCCTGTCGCACTCTCACTTCCGCAGGACCCCCCGAGGAAGCCGCAAGAGCTGGACATTGAGCAAATACTCATTGCGCCTCTGGGCGAATCGTCACCACGCCCGCACCTCATGGTACGCCTCGTGGTTATGCGAGAGGCATAAGTGCGCTGCGTATTGATGCGAACTTTTCAGGTGTTCATGCGGTCGGGGCTACTCGCAGTATATGGGGTGCTCCCGGTATCGCCACCTGTCGATCCTTTGCCAAACGAGCGGACGACTGCGCTGCTTGTCAAATTCATCAAGGTCGCCACACGCGCGTTCGACATCCAAGTGCCTGAAGAGCAGGAGAAAACAGTGCTCGCGGAGGTCAAGAAAATCTCCCGCCACCTCGTTCCTTTCATGTCCTCGCCAACCCCCGGTCAGACATTCTCTGGAGTCTTCTTCACCGGAGATCGGCCATGCTGGATTCTTGCTACAGATAAGGGTGGTGTGAAAGTGTTTTCCTCAGGGCATTCTGTAGTCCATGCGTTCACTGCGTCGTCCGTGTGGGAGTCGAAAGGCGACTTTCTGCTGTACTCAGAGGAGGTAAGCAAGCCCGCAGAGAGACTGCGAGTCGTCCTCATTTCATGTCGCCATTCTTTGCAGGGGCCGAGCTTGGTCGAGTGGATACCCGACCTTCAGCTCGACTCGCACTTGCCTTCAAGATCCGTACCCCGGTCAAGAGCATATACAAACGTGGTGTATGACCCGAACACATCCTTGATCGTAGCCGCATCATCGCGTCAGTCGCGGTTCGCTTCGTATGACGATGACGGGAACATTGTCTGGGAACCAGATGGTGAGTCATCCACGGTCTATCTCCCGTATGTCCGTGAACTCATACTTCGGGATCACGACCTAGCCCCGAATGTGTCATTCCCTTACTGCGATTCCTCAACCCTTGAACTTCTCATGCCTGATTCCTGGATCACCATGGATGGGTGAGTACGTTCGAGACCGATGGCGTGATTGTACTCATGCGGCGTGTAGCTATGAATTCGCTCAGAATGAATTCGTGACTTGCCTCGACTGTGTGACATTGGAGTCTGTGAGTACCGAAACCGGGACGAAGGACTTCATTGCCGTAGGCACGACGATAAACCGGGGCGAAGATCTAGCTGTCAAGGGTGCTGTAAGCCGGTCTGGTCAATCGGTGCTACTCATTGCTATTGATGACACAATTGGCACAGGTATACATATTCGAAATCGTCGAGGTCGTTCCGGACGTGAGCACGGGATGGAAGCGCTGGCATCAACTGAAGTTACGCTGTAGAGACGACGCCAAGGGTCCAGTTACGGCTCTCTGTGGTATGGATAACTATCTCGTGTCATCCATGGGCCAGAAGGTAGGATCATTTACCTGTCTTCATAGCTGCTCCCAGTGACGTGTTCTCTCAGATCTTCGTGCGCGCATTCGATCTTGACGAGCGACTTGTGGGCGTCGCCTTCCTGGATGTCGGCGTCTATGTGACCTCCTTGCGCACTGTGAAGAATCTGCTCTTGATAGGAGATGCTGTCAAAAGCATCTGGTTTGTGGCTTTCCAGGTAGGTCGAGCAGTTGATACCTCCGGACGCGTGTTACAATCTTGTGAGCAGGAAGACCCGTATAAACTTGTCATCCTTGGGAAGGACCCACATCATGTCTGTGTGACCAGCGCAGATCTGTTCTTTGCCGATAGCAGGGTATCTCTGCTGGTCTGCGATGAGGACGGCGTTATAAGATTGTACGAGTATGACCCGCAAGGTACGTAAAGCTGCCAAACAAGCTCACTTGGTTATATTAGATCGTCTGACAATGTCCCCAGATCCCGAATCGAGAGGCGGACAACACTTGTTGCGCCGTACGGAGTTTCACGGTCAGACGGAATACCGTACTTCCGCGCTGATTGCTCGCCGAAGAACGAAAGACACTGACATCCCGCAATCAAAATTGATATGTGGTGCGTGACATCATGATTGTGGACGTCTACTACGATGTGTGATACGTCGTTGCAGGTTCCACAGATGGGTCGCTGTCATCGTTCACATATGTGGACGAAAGCGCTTTCAAGCGGTTGCATCTGCTGCAGGGGCAGCTTACCAGAAATGTACAGCACGTGGCAGGGCTCAATCCGAAGGCATTCCGGTTAGTGTCCACGAGTCTTAGAATAGTATGCAGGCACTCACGCGACAGCAGTATCGTCCGCAATGACTTTGTGTCCAAGCCGCTGTCGAAAGGTATCCTGGACGGTAACCTTCTGTCAACGTTCGAGGACCTCTCGATCTCGCGGCAACATGAGATGACTCGACAGATTGGAACTGAGCGAGGGACAGTGCTCAAAGACTGGCTGTCTCTAAATGGTACATGGTGAACGCAATCCTATCCATACGTAATCTTGCGGTATCTACGCTGTTTGTGGTTTTCGACCGAACTATCACCTTCGGTATAGCTGCTGTGACCTGAGGCCTGAGGTCTCACGTCGAAGGCACTCTGGACGGCACCCTCGAGCGAGGCTGCCTCCGGTTCCGCTAGCCCCGGCAACACGTTGCCAAGCCACTTCTCTTCACGCCTTCTTGAATTGCTGCAACCGTTCTGATGCCATGCGTTCATACCTCGCTTTCTTCATGCTGACCTAGTGCTACACCCTAACACAATTGGAGACGAGATACAGAGCCTCCTCCCGACGCCACTCGGATGCACCAGGCTACAGACGCTCTGATCGTCGCATACAGCTACGGCCACGCTTCGAATTCTTCCGCTATGACGATTGTGAGTGACTGCATCACTCCGAGATCGGGTCTACTGCCATCATTTGTTTAGAAATTGAGGCTCGAGGTGAGATTGATGGCCAGAGCCCGAGGTTGTAATCAGCTTCACATGAGCATGGCCGACCTTCCTGCGACCCTAACACCTGCAGGCAGGAACCAATGAGCCTGCGAACATGGTACGCAAATGAAAAACGCATGTTCGGACTCGAGCCTGAGCCTACATGCTACTGACTCCCTGTCGGACCTGTATAAGTACGGTGCGACGGCCATGCATCCAACCGATACATACTGCTATGTTCTCGTCGTTAGGCTTGGACTCTAGGACCTCGACAAGGACCGCTCGTAGTGGGGCGTCGAAGGCGAGTAGACTTGATTCCCTCAGCAGGTTCATGGACTCATAGACACAGTACTTCGACATGCCTCGGGGACTCTCGGTCCACGTCTTCAAGAACCCCACACAACAAGCGCCTTTACCGCCGTCGTATTATACGGCGTCCAAGGGACAATCCGGCCAGGACTGGTCTGTTAATGACTCCTCACGACCGAAGTTCGAGCGAAAAGCATCGTCCACTCCGAATGATCCCCTCCGCATCGCTCAGCCCGTCTACGTCGACCCCAAGAACGCGAAGTCGTCAAGGGGCCGCGCTGTTTATCCTTATTCTTCAATTGACACGTACATCTATGACCGATCGTTCTCTACCGCGCCAGACGCCCTAGCAGCTTCCCCCTCATCGTCGAGCTCTGAATCAGACATCTTCTCTGAGTCTGCCGTATCCGCATCCGTCGACATCTCGTCGACACGTGCTAGCAGCAGTACCGAGACCCTCGAGACGACGGCCCTCGCCATCGAGTATCCTTCCTCTGCCTCTCGTCCTTCCTACCCAAGAGCCGGCGCGTCGAACTGGTCTGACGGTACTCGGATTCTGCCGCCGGGATTGCCTCCGGTTTCCAGGAGCGCGTCGATGTCGATACGTGCAAACGGAACGCTGCCTAAGCCTGGCCTCGTATGGTTGCCACCTGTCGATGCTGTGTCCGATACTGAGGACGACACTTTTGTCGACGACGGTGACGACGCTGGCATGTCCCAGGGCCGGCCTGTAGCGTTTGCGACCAGGGAAGATGGAGCACGCGACCCACGGTATACGGGGTCGCGCTCTGCACTGGTGCCCATGAGACGTCCCTCTGATGAGCGGACAACTACACAACAACTCCCGCTGCAGAGAGGAGGTTCGGAAGGTACGCGAAGCGACCGATAACGACAATATCATCACTAACAAGATCACCTCACCAATTCCTTAGCCCCGCGTGGACCGCTTGGCTCTGCGAAAGCGACCGACAACCGTAGCCCTCCTAGCTCAACTCACGGTCCTACGCCCGGCCTGATCGCCGATGACGCACGACGGACACATACGCTGTCGAGAGCGAATACTGTTCCGATGACGTCGGCGTCCCAGGCGTCGCGAACTCAGGATACGCCTGTCGGCGCCTCGCTGTCGTCGGTGTCACAACCCAACGGAGCGAAGGATCGTCAAAAGCCAGACGCACTTGCGCCAGCCATGACTCGGAGTACATCCGCGTCAGCAGGGGCGCTGACTGTTGCTGCTAGGCGGGCTGTGCGGTGGACGGAAGATCTGACGTGTCCGTGCCCTGTGCCGCGCAGCGAACGCCGGAAGGGGTGGTTCAATCGCAGAGGGTAAGTACACAGACGTGCTATCATTGTGGCTTGATGCACTTACCTGGGCTCGTTGTCAGTGACCAGTTGTGGACAAATGATGGCCGATTCAAACCATCGGAGCCTGGACAAGAATACCCTCCAGATCTTGTGGTGTGTATTGTGTCGGTCGCGTGCGGCTCGTGCTCACCGGACGTTGTTTCTCAGGGTTACCCCGAACCGAATACAGGCTGGATGAACGAAGAGGGGGTGAGAATCGATATGGAACATTGCCTGATACCCAAACCTCCACTCCGCTCTGCTCTCAAACGTCCAAAGGTCACCGCAGGTGCACAGTAAGGCAGCCTCAAGTGTTATAGCCTCTGACGCCCTCTTTACGACCCCACGACTAACTTATCACTGATGCTTAACGCAACGGCGTCGACGAGTGCACACCGCGTTCCGTAACTATTGTATCTTTAGTGATGCCATACCCATGACCATAAATCTGATACCATTCCACCGTGACGTTCCTCGTCGTTCGTCAATCGGAGTCTATGGAAATTACATCCTCGTCATCAAGTATAGAGGTACGTCTCGTTCGCGGTCGCTGGCGATTCCCCACATACGGCTGGTGTCTCTTCCTCGGGGCCGGTCCATCGTCTCGCATGGAATAAGACCATGCATCACCACCACTGTCATCCGAGTCTTCAACATCAGCCTCGACGTCTGGTTCCAGCACGATCGGCGCGTTACTGCTCTCGCCCCGTCTTCCTTGTCGCTCGGCGGTGTACTCGTTTCCATCGTCTAGTACGTCGTCCTTTTCATCATCCAACTCATCCGGCTTGCTCTTGGTGCGTCTCTTGCGCTTCGAACTTGCCGTAGATTTCCGCGCAGTCTTGTTGGACTTCTTGGCTGCTGGTTTCGACGTCCCTCTGGTTGGGAAGGCCATCTCCATCGCCGGTCCTTTACCTCGGCCTTCAATGTCAGTGCGTGACCAGCTTGTGAACGTGTGCGTGATGTCGCTAGGAGTGAGGTAGACATTGGTTGTCTTCGTGGTGGGCACGAACTCCCACTTGAGGTATCCATTGACGATGAGATGAATCAGTAACATTGCTGTATCCTGGGTTTCGATGAGTGGGATGAGATACAAGGACGCTCAGTGACTCGGAGCTGCTACTGACCTCCTTGCAAAGCTCCACTTTGCCACCCACCAATGACTTCAAGTCGAGTTGGTTACTACCCTTATTTGCATTGCGGCTGCTGATGGGGGATTTTGATTGCCGCACAAGTTCTGTATACTGAGCCAGCGTGCGCCTGTCTCCATGCGACTTGACGGCCTCCACAATCTTCAAGATTTGCCAGGCAGGAAGCCTGACATCCAGCTGCCTAACTGCACTGGGTGCACAGAGACAGTTGTCACAGTGGTTGCAGCGAGCTGCTGCATCCTCTGCAGCCCAGTCTTCCACTGAGAGTTGGGCAGCTGTTGAGAAGTACCTTAGGTGTATAGCCTGTCAGCTGGTAGTGAATATGGAAGGAGTAGATACTTACTTTGCAAATAAGATCTTGCGACAGGTCTGCATGTCTTGCACAAATCTCAGCATCTCATGTACTAGAGAAGTATGGCATGATGAGTGTCAATATCCCAAACATACAACAATGAGCAGTACATACACTTGTCCAAAGACATCCAGGGCTGGTTTGTGATCAGCCTGGCAATGTTTGTTGCATCTTGTGGCCGATAGTATAGGACACAGTCTGCATTCTTCCCATCACGACCAGCACGACCAGACTCCTGGTAGAAGCTTTCTACAGACCTCTGAAGGGATGTTCATTTCAGTACAAGGTGAAATATCATGATAAGAATGTTATGTACCGGTAACTGTCACACAAAGCCAGACAAGTGCATGGTCAATATTTCAAACCATAAAATTGAAGCTGAGCTAATGGATTACATACTGAGTGATGGATAACAAAGCGCACATTGGCCTTGTCAATGCCCAAGCCAAATGCTATGATCATATGAAATCAGCACATGCTGCATGCCATAGGTACCAGACATCACCTACCTATTGTTGCACAGATCACTCTCACCTTTCCCTCCCTCCATTTCCCATAAACATTACTCCTCTCCTCTGGAGACAAGTCGGCATGGTAAATGCCAGTCTTGATGTCTTGCCCACTCTCTGATTCAAGCTCAGCTGCAACACTGGCTACATCCTATGACATGAATCAGCAGAGGGATATTGAATATGAACATGAGCACGAATTTTACCTTCTTGGTTAGACAATAAATAATCCCAGAGTCATTGGGATGATGACTGCTGATCCATTCCCTGAGCACATGTATTGTGTCAGTGAAATGGGCTGGCTTTGACAGAATTGAATAATGCAGATTGCTTCTGTAAAGTGGTGAAGAAAAGTATACAGTCCCCTCCCCTTCTACATCTGGATAGTCAAGACATTAGACCATGCACTGTAGCTAATAATCATGGAGACATACCTGGCCCCTTCAGTAAAGGCTGCCTCAGCTTCAGGACTTGCATGAGATTCTTCAACACCGGGGGTGGACATGTTGCAGAGAGGGCAAGGATTGGTACTGTTGGGAACAGCTCTCGAAGAAGCCCAAGCCTCTGGTAGTCATGTCTGATTGTACTTGGTCAAAGGAAGGGGTTGAGGTTGCAATGGGCTCACCTATAGTCATGTCCCATCTCTGAGACACAATGTGCCTCATCAATCACAAAGCGGGCTGAATATTTGTGACTAAGTCATCACTGGTACATGACACATAATCCTCACCAAGTTTTCTTGCAGTATACAATTTGGCTATAACAGCAACAAGATCCTTGTTGTTTGAAAGCTTCTCAGGCTGATATTGGAGTCAATAAATCAGGTCTTGCAAAGAAATGCACAACTGACTGTCAAATAACAAAGTTTTATTTCTTTTTCAGGTATACACCTATCAGATGCCATAGTTATAAGATGTTGCCTGATGGTAGATTGTTCTTGTCTTGATGTCAGGCTAGTCAACATGACAGCATTCACTGACATTTGAGGTGATCAGCTGAACCCCTATAATTAGGGACATCAACTTACCACCAGCCTCATGAAGATGCAGAATTTGGTCTGTCATCAGCGCTATGAGGGGCGAGATGACAAACGTGCAACCTGGGGACTCGAGGGCCGGAAGTTGGTACGTGAGCGATTTGCCTCCACCTGCTGAGCATCAGCATGGAGGCTGAGTCCCAAAAGGGAATCCCATACCCGTCGGCATCACACATACAATGTCACGGCCATCCAAGTTTGCGTTGCAAACACTGTATTCGCAAGTTGAACATTGGACATTCACGAAGCGTAAGTGTGACATGTTAATGCTCACCTCTCTTGACAGAGGCGATAGTTCTGGATCTTGAAGATAGCCCGCATCCTCGCTTTCAGCCTACGCGACCACGCGAACTCGCCTGCCGCATAATCCACGACGCGCGGAGCGACGCCCTTGCCCTTGCCCTTGTCGGGCACCGACGCTGCGGACTCGGAGCCTTCCTGTCGCTGCTGCACTGCGAGCAGCTCGCGCCTGAGCCGCACAAGTTCCACGCGGCGGGCTTGCTCCCTAGCTACACGCTCGTCAATCTCCGTGATTTCCGCGTCAATGTCCGCAATCTGGTGTTCAGCGTGTGTTTCGGGTCTGCGAAGGGGCGCGGAGAACGTCTGCGGCGAGAACGGCAACGAAGACACGCGCGACGGGCCCGAGTTAGACGGACCTGCGGTCGTGCTCGACGAGACGCGCGAGCGTCGGTACTCGTCGCGCGATAACTGCAGGACCGCGGCGACTTCGAGGTCCGAGTCCTATTAAAATGGTGGAAAAAAGCGTAAGAGGCTTTTCTGCGCGCATATAGCGTGTTCTTACCTCATATTCAATATCGCTGCTACCATACATGATTGATGAGGGTGTCGAGGAGGAAGTACGAGTCGTGGTAGACGATGGGCGGGGATATGGCAGGAGCCAGCCAAGTTCGCGCAAGTCGATCGCGTAGGCGCCGACGATCCCGCGTCGCGTCGGTCACACTTCGGTCACGCTGCCGTTATGACCGGAGGCATCGGCTCGAGGAGGTTCACAGGCGTCGACCTCGTAGGTATGTACGTAGGCCGTGCAAAGAGGATCGCATCCGAGGTTGATGACGTCTAAGTCCTCCTGAATAAGTCATCGTGCCAATCATCATGTAGAGCCAAGTTCTAGACAAACCGACAAACAGCCCGTCCCCCATCGCGCCCCTCCTCTCCCAGAACGACACACCATTCTCCGACTTCTCTGAGACGTGACAAAAGACAATGCATTATCCAGGTTATAGCTATGGAGACAGATGTTGTAGGACACAGCAGAAACGACCGTATTAATGTCGGGCGCGGTATCAATCCAGCGACCCAGGTGTTATTGTTCCGAGCGAAACGATGCAGGAGGGAAAGGATATATCAAGGGGCATAGCTCGAATGCGAATGCTACAGGAGTGGCGATAAATAATACAAGGGTGTTGCGCACCTCGACTGGGTTCGGACGAGGGCGCCGGAGATACAGATACAGTCAGTCATCTTGAATCAAAGAAAGGAAAGAGCATGGTGGTATCGTTGTGCGGTCGTGTGGGTCGTCGCGAGCGGTGCATGGCCAGAGGAGCCTACGCACGGATGAACATCTCCACAGGGATTGGCTTCCTCCTCAAACCCTCGCTTCGGCTCGAGCACCCACTATCTGCGCTGCTGTCGCTCATCCGCGACGCACGGCTCCCGCGCCTCTCCAAGCGGGGGTGCCCGTGCGCAGGTGCGTCGACGTAGCCGTAGCGCTTGGGGTTCGCAGGGCGCGTCGGTGAGCGCGGGCTTGGGAGGACGAACGCAGACATGGTCTTCGCACTCGTGGGCGACTTGGGCGAGGGGAACGCGGGTGAGGCACGCTTGCCCTTCTTCACCGGGGAGAGCGTGAGGCGCGAGATCCAGCCGAACGATTCGCGCTCGGCCTGCACCTGCGAGCCGAGCGTGCTCGAGGACCAGCGCGAGCGCAGCACGCGCTCCTGCTCGAACGTCGCGCCGTCGAGGCTGTCGGGCGCCGTGGGGAGGTCGGCGTCGGCCTCCTCTGCGACGGGCGTGCTGCCGTCGACGAAGGAGACATCAAATGAGAACGACGAGACAGGCGAAGAAGACCATGCTCCACGTCCGCTGAGCTGCGAGTACGTAGACACGCTCTGCGGTGTCGCGGGCAGCTCGCTCTCGGGCGACGCAGAAGAGTCGACGACCAGCTCCGGCAGCGCAGGCTCGTCCTCGACGAGGTCATCCCAGATGTCCATAGGCAAGGACATCCGCGGTGGCGGCCGGGCCGAGTGTGGAACGACGAAAGCACTGTTGGGCGTCGGCGGGGCCGTGCCTGCGCTCCATGGAGGAGTGTACGGCGCGGCAAGACCGGTGCCGAGGAAACCGCTGTTCAGCGCGGCGCTCGCAAGCTCGGCGAGTAGCTCCTCCGTGCATGCCTCCATCTCCGAGGCGGTCGGGCTCAGGGACGAGGAAGGCGATGGAGACGAAGCGGAGCAGGGAGTGATGCGGATAGGAGGAGGCGGGGGCGGCCTGTCCGGGATGAGGAACGACCGGCGGCGACGGGCCTGCGTAAAGGTGGGGTCAAGCTGTGCACTGGGGCTGGTTTTCGCAGGTGCGTCTGAGGTCTGGATGGACAACCGGGGCACTGTCGGCAGAGGCTTGCTGAGGCGACTGTGCTTGACGGGCATGATCGAGTCTGGGCGCGCCTTTGGGTCTTTGCTCGTTAGTGCGACGAGCGCGGTAGGGAACGACGGTGGCAGCGGCGTAGACAGCATCACGACGTCGCTAATGTCGCGCGCGTACCACTCCACGTCCGACTCCACATCCGATTCAGTGTCTGATTCCACGGCAGGCTTGCTGAGGTCCGGCATCGACTTGGCGAAGAGGACCGACGCGCGGTGAGACTTGCACGTCGGCGCGCGCATCAGGTGCGGGCGCGTCGGGGTCGTCGGGAGCGAGTCGTCGTCAGAGGTGGGTGGTGTCATCAAGTCGCGCCTGGGACGCGGAGAGCCGAGGCCCGCACTCGAACCCGAGCTTGAACTGGCGCGAGATGTGACCGTGCTGGCCACGCTCGGTGTCGGCGAGTGCCCGCGTCGGCGCGCGGCGAGTGGGGACTGCGATGGGGATGTGCTGATGCTGACACGCTCGGGAGGCGGCGAGGGGAAGTCGAGAGAGATGCCAAGGCCGGAGAAGCGCAGATCGATGCTGTCTAGTGGAGACTCACCCGCGGTGCGATTGTCCTTGGAGTCGTACAAGGGCGGCGCAGGAGCCGGTCGCGGCGGCTTTGGGGCACCAGAGGCAGGGAAAAAGTCATCAAACGTGAGGCCCTCAGCGCCGGTGAGGACGACCCTACGCGAGCTGCGCTTGCGCTCTGCGGCGTCCTCAACGTTGACGCAGAGGCGGCTGGGAGTCGTGCTGAGATTGCGGGCGTGGGCTGGCATGGAGTGTGTAGACGAGCAGGACGGTCGCGGCTGTACCTCTTCCTCCTCCTCGAGTTCGGGGAGAATATCGAGCGACGTACCCCGCGTCGGCGTAATGTGGACGTCTGGTTTACTCTGCCGCGAGCGGCGTTTGAGTGTGGGCAAAATGCGGTTGCTAGCAAACACTGTGATACCGGTATTAGTGATTCAGATAGCTATCTCTATGTCTGAACTGACTCACAGGAATTCATCGTGAGCGTCGTGAAAGTCTAAGTGATGATATGCAGTGGATGAAGTTGAGGGATTGTCGGCGCGATCGAGTCGCAGAGAGCGTTGAGAACGAGAGAGGGACTGGCCAGCAAGTCTTTAGTATGCAATACTGCATCGCTCGCCTTTTGTGCATGTCCGCCATTGTCCTTTGTACCAGGCCCCTGGAAGAAGGAGACAAAAACGACTACCTTAGTCGGAACAAAAGCGTCGCTAACCAACAGCGCCCAGACCCTGTTAGGCGCCTGCAACGTGCATTTGGCTGTGTTTGGTAACGATGCCGCCTCGCGATTGTTTGAATCGCAAGCCGAGAAGTCTGAGAGAAAGGCGGAGAAGACTGAGTTAACGGGGAAAGACGTGGAAAGAGAGAAGATATCAATGGCTGCTGGAAGGTCCTTGCTGTTGAACGTTGAACGGTTACGGAGGTCGCGAGTGCTATGGGCGCTTATGCGATGTTCGGCGGCCCGAGGCAGCAACTGGGCCGCTGCCCGCAGCAAGACTCGACTAGTATCCACTGTACCACCATTCAATCAGCACTACATATCTCAGCTTGACTCTGGAAAGTCTCAAAGCATACCTCTGCAGAAGAAGTTTGCGCATGGTCGCGTGCTAGAAGCCTCAGCGTCATTGTGACAAGTCACCATTGAGAACTAATAGTGAGTGAGCGGACAAACATATGCATCACTCGGCGGGCTGGTAACTCGCCGTCGACTCGGAAATACAGACTTACGGGTCCTGCCACATACTCTGTAGGCTAGGGTTGTGTGGCCTCGTTGTCACTGACGACCACGTCTGTCCTGCCTCTCAGGCCCTCAACAACAGCGGCTTGCTGTGGTCGTCCTCCACCCTCCGAAGGCTGCCACTGGTGAGTTGTGGCAACCTCCCGGCGCGTCATGGGCTTTACTGACTGGCCTCAAGAATATTTAGGTGACCACGAGCATGCAGATATCTCACGTTTCCGCCGCCCAACGTCTTCTGGGCGTTCCGGAGATCCTCACCCAAGTGGCGGAAGAAGTGGAGGACAAGTACACAGCAGCGTCTCTAGCCCGGACATGCCGCGACTTCTGCTCGCCCGCCCTCGACGTCCTGTGGAGATCTCAGTTGGGACTTGTGAATATCATTAAATGCATGCCTGCGGACCTCTGGGAGATCCAGGGAAGTTTCACTAACCATACGCGCCTGACCCTAGTATGTTGTTTCATGGGAGTCTGCAACGCGCTACGTGCTCAATGGTGTCGTGGTTGTTTCCAGACAATCAGGAGAGCGATGCGTCCCGGCGATTGGGACCGATTCAACGTGTACGCTCCCCGCATTCGTGAGCTGTGTCTCCACTTCGATGGCTTCTGGACCACACTATACACGGACGATGTTTGGTCTGCGCTCGACATGTACGCCCCTTCGCGGCCGCTCTTTCCCAATCTTCGCAAGTGGGAGTATTACGACATCCCTCAACGGAACGCCCCGAACCAGCAGCTTTTCATCAGCGCTACCTTACTCGAGCTGACCCTTCGGTGGCGCTCATTCGATGAGCCTGTGGCCCTCCTCTTGGCGTGCCTTCCTCAATGCTGCCCCCGTCTTCGGACTCTCTTGATTAGGATCGAAAGCGGCTATGTGAAGCCCCCCCAATGGCCTCCACGTGGAATATTCGACTCGTTGAAGGAACTGCGCACTGTGACTATGGCGGGCGATTTGGACAGCGACCTCTTGGAAAACGTACTCGTGGAACTACGATCGCTGCCTCATCTCAAAGCCCTGACCATTGAGAACATCTCTGAAAATATATGGATGTCAGCAATTCCTCCAGTTCAGGTTCCCCCGTCTTTCGGGGCTTTGACAGCGCTTCACTTGTCATGCAATGAAGGCCACAGCTGTGCTCAAATGCTAGAGACATCGTACTTCCCTGCACTCGAGGAGCTCGATATCTACGTGATTATATTGGGGCCTTTGAAGGACATCTTCAGGATCGTCCAGAATCACTGCTCACCTACAACTCTCCGCATCCTGCGCGTCATAGGGTCCGATGAGGGCGACAGTGAATTTGTCGGTCCTGATGTCGGGTTGCTTGCTGATGCGGACGACTTCTGCCCGCTATACGGGTTCCACAACCTAGAAGAGGTCTGGGTGCAGTCGCTGCACGACATCTCGCTCATGGACGACGACCTCCACGACATGGCGCTCGCATGGCCGAACCTTCGCACCCTGTGGCTCATCCCACCGGAGTGGTTACTACTTTTGTCTTTCACACCAGATACCTTCTCGCCCGCGGGTACGCTCATGGGCCTCCTCCCCTTCGCGCAGCACTGCCCGCAGCTAACAAGCCTCGCGCTCGCGCTCGACACGTCGCACACCGACGCGGATCGCCTCCTCGACGCGTCTCCAAGCATACTGCAGTGCGAGTCCGCCGTCACGCACCTCCTCATAGGCGAATGCGAGGGGCAGACGGGAGACGTGCAGCAGATTGCGATGTCGCTCGCGCTTATGTTTCCACAGCTCGAGGTGGTGGTGGGCGACTACCCGAGGTTGGATACCGATCCTGAAAGTGTCTGGATGGAGGTCGACCGCATCTATCCACAATGTCTCCGCGAAGTCCTTGCGAAGAAGCGTCAACACCGAAAAGCAATGAGTGCTGCGGCAGGCGGATGAAGTGTGTTCACATTGCCGTTTGTAGACTTTTGCGAGACGTCGATTCTTGCATACTCACTATCGACTCCAGTACACTACTATGGACCGTTCACCCCCGGGAGGGCTCGTCGTCGTCACCGTCGACGGGTCCAGCGCAGACCTTCACGTGGTCCGGGGGGTAAGTAGTCTCTCCGAGACGAAACGAACATGCGCTTTAAGGACCGTCGAGAACACCACTCAACGAGCCCACGGCCCAACCATAGCCGAACATAGAAGAGCCTACACCAAGGCCACGCGAAAGCGTACCAAGCCACGCCGCCTCCTAAAAGAGGCGGACGTTGTCGAGAGCACTGTCTATATGATCTGCACTAGACATAGACAGCAAAAGGGCGCGAGCCCATTAAACCAGAAACCCATCGCAGACGACGACCTCAACGCGGGCGACCGCTGGCAGGCGCCAATAGGGACCAAATGATCGGAGGAGCACGGATAAGTGTATCAGATAAGATAAGATAACACAACTCCCCGATCTCCCCCCCGCCCCGCAAGTCCGATCCCGGGCGCCCCACACCTGGCTACGGACAGCACACTGTCCAACCAACTCAACCAACATGCCCCATGGCCTATGAACTATGAAAGACCTCCCAAATCTTCTCATGAAGTGACGTTATGACGTTATATGCTAGCCGAAATCTATCACAGGAGGAATTCATGGGCGCGTAAGTAGCAGACGTAACCTACTTTAAACGCTCGGCATACGATAAAAACGCACATGTCCCCAGCCCTACAGCAACGTACGCCCAATCCAACGAATCCCACCACCCAACATGTCGAACCAAACCAATATGCCACAAAAACGAACAAGAAAGACCGTCGAAACACCGGTCATCCCTCTCCCAAGTCTACTCATACGTCACAATCCCAAACCGGCCTTAACGGTCAAAATTATGGAAATACCGACAATGGAAGAACGAAGCGGACTCACGTGGATCGTCTCGACTCGCCCCAGTCGACAGCTTGCCAAACAGGACTTTGTCCGCCTCAGAACGAAAGCCGGAATGACAGGTGTCGGGCTACTCTCCCAAATCGTCAACATCAGGCGCCACTGGGTCACGTTCCTGATCGCAGGCGCCGCCGCGCGCTGCCTGCTGAGAGTACCTGTACCGTGGGTCGTACTCGACGGCCTCGAAGGCTTCACACACGCGAACCACTACTTCGACCTTCAACGACTCCCTGTCCCACACCCCGCCTTTCGACGCCTCCCACCGTTCCAGGACGACCGAGAGAATCCTTACGAACTGGACATCTGGGACGAAGACCTGCCCGAACTGGAAAGCCGGGTGAGCCGAATTACCAACGCCCCGAGAAGCGCCGGGGAGAGGCCTTAGAGAGGTGATGAAAAGGAACCGGGTCTAGATGGTGAGAAGAACCCACCAGAAATGCCGTACGCAGCGACTACGCACTGCCCCCTGACTAACTGACGCGATTAAACAGGGCTGTGTCCCAAGACACCGTGACAGGTGTCACTACAGGGATGCTGAGAACGACAGACCATCAGCTCCACATGTACGATATAATTCCACACTCCTGGACGCTGCCGCGCACGCCGACCCAATCACAATATTCACGATGATAAGACCATATCCACGCGCCCGATCGCGAGCCCGAGCGTCCGCTTCCCCGACTGTCGAGCGCGCCTAAGGCGCATCAGATCGCCCGGAAACAACGGACTCACGTACCAACGCCACAGATCCTCCAGCAGATCAACGCCCGATCCACACACACAGCAGTACGATGCAGAGACCAACTCACCGCGCCCCACAATGGGACCAACCTACAGGAAGACAACGACGGTAGGCTGGCCAGAAAATATGGTTTCCCACCACACACCGGGTAGTAAGCATAAGCGGGGAACACACGACGCAACCACCCGCCCAAAGCCGTGTATGAATCTCGTAAAAGACGTCTCCCAGTATCCTGACAAACAGGCACGACAGCTAAATGCCCTGATGGAATTATCCCGCAGTCGACACCGAGCGGGAACACAGCAATACGCGCTTTACCTCACCACACGCGTGTGCGACACCGTACTACAACCCGAATAGGACATCCAGCCAAGTCGCCGTGAAGCAACACGACACCGTCTACAATAACTAATCTAACCTACACGCTCTCGCCCTCCCCCGCCTTCTGCTGAACCGCATACACCAGAACGCACCGCTCCACACACCCTCACAGGATGACACCGTCGCTCAACAACGTGAGTCGACCAGCACCAGAGGCCGGAAGACACTAACACAGTGTCAACAGCCACCGCCCTCCTCCAAGGGCGTCGTGACCCAGGGGCGAGGCACTTCGACCTCGCCGTCGCGCAACCCGTGGAACGCCTCCATGGATGCGCTCGGGAGGCGCAGCCCTAGTATGTACATCCAAGTGAACACCCAACACCCACACTAACCATGCATGCAGGCTACGCGGACGTAACGTCTGGACGCGCGTCGCCAATGATACATCAGGCCGACGCCGCTCCCCAGACCGAGCAGACACCGGCGGCCGAGCCTACCGTGGTCGCCGCCGCTCCGCAGGCCCAGGCTGGCTATAACAGCGACGAGCTGCATGTCCTCGACATCGAAAAGGCCCTCGCGACGCCTACGGCGGACTTCCCGGACCTCCCGCGTACCCCAGTCCGCGCGGTGCGCACCGGCTTGGATAGACGTCCGGGATTGCACCCACAGTCCCCCGGGGCGACGTCCCCGTCGAGCCCCCTAGCAAACGCCCTGCAGAAGAAGAAGGACAAGAAAACGAACAAAGGAAAGGCGAAGATGACCAAGCGTAAGCAGAAGCTCGCTCTGATCGGAATTGGCCTCCCCCCGTCCTCCCCGCCCCCGCCGTCGCCCGAGGACGAGGATGCCGTGCCCCAGCGCATCCCCAGTGAGCCAAGAAAACGCCGCCGCACCTCGGCGCAGCTGGGCGGCGAGAACGACGACGTTCCCGCCGATAGCTCGCGCCTCCAGCCATCGCCTGTCGCCGCTCCGCCCGTCGCCCACCATCGCACCGCGAACGGAGAGGACGAGCCCGATGTCAACCACGACCGTGGACTGGACTACGGACTGACTACCGCCTCGATCCTGGCGGCGGGTGGCATTGACCCGACGCTGCTGACGGATGTCCATCACCCACGCCCACTCCGTCCCTTCCCCGTCTCCCAGCTCGAGCCACAAGCAGGCCCCGCCTACCTGCCCCACCAGCTCGCTGGCCCCGCGCACCCGCCTCGACAGGAACCGCGCGCCGCATCCTTCGCAGGGTTCTGGCGTGCCGGAACGCAACCTGCCTACCGGTCGTCGCGCCCGGTAACCCCGAGTGCAAACCACGAACGGCCCGCCCCCTCTTTCGCTCAGAGGTGGGG